TCCCCCCCCCCCCCCCCCCCCCCCCCCCCCCGCAGATCGGCGGAGGGGGCGTGTACGGCGCTATCGGCGCGCGCATCTGGCTCCCGCCCCAAAAGCTCGGAATGATCATCGACAGAGGCAACGACTTTCCGCAGCCGATCCAGGCCGCGCTGGACGCGTACGGCCCCGAGATGTGGTTATTCAGAGACAATCCGGACCGGGGCACCACGCGGTCGCTGAACGCGTACCGCGGGGAACAGAGAACGTCCGTGGACGTGTGCTTTGCGCTTTCGGTCGGAGGGACACTAGTTGAATGCCAGGAATATGCACAGGTTCTCGTACCTCACGCCCCGGATTCAAATCACGCCGAGCGATCTGGACAACACTCGGTTCGCCGGGGCGAAGATGCTGCATTTGATCTGTGCGCCTTCTCGCTGTGGGTCGATCGTGTCAGAGATTTGGCAGCGACCGGGGTGGACGCCTATCACGATCTACGAGCCCGTGGAATACTCGTCCGTGGTGATCGCTGTGCGACATGCACCCCCTTCTGACTCCATATGGGGTTAGATGCGTCCCGGAAGAATTGTCCCCGTTAATTGAAGTGCTTCCGACGATTTCTGTTTTGAGGTAAGGACGAGAGGGCATCCCCAAAGTATATCAGCGCGTGTTTGTCAACCTTAGGTTTTGACTGCATTCTGTAGTCCAAATGCCTCTGAGGCTCTTACGTTGCTCTCGCTCCCAGATCCTTCAAGACCCAGCAAGGATCTCGTCGAGAAAGCCGCGTCCCTGTTCCTAGAATATGGGGTTGGTCTCAAGGGTAAAGCTAGAACAACTCTATGTCGTTCAGAAGCTCACCGCACTCCACTTCGAACAGCGCTTGCGGTTGGCAGACACGACGGTTGCGTGATCATTCGCGCTGCCGAACAAGGCTGCTATGTCAAAACTCGGAATCAAGAAGGTGTTTGGATAGGCAAGAAAGAACGTTCCATCACTTATGGGATACACGTTTGAGGATCGTTCGCACAGATGCGTACTGGACTGGACAACACGCTGACAAAGTCGTGGATGTCACCGGTAACTTACATGTCTCCGGCTGGTGAAATGATAGCTAACGTGAGTTCTGGAAGGGGCCGGCAACAGCTTCTTGGGAGGCTTGGCTGCTGGATTCAGTCTCACAGACGACATTTACGAAGGTTATTCGGATCGCTCGCTCGTAGCATCCGCGACTGAAGTTCGTTTGGCAGCCGCATTATACGCGACAGTGTCCGCATCGTTTGTGGTCGAGCAAGAAGGACTGCCCAGGCTTACCACGGAAGGAACATATGACGAGGGTCTGCTTCCGGAATCGTGGAACGGGGACTCACCGATGGCCAGGCTATCACTGCTAAAGAGTCGGATGGGGACACGGTCGCGGGCTCAGACACAGACATGACGCAAAGCAACTAGTCATCGTTGCGGGGTGGCTATTACGGTCGGCGGGTATACAACTATAGATACAACCTGTGCAGAGAAGACGAAGGATTATGCAGATATATGTGTGTGACGGGGCGACTATGGACAGCTAGAAGACAACGGAGAGGACGATACTTGATACCATATAGATCGATAACAAACCTGAGGATAAGATTACGCGCTCGGTGAGAGAAAGAAAGGCGATTAGGGGGTAGCGTGACGCGGATGACACGAGGATGGGTCAGAAATCTGAATAGAGAGGATGAGAAAGCCGGGCTGAGATCAACCGAGATAATCAAAGAAGTCGAATTCCGACTCGCTTTCTGTGGCTGGGTAGAGGGCCGTGTTATGGAACTCGAGGCCCGATGGCTGGGATTGGCCTGGTGCCCAGCGGCCGAGGAAGGGCGTCGATTGCCAGGTCCGCTTCTCGCGAGCGCCGCTCGCTTGGGCGGCCCAGTGCATGCCCGAGATCTCCAGCGCCACGAGCTGCGGCATGGTATCGAGCACGGCGGCGACGTCGTTATAGAAGATCTGATGGTGGACATCGATCAGCCGACCGTGCTGAATATGTGACAAGCGCGGGACCACTGACCTCTCCGGGAGGAGCGAGGAACTCGGCAGACGTGGTGCTCATCTTCACGTGGGCGGGCGAGATGTGTCGCGCTACGGCCTCGAGGAAGGGGATGGTGCGCATGCTGGTCGTGGCGCCGAGCACGGCGACGCCACCGGGTGCGGACGAGCGCGAGAGGGCACGGAGGGTGGGTTCGTCGACGTCGCCGACCTGGATGAAGACGGAGCGCAGGGGCCGGGCCGGGACGATGGACTGGGCGGAGCGGGCGGAGGTGACGAGGTGAGCGAGGTTCGGGGCGGCGGAAGCCGGTAAGCGCGGAGGGAGAGATGGATCGGGCAGGGACGACGGAATCGAATCAAGCTCGAGCTCGACGAGGGAAGAAGCCCGGGAGAGGAACTCGGTCACATGCGCGTCGAGCGGGAAGGGGCAGGACATGTAGCGCAGCCGGCGGAAGATGGATCTGCCCGGGCTGGTCGAGCGCGGGGGGTCGGCGAGCACCCAGCTGGCGGCGGCGTCGACGCGGAGGGTGAGCGAGACGAGCTCGGTCATGTTGGCGACGGCGCGGGCGAGGAGCCGGTAGGGCTCGGGGTCGGCGCCGGAATCGGCCCCGAGCGTGATGTAGAAGCTTCGGACGAGCTGGGCGATGTCCGGCCGGGCGGCGAGGGTGCGGAGCAGCTGCAGCTTGCGGTGGGCGTCTTCTGGGACGCTTGCGGGGGGGAGGTGCAGCTCCGGGTGGCGGTAGAGGTGGCGGATGGCGGCGTCGGAGACCTGGCAGGAGATCCTGGCGAGCGTGGCGAGGTCGCGGGGCGGGGCATGGGAGGAGATTGCGTGGAGGAGCTCGGTGGGAAGGATGGAGAAGGACATGGCGGATGCGGCGAGAAGAGAAGGGCCCTGGGCTTATAAGTCCCTGGGGCGGTGGATGAGCAGGGGCGTTAGATGAGCAGGGGTGCTCTAAGACAGAACCGAACACGGGTGGCCATCAGAGCGCCCGGGTGGTAATAACCCATCGCATGAGCAACTAAAACACCGAAACTCGTCGTCGACCAGCCCGACGGCCGTTCCCGAGCAGCCACAGCCTCTGCTGCTCCCGCTCTCATGCTCCCAGCTCTCGCCAGCGCCCTCCGCGCACGACGCCTCCCACCCGCCCCAGCCAGCCTGCGACGAGCGCTCTCCGCACACAGCGCGCCGTGGCCCACCGCGCGACCCGCCGCACCCTACCGCGGTCAGCACCCGTCCGACCTCCCCACCCGGTCCCTTCTCATCCCTCTCCTCAGGCCCTCTCCCCCACAGGACCCACAACTGCGTCTCGCTGGCCGAGGCGGGTACCGACGAGCACGTCGTGCTCTCCGGCTGGCTGCTCCACGAGCGGTGAGCAGACCGCGTCCCGTATGAACCGCAACCGGCTCAGCCCCGTGTCTGCGCCCCAGCAAGGTCAACCGGAACTGGTCCTTCTTTGATCTCAGAGACTCTCGGGGCACCGTCCAGCTCGTCGCCTCGGGCAGGGGCGATGCCCCCGTCCTGCCGGACCTCGCCCAGGTGCCCGTGGAGAGCCCCGTGCTGATTCGGGGCTCCGTGCGACGGAGGCCCGAGAAACAGAGAAAGCCTGCAAGTCGATCGACCCTTCTCTTGCCCGCAGACGAATGACCGCGTCGGCAGGGCGACCCGCTGGGCGATATCGAGGTCCTCGTGCAGGACTTCATACTCCTCAACCCTGCAGACCGCGAATTGCCCTTTGTGCCTCACGAACACTGGAACTTGGTATGTCAGCCACGCGTATCAAAACGAACACACGTCGTGACGGTGCAGTCATAGCCGAACGACGACCTTCGCGCCAAGTATCGCTACCTGGACTTGCGACGGCCCTCTATGGCCGAGAACTTGCGTAAACGAAGCAAAGCGGCCCATGTCATTCGCTCGGTCCTTCATCACCTCGGTAAGCCAACACGGCAACTCATATCTCACCTTCCAAACGCTGATCTTACGTGAGCACAGACTTCATAGAAGTCGAAACGCCGATACTGCTCAAGTCTTCGCCCGAGGGCGCACGCGAGTTCCTCGTGCCCACACGTCTCTCCTCGTCTTCCTCGGAGCCGACGTTCTGGGCTCTGCAGCAGTCGCCCCAGCAGCCCAAGCAGCTGCTCATGTGTTCTGGTGCGGTCGAGAGGTACTTCCAGATCGCACGCTGCTTCAGGGACGAGGACGGGAGGAAAGACAGGCAGCCCGAGTTCACGCAAGTCGATCTGGAAATGGCGTTCGTCTCGTGGGGCCCCAAACATGGCGACTCGCCCGACGCCACGAGCGCGAGCGACTCGGCGCGGTGGCGAATCGGCGGGCACGAGGTCCGCGACGTGATCGAAACGCTGATCAGGAAGCTCTGGAAAGAAGTCGCCGGCGTCGCCGTAACCGCGAACCCGTTCCCGGTCATGACCTACCATCAGGCGATGACTTCCGTACGTGACATGTTGGCTCGGGTGCATGTCCCAATCAGACCTATCCCGGTGTTCAGTACGGCTCCGACAAGCCGGACGTCCGCTTCGGACTGCAGGTATGTTCGAGCGCACGCACCGCGACACCGACCAGCTGACTCCCAACCAACCCAGCTGTCGGATATCACGTCTTGCTTCTCCGAGGACGCTCGTAGAGTGCTGGAAGCGTCCGGCGATGCGATTGAATGCCTCGTCGTCCGATCCGGGGATGGCGCGTTCGTCAAGGCCGCCTCTGTATTGGATGCGTCCTTCGCCGGTGCTGTAAGCGTCACGTTTGATTGCCGAGGGGTGCACCGCTGATCGATTGCAGGAACGATTAATCGTCGCCAAAGAGGACGACGGGTCATGGTTATCGGATAGTGCGACCATCCGAGGCAGTTTCCCCGCGGAGAAGCTCGCAGCAGAACATGAAAGGGGTCCCTCGGAGGTAACTAACGCCGTCTCGAGCCTCCTTCGAGTCCAGGCAGGAGATATCGTCTGGCTGGCTCGCCGGAAAGCAGTGCCGGAGGTGCGAGTATCAAACGCAGTTTACACGACGTGCGACTGAACAGGGTTGTGACAGGGAGGATGGACTTCCTTGGGGAGAGTGCGCGTCGCTTTGGCTGAGAAAGCACAGGAGCTAGGTGGGTTTGCATGCATTCGCTTGCTTGCACGACATGACAAATATGATAGGTGATTATTGCCCCCCACCCGCACCGCACTTCCTATGGGTGACCGAATTTCCGTTGTTCACCCACGCGGATGAGGACAAGGATTTCCTCGCGCACGGCCGGTGGAGCAGCTCGCACCATCCGTTCACTGCACCCATGATGGAGGATATAGATGCCATGTATGCTGGCCGCATCGCACAGGTATAGTATCGCGAGTCGCAGCATCGCTGGAAAACACGCATTGATGACGTCTCTTGCTGCAGGTCAGAGGACAGCATTACGACTTGGTGTTGAATGGAGTTGAGATTGGAGGTGGCTCGGTGCGAGTGCATGACCCAGAGATGCAGGAATACATCTTCTCGCAGATTCTGCAGGTCGGTCCATGCCAGCGTGTAGACGTCATACTTCGTTAACGATGACCACAGCTTACGGAAGCGGAGAAATCCACATTCGGCCACCTGCTGCATGCACTCCGGTGTGGTGCGCCACCGCACGGCGGCATTGCACTAGGTGCGCAACTGTCTCACTTGCATTAATCTGCGCGGGCTGACGGAGCACATGCTACCAGGCTTTGATCGACTGATGTCCATCTTGTGCAATACAAACACCATTCGGGATGTCATTGCCTTCCCCAAAACGGGCGCATCCACGGACCCGCTGTTCAAGAGCCCTTCTCCGACCACATCGGATGTCCTGGCAACCTACGGTCTCGCGCCTTGCCGAAACCTCGCGTAACCCACCACATAATTTGATATGCTACATGTCGCAATACCAGCACTAATCACACTGCATGCTGTAAATGAAGCGTCCGTGTGCGTGAAATCGGTATGTACATGGAAATCGAAGCGGAAGATCAAGGCGGTACATGTAAGACAGGTCAGTTAAATATGGACTGTTACGAGGAAACGGGGGTCACGCTGCGCTCCCGTTCGTGGCCGGTGTTCTGTTCCTGAGCGCCGTCCCCATTCGGTGATGGCAGGTATGGGCTCGCCGTGTTCACGAGGGACGGAAACATGGAGCTGTGCGGCGCTTGGTCGGGGTCTCCTTCTGATCCCGCCGCAGTCTCCAAGCCGAGCCCAAACGGCGTCCAAGTAGATCTCTGTGAATCGCCATTGACGGTGATGTCGCTTCCTGTATCCGATGCACGATCCTCGCGTGCCCTCGAACCAGAACTCTCGTCGATGACGGACAGTACGTTGCGCATTTTCGTGTCTCCCGACTTGCGTTGTTGGTGGCCAGGGTTGCGCCGGGGCACACCAGCTGGCGGAGACCTGGGGCGTGGGGAGATTGACCTAGGAGACGCCGATTGCGGCGACACAGGATTGGAAGTAGACGGCGGTGATGATGGTGAGTTCGAACGCACGTCCGCCCACGGCTCGACGGTCGCCCAACCTGGAGTCGTCAATGGCGTGGCGTGCTCCATCACGGGCGTGGTGAGTTGTGAGACAGAGGCGGAGGGAGTCGGAGTAGGATTGCCAATGATGGAAAGCGGCGGGAGGATGCTGAATATCTGGTCTTCTCCGGGAGGTGGGCCGTAAGAATCAAATGGGTCAGGAACGGCTTGCAGCATGTGTTCGATGACGGGATCAGAGCTATGATCGAGGATAAGCACACGATAAAAAAGGGAAATAGTGAATACGCACGACTTTGCCGTGAAACGGTCGAACACATCCATCGTCGTCCTGACAGCATGCGTTACCTGGGAGTCAGGCGTAAGGAATGCTCGGAAATAGATACTGCGAGCTATGGTTACCTTTCCCTGGACAAAGTCCCATACCTCTTCCTCGTGTTCAACAATTTCTTGATAGTGGTTGACCTTCAACTCGTCCAGATCATCAACCTGACGCTGAAGGACTGCTAGAGCCTCTCTGAAACTCTGTAGATCTACGCATAGATAACGGTCAGTTCGTGTCCCTGCGGACTATGGCATGCAGCAACAACACACTGCGACCCTTCTTCTTCATCTGACTCATCTCCGTTTCACGGATGATCCTGCTCTTTTCGCGCAGTGCCCTCTCATACGACGTGGAACGTTCCTATAACGGGGAATCGGTGAAGTTGATAAATCGTCGACGTATGGTAAACATACCGTCACTGCCGTGCGGTATTCAGTGAGATGTGTTCGTAACGGCTTCTCGAAGCTCTTGTCTAACGTCTCGGCCTGACGAAAGAGTGAATTTCGCAAGCGTATATCAGTGGTGCATTGCGTACCAACACATGCCAATGATTCCCCATCAGGTGATGCAACCCTGACGCAGCTTGCAGCCTGGTGCCGGCCTCATAAGATGGCCCTTTGAGCCTATAGGCTGTTAAGACGGGCAGATGTTTGAGAATTGGGGAGCACGCACGTAGAGCAAGTTTGCATCGCGTCCGCGAAGGCGGCCGTAGCCTTCGAAAGCGTCATTAACACCGCGCGGTAATTCGCGCATGTGTTGATAAGCTATAGGCGGGGAGAACACGGGTGAGCGACACCTGCGGCACTTCACATGAGAGAAACTTTTGCACGGACGTTCTCGTACGCCTGCAAGCTCGCTTTGAGGTTGTTCCTGGTGATAATCTTCGAGGGGCCGTCAGAACCGAAGTTGAGGGCCGAAACATTGGTTGCCTCGGACAACGTTGGGGAGGGCGGACCAGGGTCGACGCTGCGGCCGGTGTTGCCAATAACGAGTGAGCGTAATGAGCGGGTCTTGGGCATGGCGACGATATGTACAGCGCGAACTGGTGAACGCCTGTGCACCGCGGCAGGGTCCAGTCAGGAGGTGATGATGGTTAGAGCGTCGGCAACGTCCGACCAGCCGCTTCACCTCCTGCTGCTTCGTCCGACGCGTCCCATTGAATATTCTCGCCTCCAGCCATGGCGCTGGCACTCGCAAACTGCGTCAAGCGTACGGCCTTCGCCAGGCTGATGTCGACGGCTACATACCCATTCTCCAAGGAAGCCGTCTTCCCCCGACCCCTTGTGCCAGAGCCGGAAAACCCGCCGGCGAAGTTGCTGCAGGGCAAAGGCCTCCAGCAATACGTCCTCAACAACCTACCGATACCTGAAAAACAATCACTCATGCACAAATACTTCTCGCGACGCAGTCCCGAGCGTTTACTCCCCGGTTCCGTGCTTACTGTCACACAAGAGCACGCGCCCACATCGTTCTCCGGAGTCCTCATCTCCGTTCGACGGCGAGGGCCCGACACGTCGTTCGTGTTGCGGAACGTGGTGCAACGGGTGGGGGTAGAGATGCAGTTCTACGTGAATTCACCGCACTTGAAGGACATCAAGGTGGTGCAGCGTGCGGGGGGCGGAGGTGGCAAGGAGGGCCGGAGGATGCGGAGGGCGAAGTTATTCTACCTTAGGGATTCGCCGGAGAAGATGTCCTCTATCTCGCAGGGTGTCAGACAATGAGTGTCCGCAGGTATGAATTTATGCTATGCTGGTCACGAACGCTACGTTGACATCCGTCCAGGGACCGCTGGACACGTCCGTAGTGGCAGAGAATCAGGGCCAGCACTATTGACAACTGGTGGTGATTTTACTTACGGTCCGCGAACTCGATATGGTCGAGCGCAGTTCGAAGGATATGTGAGGGGACGAAGATCCGAAGCCGTTATCCGCACATGTAGTACAACTTTATAATGAGAATGAATATTTGTACACATCCCTCACTTGCATATGTGCGGGAGGAAATAGCCATAAACGCAGACTTCAAAAACTAGGAGCAAGTCCGTATACAGCACTGTGGCGCTGCCACGGTCGGGCCTCTTCTTCAGACTTCACAGCGTATATTCGCTCAGAACGTAACCCTCGGCTCTTGATCTCGTCGCGCTCCTTTTTGGCGATACAGTCCTTACAACTTTCTTCGACCCTTGAGCGCTGCGAACCAGCATGGCCGAAGCCTCTACCGAAGCGCCCGCGAACGGCACGACGCCTGACCCTCCCATTGACGATGCCGAGGAAGAAGAGACCAAGGTGAGTGCCGTTTCCCGCTGGTCCAGTTGGCCACCATCTCACTGAGTTACCCGCCTTATTTTATATCTGTACATACACACGTCGCGCTTCATATGTGGCTTTCCGTCGTGTGGCTGCCTTACTGACCGACGTCACGGCCTTGCTTCGTCCGTATTGTGGCCTCACCTACGGGCGTCAAAACCACCCCATGCGCTCTCATATGCATGCCCTCAACTCTTTGCACCACGCACCGTCCCCCCCTCGTTCTTAACCCGCGACTCGCCCCTGCTGCTGTATTATGCCTGCTCCTACCAACCCCATTGCGAACGCGAAACGCGGCTCTCGGAAACGTGAAAACCCACAGGAGATTCAAATGATGAAGCAGCGCGTGAAGGAGATGGAGGAAGAGGCCGCGAAGCTGCGTGAGCTGCAGGAGCAGGCGGAGAAGGAGCAGTCCCAAAGCGGCCCGATGGACGTGGATGACCCAACGGCAGCGGACAGCAGAAGCGTATACGTTGGCAACGTGAGTACGTTCACTGCACGTTATTGGAGACGATGGCACGAAAGTCGGTGGAAAACGCGGGAATACGCGATAGAATATCGTGGTTCTGCGTTGTATCATGCAGTGGCGCATATGGACAGTGATTTACCCCTCGTGGAAGCTGGCCATTTGCTATGTATGCATGCGGTCCGGGCACCATGCTGATCATCGTTTCAGGTTGACTACGGCGCCACGCCGGAAGAAATACAAGCACACTTCCAAGCATGCGGCGTCATCAACCGGGTGACCATTCTTTGCGACAAATTCACTGGCCATCCTAAAGGGTGCGCCCCTCGCTGTCGTGCATGCGGCCTGCTGGCTGACCAATGTGTTTTTTTTTTCGTCAAGCTATGCATATGTCGAATTCTCAGAGCCAGAACATGTGGACGCTGCGGTGGCGCTTGACAACTCCTTGTTCCGTGGGCGGTTGTTGAAGGTGACCGCCAAGCGTACGAACATCCCTGGTTACAACCGAGGCCGCGGTCGCGGCCGTGGTGGATATCGAGGAGGCTTCCGCGGCGGATACCAAGGGTATACCCCGTATGGCCGGGGCCGTGGACGGTATGTGGCGATGCTCGATCTTTGGTGGTTCTTAAGCTGATCGCGACACGGGCAGGGGACGGGGACGGGGAGCCTAATTGTCAGCTATCGATGGTGTTCCGTCGCCTGCTGTTGTATATTCCTTGGAGTGAGGCGTGTCTTTCGTTACATTCATACAACAAGAGACTGATCAATGGTTATCCTTCTACGCAGATGATCGCAACTGATTTCATGATGTTGCACAAAATGTCGGACGCTGTTGTGCGTTGCAATACATTATGCTCTTTTGTTGCCAATGTGTCCCGTCGCTATGAACTCCTATATGCATGATGTTCGATGTGACGCCGTCGGCTTCGTGCCAGAGTCGATGTCCACTTTGTCGTTAATATCGTCGAAAAATGCATCATATCTATCTTGGGTCAATGCCGTCCATTCTCGACGAAACATGAACGGTAGGAGATCGAGGGCATGGACTCGATCGACTATGAATCCAATTCATTCACGTATCGGTCGTTGAATACGATTTACAAATCCGAGCAGCCATGCATCTCAAACGATGGCGCGATCGTCCGGGAAGAGCGGCGTCTACGACAGTCATTCTATGGTTAGCAATCGGGCCGAGGAAGCAATCAGCCGGTAATTATGGGCCCGATGGAAGATTCAGGGACCTGCCCTTGAATCCTATTTGAGGCCGCACCGAGAGAAATGCGCACAAACCGAGTATGGGCGGGATTGACTGAGAGGGAGCGGATCGCACCTACGAGCTGTGCCGAACCTTGAGTCAAGGGAGTCCTTCCGCAAACCGGTATCGTCGTCACGAGGCGAGCGATCTCGCTACCATCGTGGATGGGAGCGCCCGCTGTTGCAGGGTTGGGTGTCATGTGTGCCAGCGTTTCGCAGGGTGAACAGGCTGAGCCGGTGCCCTTGGCCCACCGAGGGCCACCTCGAGGAGTGCTTAGGCCGCTGATGGAGAAAACAACGCGCCATGCGTTCCGTGTGGTTTAGGGTAACAGCGCGAGTAACGGCATCAGGACGCTCGTGTTGTGCTACGGAGGGCCATGAGGGGACTTGGCACGAGATCCCGGAGATACGGTGAAATAAGTACGCGTTCTTCTGAGGACAGGATTGGACTCGTGATCAGCAGGAACGCGGCTGGGGAGGAGCGGGAAGGACGGGTGTGAGACGATTGAGCGTGGACGGTCGAGCAAGCGATGGAAGAGGGGGAGTGCAGGAACGGGAGCAAGGGGCGCGTTTGGACGGGGATCGCCGGTGTATTTCGGCGCAGATGGATTCGAACGGAGGGCATCGTATGAAATCGCTGGCTGGGGTGCTTCTGGAAGGGAACGGCGGCAGTCATCTCTGAAATTTCGGCATCCGCGCACTTGGCCGGTCCTGGCAAGGCTTGCACGGCGGAATTCGACGGCGGGGACACACGACCGCGCATGCCGGTGCTGGCAGAGACCAGGGGACGCACGCAAGGGAGATGAGTTCGGTCACCGAACGATTGCCGGTACGCGCGGGGACTGCCGTGGGTTCACTCGGGCCAGCTGTGCTCTTATAGCCCCATGCTTGCCTATCGACGTCCATACTACTAATATCCTCCCATGACACACACCGCCGCCAAGAAGAAACGCGACGACCCCGCACAGCACCAACCCGACATCGGCCAGAAACCCGTCCAGCTCCAGCGCAGAAGGGTCTGGCGCGCCTGCGAGGGTTGCAGGCAAGCACTCAGTATCTTGCCCTCGCCACTTCCCCCGATCTCGCTCATCTCCCCACCGCAGACGCAAGAAGATCAAATGCGATGGCGTCGAGCCCGTCTGCGCCCAGTGCTCCTCTTCCAACTCCCAGTGCACATGGCTCCAGACCAAGGACAGGGCCGCCCTCAGCAGACAGTGAGACTCCTGTTTCATCCGCTCGAGCTGAGCGCCGATATCGTCTCCCTCTCTAGCTACGTCCAGGAGCTCGAGGCAAGGCTCATGCACATGGAGTCGCTGTTCAACCAGATAACCCCTGTGCTCGAGCAAATGGGCCATTCACCGGCCAGCCTCGGTTTGCCCACCGACCCGACGTCCGGCTCCTCGCTGCCCTCTCTCCCAGAAGATCGATCTGCCGGGACCGACGAGGATATGAATGGAGGGCTCGAAACTTCGCCGGCCTTGTCTGAGCCCACCGTGAAGACGGAGGATGACTCGATCGACGTCTCCGAGTCCTTCGGACAGCTGACGCTCGACGAACACGGCCACATGCGCTGGATCGGCGGGTCTTCTACGATGTCGCTCATCCAGTGGTTCAAGGCACAAACATCGTCCCCTCTCACTCGGGTGTCTCCCATGGACGACGATCCTCGTGCGCCCGGGCCAAGTGCCAACAAACTCTACTTTCCTGCTTCCGTCTTGTTCGGTAAAGTGCGCGCTTTACCGGGACCGGAGGAGGTCGAATACCCCGAGCGCGACCTCGCTGATAAGCTGGCGAGTTTCCCGTGATGCGAATCAGCATATCGTGTTGCTGATCTAAACGTTCCAGGTCGATGCCTATTTCTCTCGCCTACATTACCTTCTACCGGTCATCGATAAACCGTCCTTCATATCGAAGTACACCTACTTAATGGAGAATACCCGGAATATTGCCCTGCACCAATCCGAAACAGCGTTTATTTCGCTTGTCTTTGCTGTCTTCGCATGTGCTGCCCGACTGGTAGACGATCCACGCTTATCCACCAGTGGTGATCAGGAAGACGGCGGCATGGGCATGGTATACTATGAAAGGTACTTCATATCGTGATGTCACTCTACTTTGTGATGTTGATGAACTCCGGGCCCCTCCAGGGCTCAGATATTACACTATATCAGCCATGCTACCATTCAAGTTACTCACGTGCAGTGCTTCATCCTGATGTCCTCGTTCCTCTGCTCGGTCAACTGCCTCCCGCAAGCATGGCTTCTCATAGGCCAAGCCGTAAGAACGGCCCAGGATCTAGGACTGCATGTGCGCGTTGCATCCTCTATCACAAGAAATCTTCGAGATCCTTACTTCTTCCCTTCACAGCGGTCGCCGCGCAGACTGCTCTGCTCGCCGATAGAGAAGGAGACCCGTCGCAAGATATGGTGGGGTGTTTACACGCTCGATAGGATGCTTGCAGTTGCTCTCGGCCGGCCGCTCGGAGTAGACGACGGTGATTTGGACGTCGAACTGCCTGTCGACATTGATGACGAGCAGTTGCCGGAATACTTCGCCGGCGCACTAATCTCCAAGGATCGCCCGTCCTTGATGGCCGGCTTCGTCGCTCTTACCACCTTATACAAGATCGCCGGTCGCGTCCTTCGTCAGGTTTATGGCATCGACAAATGCCGCGACAATCTGGAGCCGGATCAACGCCAGGAGCTTCAGCGAACCGTGGACGCGCTCGATAAAGAGTTGACGCGATGGTGTGACGAGCTCCCTCCCGTTTTCAAGTCGAATCCGATCAACGAACGCGACGTCTCTATGGGTGCAGTGCTCTGCAGCCACTACTACTCCATCCTTACGACCCTTCATCGAAACTTCCTCCCGGTCAGGCGCGAGCAGCCCACGAATCCTCGCTCTGTGGCGAAGGCCGTATCCTCAGCTCGAGCCTGCATACGTCTAGCCCCATCGATCAGGAACGTCGTGCCCTTGTCACACCATCTCGCCTTCTTCATCCAGCACCTCTTCAGCTCCGCTGTCATAATCCTCCTATATGCTATGCACACTCATGGCACCGCCGGGGCAAATGTGGCGATGGAGGAGGCCCGGAGCTGCCTCGGCGCCCTTCAGTCTTGGGAGGGATACTGGCCAGGCGCTCGGAAATGCAGGGAGCTTCTTCAAGACCTCACACAGACAGCGACGGAGGCGATCCGGGCCCGCAACTCCACTGTTCCCGGTCAGCCGCCTAATACCTTGGCTGCGGCTGCGGCTGTACCCTTGCCCGCGTCCCCACCTCTTGGCCCTGTGAGAGACCGACGGCCGTCGATCACTATCGCTGCAAATGCCCAAGCCGCCCATGCACGTGGCGTCGTTCGTAATCGTCCGCGCCGCGATAGAGATAGGTCGACGGATCCATATATGTCGCGACGACACCATGCAACCAGTCCGTACAGGGTAGACAGTGCGTATTTTGTGGTTCCTTTTCCTCCGTCTATGCTAATTTGAGCTCAGGTGCTGAACGCGCTAGGTCGAGCTCACGCAGAAGAGGACACGAGGACGACGCTGTTGGGCCTAGTTCGCCTACAACGACCTCCTTCTCGCAGTCATACAGCAACATGCATTATCAACCGACAGGATTGAGTCCGCACAGCTCGCCGAACTCAATGCGCGGTCTTCCGTCGCCGACGATGCCTGTCATGGAGTCCATACCTCCCCTTCCTGCAGCGCAAACCGTCGCGTCCAATCTGACCGGGACGCCTCCCAACTTCGGTCTATCTCCCATGCACATTCCGTCGCCTCCGCGGTTCGATTACAGCACGTTCGCCGTGTCCCCCTCTCAGCCTAACTCTCGTTCACCCAGCCTTGCCAACGCCACGGCGACCACGGGCTCCACACCAGAACGATGGACAGGACAGGGTCAGACCATAACCGGCGGCGCATCAGGACTGTACAGTGTCGATCATGCTGCGTTCGCGCCTTCCCGGGATACCATGGCCCCTGCAGATACCACCATACCTACCTTCGACACATCAGCGTCCTATAATCTTTCGGATGGCATCGGGGTTGATTTTCCCATCACGCCTCCGTATGCCTCGTTCTCGACGCCGGGTTTGCCTTTCCGCGGCCTTGACTTCATCCGCAGTCTCGACTTTAGCAACAGCGACGCGTTCAACGATGCCGGAGTCAGCCAACGGAATTCCTGGCCTATCATCGACGGTTACGCTTATGATCCCGATCTCGCCTTCAACATCGGCGACTTCACGAACGATACTGATATACAGAACCACGCTGCCGCCGGCGGGCCCTCGACCTAGAAGCCACATTCAACCTTGGCTTGCTTGCGGGGCACAGAAACGATTATACCAACCATGTACTTGTGCTGTATCCATTACTTAGTAGATTACTGTAAAGTAATGTAAATGTTGATGCTTTAATCACGATTCCACCATGATGACTGCTCAGGAGAGACTCCCGTTCCTCTGGTATGGATAAAGACTCGCAGGGATGTGAACACTCCAGGCATTACATTACATCCTATGTATCAGTCCAAGTCAACACAATGATACGCCTACAAGGGACTTGTCAAACCCACCATACATTACAACGGGCCTCATAGCCGGAACGTGGTGTCGTAACTAGCAGACAAAAATACGACCCGGCGTGGCCACGCACATCTACGGACCCTTGGGCTCCGGTGTGAGCTGCTTGATGGAGCCTAGGTGAGCGCCCGCAGTGTTGCCTCTGAATCGTTTCCTCATATCAAGCTGATGATCATAAGTGAGAAAGGGGAAACATGTATGGGGTATTGAGACAAACGTACTAGACCCCGTTTACATTCGAAAGTTGCTTTCCTAAGGTCCTGACATTCTTGGGGCATCTCGCTCATATGATTGCGTAGACAGTCTGAAGGGAGATTCCCTTGCTTCATGACGCAGTCGGAGTGTATTATACAGTCTTTGAATGCCGCCACCAAGGGAGCACAATTGTTGGACATGTCGAGGAACACGGCGGAAGGTGGGGGCACTGCCACTGCAGCGGACCGATGACTGACGCACCTCCGTCGGGTTCTCGGAAGGCTTTGTAAACCGTCCGCAACGACGACCTTAACGCAACTGCATTGAACCTCGAAATGCCCGTGCCTCCAGCAGTCCGAGCTCTTGTCCGATCAACACCTTCCATCGCGCCAGTACCCCATCGAGCTATACTGTCGTTAACGGGCTCGCAAGCATCGGAATTTCTCAATGGTCAACTAGCAAGCTCCGTCTCGGTCCCTCCCAGGCCGAGGTTCTCAGCATTCCTGCATGCTCAGGCATGTCACATCGGTCTGGCGTCTCGGATACCCAGTGTAATATTTGTACCGCTCAGGGAAGGGTGATGTACGATGTGTTCATATACACCAGGACCGACCCAACCGGAAAGCCGAGTTATCTCATCGAATACGACGCGCGAGAGTCGGAAGCGCCACCCTTGTTGCCCATGCTGAAGAGATATGTGTTGCGGTCGAAAGTCAAGATACGAGACGTAACGGAGGAGTACGACGTTTGGTCAGCATGGGGTTCCGAGCAGTCAGACTCGCATGCTCCGGAGCCCAAGAAGAAATGGAGTTGGGCCCCCAGTGGCGCTGTAGAACCTGTCTGGGATGCCTCAGAAGAATGGCCATGGGGTCACGAAGACCTGGCGTTGAATGATGCCAGAGCTCCTGGTATGGGACGGAGACAGCTGGTGACGAAAGGAGAACTCCGTGAGTATTTTCCACCCTCACAGAAATAAGGGCTAAAGCACGACTGTGCTAGCGAAGGAGAGATCGTCCCATGACATTGTTACGTCCGCCGATTATACACTTCATCGCGTATTGCACGGTGTGCCTGAAGGCGTCGTAGACATTCCTCCGATGCACGCCTTACCCATGGACTCAAACCTCGACGTAATGGGCGGATGTGAATCTTAGAATCCCTGCCAATGTGTAGTACCCCAAGACTGACGTCGATCTTGTCCACAGTGGATTTCAGGAAGGGTTGCTACGTTGGTCAGGAGCTCACAGTGCGCACTTACCATACGGGCATGGTAAGGAAGCGAGTATTGCCGGTCTGTATCCAGGATTTGCGAAGCGAAACGTGCGTCAGCCTCGAATCGTGTTCCCTTCAGACTCATCATATGATTACAGCGAGACGTCCGCTCTAGCCAGCTCAATTCCTGCCAACTTAGACATCAAATCCGCAATCGCGCAAACGTCAAATCCCAGCAAACCTACTCCAAGGCCGCGAGGAACGGGAAAATTGCTGACTTCTTCACACGGCGTAGGGCTAGCCCTCTTACGTCTTGAACATGTGGAAGGTGTACAACGGGGTTTGCTGAGGTTCACAGCGGAGGCGGGGACGGAGGAGGGCGCACGGAGTTGGCGCATATGGCCTTGGTGGCCGTCTTGGTGGCCCACAAAGTCTGCAGATACAACCGAAGCGTGATTCCAGCTGAATAGTTTTGTGAACGGATGGCCAGTTTTACAGCGTTCAGGCTTCCAACGGAGGCACGTAACTATGCTATGATCGTGTTATGACCAAACCATTCGTTCTGCCAATACCTGGGCAATCACGAAGTCACCATCGTGACTAACCGATACATGGAGTTTGCTGAGGATAGACGGCTCGTGACCTGCAGCTGCATATTCCAGTGTAGGCTTCGCATGTTTCCCGTGAAGCTTGGTTCGGTATGTAAGCTCTTTCCATGTAGGTATAATATAAGGATGCAAGGCTTTATACGCGGCCTCCTTCACAGCCCAACTGGCAGTATATGTTCAGTCCGGCATCCCGAGCCGATAAACTCAAAGTACATACCGAACGGACAGGTACCTGGTACGATGCTGCACATCTTCGACAGCGATTGCTCCCCAGTCGAGTTGTTCATCGGGGCTCAAGATCCGCAGAGCTAATCTTTCAAATGATCGTCTCCGGGCCAAAGACAAGATGCGGGGTGCGTAGACTAGGTCAATCCCGATGCCGAGGACCGTCATGGGGCGCGGAAAGAGACCATTACACCGCCACATATATATCCACTGGATTTTGAAGTTCTTTGAGTCCAAGCAAGTGTTATGCATGTGCGAACAGAATACATCGCCGCCTCTGTGAACAGGTTTCCTCAGGCCGCGGATGCCTCTTCATCATCATTGGTTGCGTTCGGATCAGGTCGTTTCGTGGCTTTTTGGAACACAACCGTGCGTTTACTACGTTTCGTTCACCTTCTGGTCACAATCAAGATTGTTCTCCTTAGGACCGTGCTGATCGAGGCGTATACGATACATTGCCCGGTCATGAGGCCTCTGTAACATGTGTGCGTTTTGCGCGAGATGATCTCTTGATTAGCGGAGACGAGAAGGGATTCGTAGGCATCTCGAGGCAAACTGTCGAACATGTACGCCTACCTCTCATGGTTTATGGTGCAAAATCCTTCTATTAATTTTGTCGTCTTCGACATCCCAGTGGGATCTTGTCTCGAAGTTTCGGGCGCATACGCAAGGCATCTCCGCAATCGCGTTCCACGGAGACTATCTCATTACCGGTGCTTCTGATTCCTCGGTCAAGATCTGGAGAGCAAATCTTCACACAGGTCATTAGCACTTTTCTCCACATACTCCTCACACTCAATCAAAAATAGGCGCTGCAGAAGAGCTTCAAAGGCTTGACCCGAGGGGCAATCTTCCCCTAACACTTGCATTGACTAGCCTCCCAGGAGTCACCAATGGTGAATTCCATTGTCATTTTATTCCCTTCGGCGAGATGGTCTTACGCACTTTGCTAGGTGTTATCCTTGCCGTTGGAGGCACAGGAACCACAATTCAGGTTTGGAGCAGCTCTTCTACAAACAATGCAAGTCATTCCTTTGCACAGGTTAGGAAGTACCCTGACTACTCCGTAGTTTGTGCTTGTAGCGACGCTTGCAGGACACGAAGACTGGATTAGGAGCTTGACGTTCCGCCCACCCACATCTCAGCAAGAACCTATTATCCTTGCTTCAGGCTCAGGAGACAGCACGATCCGCCTTTGGAATATCGAACCCCAAGAGGAGACTCGGTCAAGTCGGGGTGCTGATGATGGTTTGAGCGATGAACTCCTGGACGCTTTCGAAGCATCTCTAGGCAACCCTATCGGTGGGGAAGAAGGCGGCCGACAGATATCCCTCAAGAGACATAGTGTCAATATCAGGACACCAGACGGTAGGTATGAGGTGAAACTGTGTTTCGTAACCTGTTCAAAAGGTGTAACACGCGGTTACAGGCTCCTGCACTATTACATTACGTTCGACGCGCTCCTCATAGGCCATGAGGCTGCTGTTACCTCTCTTTCCTGGCAACCTCCCACGTATGATCGTTCCCCGCCCACTTTGCTATCGAGTTCAACGGATTCCTCCGTTATATTGTGGTCACCCTCGTCCATGTTGGCATACGGTGATACTCAGTCGATCTGGATCAATCGACAACGATTCGGAGACGTTGGAGGTCAACGTCTGGGCGGTTTCGTTGGCGGTCTGTGGGCGAAGAATGGTTCCGAGGTCCTGGCGTGGGGTTGGAGCGGTGGCTGGCGGAGATGGCAAAACTCATCGACAGCAAGTGGACATAAAAACGAATTATGGAGAGAGATCGGCGCGGTCACCGGGCATGGCGGCCCCGTTCATGGCATCGACTGGAGCCCGGGCGGCGAGTACCTCCTTTCTTCAAGGTGGGGCAGCCATGAGTTGACATGATGCAATCACTGAAACCCCTGCTTGTCTGTAGCTTTGATCAAACAACTCGTATACACGGACCAGTACGGACTCTCGAAGCCGAGGATTCTTCTGCTGTCTGGCATGAAATAGGGCGGCCTCAAGTGCATGGATATGATCTTCTGCGCGTACAGTTTATCAACGCCCTCCGGTTCATAAGCATCGCGGATGAAAAGGTGGCACGAGTATTCGATGCCCCGCAGAACTTTGTGGAGCTTCTAGGCAAATTGAGAATCAGTGTTGCTTCTGGTGAACAGGTACACCGTGATGATACATGCAGGCTTGTTATGTACTTAAGACAGGAAACAGCACAACAGACCCACTGCTGCCAGTGTCCCGCCTTTAGGTTTATCGAACAAAGCTGTTAGCACTGGTGAGTGTTGTGCACTGGCTAGACCGTAATCCTATGCCTGCTGATGAATACTATGCTTTTTGATAAATCCTACCGAAGAGGATGATGCCGCTCCGCCTCACGCGGGGATTACATGGAGACCTACAGAAGGTGAATTAGCCTCGATGACCTTATGGCCAGAAGTGGAAAAGATATTTGGACACGGCTACGAGGTGCGAGATTGCGCCTCTGATACGGCTACGCTTCTGACGTTTCTGCCAGTCCATCTCTCTCGCGGTTTCTTCGTCGAAGAAACTCTTCGCGACCGCCTGTAAAGCGACGGCACCCGAGCATGCCGTGGTCCGAGTTTACGATGCCATTACATGGACTCCATTCGGGACGCCGCTTACAGGACATACGCTCACGGTGACGCGGATAGCGTTCAGTCCTGACGACCGATTCATCTTGACTGCATCAAGGGATCGATCATGGAGGTTATTCGAAAGAAAAGGTGAAGAAGGTGGGTAGCCTACGGGGTCTCGTCTCCATCAAGTCATCCGTGATCTTTACAGGGTACGTACCCGCCGCTGCGGGCGACAAAGCACATGCTCGGATCATCTGGGACTGTGCGTGGTCGAAAGATGGTGACGTATTCGCGACGGCGTCAAGAGACAAAACGGTCAGTAGCTTACTCGTTGACTCTCGCTTACGCTAACTTGACATCAGGCGATGATATGGCGCAGAGTGAAAGAAGATTTTGCTGATAAATGGGCGCCGATTGTGACTATTAAGGCAAAAGAAGCATTGACTGCCGTGGCCCTTAGCCCCAAGGATGAGAGCGGAAGGTGAAATTTATTTGTGTAACGGATGCTTCAGATCCCTTATCATTCGTGTGCAGGCGGTGGATGGCACTGGGGCAAGAAACAGGAGAAATTCTTATATACTCGTGCCGCACGCAGGAGAAGTGGGCGTTAGAAACGACGTTGGATCACAGGTGATTGTCGCCGCGAAAGCTAACAACGACCTGTTCTCATCCATGATGGCACAGGTCTGCACATCTCGACCATGTTCATCAGCTCCAATGGCGACCGGTGCACCAAGGACAGCGAAAAGAGCTAGCGAGCTGCAGTGAAGATGGTACATTGAAGGTCCATGCAATGAATGAATGACATCCAACGCGGGTAACAATCGATAGCTGCTTATACAGTGTGTACGAAGAATAAATAACGGTAGGGAAACAGCGGTGATCCACAAGACAAGCGCAAGGCGGGGATATAACACATGTGGAAGAGAATGAATAGAAGCATCATACTAGATAGCGGAGAACGGTCGTTCTTTGCGATAGGGATACAAATTCGGGCAGGAGCGCAGTCAAATGATGTCACGTAAGCTCATGGGGACTTCGGGCTGTCGAATGTGTTACTACAAGATGAAACCATGCAAAAGGGCAACGTACGCATTTGATCTTGTAAAAACATTCTATGGAGCGAAGCATCTCCACATCTCCACCTGTGGCAGTCACGAAATTGACCACGACGCCAGCTCGCGCGTAGCTGGTTGCAACAGCGGGAGCGACACTACAGCAGGGGTTCAGTCAAGAAACCCGTTGTTAGGCATGAGAAAATACATACCGATGCGCGTACTCCTCAACGGCTTTCGGTAGGTCGTAGTTGATAATCAAAGGAATTTGAGACACCTCGGTGGTCTTCACTTGGACGTCATACACGACCAGAACCTTGGCAGCCAACTGCCTCATGACGACAGCCGGAGGGCCTCTGAATTTGTTCAGCGCAGCCAGCTTGGCACTGGCATTCATATCACCATGCTAGGGCAACTCAGCAAAGAATCAGAGGGAAGACGAAGCGCTGCTCACCAACGGGATGGCTTCCAGCCCCTTGCTCGCGAGCTTGTACACCACGGTATCAAGGGAAGTCATACCGCCAACATGTATGATCGCGTGATGAACGTCTATATCATCAAAGAGGTCGGCCAATGCTTCCAGTTTCCACTCCCTTGCCTGCGCAGTTTCTGCGCTGGAAGTCCCACGTCCGGACCCGATGATGCCTAATCCGCCACTTGGAGCACTGGGTAGAGGTTCTGGACGGCCACCCGCTGTGAAAGCAAGATAAAGGTAGAACTGGCGCAAGCCTCGGGCGCCCTGACTAGTGTCAGCATGCGTGACATTGCCATCGCGTCTAACCAGAACCCGGACAGGCTCCCGTAATTGGATGGTTTGGGCAAGGTTGAGAACGTCCTGCGGCACCGTATTCGAGAAAAGAGCGCTTTGTCTCTCGATCTGCGAGCTGGCCCCTGTGGCGGAGTCGTCTGCTGGAGATCCAAACCCGGAAAGCCTGCGGACCTGGGCCTGAAGAGGTGTGTTCAGGTTTGCGCTAACCGAATCGGACGACGACGACGATTGAGTGTATGGGCTCTGAGACACGGGGGATGACGAGTTCCCTGGACCACCAATGCTGGTGAGTGATCTTGAACGCGGGGGTGGGAATCCCTTGACAATATTAAGGACGAAGTCGTGAAGATTGCGGGCGATGAGCTGATCTACTTCATCAAGCACGAGGAACCGCACTTGCGATCCATTGAGTCCTCCAGGGGCAGTGAACAGCGCGTGTAACTTCTGTGGAGTCCCACAAATAATGTGGGGCGAATTTTGCTGAAGTAGGCGTAATTCGGGCCCCAGGTCGTTACTAGCGGATGCCACACCCACACCGAGCGCTGACCGGACACCGATTGGGCCACCCAGGTCCCTAATCATCCTTTGAGCTTGAGTCGCTTGGTCCACTGTGGTAGATATCATGACAACCGTGGGGCCAACGTTCGCATTGCGATTGTTGATATGAGTCAGAACGATCTGAATTGCGGGGATCACGTATGCGGCAATTCTTTCCTGAGTAGGAGGCGCCTGAGCGATGATATCAGCGCCCTTCAAAAGGAAGGGAAGCGCGCGTTGTTGTATCTTGTTCGGAGGCCCCACGCTGCGTGAACGCGGCAGTTAGCGACCGATTTGCGCCGGCATAGAATATCATACCCGAATTTGCTAAGCGAACGAAGGAGGTCTGGTACGAGGTTCAGTTGATCCCATTTCGTCAACGTTGCCGCGCTTTCACGAGCGGAACCACTGGCCCAGTTCTCCGACTGTCAAATTTGGTCAGGAAGCAGCGATCTAGTCACTTGTGTTGCACTCACGCCGGCAGATTCGCGGCGCATTATGCCCATCACGGACCGCCGTTGTTTATCCCGCATCAGGTCTTGACGAGGCGACGGCCCCCCCATGTCTCCGGCGCGCGGAGGGAAGTCGAGACTACCAGCAGACCAGTTGCGGATACCTGCATTGTTCATGCGGCTGGAACGGAGATCCGGACGGCTGGGAAGCCCGTGGCCAAGCAGAGAAGGGTTGGATAAGGGTGGAGATATGGCCTGATTCGGCGCGAGATCCATAGGACCGACGCCCGAGTTCGGACCATTGACATGCAGCTGATGTTGTGTCTGCAACGCCAGGAGCTGCCCGACGGAGGAAGTCAGGGTATTCAAGCGCTGCGCAATGTGCCCGACGTCATCGACCGGCAGCACTTGATTTGGAGCGATCGTGGCGCTCATGGAACCGCGCGCAGTTGATGGTATGGACGAAGTAGCAAATGGATCCTGGAACTCCGGGGGTCCATGCGAGCTACCGCGCTGGAGAAGTAGATCCATCTTGTCATTGAGCAGTGCAAGGTCCCGTCTGATCTCGCGCGTCGCCGACTCGGAACGAGCAAGACGATGAATTATGTCCTGAATGAACGGCGAGAACCTCAATTGTCTCTCTAATCCCAGTGAGTGGTCGTTGACGGCAGCAAACTGGCTGCCCGAGTCGAGGGAAGAAGCAGGGGAGGTCGACATAAATGGAATGGGATTGGTGAATGATGAAGATCTGGAGCTTGACACCGGACCGAGAGGAGGCGTGTCCATGAGACGTTCCTGGCTCTGACCATATACACTGTTCGTGTAAGGCCCGGAAAGATTGCGTGAACCGGCCCTGCGAATCTGCGAGCCATTGGATATTCTCATGCCGGCCACATTCGGACCAGGTGTCTCCGGTCCATCGTCCGGGAACGAATCTACGCTGTCGGACAGGCTGGGCTCCTTCTCGCCAGGTGCCTCCGGGGACGAGCGGTGTTTCTCTACCTCGACTGGTGGCAAGCCAGATGGAGAGTGAATGTCGCGGGACACAGCAGGCACCTCAATGGCGCCAGCGATGCTTGGCGAGCTGTGACGATTTGGCTGGTGCTGAAGTATGTTCTGGCCCACGCTTGACCGGAGTGAAGGATTGGAAGGATAGGCACCGGGAGAGTGGGATTCCTCAGACGGAGGACTCGGCGAGGACTTAATGGACCTGTACTCGGATGGTGAGGTGGACAACGTGGAGCCAGACAGCGAGAGCGAGCTCCTGTCCTGATCTCGGTATCGTGGAGGGGGTTGCATATTCCGATAGGGCAGACCGATGCCGCCGTCCTCAAGGCCGATCCCACCCGCGGGACGAAAGGGCACGGACGTTGGATCCAGTGTAGCGCTCCTCGACATGGTGATTTGTACACCAGAGCCTGACAATAGTGTCTCAACGGCGGGTGTCCGAGGCAATTATCGAGACTGCATTGTGACGCGTCAATCGGATGGCCAGAACGCTGTGCGCGTTAGGTGACAGAACACACCTCGACCGTTAAAGGGGAGTCGTCCAAGTTGCCATCCGTGAAGACTGACGAGCTGGTAAACCTCCGAGACGGCTGGCTGTATCGACGCCGTCGTCGTAGCCAATGGAGACCTGTGCTGTTTGATGTGCTTTTATCAGGCAACGTGCCGCCGTCGGAGTCCCAAGGGGAACCATCACGTCCACTCTCTCAGCGTGTGACATAGTAACGATGTTCAGTAACTGCGCTGCGCCTCCATATTATAGTCCACAAGACTACGCTACACGCGGAAAGGAGTGTGTAATTCCTCCGGCCATATTTCCTGCTTGAGCAGCACGTATTCTCATAGCACGCCGAGCCGTGTACTAGCTGAGTATTCCATCCAAATCACCACCTCCAGGCATCGGAGCCAAGCTTCAGTCCGAATGCCTCGGGATTGCCTCCCGTTCCGCCAGCGTGGACATCACAGGAACGTGTTGGTCTTGTTTCAAAGGAACGATTTTCCATGGAGCCGGTAACGGTCGTTTCTGTGCCGATCCATCGGCCGGTCGAGGGGGTGCCCCCGTAGCAACCACCCGGCATTGTAGAATATCTAACGTCGGTTCCCGTGATATGTTGCTGGTGCTATGACAGGAAGCGATCATGAGCTGCAGCGTTGAGGAACAGGGTCAAGTTCTCTACCTTTGATTCTTTTCGACGTCAAGACGGTCGCCTAACTTTTTCAAGATATGTTGCTTTATGGCGAAACTCCGGTGTGTGAGCGTGGGCTGAGGTGGACCACCTGCCTGTGAGCGCAATCTGCATTTGCACGCAACACCGGACATACCGTTATAAGGACGTGAGGAATAATCAGCGTTTTCTGGCGTTCCTCGGGCTTGGACCGAGTATGTGCCTTGGACTTGACCTCCTCACGTCTGATGGACTCCTTGGCTACTTGTTCTTTCCGGTCGAGTCCATGTTTCGAGCCTTCTCTATGGATGCACGCCTTTCGCTTACGATGGTCAAAGACATCAGCACGGACGGAGTTCCGGTGTTTGAAATCGTCTCGGACGCTCTGCCAATCAACTATCAGCATACGTTCGCGGAAAACGTGTAATACTGACTTGACGTGCCGTCAGCGAATGCGGCTGTGTGTTTAGTTTCGAGGCAGTCCCATGGGAGAATATCGATGAGGACGAAGAATATGTTCGGAAGACGACCATAGTCGCGTGTTGAAGTCGAGCTCGATCAGGAGAGGAAGCTTGTTCGGACAAGTGGAGGAGCAAGACCATCCTTTATATCCAAACGTTGGACAAAGCAACATTGTTCGCAAACGGTTTGCATGTGGCCTCGGATGATCGCTGGTGGACAAATGTACGCTTGTGTGATGTTGGTGGCCTTGAGGCTCGAAGCTCGAATCTCAAACCTCAGGATCGAGCGGGACACCGCCACAGACCGCCACGGTGCCACTCCTTCATGTCGACGACCTCTGCTTACCGTTCCCTGACGAGGGAGCTCAGGAAGGCCGTGAGCCCTGCTGCTGTCTGTTTCTAGCACCAGTGTATAGACGAATCTTCTAGTCGATTGCTCCATCAGGGAAAAGGAACCCGGTCATCGCCTCGCATTTTCGCGCGCTTTTCGAACAAAAACCAGCGAACGACAATGCCTTCCGCCAAGATATTGAGAACGCTGTGACGTTTGTGCGCTCACAACGTATATACAAGGCACCTACCATACCAGATTGGCCATGGATGCGAACACTAACTAACATGTTTTTTCTAGGAACTTCTGGATCGGTACAATCCCCTTGTTGATCTTACAGCGGAAGAGAGAATAGAGGCCACGGCGCGCCGCGTTGGGCTGAATATGCCCGTCGCTCCTCCCAAAGGAACGGAAGAACGATAGACTCCACGGACATCGCGCTACTCAGTTTGCCCTAAAACGCGTGGAAGGGTATCCTCGCATGGACCGAGGAAGAGGAAATCTGATTCTTCGTCGCCCTCACTTCTGTCGATATTGAATACTGCGACCTTTCCTCCATTACTCTTGACCGTATCAGCGTATCCTGCGGCGGGATACACCTGTTCGCGTTCATACGCACTCAGCCTATTGCAGACATGGCTGTCTGACAGACGCTCTTACCGTCGAGCTGGTACCGACCACCAAACACATGTCGGCCGTGTCCAATATATTGTCAATTGTAGTGAGATGTTGAGGTCTTTCACCGAACCACACAACGCCAGGCCGGGCTAGCTCTCCGCAACCTCTGCAGCGGGGAAGTAAGATACTGCTTGTCGCAGGTATGGTCAGCTCAAGGAAACGGAGTCTGAACATAATGCAACCTTGGAATATTCGGTCCAGCTTCAATTTCCTCCATGACGTTCTCCGTCCCTGCCAGCGCATCGCATATCGGGCTTGAAAAGTCAAGTTCAACATGACCACAGCCGCCCCTTCGTCCTCTCGCGCATTTCACATCAAACAGCCTCCCGTGCATCTCGATCAATACTGGGTCGTCCACGCCATCCAGGACAGTCATGCCGCTTTCAATACGTAAAACTCCTTCACTAGCAATGGCCAGTTCCTTTTGCAGCTCATCCAGAGCGCGCTGGCTTAGACCATCGACATTCTGCGTGATAAGTGTAAAAGTGGAGTGAGGAGCTATGGCGTTGCGGATACTCGGGACCGAAAGTCGTGCGATTGCATGATGTGCTGCATTCGGAGAACACCGCAGCGCTCTATTCAGAAGCATCAGCTCAGTCAAGACGCTGGCAAGCATGGTCACAACTTTTCCCTGCGCATGTGATAAAATTGCCAAACAGTAGACGGATCTGTTTGTCAATAAGCCATCAATCATAGTGGCCGGCCTGCTTGACTTGCCTCGTGCGAAGGCTTCGGGGGTGGCAAGTTCCATCGCATTGTATTTGCGCCACATTCCGCCCGCTCCTCTGAAGGTAGGAATACCTGCAGCCGGAGCAGTCAGGAAATCATCGGGTAGGGCCGCGCTCTATGGTGCATAGGAGAGCGCGAAGACACGCTCACGGGAGTGTAATGAGGTCTGAGGACTCACCAGATGCAGCAGACAACCCTGCCCCCGCTACCGCAACTATATGTTTGGACGAAGCCAATGCTTGGTGAAACGCTTGCATATCTGCGGAAGGAAGTGCATCGCCAGACATCGGGATGGTCGCTCAGGTCGATTGGGTGCACTGCTAGGCGTGTGAATCTATTGACTCGTGATAGGGGTACAGCCTAGAGCTTGTGACAAAGTAGAACATATACGGCGAAAATTCGCTGATGAGCTGTAATGCCAGGCTAGGTTGAATAATCCAGCATGCTGCTCTCAGTCAGAATCGTTACTAACGATACATAAAATCGTAGGCGTACAAGTTATGTCTTCTGAGTCCCTGTCGACTGTTTGATATGCGAGGTATCTGCTGACTGACGTTGGTCGAGTGCCTGCAGGACTTGTTCCTTCTTGTCCTTCAGAACCTCGTAGCCTGGGTTCACAGATCCCTCGCTGACTCCAAACAACGCTGCAGTGACTCTAAACTCTCTCGCACTTCCAGCGTGCTCGCTCCATCCCCTTCTAAGTTGGAAAAGTTTGTCCCGCAGACTAGACCCCCGATCCTTGCCCTGTTCCGTAGCGGAGACGTCTTTCGGGAGAAGTCGTCGGCGGTCTACTTCAGCCCAGAGTTCACGGAGTGACATGTCGCGTCCAAGATTGCGGTATACTCCCTGGCGATCCGCGGTGAAGGTGGCGTCAATGGCGCTATCGAGCCCTTCGGGTGTTATGAAGGTGTCGGCCTTGTGGTAGAGCGTGACGAGAGCCCTCATCTTGTGGGGGGGCAAAGGGGATAACCGTTCTGCAGCCTTGAATTTTGTTGAGGCGTGCCTCTTCAAGGGCATGCAAGTATCATGTGCATGAGCGCGACGAGCGCATCGGGGAGCAGAGGACGCAGCCTTCGATAGAGCGTTGTACGACATGGTCCGGACACGAAGGCAAGGTGGCTGTGTTCGGACTCACGGGCTCAAACTCGTGTAAATTTCCGAATTCCGAACAGTAGTCCACGGTGACTTGTCCACAATGCACGCTATCAATCATCGGCACAGGAACCCAACATATCATACAAGAGCGAGAAGAGCAAAGAAACTAAAGATGTGCTTTGACATTGAGCTTGTCCAGGAGGACATTCTCTTTCTTCTTGAGCTCAGCGGTTTGCTCATGCAGTTTCTTCGCCCGCTTAAGCTCTCGTTGACCAATTTGTTGGACGTGAACCTAAGAACCTTGTGAGTAAGATAAGGGGAGTGCAGCAGCAAGTTTGTGACCTCGTCCGGACCCTGTAGCAAGCAATGATTAGATGTTTGAACCGCAGGATTAGGTGTTACGGGACGTACGTCGGCCAATCGCAAAGTCCTCAACCCTGCATACATATTTGCCAAGTCTTGATCTTGACTCACACCCTCCGCACCAAAAGCCTGAATTGCACGATCTACCACAGTGCAAGCCATGGTAGGAACAATGAACTGGAGGAAGCATAAGACTGGACGGTCAACCCCGATGGCTGATTCCTAACCTTGGCAATCCCGATTTCTTTTAACGCTCCTTTAGCTTGGTATTTGTCGATCTGTGCATAGAGAGTTTGATCTGTCATGTCAAATCGATTTCATGATAGCGTACCTGCAAGGCTGCACTGAGCACCAGCAACCTTGCGCTCTCGATTTCTGCCCGCGATCGAGCGATGTCCGCGATGACAGTACCATGTTGATAAAGATACTTCCCAAATGTTTTCCTCGATGGATCTGTCACACGCTGTATCATGGTGTCAAGCGCAAAGGACGCGGCCCCAATTGAGCGCATGCAATGATGGATGCGCCCAGGACTGTTCATGATGCACGGACGCATCAGTATATGAACTTTGCCTCGGATTGTGTCCTCCTACCCGAGTCGACCTTGGATGATCTATAATGATGCTTTAAGACCGTCCTACACAATGTGATATTTCTGAGACCGACCTCAAAGCCTCTGCCCCATCCGAGAACTAGGTTGCTAGCAGGAACCCGGACGTTATCGTAGACGACCTCGCAATGACCTTCAGGAGCATCATCGTAACCGAAAACCTATCGATGCATACGAAACATGAGCGAACGTGTTGGAAAGGGTCCCAGGTAGGCGCACATGCATGGCCCTGATCACTTTGACGCCAGGGTGATCGGCAGGCACAATGACGACGGATTGCTGATTATGAGGCGACTTGTTCTCTGGGTCAGACTTCCCTGAGGTTTTGTCTTTCAAAACTAAAATTCTGAAGCAATCGAGTGATACATACCCATCACCAAGTGTACTTTGCATCTTGGGTCGCCTGCACCGCTTATGTACCACTTGTGGCCATTGATTACAATCTCGTCACCCTCCTGACGGATGGAAGTGCGAATGTTGGTTGCATCGGAGGACGCAACTGGATGAAACGCCAGCGTAAAAGGTCAATGCACGTTCGGAAAGAAAACGAAAACCAACCAAAGCGCTCCGTCATAGCAAATGCAGAACGGATTTCGCCTTTAAGTAGAGGCTCGAGCCACTCTTTCTGCTGAGCGGGTGATCCGTAACGGGCAAGGACCTCTGAGGAGCGCATCTGCTCAATCCTAATTCGACGTGAATGATCGACGTACCCATATTGCCTGTGTCGGGAGCAGAGCAGTTGAAGACTTCGGACGCCATGTGGCCGCCCCGACCCATGATTTCTGCCATAACCGCATACTTCATGTTGTCAGCACTCAACTGGGGGAAGTAAAGGTGCCTTTACTTCGAGGTTTGTGAGCGGAACGCCGTGTTTGGGATAGTGTGTCTTGCTCAGAAAGAGATTCCAAAGGCCCTGAGCTCGGGCCTTGGCCTTGAGGTCTGCGATGATCGGTACGACCGTACTCCAACGTGTAGCCGGGTCAGTGGGTATTTGCGCATGCGCAATCTTGGTTGCAGGATATACTTCATCCTGTAGAATGGTCATTTACAACGCTACGCCTTATACGAGCAGCTTACCAGGCAAAACCGAACCAGCTTGGCCAGAGTTTCCTTGGCGTACGGCGAGAACTTGTCTTCAATCTGCAAAGCACACGAATTCTAGAAACGCGACCACACGGGAGGTATGAGACGTACCATTGCCCATGATGAAGGCGAGGTTAGTTCGACGACTGGATGTGAAGACATGTTCCAGTGAGCAATGTAGGATCAAGGAACAGACGACAGCAACAAATGTGGGGTTGACCCCCGCAGCGACCGGCACGCATGAAGCCGGTGGCCATATCACGCCGGATCGTAAGTCAACGTGATGAGGCTGTACATACTTAACTTGAGTACATGCTGTACGGGCGCCTAAATTTTGGGAGTCATAATCTCGCGCGCTATCCGATTGCGGCTTGCCCTTAACCACCACCATCAATTTCACCTCCAGTTTTTTCGCCCTCGAATCCACCTGTAAGTGCAACAATAGCTTGTAGAACGTGTTTATCTGTTGTTGCCTGGGATGATATGCCCGGAAACCGTTGGAGTTCCTTGACTGCTTAGGCCCCGCGACTATGGACGAGTCATTAGTTGGGAAGGACTCATCGTCTCTTTCGGAGACGTTCGTAACTGCGGCACATCTTTGGTGCAGCGATCGCCCCTTGGTCGCGATCGTGATATACACCAAGCAACGATCTTCGCAGTCACCCAGGACGGGCAGTAGGCTGACGACAATCCATAGCGATTATCAGCAGGCTCCTTCAGCCAATTCGCCTTCGAGCGCCCTCGGTACTAAATCCGATTATCCATCATCAACATCGTATCACAGCTACGATGTCGTGCTAAACGCAGCACCAGCGACCACGTCGTCTCATAACCCGAGACCACCCGAAAGCTACCCGCTTTCTTATACACCCTCTTACCATGGACCGATAAATATCCACTACCGTCCTCGGACGCCCTTGACCTCGGTTCTCACCGACATATCGGACCTCGCTAAACACCATGGAACACCTTGCATTCTGCCGTCGCTACCTTGCTCTACTTACCCTCTCGCGCACTTGAACGCCCGGATCGTGCTATAAACCGTCAATCCGTCAAAATCACCAACCTATTACCCTCCGATCTTTCCTTGAATTATTTGAATATGTTAACTCAGAAACCTGGCTTCACCGAGCCCCCGGTTGAGCCATGTCATGGCGACGCTGCGGCGGCGCAGGCGGTCATTGAGGCACTACGAGGTGAGCGGCAGATTCTGACAATGCTTCTCTCTGACTGACCATGCCTTTCTCATAGGTTCTCCGGAGTTCGGTCACCTCGACCAGTTCTTCACCTCCCCCCTCGATGCATCCCCGTTCATGGATGACGACATATTGAATACTCCAGCAATGGATTCCAATCTTGCCGTTAGTCCCGATATTCTCACCAGTCCGATCTTCGACTTCCCCGGTCAAGCCTCATTCGACGACCTACCCCTCTTTGGTGATGCAACGTTGCCACTGTTCGCCGAGGCTACCAGCACCGCGCCAAAGATTCCTAGAGGCATGTCCGAGATGTGCGGCCTGCCGATGATGCCTTCGCCACCCACCCCAGCGTTAGACCCGTCCTCGTTGACCGCTTCCCCGGCCCTAGGAAGCGGCGTAACCTTGCCGTCAGCCGTGTCCGAAGTTCTACCCTCGACCCCTGCGACGTCTATTCGTGCGCCGACACGTCGCAAAGCAGTGCTCACGGGTACTCGGAAAGGCGTTACCCCGGGGGCACTGATTCCCGAGGATGCTCCGATACAGACTCGAAACTACACGACGCCATCGACAACTTCGCGCAAGGAAATACCAGCTGTCATTATCAAGAAGCGGACTCGAGCCCAGGCCTTCGACGATGATCCCCTCCTCCTAAGGGATCGCAAGCCTGATCTTACTGCACCTCCTAACGAGAGCGAGCAAGACGCCATCGAAGCAAAGCGCCGCCAGAACACCTTGGCCGCTCGGCGTTCTCGAAAACGCAAGTTGGAATACCAGAACGCTCTTGAATTAAGCGTTGAGCACTGGAAGGCAAGGGCTTTGTTGCTCGAAGGACTTTTGCAGGAGAAGGGGGTGGATGTACCCTCTGCTTCACCGCCGCCGCAACTGCCGGCTTTGTAGAGGGCGGTTATCTTTATCCCTGAACTATTGACTCCCATAAAAATCAGCGTTTCACTCACGTCTGTTCTACCTTTCCCCCCTTCCCCAGAGTATCGTTCACGTTATCCGCTAGTTTCGTACCCTCAGTTCCAAATCCCCAGACTTCGTCTTCCGCTTGTACTGAACGCTAATGCACCTGTGTATGTGACTTACGTCTCACCCGTATTTCCTCGTCAATGACGCGCGCGAGAGTTCAACACGATGATGTACATATTCATATTCATGACTTGACTCGCGACTACCGTTTCCCACTTTGATCTGTGGCCATGTCCAAACCCGATATTATCCCTCAAACTACCAGTGCCGGGATTGCCGTCGATCCGCGGACGCTTGAAAGAGTAGTTCCGGAATCTCGTAGGGCAGATGGATCGTACGTTGTGTCTGAGCGTTCCTTCCGCCGGACTATGAAAATAACTTGATATCTGTTGCAACGCCGTACGCCGTCCGCCTTCCCTATCTGGTCGATCGCGCGCACAATTCATAATCTGCGCAAATCGACTCGATACCCAGGGTGCGCAAGGAGCGCAAGATCCGTCCGGGATTCACGCCGCAGGAGGACGTCTCTCGCTTTCGTGGCTCGCGTCAGGCACAGATGGACCGCAACGCGTTGCCAAAAGGTCACATTATAGGATGGGTGCCGCCTTCAGCCGACTCTCAACCCGTGAAGACGGGTTTAAGCAAGAGCGCGAAGAAGAATGAAAAGAGGAAAGAAAAGAGGAAGGAGGCGGCGCAGAAGAAGGTTGCAGAGAGCTGGGAGGATGACGACGACGACGACATGCCCACCACTAAAGCTGGAACTACACTGTCGACAAATAAAGACACGAAGCCGTCGGGTGAACGGAAGGAATCTGGAGATAAAGATGATGAGGAGGCACTGGCGGAGACAATGGGCAAACTGGGTGTGTGATGTTCCGTAGGTACCGGTCGGATCGTCGTTTCAAGTAGACTGGTTACCCCATGTATACTCGGCAGTGATATTGATGTAATTAAGACCACTGATGCTATCTCTTATGTTCGTGCCACGTAGCTCGCTCATAGTTCTCTATGTATATCCTTGCATCTCTTCCAGTCCCTCTGATTCAGGATGTCTCGTTTCTACAGGCTTCTCCGTTGACGCAGGCTTGGGCTTGGGCCGTAGTTCCATTGCAACGAGAATGACGACAAGGAAGGCGGAAAGTGTCACTGCGGCAAGAGATGCTCATCGTAATACGGTGACTCAACAGCACGAAACAACTTACACACTGATCTTCTAAGGTTATCCCAACGAATCTCTTCCATCAGGGATCGTGCTTCACCGAGGGAGACAAGATGTTTGTTCAGCATGCCCTGCAATATAGAGGCGGGTATATTGAGTATGCTGGAACGAAGAAAAAAACCCGCTAACCTCAATTATGATATCTTGCTGCTTGAGCTCTGATCGAGCCTCGTGCTTGCGACTATCAAGTTCCATCTGGATCCTAGGGGGTTATGTATGAAGTGTTGAGTGTCCACAGGCTCTAAGCTATAGCCTAAAACATACTCATGCTTCAATTGGCCAACATTCTCCCTAATTCTTGTGTCCAGTCGATCGATCTCGCGGCGAAGGGCCGCGTTTGAAGTCTGAATTTTGCTGGATTCGTTTCGAAGTCGAACGGATACTTCGGCGCGCATCTCAGAGATGGCTGCCCGGAACAGATAAGCTTGCTAAGATAGTTCCATGAACAGGGATATGAACTGAATATTGCATGCATGAAGACTGACATTTTCGAGGTCCTTCGTTGTCAGCGCTTCCCGCCGCACCCGCCCTATGCGATCAACCAGCAGCGCACGTGTAGCACGCATCAAGCTCCTAGCAGTTTGCGTTGGGAACGTCTTCTCAAGTGCCTTAACAAAGAGGTGTGTGTTAAAAGGAGGGTTTGAGTACGCCGGCGGAATGTAGGGAGCAGGAACGGGAGGAGGCGGGCCATGACTAGCCAACGCTGACGGATTCTCCACGACGACCGAGTTATTGCCATTCGCAGGAGAAGAAGATGGAGGCGAGTCAGGAATTGCTTCACTGTCAGCGGTCGCCAATGTCGTCGACCAGGGGTGCGGTGACGATCCTTGGGTGACGGATTGATCTCCTTTATTTGCGGATAGTGCCTGAGCATTTGACGTGTGTGATGTTTGCGTGTTTTCTTGTCGTTCGGAGCCGTTAGTCCTCGAGCCAGGGTCGCGAGGGTGTGCAAAAGATATCGAGGGTCGGGACTGAGGATCGGAGACACTCATGTGTGCATGACGCAGAACAAACGGAACGGCAGCAGGAGCGCAGTAGGGCCCTATTGAACGTGATGATATTTGTGTAACTTGGCGCAACATGCGGTAGATCTGTAGAACGGAAAGAACGAAATGAGCTCAGTGAGTCCGGATATAATAAGGAGTCCTCGTGGTAACGTGCAGCCTGGTGTAAGTAATAGCTGTGGAGCCCTGGAAGCGTTTGTGAATGCCAAGTCTGCTACTGCGCTGAACTCAATCTCTTGACACTACCATGAGCAAGATAATCGATGTTTCGAGCAAGTTGGGAGAGTATATGCTGAAGGGATGGGTAGGTGACTCCGCAGTCCTCCACGGCTGTCTGATTCATGCTATACAGGTCCTTACCGACTCGCCGTGTGCCACCCCGGGTTGCAATGTCCCCTTGATGCGCTCACCCCAAGGGACATCGCCCGTCGTACAGTTTTGCGTCAATTGCGACAGGGACCCCCAGGCGTCGGCACCCGTGTCATCTCCGGTCCCCAAGGCTGAAGACACCCCAACGTTGCTACGCCGGACGACGCGTTCATCTAGCTTCAGCGCTGAAAGCCTCGAGCTTAGCAGCCATCACTCGCGTTCATCCACGCCAGCAACGGATGTGTCTAGTGCGCTCAGTTCCCCGACGTTTGCACCGCCCGTCGAAACAGAGGAAAGCAGACGTCGACGACAACAGTCGGATGCTGCTTCTTCCGAAATTGGGAAACGTCTTCTCAAGGGATGGGCAATGCTCGCAGACGAATGCCCAAATCCTCGGTGCTATGGCATTCCTCTCGTTCGCCCACCCAGAGTTGGGGGTTCGAAGGATTCGCGTAAAGTATGTAAATTCGCGCATTCTCCAATGTTGTACATCGAATGACTATGCGACGACCTAGGAATGCGTGGCATGTGAGACGGCCTACGTCACTGAAAAAGATATGAATGGCTGGGATAGACTGGTACCGTCAGATAGCTCGGCGGCACGAAGCGAACCACCAAGTAACGAAGCTGCCGTAAGATTGGCTCAAGGCGCGCATGGCTCCCCTGACAAGGAGAAACTCGTTTTGCAAGTTGACACCCAAGGGGTATGGGTACTCATGCGAAAGCGGACACTGCATTTTATTCTGAAAACTTGTCACAGGCGCCGGCGACGTCGTCGAACACCGTTAATTCATCGGCTCTATTGCAGGAAGGCCGCAGAGACACTGCCATTGCTCAGAGACGATCCGCGACACTAACGGTTGGCGCCTTCCTTCATACGGCGATCGACCTTGTGCTTATTTCAGGACGTAGACACGGACCGCTACAGACAAAGATGATCCGTCAACTAGCTCGTCCTTGGAATCGACCGCAAGGTCATTGCAGCGAAGCTTGCTTTCTCTCTCTGAACGACTAGAATTACTTTCCGGTGGCCACATGATACTCGACCCTGCATCTATATCTCAGACGGCGGATGCGATTGGCAGAGTCGCGCATGCTCTGAGCGAAGTCAAGAAACTCCAGGGGCAGCTTAACTTTACTTGAACGAGGCTTCTCAAGATGGAAGAATGGGTCGTGCACCCTATCGGTAACTGCCACGTAGCTGTGGGCTTGTCAGTCTTACATGTAATGCCAGCAGAACTCCTCCTGTGCAACACATACGTGTTATCCTAGGTTTCTAGCAGCTCGTACTGTTGGCAGTCGCGAATGATACGCCTTTAGAGAAGGTTCGAATTCTAGAAACTAGGATTCCCTTCTCATAGCACCTGAAAATTGGGCTGTTGCGTCTTCTGCTCTACCACGAGGTCGTCGCGTTTTCCCGAGTGAGCCTTCCTCGTTTTTCGCGCGCGGCTATTCATCAGAGAGGTACGGCGTTTCTCATCGAAAGATACATCGCTCCGCCTCCTCTCGGATCGTGTGGGCCTCCTGGTCTCTGCGCCGGAACCGCGCCCCCGACTCGTGCCCGCTCACATATATCGAACGAGAATTTGTTCTTCGATCACAACAATCTGCTCTCGCTCTCACTTCCCTTTCCCAACTTCGTTGACCTACGCTCCGACAGTCTGTATTGTGATGCCCACTCGCACCACCAGTTACCGCGTCTCCAGAGTTTCCGCGGATAAACGACCTGCCTGGCGCAGAATGCTGTCAAACCGGAAGGTACGCTAACTGCCGTTTCCTTCGCTCAGTTACGAGGCTCAATGACTTGGCGCAGCACCAATCCAATACCTCCCAGAGCGGGAAGTCGACACAGCTTGAGAACATCCTCGAATCAGCAAGCTTCGAACATCATCCTGAAGACATATATGCAGATGTCTCCGTTGCGGAAGGCATTATGACAGGACATTCGAGCCACAACAGAGTTAGGCAGTCTCCAGGATATCATACATCGACGGGTGTCATCGCGCCCCCTGCAATTACACGAGAGAGATCGCCGCCGCTGCCACCTCTGCCACCTCGCACGCGTTCACATACCAGCAATCCAGTACGTTTGCACATAGGCATTGCTCGTCATACTCTTTCCTTACGTTAACACCAACGCAGTCTAGTGAAGTCCCCTCCTCCGGATCTACCTCTCGATCTTCTCGACGTCATCGTGGACCGCGACCGATAATCGTCATGGTAGACAGTGACGGAGAAGTACGAACATATTCTTGATATCAGATGACAGGGACTGACACATGAATCACCGATGCCAGGTTATCACCTTGGGAGAGGGATCCCAAACTAGCTCCCGCTCCGGACGGAGTAAAGGCTCGCACAGTGGCTCCTCTGGGGTTTCCTATTATGTTATACCAGAAGGCTATCCGGTCATTTTTGAGGACGAAGATGGAAATGAACTAACGAGGTATATTCGAGAATTGGAGCTAGTTCGTCAACTTTAAATTGATACATTCATGCACCGTAGGGTCGGCGATTTTGACGGCGTGCCGAAGGACGCGCGCGACACTCGCCCTCTTTATGATCAACCAAAGGCGGCTTCAGTTGATCGATCTCGCGGTTATTCCCTTCCGTGAGTGCTGTCATATCAAAGCAGCCTGCCAGATTTATTGAGTTACAGTAACTATCACCGGCCGTCGCATTTTCGAAGTGACGATGAAAGCACAAGCCAGTACGGTCATCGTTCTCCGTCTAGGAGCACTAGTGCCCCTAAGGTCGTCTATTTAGACCAAGGTCGTCACCATGAATATAAGGAGTGAGTTGGTCTAACACTGTACCTCCGCGAACATCAACATGATACACGGACAAATTAGTTACTCTGGCCGGTCCCGGGCATACTCGAGCTCTGGCAGCTCGAGCAGCGACCGGGAACACACGCACCATCGAGATCACCACAGCACATACGATCGATATCGCGACCACAATCCGTCCAGCTCCAGATCCCGACATCACGACCACGGTCGCGCCCGTAGCGGTGACCACGATCGTGTTACCAGACTGTTATATGTCGACGATACACCCGATACCGCGGATGTTAGTCACATGCGGTAAGTCCGTTGTCGCAATGTTTGTCATTATGCGCTAATGCACGCCTCAGCGATGGTGCCATCAAAGATGAAACCTCCACGCCTTCCGAGCATCGCTCGCGAGAAAGCCGAAGCGAATCCTACCCGCACTCGTCTCGACGGCGCGACGATCGTTACTACGCATCGTCAGGCGATGGTGACAGAACTCACCACTTCCGAGATGATCACCTATATACAAGGAGACGCGAACACTATCGTTGACCCGCCATGCTCCTAGACGATGGAGGGGTTGCTGATATGTTTGACACAAATGTTTCCCCAAACATCCAATGTTTATGTCCCACGTCCCGATCCACTAGGTTTACCCCCCGAAAAAAGGATACAATCATGCCCGCCTACTATTGCGTTTCCTTCTTCCGCTGCTTGTGGGATTTCCGTGGATAGTGTTGATCTCGGCCTTGCCCAGTTTTAGTACTCCACCGCTGAATTTCCCGACTCCCATTGCAAGTCCCTTGTCGCGTTTACGGGCGAGCTTCCTGTCGAAATCGGAATCGTATAGTTTCTTGAGTGTTGGATGGTAGTTGCCCAAGTTCTTTGCCTATAGATGTGTCGATATAGACAGGGGATCGATCATGAGAATTCTGTAGCTCACCTCTTCCAGTCGCTTCTGCTCTCTTTCCTTTTGTTTAAACGCCAACCCTTCTCTCACGCGTTTCGCTGCCTTGCCCATCTCCTCTCGTCGGATACTCTTTTCGCCCTTACCGAGGGAAGTGTAGCCAGCTAATTCCATCACACGACCTTGCAGTGCCTTGCGACGTTGTGCCGGAGTTAGATCAAGCTCGGTATTCAAGGAACCAGTAAGAAGTTGGGTGTGCACTAGACGATATAGGGCCGCATCATTCTGCTGGTTTGTCCTGTGAATCAATCCTGAGATAAACTAAAATCACCATGAATATGATACGTACTTCTCATTTTCTTCCGCATCTTCCTGCTGACGGCTTGATCTGTGGTTGGAGCTGTCGCTGTCCTGGTTCAGTTTCGATACCCTCGAGGACTGTGATCGTCTGCGGATCAGGTTCTACCAACCACCATACATCAATTGGAGATACCATGAATGTTTTCTTCTGGTTCTTCGTTTTCGGGGGTAATGCAGTTGTCTTGCTGTCTGAGAAAACGACCACGCTAGGTTCCGGGTCTGGACTGCTGATGTTGAAGCCGGCGCCCTGTTCTTGGGTATCTGACGTTTCTGTCCTATTTCATTGATATATTGAACGATGAGCTCATGGCTCTATCCAGCGCACCATCTTCTTCACTGCTGCCGTCTGTGTTTACTGAGCCTTCGTCGGATAATGTGCTAATACCAGTCCATTCTTCCTCATCCACAGCCCCGTCGGAGTCTGATGAGAGCTTCCTACGCTTGTTTGGGGGCTGAGATGTGCCAAAACGACCCAAAAAACCCTGTCCATGATTGTAGAGTGCGTCGAGCAAAGACTGTTGAGACATCGAGGAAAGTGCAGATGCTCGGCAACTTCCGGCTCCGACCTCTTGCAGTGACTGGGCCACGTGGTTGTTATTCGCCACGTCCGTGCCTGCGTCCACACGAGCACTTGAGTAACGAACCAGTCATCATCGCTTGTTTGCCCATGCTCTCTGGTTTATCAACGGGGAGGATACCTGTTTGATGAAGTGGCCGTCAGCGCTACGCGTAGTATGCGGTACTTTGCTACTCCATTTATGGACACTACCGCATGTCGGAGGTTTCGCGAGGGCCAGCTGGACTACTCAGCGCAAAGAGGAAGTAAGGTACATCCTCGCCTGATCACACCACCGAGGAAGGAATAACTATTATACGCTATAGAAACGCGACCCGTGAACTCTGGTATCATGGATTCAATAGCTACATGAGATACGGTGAGTGCCCGCTCGCTTGCCTGCGCACGATTCCTCATGTGCTCCCGCAGCGTTTCCGCTGGATGAGGCATGTTATCTGTCGAAGGTGCTCACCTGGAGGCTGACTATGGGGATAACAATAATAGCTCACCCCGTTGTCGTGTTCCGGAAGAGGTCCCGATTGGACAGACCCCACGAATATCGCGTATAACGACGTCGCTGGCAACTTCTCCTTGACCTTGATTGATGTCCTCGATACGTTCGTAGTCCTGGGTGACCGTTCCGGCTTTGAACGGGCTGTGCGCGATGTTATAACCTGGGTTTCCTTTGACGTCAATACGAAACCTCAGGTGTTCGAAACCAACATCCGAGTACTTGGCGGCCTCCTTTCCGCGCACATCTTTGCCAGCGAGCCAGACCATATTTTTTACCTACCGTGGTATCATGGCGAACTTCTCAATATGGCCTACGACCTTGGGAATCGGTTGTTGAAGGCCTTCATGTCACCGACAGGACTTCCATTCGCCAGGGTATTGTGATATTTGATGACATTGCCTGCACATTTGTTCACTTGAGTAACAGGTGAATCTACGGCAAGGGGTTCCGTTAGGAGAAACCTGGGATACATGTACAGCGGGAGCCGGATCCCTCATCATGGAGTTTGGAACGCTAAGCCGTTTGACAAATGACGATCGATTTGAGAAGGCGGCATCCAAGGCCTTCTTTGCACTGTGGAACAGAAAGTCTGACATAGGACTAGTCGGAAATACCATAAATATATGGACCGGAGTGAGTATATGTTCCGCCGAAAGGGGATTATGGCCGACGGAATAATCTTCTAGAAATGGACTCATCCAGAAGTAACGGGAATTGGCGCTGGAATCGACTCCTTCTACGAATATGCCTTGAAATGGTATATCATGAGTGGTAATATCATCGAAAGCTCTGTTGTAATCCACGGCCTAATAGCGTGATCAGGTGAAGTCGAGTTCTTGGACGTTTGGCAAGAGTCCTATGCTGCTATCATGCGCTACGCCAGGGCCGCGGATGGCTTTTGGGTACGCGATGCGGTTTGGGATCTGCAGCTTTGCCGTCTTATTCCATCTTAGTTCCGAAGCGTCAACATCAACACAGGCGATATCGCTTACTGGACAACAGACTCGTTATCCGCTTTTTGGCCCGGTTTGCAGGTTTTGGCAGGCGACGTGCAGAACGCCATCAAGTCGCACCTGATGTGTGCGTTTTTGTCAAATCTCCGTACCGACGATTAACTTGACCCATGAACTTCCAGATTGGAATATGTGGAAACGACATTCCGGTTTACCGGAAGTGTTTGATACTGCCTTCCAAGTCGCTACCTCTTTCCAATACCCATTGAGGCCTGGTTTGTGGTCAATGTATGTACTGCAACCACAGTCGAACTGACCCTGGATTCTTAGAATTCATTGAATCTACTTGGTATCTCTATAGAGTAGGCTTAATTATTCGCGAATGACCGCCCGAAATTGACTGATGCTCTAGGCAACTCGTGATCCGTTTTACCTTGACGTCGGTGAACGCGTTTTGATGGACATTGCGACGAGGGCGAAGGTCGACTGTGGATTGACTGGCATACAGGACCTTAGAACAAACCAACGTGATGACAGGATGGAATCCTTTGTATTATCCGAAACACTGAAAGTTCGTACTCTATCAAGTTATCATGCCGGCAGGCCATTCGTTGATAATTTACAGTATTTATACTTGCTCTTCGATGAGGATAACCCACTTCACGACGACGATTCAAGCTACGCATTCTCCACCGAAGGGCACATTCTCATGTTACCTCGTGACCGCATCAAGCCTTTATCACCTATCCGGAGGAAGCTGCGTGGTGTAGAAAATCTTCAATGCCCTGCATATGAACCGCCGGTGCATGAGTATGATCGCCCAGATGCCACCACCGGACTGACAGCGGGGGTGATGGACCGAACCGATTTTGAATACACACGAACGTTAGTGAGCGTATCGCCGACGGATTCGGAGGAGCAACGATGGTCGCCAAGTGGCTGGTGTGAAGTGCCCAGAGTGGACCTATTTGTCAGTCTATGTCTTATTCCCATAATTATCCCGAACTGATACGGTGGTAGTCATACGACTTCGTGATGTCGGTCAATGGCAAACCAGCGCCAGAAGACCGCAGCCCAAACATACAGAAGCTCACTCCCGTTGCCGATGGATACGTTGTTCACAATGTGACCGGGATACGCACCCATATCGTCTCTCGCCTGGATGGCAAGGGGTATGATGTCACGAAGTGTCAGTTCAGGGGATTGCCTGAGTGATCGCAGCTGACTCATGTGTAGTGGGTCCTCATGCCGTTCGAAGCGGTCAGATTGTATACATCAACGACTCGGCGTTGGTGCTAGCGCCCTACGACGGGCAGGGACCTATCGACGAAGATCGAGGTGCTATTCGTGCGCTCTCGATGCAAATGCGGATCTTCGTTCATGACGTCGATCCCATGCTCGACTCCCAGGTGAGTCTGCGGGAACCAGCGGACGAGGATCTCGTCGCAATCGCGTATTCTGCACTTTTTGGCGGGGATCCGTCGAAGCCGCTGCGGGCCGATCAATCGCCTGTCCTTCGATTTGGGCATGGAGAAGGCATGCCGCTTGTCCGAGACACCTCCAATCGCTTCGGCTGTGCTCGATATACCCAAACTTACGAGGACGTGATCATTCTTCTGCACCGCGGAGAATGCACCTTCTTGGAGAAGTTGGTGCATGCGCGGGATGCTGGGGCCGCTGGCGCCGTCGTCATCAGCGACGACGACTTCCCGATCAACCCGTCTGCAGGAGAAGAAGATGTACAAGCTGCGGGCGCGTCGATCAACGAGGTTGCTCTAGTGGTCGTAACGCGGTCTACGGGTAGTCTCATCGAGTCTATGATGGATCTCGTTGACAGGGGGGTGAGCGGTCAAGTGATGCTCGCTGTAGAACCGGAGCCGCAGACGGCCACCAAGGCTCGCGATCGACAAGCTCCTACACGAACAGAGGACGTCAGGAAACGGGACCCGCAGCAAAATCTGTATTTGAATGGTCATCCACTAGTCAATACAAGACTGATAGTATAAATGACGAGGCGCCTGATGATGTCTAATCATCGGTCTTAACTATGGAATAAGTCGGTGCGTTGAGTTTCGATGCCCCTTGCAAAAAGGCGAGTTCGATGATGAACAAGTATTCGAGGGTATTGCCGCCCTGCTTATCAACGAGTTCCCCTGCTGCCCTGGCGGAGCCCCCTGTTGAACACGTTTAAATCAGTCCTATTGTATCTGTACGGAGCAGGCTCGTACCTGTTGCAATCAGGTCATCGATGATGACGACGGTTTGCCCGGGCTGGATTGCATCGGATTGCATCTCAAACACATCCTGCAACGAGCATCCATATGCCGCACATGGTGGAGTGTCCATGGACGTACCTCTCCGTATTCCTTCTCATAAACAGCGGCGCTGCATTGTCCGGGCAGTTTTCCTCTCTTACGCACAGGTACGAACGCCGCGCCCAGCCTAAGCGCGACTATGGGGCCAAGGAGGAAGCCCCGAGCGTCCAGGCCGACAACGACATCGATCTTCTTCGTTTGCGATTTCGGGATGGTTTCAGAAGTTAGGTGGTGAACGAAGTTCGTTATGAGTGTTTCTGTGGCCACCGGATTCCGGAAGATTGGGAAAATGTCTAGAAATACGATGCCCTATGCCACTTCAGGTGCATGCATGTAGCCGATGACAGTAGATACTGACCTTCTTGGGAAAGTCTGGATGAACGCCGCAAAGGCTCCGCAGATATTCGGTGTCGGCCATAAGCAGTGTTATCAAGGAAGATAAGAAATGGATGCACCCCAAATACCCTTCAAGTGGCAATCACTCTTCTCATAGTCACAGAAGGACATATATGTCGAAAAGTACATAGGTGCTTCCACTGTATATTACTATTAGCACCGGAAGAGGCACAGGATGGTATACATCGACGGAGTGCTCTCGTTGCGTATCCAGTGATGACCTCTCAGTTGCTCGCGACATCCGTCATGATGCTCATAATGCATTACCCTTGGGGCATAGAGGAAAAAGACAGTAGACAGCATGTAGCGATACAGAGAGCCCGGTTGCACATCGAGTTTACACCGACTCCAAGATCTCCGGCTCCTTGAAGTCCTTGATGATCCGTGTGCCGGTCTCCTTTACGCACGAGTCAGAGATGTGGTATCAAAGGAGGAGGAGAGACGTACATCCGTCGTCTCGCCATGAAGCTCGAGCAGCTTCGAAACGTCGAACTTGGGTGCTTTGATGATCTTTGCCTTGCGGATGTAAACGTTCTGCAAGGGGTAAATGCTTCGGGTCGCCTTCTCGATCTCCCGGCCGATCGCCTCCGGCACGAACTTCTGCACCAACTCCTTCAAGTCGCAGCTGGACGCTTCGCGAGTCATGATCTCAAACATCTTCTTCCGAATCTCCCGGATCTGCGCTGACTGAGCATAGGTAGTCTTCTTGACCTGTGTTGGCCGGCGTTTCGTGAAGCCGATGGCGAAGAGCCGGAGGATGTAACCGTCGGTGGTCTTCACGTCGACGTGCGCCTCGATGAGTGTCTGCCATTTGCGGACGAGAGAGCGGAGCTTGTCAGACGTGAAGTCCATGCCATGGAAGTTGGTGAGGCAGTTCTTGCCCTGAACTTCGTCAATGCGCAGCTTGATTTTGCGGAAGGCCTGCTCCTCGTCCTTGTTCAGGTCACCGAGCGAGAGCTCAATAATACGGCCCTTAAGCGAGTCATTGGCGTTCTCTGTCCGTCGGAATTTAGAGGTGAGGCAATGGCATGGACTTCTTTACGCACTGAGGCCTTGCGACCTGTTGACAAGGGTCTTGCCGACGTTCTTGACCTCGAAGATCGACGGGGCCTTGATATCGTACCAATCTGTCCACCTGTCAGTCACTACATCGTACAACAGGGAAGACATTCAACTGACCCTTGCGAGAGAAGGGGTCGACGACCTTCTTCTTGATGCCTTTTTTGCCCTTGGAGAGGCGCTTGTTCTACACGGAGCCATCATCGAACCACCGTATACAAACCATTCGATGCGCATACAAACCTTGCCGACGGCCATGGTGGATCAAGTGGCTGATTTGCGGTGGGGAGGAGACCGCGTAGCAGGCCGAGGCAAGCTGAGTGTTTTGGGAGGGAGGAGCGTGAGAACATTGCCCGTCCGTGGCTGCAGAACTGGGCAGTTCTTGCCACGTGCACTTCCCATCCTCGCGAATGTCAATGGCCACTTGGACTCGATCCCAGTTTGCGGCTGCCTGCAAGGCTTTTCGCGACAAGCACGCTGCGTCAGAGGATTTCTCTCCCTATACGGCTCACCTCCGATCATGGCAGTGGCACGATGCTCCTGTGCGCTATATCGCTCGGCGCCCTCCGATGAACACTTCTCTAAGCTCTCTGTAGAACCCATATGTATCTGGTTATCTCTCTCGCTTCGTCACTCTGGTGGATCGACTTGAGCATACGGAAATCGTTGTCGAGAATTTCAAGGTTCTTGAGGATCAACACGATATCTCGGCCTTGGAAACAACGCATCCAGCTGGCCACCTGTTCTTGCAGCAGGACATAGTCTACTCGCCCACGTTCCGGATCCCTACGTTTTACTTCACTATCAGCAACGCTCGTACGTGTCATTACAACCAACACATGTTTTTATTCATGTCGCGATGGGCTTAGACGGAGTTCCACTCAACCTGGACAACGTTGTCCGGATAGGCTTATTACGGAGCGACGCTGTCCAAGACGCCCACAGGACGGTTTTTGCGCTCACCCGGCCGAGCGCGCCTTTTCCTTTGTTGACGCAAGGCGATCATCCCGTGCGGGGCTTCCCAGCGTGGTACTTGCATCCGTGTGAAACTGCCGCCGCAGTGAACGAGATTGTCGGAGAGTTGAATCAGGATGCGGTGTCGGATTTAGACCGAGATGTTCGGTGGTTGGAGGCTTGGTTCGTACTGCTTGGGAACGTAGTTGACCTTCGGTCGTAGCGTCCGCTGTAGAGGTGTTGAGCAGTATTCGATTGTGATTGATTGACGGACCAGTCTCGGGCGGATCCATGAGCAGCGGAAGGAGCATGATTTCTCACCCGGCTGTATGTAAACCACAGCGACGGGCAATGGTGGTCCTCGACGTACAATTTCTGCGGCCGCGCCCCAGTTCTCGTACGGCAACAACGGCATTGGCTGGTCTTCCGTCCACAATCCGATCGTATCAGAGTTGATCAACGAGGTTCAAATGCTGGCTGCACGTTTAGCTCGGGCCTCACACTACCACATCCCTCCCCGTTTTCTCCTCCACCAGCTTGGACGAAACATGGTCAGACCTCGTACACTCATCGCAGGATGACATTCTCATGGTCGTTTAGTCTACCGAAGTCGTCATCGTTGCTGCCTCGCGCACGCCCGTAGGCTCCATCAACGGCTCTCTGAAGACCCTCACCGCACCACAACTCGGTATCGCCGCGCTCAAACACGCATTCGAGACTTACAACGTCGACCCTGCCGTGGCTGAAGAAATTTATTTCGGCAATGTCGTTCAGGCTGGCGTCGGGCAGTCCCCGGCACGTCAGGTCGCTCTCGGCGCTGGCATGAAGGTTAGCTCGGACGCAACGACCATAAACAAGGTTTGCGCTAGCGGGATGAAGACCATCATGCTGGCGGCGCAAGCCATCGCATCTGGTGACAGGAGTGTCGTCGTCGCCGGTGGCATGGAGAGCATGAGCAATGCACCGTACGTGTCGAACTTCAACATTTTGCATCGTGACTAACTTCGTCGGCAGCTTCCTCCTCCCCCGCCAGAACCCTGCCTTCGGCAAGTTCACCACTAAGGATTCCCTCGAGAACGATGGCTTGTGGGACGTCTACAACCAGTTCTCCATGGGCAACTGTGGCGAAGTGACCGCGGAGAAGTTCCAAATTACCCGAGAGCAAATGGACCAGCACGCTATCGAATCATACAAGCGTGCGGCCCGTGCATGGGAGGACGGCTCCTTCAAGGCCGAGATCGCCCCTGTGACGATCAAGGGCAAGAAGGGTGACACCACTGTGGCCGAGGACGAGGAGTACAAGCGCGTAATCTTCGAAAAGATTCCGACGCTGCAGCCCAGCTTCAAGAAGCAGGGTGGTACAATCACAGCCGCCAACTCATCGAGTCTCAACGACGGTGCTTCGGCTCTCATCTTGATGTCTGCGGAGAAGGCAAAGGAGCTTGGCCTGAAGCCCCTTGCGAAGGTCGTCTGTATGCATATGCTCGACGTAATCCTGAACGCACAGCTCACCGCAGTTGTAGCCTATTCCGACGCCGGTGTTGACCCCATTGACTTCCCTATCGCTCCCACTGTCGCCCTGCCTCTGGCCTTGAAGAAGGCCGGCCTGAAAACTGAGGACATCGCACTTTGGGAAATTAACGAGGCGTTCTCGGTGGTCGTACGTGCCGCGGAGAAGATTCTCAACATTGACCCCGCAAAGATCAACGTGAACGGGTGCGTAGCATGGTCTTATCTTATCACGCGTAGGCATGTTGAACATATTGCCGGTCAGTGGTGCCGTCGCACTTGGACATGCCATCGGCAACTCGGGATCAAGGATCGTTGTATCACTGATTCATGCACTGAAGTCTGGGGAGTATGGTGCAGCGGGCATTTGCAACGGTGTACGTGTCTATCGTCCCGATCAACCGTTCGCCGCTGATGGCTATGCAGGGTGGAGCCGCGTCGGCGGTTGTTATTCAGAAGTTGTAATCTCGCGTAGACTCCGGAAACCACGGAACACTGTACTATTCATACCTCGGACCATAATTCAACGACATGGGGTTCATGCGATTGCGGGTCAATGCTACGCCACGGCCGTCATGAAATAGCACCAGCGTGCCCATCTCATCGAAGTGAGGTCTTATGCGCCCACGCTAGAGGCACAGTGCGAGATTAGAAGACATATGCGGGACGACACGTGACCTTCAAGGGACCGTATGAGAAGCCAAAGCTAAGTATTTCCGACCCCACTCGTTCTTATCGCTTGCCTGGCCAATCTGCTCTCCGCGCAGTAGGCTCGGCGGGAAGAAGTGTCTGTGCTGCCTTTTGCATGCGACTCTGTTTCCAGCCCCAAGTTCTCTCGATATCGGCACCTCATGGGATGCTATAATGCGCCGCTGTCTTCTACTCCGTGATTCCGGCTCCTTCCCTCTCTCCGCTTCCGCGAAAGCTCAGACCCTTGAGAGTGAAAGAACACGACATTTATGATCATGGCTGACGCTGTCGACGAGAAGCGGCAAAGCCTCGAGAAGAGGCGATCAACTGACGACCCGGAGGTCACCACAGTCTCCGTTAACGATGAATACGGGGACGAGGCGCTCCAGCTCGTCGGGAAGGAACGTCAGATAGAGTTCAGCGAGGAATACTATGCAAAACTCCGGAGGAAACTTGTAAGATAATGCCCTTCGACGACATCGATCACTTATTTGATGGCAATTGGCAGGATTGGTGGATCCCGCCGTTGTGTGCCTCGGTGTACTTCACTCAGTTCCTGTAGGTTCCTAGCTGCTTAGTCTGTGTATCTTATTGACGACCGGCTAGAGACAAGACATCGCTCAACTATGCGAGGTAAGAATGAGTGTCTCCCCGCGAGCGTGCGACTGAGCCTCTTAGTATCATGGGCTTGCCTATCACGGGGCAGGTGCGGTTCACTCCAGCACATTAAAACGCAACGTACTGATGCCCTGACAAAAGAAATACAATCTGGTCGCATTGGCCTTCTATCTGGGTGTGTCCCTGATCTTTTCATGCGTGTGTTCAACCTGGTGCTCATGCAATGCATTCAGGATTCCTAGTTTGGGAGTTTCCAACCGTTTACCTGTCACAGAAAACTGGACGTGTGGCGAAGTATCTTGGTAAATCTATGGCGTGTATTCGTAGTCGGGACGACCGGTGTTGAGAATGCTCACAGGCGCGAACATCATTCTGTGGGGAATTATTCTCATGCTTCACGCCGTCACTGCTTCTTTTGGAGCATTCTTTGCTTTGCGCTTCCTGCTCGGTAAGACCATGATGGCCCGGTACTGACGCAATATTGACCAATTACAAAGGCATGTGCGAGAGCTGTGTCGCACCCACTCTAATCCTCATCATCTCCATGTTCTATCGCAAGGATGAACAGGTATGCGAATACATTATCTAAGTGCATCGACAGCGCTTATGCATATGCAGGCGCGACGGATATCTTGGTTTTACGTCATGGTAATCACATCTTGACCCTGCTTCCACACGAGCCTCAACAAACATTGCAGAACGGTCTTACCCAAGTATTCGGCGGCTTCGTGGCATATGTAAGTTATCCACGTTTTCCCGATCGCGGTGCTGGTAAGTGAACCAGCGAACCAGGGTGTCAGCTTTTACAGTGGCAAGGCTCTGGCGCCTTACAAGATCATCTATTTCCTGTTAGGAGGCATGGCGATCGTGGTTGGCTTGCTCGTGACATTTTTCATGCCGGATTCGCCTATCCATGCGCCCCTTCTGACTAAAGAGGAGCGCGTCGCTGCACTTGAACGTGTACGGGAGGACCAAGTGGGGGTCGAAAACAAGGTTTTAAAGCGCGAGCAGGTACTTCCGCTATTGTTCTTCGCTGCACATGTCCTGACCCGCCATAGGTCATTGAGGCTCTGTCAGACCCGCGGACGTGGTTGATTGTGCTGACGACGATGCTCAGTGAGAGAACATACTATTCGATGTGGCTCAGGTGCTGAGGCCCTACGTCTCGATAGCTAGCATCCCCAATGGCGGTCTGAGTAATTGTGAGTTGAAGGTTGTTGTTAATAGACCGAACATTTTTCACAGTCATACAGTCAGCAATATCATCATTAAAAACTTCGGTTATACTTCCAAGCAAGTCCTAATCCTCAGCACCCCTGGTGGTGTCATTGGCTCCCTCACGGTCTTGGCATGCGGCTGGTATTCAGACAAACGCAAAGAGCGCATGCTACCAATCGTCTTCTGCCTAGGTAAGTCGCCTTCGTTCATACCGAGCAGCATAGCAATTTGATCGAATGCGTTCAGTTCCCACCATCGTTGGCTTCGGCAAGTTATCAATTGACGCTTTGGCGACCCTTGGGCCCTGATATCCTACCACTTCTGCAGCTATTTTGATCGGTTTGGCTCACTCCGGCCAGAAAGGCGTTCTCCTATTTGGTACGTCGTAATCTCTCATCTGTTTACCCTCCTGTTGACGCGTACGGCGTCCAGGGAGTTACTTGACGGGCACTTTCGGTTCCGCCCTATCTTCCGGTATGTTTCACGCGAGGAGGCGTCATGTGACAGTCTGACCTCGATCGTCTCAGTTTACGCGTACAATGCGTCCAATACGGCTGGGCACACGAAGAAGGTAAGCGACATTTTCATCCCCATTTCATGTTCGCCGATCACATCAAAAGTCTACTATCAATGCCTTGACCCTGGCAACATTCGCTCTGGGTAACATCATCGGGACGGAGATTTTCTTGCCTAAGGACGCTCCGGACTACCTCCCTGGCAAAATCGCGGTCATGGTGTTACTGACCGTTCAGATCGCGGTCTCTTACCTTCTCAGATGGATCAACATTCGGATGAACAGGCAGAAACGGGCTGCGTTGGAAGCCGAAATAGCACGTCAAGGCTGGACAGAACAAGATGTGCAGAAGCAGAGGGAGCGGCACGCATTCGCGGACCTCACCGATAAGCAGTAAGCACCCAGATCAGCTGGCAGAGCCACAACCTCGTTTCACTCAGATGTGCGCTTTAGGAACATATTTTTCGAGTACACGATCTAAGGTACATATTCGGGAACCGCACGTTGTAGTAATACTTCGCGTAGTTCCAGTCCGAATAATGCACAGCTATTAGTGCTTTCGTTGTTCATTCATTGATTCAATTGCGACGAGGTTCCCCACTGAATGTCCCGTGACGTGACGTTGTTTCCTCGTAATCATCCTACTGAGTAATGCTCGTAGTCCACCACCACTTTGACTTATCCAGTCATGTCGGAAGATCGCTCGGGAGCGATGCAGGCCTTCGTCAAAGAACAAACTCGATATCGTGAAATATATGCCGAAGAAGGACGCAAAGTTGTGGCCGGCTGGAACAGCGTCACGGTCGATGCAGAGATAACGCACCCGCCGAGCCCACGAATCCTACGCAGACCTGCATCTTCTGTTCTCGAGCCCCGGAATCACGGATCAAAGCGAATAATAAAGGACGTGTCTGGGCGGCGGGAAACCTGCAAGTTGGACGAGGAGACTGGGCCTTTCATGCGCGAGGGTGATCAAGAAGATCTACCATCTGTCGCAATTGGCTCATCCCGGCCAGGTCGCGGAAACGAGGAATTAGAAGAAAAGAAGCGTCGAACGCAAAAATCATCGAAGGATAGGCAGGGCAAGACCAAACACTCATGTGGCCTTGAAACGAAGGCAGAGGTTGACCATACCGAGCGTCAGTTTCTTCGTCTCAATGGTCGGTTCCCTTGAATTCTGAAACGTTCATCATAGGACTCGCTGAGAGGCGAGATCGTAAGCGAGTTCGACGCGACATCATGAAGCCCACAGACATCTCGGACGATGACTGTGATGCATCTCGCGATCGTCCATGCAATTCTAGACCACACAAACGGCAGAAGAGAGAGAAGAAGGAAAGGAAAAACAGAATACCTGCTGGTCTGGCTTTAATACAGGGATTCTCGGCAACAAATTTAGGCAGGAACCGTTTGACTGTAGGTCCAGCCGCGGGGCTGCTTTCAAGAATTAATGACCTCTGTCGCAGGCTGTCCCCAATATGGGCGTATTCAGTAAAGGCAAAGCGTCTACGAAGGTCCAGCCGAGCAGGGGCAAACGGAAGAAAGGTGAGATCACGGCAAATTGTGCAACAGTTACATTTCAAACGACAATTAGGGGCTCCGGCGGTCCTATTCAACGAAATGGATTTCTTGGGGCGCAAGGGTAAAGCGTCAGACATATCCGATACTGGAAGTACAGATTCGGCGCTTGCCTCGCGGACAAAGTCGGCACGTCGACGGGTAGGCTTCACCTCCAGGAAGCATAAGGCAGAACAGGACAAGGACCTTCTGTATAAAGCTAGCCCTCGACCTTCAGTTCGAGGACAAGCTGCTCCTTCTCCGACTAAGGAACATGCAACACCACCTAGGACACCTTCTGTCATCTGGGCAATTGAAGATGATACCCGTAGTCTCCCCTCTGAAGCGGAATCTATCTCAAGTGACGACTGCTCAGGAACCAGTGCGGTTTCAACTGCACACCAGGCGCCGGCGGATGGGGAGGCTCCGGCCGCAACCGAACCCGACACTGGTACTGTAGTGCTGGATACTGGCAGATTCTTGGCACATTTTCCCTCTACGGATGCGAGACGCATCTCGTCTGAATCATTTGCAGATCGGAAGTCCCCCTTCCAAACATCAATTGGTCTCCCTGAGCGCTCGTCTCCGTCTCTTGCACCTTGGCAATCTGCTTCGCAGATTGGACTAAACCGGATAGTGGATCTATCGCAGTTCCACGGTCACTCCAAGTACTTTGTTCAGCCGGTTGTCGGTAGGAAGAGTATGTACCATCGTTCAAGGTCATCGTCGAACTTTTTGACCGAGGATCCAGAAGGCGGTCAACTGGGACAGCTTTGCCAGCCTGATCAACTGAAGACGACCACGAACGAAGGCGAAGCGAAGGCGGTTAGTGCGGTCGACACTCCTCGGGATGCCGATACGGCAGCACGGTCGGTTTCTTGTGAAAGGTCAAGGCTGCAGAAAATTGTACCCTCGTCAACACTTTCGCTAGACCGCGCCATGATTGCCTATGAAGCCGAAGAGCTCTATCTTGGCGACCGAAGATGTCTTACGACTCGCAGCAATTGTTCCTACCTCGTGGACCCGGTTCTCTATGCCTGTAGCACTGAAGAGGCTTACAGTGCGAACAGCATGCGCGCTACTACTCTCAGCGCTGCTATACCTACAGGATCCTCTCGAGAAGCCGTGACCTACGATAATGTCGCCGATCACGGAGGATGGGACGACCTGGCTTTCTACGGTCAGGACCAGGAACTTGCGCTAGGTGATGATGGTTACATGTCCGCGACACGTGCTACGTACTCCTCCGCCGGCGAAGGCACATGGGGTGATGATGAATCCGACCTTTCCGACGACTTCGACTGTGATACTGAAATTCTAGGCGCTGGAGAACTTGCAGAAGGTCCCGAGATATACGAGGGAGACGCACTGCACCAGTGGTCATCGCAATTGTATCCTCACGAGCTTCGCAATTCAGCAGAGGTCGAAACTTCCTGTTCCGACGAGGATGGCTACATCTCGGCCAGATCGGCCTCGTTCTCGACGACTGTAGCTGGTATGGACAACGCGACGATGGTGTCTGAAGCCGACACTGAAGACCTCGAGGACTCCTGGCCCGGCTCGGAGGATCGCTCAGATCCGTGGGGTACTGTAGGGCTTTCTCGTTTCACGCAAGGCCGCCTTCTGCTGCTCGGATTCAATGTGGACGATGAGATTGACAGGGCATACAGAAGGGAAAATCCAGGTGGCATGGAGAACAGGTCTGCCGAATCAACTGTCGCAAGGACTTTAAGAAACCATTGGCTGCCACAAAAACTGTAGAACTGGCTTGTTCCCTATCATCGAATACAGAAGCTTTTGTGTATACTCAGTATGTTTCTGATTGCATTTTGTCCCTCAGTGTTTTGGTGGAATTGGTGGAATAGCATCGAACGAGTTGACGATCTGGTGGCAGTACAGGCCTCCCTCATACTTACCCAAAAAGAATCGTACTCTGAGTCCCTTAAACTCTCAGTTGTGCCTCAGCGACAAGGCAATATGCGATATGCTTTGCTTGTCACTGGCCCTGCTGGTGCAGGAAAATCGACGTTTTGCACGTCCCTGCTCACTCACCTCCAAGCATCTAAACGGACTGGCCATCTCGTGAACTTGGATCCTGCGGCGGAATCAGAAAGCTTCGAGTACAAACCGAGCATCGACATCCGAGACTTGATCACGCTCGAGGACGTGATGGAAGAGCTCGGATATGGACCGAATGGCGGCCTGGTGTACTGCTTCGAGTGAGTAAGTGCCATAATCATTTTTCGCGTCGTTAGTCCGTCCGCCTCAGTGTGGTAGATTTTGACATCGACCATCTTCACGCAGGTACCTGCTGCAGAACATAGATTGGCTTCAAGAAGAACTTGGAGAATATGCAGACGACTACCTCATTATTGATTGCCCTGGACAGATCGAGCTCTATACGCACCATCCGTTCCTTCCTACCCTCTCCCGAGAGTTATCCCGTCTTGGGCTCAGGACGTGTGCGGTGTACTTGCTTGAATCTCAGTTTATGGAAGATCGGTACAAGTTCTTCGCGTGAGTAGATTTGCTGCGAGGGGCCACGTATTCATGCTCTAACACTCGCATACAGCGGCGTCTTATCTGCCATGTCCGCCATGGTCAATCTCGAAATACCATTCATCAATATCATGTCCAAGATGGACCTAGTCTCCTCAACCTCCGAAGATCCGGCTAAAGGGAGGAACGGCATCCGTGCTCGCCGGGATATAGCACGGTATCTCGACCCAGACCCGCTCCTCCTTGCCACCACGTCGGGACGCGAACCCAATCCCCGCAATCCGCGTTTCCATGCGCTGAACCAGGCGATTGTGCAGCTTGTACGCTCCTTGCACGTCCCCTAGCTCTATTGCGGCTCTGACGTGCGCTCACCAGATTGAGGACCATCCCCTGGTGTCTTTCTTACCGCTGGACCTCAGTTCGACAGACTCGCTAGAGACTGTACTCAGTCACATCGACTACACTATGCAGTATGGTGAGGACGAGGAACCCAAAGAAGTACGTGCTCTTCCCTCCCAGGGCGTACCACCCGTTCACAACAACTATCCTAGCCTCGGGATCTTGATGAAGGAGACTTCGCCGAGATTTAACACGACCCTCGCCGTTCAGTGGTGGCGAGACAGGTATGGCTAATGTCCATCCTGAACCACTAGGCGCCCGCGGAACAACATAGGTTACAGCCCCTGTCTCCATCCTTGGGCCAAGTCTAGCGTGATCCGGCCCGAGTACTCAAGAGCCGGATATGGATCATGACTGGCAAACAGGTGCTCGCAACTTCGCCGCTCAGTCAGAGATCTCCCTTCGATCCCGCTCTATGGCCCGGTGGCATAGATGTTTCGTGTCGTACTTTAAGGAAGCTACACCTTTTTAGAGCTGATTGATAGTACCAGCAACGAGCCTGTGTAGAGAGCTGCAAATGATGCTATGCTGTCGAAGCATCAGGAGACCTTGAAGCGACGGGTATCGTGCCACAACGTTCCAGCGCTCGAACGTGAACGGAGTGGCGTTGTGCATACCTAGCGTTGTTGCATCCCTGTACCATTGTGAAAGCCAAGGATGCTGTAAGCGGATATCTAAGCGCCCGGTCAGTGAAGGAAAGGCGCCGGCGGATTGCGTTTCATACTTGGGTCAGCTCGGAGCTGCCCCCTCGTGGCCGTGCTCATCTCGAAAGCCTTACATTAGATCATCGAACCTTGGCTAGCAGCTTACTCCACAGCCGACAAGATGCATAAAAGCCACTCCAGCGGACACTACCTCCCTCAACACCTCCCGCCTCAGCAGCAGACAATGCCACAATACGTCGTCTCCAGCTCTTCGCACCATTCACAGCAATCGACAAGGTCCTCTCCGCGATACAGCACCCACCGCTACGCCCAGCCCGTCGCCTACGCCCCCAGCCAGAGGAGCCACAGATCGCACAGCTCCAGCCGGGCTTATCCTGCCTACTATACCGCCGCCGATGCGGGCTTGAGCCGCCATCACTCCGCCAACGGTGGCTCCGCGCACCACTACTATCCGGCGGCACCCACGCATTCCTCTCATCACTCACATAGGTCTGGCTCGGCCTCTGGATATCGCCGCTCCGGCTCGCAGCCACGCGCTCCTGTATACTATACCCCCAGCAATGTGCACCACGGGCACGCCACCACCAAGAGGAGCTCGTCTTCTGGGCCATATATCGATGCTCGAAGCCACCGGTATCCTTCGGTGCAGGTGATTGTGAGTTCACGTCCCTCCGCAATCCTCAAACTGATCTTTGATGTGTCTCTCTAGCCGCCTGACAGGAACCATCGCCCTCGTTCTCACAGCGTAGAGTAAGCGTTCATGCAGTAGACGCTGAAATGCCGTGGCTCACAAGGTGGTTTTGCAGACGTTACAACGAGCACCCTACTTTCAGCGATAAGATGCGCCGTCTCTTTGGGCTCGGCCCCCCTGCGGACGAGCGTCAATCACGCTCTCGTGACCGATATGGAGATCCTGGACACAGTGGTCGCAGCACTCAGAGATCCTTTAGCCGACAACGCAAAGGCTACGAGAATCGTGACTTGGGCCACGGAGGAATTTACACCGGTAGGGTGCAGTCCACGCGTAACCACTTGACTCATTACTGATCACCTCGAATAGTTTGAGCACTCTTTTCGCGATTGATCGGGATTGACAAAGTACCTTCGACTGCAATGTTTCACTTTCATTGCGCTCGTCAGGTCGTATGTGTACGATACCTTTACAACGAAGTTTCTTCAACGTGTATCATTACTAAGCTCCCGCGCTGGACAGCTTTGTACTGTAATCCTCAATCATTCCGGACTGTATCGTGTTTCGCATTAAATGGAATCCATTAATCATACAATGCACATGACGTTCTGCTGAGAAGAAAACGCTTCGCCAAAATCCGCCAATTCTCGACGCCGAAGGAACGGAATGAATCTGAGCCCATGCGCTACGGCTCAACGTGGTGAGCACGAGGATTTTCAGCTTCCGGCAAGATCGTTGCCCCGTTGGATATTGGGTAGCTTCGCTGCCCCACTGCATCCTTGAATTCTCACATGGCACAAGACTCCGAGGATGTAATCTTGAAGTAAGCTTCGCGGTTCAGGGCGAACAGCAGGTTCGTGGGGTGAGCGGCGGTAGGCAACGTTCTCTTCCCAATCTGAATGACCCATGACACAACACTGCCCCGTCAAGCTTGCAGCACCGTCGGCAGCCCGGCCAACTTCATCTTCACGCCGATCTCAAAGAGATAGTCAAGGCACTGCGGATAACGCGTGAGCATAGCGCGTCGCATGTGAACGAACGGGTCCTCGTACCTCCGCCTGCGTCTTCGCCTTCTCCCAGTCCGGACCTAGGATAGAACATGAGAATATGAACCAGCGTACAGAACATGCTGGAACCTACCCCAGACATACACGCCATGCCTGCGTACCAGAATACCAGCGGCATCCGGGTACTTTTCCATAGCTTCCGCCATGCTATCTTTGAGATCCTCCTCGTTGGGCGTGTTGTCGATAATGGGGACCACCAGCGTGTCCAGGTAGCTCAGGGCCTTGCCTGTGCCTCCCAGGCGCACGCCCTTGATCATCTCCTGATGCGATATGCGGAACTCGCCGATTTTCTCTGTTTTGGTGCTCGTGGCGTCCCCGAAGAGGAGCGTGGCCATGACCGCGTGCTGAGAGTGCGTGTGGATGCAGCTGCCCGCGTCCCTGAGGGTGAAGGCGTTCCAGAACAACGGCGTGCACGCGGACTCTTTCAAGGGGACTGTGGGGCGCCGCAGAAAGATGCGGTCTGTGTGCGGGGAGGGTGGGGGCTGGGGGTAGGGGAGCACGAATATGTGATCGGGGAGGATGCGTTCTTTCTGCACGCCTGAAGGTGCGATAAACACCTTATCCCTGCAGTTTGGGGTGGCGATCAGACGAGGCACTACGGACCAGGAGTGGTGGGGTGCTTACCCCTGTCGAATGCATATACCACCTCCCGTGCCGGTAACCCAGCCAAGGTTATAGAAAGCGCGGCAAAGTTCGGGGATGAGGTTGGCAGGCTTCGCGAGGGTATGTTAGATGGCTATACGATATCAGTGAGAGTGAACGAACGTACATGCGCCGGATCTGTGGAGATCACCAGCTCGTGGCCTTCAGTCATGCTCGCTACTGAGAAGAGATCGTCGACCTAGAGTAGCAAGCTGTAGCGGGACGATGGACGAAACGCAAAATAAGACGGGACATCGATTCTTCAAGCTTCAGCACGCCATCGACCTGTGTAGGGTGCTCAAATTTGGCATCGCTGAACACTGAGAGGGTCGAGCGTCTCCTTTCCGGATGCTTCGCTGTTTTTGCTCATGGGCTTGATTGCTATGAAGATGACCTATGGCTGGAACTGCTTGCAAGCGTTAACTCTGAGGTGACGGGGTTGGCAAGCCGCGCTCGAAAGCGCGCTTCACGTGGATGACCGACCGTCGTCGTCGACGCGTCCCTCATGACCACGATAGAAGAGAATATATTCCACGAGACTCGTCCATCGCTTTCCCGGCGGGCCGCCTCGGGATTCGTCTTGCTGAATAAAAACGCGATGACTGCCATCGCCTCCATTGTCAACCTGGCCAGTAGTCGAGCTGTTTGACATTGAAGCCGAGGCTTAGCGATGTTGCCATTGGTTCTGGATATCGTATTAGCGACCCTTTCGTTCCCATCTGTCGATGCACTGGACAATGGTCTGGAGCGCACTCCAGCCATGGGGTGGAACCCCTACAACGCATTCTTGTAAGCAATTGTATTCCGCTCATATACTTCATATTCTGACCTCTTTGTTACTCCGCAGATGCGATACGAATGAAGCCCAGTATCACGCAGCGGCTCAAGCTCTGGCTCAGTCAGGCTTGCCAAAGCTGGGATACAAATACTTCAACATGTCTGCGTGATTTCATTCGACGATTATGCTCCCTGACGCTACTTGCAGCGATTGTGGGTGGCAAGGGACTAATCGCACAGCGGATGGTGTGTTCACGTGGAATACAACACGTATTCCATCTGGCATACCGGCGCTTGCCTCCTACGTGCACGACCTCGGTCTTGATTTCGGAGTTTACAGCGACGCGTCAGTCGAGAGCAGAATCTTCGTTTGCCTTTGTGTTGACATCATCGCAGTGGTTACTTCTCCTGCGATTTCGTGGGAGGTACTGCTGGATGGCTAGGCAGCCTCAATCACGAGCAGTCGGATGCAGATACTTTTGCATCCTGGGGTGCCGATTACCTGAAGGTTAGTTCTCTAGCAGTTATCGGGCGGCAGCAGATGACACCCTGAAACCCCTGCAGTATGACAACTGCTACGCAGTAAGCCCGACGGATTTTGTAGATATGAACCCGCCGATCTCTTTGGAACCTCATTTCACTGCTATGCGCGACGCGCTGAACTCGACCGGCCGTCCGATCGTGTTTTCGGTTTGCGAATGGGGCGTACAAGACCCGGCCCGGTGGGCGTCTGAAGTAGGAAACAGTTGGCGTGTCAGCAACGACATCGGTCCTCCGCCGTCCTGGGATAACCTCGTTCGCATAATCAACCAAGTTGTACCCATCACTCAATTTGCGTCGCCTGGGGCTTTCAATGACCTCGACTTGCTTGAAGTTGGTAACCAAGGGTTGACGACTGCAGAGCAAGAGACGCATTTTGCATTCTGGGCAGCTGCAAAGTGAGTCGTGTCCTCGAAATGTCACAAGGACATTGGCACTGACAGTCACAAACTCAAAGATCACCTCTTTTCATCTCTACCGATCTTACGACAGCGACAAAAGAAACATTGTCAATCCTAAGCAACCCTGGGATCATCGCTCTGAATGTTTGCTCTTGCTTTTCTGATCAGTTTGTGACCTATATCGACAAGAGTCCTTCTTTGTCTTCAGCAAGATGTGCTTGGGAAATCGATTGGTTTCAAACGTCGTTACACCAATGACTCCGATATTTGGGCTGGTCCACTCGCGGACAATTCCACCGCCGTTGTCATCATCAATTGGCAAAACGTTTCAAGGCCCGTGACGTTTTACCTTTCTGATGTGGGATTTTCTGCGGCGGATGCTACCAACGTGCGAACCCAAGAGTTTCTGGGCACCCTGCGCGACTCGTGAGTCTATAGGAGCATCTGCGGTGCTGTCTGAGAATGCTCACGAACCACTATGCCAGCTATACTGCCACCCTATCATCTCACGGATCCCTGGTTCTCAAGCTTGCGAATGCCGTTACGGAGCCTCCGAGACAGATCTTACACTATGCTGCCGCCAGCAGCAGTTCCGTGCTGGCCGGAGGCGCAAGGAACAATACTGTCAATGCAACCGTAACCACCGTAGGGTTCATCGGTAACGGAGGTACCCTCACCTTGACCGACATCGACGGCGGCGACAATGGAGGCGAAAAACTTGTTTCCATCGACTACATCAACGCAGACTTCACGGCTTCCAACACCGCCTGCTCCAACTGCAGAAATGCATTCATTAGCGTCAACGGCGGAGCACCCGTTCTTGCGAATATGCCAATATCCGGTCAGGTTAGCAGATAACGATTTCATACGTGGTACATTGCAACTGATGCTTCTACATTAACAGAGCTGGGATATTCTCTCCGAAGGATACCTGATATCCTTGCCCGGCTTCAACTCAGGCACAAACAATACTATCACCTTCTCCAACCCATCTGCCTTCGCCCCCGATATGTATCGGATTGGCATCGTTGTATGATACTTTAGTTGCCGCTTGCCGTGGGCATAGCCACTGCCGAGACGCGTTGGCTGCGTCGTGTCAGGTCGCCTGAGATTCCCCGTTTCTTGACTTCATTCATGGCCGTTACTCGAAAAAGGAACGCGAATAATACAAATGCAAGCGCAAAGAAGTCCTTAGCTTCACATGACGAGCTCCAAATATCGGAAGAGGAGCAATGGCGGCTGGTAAACAAGACAGGCATCCTGAATCAGTTACCCCAGGATGGAAGCAACAGGCAACTGAAGGATGGTGGCCTTGCTGAAGAAGATGAAACCCCCCTCGCTGAAGAGATCTTCAATGCCATTGTGCTCATCATCCCATTTTCATTCCTCCTGCTGATGATGGATATACTGGCTCATCGACAATACGCGAAGGAGGCGACCGTTGGGGTCCTGGCCGACAGACTGATTCCAGGCATTCCAAGTATGTCTTATGGTTTTGTATCCGCGGGTGATGATCTGATATACAGCTGGTGATCCAAGTTTTGTCCGTATTCATATTCTATAGTAAGCTCGGGTTTTAGTCAGACTGAGTACTGTTCCGGAAAAGCGTGCTGACATTGACGGGGTGAACACCAGCCACGCGTTATAAACGATACAGGTTGATGCAAGCTTCGCTATTTGTCCTGTCGATCTTCCTTGGCACGCGTATGATCTACGTGGTCAACATGGCGTCGTGGAGGGTTGTCATGCAACAGGTACGAAGCTGCTAGTGCTTCCCCCGCATGATGTTGAGGCTCCTCTATCGTATAGGGCCCGCCACTCACTACTATGTGGGTTTACTGCGTTGTGCAACTTGATTTGGCTCCCGCCACGCTTAGTTTACTGGTCATCGGCGCTTGGGTGAAGTGGACAGGCATGAAGCTCGTATTATGAGTACACCAACTAGTAGTTTACAGAACATAAATAATCACATGAGTATGTGCCTCCAAGAGAAACAAACATGAAGAAAGCATGGACATCGACGGGGAGGGGTGTGTTTGACACGCGCGATGTCCAGACTATCATCCCCGGCCTTCGACGCCAGAAGTAGGAGGCAAACAATCCATGTGCGCTCGATGATACGCCGTATACGGGGTGTGTGCTGGAACCCGCATGGCACCTTGTACGAGCAGAACTAGGGGAGAGCGAGTGATAGATCAAAATCCTGCAACGAACCCCTAGAATTACAACACGGTGTGGTCAGTACAATGTAGTATGCGCAATGTCCAGCCAAAGTCATAGAACGTGGTTTCGTCATACACCAGGACCTTCATCGAATTCACCAGCCAATATCTGAACTTTGTTCTGTAAACAGCGACAACGAGGATGAATACTCAGACTTCGATTGTAGTAGACGAGCCCACCCGAAATGTTGTTGAGCGCCCTTCCATCACAGCCTTGAGCACCCGCAACTGCCATTTCAACCTCTTATTCGCCGTCCGATTGATCTCATGCTGGTGCGAATCCAAACGTTCGACGAATGCCTTGTACACCCGGTCATCGCGAGCAAAATAGTATGTCTGATGCATCCAATCAGAAGCAATGGATGGATATGTAACGAGTGCGTACAGGAATCGGATCGGCATCCTTAAGATGATCAATGGCGGCCGACCCTGCAAATGCATGTCAAATCGGATATTGTAAGAGGTACTGGAATACTGGAATACCAACAAGCAGCCATCATGAGCAAATCAGCGGTAGCATTAGCAACACTATATGACATTTGTCAGCACCACTGCTCTATGGTGGTATATAGCAAGGGGAGGCGTACTAATCTTCCAAGGCTGCTATCGCTCCTTGTGCTTTCCCTAGCTCCCTTGTAGCAAAGCTGCGCACAGCCGATTCTGCTGTGGCGACTGGCTTAGCCTCGCTACCAGCTCGGAGCGCGAGACTAATATCGCTAATCTGCGCTGTCACCTGGTAATTTGTGAGATAGATCAGCTCTTCTGTTAATATGATGCTTAGTCTGTGTACCCACCCATTTATTTCCTTCCGACATAATCAGCGTCTGCAGAAAGGAAGCAATCAAATCGCTTCCACCGGATGCGTTCTGCAATCCATGGTCAATAGCAAGTTTCAAGTTCACCCCTATTGGAAATATCTCAGCTCATGTATATGTTGCGTGAGATAGACCGACGTAAAGCTTTCAGGATGGTCTTGGTCTTCGGTGACGCAAAATCTTCATCATCAAGATGATTTACATATCTGAGTGATGGTCAATACGCTGTCTCGCATAGGCACCAAGGGGGCTAACCGGGAGAGTGCTCCCACAAGGATGATGGCAACATCTTTATGAGATTTCCCTAAGCGCATCGCATGCACTAGGGGCGTGGCATTCCCGGATTTTCGTAAAAGGAGCTACATGCCATGGTAGCGTCGCTTGAGATAACATGATAGCACCCCCTTTCTTCGAACGTACATGAAAGGCCCGATCCCTGACTTCCATCAGATAGCTGGGCAAGGTAAGCATTTCCCCGGCATATCAAGCGTCGAGTCACGTACATAAGATCCTTTTTCTCTATGGCACGAAAGACTTCATATGGCTGAATCGTACACAGTAAATCCCAAGTGATCCCAAACGAGTTGAGTGATCACGAACCTCAGGATCCTTCCACGGCGTTACTGTCGAGGAAGACCTTGTTATTTCCCTCGATTTGCTACTGGTTGACGAAGAGATGGACCGGGAACTGGGCTTGGCTTGCGCAGCGTGTTTAGCCTGGTCTTCCTCTGGAGGTGCAGGAGGAGTAGGGGTTCTGCGGAGGTGCCTTATAACTGCCCGAGGGGCCAGCTCTTCCGCTTCACGCTGTAGGAAACCTTGAGATTGTTGGCCGGTGTTAATTTAACCGAGAGGTTGTGTATACCAGTAGAAGGCAGACGATCCAACATCACTAAGTCTGAAGACATTCTTCGCCTTGCTTGCGGTTTGAGGCTAGAATAACCATCCAGCTTGGAGGCGAGATGAAGCACGAGGGGTCCATTGTTGATCATCGAGAGCGGAGATGGGGAGATTGTAGTCTCGAGGTATAGAAAGTTGTTGGCTCATGAGTGACTGCTTATGGCCATCGGCAGCGGCATGAGATACAACGCAGGACCGTGGCACACTGGCAAGAACTTCGGCTCCGACTGCGACCAGTGACCACGACCCTGCCCTGCTTCACTCTACGGCGCACCATTGCCAAATGCCAAGGCCTGTAGAACAGACAAAAGCGGCAGCTAGTTCGGGGGAAACCCACTCAAGTGAGACTCGCCATGGCGCGCTATCCGTCGAGGCAGCCGGAGCGGTGTCACTTTCACGCCCTGATGATATTGCATCTGGACGTCCTCCGAAGAGAAAACCCTCCACTCAAAGCTCACCTATCAACGGTAATGAGCCCCCTCCAAAGCGATCCAAGCAGTTGAAAGGTAATATCCTAGCGAATACGGTGCACTTCGCTCGATTTCTTCGTCAGCCCTGTGCATCACTAAACGCCTTCATGATCTAGGACACGATTCGTCCTGTAAGCAATCCTCCTCGTGCGGTCCAGGAAATACGAAGTTGTCAGGAGCCACGCGCACTGGCCACACTGGCGCAGCTTTGTATCCCCGGAAGTATCCAGATTTCTGGCTGAACAGCGATCGTGTTGCTCCGCACCGGCTTCACCCCACGTTCATTCTACCTACCGATCGATCACACGGGGTCCTTGCCATTCTGACCCGACTACCGCTGCCCAAGCTTGGCGATGTTCGTCTTTTTGTTCAAGGCGTCCCTGCTACTGTCCAGCTGATCCTTGGCCGACCTTTCACCCCTGATGAGGAACAAGTGCGGACCATCCACCGATATACGCTTCGGCTATACCGGGCTCTTCTCAGCAAACCCTTCGGATGTTCCCTCGAAGAAATGCCGTATTTCTTGGTCCCCATGGGATCGGTTCAGGCAGATGAATTGCAACGCATGGACGTCGCTTCTCGGGTTCAGTGGGATCAAGTGCACCTGGCAGCGAATGCATGGGCAGTTCCGCTCAACTTGACCTCGGTAGAAGCTCTAGGACATGATGTGGAGGACGCCGTTGTTCAAGACAAGAGCGCAGAATTTTGCAGACGTTATGAAGTAGAACGCCTGCGGACCGATATGTCACCCCTGAGTTCACCCGGAGATAGTAAGGTCGGTAAATAGAGTGCCGGACCCACGATGGGTATTGATGGTGCTATAGCGGGAAGCAGGTTTTGCGAGCTTCTTGGAATACTGCAAGGTCCAGAGCACTCGGGCAGCGGAGTCCATTACCGATTACAACCAACCGCTCCTTCAAGTGACTCGGTTGGGTGGTAGTGTCAACTTCCTAAACCCTCTTCTCAGCGGCCCGGACGAAAGTCACAAAGCGGATGCGAAATGTGAGGTTCCCTGATTTCGGCAAGGTTGTTATCGTATAAACTCAACTATCCTGTAGATCTCATTCCACAGTTGTGCCCGAAATTCAGCATTCCAGCCAGTATCTTCAAGACGGGTCTTTACCTTCCCTCCCTCGCGCGGAGGATTGACGAGATGCTGCTTGTAAAAGAACTCAACGCAGAAATCCTGCATGACCTCGTCGGCGAGCAACTGCTCCTCGAGGCGATTACACCCCCATCGGCGAGCGCCGAGTTTAATTATGAACGCCTGGAACTTCTTGGTGAATCACGCGTGTCTCCATGCCTGTCCCTCATTTATACCTTGACTAGGTGATGCATTCCTCAAGTATCTGGCATCTGTGTACGTTTATGTGACTCGCCAAGGAGGCGAAGGTGCCCTTCACAATGCTCGCCAGAAGCTCATCGCCAATGACTACCTCATGGACTGCGCCGTTCGCGTGGGCTTGCCCCCGTACATCCAGTCAGCCGCGTTCGCGTACAAATACTGGGCACCGCACAACGTCCGCGTTCTTGCGCGTCCCACGGACGACATGACGTGCGGTCCATCGCAGGATGCGAACGGGGAAAAGAGCATCGAAGAGCCGAAGAAGGAAGACGCAGGTATCCCGAGCAAGAGGAAGGCGAAATTCGATCCGAACACTTCACAATGGCTTGGGCACAAGGCCATCGCTGACGTAGTGGAGGCCATTATCGGCGCTGCCTACCTCAACGGGGGTTCTGATAACGCCTTACAGACGGTCTTGGATCTCGGTATCGATCTATCTGGTATTTCTTCCTGGACCGATTTTAGACGTCTCTCCGCCAGCGACCCAGGCCACCCTCAGCTAGTCTTGCCCTCCCAGTCGGTCGTGGAACTGAGTCGGATCCTAGGGCGTCCTGTGAATGATCGCCAGTTGCTGGCTCATGCATTGGTTCGTTAACAAGTTTCGCCTGTGCTTCGCATTAACGACCATTGCCTTATAGGCCTGCGGCGGACTGACGGGAGCTGTGCCTATATTGCGACAACGTTTGGAATTCCTCGGTGATGCCATACTGGAGTACTGTAGGTGCGCCATGCCATTGCGAGACAGGGGGTTCTAACGAAATTCTAGTATTGATACGATATCTCTATTCCAAGAACCAGAGTTCATCTCCTGGCATACTGTCCGTACTGAAGGCACGCTTTCTCTCCTATCGATGATACTCCTGCACGAGCAATGATCTAACCTTCTTACAGGCGGGCATGGTGAGCAATGACGCCCTCGCGGCGCTGTGCGTCACGTCCGGTATCTACGAACATCTGCTTGTCGACAGACGATCAGAGCTGTACCGCACGACTCAAAACTATCGGAAGCTTATACTTCAGAGGCAACAGGCCGAGAATGCGGCCGCTAGGGCCGAGCTACGATCACCAGGTCAATTCTGGCACGACGTCCCGGCGCCGAAGGTGGGAGAAAGCGAGAGCGCTCGTCATCACAGCGTTGATCGTTATCATTTCCCTAGGTGCTGTCAGATGCTATGGAAGCCACTCTGGGCGCACTATATGTTTCTGACGGTTTCACGGCGGATGGGACGCAAATCGTATTCGAACGTCTCTTCAAGCCGTTTTACGACCGTCATGTCACGCTGCAGACGCTCTCTCACCATCCGAACAAGATCTTGGCGGAACTGCTGCAGAAACAAGGCTGCCAGGATTTTGAGTTCCGTAAGGCGGACGAGCATGAGGCCACTCTGTTGGCCCATGGCCGGTCCGACAACGCGATCGCGGTCTGCACAGGTATGGGCGTGTTGACATCCGTGGCTCACGGAATCCCTTCTTATATTCACCGATTCACCGAAATTGTATTGCAGTCATCGTACACGGCGTCATCTTGGCGGTCGGCGAAGGCGAATCCATCGCTGCGGCCACGAGGGCTGCGTCTCTGCAGGCGTTGGACGCAGTCGAGGGGGATCCAGGCTTTATCTTCCGTAATTGCAGATGCAAAGCACGCGGACAGGCGAAGCGCGGCCAGAGCAAGAAGACTAAGGAGAAACCTCTGGCTGACGTCGAGGGTTCGAGTGTACGCCCTTCTGACAGCTAAGTCCGATATATGCGCCTCCTCGTGGATGGGTCAAGCCTTCGCAGTTACGTTTGATACACGCAATGTACGGTAGTCAAAGACAGGACGCCCCCTCTATCTGGGATCGGTCGGATTGGCGGTCCGTCTATGTGGAAATCGGCTTAGCCTCTAACGGACGCGTTGGGAAAGAGGGTCTATGCGTGTCCCGCAGAAGCTCCAGAAGTTAACGTTCGGCGACACGGTGTGGCATGACGTAGGCTCTATGCGGCAGCGCCGGCCGACTTGCGCCTATAAACAAAACGGTGCAAGCAGTCAGCTCGGCGAAATGCACTCGTGGACGGAGGGGTGGAGTTGAGGACATCGGGGCGGAAAAGGTGGGAGTTTTTGGAGCACGCACAGCTGATATACCGCCGCGATGAATGGGATGGAGAACCCCACGATGAGGTATGACGCGGTCTTCGTAGCAAACGCGGACTTGCTCTTGAACGAGAACGGCACTGCGTGCTCAGGCTACGTAGGGGTGAGAGCGGGCGAAGCAGGTCGAGATTAGCTCTAGGTTCGCAGCTCGACCGGGCCCAGATGGGCACGCACAGTGTAAGGGCCGTGAAAGGCCCGAGACTGGGTCAACACGCGACTGCGGAGGGCCGACTGACGGAGGGCGTTGCGAGCGATGAGCGACATGGTGGACACGACGAGGATGAGCTGGCTAAGGAGAACACCACAGTTTCTGCACGGACAAACTCGGGATTTGCGTGCGAAAGGTGACCTGACAGCATACAGGTTTTATTACAGCTATCTTTTGTACATGTCTATGCTACGTATCGGTCAACTATGACTTACATCGCGGGCTCTATGTGCACGAAAGCGAAAAAAGCAGATCTAGACGATATTCCGATAGGATACATGCCTCCGTGTATGACCGTGCTACCGGAGCAGTCCGTCTCAGGGGGCGTTGTCGTGAAAATTATGCGTACAAATACAAGAGTGGCGGCATGATGGGATCGGACCTGAGGTAAATGCATGCGAACGAAAATGCAAGCGAAGAAGCGCAAAAAGCCGTGCAGTGGATCGTTGGAACAACCTCGACGTATGCGCCAAGGGACAAAGACAGAATAGAAGGATGATGGGATAAAGGAGGAACCGATCCGTCCATGCAAGACGCCAAACTAGCCGGCTTGGTATTTCGTGACCTGAGTCGCCGAGTTCACAGCAGGGAGTGAGGACTAAGCAGAGATTCAAGCATATCCGCGAGGGCGATGAGCATAACCATCGCGCGCAACGTGACGACGAACATGTTTTGACCAGCTCTGCTTGGCGATGGCCTTCTCGGCGTCCAGTTTCTTGCCTTCGTCGTCCGAGGCGGACGAAGAAGAGTACGCGGCTTTGCGGTGAGTCTTCCGCTTCTTCTCATGATCTTTTGTCTTGTCTTCCCTCCCGCCTCCTCGAGCCTTGTCTTCCTTCCCGCTCGGCTTTGCTTTGCTTTGCTTGGCCGCGCGGTCTTTGTGGCCATCCCCTCGCTCTCGCTGCTCTTTGTGGGATCGATGGCGTGTGTTAGTGGAGGGGTGAGTGGGGATGGGCGGGGTAAAGAGCTCTGTGAGGCTGAGCTCTTTGCGGCCCCGGCGATCAGGAAAGCCAAACGGCGAGGCCGGGTAAGAGGGCCCAAGCGGTTTGGACGACGGCGCCGGCGATCCCTTGCTCGAGCCGATCTGCCTGTCCGCAGGGTCGACGAGGGTGGACTCCGAAGAGCGAAACGGGGCTAGCGAGGGTCGGTCCGAATCGGATGCTGAATTCTTGGGATTCGAAAGGCTGTTCGGTGTCCAAGAGGACGAGGACACTACCTTTTCTGGGAAAGGGACCGCGTCACGTCTGGGGTGGGTCGCGGGGGTCCCTTTCAGGACGACGATGGGCGGGAAGAACGGGTTATCTTGACCATCGCGCTCCTCGAACGGGGCTGCAACCAAGAATCAGCGATCGGCGGCGACGAGCTGCGCTGAAATATGTACTGATGGGGGGCGTGCACAGGCGCGGAACGTCGTCTGGGCGGGAAAGGGCATCAGGAGACGCGCGAGGGCGAGATGACGTGCGGGGAAAACCAACGAGGGTGCTCCTTGAGCGGGACAAAGCCCCTGGGCGTCTTCGCGGCGGCGACGGAGACCCTGATGTCGGTGGCGCCTTTGGAGTGGCGGGTGAGCTGCTCCGGGGTGAGGGCGGAGCGCGGGGATGGGTTTGGGGGACTGGAGCAGGATGGGCCGGGACGGGTTGCGACGGGGGATGCCCTGGAGGAGGTGAAGACGAAGGCGATGGAGTCGTTGGCGGCGCCCAAGGAGAGGCGGCGAGGCGGGTCGGCTCTGTTGTCGTTGTTGATCATGGCGGACGGGGCGAAGGCATGGTGCGCGAGTGCTTGAAGAAGGCTGGCGAGGGTGTGCAGTACGCCCCGATCCGGCTCTGGTTCGCACGCTCACATCGTCATCGCGTCAACTGACCCCGCCGTGGTCCAGCGGGTTCGCCGAGCACCAGCCGTGCAGCCAGCAGACCGCACCACTGAATCGTGAACATGAATCCCATTCGTCCCGCCGGTCGGATCCCGCATACCCGCCCGCACATCGTTCGCGCGATTGCAAATTCCCCACCGCTGAGTGTGAGATACCGCGCCCGCCGCCCTCCGCATGCGCAGATAAGCAGATTGTCTTCGTGCTCCAACCCTATCGTCCGTCGTCCAGCCATGTCCTTGTCTGCCACCGTCGCGACTCCCAGCGGAGCGAAGATCACCGTCCCGACCGGCCTGTTCATCGACAACGAATGGGTGCCGTCAGCCGATTCGCAAGAGAAACTCCAGTCAGTTCAGACCGCCCGCTCCAGCTCGTCCTCTCGTCGGACAGCCCTCGATCTCGCCCTGGGATGGCCCCGCATCCACCCGATCTGGAGGCTAACGCGTCGTCAGGTGCATCAACCCTGCAACCGAAGAGCTCATCTGCGAGGTCGTAGCAGGTAAATGACCACCGCAGCCTGAAACCGCCGTCCCGGCAACTCGCGCGCAACAGCGGCACTGACGCACGTCGTTCAGCTTCCGAGAAGGACATCGACATCGCTGTCGCCGCCGCGCGCAGGGCCTTCAAGACGACGTGGGGCAAGAACGTCACCGGCTTCGAGCGCTCCAGGCTCATCCACAAGCTCGCCGACCTCATCGAGCGCGACGCCCAGCAGCTGGCCGAGCTCGAAACCCTCAACAACGGCAAGCCGGTCAAGATCGCCAGGTTTGCCCACACACCGTGATCCCGGTCGAGATCGCTCAGATCGCCTGCAGGGACTTCGATATTGGCGATAGCGTCGGCTGCTTGCGCTACTACGCCGGATGGGCGGATAAGATCCTTGGCCAGGTCAGGGGCCCGCTTCCTGCAGGCTCGCGCACGATCGCTCACGCGGGTATAGACCATCGAAGTCGACAATAAGACCAAGCTCGCATTCACCCGCCACGACCCGATCGGTGTCTGCGGGCAAATCGTAAGTGCGCCTTCCTGAACCCTCCACAGCTCCAGAGTTCACGCGGCTTATCCCGCAGATACCATGGTGAGTTGCCCGTAACTGCCGTCTGCCTTGTTCATGCTCACAGAAGGACGCACGAATAGGAACTATCCGATCAACATGTGGTATGTCGTCCACCCCTGTTCCGATTGATATACAACGAACCATCGCCCAGGGCATGGAAGGTTGCGCCGGCCCTTGCCGTAGGATGTACCATCGTGATGAAACCCTCTGAGCTCACTCCGCTCACAGCCCTGGTCAGTTGCCTTGTACGTAGCAGCTTGTTCTACGATTGACTCTCCCTACGCTAGAAATTGTCCGAGCTCGTGAAGGAAGCTGGGTGGGTCTTCTCACCCTAACGTTCAACCAGTATCTCTGATATACCCCCTCGGTAAAGTTTCCCTCCCGGCGTCATCAACACCGTGCCCTCCCTCGGCGGTGTCGGCGGCGCAGCCCTTTCCTCTCACAAGGATGTCGACAAGGTCGCGTTCACCGGCAGCACCGTCACCGGCCGCAAAATCATGGAAGCCGCCGCAAAGAGCAATCTGAAGAAGGTGATCTATTTTTATCCACTATATCCTGCCACCGGCACGCACCGCCACCCCCTTGTGAAACCTCGGCTGAATATGCCGCGTGTCTCGCAGGTATCTCTGGAACTCGGAGGCAAATCACCTCACATTGTCTTCGAGTCGGCGGATCTGGACCAAGGTATGTCCTCCGTTCCTTGAGAACCCCTCGCGCGACTCGGTGACCCTGTATTCCCGCCAATCTGGGCCGTCGATTACTGCCTAAGGCCGGCGCTGATCGCAGTGACTTCCAGCCGCGAACTGGGCTGCGCTCGGCATCCTGTACAACACCGGCCAGGACTGCACGGCCGGTTCCCGCCTGTTCGTCCAGGACAGTATCTACGACAAGTTCATCTCGATCCTCGCCGCAAAGGCGAAGGAGCTCACTATAGGCGATGGTTTCGATGAGAAAACAGGCGGTGGACCCGTCGTGAGTATTCGTTTCACGTCATCGGGTCCTCGGTGAACGTTCGAGAAAGAGAAGGCGGAGGGGCCGATGTTATCACCTCGTGCCCTCGAACTTCGGATCCAGATTATCTGACTTCCATCGTTTTCTTGTGCCGTTTCAGGTATCGAAAACCCAGTATGAGCGTGTCTGGGGATACATCGAAGCCGGCAAACAGGCCGGTGCGAAATGCATTCTCGGAGGCACCAAACGGCCCGGTAAAGGATACTTCATTGATCCCACCAGTGAGTCGGAACATGGCAGGCCTTGATTGGCTGCTGACTCCCGTCACTGCCAAACAGTCTTCACCGACGTCACGCCTGACATGAAGATTGTGTGTGCCCGTTCACCTTTACTTGTGATCCTCGTGGCTGACCGAAATACCCGTTCAGGTCCGCGAGGAGGTATATCGCAACAACCTTGTGTGCCAATGAGGATCAATCCTCACATATCGCCATCTAGATCTTTGGGCCGGTTCTATCTGTTGCTCGTTTCAAGACCGAGAAAGAGGCCATCGAACTCGCCAACGACACCACTTATGGCCTGGGTGCAGGCTTGCATTCGAGTAATGATACCGTTACCTCGTTTGCAGCCTCTGTTGATACCCTTCCACAGAGGATTCTGACCAGTGCATGCGTGTGGCCTCTGCTTTGGAAGCCGGAACGGTGGGATCTGCCCGTTCAATAACATACCCACATTACTGACAGACATGACAGGTCTGGGTGAACGTGAGGTTCTTAGTGCCTAATTCTCTATCACATCACTGATGCTTCGTGAAGCAATACAACCTGTTGAATAACAACGGTGGGTGGCAACTCACGTGTTCCTCGCGGTATTGTTCAGGTCTGACATCGATCTTCAAGTGCCATTCGGTGGCAAAAAACAGAGTGGTATCGGCCGTGAACTCGGCTTCGATGCCTTGCAAGAGTACATCTCTGTCAAAGCCGTTCACTATAACTTCGGCGAAAAGGTGAACGTTCCATCTTCTCTTTAGGCGATTTGTGCCTGACATCGGTCGTTAGTTGGATTGGCCGTTGTGACCGCAGCTGCATATATTCGCGCTCCGGGTGACCGGCGCGCCTGACCGAACTTGGCAAACGTAGTATTGCGATATGGTTGTCGAACGGCGATTAAGAGCCAAGTCCGGGAGAAATGATAGTACATGTATCATACGTCGGCAGCAGTGCGGACAATATATGTCGGGACCATCGGAGATTGGAATACAAAATTCCCGGTAACCGAAGATGTGACTTCCGCGGCGATCTCCGGTCGTTCGATCGAAATAAGCATGGAAGGTGGAAGGGACACGAAAGCAGGATCAGCAACACCAAAACCGCCGACGACCCGAAGAAGAACCCGAGGTACTCAAAGAAGGGTGTAGCAATATGAAGACGAGAATTCATTGACCCGGAGGGGGGCGAGAGCCTGGTTCGCTGACCCCTCTCGCGTAGGCATCTTCAGACCACTCACTGGCCTCGCCGCTGGGCGGTGAATAACTCGTGTAGGAAGATCCTCCGGCGGCCGACCCTCCTTGTCCAGTGCTTTGTTCAGGAGTCATAGGATGTTTGTGAGCGCGTTCTCGTTGGCAGAAAACTCACGAATTCCGCTCACCTCCAAGCCGCGGAGGCCTCGTGCGCGTTGGCGCGTTGCTCTGGCGCGGCGTAGATATAATCGTCTTGTCCGCTATGGCTGGAGCGCGCTTCTGTTCTCCATGAGGACCCGCCACCAGCGGGACCTTCCGTACTGAAAAGTTCCAACGATCGAGACTGGTTCTAACTACAGAGAAACATGTTACTTACCTAGAGATGGATGCTCGGTACCCCGTACTGGCAACAGCTCCTCTGTTGTATGAGCTCCAAGATGTATCTACACTTGCAGCGTGCAGAGGATATACACTTTCCGCAGGCAGCACAAAACGATTGTAGTCTCCAGCAGCAGGCTCTACTGCACCTGACGGAAACTGCTGCCAGCCTGACCTTGCATCCCGTATTTCGTGGCCGCCCATGGAGATCATGTCGGGAACAGGGCGAGGAAACACGTCATTCTGCCCCGAGAACGGCACATGTACGAAGGCTGATCCCGCAGATGGCGGACTCCGAGAGTACATGGAGTTGTGAGGGGAGGCGGGGTGTGCTGTATATGGGGCTGCCGAGTGTGGCCTGCGCAAAGGCTCACCTACAATACCGCCCTGATATTCTGTGAACATGTTAGAGCCGCTATAAGTATAACTGAGCACCGCAACAACCTGGGTTGTAGTACAGATCTGAGCCGTAGGATGTGGTTGAGCCGGAAGACCCTGAATGAAACGAAGGGCTTAGTACAGATAGGTGTAGGCGACTCGAGTGAGCGCGGGACTGACCTCGGAACGGCTGCGGGTGAGGGTCGTAGCTGAAGCCAGGGATTTCATCTTTGGGGGAGGAATGCGGCGAGTAGGGAGAGGCGGAAGTCCGAACAACCCGTTCGGTAGAGGTTTTCTTGGGGATCGGTATGTACTCGCATTTGAAACCTTTCTTACGGCAGCGTTCGCAGTCCGGTCCTCCTGGGAGTGGCTGACACTAAACGACGGATGAGTTCGGCGTGAGGTTTTATGAGAGTAAACTACCTTTATTTGACGCTGAGTGTATTGATAAGCAGTCGGCGAAGGCGGGAAAGAAGGTTGGTTGCTCACCTTCCGGCAGCCAGTGCAAGCTACCTGTGTTCGCTTTGAGCGCGGCTGCGTGGGCCTCGCAGTCGGAGAGTGTGACGAGGAGCCTATTCCACGTAGCACGGATATTGAGAGAATCTACTGATGGTTCGGATGATGCAACCTACCCAACTCTGACTTGGATGACGGAGACTGACTATTGTCAGGGTAGCCAGCGGGACGCCCTTCCATCTCTTGCAAGAGCAGAATCCAGCAATAATCGATGACGGTGTTGTCCTTGAGCCTTCAACAGTGACCTACAGAAAGAATGGCTGTAGAGAGCGAGTGAAGAATGTGCAGTTTCAGTAGCAATGTAGAAGAGGCAGGAATGACATGGCTTGCGTGAAGCGATGCGGCCGTTTAGTCGCCCTTATCCACGAGGTATGAACCCAGTCAAACAGGTGAGGAGTATTCAATGACCGAGGGCGTGAACGTGCTGTGCCAAGCTGCGACGCGCCCATGCACAACCCATGCGTGCTGAAGGGTACACGCCGACTTGGAACGGCACCGAGATAAGTGCGCGAGACGTGACGTCCGTTTCTCCAGCACTTCGACATTTCTCGCAGATCAAAGGGAGAAAACCCAATCGGGGATACCGCTCCATTGGCGCCGATTCCCACTGGCCTGTCAATTCGCCGACGCGCCGAGGCCTTTGTACGAGCAGTGGGTAAAAGTGGCCTAATAGCGTTTAGACGGAGGCAGTTAAACTATTCCAGTGAAAAAAAAACGTACGCTGGCTGCTCGCGGACCAGTTTTCCATCATTTCACTGCCCTCGAGACTAACCAGGTGAATTGGATAGCCGCGGGGTGGTCAGAAAAGGTGTAAATTACGTGAATGCAGCAGCAGAGAAGTCGGAGAAGCAATCGTGCCGCTGCGAGAAAAGTTGCACACTCCTAAGGTTGAATAAGGCAACCATTGATGGAAGAGTCACTGTGGGTACGCCGGCGCTTGCCCTGATAAACACGCACATCAGTGCCACACGTCCCTGAAACGCGGCCTTGGGCTCAGCACAGTGCATCCTATTAATTGAGTGTCCCGTTGACTGCGTTTGATTGTTGCGTCACCGCATAAAAGGGTGTTCTAGCGAGAGATGCTCTGGAAGTCTTCGTGTGAGAGACGCAACAGGGGCCGGCGGGTAGGATCGAGCGAGGGAATACTGATGCGGAAGGAACGGGCAGCCTTGACTCGAACACAGCATCAGTCGAACTCAATTGCGCCCAAAATATGCTACAAGAAACCGAGTAAAGTCCACCTAAAGAGCCAGGTAGTCCCGGACCTCCTCTTCAGTCAACTTCCTGAAGGCAGGCTTTGGGCGACCATTGACACCGATGGCGCGTTCAGCCTCTAGGTCCGCCGCGGTGGGCACCGTGACAATACCGATTTCTATCGTCTTCTCCGTCATTTGGCCCTCAAAACCTTCCTTGAGTGTGAGAAGGGCAGTGTGGATGGCATCTTCAAGACTGATATCGTCGTTGTACCTGCGCGTGCCGCAGTACGGTGAGAAAGATACATCAGCAAGCCGTAGGAGGCCAATGGCATACCGCTTCTCGAGGAATGTTTTGGCGTTGACCATGTTTTTCCCGATGGCGCTTGCCTTCCACGCCCAATATGAGCCCGAGGGGTCGACTTGGTACAAGGACGGTCCCCGATGGCTGTCCCATCCCGCAACAAGGAGGGAAACACCGTACGGCCTCACACCTCTGTGAACATATAATGAGAAATTTCATCGATCATAGCAACTTCTTGAAATTCACCCAGATTGCGTAGCTTCCTGCACTACCGTGGCAATCTCCTGTGTCAATACTCGCGTCGGGGGGTATTCGCCGTATAGCTTCCAGTAAGCTTGTGCGCTCTTCCGCGCTTTCGCCACGAGCACTCGGAAATCAGGGCCCATGCCAGAGTACACGATACCGATGTTGGGGCATATGATCGAGACCTTGTCGATCATGGAGTCGTCGATGAGGATGGAGGGCGTCTTCTTCTCCGTAGCGATGACAATGCCGTTGGATGCTACAGTCGATCAGCGAAGAAACATGTCCAGATCATTGCGGTACAGACCTTTAATTCCGAGACTTGTGGTTCCAGAAGATACCGCGGCCAGAGCATGCTCTATCTGCACGAGTTTGCCACTCGGAGAGAATGTTGTGAGGGAAAAGCTATGGTCGATTGAATACAGGTATGTGCAACAGAATCTCGACCTCGTGCCTGTATGCGCCTCCACCTTCGGTAGCCATTGTGCGTGTTCTTCACGAGTACAGGGTCGAGAGCGACAACTAAGAGAGAAGCTGGGACTCGCTGTAGATGAATGTAGAGCAGCCAGGGACTTCCAGGGACGCGCGTCTTGATTCAATGCAAGACGCGTCATCCACGTGGGCTTTTCACGAGACGGGCGCAGCTTGGTGCCCTTGCCGCTCACTTGTTATAATTAGTACATACTGACATCCGCATAACCTAGCCCAGTGCTGCAGCATACGAGTTTTACGCGTTATACAACAGACACGGTATTTCCATTTATTTCCTGCAATAATCGCCCATGGTACATTACGTATAATCACATCTGATACCTTAAATGGTAGACAAGGTGGGCAAGTTCAGAGGCGTCGTCCTCAAGTAAGGCTACGTGACCTAGCGTCAGCCTCACGATCACTGTCATGCAAGAAACTACGTTACCTTGTGCACGGTGTGCTCCGGGAAGAGCGTCTTCGCCTCCTCATGCGACACCGAGGGATGGACGATCACATCGTCGCCCTTCTTCCAGTTAACCTATAGTTCACGGGTTTAGTACGGCATACGGCCGATCAGCACTCAATAAGTTATACATACCGGGGTCGTGACACGGTGCTTGTCGCCGATTTGGAGCGCTAGGGTGCCATGCTAAATGACGTGTTTATGCGCATTAATGCGAGTTTCACTCACAGTCAATCACGCTGCGAGGCGGATAATGTCAGCACTGTTGCCCAAGACGGCCATGGTTGTTACTTACCGAAGGATCTCGTCGAAGTTGCGGCCGGTGGACGCGGGATAGGAAATCAAGAGACGGATGACCTTCTTAGGGTCGATCACAAAGACGGTCCGGACCTGCAAGATACGCAGTCAGCACAGCGCACAGAATAATCATCTGTCAGGACATACAGTGAACGGGAGGCCCTTTGCGTCGACATTGGTGGCGTCCTGAGCATCCAACATGTCGTATAAAGTCGAGATCTTCCTGTCCGGGTCAGCAATCTGAAAGCGTCCTCAATAGCTGTTCGCATATGGATGCTCAACAGCTACTAACGATGGGGAATTGGACGTCGGTGGGGCCGAATTTAGATCCGTACTCGTTGATGTCCTTGACCCATTTCTCATGGTCATCCAAGGTGTTCGCAGAGATACCGATGACCTTGACGCCACGCTTGGCGAATTCTGGCGCCTGGCGGGCTACCTCACCCAACTCAGTGGTGCACACAGGGGTGAAATCGCCAGGATGGGAGAACAGAACGGCCTGTGTCCCGCCGATTGCCATCAGGAAGGGTGTAATCCGGAAATTACGCCGAAAGCACGTACCCAAGAATCGCCGATCCATTCGTGGAACTTAATTGGACCCTGGGTGGTTTGGGCCTCGAAGTCGGGCGCGATGCTTCCAAGGCGGAGAGTTGGCATTGTAATCGTCGGTGAAGATGTTATCAGCAGCCCATATCGCCTTCACATCCCCTTATATGAGCCCCAGATCCCACCACATGCCAATCAGAGCACTCGATCACACAAATCTGACGCCTTCACTTTCGACATGCGTGCGCCATCACGTGCTAACGTAGGATGCGATAGCAAGTCCTGGATGGTACTGGAATGCATCTCGTTAGACATGTTATTAACGATGCGATAAGGGGCCAGTAGCACGATTGTATCAGGTGATGGGGTTCATACATATCAGTAATATGCTACAGCGTGAAGTAAAGGATGTGGATGTTTTTCCTGTTGTGTCCTCAGTATTTGGTCTATGTCCTCGTCAATATCGTTGGAGGCTTCAATCTAGTGATGACATGGTTAGGCGTCGGTCCCGACGTCGTCATCCTTGCTCTCACCGCTGCCGCCAGATCCAACATGGCCTTCCCTGCTATCCATGCCTCTTCATGGTTGTCTCGGATCTCGATGTTGATAACATGGACTGGTCGATTCAGATCCCCTCCGCGTGAAAGAAGATCTTGAACATGGTGAGCTTGCATTGGGAGAAATATCAAGAAGCACCTTACCGTCGCAAACGGCGTCGAAACATCGCTCCTCACATGTAATAACGATATCTGCAACAGCTTTACTCTCTTGCCATCGTTCCGGCGCGAGTTTTATCCTTCTATTGCGATCAAGCATTTGCAGGAGTCCATTTGCTGTATATCTGCACGTATGATGATTTCTTCAATGCTGTGTTCGGTGCTGGTCAAAGAAAGCGTACAGTCGAGCGTCTTTTTGACTCAGTTCTTCATATATTGTGTTATATGGAGTACCGAACGGGTACACGTTCGGCTTGTCTATCGATGGCCCGGGGAGGCGCACAGCTGATCCAGTACCAAAGGAAATAACTCGGTATCCACCTTGTCTGGAGATTTCAATCCAAATCAGGTACGTGGAGAACGAAGGGAATGAGACGTACGACAGAACGTTGTGGCCTTCCATCGACCGATTCTGGAACACCACATGAGAAAGCGCGCGATATGCCGACGGGAAGAACTTACCTGGTTGCTGGCACAGACGACACAAAAGAGAGGACGAACTTTATAGGAAGAAATAGTTCCGGGCGGGTTGGTCGTTGCAACCTGAGCTTCCAGAGATGGCTGTCGTGCAATCGGCTGTTGTAGGTTGGCGACCTGGGGTGGAGCAACGGGTGGACGACCAAGCACCCCAAACGAGGAGTTGGACGCAATCAAGTAGGGATATGCAGCCGATGCTTGGGGAGGGGGAGTGGGTACGGGATGAGGAGAGTTGGAATGTGGTCTTTGCAGTCGAGGATCGGAGACACGCGCTAAGCGAGGATCTCGGACTCTTCGCGGATCCATTGTTCACTATATCTATGCAAGATGTAAAACGCAGAAAGTCAGTGATTGGTAAAGAGTCTTCGAGCCACACGAGCTTAACGCCTCAGCAGTATCTAGAACATGAGGTCAACTCCTTCACCCATCCCTTTGGGTGGCGGGTAAATCGTGCTTCCACTCTGAAAGTCATCAAGGACTAAAAGTTGGCAATTATATCTCACTTGTTAAAACTGGATTTGAGGTACGGATTCAGAAAGGTAAGAATGGATGGTACTTGATGACGGATACGCAAGTCAACTCTCACTCGCGCCGTTCGCGCTTGCGCGCACCGACCTCATCAAATCATGTGATTATTGAAGCGCCCACCTGTGTAGCTTGCTCCGCTGATCCGTCGGTGCCTGAGCGTTATGCTGCTTAACTTCTGATTGGAACAGACCGCTCATAGTACTGCCTCGCGTCACCCAATTGATCCGCAACGCCTGTTCACACAAGTTCTTACCGTAGAACCAACGTCAGCATCATCTACAACGGCCAATCCAGCACGCCGCTGACAGTGGAGTCAAATTCGAGCAACATGTTGGACGACAAGGATCATTTCAGCATTCTCAGCACCTCTTCTTCTTTCGGAAAGTTAGGATCGCCAGATTTTCCGAGTCAGGCATCGTCCATATATCGTAGAGAGCCAACGCTCGCCGAGATCGAGAGCGTTCAGCACGAGATCCACGCTCATGGCTGCGATATCGCCGCAATAGATGCGGACATCTCTCGCTTGCAAAGAGAAATTGCACTGCTACGTCAGCAGCGGGCAAGACATGAAGAAGCAGTAAAGAAGTGCAAAGGGGCGATCACGTTGGCCAGAAGAATACCTCCCGGTCAGATTCCACCCCCTTAGATCAGTTTCTATGCAGAGATCTCATCGGAGTGCGCAGAACTACTGGCGTATATATTTGAACTTTGTGCGCAGGAGGGATGGTCCTTAGCTCCGGTTGTCGTTTCGCAGGTAAGCATTGCGCAAACATATCTACAAACGTTAACTCACGCTCGTGCCTTTAGGTATGCTCCGCATGGCGTATGGCTGCAAAGGCACCTAACGTCTGGTCTCACCTCTATGTTAACTGCGATGACTACAAGGTCATATCGCGCACCCGCTTTTGGCTGTCCAATGCACTCCACGCCGCATTGCACGTCACTATCCGCGCCACGACGGTTCACCGGACGTACATCGATATATTACGCCTACTCGAGAGCCATATTGCACAGCTGAAGGTCCTGCGCATCTCCTCACCTCGGCGGCTTGTGACCGAGGGCATAATGGCGTGGTTCAATGACAACTCCGCTCCCCTCCTGGAGTCTGTCACCGTAGAAGTCGACGAAGCAACCAATGACGAGGCTTCCACCGGCGCAATTCCCTTCTCAAATGCCCCTTCACTGAGAACGTTCACACTATCGAGCCCCTCGATGCAACCACTCGGATCCCTTCCCTCGCAGATTGTTAATTTACACATAAACCTCAAATCCATGGAGGATACGGGCGCTGTTCTATCAGTGCAGGCGATCCTCTCGGCCGTAGCCTCGCTGCCTACTCTCAAGATTTTCAAACTTACCATATCCGCGACTTCATTCTCGGCTATCCATTTGCCACAGGATCCCACACCCATTTCGTCAGGATTAGAGACCGTCACGTTAGAAGCATCTCCCGCGGGATGGGTCCTTCTAGACTATCTCCATTTACCTCATCTACGCCGTCTTCATTTGCTATCACTACCGGAAACCTCGCTGGGGTACCCAGACGCGGCCGCTGGTGCGCTACTGAAGCGCTTCCTGGTCAATTCTACCCCGCCTCTCGAAACCTTGGAACTATACGACATCGACCTGAGCGACTCCGACTTCTGCAGTTGCTTTTCTCTGCTAGGGTCACTGCGTGACCTCCGCCTGCACTCTTCGGACATCTCAGACGCAACCCTGTCCGGTTTGCGCGGTCACAACGGCTGGTGCCCTGAACTCAGGCGCCTGGACCTACGGTGGTGTGGTACACTGACAGGCCGTGCCCTCGTGGATCTGGTACGCAGTCGCAGCGCCGCGGATATGATCCCGCATGGTCCTCCTGTCGAAGAAATCACGGTCATCCACTGCGCTTTCGTGGGAGAGGAGGATGTTTTGGAGTTGGCAAGGTTGACCACCTGCCGCGTTGTCCACAGAAACGGTGACCATCTTCCCGGGCACCGCGGATGTTGCGACAACGCACGTTACAGGCAGCGTTTGAGGCTGCGGCACCTGAAGGACTTCATGTCCCATTACGGATCATCTTTGCGCCTTGTGATCTAGTCCCCTTTTGTCCTGGCAGCTGACGGCATTGGCTGGCCGGCTTTCCCATTCAACCATGTTTCAATTCAAGCTATCATAGAGAAGTTTCGGTAGAATGTCTGACCTTCCTATGTAGGCCTTGGTTGGCACTGTTTCAACTACTACACCCCTGATGGACGACATGAGAATTCAAGTCCTCTCGGACTCCGGGCCCGTGCGGTATGCGGCGATGCCAGTACCTATGTTTGGCATTGGAATCTATCCTCAGGAGAATCAAATATATCGATCTAAATTGAGGTCACGAAGGCAGATGAACTGTAGAGATTTGCCTAGGTGCGCTATGTTATCAACGAATCATCTTTCAACTACGTGCAGGACCCATTCGAAACGAAACCGGCTGAATGTTCTTGCTATCGCGTTAGGGCAAACATCACGCTTAGCAACTGTATCCGAACTGCATTCATTGCCGGCAAAAAGTACGATCAGAGCGTGCAAAGCCGTCGCAACTTTCCAGCGGTATCGAAAAAAACTATGACAGCCGAATCAATCGGCGGCTCATGAGCGCGTATGTGTGGGAACGGCCGGTATGGTCGACAACCTCTCAGGGAAGACTGAGGCTTGGGACTGGTCAACATCCAGGGCATCCATCATTTCGTCAATAGCGGGGTCGTCGGTGCCGTCGTCGTTCCAGTCGGCCAACGGCTCATCGGCGGCGTCAGCATCAACTGCACGCGGATCTTAAATGATGTGGTTAACAATATTTATTGTTTTGATGAATTGAAGCGACATACTGTGGACAGCTTTCTTGCGACCAAAGCGCTTCACCGTCGCACTTTTGAAGGGCTTTGTCGAGGTGGTGGAGTTTATAAGATTGGATGTCGGCGCTCCAGGTGCAGGCATTCCGTCAACGTCCAATGCATCTATCATCTCGTCTATGGCGGAGAGGGAGGAGTCCTGGTCATTATAATCGCCGATAGGCTCATCGTTAACGTGGTCGTCCACGCGGGAAGCTAAAACAACGATGGTCAGCACGATTGGGTATAATGTCGGCAAATAGACATACAGAGTATGTTGCCATGCTTTGCAGGTACGTCGCCGGTGACGGTGATATTGGGCGACAGCGGTGCTGAACCAGCAGCGGAAGCCGGCAAGACGATGGGCGACGAGGCGACAATCGCCGAGAGCGAAGCGAGGATGACGGATATGCTGATGAACTGCATGCTGATAGATGTTGCTCAAGGATGGGGTTGCGTTCAGGGCGATGGGGTTGGTGCGGTAGAGGTCGGAAACGATGACTATGGATGCTCGTTCAAGTGCGCGTCCTCTTATACACGGATGAATAGTCATTGATTCAAGGCGCACAACGGAATTACGACAGGAGCCGCTGGATAGACAGCGGGAGTGGTGCGGAGCGTCCATCCGCAACCGCGTTCCGTCACACCGCTGATCGCATCCGTAAGTCGTCTAGTTGCGCCTCACCACATTAGCGAGATTGAATGGAGTCAGGGCACGACCAGAGATGTGCTTACTACGCTGCAGTAGGTGGTCGTGCTCGATCGCGCAGGACATACTATTCGCATTTTTCCGCGTTCCGCTGCGGATCAATTGCAGGAGCCTACCTCGAAGCACAGGCTCCTATGCGTCATACCGACGCAACAGTCATGCAACAAATGTGGGTCTCGATATTGACGCAAAAAGTTCTGCGAACTCAAAAGTACGATACATGCCTGCTGAAAGCTGAAATCAATGTCCGTCCGCACTATGACAGGCCAGGGTAGAGAGCTCCTTGCCCATCTCAAACAGAGACAACGTTAGTCTGTTGACCACGCTTATACATGTCCGGCGCCTGGGTAAAAAGCAGCCTGGCAAATTGTGAACGTCGTGGTCGCGTTGAAAGATGTCGACGCGCGCGAGCGCGGACGCCCTGCGCCTCCTGCCACGTGCGCGGTCGTGGCTACACACGGGACTGGGTATTCACCATCACGTCTTCTGAAATGGCCTTCACCAACCTCACTTCGGATTTCCGGTTTCTTTATGACAAGAAACGTAGCCAGATCCCAGAAAGCAAGCGCCGCAAACTCACTCGCGTGCCAAAACCATCTTCGGACCAGCCGTCTCTCGGCAAGGAGTTCATCGCGGAAGCATATGTCGTAGTGCGTATGTCCTCCATCCTGACCAGCCGCTCGCCCCCGCTGAAGGTCGCTCGTCGCGGTAGTTGAAGCACATAACGACGCTTACACGCATGCTGGCGAGCATTCGTAAGCCCTACCTTGACGTGCATTCCCGTGCGCCGGGGTTCGCGCGGTCGCAGGCGCGGAATATCGACCTATCAGGCGGAGTGGAGCGCGCATGGGATGGCGTCAAGTATCTCACAGCGGAAGAGCGTGATCAGATCGATGTCCAGGCGAGGGTCATCCTCAGCCGGTGTGCCAACAAGGTGAAGGAGATGGAAGCGCTAGAGAGCCGTACGTTGTCATCCCGAGTGCCGTGTGCCGTGTCGTCATTCCGACCGTATTATCATGCAGGCCGCGCGGAACTCGTTGCATCCAATGCGAACCCGCTAGCACGATTGTTACCCACGCGGCTTCTCCCTCCGGACGAGTCGAGAATGTCTTCCGCTGCCGTTGCCGCCCACCATGCAAGCGTCACCTGGTATCTCAGCCGAAGGCTCGCAGAGGCGAGCGAGGCTCAGAGGGAGATGCAAGAGGAGCGCATGAGGCGCCAGCTTGAGCGCACGAAGACGCTGGGGAGCGGTGCAGCACGGGAAGCTCTGGCAATTGGCATATCAGAGCCACCTGGTATGGCTGCATCGACGAGCAGCAGCATCACCAGTAGTTGGCTGGGAGGTGCCGCCTCCAGCATAGCTGCCTCCATACGTGGTAACGACAGTTCGCCGCAACCTTCGTACCCAACGCCTACGGACTCCGAACTTGGCTCGGAGGACGAGGACGAGATAGAGCTCTCTCAATCGCAAATCCTGCAGTTCGAATCCGAGAACGCCGCGATTTTGCAAAACGTCCAGGATACGCTCGCATCCGTACAGCAGGCCGAATCGCGAATACTGGAAATCAGCGCGCTGCAGACCGAGCTCTTGACGCATCTCCAAACTCAGACGCAGATTACCGAACAGCTCTACGAAGATGCCATTGCCGCTACTGGGCAGGTCGAAAAGGGCAACGTGCAGCTGCGCGAAGCGAAACGGAGGGCGAAGGACTCCCGCTTGTTCGTCCTCGTGTTCTTGATTGGAGCCAGCCTTAGCTTGCTATTCCTACACTACTACTAGACCCCGCGAGGTCGACACACATCGTGTGTACGTTAGACATGAAACGTCTTATATAATCTATTACTGTGCGTTGCCACTCTCTGGATCATACCTCACACTCGGCTTGCTGGGCCGCTGACCCGCCCTAATGGTATCGCTGGACACACTTGAAGAACTGTCATTCGTATAGCTGCGTAGCAAGGGAGCACCTTCACTGGCTGCTTCCACGGCCTCCGCAGCCAGCTCGTCTATATCCGATGGGATGTCGGAAATATGCCGGATGTGCGCTTGCATTTGATGGTATATGGTGTATGACGCGATGATGGATATGACGATACCGCCTATGATGAAGCAGATGTTGATGATCTTGGTGGCCTTGTCCATATGGTTGCGCTGCTCTCCATCCGCCAAAGCGGCAGCGCGAGAACCAATGAATACCGCAAGCAGCATCTTGGGACCAACGAAAAAGGTTGCTAGTGATGGTTGCAGGATCAACCCGATATGCGAATAATAAACGGACGAAGACATACCGACGACGAATTGCCATAGCTTGACGGGCTCAATGGACTGTAAAGTACTTGTTAATCGTCGACAGAGTTATGGACGAATCTATACTGACTGCAAACAAGGTGTTCGAGTAGACCCATGGTGGGAAAGGAGACATCCGAATGAGTATGATGAGCGGCAACCCCTTCGCGCGCTGTAAGGTATTAGTTAGCATGCTGGATGCAACTTTACATGAATGATACGAACAATCACTTCCTCCAATGCCACCCATTTCTCGTTAGAGCTGCTCCATCTGCGCAGCCGGCGGGCAAACAAGAACCGCAGCGTGACGAAGACTAGCGCAGAGCCGAGGATAGATGCCCCAGCGCCGAGCCAAAGCCCTTTCATGCCATAAGCAAAGCCACATATCGTCAAGCTTGTCGTGTGTCCAATGCAAGGCGGGAACGAGATGATGACTGTGGTCCGTAATGCGGAAATCAGTGGATGGGCAAGACATACGTAGTAGTATATGTTCGACGCACCGATGACGGCACCAAGTATTAACCACCCATAGGGATAGCGAGCGATCTTCTGCGCTAGATCGTATAGGTACTGTGCGATCCGGCCGGGACGCACGACGATGATGAAGGTGCCGAGAGCGACGTAGAACAGGATGAGGAAGACTAGGGCAAGCTTTCCAGCGGGATGCAAAGCCCGATACTTGCGCCAGAGAGTGCTTGGTGCTTTGCGTGCAAACGAGCGCGTTCTCTGGAGGAGAGACGAATCTGCAGCATCCGACGGCCCCATGGCGTACAAGGGAGAGCTGAGTGGTGCCGGTGAGCCCGCGAAGGCAGCCGGCCTTCAGCTTGCGGGTACCGTGCCGGCATGCGTCACCAAGCCCGGTGGCGGTGACGATCCTGGAAAAGTTGCAGCGCGACAACGTTGAGCTCGTACGTTCACCGGATGGAAAAATACTCTGCTTTTCGGGTGATTGCACTGTAGCATGAATCTGGGTGTTTTCCATAAAGCTGATCTCGCCTCAGGATCCGGGGACTGGCATCCAGGTACGATACCTCCGGCGTGCATAGGACCAGTTAAAGAACCACTGCTGAACACTACACGTTAACGAAAGCCATTCCTTACGCCTGTCCCTCCAATAGGCAATGATCTTCCTGTGAAGATACTTCTCCCGGTCGGTTATGTCTTCGGGGCCATACGCGCATTGGTACTGCTTGCCGTCAGCTTGGCGTCATTCGTGCTGGTCCGCGTTGCACTTCTCGTCACCGTAGGTCCCTATGCTTTCCCAAGTACAATGTTCCAAGCAACTTTCAAAATGCGCCCAGGTACCCGTGCCTGCGTTGCACAGGATTTTGAGACGAATTTTCGTGGCCATCTTTGCACGGACGGCACTCTTCTTGTCCGGTATAGTCTGGATACCCGTCGAAATCGCCCCCAGAAAGCGCACCAAGTTACAATCGAAGGGTGGCTGGACACCCGCTGCGGGAGACATTATTGTCTCTAACTGGGTGTCGTGGTTAGAGGTCCTTTGGCTCGCGTTCAGGTCTGTTCCGTATTTCGACCCCGCCTATCTCAAGACTCAGGGTTCGACGTGTAGGTTCGACCCGCAGTTCGTCCTCCCGATTGCGGATGCGCCTGTGGTGGCTGCATCGAAAGATGCTACACCGATCACCTCAACGCCTGGCAGGCGCACTGGCACGGGAAGCGCCGCTATATCCTCATCCTTCCGCGCGCCGACTCCCAAAGCGACCATCCGTGGATGGACTAGAGTATCGCTCCTAACGATGCTCCGCCAAACAGGCTTGACCCCGCCCTATGGTAACCATGACGCTCAGCTTGATGGCTAGCCTTTCTCAACGATCACGCTCTCAGCCTTACAGCAGAGCCCGCATATTCATTCTCTGGACGATATCCGTCGAAGCTCTAACCGCCCCATAGTGGTATTTCCCGAGTGCACGACAAGCAACGGTCGCGGACTTCTTCGCTTCGCGGACGTGTTCAAGGACACCGTGACGGAGCTTCCAGTTCGCGGTTGGAATGTATGGGTTATGTGTGTGAGGTAGGTATTCAACGCTACATGTTACCTGCTATCCCTGATCTCGTGGTAGATATGATCCACCAACAGCGTTCCATCCGACGCTGAGTCGTTCTATACCTTCCAACACCACCCTCAACCCACTGCCGCACGTACTCTCGCTCGTGACTTCTCTAGTCCCTTTGACATCATCAATACGACTCCTTCCAGCATCAGAGTCGCCGAATTCACGTTCTTTCTTGCAAAGCGAGGTGTTGCCTGGTATGAATTCCACGATATGTCCCACTTTCCACAGTAAGAAACCGATTCCGTTTAGGACGCGTTGACGACAAGCTCTCGGAAGCTTGCGCCGCGCTCATCGCCCAGGTGGGCAAAATGAAGCGCGTTGGTATGGGGTGGGAGGACAAAGCTGCCTTCCTCGAACTGTATAATAGTAAACGCTAACTTTCAGCGCGCGCAATGCCAGCTCCAGCTTCCTACCCTTATAAGGATATGTCAAAGGAGTGTATAAATCACGAATAAGTATGCTAAGAGGTGCCGGCTACGCTAGACTGTCGACTTGGAAAATATGCTGCACTTCTATCAACAATGACGATGAGAGCGATCAAGAGAGAACCAGAATCACTCAAGGCCGTTAGTTTGCACCCGGTTTCGGACCCCACAGCTCGTCGAACCTATGAAACCATAAACTGATGGTCACCGTGCATAACATGTATAACGCACCAGTCATCGTTCGGGTCAGTGGCGAGCCTCATCTGAACGGTCAAGATCCCTTCATCAAAATCGGCGAGCTCGCCGAACGCTGCTCGGGTAAGATCTACGTGCTTGGAACCCGAAGCACATCCTGCACAGGTGTCCACGACTCTGACGAAGATGCATTTCTGCGGAGTGTGGCAAACTTCCATACGCGAACGTTAGTGCAGTTGATAAGACGATTCAAATGGACAGCCCACTCTCGAGGAACTTGAAACACTGTGGTTTGCTCGTCCATCCGTCCAATGTCAATGCCGCCACGAAGGAGGCATCCTAGATGTGTCTGTGAGTGGCAGGATAAGGCTTACTGCTTCGCACATACTGTCGGCGCCCAGTCCGACTCTGGCCAGCAGCTCGGGTTTAAGAGATCCTCTCCGGTATACCTGAGAAAAGACGTACGGTCAACTTGACAACGAGGTAGGTCGATCAAAGAATTTACCAAGTTATGATAACATCTTCCTTCTCGCCTATACCGGACATTATTTGGGACAGGTCTTTCACCGCGCCGTCCACGTTGGCCAGAACTTGAGTCGTCGCGGAATCCCCCTTCGCAGCAGCGTTCACCTTGGACGCGTGATTCTTCTTGGCGGGTTTCTTGGTAGGTTTCTTGCTATGTTTCTTGCCTTTCTTCTTCGTCTTGGTTGTCTTCCTGTCCCAGAAATGATGTCCGCCGCTCGAGTGTTGGCGATCCTCATGGTTCTCGAAGCGGTTTTCATTCGGCTTGAGGTCGGTGTCAGATTGATCAATAGCGGTTTCCAGATTGCGCTGGTATTTGTAGTTCAAGTCGGTGATGTTGATAGTCTGCCAGCCATCGCGCGTAGAGAAGTTGAAGGGTTTGCCAGCGTCCGCTAACGAGTGCGCCTTGGTGTACTTCGCCCGAGCCTCAGCTTGCAACCGTGCAGAGTCCACCGCCGTGCCAAGCGCCTGTTGCGGCAGAACCAGAGAAGTCCACAACAGCGCCGTCGACAAGATCATCCAGGTCATAGCGGCGAGAAATATGAGTTTTGCCCTTGTGAACGTCCGGCGTCTTCGAGATGTGCTGGAGTAGACTGAGACAGATAGCTATAGTTCGAGGCCAAGCCGTTCGTTGACGCGCAGAACGATAGAGGTGCGGTTCATATGCAAATCCAACCAGGACGATGTGTGCCATTGCAGGCCGATGGACAGCTGTCGACTCCGATCTGCACTCCGGGGCCCTTGCGCCTTCCGGGCCGAACTATGCCGTCGGGATGTCGCTCGATCACGTGCTCCTGTAATCTGCTTGCGACATAAGATCGACGCGTTCGACCTCCGAATCGTGGAAGAAGCGGGTGACTCATTCTCGGGGGGATAATCCTGCTATCCAAGTGACCTCCACTACCATCACACAGAAACGTCTTAACGTGTTCTGGAAGATGGCTGTCTCTCCTAAGAGAACGGCTCTGAGCGGAACGGAGTTGATGCATGCAGATGACCAGCACAATGTTCATTCCGAGGTCGCCCCATCAATCTCGGTCACGACCAGTAAGGATGGCTGCTGTCTAGGGGGCGGCTTGTGCATCACTCATGTCGTTCAGCCTTCCGCGCTCCGCATCCCGATAGCGTAAAGACGCACGAAATCGACTGGCAGAATCCAGAACGTCACCTGTATTCGAGGTACACCCAGAGCAACAGTACCAGAGCCGAGAAGGTGCTCAGCAAGATAAACGTGAGTATATACCATGCAGGCTGTTTCTCTTGTGTTGATGTCTACTCAGGGCGGTCATGCGATTACCTATGCGTCGGGTCTAGCTGCGGCATACGCTGTAAGAACCGTTTTGAGGCACTGGACTACGGAGCATTCTGACAGAACACGGCTCAGGCCCTCGTCTTCTATAATCCCAAGCGTGTTGCTATCACAAATGGTTATCATGGCTGCCACATGACAATCGAAGTTATCAAGCAGTTGCGACCCGATCTGAAGGTTATCGACTTGGACCAGCCGTACCAGGAGGGTGATTTGTGCTGGCTAGAAACCCCGCTGAACCCCACTGGCGAAGTGAGGTATATCTTCAACGCACAATGCTTACATACGCAAATCTGAATCATCTCTACCCCAGGGATATCAAGTATTACGCCGACAAGGTGAAAGTGCTCGTACAACCCGGAATGTAACCCATACTCATGGCTATTAATTCAGATCCACAGTGTCGGAGGAAATTTGGTGATTGATGCTACCTTCGCGCCGCCACCCCTGCAGTACCCATTCAAATGGGGCGCAGACTGCGTAATGCACAGCGGTAAAGCATATTCATCATGGTACAATCGACCGACGCTCAATGGCACGCATGTGTAGGGACCAAATATTTCGGCGGACATTCTGATCTTCTCGCTGGCGTTCTTGTCGTCCAAACCCAAGAAGAATGGAACAAGGTACTCGCGGATACAGATCCTCGCTGATTATGGTCATCGCTGACGTCCGACTGATATCGATTATAGCTATGGAGCAATCGTACATACATGGGCAACATGATTGGCTCTTTCGAAGCTTGGCTCCTCCTTCGTTCACTCCGGACTTTACATCTTCGTGTCCCTAGACAAAGTGAAACCGCCACCGCTCTCGCTCAATGGCTTGCGAAGATTGCAGCGGCGAAGCCAGGTAATATCTGTTTCTCGGTGGTCGCCCTTTTTCAACGTCTCACACTTTTGCCTGCGCGGTCAGGGACGCTCGTTGATGGCGTTCCCGGCGGGATCATAGAGACGGTCTGGCACTCCTCGTTACAGGGCAAGAATGAGCGAGGATGGGATCCAAAAGATCAGATGGAGGGCGGCTGGAATGCTACTTTCTCCATCTTCGTGAGTTCATTCGAGACATCGTGCGTCGCATGCTGACATGTCGTAGATGAAGGACACCCGGCATGCAGAACTACTTCCGCATGCACTGAAGTATTTCGTGGTGCGATCATTCCGTAACATTCGACTACTGCGTATTCAATAACCGCACGTGTATCAAGCCGGCTACGTCGCTAGGTGGTGTCGAGTCCCTGATAGAACAGCGCCGGCAATCCGACCCAGGCGCCGATCCACGCCTCATTAGAATCAGCGTCGGCATCGAGGACTTATCGGTGAGTTATGACTGTGCGCATACCGAGCAGTCTCTGAGTGCCGTCTAGGACCTGAAAGACGACATGCGTAGGGCACTCCAAGGCCTCGTCAACGTAGTGTGTTTATCACTTTCATTACAGCAACGACTAATCTTCCCGGTTCACAGGAGAAGGCGAAACTCTAGTCATACCAGCTTCTACTCCGCCTCCGAGCATGCATCCTCACCGTGATAAACACAAACATACAGCTCGCAATATACACATTGCGTTGACCATCGTCTAACGCAGAAACAATTGACTCGACTACTTCACTAGTACACAAAATTGGAACGCTGCTGTGCTACTTGCATCCTAGGACCGTGAATGGCATGAGCATACTCCGACGACCAAGACAGCGCCAATCCCCTTCACGGCAGTGGCACACCTGCGTGATACATTTTGCGCACCAGCAACATCTCGCCGATTGAGAGATTTCTCCGTGGATGCTGGGTGCCTGAAAGTAGTGTGCGTAGATTGATCTGATCCAGGTGAATGCACGCATGCCAGGTCTGGTGTCGAAGGCCCAGGTAAAGGATGCAACCGGAACGTATACTGGTCTCCAGCACGGCTAAGCCCGCAACCATGACCACGTCAACGCTTAGTACGTTTCGTGGGTTCCGACTCGGACATGTAGGTGTTCGAAGTCAGGAGGCGACGTTTCTTCGCTGTTCGAGAATAATGCGCCAGCACCCATTCGCGGTCGGCTTCCTTCTGTTCTATGGTGCCTTGCCGGATTTCGTACGCTATTGTGGCTATTGCTCAGCATGTCAACAGCACGAGCCAGCGATGACACTAACGTTTCATTTCGAATCGCGGCCCCACCTCAGCGAGTTGCACCGAGCGAGGAATGTTGACAAAGACGTGATGTCTGGAAGGATTTTGGCGAGCGGCACGCTGAACGGTCACGGAAAGGCGTACCGGAATGAAATGAAGTCATTCTCATTGGCGAAAGTCATCACTCGCTTGCTGTCCTCCTTCGGCACAGGGAAAAGGTATTTTAGTACGTCCCGTATTCTCTCGCCTAGCTTGGAACTAAAGTTCTCGAATATGAGATGAGGGTATTGTTCTGATACTGTCGATGATTTGTACGATGCGATGTCGTGACGAAGGGTAACGTTATGAAGGCTGAAGTAAACAGTGGGCCCGTGCGGGAAGTGGGAAACAATCATAGCGTCTATGAATTTATTCAGAACAAGCCAACCTGACGCGCAGGCAATGACACGTACCGGGTGTACCACGGTGCTCGTGTAATATAACCAGGTCCGTGACATCGTTTGCTCGGCAAGCGTCTGCGAGCTCCTTCACGACATAGTTTCCTCGATTTATTCGGTGCGAGTTGGGGAAGACGAGGCGCATTTCCTGACATGATGTCTGATGAAAAGGTTATTGGGAACGAGGATGTACCTATGTACCTTGGCAAATTGTAGCAACTTGGAGCTAGGGTCACGCGAAGTAGTCACGATGATCTTCGGGTCCTCCATTCCGGCACGAGAGTACTCGTTGTCAACATGGTTAGAAGGCTCTGGTGGTCACATGTATATCAGAACCCCAATATATCCATGCAATCACTCACTGGTTTGTGCATCGTCGAAGGCTAAATCACGCCCAAGATCTTTGGCATCCTTCCGGAGCTCTGTCGGAAGTTGCTTGCCACTGGCCAGAGCATCTTTTATGCGCTGTTTGCGTTCGTAGGTCTGGCGTTCTTGCGCTTCGAGGGACTTGGCATATACGTATTGTCGTCGTTCACGAGCTTGACGACGGAGCATGATGGAGATACAGAGGCAGGTAGACTTACAGGTGCACAAAAAATCAATGATGCTATGAAATGCACGTGACAAATCCTCGACCTGTCCCAAAAAATACTATATATTATATACACACTGAGGTTGAACAGCCGCGGGTAGTTTATTAGTCAATGCTGAGCTGCTTGTCCAGCTCTGAGAAGCCTTCAAAGAGCGAAGTGAAGAGATCAATCGCGTTCTGTACATCATGCGATCCAGCAGTTTCTCGAATTGAGTGCATCGACAACTGTGCGCAGCCAACGTCCACAGTGCGAACGCCAATCTTGGATAACATTGGTCCAACAGTCGATCCACATGCCCTGTCAACATAATGAGTCGCTTTTGGTGATGGAACTAATAGGCCACGTACATGTCATTTCGAACTTCGTACTCCTGCACCTGGCCACCCTTCCTTTCGACCAATTTCTTTACGAGGAAGGTGCCGATAGCGTCGCTAGCGTAACGCTGTTTGGCATTGGTCTTGATAACAATCCCGCCGTTCATCCTCGGCTGGTGGTTGTCCTCATGCTTACTCAAATAGTTGGGGTGCAGCGCATGTCCCATATCAGCGGAAACGAGCAGCGACTTCGCGATCGATTGAGCGAAAGCCGCAGGTGTTGGTGACAGACGCTCAAAGAGCGACGGGATGAGGGAGGAATCCGCACCGGAGGTGGAGACGCTGCCAACCTCCTCGTGATTGAACAGTGCGATGCAGTTCACGTTGCCTTCGAGCGGACCCGCTGAAGTGGAGGAAGCCCACTGAGCAAGAGCTTCCACCGCCGCAAATCTTCATGCCCGCATGAATGATAGTCCCCACACAGTTTTGGGATGTTGCATGCTTACGAGGAGAATTGATTGTCCATGCGTGGCGAGAAAATGAATTCGTTGTTAATACCTCCGAGCACGGACGGTTGTGTATCATACAGATGACTGGATATGGTGAGCCCGTGGTGCACGACAAGATAGTGAGTTAACATACAGTTCAAAGTCGTGAATCTCCTCTGCTTTGATTGACAACTCTTCCGCAAGGAGGGCCAGCAGTTGAGAGTGATGATTCCCTTGCACACTAGACGCGCCCGGTTTCTTGTCGGATGACGAAGGTGCTTCTCTTTGCGCGTTCAATTGTGACTCCACCAATCCTAAGATTGGAACAAACTCCGTTTCCTGGTTAAACTTGAGAGATTCGTTCACGTTGCGATCCACTGGGTTTCCGTGATTGCGCATTGTCAGCATAGTACTTTCCATGAATGCGAACGCAACATACGATGGATGGCAAGCGTTGGGATGCGAATGAGAGGCTTGTCTACCTTGACCAAACGAGATGTGAAGCCGTTAGGGCTCGCCACGACGACACGACCGGCTAGAGACAGGTCACGGTCGAGCCAGGAATGCCAGATGCCTCCTCCATAAGTCTCAACGCCGACCTGGAGGTAGCCTGCCTTGGTCCGTTTGGAGACGGGGCGGACCTATACGAGACATTCAGTGTTAACGTTATTGAATGCCGAGTGGATTCGTACACGAAGGTTGGGGCTATCGACATGCGTGGCAACAATCGATAGGCCAGCTCCGGCTTTCCATTCCTTCGGGAGCGTGAATGCAAGCAAAGCACTCTGGTTCCTGCACAGCCGTTCGTTGAAAGCAAAGGAGTGGACAACGAAGACTAACCTCGTGAAGTAGTACTTTCCACCTTCGGTCAAGTCTTTCTCCCAGTCATCCTTTTCCTTAATCTGCGTATCCGCGATCAGGAAGCGCAGAGATGGAGGTTACAGGGGGTTGCACCTTGCGGAAACCAGCGTTCTCGAGCCTCACGCTCGCATTATGGATAGCGTGGAACGGTGTCGGTGAAGCATTGACGAAGGAAAGAAACTTTGTTGCTGCCTCTGGGCCCGATTGGTGGATCATCATTCCTAGCTCGCAGGGTTAAGACAAAGGTTGGTGAGAAAAGGCGAGTTCAGCAGGAGCTACTGACTGCGAGCGCGGTGTGCGATACTAAGATAGAACGTGGCTGTGCAAGTTTTCATCTTCACCATGGTCCAGAGCTACTTTCGGCATGGGCCCACCGAGGTACGTCCCATAGTTGTAGGCATTGGCACGTCATTCTGATTGACGAGCATGTAGGCCTTTGGCTTGATATGCAGTGCATCGTCTAACTCCGTATACGATGGCAAGTTCGCCTACGTCCCTGCACTGGAAGATGTCCTCGTGTGGGACGTTAAAAAGGGCCAAATGGTGAGCGTCATCGTCTGAGGTCTCCAACTATCCATTCATTTCCTTCAAGGTTGCAATGTGGCACGAGGCTGGACATCGTAGCGAAGTAACGAGCATCCTGTCCTCTCCAACGAGGAGTACATTTGCTGTCGGTTACGCCGACGGGTCCATCCGCATCTGGGACAATGCCTCGGGCTCCGTCATAACGACACTCAACGGGCACAAGAAAGCGGTCTCTGCACTAGCATATGATGAAACTGGGACGAGGCTGGCGTCAGGTTCTCAGGATACGGATCTCATCGTGTGGGATTTGGTTGCAGAAGTTGGCCTGTTCAGGTATGCACTCTTGTGTCGACCTATGAATCATACTCAACACACGCAGACTGCGCGGACACCGGGACCAGATAACAGTCATTCGATTCCTCTCAGTTGACTCGGGAAATCTTCCTTCAAATTCCACTTCTCCTGGAACCGGGCTGCTCTTGACCGCGTCCAAGGACACACTATTGAAAGTGTGGGATCTATCCACCCAGCATTGTATCCAAACCGTAGTGGCTCATCGCTCGGAGGTTTGGACCTTGGCGGTGGACACCCAACAGGGCCTAGCCTTCACCGGAAGTGGAGAGGGCGAGCTGAAGGCATGGACGTTGGATACTGCTCCGTATGAGGAGAGGCTCAAAGACGCAGCCCCCGGCGAAGTATGTAGTCATCTCGACCGAACCATAGCACAGTGATTGATTGATTGCTTGTAGGTGCCCAAGGTCGTACTCCCACTCTCTTCACTCCCTCTTTCTTCACGCAATCGCGTAACCCAAGTTTCCTTTCATCCTTCCCAACCCTTCTTTGCGGTGCAATCGCACGAGCGGTCCGTTGAAATTTTCCGTATACGTACCGAGGAGGAGATCAGGAAGAAGCAGGCAAGGAGGAAGAAGCGCGCTAAAGAAAAGCAAGTGGAGAAGAGTGGAAAGGGTAGGCCGGGTGGTGCAACTGACGATCCGAAAGAGGATGGCGTAGAGGAAGATATCGATCTTGTGGACCGCTTCACGCCGTATCTCGTAATCAGGGCTACCGGCAAGGTTCGCTCCTTCGATTTCGGACCTGGGGACATGCAACAGAATCTAAAAGGCGGCACGCCTGTAAGTTGCGCCCATGTTCTATTCATACCGATGTTAAGCCGTGACGGGAAGCTGTTTATGGCACTCGCGAGCAATGCTCTGGAAGTGTATAGCATACCACCTCCCTCAAAGTCGAAGTCAAAAGAAGATCTGCCGGAGGCTACCCGTGTCTATTCGGTAGACATTCCAGGTCACAGAAATGACGTTCGTACGCTCTGCTTGAGTTCTGACGATACGCTTCTGGCTTCGGCATCAAACGGTTAGTCGCTGTTGTACAGACCATAACGTTCTTCTACTTATCACGTTTGTTGCGTAGGCTCCTTGAAAATATGGAATATGAAGACCACCTCTTGCATTCGGACGCTGGATTGTGGCTACGCCATTTGCAGCATGTTCCTTCCTAGCGATCGCCACGTAAGGTATCCCATTAATCCAAACACGCATTGCTCATCCTCAACAGGTCGTCATCGGTACAAAAAGCGGGGAAATGCAAATATTCGATATTGCATCCTCGACGCTGTTGGAGACGATCGAAGCGCACAAGGGAACTCTATGGTCGATGCATTTGCGATCAGACGAGATGGCTCTAGCGACTGGCAGTGCCGATAAGGATGTGAAATTCTGGGACGTCAAGCACAGGAACTCCGAAGACAGCGTACGTGTGCAATGAGTGTACATACCACGCTCAGGCGCTGACCATGTATTGCAATAGGACGGGAGACAAGTTACCCTGGTGCATACGAAGACATTAAAGATGACTGATGACGTACTCGCTGTACGATACAGTCCGAACGGGAAGCTACTCGCGGTCGCACTGCTTGACTCTACCGTCAAGGTGTTTTACGAGGATACGTTGAAATTTTTCATTTCACTCTACGGCCACAAGGTACCTAGATGATAGCTTTCTTGCTTCTGTCGCTTTTCTGAGTGCGTACTGCGATGCAGCTCCCTGTGCTAGGAATGGACATCTCGCATGACTCCAAGCTGATTGTAACCTGCTCCGCGGACAAGAACGTCAAAATCTGGGGACTCGATTTCGGTGATTGTCACAGGTCGATTTTCGCGCATGACGAAAGCGTCATGCAGGTCGCGTTCGAATACGAGTCGCACTACTTCTGGACGGTCGGTAAGGACAGAATGGTCAAGTATTGGGATGGTGACAAGGTCAGGGGCTTTGTTTATGAGTTAGGATGCGTCTGACATCCACATCTGCAGTTCGAGAATATCCAGAAACTGGAAGGTCACCATTCGGAGGTTTGGGCATTGGCAGTCAGTCACGCAGGTAAACTGGTGGTCACTGGGTCGCACGATAAGTCTATCCGGGTATGGGAGAAACTTGACGATGAGGTACGGATTGCACTATGTCCCTTACCCATTTTCCGACTAACGTCTCATCGCCCGCTCGCAGCTATTCCTGGAAGAAGAGCGGGAAAAGGAACTCGAAGCTATATATGACTCTGGGATCACCGACACTATGAATCGCGAGGATGCAGCTATAGGATCAGGGGTAGACGGCGCCACGATGGACTCGGCGGAAGCGACCGCCGTACACAAGCAAACGACGGAGACGCTCATGGCCGGTGAGCGAATTGTCGAGGCCCTTGATCTCGCGGACGGGGAAAGGACTGCGATTGCCCTGTGGGAGGCGGATAAGGCGAAGCTTTCCGAAGAAGATGCCAGTCGGCTCCCACCGCCTCAGCGGAACCCGGTACTAACTGCGTATGATGTCGAGCCGGAAGGGTGGGTGCTCCGGGTTGTGGAGAAGATACCCAATGCGGCACTGGAGGACGCTTTGCTGGTCTTGCCGTTCGGAAAGGTGCTCAGTCTCATGTGGTACCTCGATGAATGGGCCAAGCGGGTCGGTTGTTCTCTACTCTCGGCTTGGTCCAGTCTTTGACCGTGATTACCCAGGATTGGAACATAACGCTCACATGCCGCGTCTTGTTTTTCCTGCTGAAAACGCATCATCACCAGATTGTGGCCAACCGCGTCATGCGCACAGCGCTCATTCCGCTTCGAAAGCACCTTCGGTCCGTTCTCGCGAAGCAGAAGCAGACGATAGGGTGCGTCGAGATTTACTGTGCATTACCCATGGCTGATGCATGGCCCGATATAGTTACAACCTCGCGGCGTTGGAGTACATTCGACGGCAGAATGAAGCCTCGCGAACGGCACAATTCTATGAAGAGGAAGGCTTGGATGAGGCCAAGGTCAGAGCGAAAATCGCGGACGGCCGAAAGAGGAAACGAGTTAATATCAAAGCTTGAACCGTCAATGAACTGGGAGCGGTCGGGAGTTATGCCTCGCATTGGGGCCCGCGACTGCCTGCGAGCGTCCTCGCCTCGCCGTTTGGCCTGGGCTGAAACGCGCAGGAGGGGTTGATGCTGTATACATTCGCTTCAAAATGAGATCGATTCTCCGTGCAGCGGTGATGTCCGCGCGCACAGCGTGACAGCGCCGGCGCAGATGTGAAAGGCGTGAGGTTGGATGTAGTGAGGCACGCGATTGCAAATTGAGTCAGATTGGCATCGTGGGCGCAAGAGATCCCTCTCATCTTCACCGTCCGTCTTCATACAATAGTCCGGGAAGCGACCTCGCTTCCCACCTCCGACCGCAATGGAGGTTTGCTCTGCCCACCCATCCTAACTTGCCCACCCATATCGTACTCGTCTGCTGGGGTGCAATCGGAAGGCCCCGCGGTACGCACAGGCGACCGCCAACGGTCTATAGTCGCCTCGGCACCTATTACCTCCAAATAATTCTCGCGAGTTTACGTGTCGTGCGGTCCTGTTCGCTACCGTCGAGTCGGCTGTGGCAACTCCCTGCTGGGCTTGCCCTTGGTTTTCCTGAACATAGTCGATGTGCGTGCTGCAGGGTGCCTGCTGCAGACCGCGTTCTGACCGATATTGATCAGCTTTGCGATTACCATGAGGGCCATGTTCGGTACGCGGTCCGCGACCGTCAAGCGAAAAGAGTCTCGGGGATCCTCTGGTCCATCTTCGGGACGCAGTTACAGCAGTTCCGATACTTCAGACAATCAGCGGCAGAAAGCACAACAAGTTGAGGCCATGCTGTCGTCTTTAGGTCCAATGCTAGGACCAGCGCCGTCTAAGCCTCGAGCGACACCCAAGAAAACCCATGGAAATTCGAGTGACCGTACGCCAGCACCGCGTCATGCTGACCTCGCGTCTGCTGCTCCGTGGAATGCACCTCGGCGCATATTATCGCAAGTCGATTCGGACGAGGAGTTCGTATCCTTCACTCGCCCCTCTCCACCCCCCTCTGCACTCGGACTTTCGACGTCGCATCACACGGGTCACCCTTACCCTTTCTCCTCTCGTGGCACGGTGGCTTCTGTACATTCTCCCGAACCTGTACAGCGCACCACTCATAACACCTATCATCCACCAACTCTGGGGCCGGTGAGGAAAGCCAACGCGATAGTGCAACCCGATCATACACCGCGCCGCAACGGTGCCTCTGCACAAACCATTCACGAACAACCACATCGCTCGCGTTCCAAATCCTTAGGCGCACATACTCGTTCCCCCCCGACTATCCAACACAAACCACCGCTTCCCCCTGCACCTGCTCGAACAATCAGGGAGCCAACGAGGGAACTGTCGTTCTTTGAGTCGGACTGGGGCGGTGATGACCCTTTTGCGCGTCTTCCTCCCCCTTCGCATGTGCCACCGTCGTTTCCTCCGGATCTTTTGGACCACCAAGCGACCGTCTCTGCATTGTCTGTCAAAAAATCCACCATTCCAAACAAGCAGAGCATGCCTAATCTGGAGGGCATATGGCAAAGGTTTTTGGTTGAGGCCGACGAAGAGGACACCCAGGACTCCTCACTTCCAGATTCAGCGAGCGGGGCCCCGCTATTAGGCAGATCAATGTCTGCGAATGCGGTGGACGCCGCAGGATCGGCAATGCCGCGCCCTGTCTCGGTGGCACGGCGGACTCAATCGCATCAAGCTCTGGCACTTCGTGCCCGTACGCAGACCCCGCGTTATCCGATTTATCATTCCAGTGCTTCAGACTTGCGATACAACTCTGGAAGGCATAACGAAACTTGGTCCGACTCTGGTTCCTACTCTCGCATTTCACGGACGCCGCCCATGCCAACGGGCACAGACGAACATCGCTCAAGCGCCTTGCTCGACGCATTTTCTCATCTTGAGGCTGTCCAAGAGGAGTTCCGTCTTTCTGCTGCAGCAACGGCGCCGGACTCTCCAGCAGCGGCGCCCTCCGGCTTTCCTACCCCGCCCCTCTCACTTCCCCGACAAAGACCGCCACCCTGGGACAAAAACGCCGAACTACCGCAACTCTCGACAGAGAAGCTGCTACCGCCCATCGTCACAGACGTGACACGTGGGATCCCTTTGGCGACACCCCCGCTCGAAAGCGCCCTGAGCTGGGCTTCATCACGAAGCGAAGACAGTCAAGCTTTTTCGCCGTTCACCCCTCAATCTTCGCGTCCCTTCCACACTGCTGTAAGCAGTCCGTCTGCTTCGGCGCCTCCTGTGAACTTCTGCCGGCCGGTCCACATGCTTCCTCGCGCTACCTCTCCTCCACATGGGCCATTACCTAGACCCCCGGACTTATTCATTCCGGCTAGGACGGAGTTACAGCTGACACCTCCACGCTCAAAATCTTCGAGGGAAGATGCATCATCATCGCACGGCGGAGCCGACGCGGACTTCCCATCTTTCGCACCGGACACAATTGCTTCCCCGCCTGTATCCAGAACGCCGTCGCCTGAACCGGATGCAGAGAACGTCCTCTTCATTCCTGAGCGTTCGCCAGGCTCTTCCCCGCTCTCCCCGGACTTGCAAGCGTTCATTAAAGCTGACCTGCATAAGTCCGGTGCACTCTCTCGAATGCGTCGTCAGCAGCGTCAGGAATTCCTCAGCTCGACGACGACAATAGAAGTTAACCGCTGTCCTACCCCAAACTCCACCGAAGGAGACGTGCAATGGGGTTATGCCGTTTGATCAATTTTACGAGTTCACTACAGTTCGCTTTTTCTCCGATTATCATCCCACGTCATATTTCGTTCTTTGTATCACTGATGTGGTTGTTGCATTAGATCGATACCGACGCGTCGGTATCTGCTACCGAAGCAGGACTTCGCGAACTTCAGAAATATTACGGTCCTTCCTAGTGTTCAATACCGTGGCGCTTTTGTAGGTATAGTAAGGAGGTACCATCATACTGAATGTAGCATTGCAAACATATGATCCAGAGGATGTGGAAGGCGAAAATTTATTATGCTTTTCGTCGTAATAACAAACATGGAGAGGTGGATACAGTTGATGTAGGTAGTGCGGGTGTCCAACTCTAAACTAATACAATGTAGGAGGTACAGATAGATAGATGCAATGTGGCTGAAGACAAATGCGACGGAGAGCAACGAGGATGACAATAAATAGAGATCGAATCTAGAAGTCCTCATCCAGCGTACTGTGGTGACATGAGTCAAGAGCGTTGCAGAAGTAAACGGGATACTCACAATGTTTTGGCGCTTGCAGGGGGAGCCTCGCCTTCGACTGGTGCTTGACCGTGCTTCGATGTCGCAACACCGGCTTTCGAGTAGTCGCTGACACGTTTCTCGAAGAAGTTCGTCTTGCCCTGAAGGGAGATCATGTCCATGAAGTCGAAGGGGTTGGTGACGTTGTAGTGTTTTTCGCCACCGAGAGCGACGAGGAGACGGTCTGCCACGAACTCGATGTATTGGCACATGAGCTTCGCGTTCATGCCAATCAAGGCGACAGGAAGGGCATCCGTCAGGAACTCTTGCTCGATGCCGACCGCCTCAACAATAATGGCCTTGACGACCTCAGGGTGGGGGCGCCGACGCAAGTGCGAGAAAAGCAGGCAGGCGAAGTCGGTGTGCATGCCTTCATCGCGGCTTATGAGCTCGTTGGAGAAGGTGAGTCCAGGCATGAGACCACGCTTCTTTAGCCAAAAGATGCTGGCAAAGGAACCGGAGAAGAAGATACCCTCCACGGCGGCAAATGCAACGAGACGCTCGGCGAATCCACTGCGTTGATCGTTGATCCAGCGGATTGCCCAATCAGCTTTGCGCTTGACACAGGGAATGGTCTCGATGGCGTCAAAAAGGTAGTCTCGTTGCGCAGGGTCCTTGATGTAGGTGTCAATGAGTAGAGAGTAAGTTTCGGAGTGGATGTTTTCCATCATAATCTGGAAGCCGTAGAAGCACCGAGCTTCGGCAGCTTGCACTTCATTGGAGAAACGCTCGAGGAGGTTCTCATTGACGATACCATCGGAAGCGGCGAAAAAAGCAAGGACGTGCGAGATGAAGTGGCGCTCGTTGTCGTTCAAGCGGTTGTTCCAGTCATGCAAGTCCTTGGAGAGATCCATTTCCTCTGCGGTCCAGAACGATGCTTCCGCCTTCTTGTACATTTGCCAGATCTATGGAGGGAGGGAGGGAGGGCTTAGATACGTATCAAATGCAAGCTGTACTTAACTTACCTCATGGTACTGAATGGGGAACAATACGAAGCGACGCTTGGACTCCATCAAGAGAGGTTCCTGGTCTTCACCGACGATGAGTCGATATATACGTGGAAGGAAACTGCTTGACGTACCCTCCGGGAGGTCAACCTCACCAACATATCTAGTCCTGAGGTCCTCGACGGTGGTCTCAAGCTTGTGCTCCTCTTCAGAGACCTGTGTGGCGTGCTCGGCCTTCAGGAAGTTCATTTCGGGAAGCTCGTCAGAAACCGAGCTCGGTGAGTGAGATAGCCGCTCGTCGTTGATGGTCTTGGCAGGCTTGATAGGGGTCGTGAGGGAGAAAGCTTCGAGGGCTGCCGCAGCCTAACAGTAGTTATGAGAAAGGGATGAGACACGGCGCGACACGACACGGCACGAACCTTCTTAGATGGAGAGGGTTGAGGTGACGCGGCGCGAGGAGGGGTAACACAGGTAGCCATGGGTGATGAGTCGGTGAAAAGGATGTGTCTATAACGGACGAGGCAATTTACAGCTGGTAGGCTGGCGGCGGAAGAGACCGTGGTTGAAGTCGAGAGCAGACAGCAAAACTGGTTATAAGCCCGACGGCAGCTTGGCTCTGTTTACGTGATTCAACGCGTTGTGTTTGTTTGTTTTGGGGCCACAAGCGCGACAAAACGTGATTAGGTGGATTCGTCAACGCGTCGCGTCGCGCCATGATTCAATTAATCAGCGCGTCTAATACTGATAACGCGAAACACCGAGGCGGTCCTCGTACTGTCATGCCGTGTCTGAGCAGGGTGATATATTATACAGGCGACGGCTACACCCCTCCGTCAGGGTCTCATCGGCGAAGACAGTCGCACAGGAGCTGAAGTTGTGAGCCTATGACAACGTCGAACCAAGTTTCAGACGATGGAACGATTCAGAAATCCTCGTCAGTGTTGGTGGCAGTGCACGGTGAGCCTTGAAAGCACTAGTGTATGGAAGAAACACGCACAAAAATCGACTATGTTGCTGTTTCCTGCCCTGATCTTGGGAAGCTACCCCGGTCTGCGAATACTCACTAACCCGTTTTTCGAAAAAGTCAGTCTTGCCCTATAGGCGCCACGTGTCAGTGGATAAAGGGCGAAGCAAGCAACTTGTAGCGAGATCAAGTCCATAAAGTCGAAGGGATTGGCAGCGTTGTAATGTTTCATACACCCGAGTGCAACGAGCAGGAGATCAGCGACGAATTCCATATATCGGCACATTAACTCGCCATTCATTCTGATGAGCGAAACAGATAGCGCATCTACGACGTAATGAGTACACGGTGTTCGGATTTAACGGCTGGACGTGCCTTACCCGTCAAAAGCCCCTGCTCGATGCGCACGGCGTCGCTCACAATCTCCAGTATGGCATCCGGACGCGGGCGTCTTCGCAGGTATGAGGAAAGTAAGCATGCAAAATCTGTGTGCGTCCCTTCGTCTCGGCTTATAAACGTTGCTGAAGGTCAAACCCGGCATCAAGCCTCGTTTCTTGAGCCAGAATATTGCAGCAAAGGACCCACTGCAAAATATTCCTTCCATCGCGGCGAAGGCCGCTAATTGCTCTGCAAACCTGCTGTCCTTGTCTTCTATCCAGCGCAGTGCCCATTCCGCCTTCTTCTTCACACACGAGATGGTGTCAACCGCCCGGAACATTCTATCCCTCTCAACCTCATCACGCACGTATGTGTCGATGAGGAGGGAGTAAGTCTCCGTGTGCACGTGTTCAATCATGATTCAAATCCGTAGCACCGTTCTTCCGGTATTTTGACTTCGTTTAAGAAGTGTGAGACCACTATCTGGCAGATTTCGTTCACGATTCCGTCTGAAGTAGTCAAGAACGCCAGCTCGTAAGAAATAGCATGATGATCGTCAGAAGTGACTCAGCAAGTTCGAGACGATCGAGAGAGAAAATAATTGGGGAGGAGAAAATGAGAGGATGACACGATTCTGGGTAATTCTAGGGCGGCCTTGGAGTCCCCTAGAGTGATGGAAATCTCAAGATAAGAAACATAAACATGGGCAGATAGTTGGAGCAGCTTCAGAGCAGGTGCAACGAGCGGCGGCTTCATGTTTTCGAGGAAACCTCAGATCCAGGGTGGAAAAGCGTCGATGTTGAGTTTTGTAGGCGGCCTAGGTCGTGATAGATGTGGCACATTGAAGAAGGTATTTCCTAAACTTTGAGAGCGGTTTGAGGGTGGTAGGAAGCTTCGGGAGCTCGTGGAACGCGATACGGTTGTCGGGCATCGGTGCGCGAGGAGAGGCTGTTGCCTAAAAGGGGAATTCTCACGCCCAAAAAAGAAAAGGGGCTGTGTCGTCCTCCCCCGCTCCCGCTCGGGGTATCTGCTGGCTTGAGGCTCGCTCGCTTGCTTGGCTGGCTGGTCTCTTGCGCATCGCAATCGGTGTATTATGTTTATTCTACTCAGATACGTCACGGAGGCTCGACAACGGGGACCGGAGAATAGTTGCCTCCGAACTACATTTGCCATTAAGTTGCGAATATTGGGGATAGCGTATAACGGTGGCTGTGAGCAGCGAGAATATCAGGAAGAAAGAACGGACCAAGTTAACCTGCCCCGCAAAAAAGCTCAAGACGTAGATTTATTCACTTGCTCAGTCATGCGACTGCAGCTGGAGCGCCAGTACTACAGTACTGTGATAGTGACTCCAAGTCCGACTTCCTTGAGTACCACCGTGGCGGTGTTGGCAGCCTTAGTCAGGCACGTGGCTATACGATGGCCCGTCGCTTTCGAGCTTCTTCAGGCTTCAACTTGAAGGGTCGCACCTTGGTCGCACCATGAGCGAACATGTAGCAATGGCAAGGGCTGTGGATAAATCCGCCAAGGGGTACGTATCTGTGGCCCATTGTTTGTCGCCGACCACTCAACCTCTATCTCCCTGTAATGTCTAGCGGAGTCCTGGTTAAACTCGTTCTGTTTGCCGTCTCGTTGGCCATCGTTCCATTGCTGACATACTATGCCTCGTCAATCTATCTCTACGGAGGTGAGTCTCATGGTTCATCATGGTTGACTCACTCGACCAACTCGTCACTCAGGGAATACTACATATGCCGCTTTGACTGCTGTGTTCTCTGCCAATACTGTCCTCGTTGTCTACATCATCACGTCAATCTTCGAAGATACTCCACTCAAGACTTCACATGATTCTCCTTCAGAATCAACGGTTACGACGGCGGAGGACAAGAAACAGCGGTAGTGTCTTCTATGTATTGCGAGATGAGTGGTGACTTGCGAAAACAGACAGTCCCGCTGTTCGAGTGTACGTGGCTACACCATGATCAATTATAGTGCTACCCCGGGGATGCCTGCTTGTTTCATGTCCTCAATAACGCCATCCAGATCGCCAACGGTTTGTCTATGCAAGAAGGTTCACGTCAAGGTCTTCCCTTGAGAGCGGACCTCGCCGTATTGCCCTTCTGTCACCGCAGCGTTGCTACGGACCCCACACCCGCAGGTTACGTCGGTACGCTGTCGGATCTTTCTTTGCAATATATTGCTCCCAAATGCAACCGTCTTCATTTTCATCTTCGTACCCATTGTTCCTGCTGCTTTTGTGACGCTCAGTTGTTGTGGTTCGATCTCCTGGTCCTACTCATGATTCGATCCCTGCAGCAGGATGTATATCAGTTTTGTACAGCCATAACAAGAGCTGCATGTTTCGATCTTCGACGCGACATATACCCTCGATCAGCGATCGTGCGTCCACAAGAGATCGCCGTCGGGCCTAGACAAGTCTGTAAGGTTCATAGGTGTTCACCGATCTCATCGACAGACGGGTGTTGCAACGAGAAACAATGACGTGCTCAGGAAGGCCGTCGCAACGATGAGGCCTGATGCCGCCGCCGTGAGGACACGCGCCGGTATTGAGGCATCTTGCGCGAATATCAAGATCATCTCAGTGAGGTTGACAGGTGTGAATGCACGATTGCATCGTACGTCCGTCGTTGGGCCCTGAACCCCAGAAATGTCCGAGCCTTCCCCCGTCGGAATCGGGGATCTCTGGTTCCTGGCGAAGACTCCGTTAGTGGATTGGCGGGACATACGGGTTCTTCGCCGTCGTGTTGCATACTCTCCCTTGGACAAGACACCCATATTTCGCTCTACGTCGACCGGAGTGCATAGCTTGACGCCCTTCGATCCACCGCAAATCACTCGGCACAGGAGAATCAAATTTGTCCAGGCCGCAGATGTCATGGAGATCGACGCTGCGAAAACGTCCCGGTATATTACTGGCGTATTACGTAGCCGAGGTCGGCACAAGACATCGACAAGTTCTCAGCGCGTCGTCGTCCATCAATCAGAGTGCTACAGAATATCCTCTCCCGATCAGGAAGGAAGGGCTTCCGACAACTCGAACGACCAAGAAGGGCGTCTTCTGTTGACCGGGCACTTTCTTTGTGTGCAAGCTATCGAATTTGGTGCACTGCAGATCAAATCCGGAGACAACGTAGAGACATGTCGTCGGCTAGCGATTTCACCTAGCCTACCCTTTTTGGTTAGCGCCGGGCTCTACGAGGAATTTCAAACCGCGCAGCCAGAAAGTCATGGAACCGCGCATCGGCCTTGCCGAGATCAGTCGAGTCCGCATTGGTTCCGCATCCTCGAAATCTTCAAATAGGGGTGCTGGACCACTCATACTCTGCGCTGTCTGTTCCACAAGCTTGCGTTTACTCGCCTGATGAGCGACGCCAAGTTCAACCCGGCCTCAGTGGCGTTAGTTCTTGCAGCTAGCGCCAAGTTCGAAACTTATGACTCGAAATACCTTAGCGCTGGTTATATCCTCATCGGAACCTACACGAGTCTTTTCCTCAGTGGGATCACGGTGATGCAAACCATCATATACTATGCACATTACAAGCAGTAAGGTTGCATCTGTATCACTTGTTCCTGTGAGCTGAAAACGACCTCAGTGATCCGACATGGATGAAAGTAGCGGTGAGCTGAACGCGCTTGCTCATGTGGCGCACCCTGAGCAGCAGGGTATACAGATATCCGTAATCTCTGTTTTTAGCGCTCTCCATACAGCGGTCAATGCTCAATGGGCTTACGACGCGTTGGTCATACATTGGGGTGAGAAACCTCTTTCTCCCCTCGTAAGTAGGATACTGATTGGTGAAGGACAAACGGATCTGCTTCTACGAGCAAACTGGAGTACGTTATGGGTGGTTTCTCACAATGATTCTCCTTAACTAACACCTGTCTCCCTAGACGTGGCAGCAGGTGAACATCCTCAGATAGACAATCTTCGTGATTCAGTCTGACATCAGATCGTGCCGACTTGTAGGATCTTCACTCAATGTTAGCATTGTCAGCTCCAAGAGGACACGAGGTCTGACCCGTTGCCTGCTGTTTTCAGGGGATTGTAGCCATGTTCTGCCAACTGTGGTTCGGCTACCGGATACGTGTGTTAACAGACAACCGATGGATAGCGCTCGTCGTCGCCATCCTTGCCGTGACGTCCTTTCGTTGGTTCCATAGCGCTTTCCACCATTTATCACTGATTGATCTATGCCATATTAACAGTCGGCTCTGTTGGTACGAGTTTGGCGCCGATATGGATACCCGAAATTCTGGACTTCACGAAGTTCAAGTCGATCGTTGTCGTGTGGCTCGCATGCGCCGCCCTTTGTGAGCATTTCGATGTCTTCGATATCCCTTATAGACACCTAAGCTTCATATCACAGGCGATGTGACAGTAACGGTCGTTTTATCCATATGCCTGGTACGTTCAGTGTTGAATATCTCGCGGCCCGCACGTAATGAAGTGAGGAACAGCGCAACCATAAAACAGGCATCCGTGCATCAGACAATCTCATCAACAGAATAACGCTCAGTACGCACTCTATACACAATGTCCTGCTCACATCGATAACAATGGACAGTGACCATACAAAACGGACTCTTGACGACCATATGGGCAATATTGAAGTATGCATCTCGCTATAATTAGTACCGTGATATCTGCATTAATGACGACCAAAAAACAGCTTACTGTTTTTTCTGATTGTCGTGAGTGCGCGGCCGCTGCGCATCTACTGTTTACCAAAGATTCAACCTGAGGACACGTAGAAATCAGGATTGTGAGTTTTTATCAGTCTTCCGCATAGTACTGAGAATGACATGCTGACCCGCGGATCCCTGAAGGCACCTTGCAATAAACATTCCGCTGGCGGATCTATACTTCCTCACGCTGCTCACTACGTTGAATGCGCGTAAGCATCTGCGTTCGAAGTACGGCGGGAACGACACCTCGGATTTACCGACCATGAGCGGCCACGACGTGCGTCTTTCGCTGGGGGCTTGGATTCGTGTGCGAGCCCGACTGACCACAATCCCATGCAGGGTCAACGCCGAGATACTAACATCCTGGCCGTGGGTGTATGATGTTACGCATAACTCCTCCACCTGACTCCTTGTTCAAGTTCGCCAGTCATGCAGAATCAATCGCTATAGACAACGATGAAGATGCTGTATCGCTCAAAAACAGACGCAACCTGACGGGGCTTGAACCCGAATGGAGCGAAACTCAACAGAGTTTATCAACCCTGGCAACGGACAAAAATTCCCGGCGGGCAAGTATGCCCGATTTGTAACACTGAACCTCGGGTGTTCCTTGAACTCCTCAGACTTTACTGTAAGCTAATCTGCATCGCACAGTACTACTTGCATTCTCCATCGCATTGCTATCGTCGCTTTATAGTGTTTTCTTGCATAATGACATAGTCTGTCCAATTGTACAATGCTCCTAGACGCTGGCAGTGTCCGCACTGAGGATTTCGTGCACCACCACGCAAGGCAAACTTGTACGCGCGTTACGGCATGTGTGCCCCTACCAGAACGAGACGCATCACGTACCAGTGATCTCATGTCGCAAACGATCTTTCGTGGACTACGTCAATTTCTCAACCAGTACCCGAGGCTGAAATGGACAGCCTCTGCTTTCGTATGGCTGCCTAGTGGTATTGTCTTCACGAAGAATTTCTATACGGTCAAACAAATATCCGGTCGGAGCATGACAGTTCGTATATTCAAGTGTTCACGATCAGGACGCTGGGCTTCTCATTTGTTAGCTAGCCTACTCTTAATCCTGATGAGTCGCTCTGGCAAGATGTTGCGGTGTTCGACCGGACCGTACAAGCCCTGAGAAGCTTAAAGCGAGGAGACATAATTGCTTTCAAGTTGCGTCTCCTGAGTGTTCATCTCGAAGCGTACAGACTGACAAGGCTCGGTCATAGGTCTCCCTTTGATCCCGAATATTTGATGGTGAAGCGGGTGGTGGCTCTCGCCGGTGACACTGTAAGCCGTACATCATATCTCAAGGCCCTCCGCATAACGTACGAAACAGGTTATGACCTTGCCTCCCTATCCCGATCATGAAGTAATCGTGCCTGAAGGTCACCTCTGGGTCGAGGGAGACGAGTTCTTCCATTCTGGTGACAGTAATCGTTTGGGGCCTGTAAGTTCGTTCCGAACCATATGGTTGCACATAGCATCGCTCATGACGTGGTCAGATACCCATTGGTCTGGTCAATGCGAAGTTGACGTGGATTCTGTTTCCACCCTCTCGTTACGGACCAATACAGGAACCGTCGATGCCTGACCCCTCTGAACGCTATGGACCTGCCTGGCGGCGTAAAATGGACGCGGTCACCCGTGAGCGAAAACGGATGGAGAGGGTTACTCAAGCTTCGCCATGACATCCTTAGCGGTGCGCAAGAGCTGGACTGAATGCTTCTGGTGGTGTTGACTACATTGTCGAAATGCGAACCATACCCACATTATAATGATAAAGATATACTAAGAGGAACGGAATATATACATATCCATACATGACGAAGGTCCGGATGCTCAGCGCTATTCCTAACTCGGTCCTACATCGCTCTCCCATAACCTTGGCCATTACCACCACTCGTCATATTCCCTACGTCGCCCATCTGACCAGCAAATGAACGGGGAGGTGGACCACCTGACGTCGGACTGGGGTAATCTTGATCGTACGCCAAGTTCGGTGTGGGCAGCCGGTCATCCATGGAGCCCGTGTGCGCATGACCCTCGGGGTATGCAGCATACCCTGTGGTGGAATACTGAGAATGCGCATTTGGATAATCATGGGGGTATGCCTGGGGATCATGGACGTAGTCTTGCTGACCGTAGTCGGGCTGCTGACCGGCACCATAGTGGTACTGGTCAGGCCCATCAAGCTGGGTTTTGCTTGCGCCACGGTCATCACCATACAGTGTTCGGTCATCACCGAAGCTCTGCGTCGACTGATATTGTTGGCCGTATGGCTGGCCGGCGTAGGCAGGCATAGGAGGGTAGTCGGTAGTCGCGTAGTCTTTCGGAGGATAAGCGGCCTTGTGGTCGGCGTTATAGTAGTAAGTGTCTTGGGTGTAGGTCGACGGAGCCGGGCCTCGCGTCTTCTGGGAGGCACCGTCATCAAACTCATCATCGTCCAAAGACACGTTGGGCAGGGTAGGCTGGGGGAGAGGTTGGTGGACGAGTTCGCCCTTCTTGTTCTTGAGATGGGAGAAGTCGCCCATGGCTTCCTTCTTCGCAAGAGCTTGCGCCTTCTGGAGCCGTTGCTTGTTCCGGCGGCGGATAATCTCGGCGATGCGCTGGACCACAGGTATCAGATGCTGTAAGCTGGAAGAGAATTGTCTGACGCATACCTTGTCGACTTTGTGGCAGACGTATTCCTTCAGGTTGCCCTGTATGTAGCAGAGCCAGGGGACGTAGCAAACACCCGCGATGATGAGCATGAGCATGGAGCCAGCGCAGATCAAGACGGTAAACAGCATGGAGAACGTCAACACCGTCGTCACAAAGGTATTTCCAGCGAAGTATTTTGTGAAGTCATCCCATGGGCCCTTGTCGTGCTTGGCGAGGTAAATAGCATAAAGGGTCAGAGCGTTGATAGTTTGACGAGGCGCGTCCGCGAGAAGAAGGCGCTTCCAACCTGGTGGATAACGTCAGATTACATGATACACGAGTGAAGGGGGTGACCTGACTCTTGAAGGTGAAGAAAATGAAGAAGGCGAAGTCGTCCTTCTTCTTGGTGGAATTAGAGATATGGCTGAAGAAACAAAAGTGGTTGTAGGACCCTAGGAATTGCATGAGCTTGGCAACTACAGCCGAGGTGAAATTCAAGGCGGACTAAGGGAGTAATAGTGGTTGGCCATGACGTTGGTGAAGGCGTAAGAGATGTCACGACTGGCGATGATCTTCTTCGACTTGTGTCCTTCGTACGCGAGCTGTTGATAATATTCAAGGCATGAAGCTGGGCGACCAAGAGCCGTTACTTACGAGGAGGAAAGACACAATGATGCAGCCGATGAATATCCATTTGCCCACTGTAAACGGGATGAAGACGCAGCCAGTGTTTGCAGTGTTCGAACAATTTGCGAAGACCTGGTTCGACCAGTTGTGGGTTGTGGCCATCGTAATGGCCGTGAAGATATCGGAGATGTAGACGAGGAAGGATTTGAGGACGATGATGTAGAGCCACAGATACTTCATGCGCATGCCGAAGCCATTGTCGGTGAACTCGCGGGTGTCAACGAAGTCGAACTAATTTGGCATTTGAATACTCCGAGATTATGCTGAGCGGTCGTTCTTGCTCACTTTATGGTCGGGGACGACCTCACGTTTCCACGAGCCAGCTTTGCACATGGTTGTTTCAGGATGATGGTTGGTGTTGGGCTGGATGGTTAAGTCGGCAGTGAAGAGAGGGGGCAGGTGCGGAGTCCGTGGCCAGCCAGCCGGTCACAGACACGACGACCTTGAGTGTAGAGCGAGCGACGAGGCCGATGCGGACAGAGAGGGAGAAACCAGGAGAAACCCAGACGAGGCGGGGACAACGAGACAGCCGGGGCGCGCGCGCAGGGCAACGCCTTCCCACGCCAAATATATCTCTTCAGTTACTCCTGCCACAATGACGACCCTTCAAAAGATCAAAGTACGACGCTGTCCATTGTCGAGATGCATTCGGGGGCTAATTACCATGCCAGGAAATTGAAGATGAGATGGTGCGTGCGCGCTCTCGATCCCCGTCGGAAATACTTGACCTACCAGTACTTTGCAGGCCAAGAGTGAGAGATCAGTTTGTCATAGCGTACACTTGATAGCTCAGCATCCGTGTAGCCCAAAAGAATAAGGCCACGAGCTACCATCTGGGCCAGCTCAAGGCCAAGCTCGCGAAACTCCGGCGCGAGCTGATCGCTGGGCCTAGCGCTGGCGGAGGGGGTGGAGGAGGCGTCGGCTTCGACGTCGCGCGAACAGGCATAGCGTCGGTCGGATTCGTTGGGTTTCCGTCTGTCGGAAAGGTCTGTAGTTGACACGTCCGACTCACAATGTACTGATTCGATGTGTCCATCGCAGTCGACGCTCATGTCGAAGCTTACGGGCACCCACTCTGAAGTATCGGAAATCGAATTCACGACTTTGACGACCGTCCCAGGAACCGTCAAGGTTCACGGGGCTCCTATACAGATCCTGGACTTGCGTCAGTAAGCTCGTTCTCTGTTTGAGCAACCCTCTCTCACACGTCTCCGCCAGCTGGTATCATTGAAGGCGCTCAAGATGGTCGGGGTCGAGGTCGTCAAGGTATGCACTCAATCAACCCCATATAACCCTGTGACACTGATATACCGTGCTAGTCATCGCCGTCGCCCGAACATGTAACCTCATCTTCATCGTGCTCGATGTCCTGAAGCCCCTCGGAGACAAGAAAATCATTGAGTCTGAACTGGAAGGTTTTGGCATTCGCCTGAACAAGAAGCCGCCGAATATCACAGTATGTCGCAATGTCGTCTTCACTTCGTGATCAATTTCATCATGTGCAGGTGAGGAAAAAGGACAAAGGCGGCATTGCCATCACCAATACCGTCCCACTCACGAACATTGACCATGATGAGATTAAAGCTGTTCTCAGCGAGTACAAGCTGAGCAATTGCGATGTCGCGATTCGCGAGCCGAACGCTACATCAGACGATCTGGTGGATGTCATCGAAGGCAACCGAGTATACATCCCCGCGATATACGTTCTCAACAAGGTACCAGAACATGATTCATCCCATGAGCTCTCATTCACATATCAAATCGCTGCAGATTGACGCAATTTCGATCGAAGAGCTCGACTTATTGTACAAAATACCGTATAGCGTGCCCATATCATCCAAGGACTGGCTTAACGTCGACGAACTCATCGATGTCATGTGGAAAACCCTCAACCTTGTCCGCGTCTACACCAAGCCCAGGGGTTTGCCGCCGGACTACTCCACCCCCGTTGTTCTACGGCAAGGCAAATGTTCCATTGAAGACTTCTGCAATTCGATTCACAAGGAGATTGCGAAGCAGTTGAAGTAGTGCGTATACTGCTATCACTGAAGAAGAAGCCGTTGACAGTTTTGCAGTGCGGTTGTCTGGGGGGCAAGCGCTAAGCATGCCCGAGGGCAGAAAGTCGGACTGGAACATATCTTGGCGGATGAAGATGGTGCGTGCTTCCCATGCTTTACGAATCCGAGGTTAATGCTGTGACAGTGGTACACATCGTCAAGAAGTAGGCTCTTGTGCAGTCACAGTGCTTCATTAGTCGTTCTGTTATCGTCATTCACAATGTATCACCAGTCCATACTCACGAGTGTAAATAAACAAAACTAAGACGCAAGAATGCCCAGACGAGCCCGACAGCACAGTACACACTGGTCAACATCAAGGGCAAAAATTCCATCGTGTTCACTGGAACGCTTTCTTTGACCTGCGTCACTGTGCAGGGATAGTCTAGATCACCGCAATCCGTTCTGTTACCTATATCCAGCTTCGACACTGGCGCAGACGATGTGGCCTTCATGAGGTAAGGGAGGATGGTGACAAGCAGCTGAAGGGCGAAGAAGCCGTTCAGGTAAAGCTTTTCAATAGCCGCTACTATCACACCAGGCAACGACCGTGGATATCTATGCACCATCAGTACGATAAACATAAGATTATAGCGTCGACGTACTGATATAGCCTGCGGCTCAGAGGATAAAACGTCATGTAGGTCCAGAGAACACTGTAAACGACTTTGACGAGTGTCTCTGCAGGAAACCTGGGTATGAGTGTCACATTATGCTAAGGAGAATAACGTACCCGCAGGCGTGAATAATAACGGAAATAGTGAGTATACGCCGCTGATGCTTGCGATCATGAATGTCCGGAGCATCACGTAGTTATCTGTTGCGAGCAAGCTTGAGGCAGAGGGTTCATTTACTCTGCTGTTTGTGAAAAGATAGGGTAACGACGACTCACCTAAAAGGAACGAGGACGAGCAGAATGGCTTTTTCGTGCACATGCCAGCCGAACATGAACGAAGTGTATCCGCAAAGAGTCAAGGCCGCAACGAAGCTCTTGTAAGTGGGCGTCCGGAAAAGCTTGGCCATGAAGATCTATTGCACAAATCCCAATTAGAAGTAACCGTATCCTGGACCACATATCACGTACAGCTTGGAAGAACAGGGTGATCGCAAACGTGTGTACGGGCTTCACGTTGGGAATGACTGCAAAGACTGTGTCTCCTACGAGCCCTCTAGACGTTGATGCGACACCTGTTTCGTTGACGATAGCGTTGGAGCCTAACCGTTGAGCCACTGCGTACACTATCAGATTCCGTTCCGGAAATGATCATCGATTTTAAACCTTTGAGCAGGACCCTGTCAGTTGCAGTGACCAACGACCAGAAGTTCGGCGCCCAGTATGCGTGGTTGAGTCCACGAGTGAACGGGAACAGGCGCGAAAGCAGTTGAGGCAGCTGCCCCATCAAGGCGAACGGACCTAAGGAAAGGAGAAAGACTGCGATCACGGTGTTCGCGAGCGCAAGGAAACGAGTGGGTAGCAATGACATTTGTGCTGTCATGCAATACGAGCGTAGCATATAGACGAAGTAGGCAGGCTGCAAGGCCCAGTCAGAATTCGACTATACAACGGCCAGGGGGATACTTACCGCGATATACATGTAGATATGCTTGAAGTTCAGCAGTACGGCAAAAAGGAGCCCACTGATCAAGTTATGGCCCTACCCGATATCAGTACACAATCGCGCGTCGACGTAGACAACACTGACCTCTCTCGCCATTACTAGGGACCACAGCAGAATTCCGAACATAAAACCATTATATTGGAAATGAATGTGGTCCACGATCAGGAACCCAGGGTGCGCGAACAGGGACGCCAATACTATCCGCTGGGTATTTTGGTTGACTGATCCTCTGATGAGCCTAGGTTGTCTTTGTCAGATGCAACCCGTTGGGCGTCAATCTTATTCGAACCTAAGAAGTGCTGCTCCCATGACAAGTTCCGTGAGAGTGACCGTGATACGTTGATAAACCACCACGGTCCATGCCGAGTAGTTAAGATTGTTGATGTCGACAATAGCTGGGTCTATGAAGTATGCCGGAATAGACATAATCTTCTCGAAATAAGCGAAAAAGGGCGGGTAGTCCAAGGCTGGCGTGGTGTTACAGTAGTGAGCGAGGAACCAAGGGTAGAATGCTCACTCCATTCCGATGTCGTCTGAGGGTCATGGTCAGTGGCCTCTCGCGACTACAGCAAGAGACACGTATTACATCATGGTACCATTGGGATATCGGCAATGAATGCGTGATAGCAAGCCAGTTGCGATGAACTTCGAAGTCTGTAGACCGGCTGGAAGAATACATGCCGTCGGTATATCACTTGAAAGGCACCATGCACGGCCAACAATGAATCTTACTACGCAGGAAATAGCAGTAGTTTCAGCGCTGTCGAACACACGAATACATCCCATTCCGCGGGTGCGAGTCTCCATGAATTATGCGGTGGCTCGGGAGTCAGGTCTGTTGGACCATCCACCTGCTTGTTGGGAGCATTTTTGCCGGAAGATGCAGCAGTTGTGGTGGGCTCGTCGAGTGCAGGTTTTCGTGATGTGTGTGTTCTGGTCATCGCGCAGCAAGTAGGGGACAAGGGCCACTGTTGTCAGTCGGGGAGGTGATCTATTTTTGGCACGTGCTGTGACACGTCTGCAAGCGCTGCACGTCCCAAGGAGAAAGGTACAGACTTGGCCTCGTATACCGCGATGCTCCTACCACGCCTGCTCGGTCTATTGGCCATAGTCCTGCCTTCGCTGGCGCTGGCGGACCACTCCTTTGAAAATACCGCCATCGTCCGCACAATCGATCTCTTGGGCTCTGTCGTCCACGTCACGACAACATACGCGGTCAAGGCTCTGGAAGATTCATCAGCATATACCATCGCTTTGAGTCAGGAGGACGCAGAACGAACGAGCTTCATTGAAGCCAAAGTCAAGGGCGCGAAGGATGCCCTCCCTCTTCAGAAGGAGCTGCGGAACCCCAGCAGGCAAGTCTTTTGGCAACGTATGCTGAACAACAGGTGCTCATGCCTCCGGTACAGCGGCGTAGCGCTCTACACCGTGGAGCTTCCTAGCTCTCTTAAAGCAGGCTCAACCCTAAACCTCGTTTTAGAAACAGCGCAGACTCACGCCATCTACCCGTGGCCAAAGGAAGCAGCCCAGGGCGACGAGCAGGCTCTCAAACATGACACGGACTTATTCGTCCTCAGCCCGTACAAGATCGCAGTGCAGCGAACAAAAATACGGTAGGCTTCGGGCCGTCTACATACCTTCGCGTTGCTCATAGCTATCATCAGCGTTCCTTCACCCAAAATCATCTCGTATACCACGCCGGAAGGAGTCGAAGCGTTCACCACGGATGCTGTTGCGACAAAATCAGGCGCTACCGTGACCTACGGACCGTTCTCTAACTTCGGGCCCTCTGCGTCAGAGGACTTCCTCGAGGAACACCAGAAGCGCGTCAGTGTGCGCTTCCACCACGAGTTCCCGGTGCTTGAGGTCAGGAAATTGAAGCGTTCCGCTGAGATCAGCCATTGGGGAGCGAACCTCAACATCCAAGACGAGATCGATTTGTACAATGCCGGGCCCAAGTATGTAGAGCATGCTGTCGCGCGCTTGTTTGTTCTGACATGCACGTTGGAAGATTGAAGGGACATTTCTCGCGACTAGAGCACCAGACGCACATGTTCTACAACCACCCAATGTCAACCGTTCTCCGACAGCTCGCTCTGCAGCTGCCCCCCGGGATCCACGACGCATACTACGTGGACATCGTCGGCAACGTCTCGACGTCCAAGCTGCGTACCGTGCCTTCCGTCCCTAAGGGCCAACGCGCCGCCAACCACAATCAGCATTCGATACTCGAGCTCAAGCCCCGCTACCCACTTCTCGGTGGCTGGAATTACAGCTTCACGATCGGTTGGGATTCGCCTCTCGGCGACTCGGCGGCTTATGATGCCAAAGAAGGGCGTTGGATTGTCGCCATCCCCATCATGACGCAGATCCCAGCAGCCGTCGTTGACGAGGCGGAGGTTAAAATCATCCTGCCCGAAGGCGCGACGTGGGTGTACCTCCATTTGTCATGCGCGAGATACAAATCTGATTATCGGTGACAGGGACGTCGAGGTCTTCCCGCCTTTCCCTCCGAAGATGATGACTAGGTCAACGCACGTCACCTATCTTGACACTGTCGGCCGCCCAGCCGTCTCGTTTGAGTACGAGCAGCTAACGGACAAGCATGTGGGCACCATCTACGTCAGTAATCTCCCACTCTCAACGTCACCGATTCGAGTCATGCTAATATCCACTGCAACCAGGTCTCATATAAGGTATCAACTTCAGCGCATCTCAAGAAGCCGTTTGCAGTAGCGACGGCTTTCATGACGTTATTTGCCCTTGCCCTTGCTGCTCGGCGTGTAGATCTGAGCATCGAGAAGGCCACAAAGTAGCCGTCTGTATGAAGTTCTTAGGCCAATACACTATGTGATATCAAACCGCCGAAACACAGAAGCACGCGGACCAGCGAGGTTCATCCGCGCGGGCAGCCGAAGATCACCCAGGCAATTATGCGATGCAGGAATGAATCACGGCTAACGATACATTGTCGTATAAGGCTGCCGTGCGACTAGTGCCCAACGCTACCGCTTGTACTCCTCTTGGTTGCGAATCCAACTGTGCAACGTCAGGAAATTGCATTGAGCCGGCGTGGCTGCCCTATAAACGAGGATTGAGCGCTCAAAGAGTCGTTAAAGGCGAGGAAACTTACGGCTCTAGGAATAGGTATATACCCTCGACGCCCTTGTTGTCGGGACACGAGTAAAAAGCACCCTGGTTCGTCTTGCCGCGTCCTAGCGTACTTCCGGTTTCGAAAATGAGCATCGTCCCTTGCCATCTCCAGAATCCGGGTATTCCTCTGCGTTTCTTGGACAGCTCGAGTTTCAGAGGAGGGAGCGCCTTTGGCCGGGGAGAATTGGCGTAGGGGTCGTCGTGAGCGTTGCTGGAACCGGTCTGGTCGTTGAAAGACACCTTTGGCGAAGCCGTCGGCGCAGGCGAGGTCGCAGTCGCGGTCACGTTCACGACGTTGACGTTGAGGATGGTGGTCTCGTTGACGACCTGGTAGAGCTGGTTATCCCTGGGGTTGATGAAGAACATGGGTGGAGCGGGGTCATAGTATGCTATCGCACCGCCGCCCAGGCCTGACTCACAGAGGAAACGCGTCAAAAGGCGAATGCATGACTGCGTGCAAACGTAGCCTCACCCTTGTCCCCAGAGACGGTAAGGTATTTAGGAGGTGCTTTCTGATTAACGTCTTCCCCTCGATACTTTGGGCCAATAGCCTGGTGGCGCTCTATCAACATAAGACAAACGGTACCGGAAGCAGCACATACCTGCACGAACCCGGCGCCAGGGACGAGAGAGGTGACCGAATCTCGCGAAGCATAGCCCTCCCAGGTGGGGATCGCGAGCGTCGTGGACAGGAGCGTAAGAACCAGTGCCGTCAGACGGAACATACTTCCAGCAAGTATTGCAGTAGCAGATCGCGGAGCTCTTCACTAGCGATAACCTTGAGGTGAGCCGTCGTCGGGTGCGCCTGCTCGGGGCCGGTATTTAAGAGTGTCGGATAAGCATCGCTGCATGCAATGGCGACGTGGAAGATCAGGAAGGGTCTCGTCGCCGACCGCCTCGTAGCGTCGCTGCAGCATCAAGTGACCGGGGCTTGTCCTCTTCGCGTACAATGGGCGGTCCGAGGTCGAGCCGCGGATAGGATTCGGAGTGACGTCACACAGAGCCGGCTGTGACGACCACGTGCGAGTCGCGACGCGTTTTCCTGGCTTTGCGGCGATGATGTCCATCTCTGCGCGACGGAGCAGGTTCCGGCCGTGCATAGACCTCCACGACGGCCAAGTCAAGCAGATTGTCGGCGGGACATTGTCGGACGATGACCCGAGCACTCTCAAGACGAACTTCGTCGCGAGGTACGTGCTTGCCGTAGAGACTGCCGTGCGAAGAGCTGAACGAAGGTGTCAGTGAATCCCCTGCAGATTTTGCTCGCTTGTACCGCAAACATGGTCTCACTGGTGGTCATGTCATAAAACTTGGTCCTGGCAACGATTCCGCTGCGAAAGAGGCCCTGGCAGCCTGGCCAGGTAAGATCGCATAAGCCGCCCATCCATCACCCACCGACCGTTCTCAAGATGGATTACAGATCGGAGGGGGCATCAACGACAATAACGCTGCGGAATGGATATCTTCTGGGGCGAGCAAGGTATGAAGGCAGCTCATGTTCAACTGATCCGTGATATTAACGGCCACACACAGGTTATCGTTACTTCATATCTTTTCCCGGGTTGTAATTTCTCTTTGGAGAGATTGCAGCTTATTTCTGCTGCCGTAGGGAAGGACAGGCTGGTCGTGGATGTCAGGTATGAAGTCGGTACTCTTCTTCACGCGTGGTCTTCTTCATCGGCTATTTTCAGCTGCCGAAGAAGAGACGGCAAATGGATGGTTGCCATGAATAAATGGCAAGACATCACGGATATGGAAGTTTGTAAAGGCGAGACTTCAAGAATCAAAGGACCCGTTTCTGTGACCACGTGCTGATGTTTCGGAACAGAAACCCTCGATGTGCTATCCGAATATTGCAGGTGACTGGATCTTCGTGTTAGAACTGCAACATAACTGACGTTTGCCAGCGAGTTTCTAATACACGCCGCGGATGTTGAAGGCTTGTGCCAAGGAATTGACGAGGAACTTGTCTCCAGTATGCCGGCGCTCCCTGATGATATGTACTCTACAACCTAACGTTCGTCCAGAGCTTGGAGAATGGGTTCGGATACCCACGACGTACGCCGGGGGCGCCAAAGGTAAGAGCAAGTTCTCACCAGGAGCGTAAACCATGCCCTGATATGTTAACCGTAGCCCTCTCCGACCTTGACCTCGTCGAGCAATTATCAGAGGGCCGTGTGGATCTTACCTACGGAAGGTCTGCCAAATTTGCTCCTGTCCCCTTGTACGTCGCTCTGAGATCGTTAACTCAGTTCATTGGACATTTTCGGAGGAAATCTCGTAAAGTTCGCCGATCTTGTAGCACGGAACAACTCTATTTAAGCAAGCAAACATCGACATGTATGATGGTAGAGAATGAAGGGATGGTTGGCCGTTATGTGGCTGTGCTGGGATCTTCGATCGAGAATGCATCATAGCAGGCTTCGCTCGCGATCCCGTTCCACGCGCGTGTGCGCTCTGACCAGGCTGGTCAGTATTAAAGTCCTGGCGACTCCAAGCTGCTTACCCTCTTACCACGACCATGCATCTGTCCCTCAGCTCGTTGTTGCTTGCGCCGGTCGCAGTCTCTGCGCTGGCGACGCCTCTCGCCGTCCAGACCCCACTCAACAGCCTCGAGCCCAAAAAGGTCCCTGTGACGCTCGGGGTCATGTCCCGATGCCCCGACGCTTTGACCTGTGAGGCTGTCTTCGATAGGGTGCTCACGCAAGTAGGGAACAAGGTGGATCTGAGTCTGTCGTTCATCGGCACGTAAGTGATAGCTGCGCAGCCGCTCGGAGCGCAGCAGCTAATTGTTCAGATATATCTCAGGCTTAATGCGTCCGAACCCGACTTCGGAGTGACCTGTATGCACGGTCCGGAGGAGTGCAGGGGCAACGTGCAGGAGCTCTGCGCATCTAAATACGCGCCGCTCGAGAAATGGTGGGACTTCATCCACTGCCAAAACTACGAGGGCAGGTACAAAGTGGGGAACCCTGATGTCGCCCTGCGCTGCGCCCGGACGGCGAAGCTTGACCTCGAAAACAGCGGCATCGGGGAGTGCATCGGCCCGGACGCGAGCGGGACGGGGGAGGAGGGCGTGAGGCTGCTCAAGGAGAGCGTGCAGAACAGCAAGGATTTGGGCATCGAGTGAGCTCTTTTGGCCTTTGGGCCCGGGGATCGGACGAAGCTGATCTCTGATAGAAAAAGCTGCACCGTTATCATCAACGGCGAGTTCGTATGCATTCGCGACGGAACATGGAAGCAATGCGAAGTACGTCATGAATTGTCTCCTGACACCCTCGCTGAACGTTCACTCTCAGAACGGCCACGAGCCTGAGGACTTCATCCGCCAGATCAACAACGAGTACAACAAGATCAACGGCCTTTCTTTCGACTGAAGATCTTCCACTGTAGGCGTCATGGGGTGTATGCTTTGTGCCGTGGACACGCGCTCGACAACATGGTATTGCACGATCCGCGATTCTATTCGTCTAGCCTCCGAGTAGGAGCTCGTATATGATCAATGCTATGTTGAGTATTATCAGAGGTACTGTTGGTGTCAGTGTACATTAGCTTTGGTAGCATATGCAGTGGTCTAGCAGGCGCACTTCGTAACAGTGTCCGAACTGCGCTTATGAGATTGATGAGGCGCCCTTTGACGCCGATATCCTGTTGGCCAGCAAGACCTGGCTGGTCATAACCTTGGGCGTAACCTGCTGCTACCGGAGGCTGTTGCACAGTGGACCAGCCAACTGGAGGACACGCGGTTCAACGAGCAAGTTCGCTTAAGCGTAACGCGACTCGCTTACTCCGGGCAAGGAAGCGCTCTTCGCTGAGAACGGCTATCGAGTTGATGAGCAGTACGGAGACATATATGAGCGTCCCGAGATAGAGCATCGGTGAGGTCGAGAGCAAGGAATGTGCACACCCGAGGACGTGCCCTCTCCGCTGCAGCACGTAGCGCTCACGTGCGCTTCGCACTCGTTTCTCCTCCCGTCATGCAGACACTCGGACGTGGTGTCCGCAGCGGTACGTCTCCCAGCCACGTCTCCAGAAGCTAGGCATTGGACTGACGAGAACGTACCAGCAGCTCTTGCGGCGCGCCAGGGTCTGACGGCGCAGCCGACTGCGTCCTCCTCCCGAGTGCAATGGGATGCCCGGCGAAAGTACGTGCACTCCGAGAGATCCCGGCTTGCGGCATGACTGAACCGAGCACATAGCATCTCATTTCCGAACATACGACCGGTAGAATGGATTCGGAAGCGCCTTGAAACGCGCGTAATGGAGGCCCCTTCCGAAGAGGAATTGGCACGCACCCGCAAAGCAGAGGGCGGTGTTTTCGACGACTTGGAGCCCGACACCGCCGGCGTGTCGAAGGACGGGGAAATTGGCGCAGCGGCCAAGACCGTGCGCATACGTCCGCAGGAGAAACATGACCACGTCAGTACATTGTCGTCTTGTGCACATCCCGCATCGGACCTAATGCCCCTTCGGACGACCAGCATAAATACTCTACCGCAAACTTCAAGATATCACATCGCAAACTCAACGATCTCGGTCGGCAGATCTCTGGCAAACCCATCGACTATGCCATTTTGCAGATGAAGTTCAGCGAGAAGCGAGCGAGCAAGCGCATCAAGAGCATGCTGGTCGTCGCGAAGAATCACGCGGTCGCCTATAAGGGCTTGGATGAAAAGAAGCTTGTCGTTTGTACGTCTCGCATGGAGTATTGCTCCGCGTACGGCCCGTCTCATTCACTGTATTTCCAGCTGAGGCATGGGTGGCCAAGGGCCCGAGAAGCATCAAGCGGGTTGAAATAAAGGGACGAGGGAAACATGGTATCCGTACGCACCCTGACTCCAAGCTCAACGTTGTGCTGCGAGAAGGTAAGACGTGGGCGGAGAAGGTCGAGCAGGAGCGGGCTCGCAAGCTGCGTAAGATCGTCTCTGCCGGCATCACGCGGGAGGACAAGCCTCTGCGCAATCCGGGCGCGATGTGGGCATGGTAGCCCACATACAACGCACCTGTCGTTTGCCATATTAGCCGTTTTGCGGCGTAATCGAGGTTTTTTTCCCCATATCCTTGGGCGGTGTGAGCTCGATATGATACGACTATATACCCTGCTCTGTCCGTGCAGACAACCAGATACGCTAAAAGAAACAGGGAGCAGTCCGACCGGTGATTCCTCATGACATCATAATGTAAAGTAAGGAAAGAGGGTACGACACACAAGAGACAGTGGATTGACGACAGCATAGAGATGACGGAAACAGCTACGATACGCTCGCCTACGGCGGTAAATGTTCAGTTCGCGAATGACTTGGGGCGCTCGCCGAGGTCTGACTCCTGGAAGCGGGCCTTCGGAGGCAGGAACTCCGACGAGGTGGAGACGTTGCGCAGGTGGGAGGGACGGAGGAGCTGCGCCGTTGAGCTGGACGCCGTGGTGGTACCTGGCAGAGGTGGGACGGTGTCCGTGGTACCCTGAGTGGCGATCGATCCGGTAGAAGGCCGGCCGCGGATGGACTGGGCTGAAGGTGGACGCTCCGACGGCCCTGAGAGGGGTGATGTGATCGGTTGCGGCGCTACGACGGGCACGCCACCCAGGGGAGACAAGGGAGCTGAAGGAGCACCGCCCGGATGCCCGGTGAACGGGTTGTTGGACGTGGATGGCATCATGGAATAGGGCCTGGCCATAGACGGAGCCATCGAGTTCGGTCGCGGAGCGGCGCTTGTGCTGGCCATGGAATAGGGTCGGTCCATGGAGAGCGCGCTCGACTTCGGGCGAGCGAAGCCCTTGAGGGTGTCGCCGTCGTACTTGCCGTATCCGGGAGACGGAGGCGAGAACATAGTATCCTCCGAGATCGCCATCGACACAGGCTCGTAGTTGTGCGTGTCGGGTGGCGTGAACGCATCCGGGTGTGAAGGAGGGCCCATGGGCATCGGGCTCATGCGGCCGGGGTTGGCGCGTTTGCGTGAGAAACGACTGACGCCGCCGCGAGAGCTACGCCGGCGACAGAGGTACACGACGACGGCGATGCAGAGGACGAGCAGCACGAGGGCGTTGAGCGCCATGACGGCCGCCATGGCCGGCAAGTACTTGCCGAGCTTGTCGATGATGTCGGCGACATCTGTCGAGATCGAGATGGTGGTGGAGGCGCTGTTGGCCGTCGAATTGGACGCGTTGTAGGTGATGCCAGTGCGCGCCGTCGTGCCACGGGCCGCGGCGAAGTCCTTCGAAGCCTCATCGGGATCGACGACCGACAGAAGTTTGACGTACGGGTTACCCATGTACCCGGAAGAGTCGAAGTCACCAAAGTCGTACACGGAATACATAGAGCGCAGGGTGCTATCACCCATTAGCCAGTCGCTAGGTGGTCGTCAATGACATTGCTCGAAGGTCTACAAGGGCGAACGACGCACAACTCGCCGGCACCGACCGAGACACCGGATGGAACGAAGGAGCCAACACATTTCGAGCTATCAGTCGGACTGGTTGGGGTGATATCCAAAGGATGAAGAGGGTATACCACGCCGCTATTGGTGTGGCAATCAGCATACTACGTAGACTCGTACCAAGAAAAGTACGTGCCCAAATTGGAGCGCCATGTCGATCTCCTGGTTACACGGCACAACCCATTGCCCGAGGCTAGAGTCGTAGCTCGCACCCTTGATGCTGCCGTATATCGCCTGCACGATATCAGTGGGCGCATAGCTGAAAGATAGCGCGATCAACACCAGTCAAGCAACGATCCGTGGAGAGTCGCTCACGTATACGAGGTGCCGCTGTCAAGCAACGCAACTGCCCGGTTTGAAGGAGCACCGGACACTGTGGTGGAAACGGAGAGCGTCGTGTTGCCCACGATTACAGCTTCGAGCAACACATTCCAGCGCTTCGGGTACGCCACTGGCCACGTCGGCAATGCCACACTCTTGTTGACGTCCTCGTAGCCTTCTTCCACCTCGCCAATGGAGAACATACCCTCTACATCATCTGTCGAGTTGTCCGTAGACCGTTGGAGGGCGAACGCGATGAAATTGGGCTCGGAAGGGTTGTCAAGGAAGGCGTTGTAAAGGATGGACCGCCCGGTAGAGGCGCCCGTGCCATTGACGAGCGCGTCGATGGTAGAGAGCGACGTGAAACCAAGGCCGAGGATGCCATCGGCGCCGTAGGACAACGCCGGGTTGTTGGCTTGAGAGACATCGAGGAACGCCTGTTTGGGAATGGAAATGCCAGCGAACTCGGCGGAAGCGTAAGAAATGTGACCATACGCCCAACCAATCCCATACTAATCGAACGGTCAGCCGGAAAGCAGGGATCGTGAGAACAACATACCGTGAGGTTGTATGTCGTGGACGTTTCGGTGGTGTTGGGTAGCGGGGATGAGGAGCCTTTTATCCAGAGGTCGGACGACCCAGTGTCAAGTTGCACAGTGTAATCTGCAGGTACTGTTCATCGGTGCCCAGCGCAAGCGATGGTCAGAGGACGTACCCGTCCCACCGAGGGTGACCTGTGCAACGGATCAGCGCAAGTAGGTCGAGACACGGCCAATGCACCCACGTTTGCCATATATATGAGATCATGAACCGTGCTGCGAAATGGGGCATTCGCATCAAGGGGGCTCCAAGAACTAGCGCGATACTGACCTGAGGTCGACGCCGTCGTCGTCGTCCGCGGAGCTGCCGGAGGCGAGGACCTTGTATTTTGACAAGGCGGTGGACGGCTTTGAGACGGACACGGTGCCGAAGCCGCTGCGCTTGGGAAGTGGCGTGCGGCGAGTCTGTTTGACCGGAATGCGGATAGCGTCCGAGGTAGCTGCGGCGGCGGCAAGGGTGATAGCGAGAAGAGAGAGCTTCATGCTGGGCCAACGGGGACTAAAGAGCGACTGGAAGGAGGGTGCGTGGCCGTCTGTCGGACGGAGGAGGACGAGAGCTGGAGGGCGCCGCCGCAGTGCTGGCTGGACGATGCGGCGAGCAGCGGCGACACGCCGGCCGTCGCCTCGTCTGTTGTTTCCTGGGGTGTGAGTGTGGCTGTGCGGGCGCCTGTTGCCGGGTCAAGGCGCGTCCTGTGACCGCCCCGGCTCGTGCACCCGGTCATGCACCTCCAACAATGCCTCGGGACGCCGTCCGCCGCTTCCCCGCGTTCCCCACATCCCCCCTTTCCCCCTCCCCACCTCCACCATGGCCGCCAGCAGGAACACCATCGCCCGGCTCATGAATGCAGCCCAGCACTCCATGTGCCCCTGCCACAGCTGCGCATCCTCAGCAGCGCACACCCACGGGCATGCCATGAGCGCATTGACCCAGATGCGCAAGTATGCAACCCCGGTCGACCATCCCCAGAAAGAGTATGCGTTCGAAGTCGCCGCTTCCAACTTGCGCTTCGGAGATGGTGCGACGCGTGAGGTCGGCATGGACTTCAAGAATATGAACGCGCGGAAAGTAGGCGATCGACGATATGCCCACGTCTCTCAGCTTGTTGATCTTCCACGAAGGTGGGCGTGTTCACAGACCCAAACCTCGCCAAGCTGCGACCGATGCAGACAGTGAGTGGCCTTGGATATGTGAGACGTTTTAAGGCCTTCCTAACACGCTTTACGTCAGGTCATTCAGTCCCTCGAATCTCAAGATGACCTGCCTTTCGAAGTGTACGACAAAGGTACGCAGTCGTGAGCATGGCTGCCCAAGCGTTCCTTGAACATCAAATTGGTAGTCGTCGCGGAGCCAACCGAGGCCAGCTGGCGCGAGGCGATTGACTGGGCGCGAAAGCATGACTTCAGTCATTTCCTAGCGTAAATCGTCTTACATTTATATATCCACGATCCATCGCAGCCTGCTAATTGATGGTCTCGCAGTGTCGGTGGTGGAAGCGTCATCGATACCGCAAAGGCCGCGAACCTGTACGTTGCTCGGAGCACGGGCGAGTATCGCCGCCGGTGGTAGACTGTCGCCGATGTCTTCTTTCCTTCTCAGATTTACCGTGTACAAGGACGCGGATCTCTTCGACTTCATTAACGCTCCAGTCGGCAAGGGCTTGCCGGTGACGCAAGCTCTCAGGCCGCTCATAGCGGGTGAGCCGCCCATGAAATTGACGTCGATCACGACGCGAATAAAGCATGGACTTGCGTCCTTCCAGTGCCCACCACTGCCGGTACCGGGTCCGAAACCACTGGTACAGCTATACTTGACATCACTTCGATGTCGTTCAAGACCGGCATTGCGAACCGAGCCCTCAAGCCTACGTTAGGTAAGCCGGACCTCGAGGCAGTCTTAATAACCATCGTGTTTATATGCACACCGCTATGTCAGGCATAGTGGACACGTACAACACTGAGAGCTGTTCCCGGGAATTGCACATCAGTGCCGGTCTCGATGTCTTGTTCCATAGTATGGAAAGCTGGACCGCGATTCCGTACGTGCTCGAACGGCTCGATAAGTCGCTGCAGCGCCTTGATTTCATTCAGTTACACCGAGCGTTCGCCACGACCGGAGAACCCGAAGCTTCGTCCGGCCTATCAGGGCAGTAATCCGGTAGCAGACGTATTTTCGCTCTGGGCACTGAGAACCACTGTAAGCATCCATCACCGCGCGCCTCATTTCACTTGTTTGATCCGTTCGATGGCTCAGGTCGAGAATCTCCCTCGCGTCGCGAGGAACCCGGAAGATAAAGAGGCACGACGCCAGATGCTGTGAGTGTGATCGTAACCTCCCGTACTCCGGTACTTATTTGATTTTATCGAGACTCGCCTCTTCGTTTGCTGGCATCGGCTTCGGAACTGCGGGTGTCCACCTTTGTCATGGAATGAGCTACCCAGTAAGTTTGCGATCGCAGCGTCTTCGGCATTGTATATTCAATACTATTTATCAACACAGATTTCAGGGCTTAACAAACAGGGACCGAAGTACAAACATCCTGGATATCAAGTCCCTCACCCAATTATTCCGCACGGTGTTTCCGTGGCGCTGACGGGTCCGGCCGTCTTCTCGTACATCGCCCCCTCTTCGCCCGACCGTCACCGCGAAGCGCTCGCCATCTTCCTGGGTACGTCCGTCACGGACCCTTCTGTCCTCCGTATCCCGGACGGAGAGATTGGTAGCCACCTCTACGAGGCCATTGCACGATTCCTGGATGGGCTGAATGTGCCGAGAGGCTTGAAAGCGGTAGGTTACACGAACGCGGACGTGGACAGGTTGGTAGATGGAACGATACCGCAGCGCAGGGTGTTGGACTTGGCTCCGGGAGTAGGAGATGTCGCTGGCGAGGACGGGAGGGAGGCCCTGACGAAGATAATCCAGGCGTCTATGGAATATTAGGAATCCGGCCGCCAGAACGCAATGTACCATATCTTGTCAGTCGAACTGCTTCCGCCCCCCGCGCCCGATGAAATGCTCGTATAGGTGCATCGTGTTACAGTCATAGTGCAGATTGTGCCTCATCCCAGTACCTCCGAGCCTCTGCGTCCGTGAAAGGTGGCTGGAAGTAACGACACCGCGTACGGAAAGCTGACGAAGGTATCACCATCAGATGAATGTTGAACCCCAAGTCGGTGATATACTGCACCTTCAATCGCTCGTTTTCGTACTAAAGCGTCGACGTAACGTTCATTACGAACCTGCCTTGCCTAGGGGTAAGATTTCAGCGTCTCCCTCGACAACACTAGAGGCTCGACTCACCTTCACTTCCTCAGCATATACAGCTCCTTGCAACTTTCTTTGCAAAGCAGGATCGCTCGTTTCGGATATTATCTGCTTCTTCTCGTCCATGGATTGGTCAACAACGCCGACACAGTACTCGATTATCTTGCTCCGTCGTTGCCAGTTCTCTACGGTATTGCTTAGTGTGCAATGACTCGATCGTTAGACGACCGAAAGCGCACCGACAAGCTCCTTCCAGAAGTACGCGCATGCCTGGTCCTGCACGTCGCCCTTGGCCAAGGTCCCCAAACGATCTCGATCTCGAAATTGAGCCTGGGTCCGATTGAGCCGCATCGTAACAGTGTCATCTAGGCGCCGGTATTCCTTGAGTAGCTCTTCTGGATATGAGTTGATGCAACACGGTAGGGTCGGCGACAGGCGAACATACCTTTGAACGATGACAGGTCGCCGCATAGTGAGGGCGAGATGCGCACAATCTGAGGTGTGGTTGCAGGACTTTGTATAGACAAGCTCGCGAGCTCAGACTTTGCAGGCATCGAGCAATTGTGTAGGTCGGGGAGGCCGGGAAACAGATTCATTGCGGAGCGGACTACATATCAAGTCGTGGCCGAGAAGTGGATGACGTCAGCGTCAGTACCGTGTTCCTTGACTAAGTAATCTCGATCCTACTTAGTCTAGGCCTCTGCACTGAAGTCTGAAGTGCAGCTACATATGCATGTACTCTACACACTTCATACACAAAGTCGAAGGTTGAGGAGCATGGTTTACCAGTACTGCCACGCTTCTGAATCACCTAGATATCTGAATATCACGATCATCATCAGTAGTAGTGCTTCAGATACTTGGATACTCATACGGGCCAGCATGCAACAAAATCTGGAAGCCTCGAAGTCTTTGACGGTGTTCATACGCTCATTAGCAATAATAATATCAATGTCAGTAAGTGATGGCAGAGCTCGCCCGTGCTGTGCTTGATATTGCTAATCCATGTCGGCCTACACGGAAGGGCACAGAATACAGTTAAGCAACCTACATCCTGTTTAGGGTCAATAAGGCCAAGATGCTGCTTCCGAGCGCTCTCAGATGAAGTGGAAAGATGTGATTCGGACCTGGCACTATAATATCGAGCTGATGCGGTGTTGTACAGTTGAGTATGTTGTGCCACCAAAGGAATATCAGAGCCGCGGTGCTCTAAGCACACCGCACAGGTTTGGCAAGCTCATCTGCGTCGTTGTTTCAATTTGCGTGGTTTCGGTTTGTGGTCGTGCACAGAGACCATATGCCTGTCAGAAGTAATTTCTATCAGAGATTGTGTGTTTGAACGATTCACACCAAGACCAACCGATGTCTCCGCGACCCATCATTAAAACGGGCGTCGCAATATTTGCATATCAGTAACTTCAGCCCGGTACTATCAAAGCTATCAGTGAGAGCAGCACAAAGGCAGGAGGAGGTTTTACTGAGTTGATACGTGACGCTCAATTGATCCTTTCTGTCGTTTCGTGGATCAGTGATATGCGAAGGTGAGCTCGATTCAGCGATAATTACTTGAGAAAACGCTGCCTCGCAGTAATTGCATTGGTAGGGTCTGAGATTGAAGATGGGGTCAGATTCCTTGTCAATGACACCCGAAATTCAACTGACTTATATGCCAGATGTACGGCCTCTATGTGGCGTCGTACCCTATGCTAAGGAGACCGTTCAGAAAGCCTGTAGGTACGCAGGAGAAGCTGCTGCTCACGTCCTCCCGCGCATCTTCTGAATCCTCGCAGGTGGTACCGTGCTCCGTCACCCACACACAATACATTTGGCGCCGTTCACCCGCAGCGTATTTCTTCCAGAGGTCAGGAGTGTCATCTCTGCCGGTACGAACAATGGAATAACCTCGGTCTTCAACACTTTCGTGGTCATCCTCATCATCGGAAGTCACCGAAGATGTCTCAGCACCGTCGTGATCCAGCGACGCAGGTGGCGTACCACTGAGATGTTGTGAAAGTGTCATATGTCCGGGACCGTCGCATGGTCCACGCCTCCAAGAAGCCGTTGCATAATGATGGCCCGGGCCGTCAACGTTCCTGAGCAAGAAAGCTGAGCTTCCACGGGACGGGGGCGGAGAGTTGGTACTAAAGTGAAGGAGAAATGAGCTGCCAGTTCCGTATTACATACGACACGGACTTCTCTCTGTAATGGTCATACATATGGCGGCAACTGGTGGTGTTGGGTCTGGAGTGGGATGTGTCCATCGTTATCAACGGCGCCGACGACATTTGCGAGGAAGCTTGAAGTCCCGGCCACGCGAATCTGGCACTGGGGGCGTCGAATATCCCCAGAGCTTGCAGCGACGGGAGGCGGTCATTGCTGCTCGAGGTCCGGTTTTCGTCCAACGGAGGCAGGCGATACTCTCCTTCAACTGCAACCATGGTCCCGGCCGCCGATCCGTCGTTCCCGCGTCCACGTGTGGTGAGGCTGAAATGTAGGTTATCTGAAGGGAGCGCATGTTCCGTTATAACCGCGTTTGCGTACAAAGAAGTCGCAGAACGCGATTGTGGCGCATGTGGCCATCCGGGTCTCTGATGGACTGAGTGGCCCCTCGTATTATCGCCGTCGGTTGTGAACATGACGTCGAAGAATCAGTGAAGTGCAGTAGCAGCTCCTTCGTTCAGCTGTGTGGCGCAAGGATCTGTTGGCGGCGTCGACGGTACGTGTTAAACAGACCGCATGTAAACCAACGGCAGGACGAATCACCGTGAAGTAGTCTCCGATAGACGAGTGTCACCGATGGGTCATCGGCGGGTAGGAGCAAAGAAGGATAAAGCCAAGCACATCGGTACTAGGTGACGGTCTTTGAGGACAAAGGACAAAGGCTATGGTGGGCTTCCGGAATCTGCGAGGACACCGGATCCGGAAGCAGGAATATACTCAGTTCGTGGCCGTCTCTCCCGGTTATACAGCTTCGAATTTCCGCGTGCAGGGTGACAAAGGGAACGAATTTTTGATCAAAACCTGCCCTATATAGGCTACGGTGGGTCCGTCCTTTGTCTGCATCTCGTCGGAGTTCAGTTTTGATATCGAGGGCACCCACAGATGTGGGAAATACATGCTCACCTCGCACTGACGAACTCGTGGTGAATGAGCCTAACGGCACGCAGATTGAAGGCAGGCCGCTGAAATATCCGCCTCTATCACGCTACTGATCCAATGAATTGTTCATATATAAGTGATGACTGCGAGGACGTACTGCGATCGGCTGAAGAAGACCTCAATGATACACGACGGGTGTCTGTGTCAAGTTAACGCACGCGAGGAAGCGATCCATGTGGCGTACGGACAGGCGCCTAAGTGATAGGGGATACGTCCTATGCGAGAACAATAGGCCAGATAGCCAGCGAAGTTGCATTATGTTGCCCGTGCGGAAGGGGCTTTCCGGCACGTTTTCATGTGGAATGCTGTGAACTGACTAGAAACCAGAATCAGAACGTTATAGCTCGGCGGAATCTGTTCGTATATCTGTACATATCCAGATAGATGCATGTCCAGCGCGCAATGAAGTAGGAGTTCGTACCAAGGGTCCTGGGTGGCCTGACAAATGTCCGTAGCGCCAGCAAGCCCTGATGCGACATTGAACATTACAGTATTTCTGTCTGCGACGAAAAATCGATACAAATAAATACCGAAAAGTGGTACAATGTACGGAAAAGACGTCAAAATCCGCACAACCTGTGCAAGTTCGCAATCAGAGGCGACCAGAACTAGAAGAGAAAGAGCGCACACAATATTTAAGAGCCCGGAGACGGACCAGGCGCCACCAAAGACACACTCCAGTCGTCTTCGGCTATATCCTGCATGCTAAAAGCCCGCTCACTCCCTTGTCGCTCCTGCCTCATGTCCTGGAACAGCTTGCCAACGGGAAGCGAACGACTTTTTACGAAGGCACGGGGAAGTGGTTTAAGAGGCCTCGTCGCAGGCACTGCATTGCTCCCGCCCGCTAAAGAGCCAGCCATTTCGATATCAGCACTGTCAGGTGGCTGCGATGATTCTGAGACGCGTTCCTCATCGCGTACGCGCTTGCTGGACGACGACAGAGCGGATTCTCTGGTGGCCGACCCAAATATGTCGTTCAGAGTGTCATTTGCGGATCGAAAAATAGAAGGAGCGGCAGTGTTTTGCGAAGCGCTTAAATTTGCTGGGGATGGACTGGAAGGCGCTGTTGTGGGAGTGAACCGGCTTGTCGCGTAACCCTCGTACACGCCTTGGGACAAGCTTAGATCCGAAGAGGAGGATGTTCGGAGATGAGCCCACTTTTGCGGACGCGCTGACTGACAGCTCTTAGTTGAGCACGCAGATCCTCGGCGGCACTGTTTGTTGTGAGTTCATAAGAGCGATAATGAGACCTATACCACCATCACCAACCGGTCACTCTCCGACGAGTTTGACGCAAAATTGGCAATATCATCCGTAGTCAAAGCCCTTTTCACAGGACGTCCAGCCATGCAGACGCGATGCAAGCAGCTCAAGTTGAAGTACTGTAGAGGCGTTCGGTCGCCATCTCTCTCCGGGTCCCGGTCAAGGCACGTTGCACGTGACTGCCACGTTAGCATGATGCGACGCGCGCTTCAACCTCCCCTGCACCGAAGTTCCACGTATCCCATTCCAGAATCGACATAGTGCATGACCTGGGCCATATAAGTAACCCGACCTTGATTAAGCCAACACCAGTGGTCGTCCCCCGACAAAATGAGGGTCCTGCGCGGCCTCTTCCTATCTCTCACTCTCGTTGGCTCCCTCGTCTCGGCTCAGGGCTTTGACTCGCCCAACGTGCCAAAGGAGAAGCACGGTTACCAAGTGCGCCGAACACACAGCCACGGGGGCGTTTTGTCTGACATGCTCTACTCATACTCAGAGCGACGTCGCCCGTCTGAGGAAGATCGTCATAAACAGCTTATATTCCCATAAGGACGTCTTCCTACGCGAACTGATCTCGAATGCCAACGACGCGATCGAGAAACTTCGCTTAACCGCGCTGACCGACAAGGAGGCATGGAACGGCTCCGATCCGCTGAACATCACCATCAAGGCCATAAAGGACGAGGACGGTCCGGGCGGACGAATTGTCATCACCGGTAAGCGGACGCGTTCGCATGCGCTCCGACCATCTATTGACCGCACAAGATACGGGCATTGGCATGACTCCGGAGGAGCTTACGACTAACTTGGTGTGCATGCATACACACGAGATGACACGAGCAATAGTCTGATCAATGGCATTCAGGGTACTCTCGCAAAATCCGGAACGTCAGATTTCCTTGCGCGAGCAGAGAGCACGGATACAACGGGCCAGGGCAACTTGATTGGTGCCTTCGGTCTCGGTTTCTACTCCAGCTTCCTCGTCGCGGACAAAGTCTACGTCGCGTCTGTCGCGGCGAAAACCGCTAAGAACCCCGACCCTGTCCAATACGTCTTCAGCTCGTCCGCAGACGACAGCTCCTTCGAAACCTTCCCAGACCCTCGGGGGAACACGCTGGGTCGCGGCACCGAGATAACCCTCATTCTCAAAGAAGACGCAGCTGAGTACTTGGATACACAAAAGTTGGCCCAGATGATGTGAGTATCGACGATGTAGTGTGTTATATGAAGCACTTATTGCTGTTTCCTGATATCCAGCGCAAAACACTCGTCGTTCTCGTCGGCCTTTCCAATTTACTTGTGGGAGTCCCGTACGAAGGAGGTTCCTGATGAGGAATCTGAGCCTGAAACGCCGTCCGAAGAGACCCAAACTCCATCAGAGATTCCAGAGTCTAAGCCCAGCCAGGATGATGAGGATGAAGCTATCGTCGAGGATGATAGTGACGCTCCAGAGACGCCTGCCGAAGAAGTGAAGCCCCCCAAAATGAAGAGCATCACGGTGGAAGAATGGATACAAGCCAACCCCCAGCCCCCTCTCTGGATGCGGTCAGTCCATCTTGATCCTGATCGGGTTATTTCGCGTCCTTATGATGTGGTCGTAGTGATCCTAAGGAGGTCGAAGATGACGAATACAAATTCTTCTACTACTCGACCTTCAAGGACTTCGAACCTCCAATTGCCTGGTCTCACTTCTCTGGTGATTCCGGATCCGGAGTTGCTTTCAAGGCCATACTCTACCTACCCGGAAAGCTGTGAGTGATCGTAGAGCTGCGTCCGATTTTGGCTTCGCTAAGCTGTTGGATTGTAGCCCAGAAAGCTACTGGCAAAACCCGCTGCTCAGCAGTTCGCAGGACGTAAAGCTGATGGTCAAGCGCACGTTCATCACCTCGGACCTCGGCGAGGACGCGCTTCCAAAGTGGGCAAATTGGGTGAAGGTGGTTGTCGACGCCGAGGACCTCCCGCTCAACGTATCGCGCGAGACCTTGCAATCGAACAAGTTCCTTAAGCAGCTCCGTAGCATCATCCTCAAGCGCCTTCTGCAGCTATTCCAGAAACTTGCAGACGAGGACGGGGAGAAGTGGCAGAAGGTGCAAGAGAACTACGCCGGGGTCTTGAAACTCGGCGCTGTGGAAGACACGAAGAATCGCGACAAACTCATCGCATTGTGCAGGTTCCATACCAACCAGCGGAACAGCACAAGCTTGGACCAGGTAGATGGTTTATACGCGCGACGCGGGAGATTTGACGCTGACGGCGAATCCACAGTACCTGGAAAACAAGAAGCAGGGCCAGAAACAGGTACGGGTTGACCTCGGGAACCAGTACTCGTTTGCTGAACCTTGTTCAGATCTTTTACCTGGCTGACATGGGCAAGGAGCCCGAACATCTGGCGAAGAGTGTGTTCGTTGAGAAGCTAAACGCCCGTGGCTACGAAGTGCTGCTCCTCAACGAGCCTCTGGACGAGATTCTGGTCCAGAACCTTCGCAAATTCAAGTGAGTAATTATCAGATCACCTGGCCGAGTGCGGCTCACCTTATCCTGTGATGGTGTGATCAGGGGTTTGTACTTCCAGGACGTCGCCAAAGCCGGACTTGTCTTTGGTGACGAGGATCTCGATCCTGAGGAAGAAAAGGAAATGCAGAAGGAATTGACGGAGCAGTACAAGCCTCTTATTGACTGGCTGAGGCTTGAAGCTAGCAACGTTGTCCGGAGTGGTACGCTGTCTTGCTCGTGTCCTCCTAGTCACTGCTCACATGAACTTCGCAGTCGTCATTTCCAACCGGCTTGTAACAAGTCCCGTCGCGATTGTCGCCGATGCGCAGGGTGTGACTGCGAATATGGAACGCATGATGAGTAGGTGCTATCTCACGTTTACAACACACCGCTGCCGCTGATGGGGGAAATCAGGCGCTTCCAACAAAAAATCGCAATCCGGCTTTATGGCCGACTTCGCCCGTAAACAGAAGGTGCTTGAGATCAACCCGAGGAGCCCGCTGATTGAGGGTCTACTGCACCGTATCGAGCAACTGCCTGGTGAGGGCGAGGAGCGAGATTTGGAGGCCGAAGATGAGCTTCGTGAGGTCACGTCCATCCTAATCGATGGGGCTCTCGTTCGCTCCGGATTCGAGGTCCCCGACTCGAATGAGTACGTCCTCTTCGCAATTGTCCCTGCATTTGCGCTGACATACAAACCACAGGTTCTTCTCCCGCGTGGATCGGGTCCTCCGTCGTTCGCTTGGTGTTTCCGAGAATGCGCCCACCGACGACTCCGTCAAGCCTGCGCCCCCAATAGACCCTGAGGTCCATGACCCTGATGTGATTCCTGATGGACCTGGTGTTTGGCTTCCAGAAGAAATGCGGGACAAGATGCAAATTACTATGGAAGAGATTGACGAAGATGGCAACGTTGTCATACGAGACGCGCCGCCAGCACAAGGCGACGAGTCGATTCATGACGAACTCTGAACAGTCGTCACACAACGCATGTAATATAGCGAATAATCGGAATTGCTTGGCACATGTCTGTATTCTGCTAGCTATCTAGCGTGATCGCAGAGGACATACGAAGGCGGATTGCGAACGACATCGAGAGCAGAGAGCAACAGCTGCTTAGCTGAAGCCGCCGGCGCCGGTCCGGTGGCTGTATCGGCGTCGCCTGGCGGTGTCTTGGCCAGTCTGTCTCGACCAGTACAGTGACACAGCAGTGGTTCCTCCAGATCTGTCCTGTCTTTGCAGTGTATAAGTCCTTGGCTACGCCGCCCTTGAGGCTGCGCGTACTGCCATGTCCGCTTTCTCTCGACTTCAGCTCGCTGCTGCCCTCATTGAATACGACAACGATCCAGACAACCCGGGCGCTGGACGGTCAGCACACGATAGCGCCATATTCGCGCATCTGCGCCGCAATGCACCCCGCCCGACTCCCTCACGCAGGAGCACCGACTACCTGGGCGTCGCGCTTCCCGGCGAGACAGGCGGATCCGCCGGCGACCCCGAGGAGACCGATCTGCCTTACAGACGGTCGACACCCTCCGTTAACGCTTTGGTAAACCCGTTCCGCCAAGAGGAATCCGAAGAGGAAGCGGATGAAGAAGAGGAGAACGTTGACGTCGACCTGGCATCCTGGGGACTGGATGCGTTCATACCTAAAGATAAGGAAAAGGGAAAATCGTCCAAGTCCCGCCCAAGGCGCAAGTCAGAGAATCTTGATTCGCTCCCCGTTCATAAGGAGCTACAGGCTGGTATGCAACGCGCATCGCCTCGCATGAGGTCCATGAGTATGGGCAATTTCGACCAATTTGGTTTGGATGGCGCTTTCCTTGAAGCAGGTTCCATGGGCGGTCGCCCCAAATCCATCGCTTCGCCTCTCGAATTCGTTGACGTACCAAGTACAATCAGACCCCCTCATCCTCGCAGAGCATCTTCCCAGCATGCTCTCATCGACAAAATCCCTACAGCCGATCCTCTCCTTTCGGTACCGTTTCCCAGATCAGGTACACCTGCAGGTGATGACGCTACCGTATCAAGGCCGCTTTCTCGAGGCTCGTTCTTCGCTCCCAGACCCGGACACGAGCGCACATATTCCACTGCTAGTTTCGGCTCACAAGCTCTTCTTTCGGGCGACGGTCGAGATAGGCGCCAATCCGTAGCCAGTCTTGGATCAAAGATGTTACTCGACGAAGGAGAACCTAATCCATTCGCTGTTCGACCCCCCTCTCCTGAGAGAGCTTCGCGATTCGATCCCAAGGCTCGAAACCGAGCTCTCAGCATCTCATCTCGAGATTTATTAGCCGATGAGAACAACTCGTTCAGCGTGCCACTTCCATCGCCTTCACGTACGTCTCGCTTTGATCCGAAAGGGGCCGCTCGTGCTCGTACCATGTCCAATGGCTCTCTTGGGTCACGTATGCTTCTGGATGATGCTGCATCGTATACCAGCAACGCGCTTGATCGACCCTATTCAAAACTAGAGCTCATGAGGCCGAAGGTACTCGTCATGCCAAGTCCGTTACAGACAACGGAGCCCCCTCCAAAGCCTTCGCCTTACGCTCGAGAGGGCTTCCAACTTTCCACTGAAGGGCCGCCACTACCGGCGGCTGCACGCGCAAACAGGCGGGCGTCCGCGGTGCTTTCGACTATCCAGCCTTCTGGGTCGTTGCCTGCGGCAAGCGCTACGAATCCCTTCGTTCCCAATCCCCGCGCTAGCATGACGCTCTCTCAGCTCACTTTCCGAAGCGCATTGTCACTTGCAGGGCAACGCGACGGCGCTTCCGCCGATATGGACCTTCCCCTCCCTCTACCAAGAGCAGCTGCAGAAGGGGAACAGGCGCACTTCGAGGACCCTGTCGAACCGGAACTACTGCCGGAGCCCGTTATCACCGTCGAAGTGGATGAGCCACAGACCGACCCGCGCGCGCGACCACCTGGTAAACTATTTGGCAAGAGTCTGATAGACGATCTGGAAGAACGCAAGGCGAATATGCGTGCCAAGCAACGGTAATAATGAACACTTTTGCCTATGCCCATATTTTGATCCATTTGCTCCAGTGTGTTCAGAGGAGACGATCGGCCCTCGATGATGGCTCGCCAACAACGCTCGAGCACGCTGATAGACCCGTCGTCTTTCCAGCAGAGGCCTGTATCACAGCGCATGTCATCGTTCCACTCACAGGGGACAATGGACAATCGCCTTTCGCGACGAAACTCGAAGACGTTGCTAAACTTTGACGACGACGGCCCTCAACGGAGCCCAGTGAGCCCAGGCACGCTTAGCACCGACAATCAAATGTCCAAGAGTCGTAGCGTATTTGGGGTTGATACGTTATGGGAGCGGGAGATGGCAAAACTCAAAGAGATCGAGGCCAAGGAGAAAGCAGAAGCTGCGGAACGAGAAAAGCGCGAGGAAGCGGAAGAAGCTAACGCCAGTTCTAAGAAGGGAAAGAAGGGGAAATCCAAGGACAAGGGCAAGGGCAAAGCCAAGGCAGAGGCCGACACTCCGTCTGTGAGCCCCACCATCAATGTGGACCCGTCGCCTCCTCGCGTATCTGCAGAGCCTCCCCGACTTCCTGAAGTGGCGAAGGCTATCACACGTGGACCACCGCCTCCCGGACTTGACGATAGTGAGAGCTCGAATAGTGACGTGGAAGGCGAGCCCTCCGTTGCCGCCATCAGTGGCCGCAACCAGGTGCTCAACGAAGCCTGGGGTTCATCTGACGAGGAAGATCGTGTCCCGCGCCGAACCAGCGGAGTAGGGCCTCGCCATCCATCGACTCACAAGCCTCCAGCGCAGGCTCTGCATGAGATTGATAGTGACGAAGACGTGCCGTTAGCTGCCACTGTTCAGCACGCGCGTCAGCGATACATCACTTCCGGTGGGCCACTTCAAGATGATTCCGATGAAGAAAAACCATTAGCAGTTCTTGTTGAAAAGGTCAAGCTCGGTGTCCCGTCCATCGATTTCGACAAGCCGCTGCTGTCCACATCTTCCAAAGCCGGAGAAGACGATGAAGACGATCAGCCGCTTGGCCTCAGAGCTTCTCGAGCTTCGATGCTCAGGTCTCCGTCCAATGCCGGTCCCGTGGAAGATGATGACGTTCCCCTCGGCCTACGCCCAGAACAGCAGCGCCGAACCCAGTATCAGATGTTGGCTGCTCAGCAGCAGCAGATGATGATGTTGCAGGCGCAGATGACGGGCGGCATGTATTTCGGCCCTCCGCCACTTGGCCCTGCTCCGCCCATGTTGGGATCCCCCTTCTTCGGTCCACCGGTTCCATCGCCCATGATGATGATGGGCCCCCCACCGCAACTTCCCTCTCCACCGCCGATTCAGGACACTGCGAAGCTTAACCGAGTAGATAAGTGGCGACACGACGTGGCCGTCGAAGGTGAACCTGTCTAGTGGAGGACAGCGATACCCCTATTCATTTCGTCCTTCACATAACTTGGAACCTCTCTCACTCCATGGTCGTTTTTTTTGCTCACGGACTACGCACATCAATTGGATCCCACTTCACATCGCCAATACGCATTAGGTATACAACTACATAATGAATGGATAATAGCTGTCCGATGTCTAGGCCGAGATGATAAATCCTTGCGGGTGGAAAGTATGGTAATGAATGTGAGGCTGAATGTGATATGCACGAACACGTAGATTACAGAGATGGGGTTCATTGTTCATGAAGGGTTAGTGACCCATCTGAGCGAAGACAGTCAGCGTACGCAAGAGTCAAACAAAGTACGAACTCACAATCTCCGTTTGGGAACAGTGACATGAACGATGTTCACATCCCGTCCGTTGATCTCTTCCTCGATTCTCCGCTGCCTCGTCGACTCGTCGTCGTCGTCATCATCATCATCGGACGTTTGCATACTGAGAGGTTGTCGAGACGAGTGGAAAGCGACGCTTTCGTCCTCGGCGGTGTCACCTATGGCTTGATGATACGGCGGTTGATGGATGTACGGACTGAGCTGGGCCGGGGGAGTGGATCCGGGATAGGTATATTGATCTTGATCCGTCGGTGGAACTGGGCCAGAAGGAGGGGGAGGAGGGATGGTCGCAGGCACTCCACGGAGGCGACCGATGAGAACCACAAGGACGGAGTGTCGAGGTCGTCCTTTCCAAGCAAGCAGAAAGATAGCAGAGTAAAATACGATGACGTAGACAAGGAAGATAGCGAAAGGCGCGGTGAAATCTTGATCATGGAGGGCCAACAAGGAGAGGACGCATAATGCTAGAATGGTTGCATGAAGGACGACATGGAATACAGCAGTCAACGATCCTGGCATTTCCACCATAGGTGGGGGTGGTAGGCCGTCGGCCATGAGGCCGTTCGTGCTCAACATGTCGGTTGTGCCAGCAGGAGTAGGAGGATTTTCAGGTTTATGTAACTGAGCCAGCGCGTAGTCTAGCTCGCCCTGAAATAGAAATGTGAGTAAGCATGCACGAAACGGCAGCGGGAACATACCACTGCATTGACGCTACGACGCCGCTGCAACCAGCTGAGTTCGCTAAGCGACCGAGGCATCACCGGAGGATACAGCTGCTCGGCGTTGTGTGCGATCTCGCTAGTACGCCGATTATTGTTACGAGGCCGGTTCACCACTTCGAACGACCGAGTGTTTGCGCTTTCGCCTTCGCTCGAGGATACTCGACGATCACGGGATGCGAGCGAGGTCCATGGCTGGTTGGCAGTTCCACTGGAAGACATCCGAGGCGGTGAGCCTGACCGAGAAGGCAATCCGGCCGTGCTCGTGGTCAATCGACTGCCTGGTCTGCCGTTCAGTTTCTCCGTTGTCGAGACTGAGTCGGCGCGACGATGCCTCTGTTCTTCTCCGTCGTTCTCAGGAGGCTCCTCGTCCCTCATCTGGTCCTTCGGTCGCGACAGGTCACGACATAGAATCACCAGCCCCAAGAGAGGCACAACACCGTACAGGCAGATCGCCAGGGCCAGTCCCGCCTTTCCATGTGCTGTTTTCAACATAAGGCCGGTTGACGATGATCGTTTCGATAAGGTAGCCTTCGATGTGATGGAGGAAAAGGAAGTTGCCAACCCTGCTATGCCAATCGCATATGCCGCGGCCGCAACCATGATAGACGCACGGAATACAGATTTACCGCCGCCAACGGTAGGGGACGTTGTCGAGGAGGACAGCCTCACACCAACGAGAGCAAGCATGAGAACTGCCACGGACAGTGGTGCGAAGATCTTGTGAGTGACGGAAGTATTGAAGGCCTGCACTGGACGTGCAGCCGACGTAGTATGGGCAGGACTCGACGACGTGGTTGTTGACGTCGTCGTGGTGCTCGTGCTTGTACTCGACGAACCAACAGACGGGCTCGGCGTGGCAGTATGCGAAGCGCAAACCGTCATGTACGACACCGTCACACCCGAACCATCTGCGTTGACGCCGCTCTGAAGGGTACCGTCGCCGAACAGCGATGAGTGCTGCCCAGATTTGGTGACCAATGCGTTGTAGGCTCTGAGCAGCCAGACATCATTCAGGTAGTTGCCGTTAGAGTCCCGTCCTCCGAAGACGATGGTATCGGATGCTATTGTCCGCGCATCGCCTACCAGCGTTAGTGGATATGAGATAGCCACAGCACCTTCACGTAGCGTAGGGAACTGGGCTGATTTGGATTCTGGGTCTCCAGACGGAAGAATCCTAGCCCAAGAACCAGTGTCAATGCTGAGCACATCCTGCGAGCAAGCCTGAGCGTACAAGCTAAGAGCGTAAGATGCAGGCTCGTACCACTTCTCCCTTGGAATGTCCATCGTCGTCGTCCCACAAGGATGTGTCAAATAGACCATTGAGGAGGAAAACTTGATGATCAAAGCTAGAAGAGAAGGTGTTCTGGTTCGGAACGAGGGCGGCGCCAACTCTGGGAGCAGGGCATGCGCTACCCGATGAGGCACTGAGATCAGATATGCTGATGACGTTTGACGCGTTATCGGCGCATGAATCGTCGGCATCCGTCGTTGAGCAGCCACCAAAGGCGACGACACTTGAATGTGACCCATCCGGGGCGATAACAGTACCCGACTGGTTCGCCCGCGCAGGCAGATTGTCGAACTTGAGCTGCACCCAGCTTCCGGTAACAGAGTCCGGGAGGTTGGCGGACAGCGTGCCAGCTATCTCGAGCTGCCAAACGTCAGAAAGCGCCACGGGTCCGGAAGAATCGACTCCGCCCGCAAGATAGAACGTGTTGTTCGGCCCTGGTACACCATGAGTGTCTGCCACCGGACTGACTCGGGTATCGATCCCCCCAGCAGCATCGTAGCGTGCTGACGGGCCACCAGCAGAGATTTTGACGTTGGTCCAGAATTGATTGTTGTAATCATATTCCTGTGTCGATATCAGCGCTGCATCGCTGCAACCTTCAACATAGCGGTACCTACCCATACGTCCGACAACGGCTGACCGTTCTGCCCCTTGCCACCTATGACAAGATGACCGTGACGACTGCGTGGTCTCGATCGTCAGCTCGATATGCCGATCGCAGCAGCTGAGGACGTACTTGCTAGCAGCAAAGTCACCGCCGCTAATGGCGGCGCTTCGAGGCGGAGGCGAGGTATTCGGCACAGAAGACGGAGGGGCGGGAGTCGACCAGGACAGATTTTGCAGATCAAGACTGTAGGGAATGAGCGGGAGTCGGTCAAAGGGCCAGATCACGCACAGGTATGTGTTCGACTGGGGAAGCCCGGTCTGGCTCTCTCCTCCGAATATAATGAGTGTCCTGCTCGACTCGTCGTAGCCGATGGAGGCATCCTTCAGCGGTGGAGGCGGGGAGCCGGACAAGAGGCCGGAAAGGTTGATCCTTCAGACTGCGTTAAACGGGGGCAAAGAAAGGAAACGGGGAGCTCAATATGCACCACTGCAATGGCGGGACGGGGGTGCTGGTCGAGATGCTCTGAGCAAAGACGGACGGGGCGAGGAGGACGATTGAGCAGGCTAGACAATATACGGGGGCATGCTGGCGGACTTTGGCCATGCTCCAGGAGTGGGAGGGGATGCAGTCCGAGCTCAAGGAGAGCGCGAAGGGCGTGGAACGCGCCCGGCGATTATGGCCGTCGCGTCAATGAACCTGCCGATATCACTGCCCGTCGCCGCGTGCACGTGCTCGTCCTGCTCACTTCCGTACTCTGAGTCTAATTGGGCTGCGCTCTCGCTCACAATGCCACCTGCGCAGCATCATGCGAAGGCTGCCGCATCCATTCTCTCGCTCGCTGTAGGTACAGGCCCTCACTCCTTCTACTCTCTCGCCGCAATGTGCACCGAGAGGCCCGGCGCATGTAGCCTCGATAGGTAGTCCTATATACAGATCGGTCATCCGCCCCCACGAATGAATTTTGGGACGTACGCGAATCCAGGCTTCCCGCTGCTCTGGAACGTGGTCGAACACAATGTACCGTTTGTCGTTCTCATGCGGACGTCAGCCGGACACACGCGGTAGAAGACCCGACGAACTCACCTTGACCACCTTGGTGATCTCCTTCAGGTCTATGCTTTTCGCCAGAGTCTTGATGTCTGCACGCCCACCGCCGCCTTCCCCATCGGCTTCCTCGTCCTCTTCATCCTCGAATTTGACGCCTTGGCTGACCTTTTCTTCCGTCATCTTATTCAACCGTCCCCAGAACTCAACAAACGAGTTCTCTCCGAGCATCTCGTCGAACGCCACACGTGCATCATGGTTCCGTTCTCTTTGCCATCGGTCGAACTCCTCCTCCAAGCCACGTTCACGCAGCCCAAGCTTCGTGACCGGCAAGGAGGACATGAGGGACGAGAGCGGCAACTCCGAGAAACGCGTGACCAGCGAAGGTGCGTACGACTCAAATAGCGTGTGCAGGGATTTCAGATGTTTGGCGCGGAGCTGGTCGACGTGGGCTTGATATAGGCGAATCTGCTGATTGATGGCGAGTGGCGAGCGGACAAATCTCGGGTCCACTTTCAGCTGTTCGACGGCATTATCCCAACTCATCTAGGAGCTCGTCAGTGTATTGCTCGCGTCTTTGAAAATTCGTACCTGTGGGTCGCGTATAGCGTCAATGAGCATCGTCCTGCAAGATAGCATCGCCCGGAATCAGCGCCTCGCAGTACCACTTCTGTAGAAAGAAACGTCGAGGGCGCACCTGTACTCCCGCTCGCCTTCTTCTCTATCAGCCCCCATTCGTGATCGTCCGATATCTGCCTCTACACGAGTGAGGTCCGCCTTCACTTTCTGCTCACGTTCCCGAACAGCTCGTTCTTTCTTTTCCTTCCGTTTCGTCTCTTGATCAATCCCGTCAATCATCTCGTCGATCTCTTTCATGGCTTCATTGGAAGGGGCGGGAATAGATTGGGCGAGCTTTTCAGCGCCGCGTGCCTTGAGGAAAGTATTGAACAACTCCTCGCGCAGCGAGGATGACCCAACCGCGTCGTACCGAGGATCCTTGTGAATATTTTGTTTCACCTAACGAATCCCAGTCAGCGTAGAAAAGAAGGCAAGGGAGAAGACTATGGTACTTCTTTCCAGACGGCGCCTGGAGTAGCTAAACCACTTTCTTTGAGCAACGCGAAGAAATTGGTCTCGGCTTTCTGAGCCTCTACTCGTTTCTCTGCAAGGTAGATCACAAAGTAAGCGAAAAATCTGAAGCCATTTAGGGCAAGTCTGCTTACTCTCGCCTAGTTCTTTCAGGTAGTCCCTGAACCGTTTCTCACGCTCTCGGTCATCTCTTCCCCAGTTGTAGAATCGTCGGTCCTTCTTCCATTGACGTCGCCAATCGGTCCAACTTGTCCGAGTACTTTTTACCTCCTCCTTCAGTAACCTTTCAAAGGCTTCTTTCGGATTGGCAGCTTCTTTCTGTTCTCTGACTTTCTGTTCTTTAAGCTCCCGAGCGCGATCCCGACAGTACTCGTCGAACGCTTCTTTACGGGCGTTGACATTGGGAAGGAGCACATAGCGAGGATCTGTGACAAAGAGAGGCAGGGACGTGTCCCATGGCAAAAGCGGATTGATGTCTTTTTCTCGCAATAGAGTCTGCAGAAGGCGGCTCAGTAGGTCACAAGTTGTAGCAATGCAAACGATACCTTGAACAAGGCTTTGCCCTCTTCGATAGAGATGTCAACACGAGCGGGCATATTGATTTGTTTTTGAGCTTCCTCCTCCCTTTTTCGTTCTTCCTCCTCGGCCTGTTTCTCCTCCTGCTGCCTCTGCAACTCTGCCTCAGCTTCCGCAGCTAGCTGTACGGCTGCCTCCCGCTGCCAGTCCTCTTCTTCACTCTCGTCCTCGTCGTCCTCTTCGCCGTCGTTCACGTCCTCTATTCGCGGCTTCTTGGCAACGAGGACTTCATCCATGGGCACGTCCTCACTCGCACGCTTCTTGACCATACTCTCCACTTCGTCCTTGATCCTCTCCACCTCTGCCAGCCGCTCTGCATCTGCCATAGCAACTTCCTCCTCTGCCCGTCGCTGCTTTTCCCGATGTTCCTCTGCCTTCTTCTCCGCCTCCTGCATCTCAAGCTGCTTTACCGCGTCCTTGATCTCTGTTGGTACGGTCCACACGCTCTGCTTCTTCTCTTTGTGTGTGTAAAACGTATTCCCCTCGGTAGTGATCACTCGAATCCATTCCGTGCCAGGTATTGGCGTCTTCACTAGTGGTTTCTCCTTCTTTTTAACCGCGGCCTGCTGAGCATGTATTTGTGCTGCCATGGCAAAGTTGGGCATCGGTCGCTGATAAGTTGATTCCTTGGTAATTGCATTATAGTAGTACGGCAATCCGCTTGGACCTAGGACGAAGAATTCTCAGCTGTGAGACCGGGAAATAAGTCCGAACGGCGGCGCACTTATGAATTCCGCCCAACCTGGAGGTAAAGGAGGCAAGCCCATGGCGAAAGGTGGTGCGGACATCGTTAAGAGTGAACAGCTTAATGTAGAAGGAGAACCGCTGTAACGAGAGTAGCCGCCACAACCACTCGACTGTTTCCAATTTCGTACTTCTCCACGGCCACCTCCGGCCACTTCCTGCACCAGTCATAGTCTCGCGCCTGTGCCGGGCTCAACATGTCCTCCGGCCAATCATCAACATATGAACCCAAACACTCGCTAGGATATGCCACCAAAGTCGGAGCTCAGGCTGCCGGAGTGGGGGCTTTCGTTAGTGCTATTCAAAACGCACTTGCACCGCATGGGCAGGGAGCCTCTGGTATCCTCACAAGAACGGGAGGAACAATCGGTTTCTTTGGTGCGCTCTTGTCTTTCTAATACGTTAGTCGTGACTTATCCGGAAAACGAACTACAATAGCTGCTATTGGCGCAACGTTTGCCGTGACTGAGGCAGTAGTCGCGAACACCCGAGAGAAGGACGACCCTCTCAACGGTATCGTCGGTGGATGCGCTGCAGGGTTCCTGGCCGGCATACGAGGTGTGCCCTGTCATGACAGTTCGTGTCGCAATCTGACGCCGCGACTCAGCGCGTTCGTTACCGGCTGCTGTCGGATCCTGTGCGATTCTTGGGGCGACCGTTGGCGTGTTCGACTACGCTGGCGAGACCTTACACGGTGGCACGGCGGAGGAACAGGAGGAGAGGCGAAAGCGATTCTTCAAGCAGAAGCCCAACCCTCCTCTTACCTTGTCCGCGGAGCCTACGGATTAGATACGAGCCGGGACTTGTATTCATGTTCGGCGGAGAAGTACAGTAACGCGTTACATACGCATACGACATGCGTTGCGAACAAGTGCGAGATGCGGACGTTGCGATAGTCATGAAAAGTCGTCAAAACAATGTGAAGCACGAGTCAAGATATGCGATACACTTTCAGGGAGCTGTTATACATAGAACCTGTCGAATCCGTCATCACTGAGCATCCCAAGGTGTTCGATAGTTACTCACTTCTTGTTGATTTGATATAGCAGAAGATTGAGGTTGAACTTAGCGATACCCTTGAATAAACTGATGGCGGATTTGTTTTCGAATTGAGCTTGAAGGAGGTCTTCCATCTTGACATCGGCAGCGGCAACTCTATTGGTGATGCCCAGCGCATTGTTGAAAATCTCCATCGTGAATACGCCAACCTGGTTCGACGAGATGACAATGTCGATCTTGTCGAACTGTTTGGGAGAGAACTGGTCGATTGAAAGCAGTATGCCTTTGTCGTAGAAGCTCTGGGCGCTGTACTTGAACGAGCCAAACTGCGGTGACTTTCCGGACTTCTGCAGGTCGCGAAGGTGGAAATATTGCTTGGTGAAGGGCATGACGAAGCGCTTTTTGCTACAGGAACTTGAGCAAGCATTCTCAGGACGCCACGAGTATGCCTTACCCCTTGCCGCGTTGCATAGTCCGCATTGACTCCTCCACATAGTCGTGATAACTATTGATCTGCTCTTGGAAGTATTTTTTGCGGTCCGCCAGATGCTTGAGAGCTTGGTGCATGCTCTCCATCTCCTGCTGACGTTGCAAACGTTTCCGATGCTTGCTCCGAACGTCGCCAGCAATAGCGTTCAGGATGCCCTGATAGCCATCAGTCCGAGTAATCTTGCCCATCTTCTCCAGCTCGATGAGGTAAAAGATTGCATGGGCCTTGACCTCACGGAAAGTCATTCTGCTTATTAGTGAGTAGCTGTGCAGCGCATAACACGGGCGGCACTCACTGTCGGATGTCCTCCAGCCGATAAGCCGACTCGTAACCTGTCGCCGAAGGTTGGCGGTTGTTTCTGTGTTGTTTGTGATCCATGATCATTTCATTCTCAACAATCTCTTCCCAAGTTATCTCGTGGGCATCGGTGACAGGCTGCATGAGAGACTCGACTAGATCCTTGGCAGGTTGTACTCTGAGGATGGCGAGCACGCCACGTTTGGCTTGCACCCAGTAAGTTTTCTCGTCCGCTTTAGGATCTATACATATACCATAAAGTTCTGCGAGGGACGTGAAAAATGCAGGACGGGCCGTACCTCGAACGTGAGCGAAACGGTTGGTGAGTTCGAGGGTAATGGCAGTATCCCGTGCATCTTTCAGCTCATCGCTGCCAAGATTGGGGACACCTCCAAGCTCGTGCAAGATCACAGCTAGAGGATCGTCCCGCCCATTGACCTAAGGAGCAGATGATGTAAGGATACCGCCCACGGACACGAATTAGGAACTCACGAGGCCATCTAGATGCTGCGATAACAGCGAATGCATCGCGTAAACCTCGTTCGGTGAGATGTAAATCGGTCGAGGCTGCACAGTTGCATCAAGAAACTCGTGTGCGTGAAACTCGGTTTCAGCATCGGGGACATTTGCAACTGAGAGGCTACTTGAATACTTCATCTTACAAGAAGCTACATTCACTCACTTTCCATGAACCATGCACTCATTTGATGGATCGCCACCCGTACAAAGTCGTTGATCGGAACATAACCAGGCGTGTCGTCTCCGAATTCGGTGCCACTTGTCACCTGTGCCAGCACCTTCGAAACATGTGCGAGATTCTTGCGCGACGTGATATCGATGGTCGAGGAAACGATGTCAAATGTTTCAGGCGTCCTGGAAGAATTGTTATTGTAGCGAAGCTTGAGTAAATGCTAGCTACTCACAAGATAGCAGGATTGATATAACGATAAAATATCAGCCGTCCCATACATGATGCGTACGCTGCCGTGGGAGCATCAGGAAAGCGCTCCTGCAATGTGCGCAGGGTCTCCCGAGCAAGGTATCTCATCCCATAAGGCATTCTCTTGGTGGAGCGAAGCAAGGCGTTTAGGAAAGACTCCGAGCGCCATTGCAGGTTTTGCAGGTCTGAGGAGAATGAGTTAGTTGTAGACCGATGTACAGTCAGTGGATCGCACGGTGAATGTATTTGACTCTCGTAGGAGGGTCTTCCAGTGCTTGGTAGAAAGGTAGATCCTTGGGTTTCGAGCTGGTGACACCGGACCGCATCTCTTCCAGCTCGATCCTAGCACGGTAAATCTGAGAGAAGTGTATAAGTACCAAAAAACAGACGCGTTGCTGAGGCGTACAGCGCATGGATCGACATCCAGGTCGAGGTCATCCGCGTCGAGAACGTAACGGACATCCGATTGTAGCGTCTCCCGAACGAAAGGTACTTGCTTTGGGCGAACATATTGCACGGCGATATTCATGTACATGGGGTGACCATGAATGATGTCGTCGATGGTCCTAGCTGAAGCCACTTCATCCTGTATAGCTGTCTGCATTCACTTTAAGACAACATTCTGGTGTTTTCAAATGATGAATCCGCACCTGGAAAAGTTTCAAAAGGAGATAATCCTCTCGGCGATTCTGTGCATAGCCGAAGAGTGTGAGGACGACCCTCTCTGTCAACCGCCTATTTCTCTCGGGCACTTCACCCATGGACATTTGCATGAATAGTTTACTGAGATACTCTCCTCGTGTCTGCAGGAGGTAAAACAGTTGCTGGTAAAGCTCGAGCTTCCTACGAGCTTCATGGTCCAGGGTGCTCGGCCCGGCGAAGGGGTCTCCGTGGGCAGCAAGGAGTGAAGCGCGGGCAGCGTGAGCTCCGGCATTATCGTGCCGCCTTCGGGCTTTGATGACATCTTCAAAGTTCTTCACGTTCTGCACGACAAGCGCAATCTTCACGTCGAGATCGTTGACTTCTGACTCTAGAGTCTGGTTTTCCCGGATGCCCTCAACGACCTTCTTTCTCAGCCGCTCAACCTGCAACTCTTCCTGGAAGTCTGCTTCGGAGTCGTCCAACAGATGCACGAAGTTCTTGATCGTGCCGACGTTGACATTCTTTCCCAGCGTAAGCTGGCGGTATTGCTCACGGGTTTCCTTGGCGCGGAAGAGCGACTGGATCTTGACGACCTTGTCCATATTCGCGCGATAATGCTGCATTTTCGCACGGAATTTGCGCCGTTGTAGAACACCGCGGATCAATGCTTGCAGCATGGACGCTTCCGCTTGACTGTTCCAAAGGTGATTGCGCCAAGCGTGCCAGTCTCGTCGCACAAGCGCGCCTCTTGCAGAAGCCTGGAATCCGGTAACATCGGGGGCGCAGAACTCCAATTGCTTCGTTTGCTCCTTGTGCCTATTCCGCGCCAAAGCCGCCCTAGCTAGCGCCTGGAAGCCGCCAACCGACTTTACGACCTTCACCTCCCCTAAAGCCTTGGAAAGAGCCTTATGCTGCCTTTGCGCAAGCTTAGCTCGAGCAAAACTCTGTAATCCGACGACAGTTGGAGTCGCACGCCTCAAGCCTCGTATAAGGGCCAGCAAGCGTCTGCGAGCGAGGAACGTTCGCACCGCTGCTTGAATTCGGACAACGACACCGGAGACATCATCAAGTTTCGCTAGTTGGTTGCGTACACGTCGACGCATTAACACACCGCGTGTATGGGCCTGCAGTTGGACGACGTAGGGTTCTGCACTGTGCAGACGCCCAAGAAGGCGAGCATCTTTCCAGCGAGCCAGGACACCATGGCACTGTGCTTGCAGAGCGACGACGGAATGCATGATCTGCGGTTGGGCGAAAGACTTCGCAACCTCCGTATGGGATTTGCGCGTGACACGTGCACGAGCGATCGTCTGTAGCTTGATCACAGCGGGTATACTCTTCCGTATGGCACTCTTGAGTAGCGCGAAGCGCCTTCGCTGTAGTACCCCGCGGCTCTGCGCTTGTACTTTGATGATCATGCCCTTGATTGCCTTGATGCGGCTCAGTCGCAGCTTCCAATCCCGTCTGGCTAGTAGTCCTCGTGCGGCGGTTTGTATACCCCTGGCCCACGGAGTTAAATCCATCCGCTCCTTGCGCTGCTGGTTTAATGAACGCCTAACAAGGACAGCGCGGCAGCGTGCTTGAAGCTTCGGAACATAGCGTTCTGCGATACGGAGGCGACCCCTTTGAGTAGCGACATTCTTCCTGACGAGGAAGGCGCGAGCGCGCGACTGTAATCCGACGATAGAATCTTCACATTCCATCAGCTCGCGATCGCGTCCTAAGCGGATATCAGCATAATGGTCACCGAACGGCAGGGCAATACGCACTCTCTTCATCCGTCTCTTCGGGTTCAGGTTCCGGCTCCGGCTCTTCATTGAGATCTTTGGCCAGTTCGCGCCCAACGTTTCCGAAGTTTGGCATGGCAACACCGGCTGCGTTAAGCCCTTTCTGCGTGAGTTCAAGCTGATCGTCGGAAAATTTCAGGTGTCCAACGAGGTTACCGATGCGCTCGGCCATACCGCGACGGGCAAGGAGATGGCTATGATAAGAAATCAAGTCGGGAATGACAAGAAATCAGGGGGAAAGACAGACCTAAGAGCGTGTATGCAATATATGACCTTCGGTATATTCTTCTTGTCGTAAAGATCCGTCAACTCGAATATGAAGCTCTACCGGTGATTTGTCAGATGATTAATCATGTTTTTAAAGCGAAGATTTTCTGATACTCGCCTCCGGCAACCCAACTTCCCGCACAAAATTAAAGAAAATATTGATGTTGTCGGAGTGTCGGAAATCAAGCCTGGGTGCGTCCCAGATTCGCCTCACTATGCCCTCTCCTTGGAACACCCTGCACAACTTCGCTAGTACAACGCCGTTTCTCAACTTTTCGTCCATTTCCACAACACCAAATCCGAGCTCCTCGCCGAGGCAGCCTTCAATCCACTGCTGCGCCTCACCAACGTGACACAGGTATTCGTACGCCTGAAGTAGATGCCGTTGAGTATCGGCCCAGAGTCCCCATCGACCCATGCCCGCTCTGTTAGTCAGCTTCGAAGAAGGAAGTGGAGCGGTGGCCTTGGATATGGAAGCGGCATTGGAACGCGAAAGGCGGAGGCGGCCAGGGATACCGGCAACGTCGTCTCCCGTAGCAGGACCAGTTGGGGTTGTGGGCGTGAGGGGGAGGGCTGCGGGCGTGCGGGAATTAGGCGTTATAGGCGTCATAGGTGTTCGAGGCATGGTACCAAAATCCACCGAGCGGCGTTCGGGAGTACGCGGCGTCGGGTTTGCGGTAAGAGGGGCAAGATCCCGCACGACTCGCGCGTTCCGCCGCTCCAACCTCGGAGATTCGGGGGGTTCTGATGGTGGAGCCTCATGGCGGGGCTCCGTTTTCAAGGGCATGGGCGGGGGAGGCGGAGGCTGGTCCTCTGCTTCCCAATCGTCATCCGCGTCTCCGCTGGCGATCCTGGGCAGATGCCTTCCCAACTTCCTACCGACAACGAGGTTGTCGCCATAGGTGCTCGCTTTCTTTGCTGACATGTATGAGGATCGATAGGGAGACGGCGACATGACGGGTGAAGTTGATAGTGGGGTGGGAGAAGGGGAGAGGATGCTTCGCGAGTACAACGTTTTGTCTGGAGAGAGGGAGGGAGTGCGTATAGAGGAAAGCGAATCTAGCTTCTCGGGAGATTCTGCTCGCGACTGCGAATTGGATATGTGCTCAAATGTTGACCGGCGCCCGAGCGTGGCACGTTCTGGTGCTGGGACCGAGCTCGAACCAGGTGTAGCAGGAAATTGGGAAAGGAGTGTAGCTGTGGACGCGGTGGATGCTACGGACACATCGGAGGCCGTGGAATGCGTTGAAGACCCGGTGAAGTTCGCGGCGATGGTCTCAATCGTGTTCGCACGTCGCAGCCTGGTGGAATAGCCTACCGTAGCTGACGATCCGGCTATAGACGATGGTAGTACATTGGACCGCGCGCTCATAGACGAAGAACCGGAAATGGAAGACGGAAGTATGTTAGAACGCGGATCGCGAGAGGGCGTAGTGGATGCCGGGGAAGGGAAATGCGCGATACTAGGGAGGTTGATGCGGTTCACCTTCGGCGTCAACGTTGAGGGAAGATGGGCATCGGATGTAGAACCGATCGAAGGTCCGGGGTCTTCGACAGATACCCCGGTGCTATCTGGCGAAAGGGGAGACGCAATGATAGGTGTTGGCAACGTGCGGCGTTTGAGGTACGTCGGCGTCCGCTGCCCGAGAACCTCCGCAGCTGTCTGAGGAGGCGACTGAGTGAGATTATCCGTCGACCTTCGAAAGGCAGCCCGCCCGTATGTTCCAGACGCTGCAAGCGAGTCTGATCGGCCAAGTGTCCCTGCATGTGTAGATCCTCTTGTGGGTGTGCTGAGAGCAGGAAAGCCGGAGCCGGTAGAGTTTTCAGGAGCAACTTCTGCCTCTGCCTTAGCCCTCTCCTCCCACTTCCCTCTCACAGCTTCCAAACTGGCTCCTACGCGATGCCCAGGCGTCCATCTCCTCGTGGGGCTTGGCGACGCAGGTACAGTGCTGCCATTGGGCCCAGAGTTGAGCAAAGATGTTCCAGAGAGCGAGCCAGAGCGCGATATTGAGCCTGCGCGAGCGTTATGACGCTCTAAAAGACGGGTCTGGTAGGCAAATGGACCAGACGATGACCCTGACCGCGAGAGCGACGAGGAGGACGATGCGGAGGTCGTCGATTCCGATCTCTCCATATTCACTCGCCCAACAGCGGGATGCCGCGCGGACCGTCAGCCAGATTCAGAACAGAGAGGCAACCACGTAAGTAGTAGATGAAACAGTGAGGCGGTCGCGGATTCAGTCGCCTCTGGGCGGAGGGGGCACACGTGATCGATGAGACCAGTTATCGCACCGCCACCCGAGTCGCGTTGGAACGCGTCGACGTCGAGCACGATGTCGAGTGCGCAGCAACACCTCGACGCGCTCATCGCCCAGCTCGTGCCCCACGCGCGAACGGACGATGCGCTGCGGCGGGAGCTTACTGCGCAATGCCAGGATATTCTATCAAGGTGGGCCACATTCGTTACCAGGGATTCCCTGATCCTCACATACTCGCAGTCATATCGGCCAGTCCCGAGAGCAAGATCTTGGCTACCTTGCCGAGCTCGTCAAACGACGACTGACTCAATCAGCGCCTGGATCTTCCACTGCGCCGCTCCAATTCACAAATCTCCTCTCTCGTCTGCTCGATCAACCTGTCCTCTCTAAGAAATACTCCACGGTCCTCTTCCTACATACCCTCGCCACGAATTTCAGACCAGAATCCGACTCACGACCGTTCTTGCCCTCGCTTTCCGTTCCACCACCAGTAGCAAGTCGTCCATCGTCAACGCGACCGACGTCTGCCGTCGGAACGCCTGCAACACCGTCTCCTGCTGATCAGCCCACTACACGAAAGGCCAAAACCAAGGCGGATATCTTGCGGGAATACCGCGCCAAGGCTGGCACGTGCAGTTATTCTCTCTCTACCCTTCATGCCGGTTGATGGATCCGTCAGGTAGATCGCACCTTCCTTCGCATCTTCTACTACGCGACACGCTATATCTGCTGCAAGGCATATCTGGCAAATATCTTCGATTATCTACATCTGAGGACGATGTCAACACCATAGTCTTTGTGGATGATTCCGTAAGTGCTCATGGCACTGCAGGATGCGGTAAGGATACTCATGATCTCTCAAGCGATGCATTATACCCCCTCCGACTCGCACCCTCATACATCGCCTTGCCGAAGTCGGCCATCTATATACCCGGGTCGATGCGTTCGTCCGCTCTCACCAGACGGATGGGTCTTCTAAAGTCGGAATGATAGCACAGAGCCTCTGCCACCACCTCCAGACCCAGTTGACAGAATATTATCGTTTGATTGCCGTGCTGGAATCGCAAATGGCATTCGCCACCAATATTGATGTGGACGACCAAGAGAACCCAAGAAATGAAGAAAGTGGGCTGACCTTGAGGAGACTGGACGTGTGGATTAATGAATGGAGACTACGTATGCGCATGATGAGCGTGTGCGTCGAAGGAGCCCGCGGTATACTCTCATCCTACTCGCTACGTTTTCTGAGCTGATGTCGGTTGGTAGATGCCCATGGAGGCGCCCTCGTTAATCTCATCCACTCCTACACCGCTACCGGTGACCCATTCATTCGCCATTTCACCGACCAGCTCCTCGAGGAGGTTTCTACACCCTTCTTCGCGACCCTCCATAAATGGCTATTCTCCGGGGAACTCCACGATCCCTTTTCCGAGTTTTTTGTCGCTGCCGATCCCGACCTGTCCTCTGTTAACTACGTTCACCCGTCTGCCCTTAATGGTGGACTAGGTCAGACCTCTGCTGACGGACTTGGTGGCCTCGGTGGGTTTGGTGGAGGAGTAACATGGGGTGGTGAAACAGATGAGACGATGGAGAGGGAGGGGGGGCTGAGGCTTTGGGAGAATAAGTACAGGTTCAGACGGGAGATGCTGCCGACGTTCGTGGACGAAGCGTTTGGCAAGAAGATCTTCTCCACGGGGAAGAGCTTGAACTTCATTCGCTATAGCTGCCACGATAATGACTGGGTAGCAACGAGGGAGAAGCTGGGCAATGCCGGCGCCAGTGCGTTCTTTTGTGCCGATCACCATCTGTCTGCTAACCCGCTAGTTCAAACGCTCAGCGTTGAAATATAGTGACATCTCCGGACTTGAACGTTCGATCGACACAGCCTACCAGATAGCAAGTCAGAGGCTATTCGACGTGTTCTTCGACAAATTCAGATTGCTGGATCACCTTCGTGCGCTGAAGAACTATCTTATGCTCGGCCACGGCGATTTTGTGGATCAGCTCATGGATGCGCTTGGGTAGATTATCTCTAGTTGCCTGAGTTGCATTGATCCTGACGAGCTGTGCTAGGCCATCCCTCGCTCGTCCCGCCAACACTCTTTATCGCCACAACCTCACAGCGACTCTCGAAACTGCTATTCGCTCGTCCCTGGCCTGCAACGACCCCCCTGACGTCTTACGGCGGCTCGATGTACGCATGCTTGAGTACTCCCATGGGGAAATTGGGTGGGACGTTTTCACCCTGGAATACAAGGTGGACGCGCCCATTGATGCGGTCGTCGATCCGGACGCAATGATCAAATACCTCAAGCTATTCAACCACCTCTGGAAGATGAAACGAATGGAGAACGTGTTGAACACCGGATGGAGCCGTTGCGTGGGCGACGCGAAGTCCTTCCTGACTGTACCAGAGCTTGAGCACGAGTGGCATCAAATTCGCATCGTTCTTGCGGAGATGATTCATTTCGTCCGGGAAATGCGGGCCTACTGTCAATTAGAGGTCATCGAGTGCTCGTGGAAGGTCTTGCTGGATTTCATACAGAAGAAAGAGGGTGATCTCGATGCACTCATCGAGGCGCATCGGAGCTATCTTGAAAGAATGGTCAAGAAATTGTTGTTACTTAGTCCCAAAGCGGGGAAGGAGGTGGGCGTTGCAGCGTCTCAGCTTCGCATTCTGCTGAAATGTTCTGCAGGAGAACGTATTGCAACAAGTACGAGAAATATTTTCCACCGTCATACAGTTCAGGGACGCTACGGTGCGTAGTTCACGCCATGTGTACCCCATATACGCTGATAGTATTCTAGGATAATTTCTATAACCACTGCCTCTCTGAATCTGCACGGAGAGATACTGTCCGAGATGCGGCTCGCGTGAGTCTTGCTGTAACCAATTGTGCTCGATTGATAGCGTTATCGTGTCCAGGGATTATACACCGGGCGGGTCACGCCCGATGAACATAATCGAGCCGAACAACTTGCTGGGATTGTGGATCGCGTCAGGGAATATGCATCGGCATTCTCTCAGCAAGCGCAAGCCATCGTGCATTCCTTGCAGACCCATCCTGATCTCGACTGCCGATTTCTGGGCATTCGCCTCTCGTTCTCTCACTTCTATGGCACTAAACAGCAGATGTATCAACCAAAACCGTGATCATTGCCCGGGTACTTTCATCAGATGGTTCTTAGTACTGCATACTGTATCCGAACTGTGAACGTCTCGTGCATCCATGCCGGTCATGCATCATTGTGAAGAGAAGAAAAAAGGAATGAACGCGAGCTTTCATGCTAGCTTCGGCTTATAGAGCTTGAGCAATAGACTACTGCAAACCACACTGACGCTGCTTAGGGCCATAGCAAGCGAAGCCCAAACAGGTGCTAAGCGGGCATGCCCCGCAGGATATACCACTCCGGCGGCGATAGGTAATGCGGCGATATTGTATACGCCCGCCCAGAACTTTGGAGCGTGAATGCATGAGCGATCATGGGAATTTTGCCGGATTGACATTCAGGTACTCACGAAATTGAACTTGACTCTGTTAAACACCTTGCGCGACAGTTCGCACAAAACGAGGATGCCTTTCAAGTTGGACGACACAAGGATGAATGCCGCGCTCGAGATGGCGACGTCGCCTGCGAGTCCGTCGTTCAGTATCAATGCCATTCACGGTCGAGAAAGAGGCTCACTTCCGGATCCAATGGCAATCCCGACATCTGCGCTGGACAACGCAGGCGCGTCGTTGATACCGTCCCCAACCATGGCCACGATACACCGGTCGTTCAGGCGTCTCTTTCCAAAGATCGCCGCCAACCGAGAAAGTCGCCGTTTGGGGCCGACTTGTTGCAACCACTGTATCTTCTCCGCCTGTTCATCGTTGTCAGCGCAAGACACTGAAGGTCAACTATCCTCCTATAGCATACCTTCTCATGCGGCAATACACCTGCTATTACGTTTGTCTCTGGGATACCAACAAGGCGAGCCACGGCTTTGGCGGTGATGGCATTGTCGCCGGAGATCATCCACGTCGCAAGACCTCTATCTTGCAAGCTTGCTACGACGGCCTTCGCTTCCTCGCGGATCGGGTCGGATACAGCGAATACGGCAACAACTTCGTAAGTGAATTGCTCTCCGTCCTTTGTGAAGTCCTTCCGCAGCGCCAGTAAGACGACGCTCTGGCCCTCGGATTTCCACGCGGCTAGAAGCTCCACAATTTGCCCTGATATTTTTCCGCCGTTTTCTTCGATCCAGGCCTCGTTTCCGATTATGGCTGAGCAACCTAAAGAAGTAAACCGAGCTTTGATGCCGCGTCCCGGAGTTTCTTCATAATCCAAACCAGATATGGGAGAGCATCCTTGCGATTTGCAGTAATCATCTATAGCCAGGGCTAGCGGGTGTGAACTTGCCGACTCTATCTCGATGGCGATTCCTAGAATTGTCTTCGGGTCCCAATTCGCAGCCCAAAGACGAGCATTGGTGACTTTCGGGTTGCCACCTTCTGTCAAGGTCCCTGTTTTGTCAAAAACGATGCAATCGAGCTGAGCGGTTTCTTGAAAAGCTTCCCCACCGCCGCGCGCAAGGATCCCGTACTTAGCAGCGAGTCCAGACCCGACGAGGAGCGCCGTTGGGGCAGCAAGGCCAATGCCACAAGGGCAGGCCACCACGAACACAGCTATCGCAAACTCGAGAGACCAAATAACTGCGGAAATGTCAGCACCGTAACACCGGTACATAAGATCAACGTACTCCACCCTCCGACCTCGATGTCCAGGTATCCTGCAGGAAGGGAACCGCTCAAGCCCAACGCTGACGACGCAAACACGTCAACCCCCAGTCGTGAGCCCCAACATGTCGTGGCATGAACTCACAAAGCCAAATCACCCATGTCAGAACGGCAAGTAGGGTGATGACGGGCACGAAGTATGCCGTGACCAGGTCAGCTACACGCTCAATCGGTGCGCGCTTGGTTTGTCCTTCACGTACGACCTTCACGACGTGGTCTAGCCTAAAGGAGCAACATGTTCAGTATGTTACATACCTACGATAACGAAGAACGTTTACATGGTCTCCCCGCCAATCGTGTCAACACGGACATCAATAGGATTTCCTCGGTTGATCGTTCCTAGGAAAACTGGATCGCCCACAACCTTCTTGACCAAACGAGATTCTCCAGTCAAGGAGCTTTCGTCGAAGACCGCTCCGTCGCTCGGTGCCGTCAGGATCGTTCCATCAGCCGGGGGTGTAGAACCGTTGACAACGCGAACCACGTCTCCCACTTCCAGTAGACCGACATCAACCCTTTCCAGTTTCATTCCCGGTTTGGTGAAGAACATCTTTTCGTGATCCGGATCTCCTTTCTCGACATCGCGGTCTGACAACCCTGAGAGAGACTGTCGGTCCGGTGTATTGGCATGGTGCATTAGCGAAACAAGAAGAGCCTCCGATGGACGAAGCTTGCCAAGCGCCATGATCGCATCCGAGGTATGACCCTTGCTATACGCCTCCAGGAAACGACCTGAATCCATGCTCAGCATCCTCGTGATGATGAAGTCACGCCACACTTACCACACAGCAAGAACATCGTCAGGAACACGACCGAGTCGAAGTACGTTGTTGTGTCGCCATGCCCCATTGGCGACGGGCGCTGGGCCGTCGCAAGACCAAGAAGGACGATGGAAGAAAAGTATGCAACCGCAACACCTGTCGACACCAGGAGGTTCATCGAGCCGAACCGGACAAAACGCTTCCATACTGGCGTCTTGCTGCCGGGCCGCCAGAGACCACGAATCTCCTTCAAGCTCCTGCGGTGGAACATGCCCGCACTATAGAACATTACTGGGGTGGCGAGAATGAACAGCGCCCATTCAACGCGACTGACGTTTCCGGCCCACATCGGTCGCATTAAGAAATCCTTTGTGGCGTCATCGTCCGGAACCAACGACATGTATACAATGCCGATGATAAAAGTCGGGATGGCTACCACGACGGAGAAGAGAAGGCGATGGAGCAGGTGCCGCTTCTCTCGCTGCTGCATGGCCCGAGCACGATCTTCGAGAGTAGGAGGATCATACGGAGACACCGCAAACTTCGAGTCCGGATCGGGGGATTTAGAAGCGGCGATAGCAGCTACTATCGTGCGTATGGTGATATCAGGTGGGGATGGAGTATAGTTAATCCGCATGAGGGGGTCAGTATGGCTTGTGATGGGCTTCTCAACTTGTAGCTGGCCGGAAGATATGAATGGTTCGAGTGCCGACATGACGCGCGCCGGACAATGTCTGCTCTAAGGTGTGAATCCTCATGCAACCGTTTCTAGTACGGTCCGGCTCACCGACAGAACATTCCATCGATCTTCAGAGTGATCGTCCTGCGTACGGTTTCCTGACGAACTTCGGCCCGAGCGGTCTTCACAGGCTCCACGTCCATGAGTTCAGCTTCGAAGCCGCAGTCCTCGATCGTCTCTAGTACCGTCGGGACAATATCCCTGCGCTTGACGGTGACGCTTGCAGAATTCCCGAGTAGATTCACGACGACATTCAAAACGCCATCCACTTGCGACACCACGTCGGTGATTGTGTTTGAACAAGAGACGCAGGTCATTCCACCGACAGAGACCGTAACGTAGTATGGCCCTTCCTCCGCAGATATATCCAGTGCTGGCTCTGGTGCCTTCTCAGGTCTGGCCGGCGCCAAGGACGGTTGCTGGCTCTTGTCCACATCTTCATGCTCCGCATAGCCGCCGTTCTCTACCGAGAGCGTAGCCACACCTTCGCTGGTGGCTTCCCGCAACAACTTCTCAGACTCTTCGTGACCGTGCACTTCGCCCTGCTGACAAAGCTGACATTGCGCAGCATGCTTTTCGCGCTTTCGCGACAGCAGGGACGTCCTCCGGGCCCTGGGAGCCGCGCTGTAAAGCGTCGATGCATCCTCCGCCGGCGTTGATACAAGGTCGAAACCTGCCTCGTCGATGGCGGCCCTGATCGTCCCTTCCAGGAGCTGCTTGGAGTGGTGCACGGTTACCGACTGAGAAACGACCGACACCAACACGGAAGTGGGCGCTGGGGTGAGCTGGTTGAGGGCGTCCTGAATGGTTCGTACACATCTGCAACAAGTTTGATTATACGGGAGCCGGGGACGAGCACACGACGACTCACGAACTGCAATGCAGATTCGACACCAGGATGGTCGTGACGGCATCATCAGGATCTACGCATTGCTGTGTGAGCTGCAGACAGCCGTATCGGGCCCGCATACTTACTCATGTTGCCTTCAAGGATGGGGTAGATACTGCGCAGAGTTGGGTACCTGGGGGTGGACAGGCCTGAGGTTATGGCCGGCCGTCTTGAGCTCGAGGCCATGGTGCTGGGTCCGGAGTTGCTATGTGGGGAAATGATCTACGTGGAAATTCACCGAGCTGCCTCCTGCGATGTGCCGGGGGTGGACGACGGACGGGGACGAAAGCAGCGGCTCTGCCATTTAAGGCACAGACGCGTCCAAGAATTCACGCAGATGAGGCATTTCTGCGTCATCCACGACACGTGCAGTGCTGACTCAGCTTGACTCAGGTACATTCCCATCCGTGGGAACGCCGTCCTCGGTGATCAGAGGGTGGTCCATGAGCTTCCCGAGAGCGCCGCCTGTAAGTAATACAGTATCGAACGACCGTGCCGCCGTCAGTACTCAGCGTGGAACGTCTGATTATAACCTGCTAAGTATAAATACCACTAAGTATGGGGTGCGCGGAACTGACTCACGTGACACGCGACTCGCACTCGCTTTTTGACCGCCGATCAGCGACCCATAAGAGGCTATTTCCCAATCGCCCGCACCAATACCCTAGAGCCCGACGGGGAATAGCTTCTTATTGCAACACGGACAACACCCTTCGTAGTCATATCGCGTCACCGTGCAGCCCACATTTATCATGCGTCGAACTTCTCGGCTCCTTTTCCAGTCTCCCGAACGTGAACGATCATCAGGCAACTCACCGAGATCCAGCTCTATCATCACTCGCTCCAGCACGCCCTCACCCAGCGGCTCCCATTCTGATTTTTCTACCGATATGTCCATGGGCTACCGGCCACCCATTGTCCTCGGTATATGCGCCATGGATGTGAAGGCGCGGTCAAAGGCTATGCGGGAGATTCTTACGAGGATCGTGGAACGCTCTCGCGGCATGATCGAAGTGAAGGTGTTTGGGGACAAAGTAATTCTTGACGAAGGTGCGTTAGTGGTCGTGTGACTTGTGCAATTAGGTCTGCGGCGCTGAAAGAGGTCCTTGCGACTGCAGATGTTGAGAATTGGCCCCGGTGCGACGTCTTGATATCGTTCTTCTCTACGGACTTTCCTTTGGACAAGGCGATCTCTTACGTAAAATTGCGAAACCCATTTTGCATCAACGATCTCCCTCCTCAAGCACTTCTCTGGGATAGGCGCTTGGTAGGTGCGGTTCTGGATCACCTCAAGGTCCCCATGCCGAGGAGACTGGAAGTATCTCGCGATGGCGGTCCCAAGGTGGATGAGGAGTTGAAGCAGATTATGAAACGGAAGCTTGGTATCACTCTAGGTGGTTTCCAGGTCACACCGGAAGTTGTCCTCCGGGAGGACGGAGATGCCATCATCATTGATGGTCAGGTGATGGAAAAGCCATTTGTCGAGAAGCCAGTTAGCGGCGAAGATCACAATGTATACATATACTTTCGAGGTGGAGGGGGCCGTAGGCTCTTCCGGAAGGTGAGGATATACGTCTTCGGCGGTCGTACAGAGTGTTCATGCGCGTCTGGCAGGTTGGGAACAAATCAAGCGAATATGACACCAATCTGGTGCAGCCTCGTACAGATGGTTCGTACATTTACGAGCAATTTGTCGACGTCGACAACGCAGAAGACATCAAGGTCTATACCGTCGGCAAGGAATACACCCATGCGGAAACGCGCAAGTCCCCTGTGGTAGACGGCGTGGTGAGGCGAAACACGGATGGCAAGGAGATCAGGTGCGGCGGTTTTCCTACGCAGCGCGTCACTTGTTGAAATGAAGCAGATTCATCACGCATCTAACGGATGAAGAACGTTCGTGGGCCGCCAGGATCTGTGAAGGCTTTGGTCAGCGGGTATGCGGCTTCGACTTGCTTCGAACAGGGAATGGCGCCAGGGGACAAGTCATCGACGTGAACGGATGGAGTTTCGTCAAAGGGAACGAATCATACTATGGTACGACGGTTTCCCCCTTTTTTGTGACAGAGTCCAGACTGACTGTCCTTTCAGACAAGGCCGCGGAAATTTTGACCGCGTTCTGCTTGCGGATGGCAGTAGCCCCCGACCGGCCGCTGCCTCACGCCTCCGAATCAGGCTTGCAGGAATCTTCAACATGGGTGCTTAAAGCGAACGTTACAGTCTTCCGTCATGCGGACCGTACCCCAAAGCAGAAGTTGAAGTTCAACTTCCCCATTGGCGAAGTTTGGACACAGCCCTTTGTGCGGCTGCTCAATGGGAAAAACGACGAGATCATACTGCGAGATAGGGTTCAGCTTGAGCTCATTGCCAAGGCTGTCGAAGAGGCAACCAGGCTCGGGGCAGACGGCGAGCATTTGACGAAATTGACGGCTCTGAACACGGCCTTGTTCAGCAAAATCGACTATCCTGGAACGAAGGCACAGCTCAAGCCCGCATACAGCAAAAAAGAGGCTGGCCAGCTGCGGAAATTGACCAAGTTGACGCTCGTGTTCAAATGGGGAGGAGAGGTACGTGTCAATATTCCGTCTCGTATTTCTACAACCTTGAAGTTGATGGCTACGCTCCTAGTTCACTCATTCAGCTCGTTACCAGTCCCGTGATCTTGGAGAGAACCTCAAGAAGGTATGCGCCATCACGATATTGGTCGTTCATCCTCGTTGACTTAATGCACAGGACATCACAATCATGAGTACGCAATCCCGACCATCCGTTCCTTGAAATACTTATTCAGACCTCGCAGACAAGGAGGTACTGAATAATGTCAAGGTTTGTTATATCTGATCTCTACATCACCCCTCTATTAAGTACGATGTGCCTGCAGATTTACACCTCTTCAGAGCGACGTGTTGTGGCATCAGCCGAGATATTCGCTGCGGCGCTCTTGGATAACCACCATCCATACGTCTCTTCCTCTAGCTCAGCAAGAGGCTCACGCTACAGTGTTGACAGCTCCGCCAGTAGCACTCCCAAAACACCCTACATGACAAGGCCTCAATCTCCTGCTACGAGGGAGCCAACTCCGCAGTCACACCAAGCTACTTGGTCCTCGCCGGAACCTGAAGATATACAGTCGGAATCTGGTTCTCCCCCATCTCATTTGCTTCAGCAGTTGCATAAGCAGGGCCACGATCTCATTGTTCGCCCGGACCTTCTGGACGATAGCAACGCCGCAAAGGATCTCATGGACGATGTGAAGAAGCGGTTGAAGATCTTACTGCGGCCGGGGGAACCCGAAAAGCGCCCAGATCTCACGTGGCCCAAGAGCATGAAGAAGGAGCCGGTTGAAGTGGTGAAGGTTCGTATTTCATGAACAACAAATCGAAATGCTCAAACTCTGAGTTTTCCTGCAGGAAGTGATAGAGTTATTGAGCTCCTTCCGAGAGATCATGCGTCACAATTTCGAGACTATGGATGTCAACAAGATCCAAGAACGCTGGTGCTGTGGCGACGAACCGTGGCTTTTCCGCGAACGGTGGGAGAAATTGTTCGAGGACTTCTGCGACGTCAAACAGGAAAAGTTCGACCCATCCCGAGTGCGTACACGTCGGCATCGGTTTGTCGCATGCTGACGGAGCGGCTTCGTCGTAGGTATCGGAACTCTATGACACTATCAAGTACTGCGCCCTTCATCACCGCACGTTCCTGTTCGCTATCTTTAGTGAAACAGGGGATACAAATCCGGATACTGGTGATCGTAAGCTCCACGAACTCTATGGGCGAGCTAAAGCTCTGTTCGACCTCGTTGCGCCTCAGTAAGTTCAATGCCCTCTGCGCCTTATTCCCTTGATGTACTCAATATAACATAGGGAATACGGCATCGAGCCTAATGAGAAGTAAGCGATATTACGCTTCGTCAACCAGGCACACATTTGACGTCGCGCAGAGAGGAAATCGGTGTCCTCACCTCTTTGCCGCTGTTGAAGAATGTTGTAGAGGACCTCGAGGATGCTCGCAACAACGAAGAAAGCTCGCTCACCCTTTATTTCACGAAAGAAAGCCATATTCATACCTTGGTTAATCTCGTCCTCCTCTCCGGTCTACCTATAGCAAACCGTCGCATCCCGGAACTTGACTACTGCGTGCGTTCTGCTGGAGAATTGTCATCTGATCTCGCTGATATCATCATTTATCTAGTCCCATATAACGTGAGTTATCGTCCTTACCACCGGTCGTCGTCCTGAGACATTGGCATCTGTTAGCTTTGAACTTTATGAACGCAATCACGGGCGCGGGAAGTCGGACAAGGAATACTCTATCAAACTGTCCTTGAGTGAGGGAGCACATTCCTCCAATGTTCTAGATTCGGCACTGGATGCGCGCCACTCGTTGAATGTGCAGCCACGAAGGTCATCGTTATCCTCATTTCATTGCATCGGCGTTGCTGACCTTCCACCAGAAAACTCACGCAACACTTGCCGTACAGCCAGGTAATAGAGAAACTATCCAAACATTTTCCTCGATTACAGCATGTTTGTCGTCCCTGCCCCTTATTATGACCTTTTCTCAAGCTACACACAGGACGACGACAATGGACCAGACAGTTATGAGCAAATAGACATGTCTCCGCCGGTGGCGCCGCCGCACGGTGGATCTTCGCCCATGAGCATTACTAGCCCATCGCCTCCGCAGTTTTAGATCATAGGTAGCCGAGATTCGGGCCGCATCACCTTAATAGACGCATTCACGGATTTGAACATCGTCGCACGTCCCCAACCGAGGTTGTATTATATTACACTGCATGTCCCATATTCGATACACATTACATCATACATCGCATAACTATGCCTGGTATGAGCGATTGCCAGTACACATTCTTCTTACGATCACTGTAGCACACACATCATTATATTTGTTCTGCGTTTTCATCGTCCCAGGGTTGCAAGCCAAGACTTTCGCGCATCTCATTCAGCTTCTCGGACTTTAGCTGGCGGAACGGCACGCCTTGTCGGCCGAGACCAGTAACGGACGGGTGATCGCGGTCAAAGAGTGCGGACGCCGAGGTCGAGAGGTTGGCGGTTTGTGTCGCCAAAGCTGCAAAGGACTGGGTGGAGTCATGGTATAACCTGGATGCCGATCTCACTGAGCCGAGTATCAGTTTACTCTGGGGGAACACTGACCTGTACGCTTCTTTGTTGAAACAGTCCGATTCCTTGACTTGGTCTAGCGCGTGCTTCTTGAAAGCAGTCTTCACCCAGTGCAGCACGTCGAACACGTGATTCTCCTTCGGTCTGTGAGGCAATGCATTGCAGGATTCGTCCGCAGAGAGAATGAGCAACTAACCTCCATGTCCGGAATCGTGGAGCAAGGTTGAAGGCCCCGTCTTTCTGCGCGACGAGGGGATGGAAAACATCGGTCGTGAAATGAACAGCTGGCGGTCTTTCAGGATAGTTCAGAGGGAACGTTAGCCTAAACCGCAGAATCGAGTCCGCGTAGTACCCTATTGAACGGCAGCATCAGTAGGGGCGCGAGCTGTATTAGTGCTTGAGATTGCGGACCTTGATGAACAAACAACACCGCATCCCAGACCAGAAGGTTTTCATCCGACGGGATGACATAGACACCCAAGGGACAGTGTCCTCGAAATCGCAGGGACGCATACTCCGAGCACACCGCGGCGCGCGCAACGGCGGTAGTAGGTAAGTCGGGGGTTATCCCGCCCCTGGCCACAGCAGAAGCGATGTTCGAAGATGATGCGCGAGAGTGAGGTTTAGAGAGGTCAATTGTGGACGAAGCACTCAATGCGCTGAATGGAGACTGGTAGAGATTCATCGTCGCGATGGTTCAAACGTTCACACTTGCAAACACTGCCTCTGGTCAGGTCTGCTCTGAGTGACTAGTCTGAGGTTAAAGGGATGGCGGATCACGTGGAACCGACGCCCAAGTCGTCGTCGATCGCCAGTCCTGTTGAAAGTTCGCTTCAAAATTCCGACGCGCCGGCCCTCCCTGATTGCCTAGCGCCACCGAACGGTTGCTGTGAACATGGCGGCTGCAAAGCAGGAGGTCATTGACCTCACCGTGACACAGTCGTCCGACGACGTGATCATCCTCGAATCTGGTCCAAGCACGGCAGTTGCGACGCCCAAAAGCAGCGGAGGAGATGAGTCCCACACGAAGAAAAAAAGGAAGAGGAAGAAAAGAAAGTCAGCTGCTACCAGTGTGGTGGAGGACGGGGAAGTGATTGAGGCGACTTCACGAGAACGGACCACGGAACCCTCTGCGATCCGCAATGGGGAGCGCGAGGGGCGCCGGCACCGGTCGCGTTCGAGAGACGGGCCTAGAGACACGGCCGATACAACATTTACACACGACGACGAACTTTCGGCGCTGTTTTTCTCAGATGTGACCGCAGATGCGCTTCCCGCAATCAAACCCGTGGCGAGGTTGCATAACCTGGATGCTGCTCAAGATCCGTCTCCTGCTACAGAAACAAAGCTTCTGCTCCCTGCCCACGTGGAAGTTCTCCCCAGTGCTGAGGGCGGCGTTCTGCCCGTCGAGATTCTACCTCCCTCGGACGATGAATCGGACGAAGACGCCATAGAGTACCTCGACTATGACGACGGAAAGGTGAGTCCCCCACTTCAAAGCTAAAATCCGGCGCTGACTGTGACGGACATAGGCAGCAGGGACAGTGCGCTACTTCGATGCACAAGAGGCGCAGGAAGCGAAACCTCGCAAATTTGTATGTAAGAAATGTGGGGCCGAGGGAGACCATAAGACATTCGAATGTCCTGTACTCATTGTATGTGCTTTGATGGAGTGGATCGCGTACTGCAGCCGCTTATGTATCCCAGTGTCTTACATGTGGTGCACGAGATGAGCATTCAACCCGGAGGTTAGCGAATCCCCATTTACCGCACCCGCAACCCTGATTATGCTTCTGGCAGCTGTCCAATCAGCAAGACATGCTTTACCTGTGGCATGAAGGGTCATATAAACGCCGTACGCACGCATCTGCATCCGTGCAGCTATGGTTCAGTAACATGTCTGGTTAGACCTGCCCCAATCGTAACAAACGCATGACAAGAGACACCGGTCGCTACGATGAGTGCGACCGATGCGGATCTAATCATCACAGGACCAATGTTCGTTTTTTATTCAAAGGACAGCAGAGTCGCAGGCGATGATTTACAAACTCTACAGGAATGTCCAACACTTTGGCGCATATACGAGTATGTGACCGATGAGGGGCGAACGGCGATACTAGAAGCGCGCGAAGCGAAACGGCTGCTACCTCTTGGCGAAGGTGGCGAGGCATATATTGCCGGAGATGAATGGTGCTATAATTGCGGTGGCTGCGGCCATTTGGGCGATGTACGTGTCCAGGGATTGACCCACCTTTTCCTGACGAATTTAAAAGCGAGACTGATCTAGGACTGCCGGGAACTTCCACATCCCCGGGATCATCCCGTCGAGGCATCTGCATTTGGCAGCTATAACATACTGTCCGGTCCGTTCGCAGACCCATCCTCATCTCCTTCGGCGAAGGGTCAACAACGACGTGAGCCGAGAGACTGGGAGCGAGACGCGTTACCGATGAACTGGGGTCAGGACGCGCCAGCAGAGGTGGGCAAGATGGGCCGCAAGAAGGACCGCGCGCGGATGGAGAAACGAGCCAGGGACGCGGAAGCAGATGGCGAGGAGGACGACTGGTTCGGTCGTCTAAAGAACAGTGACGGATCCAGGAGGAGCAGGAACGAGAATGGCCGGGATAGGGATAGAATTAGCGGAGGTGGTCATCGCATGGACGGGGCGAGTGGTACGAAGAAGATCACCTTTGGTGCCAGCTTGCAGGACAGGCTTGGCACATCCTCTGATTCTGGTAGCAAACCAGGTCTTGCGGAACGTTTAGCCATGGGCAGGGACGATGGTAGGCATGAAGGCAGATATGGAGGAAATCGTCCAAGAAGTGGGGATCGACGAGATTGGGACACAGGTCGAGATAGAAACAGGGACAGGGGGGACCGAGGCAGGGACAGGGACAGGGACAGGGACCAACACCACGGCAGACACAGAGGCCGCAATGATGCGGGAGACAAGGATTCAGAGCGACGACGAGATTGGAGAGACAGGCAGCCGACCGCGGCCGGTCCTAGGTACAAGGGCGGTTACTCCAGGTAGCATCCGTCAATCGCCCGATGGACGCGCCACGCATTCCCCCGGGGCCGGATCATCCCACTGTCGGCCACTTGCAATCCTTTCAAGATTTGCGGATCCTGCGCCCACGACTACAACCAACTGCGGCCCCCGGCCGGCTTGAGCATCCGTTAGCAATTCTCAAAACTCGGAACGACCTTTGCGACCACCCCGGCATTTTATGCCATGATCCTGCTTATCGCCGGAGTTAACGCCACCCGTATAATCGCGGCACCCCACAATAGAACCGTGACGGGAAGCAAGACGTCGATTGGTCACTGCACCCAGTGCATTCGTCCCGATGCTCTCAGTGGATCCTCAATCGTCATGGGAAGGTTCCGCACTCGTGTATCCCTCGTTCACTCGCGGAACCCCGGCCTGAATGTCAGCCGCCTGAGCTCGCCACCTTCCTTTACCCCACCTTTGTGGCTGGAAGGGCAAAAGCTACTGTATACGGGACACCTGAATGCAAACGTTGTACTTTCTTCTCCCGCATCTTCTCATAGATGAGATTGGCCAACTACAGCTGAACAAATGAGGAATGGATTCGTGGTATATGTATGGCTCGATTTCCTGTCGACACCTTGACTTGTACCCGTCCATGGCTCAGCTCTTTGATTCCGTACCAACCGACGTTAAGATTGGCACCGCTCTCCTGCTTCTCGCCGCTGCAGGCACGAAGCTCATTTCCAACTCGCAATCCTTACCACTACCTCCTGGTCCACAAGGACACTGGCTTTTTGGGGCTACATTCAGTTCTTCCGAGTACGTCAATCCATTTATCTCCCCTGCGGTCTAATCTCCAGTTACTGCGTGAAGGGCATGGCGCGTTCTTGAGGAATGGACGCAGGAATACGGACCTGTCTTCTCCTATCGCCAAGGGACGCGTAGGATGTTCATCATTGGCCGCACACAGGTCCGGATCCATACTTAACTGGGCCATCTCAAGGATGCGTGGCAATCACTAAAATTCACCATAGGCAGCGATCGATATATTGGAGAGAGAAGGTGCCGCTACTCTCGATCGACCATTGAACATCCCAGCGGAGACGGCTTCCGGAGGATTGCGCATTCTTAACATGAGCTGGAGCGATCAAGCGAGGAAACTGCGACGCGCTATGCATGAGCACCTGCGTCACAAAGTAGCCTTGTCCTACGGTGACATGCAGGAAGAGCACGCCAGGAATGTTATCCTCGACATCTTGAAGAATCCTGAGGATCACCAAACACATGTCAGAAGGTTGCATCGTTTCCGGCAGATCTGCGCATCTATCTCGCTATTGCTGAACGAATGTGCCCCAACAGGTTCTCCGCAGCTACGACTTTGCGACTTGCGTACGGGAAGACTACGCCCACGTATGTAGATGATTTAGAGATACAGCGCATCAACGTGTATGCTGCCTATCATTTTCAGCCGAAGGCCTCCCTAAAGTCCGTCTTGGCAGCATTGTGGCAAGACTACGGAAAATACTATTTCCTGGCTCCTTGTGGGTGGATAGGATCCCCTTACTGCGGTACATTCCTGGTTGGCTGCGTGAGCAGCAGGAATGGCACCATAACGAACTGGATCTGTATCATTCTCAAGTTAATACTGTCAAAGCCCAGATAGTGAGCGCGGCCTTCACTCTTATGGAGTGTCTAGCTGACTTGAATTGTGTATAGGCTCAAGGAGATGCACCACAGTCTTTCGTCAAATACCTTTTGGAGGATCAAGAAAAACTTGGCCTGTCGAACGACGAGCTTGCTTACCTTGCAGGGAGCCTCTTCAATGCTGGCAGCGAGTCGGTAGGTAATTGGTCCTTTCAACAGTTGTACATAAATGCGATGTTGCCCATCCCTTTCAGACGGCTGCTGTACTGGGCTGGGTGATCGTTGCAGCGGCGAAGCACCCCGCTGCTCAGGTTCAAGTACAGGCCGAACTTGACCGCATCGTCGGCCTGCAAAGAGGTAAAAATTTCGGGTTAAATCCTCACAGCATATCTTGATTCGTTCACAGCGCCTACGTTCGATGACGAGAATGGACTTCCGCAAGTCACCGCATTCATGCGCGAAGTGTACCGGTGGAGGCCTGCAAGTACGATTGGTGAGGAATCGCTTTGTCTGGAAATTGCCTCCAAGCTTATAATGTTACAGCACAGGCTCATCGTAGTAGGAAAGATATCATCTGGGTATGTTCGCTGACTACCGTCGGCACCGAAGCGATGCAAACCACTTCCTCAGAAAAACTACTTGATACCCGCCGGGTCCACGATAATCGGTAGCCAATGGTATGTACCGGTTTTGGTTACGGTTCTTTCGTTCTTCATCGCGCGGTAGGTCTATTGCGCATGACCCAGAGGTTTGGCCGAATCCAGACCGGTTCGATCCGAATAGATGGCTGTACGAAGATGGTGGTCTTCGGGAGGACAAAAAGACGTTCATGTTTGGGTTTGGCAGAAGGTATGCACCTTAAAACTCGTGGCTGCTCTATTGTAGGAGACTGATCCGGTATGGCAGATTCTGCCCTGGCCAACACGTAAGCGTGTTAATTGACTTACCAAGCAGCACATTCATTGCATTTGTTACATGTTTCCAGTTCGCGAATAGGTGAGATGCGGGACTTCGGTGCCCGTTTCCGTGTACTGATTGTGCGTAGAGCGGTTTTCATCAACACGGCTCTGTTGCTGTGGTCCTACAACATCCGGGAAGACCCAGCGCACCCCATTGACTCGATGGCCTTCTCGAAGAGCTCGCTGATTCATCCGCAGCCATTCAAGGTGCAATTTGGGCCGAGGGTTGCAAACTTAGGCTCCCTATTGGCAGAGCGTCCATGAGGCAGTTCTCATGATCCCGCCATGCAAGCAGCGATGATACAACTGACGGGCTTTACAAGTGCTGTTGGATTGTTGAACTACTATGTAACCCGTGATACCGCAGCGGAATGACGGAGTTGCTTAACGCCGGCGATGGAGATCGATTTTATCACAAGCAATCCATCTTACCACGCGGGAGACCATTCCGATATTTAGCCCTGGAGCCATGGGAAGCCATCTATTACGGTTGAATGTGCTATGGATACAAGTGTTGAACCTGTTGGGATTACAGTATTCTATACCAATGCGAGGATGAACTCTCCGTGTCCGTGTTGAAATGGTTTACAGGTATGGAAAGGCGGCTTGCATATGATGAGATATGCACATGAATGCACGGAAATTGCACGTGAATTTGGAATGCGCGTTAGTGGCTAACTTTGATTTGGAACGGAGGCAGTCTCTGGCGAGAGACACGCCACTGCGATCTCTCGGTATTAATGGCTGTAGTCGTATTTGCGGTAGAATGTCTCTGAGTCGGTGGGAACACCCTGGCAAGTGATGTGATGAGTGGGAGGGTAACTCGGACGGGTTACGGACGCCATTACCTGGTCAGCCTTGGCGCCACGCGTTTTCCGGCCCTGCTTTTCGAGAGCACGACGATACTCGCGGTCTTCGCTGAGCCACTGAAGGGCCAGGGCGTAAAGCGAGGAGCCCTTGCTGGGGCTTGTACCTGAAGATGGATCGGAAGGAAGCGGCCAAGGCGTAGGTTCAGTGACCATCGTCCCAAAGCGCATGTGCGCAACGTGAGTTGGGAATGTGTCGAGGCCATCGAATATATGCGTCGCGTAGAGAATAGTGGCATTCCGCGTTTCGCACTCCTCCCTGAGGAAGGAGAGGAGGTTATCTCTGACGAGCACGTCCAGATCGACGGTGACCTCGTCGAGGAGAAGCACGTCCCAAGGCGCCATGAGACCCATCACCAACTGCACCCGTCGGCGCTCGCCGTCTGATATGGCGTGCATGTGCCAATCGAGGTCAACATCAAGAATATCAAGGAGACGATCCCGGCGCTCCTTGTGGCGGTACCCGCCAATCGAGTCGAGAAAATGCGATACCACGATGTCGCCTCGCACAACGGGGTTCATAGCCCTGCGCCTGGATGAGATACGGCGCAGGGATGGAAGCGCGTTGCGACGTACCACTCGGTGCCGAGGAAGGTGACGCCCTCAGGCGTGTTGCGGAAGACATCGCGGTCCTTGATCTGGATGACGGCGCCGGGGGCGGTGACAAGGCGCTTGCCAGCAAGGATCTGAAGCAATGTGGACTTGCCGGCTGGGTCGCAGATCAGTGGAAATGATGGCGGGTGCTAGGGCGGGCTTGCCTCCGTTGGCGCCGACGAGGATGGTGCGCGAGCCCGGCGGAAGGTGAATGTTCACGTTCTCGAGGGCAGGCGGGGTGTTTGTATGGGCGAAAGTGAGGTGGTCGACGTGGACGGCATCCATGGCGAGCATCCGGAGCTGATGGCGGCCGAGCAAGGGAGTGTGTGAAGTGGGCTCAGTTGATCAGACCCAGCCTCGGCCCTGTTCTCAGCGACGGTCACTCTGTCCCTCTTCCCCTTCGTTCGTCCGCGCTCTGCGCCCTTGTGCCAGCCCTCAGCCGACGCTGCGTCTCACATCGCGGTCGCTGTCCTCCCCGACGTTGCAGGCCATCGCAGGGCTTTTACTGTAACCACCAACCACATCGACACTGAACCCACACGCTCCTTTCTCATCCTTCCATGGACGCCCTCCTCATACCGAGGCAGGCCAACTCAACCTCCGGCTGTCCCAACGACCTGCAATGTTCGTCCTTCCGCGGTTCACTCTGCCTTTCTTTCTCATACCGTATTTCAGGTCCCGACCCAGCGCCGTGTGTTTGCACTGGTAATCAGTTATGCGTCCAGATTCTCAGGTATGTCCGTACCTCGCGCCAACACGGCTGGGCTCCATGCCCTCGCCTAACATGACCTCCAGGACGTGTAGCCAGTGCGGATCCTTCAAATGTGTTGAGCCCAGCTCCTCGTCATCAGGCAAGAAAGGCGGCGTCTCTACCGGTGCCCTCGCTGGTGCCATCGTTGGGTGCTTAATTCTGTTCGCGCTCGTCCTTGGCGGTGTCTTCTTCTGGTACCGCCGTCGCTCTCGCCTGCTACGTGAGGCGCAGCAAGCACAACCGGAGACGCAGGAAGTCGTCGCCTCCGCCCTTGACGTGCTCAACCGACCGGATCCGAACGAGAAGTTCCAGCAGCCTCCGGCGCCCTCTCCCCAAAGCAACGTACGCGTCTACCAGCACTCGCGGACGACCCTCGATCTCGATCCGGAGTCACAGCGCGCTGCAGTCGTTACACATGCCCACCAGAATCCGTTCGAGGATGCGCAGTCGATCCAGACCACATCCTCCAACTCTCATGGCACGAATGTCATTCCGATTGCACTCGTTCCTCGCACCTCTGCACTTCCATCCTCGCAGCTGAACCCCCCGGAGCGTAGCATTTCGCCCGCACCGCCTCGTCCCATACGCACGCCCGATTTGGACCTTAATCTCGAGCACGTCAACGTATCCAAGGATTCGCTCCGTCCCGGAACTAACTCTGGCTCTCACTCACCATACACGCCAAGTGAGATCTCGGGCATCTCGGGGACAGGCAATAATAGGCAGTCGTACATGTCCAACATGACCGGCGCGACCGACTTCCTGAACGAGGCACCCACAATCGTCACCCCGACCAAGGGCGCGGTCAGACAAGTGCTCGGCGTTGCTCATGCCCAAGTGGTCCCGAACACGGGCAGTACTGGATCCATGACGAGCTCCACGCCCAACACCCCCCGTCACCCATCCTCGCTCGTGTCAAGGCCCAGTGTTCGTTCTCCCTTGGCAACCACCTCCTTCGGACCGAAGGATGTTGTTACCGAGAGCATGTCCGAAGTCGACGAAGACGGTGCATTGAGTGTTGCATCAGATCCCTTCGCCGACGAGCGCGGAATCCATAGCCAACTGTCGCAAGTCCGTGGCGGCGATGGCGCCGGCTCCATCACGACGTTCTCGACGGAGTCGTCTCTAGGCACCCCTGTTGCGCCTCCCGAGCAGCGTTATCGTCCCGTCTCGCTAGAGACGAACGCCGCCAGCATCTTGTCCGCCAACATTGGTACTGCTGCTCGCGTTCAGATCGGATTGAGCCCGCTTAGACGAGGCGAGGGAGCGGAAGATGTGCCAACGACTGCGACCAGCCTAGGTGTAGGCACGCCACGTATGTTGACGAAGATGGCGAGCGGAAGGCTGGTGACTCCCTCCACTGCCAACACGCCGGCCTCCGCGTTCACTCCTACGGGCACCAGTGATGCCACTACCCACGGCAGCGGAACTTCTGCAGGCACCCTCCAGGAACAACAGGCACGGGCCCTTGCCCATGCACAGGCTAAGGCTCGTGAGGCCAATCTTGGTCTCGGACCTGACGCCGCGCGGCGCACAAGCTCCGGCAGCTCGGTGATTAGTGGACGTGATTCAATCTTGGAGAATTTCCCCTTCGTCCCGCCAAGCCCTATTAGCGCGAGGCCTGCCAGAAGCCCTCCATCCAGTCCTTTGAGGCAGCAATCCTTCAACAACTCGCAAGCTCAGAGCCGTTCAGCGCTGTCCCAGGCCACTATTCAGACCCAATCCGAAGTTACAGGCGACCTGCCGAAACCGCCAAACAGAAAGCTCCTCGGCATGTCGACCGTTTCCCAGTCGTCAACCGCGTCGGAGGGGCTCGGTTCTTTCCCGTTCCACATTGAACGTGAACCATCTGAGCCAACTGCCAAGGCCGCTCCACCCGCCGCGTATGGCGGGCGGACGCGCGCGAGTCTTGACACACTCGCGTTGACAAGCGCTCTGTCGAGCTATCCACTTGGGTTTGACGAGGCCAGCTCGAGTGGACACGACATGCCGCGGTGAAGTGGCAACACCTGTCAAATCAAGCCCAATTCCCACTGATGACCGATCGATGCCGTGGACGACCTTCAACTGTAGCCATCTATCCGTTGTGACCCAAGAAAACAAGGACGTTCGACCTTGTGTGCTCCTACCATCATCACCCCACTGCGCCAGTCGTATTTATACCTTATTTCTTTCCATCAATTCCTTTTCGTTGCGGCAACGTCCTGACAAGACGTTTCTGTCTATCCGGCTCTCTTCTTTCTGCACTCGACTTACCGTACATTCCTTTTTTGTTCGAGCTCGACGATCCCCCTTTGAAGCTGGATGTGCCATAGTCCAACGTCCGATCGCCGCCTTGCTTCTCGTGATTGCATGTTTGCCATATTACAGATGTTGGGATTAGGATGTCCGTATTTATTACTTGTGCGCGTCCGCTATATCCGTGACAAGTAACCGTATATGCTTCGACGTCGTTCAGCTACAGTAAGTTTCATAACGCGAGGTGATGGAGCGCTATTTCTTCGGTGCGGAACCGCCCGCAGAGCAACCTGACTTGTTGTACAGACATGTCATCGCGGACCAGAGGTGTCGAAAGGACCCCCGTTAATACAGTTAAAGGTCGGAATATTCGCTGACCCAAAATGAGTCGTATTGTCGGCAATTTTTGGCACGTTTTTGTCGGCAAATATTCCGACATCGGGCCGCGCTCTATTCCGGCATCGTGGGAATTAATGGCTGTATCTGGGCTGTTCCTCTCCGGGGTTCGATCCTTTTGTCGACGAAATATTCCGACCTTGGTTTGTCGCTCCGAACGGATGTCGTCAAAATTATTCCGGCCTGCGGCGCCCTCAGACGTGCTTTTGTCTGCAGTTATTCCGACGTAAGGCCCTTTTCAGGGCGCAAAATGTCGTCGGAATATTCTAACATTAAACCGTATTAACGGGGGTCCTGTGTCGAATCGCGCGCGGCGCGGCAGCTTCTCGCGCCGGAACGGCGCCCTTTCTCTCAGCCACAACCGCGATTAGTTGCAGAAACACGCTGAGTGTTCGAACGAGTATTACTCACCGATCCAACGATGGAGAGCGAGATTCAGCAGCTCGTTGAAATGGTACGCCTGCGATTGTCCTCGCCTATGAGAAATCCATGTGCTTCAACTCAGATGGCATAGGGGGCCAGTCGAACGCAGGCTAAGGCGGCATTGCAGAAGCACCGAGACGTCATGGAAGCCGCCGAACAGATATTTGAGGGTCCGTAGCCCTTTCCCTGAAAACTATTAGAGGGACGATCTGATATAGACGGTGAAGGCAAGTTTGATGATGTGGCGGAGGACGACGACGTTACAATAGCTGCGCCTGACGCGCGGATCGGGCGTGCGGAGAAGGCTCGCACTCATATGACGGTACGAATTGTCGAAACTCGAACAGGTGTCGCTGAACCTACGTCGTTATGAGATAGACTCCGGATGATGGGAGCGGGGATGAGATAATGGATGATGAGGATGGCGAAGAGGAAGAAGACGACGAAGGTTAACCGAACGCATGCATATATGTTTCTCGTCTAACATATGGTGCAGGGGATGACTATATTGACTACGACTCGGATGAAGAGTTCAAGCCGAGCGCGCAAAAAGCGGACGTGGACCCATACGCCGGTGCTGTCCACCTGTCTCTCATCCGCCACTACAATTAACGCTCTTTTTTTGCTCCAGGTATATTCTTCTCCAAGGATCGACGTGAAGAGGTCATTGAGATTGAGGAAGCGCCCGAGCATGCCACGATTCCCGGCTTCTCCGATTCAATGCCGCTCATGACCCAGGGCGAGTGGATGCAAGGATGTCCAGAGGGCAGCGAGCAATCGTTCCTATTCAGCCTTTATTCGCAGCTCAGCGATGGTTCTTGTCCATGCCCACACGGTTGCGACTTCTCTGTGGCCCGCCAGAAGAGTGATTTCTTCGCGCTTTACGTGGGTCTTTCACTATTCTCTTGAAATGATGCATGTGGCTCATCGGTGTACCAGCCTGATTTCGACACTTATATCAAGGAGTTGCGAAAAAGGGTTCATCGACTATGTGGTCGGTGTCATAAGGCCTTTTGTTTGGCTTGCGGCGAAGGTATCACAGGAGAGAAATCGCGCACGGGCGATTCGACAGATCCGCTATTTCATTGCTCTAACATACAGGGCGTGACAGTTGGTATAGGGCTGTTTATGGTCGAAAAGCTATTTCTCGAGCAGACGCAAGACAATGCGCGACAAACGGAGCCGGATGCTAAACCGGGATTGTTCAAGAGAAAGAAAGCGGCTATAGATGCCGGTACGCCTCCGATGTACGATGATGATGATTTCATCGGTCCTCAGAACAAGAAAGCCAAGGGAGGGATAGGCTACGCGGGCAATGTCAAGGAAGATGTATGGCCAGGTGATTTGGATCATACATGACGCAGCTAATTTCGTGCAAGATCACCGGCCAAACTGAAGCTTTAGCTCAGCAGCGAGCTAAGGATGCCAAGGTAATGAACCTCAGGTTTGCGTCTTCGTTCTCAATAATTATTGATGTACCCGTCAGCTGGGCTCGTTGATGGCGAGCGTCCGCGTATACATGCCTTCTTTACGACGGCCCTCTGGTGGCTATGCCAGTGACTATCTACCACACCCGACGACGCTGGCACACTTGCGACGACGTTTCAACCTACTGTGCACCACTTTCTTGCGGAATGATTCTCTGGCCGACATGTCTGACCGCTCCGTGCTGTACTACGAGCTGTTCACTTGGATGGAGGTAGACGATTGTGTTTCTTGCGCTCATCGTAATCTGATTCCGGATGACGTAGACCATTTCAAACCACGAAGCCCTCGCAAGCATGATGGCTCAACCAATCATGGTTGCGCAGTCAGTGAAAGCCGCCATGCCCAGAAAATCTTCCAAGAAGCCTGATCTCAAGTCACGCGAGCGGACAATTGTTTATGAGGCTAGCGCAGGTCCACGTGAACTGCTCGAGTCGATTGTCATCCAGTCACATGCGGCTATCAAATCTTTGGATTCAGGCAATGCCTTGGAGCAGAACACGGAGATGACTGAAGAGGAGAAGCGGGCAACTATTGATGACAAGGGCAAGAGCAGGGAAGCCGGCGAAGGTGCTCATTCAGACGAAAACCAGAGGATGCTTGACTTTTGTCATCGCATACAAGCTACTGCCCGTGCAATCGACCGTTTTCTACGGGAGAACAAAGGTGATCAGTTTGTTGAGCGTCTTCACGCTTCGTTACCCAGGATCCCTACGGCCTTGTCGGGAGATATCTACGTTGACGCTGGTGACACGGAGGAAACCGCCAAGAAAGCCTACATGGAATGGGCAACGCGTGTGCGGTAAGGATACCTCATGATCTGCCCTTAGCCCCGCTGACGATCTCTATCCCCTAGGTTCGAGTACTGTGACCTCACGATATCGTCACCGAAGTCAAATGGGCAAACAACTGATACGCCACACTACAAACATTGTACGCAAACAACCTTCCTGTCGAGCCATTGTTCACGAGCAGCATAGACTACGATGCTGAAGCCAGGGCGCTAGTGTCGTCGGATATGCCCAAGCGTTCCCTAGCGATAGCAAAGGAGGTTGGTTGAGGCTTTTGTCTCGTCAGCCAAAACTCACAAAGATATAGCTCGCTGTACTTACGACCAACTTACCTGTTTCATGGGTGAATTTACTCCCTATTTGCGTTTGATTCCGAGCTTCTGATAGTATATATGTACAGGATTCTTCTATTTTCCTCAAGGTCGACGAAACCAGAGTAGATATCATCAAGGCCCTGATCATTGGTCCTCAAGGCACACCGTAAGCGCGGTACTTACGTGTGAGGTCTCGCTCACAACATTCATCGTTTGCATAGTTACCAGAATGGCTGGTATGCTTACGAGTTATGTTTTCGAAGCGAGGCTCACGGGCTCACTCAGCTTTCTCTTTGACATATTCCTTGGTCCGAGTTACAACCAGATGTCCCCAAGTGTCAAATATATGACCGTAAGCGCCTCGCTTGTTGCTCGTTTCGAATCTTATCTCTCGCAGACGAACGGCGGCAAGTTCCGGTTCAATCCTAATTTGTCAGAGTTCCGGCCAGCGAGTAGTATTGTTATTGACAAGGGCATGATTTCGCAGGTATGCGGACGGGAAAGTTTGTCTCAGCCTTCTGGGCACCTGGCAAGGACCGGGATGGATAGCGGGTAAATCAACACTCCTCCAGGTAACCACGCGGCTTTTCTTCCCTTTCGGCGGCTAACAAGGCGTTCGACCAGGTCCTGATTTCAATACAATCTATGATACTGTGTGATGAACCGTATTTGAACGAGCCTGGATGGGCGAACGATGCAGGGACACCCCAATCGAAAGATTGTGAGATATGACAAGGCTGCCGTTGCACTGTACTCACGTCTTTATGAGATTCGGCGAATGTGCGGCGCATGGTGGTGAAGACTGCGGTAAATCATCATCCCTTGCGGCTGTTGATACTCTACTCACCGAGCCTCATTTATAGATGCTTGACAACTTGAAGTCACCGCCAGGTGTGTGTTGTATTACACAGCATCGCAGTGATCCTGAAGATATTGTCACGCAGAACCCTTCGAGGATATCATTCGGACGCACTTCCGTCTGAAAGCTCGATCTATCACGGTCCAACTGGACCAATGGCTTGCTCAGGATGATGGCAAGCCTACTCTGGCGGGCGGAGGTGTCAACATGATGCCCGAGTCCGCGTCGGGCTCATCGACTGCGTTCAGACGGGACGTCGAAGAATTGAAAAGACAGCTTAGGCAACTCTGATTTCTTCCTATGCACCCATATTCCTGTACTGGATAGACTTGCATGTGTTCGGAACGAGCCCCAACGTAATGCCGACGGAACGTTGGGCATGTGATTTCCTTACTTATATTTAGCCTTCGTGCATCGAGCCGGCTGCCAGATGTCTTAGCCGCTACAACGTGCGGTTCAAGCCACTGGCATTCGACAAGCTATCACAAACCTTTGTGTGCCCGAACTCTGGCAGTCAGAGAAAGCAAAATGTCTGGCAATTCCGATTCCTTGATCCACTCCGTTGCTGGTGCTGCAGGCGGAATTATAGCCATGACAGTCACATAGTGAGTATCGAACCTCCGACGCCCATACGTTATATACCGGACGTCTGATCTGCGCAAGTCCCCTTATATTTCTGTCGACCCGCGCGGCTGTCGAGACCAAGAATGAACAGAAGGTCATACTAGGTTCTTGCTGCCGCCCGGAAATTGCACTGACATACATCTAGTCAGTTTACCTGGCAATATCCGACATTGTCGAGCGCGAAGGTGAGATCTCAATATCGGTCTGGAGATAATTCTGATGATGGGAACCAGGTTTTCTCGGGCTATACAAGGGTTTGGTGAGCCGCGGGTTCGCTTGCTGGCCTCGTCCGAGCGCTGAACCAACTGGCTCTTAGAACTCCTCCCTTTTAGGTATCGCTGTGACCAATGGGTGCGTGCCAGTGCCAGCGATTTGTCTCCCTCCTGATGGTAGAACCTTTCTCTAGTGCTTATTACTACTTCTATGAACGCACACGGGCTAGCATCCTCCGCGCCCGCGTGAGAGGGAAAGGGCTCAGTACGGTGGAATCGATGTTGGCAGGGCTGATTGCCGGTAACGATCCATCATTGGACCCCCTATGGTATTCTTCATATCTTACCAGGTTCTGCAACATCCATCATCTCGAACCCAATCTGGGTTGTACAAACTCAGCAAGCTGTTCATGGCATGCACGACGCCTCCAGCGCTTCACAACGACCAGCGAAGCGAAGCATGGTGGAGACTGTAGAACATATACTGCGCAAAGATGGCATCGGTGCCTTCTGGCGTGGCATAGGGGTTGGTCCATCGTGATATACCTTGCCCTGTATTTACCGAGCTCATAAGTTCCACAGCCTGCGTTGGTTCTTGTCATCAACCCCGTCTTACAATACACCGTTTTTGAACAGCTGAAGAACATTTTGATCAAGCGCCGTACCGCAGTTCTTCGGGCTGCTGGACAGACTGCGGCCGTAGCTATCTTGACAGACTGGGATTTTTTCTTCCTCGGTGCACTCTCAAAATTAGGTCAGACATCACCTTATTCGACGATTCGAGCCTGATATACACATTGACACCCGCTACTAGTTGCCACCTCGGTAACGTATCCATACATGTGAGCGTACCCCATCTTCCCTCTGGAAAAATCAATATTGCTAACTCCCTCTTCAGCGTTGTCAAGAGCAGGCTCCAAGCAGGCCAAGGAGAAGCGCTAAAATACAAGTCAGCAATCGATGGCCTTCTCACTATCGTGCGTAACGAGGGTGTGAGAGGTCTATATAAAGGAGTTGGTAGCAAGCTCCTCCAGAGCGTCTTGACTGCTGCCATACTGTTCGCTGGACAGGTAGGCTCTCCGTAAGCGTCTGAGGCACTTCTCTTATCCATGCCTGATAGAGGAGGATATATGAGATCACGAAGAAGGTGCGTCGGTGTTTTTCGTATGCTATGCAGATTGGCCCATGTTATATGTTATCACAGGCCGTGACTCCGGTGCTGTCGAAGTAAACTGAGCTGGCGTAGATTCAACCCAAGTATTGATGTGATGTCGGTTCAAAAGTGACTTTGTATAGCCAAGCTGAGAGGGTGTCCTCTAACGGCACCTGGATCCCTTATCCGTGTACTGTAGTTTTTCGACCGTAAGTTCGGCCAGACCCCCTCCAAGTTCGGGACCGTGGGAAGTTCGCCAAGTGATCCTCGATCAGTTTGAATACTCCCACGGTTTGAATATGAGTCTCCCACAGTCAGTGATTGGGCAAAAGATCGGAAGGGACAGGGGACAAATGGGCAAATAGGCAGGTAGGTGGGGACAGGGGTCGAACTTACGGTCGAAAAACTACAGTATATGAAGATCTGTTATCTCAGATTCCGAACTCCAAGCCCTAGTGTGGATGTGGACGCAAGCCGCGACTCTCGATTATACACCCATTCACAGTTTCTTCATCCACGGGGTCACTCGACGACGTGAAAACGAAAGTGGCACTCAGCTGTAGCTCTCGGTAGGTAGGTAGGTAGGTAGGTATAGATTAACGGCACCAGGACCCTAAACCTCGGTAAACTGTGACAAGACACGCCGCGCTTCGCTGCGGCGCACTTGGATTGGAGTCTTGCAAGTTTGTGGGAGGAAGGATGAATCATGCACAATGGATGAACAGGAAACGGTAGTTGTGATCACATTTCTCAATACAGATTACAGAAGGATCTCGGGGTACGTTACATTTGGCGTTGTAAACTGCCCAGGAAGCATGCGAGCCATAGCATGAGACCGATGGTGGATTCGAGAGAGCGCCGTGTATAGCTGCCCATGAGAGAAAACAGGAGAAGTCAGATCAACACCCACTCGATCGAGGGTGAGGCCCTGACAACTGTTGAAGGTGGTCGCATACGCCGGAGCCAGTGGAAACTGTCTACGAAGTAAGGTATAGTTGGAGCCGGGCATAACGTAGGAAAAGCATATTCGCGGGATGAGAACTTCCTCGCGGGCAATGGGGCTTCCTGCCGCGTCTTCTTGCAGGATTTTGACGCCAATGAGGCGGGAGCCGATACTGGAGACGACCACACGGATGTTCTTCACCAGTCCATGGTCTGCGGATAGGTTGCGAAGGAGACGCATCATTGATCCAACCTTTACAAACAGGCAATGGGGGGGGAGGCCCGGGGGGGTGCGCCGTGCGGCATGATCAAGAACGGCGTCTGGGGCATCTGCAGCATCCGTCCCGGCGTCGACAATTTCCTTGACAGTGTCAGCAGCGAGGTAAGAACGGTGTTCTCCTCGCAAGCGATCAAGGATGACAGAGTTGTAAGCATCCACCTGTGCGTTGGTTGGTGCCAGTATCGCTCGTTTTGTACACGACATCGGACTCCGCAGCGTGTCGGAAGGGAAGACAAAGTCGATCAACCCGTCAGCCGTCGTCGTACTTCGAAGCATCGGCAGTGAGACATCTGGACCGGCACCGTCTCCGATATCATCAACGAAGGAAGCAAATTGCATGTCCTCCGCGTTTCGGACAGGATGAGTGAGCCGAAGGATGGTGAAGGAAGACCAGAGCGGCGAGGAGCGGATGGAGGCATCCACAATCTGTGATCGAGTACCATGTCGAATCACCGGACAGGTCTGCCTGAAGTCCCCAAGGAGAATAAGGCTCTTTCCCCCAAAGGGCAGGTTGATGCGTGTTACACGGCGGAGCGTGTCATCGACACATGCAAGGACAGCACGGTTAGCCATTGGTGCTTCATCCCAGATGAAGAGGCTGGTTTCACGAAGAAGCTCTGCTCGTGCGCTGGCATATAGAATAGGAGATTCCAACATTTCACTGTGTTCATTTACAGGGACCTGAGAAGATGATGAGCTTGGCAGGAGGTAACAACACAGGAGAAGGCTTGACCTTGAAAGCAGAGTGAGTGGTCCTGCCGCCTTCGTATAACTGAGCAGCAAATGCAGAAGTGGCCGTTGGTATTACTATCCGGTGCATGGAACGTAACCAGTCGCAAACCACATTCACCAGAAAGGTCTTTCCCCTGCCAGCCTTGCCGTCAATGAACGCCAGCAGCTGATTCCCACTATTGATAGCACGAGTGATCCTGTCAAAAATGGCGGCTTGCGAAGGGGTGAAGGCACGGGAAAGAGATTCTGCTCGCTCTGCCAGTACCTCTGTGCGTGGAGCCCATTGGGTGAGCTCATGGATGACCTCGCCAGGGAGGTGGTCGGGCTGAGGAAGGCCATAGTCAGACAGCTGCTTTCCGTATTCCTCAAGATAGCGTCCCAGTTCCTGCAAGGTGCACTCCCGCGCGATGTGCTCGCCCAGATTATTCTGTAGCCGAAAGTCCCGACTCATGTCATCATGGAAAGCCTCCCACAGGGTGATCGGAGATGGGATACAGTCATTAGTTAGGAGATGGATGAAAAGAACCCGGAGCTGTCTCGGTGTCTTCAGGGAGGTAATTGCTTCTCGCATGGCATATTCAGCCTCCGTGTCATTGCCAAGAATCCCGAGCACGACAGCTGCTTCCTGGAAGGATCCACACCGATGGCCATCAACAACTGCCAGGTCCACAAACGATCGGGCAGGCCGTGACTGCAGCAGAAGGCGCAGATAGAACAATTCACCTGCAGATGGCCGGATGGGATGTAAACGTGTGATATGAGGATGGTCTGGTTGCCGAAGCACTGCAAGCATGCGTGGCTGCCCTGCCGGTGGCTGCAATGTAGGGAATACACGGTCCCGTCCAATGCGAGTGTTGTCCCATTTGACGTGATAGAATAGCTCATAGTAAGCCTGATAGGAAAGGGCATCAAATGACATATCTGTGTTGTTGTACCGGAATTCACTTAAAGGCCGAAGGAAGTACCGGTCAAGGAGCGACAGGGTACTCGCACTACCATCCAACCGCATATATTGATGGCGACTGCGTGAGTTGGGAAGATGAATTGGAAGGCCATCAACGGCAGGCTGCTTGCTTGTCACTGTATAACCAAGGATGCGCCAGGCAGCTTCACCTGCTGACAGATATCTGCCATTTGCAGACAGGTAGTCTTCAATCTCATCGATGACCACATCTGATCCAGCTCCTCCATGTATCCGGTAGGAAGCACGATCCGGCCCTATGCTACGGGGTCAGAATTGTCACAGTAAGTTAACACATAATAGTGAATACCCTTGTGGATGTATTTGAAAATGTACTGAAAGAATTGTGAGCTGTTCGCTCCTTCCCAGTTGATGTGGCACTGAAACTCGCGGAGAGATTGGAGGAAGTACGGGACAACCCAGGCGTCATCAGGTCCACGACGACGATAATGGACCCTGCCTTCTGTGTCAATGGTCGTTGCAGGCTGTATAGGATGTGGATAACGAAAGCGACAGTGACCGGTCCTTTTAGGATCACAGTATTTGGGGAGGGAAGTCGCAGATCCATGATTATGGATCATATATTTGGTGACGAGAGCACGATCGGCAGGTTCAACAGGCATTTCTGCAGATATCACAGAGTCTATGCTGACAGCGTCCAAAAAATTGTGCTCGTACTTGATCAGGATATGTGCGTGTGGTAGACCGCGTTTTTGGAACTCAATCCGCTGTATAGCATATACGACAGCACCTGCGTTCGGGAAGAAGGTCTTGAGCCGTGCCATGAACCGGCTGACTCTGCGTTTGAAGACGCGAGCAATGAGAATCGGCTGATCGTGCCATTTCTGACCGGGCCGCAGCTGAGAGGTGATTTCGGGCCAGTCGGGATTGCATGTCATGGTGATGAAGAACGTCGGCGGACCTCGTGAAGCAGCAATGGCCAGTGCATCCGCAATCTGTTCCGAAACCCAGCGAGCAGATCCAAGGAAGGAGGAGGGGAGGTAGACATTTTGGCTTGCCTCAACATCAGGGATGTCCATGAGTCGAGCATCTTCCTGCCTGATACGCTCCTGATTGTTACGAATGTAATTGAGCCGACATTCAATGTTGCGGCTGAACATGTCGACCAGATACTCGTTGGTGAGACGGCCAAATATGATAAATCGTGGTTCACGAAGCAACCTCGCACGGTAAAACCAGATCTGAGTGGTGGCAACCTCACGCTCATCGACTTGTCTTGGAAGAATCCTTTCACCCGAATCTGTGATTCCCCAGCCGAGACTTCCATGGGGAAAGAGGAGAGGATATCCAAGAGGCTCCCAGAGGCGGCTGGTGTGTGCAATAGACATTTCCCTGCCATCATTTCTGGTCACGACCAAGCTACGCCCACAGACCTCAGACGCCGTTGTGTTGTCAAAGCTGAGAATAGCAGCGAGTTCGGTAGAATGACCATCATCTCGTAAGACAATCTGTGCTGAAGGGAAGTTATGTGGGGATATCACGGAGAGGGCACGGAGCCCAGCAGCGAATGGGTTGCACAGGAGAAGGGCTGTTGTCAGAGATGTCAGCCATTCCTGCGGGATGTCCGATGCAAGGTTCTGGTGAGGGAAGGCATCGGCAAGGAGGCCATCAAACAAAAACCATCGGATGCCAGAGTTACGGTGGCTTGGCCTGACACAATGGTAGACCTTTCCTTGAATTGCAAACATCCCACCATGTGTCTGCGGAAATCTCATGCTGGTCTCGAGGGCTGCAAATGAGACCATGAGGTTAAGCTTGCGGGAGAGAATAGAGATCTGCGGGTGGTTGATGAATGCATCGTATTGAGGAGGAAGGGGAGGGAGGCGAGGGACATCACCAAGGCGGCGCCCACGTGCACAGCAGAACTCGGAGCGCTCATCGGTGAGCAGTTGTACTCCACAGAATGGACACTGCCGGTCCCATCGCAGAATACATGGGGCAGCTTGCATAACTGTCCAGGTAGCCATGACAAAAGAGTGCTTCAGGGGATAGTATAAAGCACATATACTTATACATCAACGTCTGCAGTCTGAGTGATGCAACATGCAAGATAACAGTATTACAGTGTTTCAGGCGAATGAGTGAGACGGCTTGAACAATAGCATAAGCAAACAATGTCTCTAAGCAGGCCAAAACTCACTTTGCAATGTCGTAACATTGGCGGATGAGACCCGGATGACGGAGGGCGGTATCATCCGCAGGCATGGTTGTGATCACCATGCCCAGACCATCTGGATCTACGTGTGACAATTGCAACATGTGTTCATAAACGGGGGCAAGGGTGGAGCTGTACATCAAGAATGCCGTGACCCCCGTGTGGTCAGAAAGAAAGGCCAGCGAGCTTAGCTGAGGGCATGTGCGGTAGACTTGGTTTGGGCGCAAACCCCATGCGGTGTGCGAGAACGTAAGTAAGAACCAAGCTAGTGCCGCCGTTCCAGTGCCAGGATCTGTAAGAAGACGAACGCGGAGGGCATAGGTTGCAGCATTGGACGGGATCTTGGCATCGATTTTGTCCCAGAGGATAAGCGCACGAAGGCGGAGGGGAATGGATGGCGCTTGACAGGCTTGATCGTATGGCCGGTTTGGGTTCTGTATGCTGTAAGACCATGACAAAGGACTAATGTAGGAAACATACCTCGAGATGGTACCACAAAATAGGGTACGCTTCACCGATACCCATACTAACACCAAGGTTGGTGTCCCTTAGAATCTCAGTTGCATCCCGGAAGTACGATGTATTGGATGGCAGCTTCAGAGATGAGATTGCTGAGGATAAACGGTCACTGTCTGAGAATATGGACTACACGCTTTGTGGCTTACACGCGGAGCGTCTGTTGAGCGGGGACAGGCAGATGGTCGGCATGCCAGTGGCGGGATTGAAAGAGGACGGTGCAGGTAGATACAGGACTGGAAATCACAGCACATAGTCTCAGGGCGAAAGATCCTTTTGTGTGCAGAAAGCTGGAATGAGACATGAGCAGTCGAGGGACACAGCAGGAGCACAGGAGACGTGGGAGCGGGCAGGTGCCGCCACAATGCAAACTTTTTTTAAGTCATATGCAGTATACAGAAGCTATCACTTATATTTATCAGGCAGAAACACGAGTCATGAAGACATAGCATAAGTACGCTGAGCCATTGAATAAATACATTCACACGAATTTATCTGAGTTGCAAGAATCCTGGGACAACGGCATTAGCTTGTTTTCGGACTTATAACAGGCATAGCACATACATATCTTCTTCACACGCCGCTTTCCCTTCACTTTCTCAGACATCTGAGGTACAACGGGGATGGAGTCGTCTGCATCAACAGCATCCGCAGCAGCGTTGTCAGCAGCAGAGGACAGGGAAGAGAGTGCGGAGAGCGAGGACTCGGAGTCAGCCAATGTACCACCTTGATGGATGTATTCCTCCAGCGCGGCTTGGACAGCGGTATCAATAGTGGTGGAGGTGGGCGCAACAGGGACCACAGCCGATGCAGGTGTAGATGACTGCTGTCTGCGCCGTGGAGAAGGAGTCTTGCGAGCTGTGGTGAATACTTGGATCAGCAACGGCGACAACGATCTGGTCAAGGTACATACGTGTGGGGGTAGGGGTGGAGGTGGGTTCGACAACAGACATTGGCAGGGCTGCAGCCTGGAGAGCAGCTAACAGGAACGTCAGGCGAGATGTGTGGATCGAGTGAGAAACACATACACGTCGACGGTACTGTAACAGTGGCAGTGGATGCAGTCGCTGGTGCATACAAAATGATTCAGAAGCGATGGGACCGGGCAGGAATGGACACGTACCACCGCGAACAGACTTGGGGGACGCCATAGCAAACCTGCGCTTCTTGGACGGTGAAGGAGAATCCACACCGGGTCCACCACCTGGACCGGAACGTGGGTTGGCTCCTGTAGCGGCTCCCCCACCACCAAGCTGAGCACCAAGCCACAATGATTCGAGCTGCAAGCGAAGAATACCCTGCTGCTCTACATCTTGAACGCGGCAGAGCGTATACACAGAGGTGTTTGGCCATGGCATTGGGGACTTCGCCCAGCGTTTACCACCAGGGACGATGATGCTGAAAGTTCATGTAAGCATACAGTTGAACATCAAACGACTGTATCCTCACCGATGCACACAATCAACATTACCATCACGAAGCCACTCAGAGACGGATAGGTTGAAGAAACGGGACTCCCCATCAGCACATGGAGCTGGCGCATTCTGTACGCGACCTAGAGCAAATATAATGGGGGCACCTATATCGGGAATACCCCGCTCGTATGCCTCCAAGTCCGTGACGTCGCCAGGGAATGGGCTGAGGACAATGGCGTCGATCATGACTTCAGAGGACGAGATGGTTGAGTTATAGAAGGTATAAGCCTTTCCCAGCACCAAAGCGACGGTGCCATCAGGAAGAGGCAGAGCACTACGTGGGGTCCATTGGCGAACGGTGGTGTCGATGAGGGTACCAGTTGGCGTTGACAGTACAGCGTCATAGATGGCATAAGTGGAAGGCGTGGACGACGATGGACGGTTGACCTCTTCCGTGCGATAGCCAGAGAGCGCGAGGACTGCGAGAATCATGTTTGACGACATGGCGACGTGCATGGAGAGGGACACACCTGTAAGACCACGACCACTATATAATCAGCCATCGCCAATCCCGGATCTGAGAGACATACTGAGACAGCCATCTTGGGGCGACGAACAGGGTGAACAATGTCAGTAGTCTCAGAAATGGATCACTTATTGTAACCTCCAGACAGTACTGATGGTCCGGCGCAATGAGTCCATTCGTACTGAAAGCTGTGCGAAGGGAGAGGGTAAGGTGCACATCGTACGAATAAGAGCGTGCTCTTGATCCTGCCCCGCTCGCAGAGCTCTGAAGTAACGTGCTAGTACACTCGCAGGACCATTGGCTGACGTTGTCACTGAAGATTGACGGCGAGCAAGCCGCGTAGAACGGAAGGTCGTCGACAGGTAGGGCTTATTGCGCGAATTCGCGCACGAAGCTCAGCACTGCCTTGGAGCATTGGACTTAGCTGTACAAACACTGAAAAGACGATTTGGACTCGAGCAAAGCAGTTGGTCACGAGTTTTAGATTGCTCGATCCCAAAACCGAGTTTTTCCAATTCCCGGACTCGCCGAAAACGGAGATCGGATCGAGGCTTCAAACGTCTCACTCAATACAAAAGAGAAGACAATAACGAGTGCATGTCGTGCAACTGTGATGTCATTGCTATGGCTTCGACGCGCTGAGGACAGCCAGAGTCTTATCGTGACATAGGATACAGGAATGTCTGGCAGTATGCCCCGTAGCCCTACGTCACGCTCATGTGTGCGACGCACTGCGTGTCGTTAATGAACAATAGCTTTATTGTGAGTGAATGAGACAACAAAGGTATCACAGGTGCCTAATTCAATCTGCAGGCACAGATCTACGTCCAAATATCGGGCGAAGCCCCATGGACCGTGCACACTCTTTTGTGCGTGCGCTCTGGTTTGATGCTCGGTATTTCTGCCCTAGATGGTGGATGAAATGGACGGAACGCGCCTGCATAGGTGAAGAATGAGCAGGAAGGCGGTAGGTTGCAAGCAATCGTAACACACGAGTGTGGCAAATGCATAAGGCCATTGTCAACAACGTTTGCACTGTTGGTGGTGCCGGACTTCGACCCGTGAATCATGTCAGTGAAGTCACCGTAAACACAGCGTGAATGTGAAGTGAACGCAAATACAATGGGTCACGTACCGAGTTTACCGTAGTCGCACCGGAGCGCAGTGATCACATCAACATGCGGCCCAGAGGCGCGCACTTCACGTAGCTGGGTTTCTGGCGAGGGCACAGGGGATGTTGATGATGACATAGATGAGCGCCGGGAAGATCTATAGCGGTCGTCTGCCATACAGTTTGGAAAGTGGTGACCATGCCAACGCGCCAATGCTACGATAGGTGAAGCTCAGCGATAACGTAAAAAGGGGATCGAATAATGCAAATACATACCCAAATTTGATAACCATGAAGGATATTGAGAGTGCGACGAGACGTGGAACTCTTCTTGGAGGTCGTAGAAATTGCCAGCGACGACGGCGGAGCTGAACGCGACCAAGATGACGGACATAGCTGCGAGGGCGGCTATGTACCACCGGTAAGCGTTGATGAGGTTACGCGGATCTTTGGGGTCATCCTCCTTCCATGTAACGATCATCATGTCCTTGAGCTTCATCACCTTTTCCGTGTGCGCGAGGACGGTCGGAGTACGGAGTAGGCACGAAGGCACGGGGTGAAGTGCCTCCTTGCCACGGATGTAACCCTCGGCGGTAAACAGACGGTACTCGTCGGTCATAATGCCGACCTTGATATTGGTCACGGCGGCAGGGAAGGACATATACACGGTCTTCAAGTCATGCGGAGGCGGTGCCGAGATCAGCGGATGACTTGAACACAGGACAGAAGTATGCTGCAGTGCACTCACGATGCGTTCTGCATGCTTTGAAGTCGGTCGTACATTCTATGCGTGCTGGTCAAACACCGTGCCAGTGCAACACATGTGGGATATGACGTGGTGGTGGATCCCTCTCAATTCCTGGTGTTGGTGCATCCGGAAGATGCTTGCGCAGTGTCGCCATAAGAGAACGCTTTCAAGGAAGCTGTATATGATCCTACAGCCGTTTATTGAGCTTGCAGACGAGGAGGCTTATTGCGCGAATCCGCGCATGAAGCCTTGGACAGCATAGTGGCATTGACTGAGCAGTACAAACACTGAAAATGAGAATTTGGGCTCGAGTGAAGCGGCGCTTGCTCGATTAAGGTCCAGTGGTAACTTGTGGGTGGGATCAATCAATGACATCGTATCCCAGACCACCGGACCCTGGGGGCAAAGGGTTTGGAAGACGTCTCAGTTAAACAATAGGTCCATATGCTATGTGATACAGTTTCGTGGTGATAGCACAATAGCATCGAGGAACGAAATGGACCGTGAGCTCTCCTAATGACAGAAAAGGCAAAAAATAGCAAAGTTAAGGACAGAGATTCCGTAGGAGATGAACAAACAGATGCAACATCGTCCGTCGTCTGCGTAATGTACGAGTAATACGCGTCCCACGCTCACTCCAAGCGATCAGGCCAAAGCGCCTGCTAACTTGTAGTTGACCACCACTGCGTCCTTCCAATGGCGCCTAGGATTGAGGCCATAACCTTTGTCTCGGCTCAGAATCACCCCATCTTGATACGCACCTACGGAACTCCTGAGCTGAAGTACCATTATCTTGCCCATACCAGTCTCGACATCATTGAAGAACGGTGTAAGTTCATGACATTCTGCTCGTATTCTCGTATCTCATATTCGTTCAGTGACCGCGGCAGGCAAGAATGCGGACAGTTACCTTGGTCTACTATACTCCATGGACGACGTGGCGGTCTACGGCTACATGACCTCGTTGAAGGTGAAAATCATTCTTGCATTAGCACTTTCAGACGCGATTGTACGCGACGGGGACTTGCTGCAGGCATGTTGACCAGCCTTGGCGTTATATGCTGGCCTTTGATCGCGCTCCGTGCTTTTTCTCAGACATTCAGAGCGCTACACCTCGCTTATTACCGAGCGGTCGCGAACCCTTTCCTCAAACTCCGCAGTCCATTGGACAACGATTCGAAGGCGCAAAACACAGCAGGGAAGTCCTCGTGGAATGGATTTCGCAAATCAGTAGACGATATCGCGCAAACCGCCGCCGTCGCGTAGGATGCATGAACCAATGCGCATGCACTTTGCACGACCATGTCGGTTCTTGCTCAGACCAAGGGATTCTGCTTCCTACTATCCCTTGGGCTCGGGTCACTTCGTCGCGATGCGAGGTTCAGAACCAATATTAAAACTGCCTTTCTATTGACTTGGACGTGACAAGATCACCATGTCCAGGACAGATACGGGGCACAAATACAAGCAGCGCTTTTTGTCTAGAAGCCTAGGAGGGATCTTTGGAACTGGTTGATCGCATCGAGGGCTTCGTTTGCCATCATCCGCACGACCGCGTCTTCGTCTGTGGAAGCGGTATAGGTGAGGGTGATCCTCAATCTTCTTACCGTGCTCAAGTCGAGCATAGTTACGAGTGAGTCGTCGCCATGTACAAGCGACGCGCGTAGCACTACATGGCAAAGGTGGACTGCTGCACGTCGCAGAGGCGGGAGCTTGGATAGGCCAGACGTCGGCTCCAAGTCCATCGCCTCCGTTATCGCAACTCCTGATTTCGTAGAAGGTGCATGTTTGGAGTCGGAGGATAGATTCGCCGAAACTGCCTCAGTCTGCAAAACATCGATCACCATCCCAAGAACACCGGATAAGTGCGTGACGACGATGATAGCGCTCGTCTGAGCACACTGAGAAAGGAGCGACAGGCTTGAGGTCCGCAACGCCGTCGGAACTTGGGGTGTTTTCGCTACATGAAGGAGCGTCGGTACCAGTAGATCAGCTGAAATTGTATCAGCACGCGTGTCTCATTCATGCAGTTGGCGTACCATATGCAGGCAAAGCATTTCCACATCGGCGAATCACTTGCTCCAGCACTTCTCCTACTCGCAACCTCTGATCGAGGTCTGCTTGTGTCATTGCTGAACCTGCGAGTCCATCCAACCCATCCGCGTATAGGTCCCGAAGGCGATTGAGCACATCCTTCCCGTAACCGTCCACCATGCTGGATAGCCCGTTCACAGCGTTGAGGTATATGTACGAATCATCATCCTGGATTGATTGGAGAAATATGGAGAGTATAGCGGGTTTCAGAGCTCGGTCGATAGCCGGAGAAGATGATGCCGATGCCGCCCGACGTGATACCAACTCCCGTAGAAGCATAAGGCCATGCGCACGGACGGGAAGTAGCGGATCCTGAAGCAGTTTCAGGGCCTTCTGATATGTACCCTGAGGATCTTCCTCCGTCCCTTTGGCCGATTGCGTTGACGACATACCGAACGCAGAAGTGCTTGCTAAGCGAGCTGTGATCACGATTCGAGCTTCTCTAGCTAGGGGCCGGAGGGCGTCCGAAGTAGAGGCTGCTGCTGGTTCCAAGAGCTCGAATATCTCCTCCAGGTTCGCTGTTAGATGGGTTGGTAATTTGGCGCGGGCTAACGACAGAACATGAGATATACAATCTAAGGATTCAGGTGTCGCCGTACCTTCCAACACCGAAAGCAGTAGGTTGATGGCGGTGGTCATCATCTCTTCGTCGATAGATGTGGACGAGTCAGGAGCTTCGTCATCACTGTCCTTCTCATCCTCAACATCAGTGTGCACATTGTCCACTATACGCAAATCCTCAAGGGTTAAACGGCTTGCCGGTAACGTGGTGTCAGGGGGAGGGACGGTACGACGATGTACGGCTGTCTCTATTGCTTGTTTGACGAAAGACAGAATGTGCCCTGGTTGTTGAAGAAGGCTCGAAGCCGAGCCCTTGTCTGACAGCTGTTGCTGCATCTGAGTTGCCAGCTGGAGAAATAGAAGGACTCTATATTGCAGTCGGTCAGGAAAGCCCAACTGTGAGGTATGAAATGGTAATACCTGAACGGATCGGCAGATGTGCTACTGCGTAACCCTTGATACGCCTTGAGCACTTCTATCAAGACTTCGGTCGAGATATCAGAGCGGTCCAAAGACTTGACGAATCGAACAAAGATGCGCGGATCCGGTCGCAAATCGAAGATATTAGCGTCCATATCTAAGTCTCCGTTGCGCTGCGCACGGTCAAGACTTGTGGGTGTGAATATTGACTGCGATGAGACGCCTTCATCCCTATATATACTAAATGAGCTCCTCAGGCCGTAGAAAGGACGTATATGCTTACCGGTGAGTTCGTGCTATCTCTCCGGTAATATCCACCTTCCAGTTCCCGCCATCGCCGTTGACGATGCGCCACAGCATGCTGACACCAAGCGAAGCATTCACTAGCTTTCCCCACGTTGCAAGAAGATTCCGTATAGACTCCTTCCTCTCTGGATCTCCAGCTTTCAGTTTCTCCAACTCCTCGTATATCGCATACATTGGCGGTACAATCGGGGAGAGCAAGTCGGAAACAAGCGTTGGCGATGGGTCAGTGTTACGGAGCAATTTAACGAGGACGGATATTGTTTGTGATGGCGTGAGTGAGTGCTCTTTCTTCGCCACAGCCTCGCTACTATCAGCAGGTGCAAGAAACGCCTCGTGAACGAGCGGCAATGCAACATCTGCGGGTCTGATCACAGTCGGCTCAGAAGCAGTTGCTTCGGTTTGCCGAGAAAACAACCGAGACAGGGCGAAGCCAGCTGCCCTCTGGTGAACGGGAGAGCTGGCTTCAGTAGACAGTATGTGTATTAATTGAGAAACGACATTTTCATAGTATGCCTTCGGCAGCGATCAGCATGAAAGTTGACCAAACGATGCAATGGGCTCACCTCAGCCGGCATGTTCTCAGGAAGCGCAAGTCTGATAACATCGGAGATCCGTTCAAGCTTCTCGAGTGGCGCCTCCTCGCCAGACATCTCCTCCTCACCCAGAACGCTTTCACATAGCCCGCGAACGCCGCCCTTACGTATCAGCTGACGATTTAGCAAAGACAGGCAAGTCCTCCGAACATGGGGAAGGGGCGATGGAGGGCCTTGTAATACTCCGCCAAGCGCGGCAATTGCTTGTGATGGTTGTAATCTGAGGTGGTATTCAGCTTAGTGCTCGCTGCAAGAGGTAATATGTAACATACACCACCAGCAATCTCATTACGAGCGGCCTGAAATGATGCACTACAGGAGTACTCTCAGAGCTCGACGATTTGGGTAGCCAACCAAGGGCGATGCCAGCTTTGAAAACGCTTGTCACATGCCGGTTCAACAAGATGGACGTAACATGTGTTTGTGAAAGGTGATCCTGTAGGCCTCGCGGGAAGAGCATCACTGCAATTTTGGAAAGCATGGAACGCAATGCGGAGTAATCTTCGGGAGTCGTCGTCAAGTCGATGATCCGCGATGCCCCGGTTTGTGAGATGATGGTCTTCGTAGGCCATGCCAGGACGATGCGCCCAAGGAGTGGATCCACACCCCAGTTGAACACGATGCCTGCCAGGGCACGGAGGTGCGCCAAATCCCGAGTTCCTACGGCGCCTCCCCTGCCCATATCAGGCTCGGCGGATCCGGACGAGGATCCGGTAGACGACTGAGGGACGGATTGAGAATCAAGGATCTGCTGAATACGACGAAGAGCGTTAAGCGACTCTTTCGCGGTCTCTAACTGGACCTGTTCCAAAGTGATTTCATGCTTGGTCACATCTTCTAATCCCTCGGCAGCACGATAGCGGGACAGGCGGGAAGCCAGTACGCTGACCAAATCAGTAGCAGGAGTTTGATGCCCCTGCTCAGTGCCATACAGGAGCGAGGCTGAGTGTAGAGCGGAGTCGAGGTCGGTGGTAGAGGAGGACATCGCAGAGTCGAAGCCTACGACAAAAACGGTGATGTCAATGACTCGTTTTATTGCATCATATTATACATATAAGCACATGCTTAGCAAGGCCGCCTGGCGAAATGGCATCGCGTCTGACTACGATCATTCGTTGTAATCAGGAGATTGCAGGTTCGACCCCTGCGGTGGTCATTTTTCTGCTCTGCGTGACAAACACTTTATTTGCTGCAACGATGGCTCGCCATTGAACGCAGTATCGTTTGGTTCGTGAAACCGAGACTCTGATTATTTCGACTGCACATGATTATAGGTCACTATGATGCTATATCACGCGCCGTATACAGGCGAGAATTGGAGGGATGCCATTGCTTCCCATGGAATCAATACAACGGCATCTCAATGCCACATCGATCCGCAGTCTAGGCTAACTTAGGATACGGACACTTGTGCGACACCCTCTGCAACTTCATCAATAGCCTCGATGAGCTTGGTGATCTGGATCAAGGGTTGAGCGTATGGTACCCGCAGAACGTGAAGAGATACTACCTTGCCGATTGCGATCGTTTTGCCTTCGTCACGAAGCGTGAAACGACCGAGCTGAGGGTAATCGGCGAAGCGCTCCACACAGACCGGAAGCGCCGTTTCAATAAGAGCAACGATCTTCTGCCCTGATGCGAAATTGTCAACCGTCCGAGCCGCGCTCGCTCACACATAGAAAAGCGCTACCTCTTTTGGCGAATTGTGGAGGCTTCTTCGACTTGCGACCCGTTGCCTTGTCGAAGTAATGGAGCAGTTTCTGCAAGATCGTGACCGTGACCGGTGAGTCGTGTGAAGCCTCGGAACAAAAGATCGGAGGAAAACATACGCTGAGCGTCACTTCTTCGGCTAGAGTATGGATGTGCATAACGGCCGTGTAACCGGCGCAAATGATATTCTTGTGGTCTAGAATTGCCAGTTGCGCCTCGAACTGGCGGACAGCATGCACGGGCTTGCCAGGGCTGGTGAGCACGAAGCCAGGACTGATGTCCTCGTCGTCAATGCCACGTAGCCGCGCGCGGACGTTGTCGCCACAGAACGCCTGCTCTATTTCGTCCTCCATTTCGTTGTTGATGCCCGCCACCTCCACTGCGACTTTGTTCGGCATCAAGATGAGCGTGTCGCCCTTGCGCATGTGGCCAGACTCGATCTTGCCAACCACGATCGTGCCCATGTCCTTGTACTTCTCGGAGATGGGCATCATGAGCGGCGCGTTGATTTTGCGATCGACCATAGGCATGTTGTCGAGGTGCTCTAAGAATGAAGGACCGCTGCAAGAGGGGTGGGGTGTAGTGAGTGTCCGGGACGGATTCTCAATGCTCGCTTACTTACGTGTACCAAGGGCAGACTTTTTTGTCCAAGCGCTCCTTGAGGTTGGCACCGGTGTATGCAGAGACAGGAATGAAGGTGACGTCGGTCTTGGGATTGAATCCAGCCATCTTGATGAAAGGCGTGAGCTTGTCTTTGATCTCGTTGAATCTTGTCTGATCCCATTGGACAGTAGGTTCGTCCATTTTGTTGACCGCGATGACTAGTTTCGAGACGCCAGCCGTCTTAACCAACATGATGTGCTCTCGTGTTTGCCCGCCCTTCTCGAATCCGGTCTCGAATTCCCCCTTGCGGGCGGAGATGACGAGGATCGCGACATCGGCCTGGGCCGCGCCAGATATCATGGACGGCACAAATGTCTTGTGGCCTGGCGCGTCAAGGATGGTGTATCGTCTAGCATCCGTCTCGAAGTAGGCACGGCCAACTTCAACAGTCTTTCCCTTGGCACGTTCCTGGGGTGTGGAATCAAGCGCCCAAGAAAGGTACCACGATTCTCGCCCTGCTTCCTTGGCTTCTCGCTCATATTTCTCCATGGTTCTCTTATCGACCATTCCGCATATGTAAAGCAGGTTGCCTCCCATCGTACTCTTGCCGGCATCGACGTGACCGATGAAGACGATGTTCAAGTGTTCCTTGGCTGATGGCCATCAGCGCATATAACGGGCTTGTAGGTCGCACAAGTCGAGACACTCACTGTGTCCGAAGAGATCTTTCAAGGTCTGTTCGTCGGCAGCTGCTTGCACATCCCGTGCGACCGCGGTGACATCGGTCTTTGCCCTGTCAGTCGTAAAAGTCTTGGCGGAGGGAGCAGCAACCGAGGCCGATACTGCTGCTGGTTTTTGGGTATCTACGGGGTGGGGTGGGGGCGCTGGCTCCTTGGGTTTTGGAGGCTGAGGAGTGGCGGCAGGGGCCGGCTTGACGCTGCCGATGTTCAAAGAAACTGTTGGAGCCGGCGCAGGCGCTTCTGCGGGGGTGTCGCGCGTAATCGGAGCAGGGGGCCGTGTGCCGCCGATGTTGAGAGAGATGGTGGGCGCGGGGGCGGGAGCCTCGTTCTGCTGAGGACGCTCGATGGGCTGTGGTGGAGGAGCCTGCGGCTGGGCCTGGGGTACTTTGAAGGATCGGCCGGGCACGAATTCGAACGCGCCTGCGTTTAGCCTGCTCATTGTCGTGGCACAGAACGAGATGCGTGGGACGTGAGTGCTTGCGTCGTGATGAGCGTTAAGGATGGACGAGAGATCTATCGCCAAATTACTTACAGCAGTCATGGTCACTGCCCAGCTCACGTGACAGAACGCCGGAGAGTCATTGGGGGTAATGATGGTATTGAGCATGTACGGTGAGCTAGGCTAGTGGATCGTTGTATCGTTCCCGGCGGTATATACATTGCATGTATGCAGCGAACGCGACGCGGACTGGGCAGAGCGGCGACGGACGAAAGGGACAACGCGACGACCAATGCGCGCGCGATCAAAGGCGTTTCCCGGATGAGGTCACTGTCGCCACGAGGGCGCTCGCCGTGAACGCTCTCCGACTTGGCCGCCATCCCCGCCGCCCGCTCTCCGTTCCCGCTCGAACGTCCATGGCCGACCAGGAGCAGCGCTATCTCTCCGTGCTCAAGGCTCAATACGACTACGACCCCCAGTCCGAAGACGAGGTCGCCATCAAGGAGGACCAGCTGCTCTTCCTGCTCGACAAGACCGACGACGAGTAATCCTATTCCCTGATCCTGCCCGCGTCTTCCCCCGATTGAGCCCGCGTACTTTTAGCTGGTGGAAGGTTCAGGTCAAGACAGCCTCCGCCGACGACGATGGCCCGTCCGGATTGGTGCCTGCTGCATATGTCGAGCCGGTGCGTACCCACAACCGACGCATGACCGTGCACCGCTCACCTGGATCACTCACGTTGGCTTCGTTCATTTTTCACAGGCACAGCACATATCTAAAGTCAAGGCACTATATGACTACGAGGCAGCAGCGGCTGGCGAGCTGTCTATCAAGGAAGATGAGATCCTGCTAGTATACGACAAGGAGGAAGACTGGATCCTCGTTGCCGCGGAAGACGCCACGAATGGTCGGATCGGCTTCGTCCCCGCCAACTATGTTGAAGAAGTACGACATCAGCTTTCAGGCGCGAGCAGACTTCGCTTACTATCTGCTAGCTCGACGATGCTGCGGATACCACGCCCCCCGCATCCGCGCCTCAGCACGTTGTCATTCCCGAGAGCGTACGCAACCTTATCTCTCTTACGTTAACCGCTCATGTCCGCCCCATAGCCTCCGTCAAACTACGTTGACCCTGCAGAACGCGTGGCTGCGGCTCGCAGCGCCGCGCAGCCTGACCATGTCCAAACATGGCCTGTATCCGAAGTCGACAAGAAAGGCAAGAAGAAGAAGGGGACGTTAGGCGTGGGGAACGGCTCACTATTCTTCGCAAGCGAATCAGACAAGGTATGCGAACCTCCGGCGGCGAGTATTCGCATAATGATTGACTCGCCCCGGTTTCTGTAGACACCCGTGCAGAAATGGCCAACGGCGGACGTTGTCAATGTCAACATTGAGAAGAGCAAACACGTCCTCATCGCCTTTGGAGGTGCCTCGCCCGTCGAGCTGCAATTCAACGCCGGTTCCGCCGGAGCCGCGCAAGAGATACTGATCAAGATCGAGGCGTCGCGCTCTGCATCTACGCCCGCTCCCGCTCCGGCGCCTGCACCGGCGCCTGCACCGGCACCTGCACCCTCTCCTGTTCGCGTGGCGTCCCCACCAGCAGAAGAAGCTGCCAGCAAGCCGTCCGTCCACTTTGCCACAACTCCTCCACAGATGATTCCACCTCGAGAGCCTTCGGAAGCTGGTTCCTACGAGGAGCCCGGTGCAGCGAGCGAAGCCGATGGCGAGTCAGCGGTGGTGTTGTACGATTTCTCGGCGGACGGCGAGGATGAATTGAGCGTGCGCGAGGGTGAACACCTCCTCATAATCGAGAAGGATAGTGACGAGTGGTGGAAATGCCGCAACTCGTCGGGTGCGGAGGGCGTCGTCCCTGCACAGTATCTTGAGGTAAGAACCTCTTGTGTTAGAACCGCGGTGGTGGCCTTGACGACTACCCTTGTCCTGTAGCTGGAGGCTGGAGAGTCCCACCTAAATGCCGCAGTGGACGAGACCGATGAAGACGACACAGCAGCCCGGGAAGCTGCTGAGCGTGCCGAAGCGCAGCGCAGAGAAAGAGAGAGGCAAGAGCGCGAGCGGGTGGAACGCGAGAGGGCCGAGAAGGAGCGCCAGAGGCGTGAGGCGGAGCAGCGCGCAAAGGATGAGGCGGCGACCGCCGTCGCCGAGGCGGAGCGTGAAATCGAACGCAAGCGGAAGGAGAAGGAGAGACGCGAGCTCGAACGCGAGCGGGCGCAAGCGGCGGCAAGAGAGATGGAAGAGGCGCGTCGGAAAGAGGAGCAAAAGCGTAAAGCGGAGGAGAAAAACAAGCGGTCGGATGACCGCCCAAGAGAGTCCACGTCCTCCAGCTCAAGCCGAGTCAAAGATGGCAAACGTTCGTGACTCTCTGTTTGCCTGAGTGCCTGTATTGACCGACAGTTTATGGGCATCAGGCGGCCCTCCGGCGGATCGCGTACGAGTATGGCACGACCGTAGCGGAACCTTTCGAGTCGACGCTGCCTTTCTTGGGTACAGCAATGGCAAGCTGCGACTTCACAAGACGAATGGCGTTATCATCGAGGTACCCTCCGAGAAGATGTCGATTGACGACATGAAGTTCGTGGAGCATATCATGAAGAAGAGTTCCTCCGGCTCCTCGTCTCGTTCACCCGCTGAAGACGATGACGTGCCTCTCGCCGTCACTAAGAAACGGCAGTCCCAGCCGCAGTCGCCTGCTGCCACGTCGGCGGCGACGCGAAATATACCTGCCAAGAAAACGGGACCGCAGATTGACTGGTTCGAATTCTTCCTCAACGCGGGTTGCGACGTCGACGATTGTGGGCGGTATGCCTCGGCATTCGAACGAGATAAGATCGACGACACCATTCTCGCTGACATCGGAGAGGGCACAATGCGATCTCTGGGACTGCGGGAAGGTGATATCATCAGAGTTAAGAAGGCGATCGAGGCTAGGAATCCTGTCCCTAAGGACGTCAAGTCGCATCAGGCCAAGGAGGAACAGATTCGCCGAGACGAGGAATTGGCGAGACAACTCCAAGCCGAAGTCAACGGTCGCACGACCAGTCCGGCGCCGAATCTCTTCGCTGGCCCCGGTGGCGCATTGAAGAATCAGCGCCGCGGGCGACCACAGCCGAGCAAGAGCCTCCCTCCTCCAAGCGTAGATCCCAGCGCACTGAGTAACTCTTCGGAGCAAATATCACGGACAAGCACCCCTTTGGTGGCCAGTCCGACGTCCACGACGCCCGCGGCACCTCAGCGCTCCAGCTCGGCAGCACCTGCCTCGAGTGGGTTCGACGATGATGCATGGACTCCCAGGCCGAGTTCAACAAAACCTGTTGCGCCAACGCCTCCCGCGGCGGCGCAGGAGCCGCCTTCGGCCCCAGTTGCACCAACTCCCCCACCTCCCCCACCCGTCCAAACGGTCGCTGCTACTGTTGCAGCTCCCGCACCGGCACCTGCTGCCCCGCAAGTGGCTCCCCCTGCCGTCGCTTCCCCGCCTGCGAATCCATCTACTGGAAACGGTTTGGCCAAGACAAATGATGACATATTCGATCAGCTCGCCCGGTTAAGCCAACTCCGCAACCAGAGCCCGGCTGTGGTTTCATCGCCTCCCGTTCAGGCGCCGTCTCCCATGGCCTCTCAGCCACCACCCGTCAGCTTCCAGAATGGTTTAGGTATGGGTTCGTCGCCGGTGCCTATGGGGCAACATTTGCAGAATCAGCAGACTGGCATGTTATCCCCTGCACCCCAGAATGGTCCGCGTGGACCTTATGCGCCCGTTCCCTCCAACCAAGGTTTACTGCAGCCGCTCGTCCCGACCTCGGGCAGTTACACTGGCTTCGTGCCCACGCGCCCATCGAGCCAGCCACCAGCTTTCCAGAACCAACAACAACCCTCTTTCGTTCAGTCGCAACCGACGGGCTTCCCCATGACTCAACCCATACAATCTCAACCGACAGGTTTCCCTATGAATCAACCGGTCCTCTCTCAGCCGACGGGATATCTGAACTTCGGGCCTGTCATGTCACAGCCTACCGGCTTCGGTGCGGGGCCTTTTAACTCTCAAGGCTCTCTCATAAGCCAGCCAACCGGTCTTCCCAACGGAGGATTCGGCTCGCAATCCGCGTTCCAGAGCGGATCAGGCTTCGGGCAGGTTCAATCCAGTGAGTATTTCGCGTCCTCAAAATCACCAGGGAGCTGACATGCGTCAAACGTAGATCCGACTGGGTTCAACCCCGGCTTTGGGCAATTTAATGGCGGTGTAGCATCACCGCCGCCTGTCCCGCCTCTGCCGTCTTCAGCATCCAAGGATGTCTCGCCGGCCAACGTCTTCGCTCAGATGAAGGCAGGGACATTCGAGGGCGCTGATGCATCTCCACAGAATGCAGACAGATACAGTGCTCTAAGACCAAGCTGTGAGTACCTCATATCGGACGCTCCAAACGCCCTCTAATGCCGTCTGCAGCCACCCCTTTGACCCAACAAGCCACTGGCTGGGGTTACCAGAACACAGGCTTTCAAGGAGGTTTCAACGGATACGGCTAATTTACTTGCTCCGCCAGGGCTCTCCAGGTGACAGCGTCTGAGTGTTACTTTCATTCGAATATATCGCGGCTGCGTGAGGACTTGTAAATATTGAACGGAACATAAAGGTGCAATCTACCATGATACAATATTATGAAGACGAATCCATGATCCCTTGAACATAACCAACACGTGAAAAATAGCTGCGCAATCCTTCCCTTATTTCAGGTGCCAGGTCACGGGCAAGAATATCGACAGCAATGGGGTACACCGCGGGGAGGTATCTCGAGAACTAGAAAGGCTTAATAAATGCAAGGAGGGCTGATCGCAATGGGCACTCACTGCCTTCTCATCGAACCGCGAGAATCCATGTAGAATCTCGGCCACGACAGGCGTCCACGCAGCGATGTTCTTCGCTTGGGTATCGGGTCGCAACTTGCTATAGTCTTGCAGTACACCCATCCCGAGACTAGCAGGAGGTAAGGGTACGAAAGAGCGGAAGATTTAGCCGACGCACGGTAAAAGCTTATCGGCTATTTGTGGCCGCGCAGATCGATGGTCTGCTCGCGGGTCGTAGTACATTTGCAGTAATATATGCACCAACGTGGACGCGCTACTTGATTCCTGCTTGAGAAGATTGGGCAAGTGTTTCATGAAGCCTTGCAGAGCACAATGAGAAGTGTACATGATGATGAGGTTCGCCAATTTCCACTCACCCACTTTCCACAGGCCAGTGCGCAATTCCTTGTCCTCGTTAAACATTCGTGCGAACTGGTAGCTATGGTCGAGAACCGCCATTAAGCGCAATAATTGTTCAGGAGGGATGGTGTCGTAGACTTGTTTACTCCTGAGGAGATCGTTCGTGGTCTCGATAAGTAGCAGTTGTAGCACGCATTTGACTATGATCTGCTTGAACACCCTTCGGCGCTCGGATAATGACATGACGTCGTTCGACTTCGAGCTGTTGGGAGACAGCGGAGCTGGCAAAATAGTCGAGCCATCGTTCTCTGCAATCATGCATGAGGCGGCGGTAACAGTGAATCAGTGCAAAATGCGGTATACCGTTTTCAGGTGCCTCTGACGTGTTACCGTCGATTTCCGTCCGGAGACTTTCATCGAAGAGTTGATGTGGAGTTGTTGTCTTGTATAAACGGATGAACGTCGTGACGACCCGCTCCCATCTCGCCGGGCTGAGTTTCCTAACGTTGTTTTCGAGCAGTTGCTGCAAGCAAGACGTGCCGATACGAGCAAGGGTGTCGTTCTCTGCAAGTCTGGAATTCAGTATGCTAGAAGAAAGCATCGTCAAGGAGCACCGCTACCTTGACAGATACAGACGCAGAGCAGGTCCAGTAAGCCGTCGAGGAAGCGTTCGAGGATATCGAAGTGGAAGGTGTACAGGTCGACGAGGTCGCGCAAGGCCTGTATCATGGTGGTTGATAGCCAAACGCTCATGTCCTCCTGCGTACTGAAACGAGATAGATCTTGACTCGACTTCAGGACCGCAAAAATCGGGAAAAGTAACTCCTGGCAGACTGTATCCCAAAAGGCAACAGGGTATGATGAACCGTAAGTCTTCAGAGTTGTAAATAGCGAATCGAGGGCTCTGGAGAGTCCCTGATTAGCATCATTGCCCATCAAAGAGGACAGGCCACTGACAGCCGCCGGACTTCCAGATCTTCTCCGTTCATGATTATGTCGTAAAAACCAAACAGGACAGGGAACCAAAATTTGATCATCGGGTCATCGATAGACTGCTTAGCAAGGTCGACGTCGTTGTTCAGAGCACATTCCGGGCATTCCAGCATGACGGGTATAACGCCCCTCAACATGGCGATCGCCAGAAGGCTGATTTTTTGAAACTTGCTCGCTTTGCAAAAGTCGGTGATGCAAACGGTCAAATCCGCAAACGAGCCATGCCGAACTATAGCCGAGAAGTGTTCCTTATTGAGACGCGTGACGATTTCGAAAGCTGAGTTGACGATCCGTTCTGGAATAAAATGAACGACGCCTCTGATAATCGATGATACCTTTCCTACCTGTGAGCACTTTCGCCGCCGCTGTGAATACGCCGAACATGGTTCGCCACCCAGATCTTAGGTTCTGGACTCGGGCTTGGATCATCTGCTGCAAACATTGCAAAACCTGCAAAGGCAGTCTAGTCAGCTCAAGAATTCGTCAGAAGACTCATAGATGATTATACCATATCCCTGATCTCGGGATTTGCGTTGTGCACCATGGTGTACTCAAATGGCTTCAAGAAATCCTTCTGGAACTTGAAGTGGGGCAATTCCTCTTTCTCCAAAAACCGCATGGCCAGTTGGCGTAGAGAATCTAGAGCGAAAAATCCCACGTGCGGATTGTTGTGGCAACAGACCTGCAGACCCGCCAATGAGGATATGATAGGAACACAACCAAGAGATATACCTGGTTGAAATGCTCTCCAAGGATATCCCATAAATTAGACCATTCCAAACGAATGCGGTTCATGTTATAATACGATATCTCAACCAGTTTCTGGAGACTGAACAAGCGAGGATGCTGGGAGAGACCCGAGGACTGGATCTCTTCCCAGGACACATCACACAACGCCCGAACAAAATCCACAATGGCTGTCTAAAGGTAGGTTGAGTCCCGTACATGAGCTTTATAGACGGAATTGCTCACTCCGGATAAATAATGGCTAAGCGAAAATACCATATCTGCAGCCACCGTGATGTGCGTCGACCGACTTTCGTTCGCCAGCTCCTCGGCTGGGAGCTTCCGCAATCGCCTAAGTGATGGCATATGGGAGTCAGTCTTTACCATCGGTGACATCACGACTTACCCTTTCCTACCGGCATCCACATCGACTCCGCTGGTAATAAGTTGCATGTGCTCAAGTTGACTGACGCATTGCAGGACTTCGCGCCATGAGCCCTTTAGGTTGTTGCCATCCGTAACAGCAATGTCGAGAAGAGCTTTGATGGCCTCCATATTTTTAGCCTTCATTTCACCCAGGTTGTTCAAGAACGTGAATTTGGCAAGCGTCGTGACGAAAGCATTGCGTTCCAGTTCGAGATCGAAGAAGCATACGATCCTTATAGCGCTCTTAAAGCCATCTAAGCACAGTTCAACTATCTCCAGGTCGTCCGTGTCCTGTAGTGGATTGGACAGGCCCGCGAGGAAGGGTATCCACGCGACCTCGAACATCGGGCGGACGTGAACGAAATGGGACGCGCTGAAGAACTGATCTTCCGCTTTAGAACCTCGACGATGCGATCGCATCATTGTTCGTAGTAACGCCTGTATCTCGTCTTAGCTTAATAGCGTCGGAAACGGCGCAGGACACACCTCTGTCTTGTTCGCCATGCCATGAGATTTCATTATATATGCTTCTCGCTGAAGATCTCTGCCGACGTTGGCAAGCGCGCCTGCAATACCGACGTTTGGGGTGATGATATCGACTGCGGCCTCCACTTCATCCTTCATCCGAATTTCATTGCTTGCGATCTCATCGAACACCAACGACAAGTATTCCTCGGGAAGATCCACGCCGTCGTTGATGCCTCTATTGTTTTTGATGAAATCAGCTTTGGTCATTCGTTTCTTGACCTGAGGATTATGTTGATCCGTGTTAAGCATGACGGTTGAATAGGCCAGGACATATGCGGCATCTATGCTCATTAGATCAGAGGTGAAGGCGTATAACTCAGACAGTACGGACCAGCGTTTGCAAACGGCGTCTGCGGATTACCAGCGATGTATCTCTCCGCGAATTTAAGCATATAGCGATCAATTTTCTGAGCTTCACCAGGCAAACGGAACGATTGCAAGAAAAGTCGCAAGGCGTCGACAAATGATAAATCTTTGAAGTCGAGAAGGTCCACGAAAGCATGCATGATGGCTATGTTCTGTTCGTCTCTGAGGCAACGTCAAATTGAGTATACGTTCAAGCGAGTCTTCCTTACCCTTCTCCGAGATACTCTCCTATCATTGCTTTGCTCAAGCCGTCAGTATACAGCAGAAATTTCGCGATGTCCTGAGGATTTCGGTTGGGTATGAAGCCAGTTTCTAAGAAGAATTCGACACCCTGGTTCTATGTTAATCATGGATGTCGATGTCTCTGCTGCGCGAATGCTCACGCTTTTGGGTTTCATATTGAATTTCTTGACACCTTCGAGCAATGTCGTCTTTTTTTGCCTAGCACTTTCGAATCGGTTAGGGTCATCACCAAGGTCTGGCGTCGCCTGACGTGTCGCTTCCAGGGCGGAGGACAAACTGAACCGTTCCTGTGATTGAGAAGCGTTGTCCGCAACTAACGTATCCTGATGGCTATCGTCGCTGATGGTCCGTGAGATGGTGTCGGTAGGGTCCACGACTGTTTTACTGCTAGCGGTGCCCCAAACTACCAGGGACTTCAAGATCGCGACGAGGCACTCAAGGCCTTGACGTTTGAGTTGCCGCTCGGATAACCCCACGGTGGACGGGTCAATGCTCCCAGAGACTGCTAAAGACGTGGTTGTATATGAAGGCGGTACGCTGCTATGAGGAGTCTTGGTCGTCGGAGCGACGGACGGACTTGGTGGTTCAGCGCTCTTCTGTTGGGTTCCGCTGATTTGGCTCGTTGCGATTTTCGAGATTAAATTGGCGATGCTGTTGGGAACAATGCAGGTAACTCGTAAATTGTGAATGGATTGACATAGATGAAGGGAACTGACTGCTCGTAAATGTTATCGCTGGCCTCGCTGTCGCAGTCGTAGTTTAGGTAGATCTCGACTAGTGCCTGCGGATCTTGGCAAAGCCGGTAGAACATGCCAAGAATGACGCCCTTCTGCTTAAGCGTCGAACTTTTCATCTCTATAATAGGGATGAAGATCTCATGCAAGAGTACTTCGATCTCTTTCTATGGAAAGTTCAGGTCAGAAGGTCAGCACATGCAACGCTATGACATAACGTAATCACCTTCAACTTCGTTCGCATCCCGGAGAGAACCCTCCAGAATATTTCGACGCTCAGCTCGAAAACCTGAGGAACAGGGCTGACGGCGTTGCGGCTTAAGCTTAGGCACAGGTACTGATTGACGGCTTGAACAAAGGGCGTGGCTTCGTGAGAAGAGCTCGAGTAAATGAGGGCAGATGGAGAGACGAAAAGCGGCATGTACGAGTTAAGGACGGTCAAGACGAGGTGGAGCGAGAGAAGTTTGGATCTCATAGAATGCGATTTTAGGTCACGTTCGCTGCAGACGGATTTAGCAAGCATCGTCACAGCACGGGATGGGGTTATAAACCTTTCAGAATTCAACGGCTTCATGGTCAATTTGCATAGTGCGCGAAACACCAAGAAGGCGTCCTTGACGAAGAGGTCGTTGGCGGACAGCTGATGGAATGGACGCTGTGCTTCATGGTCGGAATTCCTGTGCCCAAGTGATCAGGCACGTAAGGCAGCGTGACTTCGGGGTAAATGGCTCACTGAACGGAGGCATCTCTTTGCGTCCTAGTCCCAGCTGTGCTGGCAGCCTCCTCAGCGTTGTCAACGTAGGTCCCCACAGCTGGCGACCCGTTGACCCGCTCGATAGCCTCGTCCGCTATCTGTGAATCTTGTCGTTCTGCATTGGCGACAACACCGTTCTCTGAGAGAGCTGGCGGAGTGAGCGGCGGTAACGTATGTGTCTCGGGAGTGGAGGCCGACGTTGACGGTCGTTTGGAAGACGATACACTCCGGGGAGTCCCCAGATCCATGCGTTCCTGTTCACTATACGTGGGGGCCGTTGAATCCGCCTCTACCTTACACCTGGTGAACACATGATGCACCATCTGTGTGAGACCGCCCTGAGCAACTGTTTGGGTAATGGGGTCCGTGCTCAACAGAAACACGTTGTAGACGGTCCGAACTGCCTTCAGGAGCGAAGATTGGTGTACCAGAGTGGTGGAAGAGAGAACGATGGCGAGCAATGCTTTGACTATCTGCAGAGAGACGGGATCAGGGGTGGTCTCAGTATGGCAAGCTGTGATGGTGTGCACGACGAGATCCACGAGCGAGGGAGGGGGTATGCTGGCTTGTGAGCCTGAGGTGGAATGTCGGGAGGGACGTGGGGATGGGGGCGGCGATGCAAAATCATGGGTTTCGGCATCGGGGTCGACGAAGAAGGAGTACGATATTAACTTGGATATGCAGTCGAGGCTTGCAATCATGAGCTTCTCGTTCCGGGTCTCGCAAGCGAGGCGTAAGGGCTCGAAAATTTCCCTGGGTTTGTCGCCACCTTCTCCGGCGCGAACCATCTCCAGTGCTCGCTGAACGCTCTCCTTCAATGGTGCAGACCTCTTTGCCTCTCGCGAAGCAGCGATCGTCTCCAGTGCAGAGGAAATCAGAACTACAGACACGGTATTTCCCCGTGACATAGTAAGGGAGCGTTTATGGGTGGCAGACCCAGGTGTTGGGGGCTGCAGCGTTGACGGCGTTGATGGGATATGGCCGTTCAGTTGTAAACCAGCTGGACGGTTCGCTGACTTCCGCGAGTCGTTGCGCGCAGGCGGAGTGACCGGCTCATGGATCTCGTCGATGGCCTTCGCGGGAGGAGTAGGCGGTCCCGGAGTGGGTGGGCTTTCGGTACGGTATGTGCCGTTTGCCCCATTCGTCGGTTGAGGTCCGTCGTGAGCAACATCGGATGGGGTACTAGTGCTGCTCGTGAACGTAGGATCCGGCTCCACTGGCCCCGCCAAAATTACTGTAGGTCCGGCCTCAGCGCTTTCGGGACTGTACGTAGCAGTGGTCGACCGTTGAAGCAAGCTAGTGGGAGGTTCTTCGCCGGGCGGCGAGCGCGGTAATGCTACGTTCGCAGCGTGCTGAACATCAGCATCAGCCATGTTCGCAGATAGGAGAGTCAACACGGCGCGCAAGCGGGCGCTGCGCGGTCGGGAAAAGCAGCAGAGACGTTCGGCGCGTTCGCCAGCGTGCGACGCACGACCGCGGATGTAAGGCTGTGGCTGCGCTCCGATTCCCGATGCTATAAATTGTACATGTCTCTTTCCTTCATGTCCAGCATACCAGCCGATGCGTCCGCTGCCGTCCTCAAGAAATCAGATCCCATTCCTGAGGACACCGTCTCAGTCCAGGGACCCAACTTCGAAGAACCGATTAGCCTGCAAGGATTGCTGCAAAGCTATGAGCGCATTGGTTTTCAGGCGAACAGCCTGAGCAAGGCCATCTCGATTGTCAACAAAATGGTGCCCGCGCTTGATCTTTCTTCGGAACTAGTTGCTGATCTATCACCAGCGAGCATGGCGGCTCTCCGACGAGCTCGTACGAGAGGACGAGGCGGATGAGTATAAGGATACCGCGATTCGCGCGCAGACACGATGCAACGTCTTTCTAGGCTACACATCGAACCTGATATCGTCCGGACTTAGAGAAATCATTCTATACCTCGTTAAACACAAACATGTGGCCGCTATCGTCACCACGGCGGGAGGTATCGAGGAAGATTTCATCAAGTGCCTTGGCAAAACCTACCTTGCTGACTTCAACCTGGATGGCGCGGACTTACGACGACGCGGGATGAACCGTATCGGCAATCTCGTTGTTCCAAATGATAACTACTGTAAATTTGAGGACTGGCTCATACCCATTCTGGACACCATGCTGGAAGAACAGAAGGCCAGCGGAGATGTCTGGACACCAAGCAAACTTATCCGAAGACTAGGAAAAGAGATCAACCACGAAGAGTCTGTATATTACTGGGCCTACAAAGTGAATCCTGGATCTGCCCTGCGTATGGCCCCCACGCTAAGCCCAAGGTGTCCAGAATGACATTCCTGTCTTTTGTCCCGCGTTGACCGATGGATCATTGGGGGATATGCTATACTTTCATTCCTTTCGCTCTCCTGGACTCGTTGTCGACATCGTCCAGGACATCCGTAACCTGAACGAATTGGCTCGCAAGTCAAAGAAAGCTGGCATGATTATACTTGGAGGCGGCATTTGCAAACATCAGATAGCCAATTCGATGCTTTTCGTAGGTGCCTCCTGCGCCGTCGCCGTTGTGTGTCCTGACGTAATCGATTAGCGCAACGGGGCGGACTACTCCGTGTATATCGTATGTGGACAATCTTCGCTCACCGACGTTATGGTACTGATAGTCTGCAGAATACCGGACAGGAGTTTGACGGCTCGGACTCGGGTGCCAGACCAGATGAGGCTGTTTCATGGGGTAAAATCAGGGCCGGGGCGGAGACTGTTAAGGCAAGTGATGTTCGCTGTCCTAGTACACCGTGCTAAGCTCGAATTGCAGGTATACGCTGATGCAACTCTCGTGTTTCCGCTCCTAGTAGCAGCCACCTTCGCTCAGAAACCTGCAGTAGGCGTCAGCCCTGAGAACGTTCCAGTGGTTTGATTGTAAACGGCGGACGAAAGGCTGCCGCCTCGATGATAGCATTCGTTGGTACTACCGACATCATAATAGACGCAGATCAACGCGCTACGTGCCGTACCCACATTGATAATGAGAATATGTTGGGGGTGGTGCATGTCACAGTGTTATAAAGAGTTATATTCAAATCATGTCCTCGTCTAGCTCCTCGCTCCATAATCTGATGTTCCCTTGCATGATCTGTAACATCACGAGAGTGTCCTAGGCGGCCATCTCAGGCTTGTTGTCAAGTTCGCGGTCGACAGCATTGTCTAGCGCCTGCTTAGCGAGGTGACAGGCCTCTATCGGACTTTGCCATATCTCGTGGTAGCGCCAAGTTCAGCGCCAAAATCGAGCCGAGTAGGATGCAGCGCCGTGACCGAGACAGCTTCCTCATAGGCACCCTGGTATGTTTCCAAGGATGCCTTCGCCAACTCGCCCGTTCATTGGGATTGGACAAAGGCGGCTGAAGCTCCGCCAGGTAGCGGTGGTTATCGCATTTCCTGCACAACTAGGATAATGAGTGACGATGGTTCTGGATCAGGGAATAGATTATGCTCACATTCTGAGGTAGAACATCCGTGGCTCGCCCGCCTCCGCGTCGGGTTATGAAGCACGAATCCAGCGTGGGCTATCGTAAGACTTGCAATCCACAGCAAATTCGTTTCCTCTTCGTCAAAGGTGGCCATCGCTCACCTCGATGAGCGCTCGGACGTGAGTTATGACATCGGCAATTCAGAATTCAATGCATCGACTCCAGTTCGTAAAAGGAATCGTGCATACCGTCGTAGCGCTCAGCGGCGGTTTCCGCGAGCTAGAGATGCTCAGACTTGAGATGCTACTTAATCCCCTATGCTCCGACGTGGCATTTCGGCGACACGAATGAAAGATGCATACCGTCATCGTCACGACAGCTGGAGTTACCGATGGTCAACACTGGGGCGAAGAGTTTCATGGCATTCGTCTTTCAAGCCGCATGCAGTAGGGTAGTGGGTATCCACGGATGCGGCCGAATGATTTGTGCCCTTCGCCCGTCGTTTACCAAGGCACACTGAACTTGGCAGTTGAATAATGACGATGTTCAGTGCGCGACTGGTAAACCCATTGGCACATGCCCAGCATCATAATGCCTCTCCCACTATCGGAAGCCCCTGTATTGACACGCAACGACGGCTGAAGTGGGCCGCCGCTAGGTAATGTATTGCACATAGTAGCACATACATGTACCTAGTTTACCTGCACCAGTGCTGAAGCGGCGTGTCGGCTGTATAGCAGCTCACGGGGGCCGTGGATGCACTGTGTGCGCCAAGCCGTGCGTATTGACGTGCGGTGCGGCAACCGGTTGTTCCGCTATTGGGACCACGCCGGAAATATACCTACCTACCTACCTACCACCCGCACGTTGGGCGAAGGGTTCATGAGCCTACCTTCGGAGCTCAACTCAATGGGTCAGAGTATGATCGGTGATACGCTTTCTTACGGCACAGCGAGATGCTGAGGGATTTTTTCTTAGCACGCGCGCTTCGTTGAGGAAGACAAACAGCGTCTTGCAAATCTTCTGATTCACGTCATACAATGTAATAGGAAAGCGAAACCTTGTTCTTGACGTCCTACGGCGGCGGGGGATGATGCTTTGGCTTCTCTCCCCGCCAACTTTCCGGCGCGGGCCGCACGAATGCCTTTCAACCGACGCCTGCGACAACTATAGAGTCAACTCCGACACCAGGGTATCGTTATCACATTTAACGCACCATCATTTCCGACCCAGCCCCTAGGAGGTCGTTATTAACTTGGATTAGGCAGTTAAGCGCAGTGAAGACGCACCTCTGCAAGATCTTCTCTTCACCGAGATCAGCTTTCTCTGCCCTGTGCGAATGCTGCTCCTGCAGCGTTCTCACTTCGCGGTCGAGCAACTTGCGCTGAATGGTGGCGTTGGCGCGACATTTCTCAACCCGTTCGATGAGATCCTCTTCAAGACCAGCCAGGTGCATAGCGGTGGGTGTCAGGTGAGATACTGCCTCCTCTTGCACCACAAGAACAGTGCGCAAGTTCTGGGGTAAATACGACAGGATGGGCGAACCCCCGGTGGCCAGATCATAGGAAGAATTCTGGAGCACATCATCTGAGTATTGTTCGATTGCGTGGGGAGTCCTGTTACCTTGATGATATATGTCTTGGTAAAGCTGCAGAGCGGTTATTATCATCGTAACAGTATCGAACTTTCGACTTCCTTACCGCCAGTGGCGTTCGCGAAATTCCCGAATCTGCAATGATGAGAATAGCGTATACGCCCGCCAAACATACACGTACCTGATCGACGCAAAGTACGTAGAGAGCGAGACTGCGGGTGTCCATCTCCGCGAAATTCTTGACACCCAATGCCGTGGCTCTCTCCTCCACGCTCTGGATGTATTGACGTTGCGGACCGGGTCTGTAGGCCCGGAACTCGCGCAGAACCTTAGTCAAGCCATTGTCAGGGAGGCTCTTTGTGATCTCGAGAAGATTGTCGCCTAGCGGAATCTATCCGAAGAGAGATGAAAACCGTTGTCATGATCGACCTATATAAGCTTCTACTGACCATGGAATCATTTGCGCCAGACTCTCCGCGGAAATAAAGAGGCTCGTCAGAGACATTTTCGTAAATCACGCCATTCGGCTATGGGAGCGCGCACGCGCAGGTGAGAAGATTGTATGCTGTTTGAAGCGACTGCAACTTACAAACATGGAATTAAGTCTGTTCCCTGGAGCAGTGCCGAAGATGAAAGACCTGCAAAGAGATCATCAGGAGACGAGTCGTGGACCCGGGAAATTTCACTAACCTGAATTTGAGGTAATCGGAAGGAAGGCTCCGCGACCACATGGTGTCCATAGAGAGTTGAATCTACGCGAAGCAGTGTAGTCAACACATATTCGCTGTAGAAATCATGTCAAGGCACGGACCTTCTGATACGTGCTATAGAGGCGCCAAAGAACGTTGTTGAAAGCACCTCGTTCCTTCGTTGCAACAGCTGTCATAGCATCCTCCGCCGCTTAGATCCATCGTGGTTAGGATCATCATATGCTGTATCAATCATTCCAAACCTTCAACGAGATCCCCAGAGTGCGCAACCATGTCGACATGCACCAGACTGCAAGATGATCAGCTGTCAGGCCATTTTTGGTTTTGCCGAAACCGTACATAAAGCCGGCTTCGCTGCCCGTGGGATCTTCGAATGCGCGGATTAGACGAAGATTATCATAGACGATACCGCCATTAGGGTCCTTGCGGGTCCAGTTCTGCAGGGCATAAGAGCTCGCATACTCCATGTAGCTACTCGCCTCGATGTATCAGTCGCAGCGCAGTTGCAATTGGGCGTCTACGCACGGAAAGTGGCCTAGCGCATCTGCGAGTTGCTTGAGAGGAACAGCGATTTCGGCCGGAAGTATATCCCTTCCGGTGGTGTACGTGCCGGTCGCTCGGAAGTGCAGATCTACGGGCTCGAGCAAGAAAGCGCTAGCCAGAAAACAGTAGTCGCGGAACAATGCCGAAATCAAGACCTGCACGTTGGTCCAAACCTTTCAGACCAGTAGGTCTGGAATTAGGAGCGAAACATACCTGATCACCAGTTTCGATCGCGCGCACAACGTGACGCTCGATGGCGGCCGGTTTCAGTTCGCTCTTGACCGCATGACCGAGTTGACCATACGCGAGCAAACCCTTTCGTCCACCTGGTTGTTCGATGGTCATCCTCTTCAACAAGGAATCCAGGGGATCAAAGACGGCGGGAAGTGTGGCCAAGGGGTCATCGCGGGGAAGGAATCCGCGAGCCTTGGAGATACTGAAGATTGGTATCTTGTCACGTTGAGAGGTGCCGTTGCGTGCAATAGTGTGTTCCAACAACGGGTAGGGCTTGTACCCAGTATATGCCGCAGCCTGGGTAGCCAGAGTACGCCTTGCGAGCCAAGGAGGGGCATGAACAGGAGAGCGCAACATTCTTTGGGAGGAGGTGATGTCTTGCAGATGCCTTCCAGGGGAGTCGTTGTTGATGAAAGAGCGCTAGCAGACGATAGGACGCACACGACGATTTGTTTATGTCACCCAATTACGATCATCGACCACATGGCGCCATTCAACCGAATGGCTACTGGCATGGTCATCTTGTCACCTCGTCCAGTTGTTCGGAGACAATGTCCGAATGATTACGGCGTTCCGTTCAATCCCGCAAGGGCGGTTGGTAGACGTAGGCACACACATCCTCGCATTTGTTCTCGGGGAAGGCGGGAATCCGCAGCACTTCGAGCGGGCGTTGTTTCAGCAGGGCTAGCCTTGAGCGCTTGAGCCCTCGTGGCGGCTAGCAAGGAAGGCCGGACCGCCGCAGCAGGCACGATAGACGAAACAGGCAAGACACAAACAAACAACGGCCCCGACGGCGCTGAACTCAACTCGGAGTTACGGCATTAATTCTCGACCATCGTCAAGTACAGAAGCGACGCGCCTTTTGGCTCCCGAAGGGATCAACGTGGGTCTGATAACGCTCAAAAGTATGCCCGTTTCTATCGATAGGTCAGGACCTCCCTGATGTGCGATGGACGTAGTGGTAAACATCCATCACTCACTCTGGCGTCAGGATTTATTACACTGAACGCTCTTCTCGAGCCACAACGGACTGAAGGCGTGTTTTTCATACGTGACTTTCTGCAGACGTCCTCCTAGGAGCCATCTACTCAGCAGGGATTTCAGGTTATCGCTCCGGGCTATCACGGTATGGGCCGGTTGTCGCATCCCAGAGACGGCTTCACCAACAGCGTCTGGGCAGCGAGCTTTGTCCACCTCAAACACGACCACCTTGGGATCACGGACAAGGTACACGTTGCCGGTCATGATGTATGTAGGTGGAATGATCGCCTACCTACATGTTTCCCGTTACCCCGAGCACGTCGCAAGCGTCACCAAGACTCCTGCCTAGCACCTCCATTTTTCTTGGCCTTGCATATTGCATATGGTCCCCGGTCTGCCGAAGGCGCTCGTGGTAGGTTGCGAGAGCATCTTCCTACGCTTTGAAAAGCTGTCATACATTTTCTGAAACCATTCTGGAACGCAACTCGAGGCGTACTAGCACATAGGTGCGCTGAGACGTGCGCTGTAGTTGAGATAGATGCGAAAGAACAACAAGGATCGCATGGTTACGATTCAATTTTGCCCAGGCGGTTACAGGCAACAGGAGCCATCAATGCATCACGCGCGACCAGCGCAACATGTAAGAACCTACAATTGCTTGCTGAATCGTGGAGGAATCCGGACGCTGTCCGCAGAAGAGAATCCAACTATGCATCCACCTGATATGAAACACTCGTTTCACTTCTGTCCGCTCTCCCTCATTTCTTGCTCAAACATTTAGTGGCTTCATACATAGATAGCCATGCACATGTTCAGCCATAGTCTGAAGCCATTAAAGGCTCAGTGCAAAATTTATTCTGCCAGCATACTGCCAGAGGCATGCCGCGGTCAGAAATCTATTAATAAGCCACAATGTATCGGCCTGCTCGCTTTTCGTAGATTGCTCACTCCGAAACTAAGTATCTCCGTAATATCAAGATAATTCCCCTACTCTGATGTGTAACAAGTATCAAATCATCAGAGGTGCTGTGGGATGCTTGAGGCGGGCAAGAAAGGTATTTCACATCAGGTGAATGTCGCCAGATTGTTTCATATCAGGTGCATCCATATCCAGCTAGGATTGCAACCGCGCGGACCCAAGAACTTGATAGAAGTAAATACGACCCTTGCCCTCCCCGGAGACCTCAGAAGTACATTAGTATAACTACGTATTACGCACAGACAATCCGGAAGGAATCAAAGCAAGCTCTAGGATACAGCGAACTGCGAACGTGAACAAGGGAATATCTCTGTGATGTTTCCTCATATTATGATCGTGTGACGGCTTCCGTTATTACTTGTCCATTTGAAGCATGTTCATGATGGCCTGAATGCCTTTGACGCCGAGTCCGCCCTTAGGATAGCATACATACAGCTATAGAAGGGGATCATTCAGCATTGTCCGAAGGCACAAGTCGGATACAGGACTAACTGGTTCCTGGCGAGTCCCGAATTTGGATCGGAAATCATTCTTGGTCGTGAGGTGGAATGTGTGCGACAATCCATTGTAGGCCTTCTCCAGTGTTCGCACACGGAAACCTCCGATATTCTCTACACGGCTCATCTCTGCTGTTGCGCCTGCACCAAAGGTCGCAGTCTTAACGCCAGCGTCACCCAGCTTCTTGATGACATAGGCCAGTATATACTGCGAAGAGTCAGAAGGAGAAGGCAACGTCCGCACCATGACGGCTTACCTCAATCGCGCCCAGCGGTGCATGCGGGAATTCTAGCGCCCACTTAATCTGGAAGCCATGCGCAACGGATAATTGCGCTAATACGACGAGTGCACACATCTAAGCATGGTGTTCAGTCCTCTATATTTGAGTCGCGGCGGGCACGCCGTACCTTTCCCTCTTTATCACGAGCATAGAAGTAGCGACGATGCGCCATGTCATCGAGTGGACGTACGCCCGTCAGGTGAATCTGTGAACCTTTGCGGTGATCCGCCCAGTCCTTGCATCGCTCCTCGATTTCTTGCTTCAAAGCCTCGTCCATGGGTCCGTCAACTTCGTGAATCTTCACACCCTCTCGTTCGGCACGGTGGATCTTGCGCCTCACGGTTTTGTCGCTATCGGGATCGACGTCGGTAGGGTTGATCCTCTCTTCCGCCACTGCGATGAGAGCGCTCCAGCCTAGCTTCTCAGCCAAATATTGCTCCGTGTGCTTATCGATGCAGCACCAGACCGGCTTCAACTTCTTCTCAGTTCGGAGGTAGTCGAGATAGGCATCGACGACCCTGGGTATCTGCTTCACGTCGCAAAGCGGATTGCCGAAAGTGACGGCAAAACCATTCGAGGGAATGTATCCAACGGCAGCGCCCGTGTTCTCATCCCGCCAAACCGTCCAAGCAGGGTCAACCCAAGATGTATTCGTTGCATCCCCATATTTCGCGATCAACTAAGAGCACATATGTGAGAACTCCAATAACCATCTAGAGCGATACTTACGTTCTCAAGTGGAGGCAGTTCATGTTGACCTGAGCCTGGTGCAAACGTGGTAGATTCTGGCCCGTGAAGGATCGTCGCTGCTGCCGCTGCCATGGTTGCTTCACCGAGATCTTGTCCATTCTTCGCAAAGCTGCGAGGATCCCTTGGAAACAAACTGGCCCATCGGACATTCCCTAATTTCAAGAAGAGGAATACAACACGCTCCAATCCTGCGAGGAGAGCAATAAACACAAGGATCTTCCAAGAATATACAAAATCTTACCGATGCCACCTCCACCGTGGGGAGGGCATCCCCACTTGAACCCGTCGAGGTATTCCTTCATTGTGTCCGGATGAATCCCGTTCGCCTTCATCTTCTCCTCGAGCAAGGGAGCATGATGTATACGCTGGCCACCCGAAAGGACCTCCTCTCCTCGGATGAAGAAGTCATATGAATTGGTAAGTTTCTGTTGCCAAGTAATTTTACTATTTTTTTTTTGCACGCAAGCACAGTCATACGCACGGAATCCGTCGGGTCGGGCATAGTATAGAAAGGTCTTGCGGAAGCAGGGAATTTGTCTAAGATATGAATGATCAGCTTGGAAGCCTTTTCGCAAGCAATGAATGTTCCTCACCCAAGATGTAGTAATCAGTGCCGAATTTTTCCTTGACAACCTTGCCAAGTGCCACCTCAGCTTTCGTACTAAGATCCTCCATGGGATCTGCAGGGTTGCCTTCTTCATCCCTCCAACCGCTCTCGTTTAACATCTTGACAGCGTCTGCAAACTTGAGCCGCGGAGTCTTGTCAAGGAAGACGAGATCGTCGTGGGGATAAGTGCGCTTCACCGCCTCGATCTGCTAAAAGCATTGGCATCCGGCCTCTACCGACACCAATGAGATTACACACCTCTTGCCGGTACTGTGACTGTAGCCCTCGGAAGATATTCAAGAGCATGCCATCTATGACATCGATCACCTCGTGGTAATGGCTTTCGAACGCCATCTCGAGATCGAGTCCGATAAACTCGGTCAAGTGGCGGTGAGTATTCGAATTCTCGGCACGGAAGACTACGTGGAATCAGCTTTATGTGCGCGATGTGATGCTAAGAACCTACCTGGACCGATCTCATAAACACGCTCCATGTCCGCGGCGATGCACATCTGCTTGGCGAGCTGCGGACTCTGTGCCAAGAAAACTGGGCGCCTGAAGTAGTCGACCTTGAAAACAGCAGCTCCCGACTCCGCAGTCGCCTCCTGGAATTTCGAAGATTGAATCTCCGTGAACCCCTGTGCGTCGAGATATTCGCGGAAAAGGCGACAGATCCCGGCGTGAATGCGGAAAATAGCTTGCGACGCAGGGGACTACAGGCGACTTTGAGAAGCTGCTGAAAGAAATTATCCTAAATGACAACGCACTCGAAGATCCAGAACGCGATTGTCCAAACGAGTTTTATCGCCAACATGTACAAAGTGCGCGTCGTCCTAACGAATTTCACGTCACCATGCGGGACGAAGAAGCGAATAGCTTAGGCTAACCTTCGTTGTTTCCTGATGCGAACGCGAAACATCTTCGACTTGGAACGGCAAGCTCACCGTAGGATGCGCGACAACGTGAATCTGCAAATGCTTTGTTACATCGAATTCGCTGGATAGTCGTAAGGGCAGCGCACTGTCTCGATCCTGAGCTCGAGGTCGTGCAAGGTGGTGCTCTTAATTTCGCCTTGTTCTTCTGGTGGATTCTGCAGCGTGCCGGAGACGAGCACGACGGTTTCACGGCTGATGCCCTCCGCCCATCTCACCATGTTTTGCGAAACGCGACCCTGCTCCTCCGTAAGCACACCCTGGATCGTTGCAAATCGCTGTCGGAAGAGGATAAAGACGATTTTCGGACCTTGCACAGACTGTTAGCGACTTGACGCGCTCCCGATAAACATGATGCTCACCAACTGGTCTAAGATGGTGTACGCGAGCACGAAAGTGGATCTTGTCACCGGCTTTATGCACCTCACCCAAATCCACAAGCGAGTCAAGCTTGCGCTCTATTCTTGTTCAGTATTGGCACGATATGGTCGTCAATGATACTCGCCTGATCGCTCCTGCGACATGTTCAGGGGCAAGTCACCGTAATGCTCTCGCAGAGGGTCCTGCAAATCTTTCAGGCAAACTCAAGACATAACGAATGCATGCGACAAACCTCTTCCCAAGCCTTACGCTTGCGCTGCTCGCGGGCTTTGGCCTGAGCCTCGTTCTCCTCCTCGCGGTCCTCCTTCCGATTGATCCTCTGCTCTGTGAATGAGGGCCTGCGCTCGCGACTGGCGGGATGGGTCTTCGTGGCGAAGTCCGTGGTCTCCTCGGTGGGGTGCTTGTTGCGATCGGCGATGGTGCCGTTCGGCTTGGATCCGGAACGTTCCTTGGAGTGCTCCTTGGCATGATCGTAGGCCTGCGGAGAGCTGGTGCGACTGATGGTCTGCGAGCCATCCTCCGTGGCGGGTGTTCCAGGTGTCGACGAAGTCGGGCTGAGGAGCCTGCTGGTGCGCTTGGAGGCCTTGGTGAGGATTTTCTTGAGGCCAGACATGGCGCCGACGGGGAGAGAGGGCGCGTGTATGGAATGTCTGCTATGCCGACGTTCGTGTAAGCCCTTTTCAACCGCGCCCGGCCCATCATGACGTCGGGCTGGGCCCGTGACGTCGTCACGGTGTTGCGCGTCCTTCTCGTCAGCACCAGCGCGGGCCATGTTGGCGTCGGCGGCTTGGGGAACGGGCAAATCGTCTTATTCCACTCTGCGCCCTCGTATTTAACACCCCGGCAACGCGCCGAACGACGTCGCACATGCATGGTCCGGCTTCGACGCGGGTCAGGATGCTGACCAAACAGTGACGAGGCCTTTCTACCGGCGCGGACGGTGTCGGCTTCATCATCACCACACTGCTTATCATATGTGAGCGCTGTGGGTTGCATACAGTCTGTCAACTTCCCGATCCTCTCCGGCAGACACATTGGCCGGGCCGTCCCGGACTCTCCGCACGCGCAGGTCGACAGATACTAATAGTAGAAGCCCGATCTGCTAGGCGGGATGAAAGACGCCTGGCTTACTGCAGCTGCTTATATACGTCGCGCGCGAACACCGGAAAGCAGTTGCAGTATGCATGCAGTCTGTCTTCTGTCCAATAGAGGTTATTCGCAACGCCTGATGGCTGACTTTCGTAGTCAGTCATGCAAGCGAGACGGGACTCCACAGAAATTAATGAGAAGCTGCACTGCAACGGGGCAAGATCACCGCGGATAACTGCGGTCGGGCGCACGTTTCGCCGCTGCAGCAACCGGTGCTCTTTGCAGCAGCAGAAGTGAACGCTGTGGACCTTCTTTGGCCACCAAAAAAATCACGTAGCCTCATGGGCATATAGTCTGCTTTCTGGCGCGTTTTTTTTTGGGGGGGGGCCTTTATACCTGCATTTTTTGTCGCTTTCCGGCTATGAACTCTCCAGAAGGGTTGGCTACAGCTGCCTTCGAAGCGCTCCACAACGGTGGAGCACAGCGGTCTCCGAAGCCCTTTGGCGGTGCTCGAAGGCTGCGGATGGAGGGCAAGAAGCGTGCGGCGTTAGTCGTAGTCAAAGTCGACGACGGCTTTCCGTGCGTTGCGAATAACCTCTAATGCATGTGACTGGAATTCATCAGTCAGGGTCTTCGCTCCGTCCCTGAATGTTACCCTGCTAACGGTTGCATCGTCCGGATCTTGGGTGAGCCGCGGACACGATCTGCATAGGATGTTCAAGGTATACTGGACTGAATCGCGCCAGTCGCCTGGGAGAAATGTTGACAGATACATGTGCATGAAACTCGGGTTTCAAAGCGCGGTGTGCGCAAGGCTGCCGAATACACCCCAGGGAACATGACAGGCAGCGCTGCATGGAGATCCCCGACTGCTATCGTCTGGTACATTCCCGATGGTATGATGGTCATGGTATACAGCCCCGGCAGTGTTATAATCAGCGTTTCGGATAGAGTTAGCGCCCTAGAAATAAGAAAAAGGTGAAGCTGTCGCGGGTTACGGACACTACACGCCATAGGCGAGAATGCTACCGTTGCCTGCCCACCAACCGTCAAGTAACAAGTGACGCTATGAGGGTGATCGACCCCGTGCGCGCAACAACGTCGTGGGGCCGGCTCCTGAGCGAGGTCTAGCGCGCCGAAAGACTGTGCAAATGGAATCGCGAGTGGCGAAAGGCACCTGTGCTCGGGGGGCGTTAGACAAAAGAGGCTTTTGTCAGAATTGGCAATCCCGATTGTTTGCCCGATGTTCGGAGGACATATGACGCAGAAAATCCAGCCTACGGTTCTGGCAGCGGGAATTTTTGCGTCATATTCTTTAGCAGGAGTCGATAGTGCTAGATCCAGCCACAAAGCTCGTTAAGGTAAGGCCAACGGCGGAGTCGCGCGGGCCTTCTGTGACATCTTCCAAGTCTTCGGGAGCCGCACGGGAAACCCAACAGGCCGCGGACTTGGCATCGGTTCGGGAGTAAATCTGCGAGAAACAATAAGACGGGTCAGGCCGACCGTGGGCCGATTATCCAGTCAGGGCGGCCGTGGCGCAAGCACACAGCCAGATGATTGGCAACGAACAGGCGGCTGAATACGCGCCATGAGATTACGGACTGCACATCGACAATGACCGTGAACGGACGACGCGGTGGCTCGAAACAAGATGCCAAAGCATGCTGTGCCCGGACTGAGCGGATGCATCGGATGGACGCATCGAACAGCGTCGCGGGATGCCGCGGATTGTGAAGGCGATCGCGTCCAACGTCTTTCAGTTTCTCCAAGATGCGATAGCGTGATTCTGGTTTTGCTTGGTTGCCGAGCGATAACCTAAATGCTCGCAGCATCAAAACGCGGACGCTACCGGATGGGAGATTTTATAGGTACCCAATAGCGCGTAGCCACGGTGAGGAGCCACTCGGGGCAACTTGTTGACCACCAAGCTCGAAGCTTCCCTAAAAAGCTAGTGCTAGCATATGTTTGGCACTGGGCGGTTGCGTAACTAGAGGTCACAGAAAAGCAGAATGATAGCTACCCAAACAGAGCGTAGATGCATGTGCAGCAGTGCAGAGGCGAGCGTTGTGACATATAAATCCGCTCCGCGGTTGAGAAAAGCACAAAATGGGAGGTGAATCAATGCATGTGCGCGAGCGTGCCGTAGGCACGTGTATGACCTCGGGGAGGCGCGTATACGCTCGTGTACGTAACTCAGACATCCGCACTAGTCGCCACCGCCCAGCTCCTCCGCATCCTAATCCTATTTTGCCGTTGCGCGGCGCCATCGCTGGGAACTCGATGGCCCTGGAGGATCGGCTGGCTGCGACCCGCACTGGCTTCTGATCAACTCTGCCTGGTTGAAACTCATTCATGCGATCACAGCATCGCATTTGGATGCGGCACCGCAGCTAGTATCAAACCACCCATTCGCTTCTATGTATGGAGCTAGAGGCAGCATCTATCTACATCTACTGCACGATTGCGCCCCTATCCGCACGGTGCCTAAAATTCAAATGGGTATGGTCGCAGGCGGTTTTACTGCTAATCCTTTCCTTCCTACCATCGAGGTTTAGGATCGCGTGTTCGTCACACTCCGTGCGGAGCATCATGCTGAGCAGTGGGTCGGTCTGTGTCTGGCACACACCGGCAAGACAATGATGCCGAGCTGTCAGGATTCCGATCCGTTGTTTGTAGCTTCAGGAGCTTCAACGATCATATAAAGTTGCGCGCTGCGCCGTCCAGAGCTGGTACTACGGGACGACAATGTCGATCTCGATTCCCCTACAACTTCTGGCAAAGTGTCAGCTCACGATCCACCAAACCGCGAATGGCGAGCGGCTTGGGCTTGACATGTCTCCTTCCGCGTACAGTCATCTGGCAGCAGACTTGGATGGCTTGACGCTCAACTTCGACTCGGTGTCCGACCATTTTGGCCGCGGTATACAAGTGTCTCTATCGTATACCCAACCGGATGTTCCCTTCCCGAATTCCTTGGACAATGGTAGATCAGCATTCTTTCTGGCGTGTCCGCGACATTCAATCTCCGAGACATATTTACTTAGGCACCACTGGGATTATTCCTTCATTTCTGTCGCCCACTCCAAGTGCATGTTCTCTCGAGTCTCTCACGTTGGATGGATTCAGTCAGCTTCGTGGTGAGATCCCTTCCTCCGCTCAACGATCGTGCTAAACATACAGTAGCGCCCAGCGTATGGCTTGACGACCTTGCAGCATCATTTCTTACCGGGCCTCCAGTCACTCCCCCGTCGTACTTGCCATCCCCAGACTCGGATCACCTCACGGCCAGAAACACCGGCGACACATGCAGCGACGCAAATGCCGGTTTGCAGTTTTCTCCGACCATCACACCGTTCCTAGATATGACAAGCAGCTGCGAAGGCTTAGATATCGGCGGTGAGACCGATTGAGCTAAGCTTGCGAAGGGTCGAGCTGAATTTCTCCTCGCACAGCACGGATGCCTGATAGCGTCGGATGTATACCTCAAAGTGGATCGGATAGTTCCATTCGATCGCCGCGCACAATCGACGCGGCGGCGTTGCAGACCGAAGGTTGGGTATTTGTTCCATGGTGGTGACATTCTGCTCACGACTCTTTCAGGGCCGGGCTATGCCACTCCTTCGCCTGTTCCATCGTTCGCGTCGCATCCTGAGTTTATCCAAGAGCTCCCACCGATCGTGTGCACAGATATCACCGAAGACGGCGAATTCGTCGGTGGCGGACGAAGTGCCGATACGTCCGCACACTCCCATTCGACTATCTCGAGCTCCGAACGATGCGGGAAGCGGAGAACCCGGCGTTACCGATGTCTGAACGCCGGATGCGATCGGCGCTTCATCAGCGAATACACACGCAAGGTCCATATGGACGGGGTTCATAACCCGAAACCGCGCAAGATGCTCGCGTGTTCCATGGGATGCGGGGAGTTATTTGGCCGTAGGCACGATCGGTTGCGCCACGAAGTGGCCCAACACGGGAAGGTGAATGCTCCTGAATCTCAGATCGTTTGAGAACGCATTGGCCTAACCTCCGACTGTGTGGTGACAGGTTTGTGAATTCTTGTGTCAAGACTGCGAGCACTTTTTCTCCTCCGCGAGGATGCTTGCTATACACAAATGCCGAGGCAGGCAACCGGCCCAACCTTAACGATCGCCTCTTGGCCTATCATGCAATGAGTATTTATTTCCTAATGTAAATTCCGTGCATTACGATCGCAGAGCTTTTGTTGTGCAAAGCCCGATCTGGACAGCTTTCATGTATTTGTCGTAACACCCACATGGGTTCCTGAGGATGAACCCGCTTGGGCATCTCAGTCTGCTGTTATGGTGCAGCACAGACACCATCCGATCGCATCTCCGAAACTCGGGGTACTTGTAAGGAGCTTGAAACGGTAAAGCTTGGTTGACAGATGCGGACTCCCGATATTCATCGTCCCGAAACGGGGACCTGAACGGAACTAACGAGTGCTACATATGGTTACATAGGTGAAAGTGGCAGCCATGATAGCACGAGGGTACCAGACGTCTAGTGAAACCCCAGAAACTTAGGCCTGGAAAAAATCACGCATGACGCTCCCCATGATTTTCACTGCCTTGTTCATCACGTCGAACTAGATTCAATACAAAAATCAGGAGCTGTCGATCAGGAGGAGCAAACAACATCCTTACCTGAGCGTTACTGAAGCTAATGCGGTAGTGGCCCACACCCTGACCCGGAGATGCGTCATCCTCACCGTCAGGAGAGAAGAACCAGCCAGGAGAGATCAGGACGCCGGCCTCGGCAAGAGCCGCCCAAAGCTTCATTTCAAGCGACTGCTCTCCCTCGGCGGCCAGCCTTGGGTGACTTGAAAAATCCATCTTCAACTAAGAAAGCGTATCAGGACGGCGGCTCTCATGGACTGACAGATGCGGCCCCGTACCCAGATGAACATCCCAGCGCTGGGCGGGACGAAACTAAAATACCGCCTGCGACCGAAAATCTGTTTCTCATCGGTAGCGGACAAGATCTTGTCCGACGCAGAGTACACGTTGCAGCCGACCCACGCGTTCACGCCGTGGTTTGATGTCCGCGTCAACTGGAATTCGTCCGCTAGACAGTCGATGAAGTGATCGCGACGGGACTTGTACTCCTGTCCGAGTCCTGGTCATGCTAATCAGACGGCGCCGAGCTTTGCGGACGTGTGCGTATACTTGCCACGTAGCCAGCGAATATAACCATCGTACTTCCAGGTCAAGAGCGCCTGAGTAATCAAGCTCTGCCCAAAACCACACGGGCTTTGGGTCGACGTCTCTCCTTGACGTTCCAATCTTTCAGCAAAGACGGGATTGCAAGTGAACCACCCGAGGCGACTACCAGGGGCGATAGTCTGCATCATACTTCAGTTGCGTTACAAAAAGGCAGCGGAATCACCGTCCCGTACCTTGGAGAAGGTCTCGAGCCGAACAACTCGACCTTGCGTGTCGAACCTGGTATGAGCGCTCAGTCTTGCGTGGATCGTAACGAGCAAGTCACACACTTCAGATAGCTAGGCGCCAGACTCGCGACGTATTCTTCCTCCTCCTTGCCCTTCGTGAAGCTAGCTGACTGGAGAACACGCTGTTCCTTGGGGACGTATTCTCCTTCTTGAAGGAAGTAGTAAGGGTCGTCTTCGACAATGATTACGTCTGAGCGGTCTTTAGCATAGTGATAGCCTTCACCGGTATACGACCTACCGAAGTCAACACAGACATCGTAAATGGCCTTCTTACGCGCGGCGCCCATCGTCTACGAGAGTAATTAATTGCACGATCCACTGTCCGGTGTTCAGCGGGACTCACTGCACCGCTCGGGTTCTGGCCTATGGGAACGGTGTACATGACGTGCGGTCTGACCGCCGGTCAGTGCCGACAGGGATAACACCAATAAAAGACACTGCACCTCTTCATTCCTCCGTGAGCCTTCTCGTCCCACTCCGACAGAACTTTGCGCAAGCTGTCCGCTCTCATGCCTTCCCCGTCCATCTCGACAGGTACAGGGATCAATCCCAGAGGCCGCGCGGTTGAGAGCGCCGACGGGTAAGTCCAATCCTCGGTGAGAAAACCTTCGCCCGGATTGCAGAGGGTTTGGACCGCCTTGCACCAACCGTCCGTGTTGCCCGCATGGACAAGGACTGAGTAGTTCTTGTATGCCGGGTCATAGACCTACGACCACCAATGTAAGCATGATGCGATCCGTGCAAAATCGACAAGATATACCTTCTGGGTGAACTCCTTGAGGAACTCCTGAAGCTCCGGGAGACCGGTCGCAGTCCCATACTGCAGAGACTTCGCAAGGTTCAACGGCGTCGCCTTTGAAGGATACTTGGGAATCGTCTGATGCGTCGTCCTCTCTTTGGTCGAGGAGCCGGCTCCAAACAGCCTCCAAAACCATGAAGTGGATGAAGACTCGGACTCCAGTGCGAACGAATCGGGCACCAGAACTTCGCCGCTGATCTCCGAGAACGGGAAGTAAGCGGGGTGCGGCATTCCTGGTCACCATATTCTCAGCATTCGGGCTGACACGTCTAGACACGTGGCGGGAGATGTCTTACCTCCTGCCAGCGCAATGAGGTCCGGGTTGTTGAGGTACTTGGCGAGGCCCTTCAACGGGGAGACCGACCGAGACTTTGCGAGGTCCGAGAGGTGATGCGAGAGGTCGATCGCATCGTGACCGCGCACGTTCTGCTGCATCCTTTCCGATCTCGCAGGGCGACTTGCTGTTCTATGGCGGAGGGAGAAGGGAGCGAGCGGGGGGTGAGAGCGCGGTTGGAGTTATGAGTGAGCATATGTTGTCAGCGTGCCGGTGAGATAAGATTGGCTACACGACGCGTGGGCCTGGATCCGAAAACGGGCGGGCTGATCGCAGCACCTGCGGCTGGGTCAGCGAGCGGCGCAGCGACAGGGCGCGCTCCTGAGTCGTACTTACCAAGGGGCATTGCTGCGTAGGGCGACGGCGAAGGAGAGCACATATGCTATCGGTTTTTGCCTGCAGTCGAGCACACAACATCCCGGATGTCGCCATCACAGGAAGCATCTAATCAGCCGCTGTGAAAAAGATTGATCGTGCGCCGAATCCGGCCAAAATCCGCGCGCTAGGGCCGACGACCCTCCATTCCTTACTGTCATCGACTTACACCATCTTCACTCCCCCCGCAACGTAGGAGGTGGGAAGAGTTGCACGCGGATAGTCAGTCGGCGTCGGGTTGTGTGGTTCGTCCCCGACATGCTCTGGCAACGAAACCCGCTGGAACTGTCCTTAGAAAGCAGGTCGAAGATATGTCGTTTCAGTTTTCGAGGAAGGGCTGCTTCAAGTGCGGTAACCGTGCGTATATGCCCTTCGTCATCCGTCTACCAAGCTCAGTCGCGTCTCCGTATCAGTGGGACACATTGCGGAGAACTGCTCAAGCGAGCAACGTCTCTGCTACAACTGTCGTCAGGCCGGACACGAGTCTTCTGCGTGCCCATCCCCACGGACCGTCTCCGCCAAACAATGCTACTCCTGCGGCGGAGTCGGTCACATCCAGGCCGAGTGCCCTAGCCTCAGAGTGCAGGGAGGAACCCAAAAGTGCTACGTGAGCCCGATTGTACCTCTTAAAGTCGTCGACGGTTGAATATGGAGTACGCCAGAACTGCGGCCGCTTCGGCCACATCGCTCGTGTCTGCCCAGGGGGAGCTGGGGGAGGTGGTTTTGCTTCTCGTATCGCTCCCCCTGGTCGCGGTTTGAACACCTCGACGTTGCCGCCTGTGAAGTGTTATCGCTGCGGCGGCCCAAACCATATGGCTCGGTGTGTCCCACTTGGTGTCTGGAAGATGCGCCGCGCTGATGAGTGCATGTAACGAAGGGACTGTCTCGCCGCCCCAGGAAGTACCGTTGACACGTCCGCTCCCAACCCGAACAGGAGCAAGACCTGTTACAAATGCCAGCAGGAGGGTCACGTACGTCGTGCTAGTTATTATATGTTCACCTCTGACTTCATTCCTTATAGATTGCCCGAGACTGCCCGGAGAACGCTGAATATGCTGTCTAAGGATCTGCTTTCCGCCTGATGCTTGAAGGCTCGTACATCCCGAAGAAGTGTGCACACTGCGCCGAGGCGTTGTTATTTATGTCGAATTCAACCATGAGACCTAGTTCTGCAACAGATCCATTGAACGGTATCGTCGCAGTGAGATGCTTGTCGCGCGCTTATTCGTATGTCGGCATTTAAATAAGGTGCCCCGTGGCGTGGTACGACTCAAGTCAGCTCAAGTCGCGGGAATGCCGTCGTTCCGGTTATTATTGACGTCCCTTGAGCGGCTTTGATCCTGGTAGGTGGCTTTCACGTAATGGATGACTACTCAGTGCTTTCAGGTGCTTTTGTTCCCATGATCGGGACGCTACTCGGTGGTTGTCTCAACTCGGCATCGATGGATGCTTTGAAGCCATCATTCGTCTACGATCGGTAGTCTTCCTCTATGCTCGCAATGTGCACACAGCGGCACGCACGGTGCGGCATCAGTATGTTTCTCCGACAACTCCGTCTATCTGCATCGTCACACCCATTCCGATCACCTTCGCATGCAGCGGCGAACTCTGTCATAAAGGCGCGGAACCAAACGCGACACGTGCGAACCTGATGTAGAGTCGCCGCTTCATCGATGTTCATTGGGCGCTCCGCGCTCTCGAGCTCTGGTCCCTTCCCGAGGCCGGTCATTGGTTCCATCTGGTCGTATCAATTGCTTCCTGCCGTGAGCGTTGGCATGCATCGTAGATGTTGTTCCTATACTCTGGGTTCGTTCAACCCGTTTCCAGTCAGGACCCTGGATTGTGTTCGCCTAGATCCTTTCAGACATTTCGTTCTGCCGTGTCACTTCGGCGTGTGTCATCCTCCCGACCGATGGGTATATAAGTTAGGACGGTCGTCCGCCATCCTCCAGCACACTCCGTCCATGACAGTCCTCACCGATGGTACTCCTTTCCCATCCCGCATGTCGCAGTTGTGCTCACTTTATCGCGTGTTTCTTCGTACAGATGCTCCTCCTTACGTGCTCCCAACTTAAAGGCCCGGCTCCGGCCAATCACGCTCCATCTCTTCTTGTAAGGTTGCACGACAGCCTCGGCTAAGGTCCGTGCAAATCACTCTTCAGTATGCTCCTCACAACCCTCAGACTGGCTTGTTCAGGCCATTGCGTTGCATGTCGCCGATCCTTTCCATCAACCTGTCACGAAGCGGGTGTCGTGAATCACCTGAGGCGGTCTGGACGTGTGGGAGGGGAGGCTCATCCTCGATGTCATGTAATATCGTCTCTTACGCTTATTTACTCCGCACGGGGGAACGAGATTTCAGGCGCTACACTACGCCACATAATATGTACATCGGCTCAATGGACATTTGTATGCTCATCACCGATGTGACTATCGTCGGGCCTGCGAGCGCTTCAACCTGATATAATCACCGTTCGGCGTTTGCCGACGGCCATGATCTTCCACTTGAGCGCTCGTCACGCTCGCCGCCTACCCGACTCTGTACTACCTTTACGTCGCACTTTCATACAATTACCCAAACTTGGCTCGATCTTGTCTCTTGGAAATGACTCGAGTCATGGATCCAAGGGGTTGACGCAGGAATATCACCAACAGAAGATCCTGCCGTACGTTTCAACTAGCTTTCCCTTTCCTCTCCTATATTCATCTGGCGCGCCAGATACACACGACGGCAGCTATACAACATCGTATCTGATGTCTCGTCATACCCGAACTTTGTGCCATTCTGTACGAATGCCCGCATCTTGACGACTTCCCCTATCTTGCAGCCCATGAGTTCGGATAGAGCCCAGCAGCTGCCCGCGCCTTCAGTGATGGAGGCAGAGCTCACTGTTGGCTTCATGTCCCTGAAGGAGAGCTACGTTAGTCGTGTGACATGCGTCCCGCACGATTCTGTTCGGGTGAGATGGACCATTCCCGGGCATTCTTCCTGTCTGAACATAGTGTCCACTAGGCTGAGGCATCATCCAGCACGCCGCTTTTCAAAACACTAGTTACTGAATGGCGCTTCCAACCCGCGCGCTTCCCATCTGCTGGTTCTATCTCTTCCGCCGGCGGTGTATCACAGCGGGCCGACGAGGCTTTTGGCGGAACTTCAGGGACAACAAGAACACCTTTGGACCCAGACGACGACAATGGCCCTACCATGGTCACGCTTGATCTGGCTTATGCTTTCTCCAATCCCTTGCATGCTGCCATATCCGCAAGCTTTTTTGGTCAGGTATCTGCGCTCATGGTAGAGGCGTTCGAGAAGAGGTGCAATGGAATCTACGGTTCGAGGATGTCGTAAAGGACACAGATATAGGAAACGTGTACTCGTCTATCCAGGGATCAGCAGTTCACGATTACCGATGCATCGATGGAAATCAGTTCAAGCGACACCGCAGGGACAACTCCAGGAACCCTCTATGAACATCGCGAATGGGATTGGCTGCAAAGACGACGTGGTCGGCTACGCGAAGTTCGTTGGCTCGTGGTCAAGGAAAGCTAATGTCATCGTTGCGTGCTGTAATCAAGATCATGATGCTTTGAAGCTGGACCGTGTCCACAAACGAACCTTGAGCCGTAAGTCGCCGGCCGCTGTTACGTCCTCAATGCGCCTCGCAGCTTCAAGGTTCGCGCGAGAAGGCGCCTCTTTTTGGTTGTTGATCCATTAGGGGCATTCACGTCCACGAGACGATCACACTCGCCGAACTCACGAGGACGCACTGATTGGGGCTTGGTGAGTGCTTCAGAACGCGGAGCTCCGCTGCATATTCCCTCTTCTTGTTATCGTTGGTCGACGCGTTTCGCAAGCTTCTACCACGTCATGCATCATCTCCGGCACCCTGACGTTGCCCATATCGGACTGATCTGCGGACGACCCTGACCTCCAGCCATGCCGTTTCTGGCTTCGTCAAGCATTACTCGGCGCATGCAGAAGCCTCCTAGAATCGTTGAGACCTAGACTTTCGTCGATGTGCCGCACGGATCCATCGATTGACATGCCTTTCGTTCATCGGATTTCCTCCGCTCCATCCAGTTGACGGCAGCAGACGTATCCCTACATGCCCCAGTGTATCACCGCAGACGCGCACGAAGTTGGACTCAAAGGTGCGCCTGCCTTACCCGCTGCTTTGATGGACCGGCTTTGGCCCATATATAGAATCGGCGAATACACCGAATGAATGCTAACTCACATTGATCGTGGCACAACGTCTTGTTGGTGCCATACATTTTTAGTCGAACGCACTGTTCTCATATTCCAAAAATTATGACAAAGGGTGGCGATCTACGACATCCGGTCATTGCTACAGTGTGTATCAATTATTCGGCGCAGGCTTACCTTTCGTATTGATCGTACCGAACAGCAGCGGTCGAATCTACCGATGGGATGACGAAATTGCTATGGCAAGACGGCGCGAAGCTGAAGGCGACCCCACAGGTACGATCCAGTCGGGAATAAACATCCTAGACTCAACACTCACGATGTCCTAAAACAAGACGGCGGAAGAAGCGCGCAATCTCCGAACACTGACAAGCGTGAGGCCAACGAACGAAATTCCGCGTTCGGCAAGGATTTGACGATCGTGCAAATCACGCAACCCATGCTCCCCGAGGCCTGAACGTCGACAGCCACTTGGATTCGGCGTCTACATCTGGTTACATGATATCGACTGCCTTTGTCACGACGCCCGTCCCCGACTCATTGCGGCGACCTGTGGTGAATCAGTGCTTTTTCGGTTCGCCAGTACATCACGCTTGTTCGGCTTGCGCGCACGCATGTGGTCCATATCCGGGTTCGCATGAACATATGTCGTCATTCAATATAGATTCATAAGTCGAAATTTCTACCACTCGGCTCGTATTAATACATTGGACCGTTGATTACAACCTTAGGACAGTGAGGAGAGGGCGGTCCCGATCATACCTCCGAAAATTCCGTAATTTGCGCCGCTGCTACTTCCCCCAACGTCTCCGAACGGCTTTCCGCTATTCATCAGCATAACTCCGAGTACGATAGGTTCCAGAAGATTGTTCTGCAACGCTTCCCGCGCGATTTGAACGTCCAGGTTGGCACCAGGATCATGCCATATCGCCAGAGGGACACCAGGACGGGCTTGATGAAGGAGCTGCAAACCTGATGAGAGTGCGATATAGAATCACGGAAGATATCTGCGTACCCAGCAAGCACCGTCCGGCTGATCGGCCCAGATGTAACTCTGGCCGTCATGACTGAACGACCGCGAGCTATGAGACAATGGTCAGGTTAACGCAATTCAAAGCGGGGAAACCGTCGACAGTGCTTACGCTTTCGTCTTCTTATCTATTGGCATCCACTCCTTGATCTTCTGCTTATTACCTCGCCATTGCATCACGGGACTGGAGTGATTCCATTCCACTCGAGCGACGGCGTTATGCTGTCCATCAAGGACCGTTGTCTCCTTCTTGCTGCTTTGGAAAGAATAGACGGCGCGCCCGTATGGGTCAACGACTTGCGCGTTAAGCACTGCGGACTTGGCGCCGAAGTTGAAAACCAGGGCTCCAGGAGTACTCTGGGGAGAAGGCTGGCCATACGATAGCTGACCGTGTGGCTGGGATGCGGCGGCACCACCGTAGTCCTGACGCGGAGGGAACCCGGAAGGTTGCGCATAGCCAGCTTGGTTATGGAGCAAAGACGCATGGGGATTCGCATCGGGGTGAGAATAAGAGGGCCAGCCTCCTTGAGATGGTTTCTGGTCGTATCCGTACATGATATGCGTGATTGAAATGAGGAAGTAACTGGAAGACGAGGATGGGCGAGCGTGTTGGGTAGCGCAATGACTTTCTTTCTCACTTATAGACAGTTGTCTGAGACAATCATCAAACCTGTGCAACATGAACCCGAGAACCGTTCTCAAAGCTCTGTAACCTTTGCGACATGACGAGAGCGTACACAGTTGGCGAACATGGCTGTGGGGGAACCATCAACGCCGCGGAGTGGTTAGGTTCCGTTTCGATGGTGACCAGGGTCAATCGGCAGACCCATCGAGCTGTTTCGAGGGTCGTGAGCATCATGATCGTTTGCACGACTGCCGTAGAAGATGGGCTGAGATGGGTCACCGGTACCGCGATCTCTTGGCTCGATATCGCCACAGAGTTTGGCAAGGCGACCCCAGGATGAAGCACGTTGTCTAGCGAGCGTTGCCTCTCGTTGCCCACATGGACTTGTTGCTACTAAGACGTTCATAGCCGGAGAGGCAGTGTAATAGTGTGGCGGATGGATCGATTTGGCTTGGGACTGGCCGTGATGAGGGGTTTCATCATGTTTTAGGCTTTCCTTGGATTACCCACCTCCATGAAGGTTTTGATCCCGTCATACGCGTACGAACTGCGGAGCGCTTGCATTCCAATCGTCGATTGATTTGAAGCAAAGCCCTCGGGAGACTATGAAGCTGCGGTGGAACGGTATACTTGCGAAACGTTTCTGCAGACGAGATGCAGAGAGAATGGAGTCTAGGCGTGCGGAACCTCCTGAACTCGGTGGTACGGGCTTCGCCGGGGGTGCGCTCGGGCCGTCCTTGCACCCTCTATCCGACACAGCAACGGCACGCGACGATCGCTGGCAGCCTTTGTGCATCAACTTCCCGAGTGATGGTTACTTGCACTCCCTCTGATCTCTCGGAATCTCAAGATTGTCGGCGGCCCAGCACGTTGGAACCATATCATCTGCTACCGTCCGGGTGGAGCTTCATATAAAATGGCGTATTTTGCAGACCGTCAAGCCAGCTCCTGGCCTAGAGTTCATCCACTGGTACTGGTACCAATCCGTCTTCGTATTCACCTTCTTCGTTTTTCTCAGGAGTCCACACACTTTCGCCAATTCTCTCGCTTTCACGATCTACATCCAAGATGCACGCTTCTCAGATCGCTCTCGTTCTCTCCATGGCTGCGGCTGCCCTTGCGGCTCCCCTGCCTGAACTCGACGCTCGGGAACCTATCTCTCTCGGCACCGCAGGCAAGGAGCTTGCTAAGGGTTTGGCCACCGGAGGTGGACTTGCTGCCCTGCTCGCGGGTGCTGAACATTTGATCGGAGGCGACTCCACCTCGTACGTCTTCAATCGATCAACCTTTGTTGGTCTATCTAATCCCGGGAATTTATTAGAAAACGCGAGCTGGACGTACGCGACCCTCTGTCACTGGGCGCGGTCGGTAAGGAGCTCGGCAAGGGCTTGGCTACTGGCGGTGGATTGGCCGCTCTGCTCGCTGGAGCAGAGAGCCTCCTTGGTGGTGACTCCTCCAGCTCGTACGTATCGCTTATCATGCTCAATTATCCTTCCTCACGACAATCTCAGTAAGCGCGAGCTCGAGGAGCGCGACCCTCTGAGTGCCGCTGGCCTTGGTTCGGCAATCAAACCTATCCTGGGCAGTTTGGCCGGTGGTTTGACGTCTGCTGGTGTCACCGCCCTCCTGCACAAGGAATTCGGTTCCCGCGAGTTGGCCGAATTGCAGGCCCGTGGTGTCGCCGGTGCTGTCGAAACGGGTCTCAAGGATGTGATCGGCAAGGGCCTCGTCGGTAAGGTCGTGCTTTCGTTTGGTGACTTGTGTGGCTGAAGCTTCCTTTAGGTGGTTTAGGAAGCGCTCTCGGAGGCTTTGGCGTTGGCGAAATCATCGACAAGTTAACGAGCCGTGAACTGGAAGAACTCGTCGCACGCGAGCCTCTTAGCCTTGGCCCCATTGCGAAGGGTGTTATTGGCACCGGCGTTGGTATCGGCGCCAGCACCCTCGCGGACGATGCTTTGGAGAAGCTGAAAGACCTGTTCTCTCGGGAGCTGAGCTTGAACGACCTCGACTAATTCGGTCAATTCTTCCGAGAAACGTGGCGTGACGCGGGTTTGCACATCCAGAATCGAAACGCTGTACAATAGTGGGCTTCCTGTATTGAAAAACGGAATGCGAGCAAGCGATTGGTTTTCCCCAGACTTCTGCTTTCGCCCTTGAATATACTTATAAGCCGCTCCTGTATTGACGCCACGTGAGCGCTCTGACGTGCTCTGATTAACGGGTTCCAGCAGGTCCCAGCTCTGAGTTCGCTGCGAACTAATTCGAGACCCCCTATCTCCACTGAACATGCACCACGCGTTCCATCCGGTTCGCAGGAATCCACTTATCTTCCGTTGCCGTGATAGATACATGTACGCTCTCTACATCGAGAACAAGAAGATGCATTGCTGGTCAAAAGCTGGCTTGCTCCAAGAGAATACGCAAGGTCATACAGTATTTATACCACCGAAGCCAACGATCCATCAGCTGACCATGCAACGGCTGGGACCTTGGAAGGCGGTTGATCCGACATATCTGGTGTTGCACGCGCTACCTATGCGCGTCGGACGCGCAACCAGATCCAACTGCACAGGCTTCTCCTAGTCAAGGACTTCTGCCTATCGACCAACATGTCGTTCTTCCGGGTTGCCACATGGATCCTAGGGCACGCGCTCCTATGGCGATAGCGGCGGACCTCCGCGCAACATTCGCATATATGCGCTACAGACTCGACGTATTAAGACAGGCTTTCCCTCCCGAGCATCGTCTGCAGCTCAGTCGACCATGCTCCTCCTGTGGTTTTCCAAGTTAGGACTGTTGTTGCTCTGCTCGACCTTGGTCGCTGCGAGAACGCGCGATGGTCGTATGAACGGCAATGTGCGGCCCATACCTGGTGTGCCCAGGATCGAGGTTTTGGAAGGACCGGTGACCAGCCGCAATGGAACTACCATTCCTCCGTACAACACGACGTAGGGTCCGACCTTGCTTGATGGAATACGGAATACTCATACGGCGTAGGTATTACTTCCAGCAACTGATTGACCATAACAACCCAAGCGCTGGCACTTTCACCCAGCGTTACTGGCATACATGGGAGTTTTACGAGAAAGGTCAGATTGTTCATTCGTCAACGAGGGCAAAACTGATACCTCGGTCTTCAAAAGGAGGGCCAATTATACTCATGACCCCGTGGGTGTTCATTGACCACCGTATGCCCTTCCGGTCGTATAGACTAACGGAGGTCATAGCGGAGAAGTCGCCGCCGATGGCTATTACGGATATTTGACGAATAGGACCATCAACGGGCTTATCGCGCAGCAAAGTAACGGTGCCACCATCGTTCTCGAGCATCGTTTCTACGGCTTGTCCAACCCCAGACCCGACCTCAGCGTCAAGAGTCTCCAACTGCACACCATTGCCCAAGCCATCCAGGATCTGAAATACTTTGCCGAGAACGTGGACCTGCCCATGCCCGGTGGCAACGCAGTTAAGCCAGACACCACGCCCTGGATTCTAGCTGGCGGTAGCTATGCTGGTGAGATATCCATCCATTCGCTGCCTTGAGTTATATTTTGACGTGCAGGGAAGGCGCTTTGACCAGTTTCACGAAGGCTACGTGAGTGATATGCAAGCTCGGGAGAGGCAATTGCTGATGATCGCGGACAGCATCGACACGTTCTTCATTGGATATGCATCATCTGCTGTGGTACAGAATATCGTGTAAGGACAGTTGCTCTGTGTCGACTGAATTGTATCTGATTTGAGCTCATATCCAGCGATTTCTGGGGTTACTTCGAACCTATCCGACAGAACATGCCGAAGAACTGCAGCGCAGATGTGCAGGCAGCGATAACGCATATCGATAAGGTGCTCACTGCGGGATCGAACAGTTCCATCCAATCGTTAAAGGCCACGTTCGGCTTGGAAGCCGTCAAGCACAACGATGACGCCGCAGGCGCTCGTCAGTGTGCTACTTATTTGCCTTCGGTGTTGTCTAACAGACCCGGCTCTAGTTCGCAATAATCTTTGGGACTGGCAAGCCCTGCAACCCGATTCGGGTCCAGGAACGCAGTTCACTGAGTTCTGCGACGCTTTGGAGGTCAAGAATGGGAAAAATGCACCTGCTTCCGGGTGGGGCACCAGCCATGCTATATCAGCCTGGGGATCATACTTCAAGAACACGTACCTCCCGCTTGGTATGTTCCCTTCTTTGTTCTTGGCGGACACGTTGTTCTCATTCTTCTACCTAGTTTGTGGAGATGATGATAGAGAGTACGTATATTGCATATATATGAAATATCATGCATCACTGACCTTAACCCTGCAGTGACTGCCTGGGCACGTACAACACTAGCCAGTCATACTGGACCGACACCAGTATCAACAACTCGGGACGTTCGTGGCAGTGGATTGTGTGCGTGTTTGTTCATGTGTTGCCATCACAGAAACTAATAGATTCCTCAGTTGCAACGAGGTCGGATTCTTCCAGGTAATCTCGATTTCGCTGCTACTGCAACCCATCTGACCGGTTTATGCGCGTGACGATAGGATAGCGCCCCGGTCGGCACCCCGAGCCTGGTGTCAAGACTGATACAGCCCGCGTATGATTCACGACAGTGCCAACAGATGTTCCCAAAGGCATTCAGAAAGCCACCCGTCCCGAACGTCGCCAAGACCAATGCACTTTACAAGGGGTGGAATGTCACGGAACCCAGATTGTTCTTTGCCACCGGTAGTCGTGAGTCTCGTGATGTTCTGGTGCGGGTATCACGCGGACTGACATTCATGTTGCTAGGCGACCCATGGAGGGAGGCGACGAAGTCCGCAGACAACACGGACTTCAAGAGCACAACTGCGCAGCCGATCGCCGAGAGCGATGGCTTCCATTGCTCCGATTTGTTGACTTCCGAGGGGCAGGCGGATGCTACTATAGCCGCTGTGCAACAAAAGGCCCTGGCCAGCATCAAGGTCTGGCTCACCGAGTGGCCGAGCCACAAAAAGGGTAAACGGGACGCAGTCTCTCCCAAAGCGGCCAGCAGCAAACCCATCAATGCCTGGATGAAGAGCTTCGGCTCAGCATAATACCATGACTGTTGAGTGCGCCTTGAAGCTGCTTCCTTCCGGTGTATATAATATAGACTTGCTGTCGTAACCTGGAATTAGTCTTTCGAAAAGTTGAAGCATTGTTACAAGGACGCGGTGCGGGCGCGACGGAAGTTGGTATCTAAAAGTGATTCCCGTGGGCTGAGGGCTTCTTGTCTTCCTTTCGGGGCGCAGCAGCCTGGATTCGACCGGAGCAAGGCTGTGATAGGAAATTCTTGTAACTCATATACGATCGGGCTTCAGCAGTATGCGCAGAAGGGTGGGTGGATGTGTATTAGCCGGCATGAATGAGTGCAACAGCCATCCTGGCCACGTCCCACGTCTCGCGGGATCGATATCGAAATCGCGGTCTCGCGACCAATGTTTCTAACGGGAAGTGGCCGTGACCGTAACATCTGTGACGCGGAGTGGCCTGGTCACATGATAACCCTCAACCCACGTCACAAACGCTATAATTGCAGCGATAAATCGCCTCTTACTCCTTCAACCACAACCAAGTCGCTCAGTCAATCCCACCACCTGTGAGCAGTCCGTCATCCGTGCTGTCCGTGGCTCTGAGCTCAATCTATTCTTCCCGTCGTAGCTTCCCCATCCCCCCACCATCTTCTACAGTCAGTGGCTGGTCGTATTCGGTCTACGTGCGCGTCGCTGACGCGTCGTTTCCTTCTCAGATGACCCAATCTCGTGAGGACTCTGTCTACCTTGCCAAGCTCGCCGAGCAGGCTGAGCGCTATGAGGGTTGGTCGCACTGTCAATCCATCCGATCGCATACTTCATCCTTACGCGCCACGTCACAGAGATGGTCGAGAACATGAAGCGCGTTGCTTCGTCGGACCAGGAGCTCACCGTGGAAGAGCGCAATCTCCTCTCCGTCGCGTACAAGAACGTGATTGGCGCCCGTCGGGCGTCGTGGCGCATCGTTTCTTCGATCGAGCAGAAGGAGGAGTCGAAGGGCAATGAGGCGCAGGTTCAGATGATTAAGGGCTACAGAGAAAAGATCGAGAGCGAGCTCGCCAAGATCTGCGAGGATATACTTGCCGTGCTCGACAAGCACCTCATCCCCTCCGCTGCCACCGGCGAGTCCAAGGTGTTCTACCACAAGATGTACGTCATCTTCGATCTCGGGTACATTTCACTTTTCTCACGCATATATTTAGGATGGGTGATTATCACCGTTACCTCGCCGAGTTCGCTACCGGCGACAAGCGGAAGGAGAGCGCTGACAAGTCGCTGGAGGCTTACAAGGCCGCTTCCGACGTTGCCGTCACTGAGCTGCCGCCGACACACCCCATCCGTCTCGGTCTCGCGCTGAACTTCTCGGTTTTCTACTACGAGATCCTCAACAGCCCCGACCGTGCCTGCCATCTCGCCAAGCAGGCGTTCGACGATGCGATCGCCGAGCTCGACACTCTCTCAGAGGAGAGCTACAAGGATTCGACGCTCATCATGCAGCTCCTCCGTGACAACCTCACCCTCTGGACTTCGGATATGCAGGAGTCCGACAAGCCCGTAGACAAGGAAGACAACGCTGAGCCCGCGGACGAGTCTTAAATGGCCGTCGTCTTTCTGCTCGCTTACCTTACGCAATCACCTGGCTCGCCAGTGTGTAGTCAATCGGGTTCTGCTGTCGTTCTTTTCGCATTTTTATCAAGCATTGTGGCGCCCCCCTCTCCATCTGCGTCATCCCTTCACTGTGCAATATGCATCCATGATTGAACTTGTCTTATTCGTACTTTGTGCACATCTTGAGCGGTGTTCATCGCAGTGAATACAGGCAAACGACAATTCTAGCGTGATGCACGTGTGGTGAGGACTGGGCACTACCTGAAATATGAAACCCCACCCCAGTATCGAGGACCGATACGTATGGTTACTAGTGCGCCAATGGCGACACCGGTGGCGTCGAAGATGGTGTATGTATGCCGCGGACCCCACACGAAAGCAACCAAGGACACAAATATAAGAGTGATGCGTAACGATATTGGCTCCCTTCTTTTGGGGTATGTTGTTAAGTAATGCCATGACGTTGAAAACGAGGTCGGACTCACGACTGCCGGGGGAGTAGTATACCACTCGTCCAGCTAGCAAAATCCACGAGTACGAGGAAAGGTGCGACGAGCAGTGGATTATGATCTCCGTCAAAGGGTGTTGTCCAACCGGCTGTCAACAGCGTGCGGACCCACACCGCGAGCACGGGTGCCGTGAGCGGCAGCAGCCACGTAAGGAACAGCAGAATATGCATATCCATGTTGTGGCGATCGGCTCCGGACCATGGACTACGATCGTTCGCACAGGCTTCGGGTTTGTTGTCTTCCTGGGGAGATCCCTCGGAAGTCGTGCGGGAGGACTGTGCAATCGCTACGGCGTTGCGTCGGGATGTTGCAGAGGTATAAAGATGAATGCACCAAGCACCGAGGAAGGCGACTTGCCACGGGACCAGCAGAAATATGAGCAGCAGTATGAGCAGCATAGAGAAGACAGTTCTGCGATGGACCGTCGTGTCTGCCTGTCGCCTGGGACGTGATAAATACGTGTCTGCGGGCAGACGTGCTATTCCTTGACTTGCCTTCCTAGCCACTTGCTAAGGAGCCGCAAGGGAAGCATAAGGATTATGAGCAACGCGTAGCTGAGGCATACCAAGCCGCTTGCTGTCGCGAGAAGTAGTGGCGCGATGGGGGTGAAAAATATCTCACCGCCAGTGCCAATGTATAGGCTCGCCGGGAGAGGAAGATGTGCCAGGAGTAGCGAAGCGAGGAGCAACGCGGGAAGCGGCCGTTGAGCGAAGGAGGACAATGACGCAGCGAGCGAAGGCACCCGAACTAGAGATGGTTCATCAGACCACATCGACGCGACGTTGAGAAAGCAGTCCGTCACTCACGACCGGCCTCTGCAGCACCCAGCGCCTGAAACAGGAGTATCGAGGCCACACCGACGGACCAGCACACCAGCGCAGGCCAATGCCGCGATCCCCACCTCCCCAGCGTACTCCACTGATCTATCTTGATTTCCACGGCAGCGACGCCGCAATCGGACTTCGAAACTGAGTGGATCGTTAGTTCAATGCCGCGAGCGCCGGCTGACGACGCGATGTACGGTCCAGAAATGTGTGTGTGCAGTAGAACTGGGTGTTGTAGCGTAAGCGGCGAGAGTGGGTGATAGTGTGTCTCCACATTGGCGCCTCCGGACGTATGCGTAAGGAGCGGCGATAAGAAACTTTGTGAGCATTTCTCCCGTGTAAAAGTGGGTTGCATGATAGGGGTGAGGCGATACACGAGGAGAACGTTCGCCAGGAGGTTCGGCAGATGAATACGCGTGCGAAGGGCGGTAGGATCGACATTTACCAACGTCTTGCCGATAGCTAGATCTAACGCGAGTGGTTAGCGTCGCGAACCGGGTTTCCCTAAACGGCGGCACTGACCGAAAGTTCCGGCGTCGTTCAACAGGGCGTCGCCGGGTTCAAACCCGGCAGCCACCCACCCTCGCCCGTCCGCTCCTTGCACTCTAAGCGCCACCCATCCATTCGGAGCGGCAGTGACATCTGCTTCAAAGTATACGACGCCCTCACTCTCATCTGAACCCTCTCCAGGCACAGGGAATTTCTTCCCTGGAACTGGACTCGGCAGCAGCCGATGCTGGAATGGCGCGATACGTTCGCATTCCTTGCCATCTTCCGGTACGGAGGAAGAGCCGGCACAGTAGTAGACCGTCACCTGCAGCGCATTCGCGTTCTGCGGAGCGACTGGTGGGATGGCGCCCGAAACATACATGACGAGATTCATCCTCCGGTTGTTGTTTTCGTCAGCTCTGGGGATTGTGATAAGCCAAATCCGCTCTTTGAACCCGTTAGGGCCCACGAGCACAAGAGGCATGCTCGCAGGGAGCACCTCCGAACGCGAGAGATCGAGCGTAAGCGAGGCCGGAATGTCGTCGGTGACGGCTGATGGCACACGACCGTCATCGAGCCATGCATCGAGAGCCGCTGCAGGAACTGGCGCATGAGCTAGCTCGAGGGCGGCGCGCGCGACGCGCCAGCGGACCTGATGGCACCATACCATCTCCCGGTGACCGACGCCTGTCCACGCGCCCGCAAGTCCGGATGCAAATACCGTTTTGCGATACGGTGTTGTGAGTGAAGAGCGTGAAGATGGGAGAATACATGATTCGGACGGGATCATCATGTCCGTAGCGCCGCCGCAGAGGCTCAGGATGGGCGTGCTCGATTCTGAAAGGGGACAGAGGAAACTGAGCACGGATGAAGATGCAGGTAAGAAGAGTACTGCGTACCTGCTAGAATCTTTGCATTAGTGCGGTATATAGAATCAATGCGACGGTCAAACCGAGCGGGGGGGAGGGTGTGGGGTGTGGACATAGTGATCACCGCAGAAATGTTTGCGGCGGCGATCGGGGAGTCTGCGGAGTTCAGACATTGAGTATTCCGTGCGTCAAGTATCGAGGCATACTGGGCTGCACCTAGGAGAGATACGGCGGCGATGCCGCCCATGGAGTGCCCGAGGATCGTTAGGTGGGTGTTGGGCGGGTAGAGCGACAGGATGTAGCGCACGGCATCCGCGGCGTAGGATGTCTGTGACTCGAGCGTTGTTCCATGGAATGCGGACAAGTCTTCGTTGTATTCGACTGTATAGCAGGACATGTGAGCGCGATGTATGTGGAATCGGCGGTCAGATGGAGGTCACCAGCGAAGAAGTCGAGGTCTCTAACATTGCGCGCGGCGAACTCAGGCGCAACAATGTAGGGTGAGGAGAAGTATTGTCGGGTCGCCGATGACGCTATGGATCTGACTTGGTGCGACGAGCCAGCGTTTCCTGGTATGAAGAGCACGGGTGATCCGTGTAGCTTTACAGTGATCTTCCTCAGTCCCGGTAAGGATCACGACCGCACAGTACGAACCTCATCTTCCCAACCTACTTCTCTGTAGAGCCAGAGCGAGTATCGTCTGGCGAGCGTCGGCCGCGTCCAGCGGTGGTCAAAGCCGGTCTGGAGCAGGTAGGACGGGGACATCCATGACATGCGGCATCCTTGCGCGGAGAGCGAGAGCGGGGTTGTTGAAGCCGACAGGTAGACCACCAGAATGAAGAGCAGAGAGCAGAGTCCGAGCAGCAGCGGCCTCGGGTAGATCATGTAAGGAGTCATTGTACTTGTGAGCACCGTCGGCTCGGGCAACGGCACTGACGCGATCATGTGATACGCGTAAATCGGAACAGAATGTAAGATGTAAGATCTAATACTCCTCCGTCTTGATCCTCTTCCTCGATCGGGGTCGTGTTTCCGCTCCCTCCTCCTTCAGAATGTCTACTACGCCATCCTCCACTTTCACTTTGGCGTCCTGCCCACCCTCCTCCTCCTCCGGTTCCCATCCCCTCTCCCTGATCCACCTTCGCAAAACACATTCGACTTTGCCCCCTCCACTCGGCCCCGCTTTGCACGCTGGACACACCCTACCATGCTTCACGAAACCACAGTGTAGCCCATATTTGAGCTCTCCCGGGATACGCGCGTCCAGGTGGGCTTGGGCCAACACTCGATCGCTCTTCGCAGGCACCCAGCCCAGCATCTTAGACAGGCGGAACACGTGCGTGTCGACTGCGAATGAAGGACGTTCGAGGCAGAAGAGGAGGACGCATGACGCGGTCTTAGGGCCGACGCCGTCGTACGAAACTAGCTCGTGCATGATCTCGTCATCCGAGAGTGCCTTTCCCGCCGAGGCAGGCAGGGTATCTCCGTCCTCTTGCTTGACTGATTTTGACGGTCTGGAGGCCAGATGTTGTAGAGAGTAATCTCCATGCCGCGCTTTGATTTCTTTTAGCAGATTTTGAATGACGCCGGCCTTCTTGTTCGCGAGTCCGCCGTGCCGGATAGCATCCACGACGCGCTCGCGTGGGGCGTCGGCAATGGCGGCAAAATTGTTACGCCCAAAAGCAGCATCAAGGGAACGTTTGGCGCCGGTGGAGTTCTTGGAGGATGTGTTCTGGGAGAGGATCGTGCCTGCGACCCCCAGAGTGAGCATCGTGAAGGGTAGCGTGTACGTGGCGAGACATGCCTATAAGACTTTCGATTACGTTCGGTACGCCGCCGCAAGTCCCGGCGGCGTTGTTCTTCTCGTCTGCTTTCCTCTTCTTCGTGGCCAGCTCGGGGAACTGGCTCAAGAGCAGGCGGTGTACTTCGTGCGCTTCGATTGGCGTAGGCCGCGCAAAGTCGGGAAAGGGCGAGGTAGAGGCATACGTCGCTAGCAGTTGCAGTTTCTTTGATTTGTGTGGGCTCTCGGCAGAGGAGGAAGTGGCTTCGAGTTTGACCTTGGACGAGGATGGGCGGCGCGAACTCGGCGGGGGCGGGGTGAGAGGGGACAGTGAGCGGCGAAGACGATCTGGAGAGGGTGTGCGGGTGCGCTTGAGTGCGGCTGGCATCGCGGAGGGTGCGTGGGCCTCACCGTCGGCGTCGTCCAGAGATTGCTGCGTTATGAATGAACTGAGGAGGGGTCAGAGTCGATGCCCTGAAGGGATCGGGCCAGCAAGCCCTAGGCTGGGGTTACAGTCCCTTTCGATGCTTATGACGTTGTCCGCGCTTTCTTCCCCGTCCCCTGGCTGTCCTCGACGGCGTCGAAAATCCAAATAATCCATCCCAGACAATTCCTGAGGACGCGTTCGAGACGATCCGCAGTCTATCCGTAGGAAAACCGAGGAGATCGCCCGACGACAACACCCCTGGCTCTGGGCGGCTCATCATACACCCCACACCGGGGCACACCGTCTCTACTCTCTCTGACCGCGCCTTCGTCGTCGTCACCCACGACGAGAACGACGCATCAGACGACATTCAGACATCCTTCTTGCCTTGCCGATCATGTCCTCTCCCCCCCAGAACGGTGACCTGCCTCAGTCCACGTCGCCGGTGCCCATCCCGTCCCGCTCGGACTCGCCCATCCGCCGCCGGACAGACTCACCCGTCCGCCTCCGCACCGAGTCGCCCATCCATCGCCGCCGTAGTACGAGTACCGTGCACAATGACACCGCCATCGACCTCTCCGCGTCCTCTTCAACATCCCGCCCCCGTCTCTCGCCCACCCTCACTCGCTCTTTCAATCCCAACGATCCCGATGCTCGCGAACGTCAGCGCACGCTTGATGTCGACATGGCCATGCATATGGCCCGTGCTCGCTCTCAAACCGTCTCGTCTCCTACTACCGCCCCCGCCGCCACCGGCGTAGGCCCCGTCGTTTCACCTTTTCACCATGTGCAGCCCGACCCGTCCCCGATGCAAATGCCTCTACCGCTGCATCCGCCCAGCCGCGAGCTGCCATCCTTCACCGCCGCGCACATGGACATCCCTGGTTTCTCCGAACAGGAGGAACGCGAGTTCGATGCCGCGCGCCAAGGTGGCGCTCTGAGCGCTGCCCCCTCCGACATTGATGGCCTTCACCTCGAAGACCCGCATACCATGCCCCCTTCCGCCGTCCCAATGCAGATGCCTGAGAGCGAGCCCTTCCTGCCCATGTACCAGCAGCATGTGTCGTACGCCACCCAACAGCCCTCGCGCTCCGAGTTTGATTTCAGTCATATGGAGGATTACGCGCGTCAGGAACGAGATAGGCTCGGGCTCAATACGCCAGTCTCGCCTCCTGGCATACGCTGGAGCGATTTCACTCAAACCGGGCGACGCCCGCCGTCCAAGCCCGTCGCACCGACCGAGGTGCCTCCCATCGCGGACGGGCCTGCAGTTCCAGTGCCGGCAGAGGGCAGCGAGAATGAAGCGGGTCCCAGCAATCCCGGGCCTCGGCTTCGCCAGCGCAAGTTCTCGCAGTCCAAGCCCGTCAGCAGACGCACGGGCGCTGGCAAGAAGATGGCCATGTTCGAGAACCAGGGCTCGAGCGGCATGCTTGGCGGAGCGCGCAACTCTTTTGGGCAGGTCACCAGTGCGATGGCGAGCTTCGAGAACCTGCCTGGCGTAGGTGGGTTCGCTGCCTCATCCCCCATGGGCTTTCCTGGTTCGGGGGTCGGCTCGGGTGTGGGCATGGGCGGCGGAACCGGTCACGACCGGCCGTATCGGTTCTCGTTCTATTCGAACACGATGAGCGGGACGATCCACTCGCGCAGTCTCGCAGAGCTGCCCGCGGAGGGACAAACCTTCGAGGAGCTGTTCACCGGCGTAGCCAATGTTTCGCCTCCGTCCGTCGTAGCGGACGACAAGAGCGTGCAGCCTAGCAGCGTGCCCGACAGCATCGCCTCGCGTGTACTGTCGCAGGGAGGTGCAGCTACGCACAGCAGGGCAGGAAGTGGCACGCCCAACTTTGCAGGTCGCTCAGCCGCGCCGACTCCCGTGCCGGGCTATTCGCGCGCGAACGGGAGCAGCTCCAAGACGGCGGTGCTAGATGTGGGCGAGACAAACACCTGGTGGCTCGACGTCACGGCACCGACCGAGGAAGAGATGAAGATGCTGAGTCAGGTGTTCTCGATTCATCCTCTCACGACTGAGGATATCATGATGGAGGAGACCCGAGAGAAAATCGAGCTTTTCCGGAATTACTACCTAGTGAGACACGGGCATATGCGTGTGCTGAACGGCTGACATAACATACTCGCCTCCAGGTCTGTTTCCGCTCATTCGATCAAGATCCGTACAGCGCTACGTATCTTGATCCATTAAACATGTATATCATTGTTTTCCGCGAAGGCATCCTCTCGGTACGTGGCTTAGCCCCAGTTCCGGTTGTCATTCACTGAACGAATTCTCCCCTTCAGTTTCATTCTCGTCCAACGCCACATCCCCAGAATGTTCGGCGGCGGATAAAGCAGTTGAAGGACTACATCAGCGTCACCTCCGATTGGATTTCTTATGCCCTCATCGACGATATCACGGATGCGTTTGGGCCGCTCATCCAAAGCATCGAGTACGAGGTTGATAGCATTGATGAACTCGTGCTCATCCTCAGAGATGCCGAACAGACTGATATGTTAAAGAGGTCAGTGGGCCGGGGGGTTTCAATCACTGTCACGACTGCTCATCCCCGCCTTCGCAAGGATGGGCACTACCCGGAAAAAGGTCATGGGTCTTTTGCGCCTCATGGGCAACAAGGCCGACGTGGTGAAGGGTCTCGCCAAGCGCTGCAACGAGAACTGGCGGGTTGCGCCAACATCCGATATCGTATGTTTCCCTCCAGAAATGTGACATTCTGCTGTTATTGAGACCGTCCTCTCTTCAGGGACTCTACCTCTCCGACATCCAAGATCATTTGATTACTATGACGCAAAATTTGAATCACTACGAGAAGATACTGTCACGCTCACACTCGAACTACCTCGCGCAGATCTCGATCGAGATGACTGATGCGAACAACCAGATCAACGACGTCCTGTCCAAGATGACCGCACTGGGTACCGTGCTCATTCCCATGAATCTCGTGACCGGTCTTTGGGGCATGAACGTTCGCGTACCTGGTCAGGACGCTCCTGTAAGTCAACACAGCTCGTCACTTCGGTTCCTAGCTTACCTTCAATTTCAGGGGTACACTTGGTTCGCATCGATATTAGCCGGTCTATGCGTGTTCGCGGCGCTTGGCGGATACATCACCTTCCGTTTGATGCGGCGATAGGACAGTTCAACTCACGCCGCACTCACTGGCGGCGCGACCTTAGAGTGTCCTTCCAGTTATTCGGAATGATCCATCTTGGCAATTGTAGATGCAAATATCATGATGATTATCCTTCATTCTCAGGGTAAATATTACATGGCAACTCGTATGCATGCGAGAACACTACAGCAAGATACACACATAAACCAGAAGGCATGAAGGTAGAAAGCATCTAACAACAATCAACGTTGCGACGGAGAGCGAGGACGGTCCGGATAACCTCCACTAAGCTTTCGGAGTGGTTGGACCGGAGAATGCCGGAGGTCAACAGCTCTCATAGGAGGTGATTGGCCGTGTCTGAGAGAAAGTTTGAGGTGTCAATGGCAACCGGTCCTCAAGGAAAAGCGTGCGACATACCCTCGTAAAGGTTCGAGAAGGAGGGAACCCTCTCGTAAAGCGAGTCGTGTCGAAATTGGCGGCGGCAAGTCCCGCCTATCGTTGCTAACTGGATCATATCGTAGGGGAGGTGAGGGCGGGCGCCTGGGTGGCGGGCTCACACGCGCATTATTAGGGGAAAGTAGCAAAGCAAGCGAGGGTGAGCGGTCAGATAAGGGTGGCACCGATGGAGGAGTGCGTCGCCTGCTCGGCGAGTGATGCGCGGATGCGCTGCCGTTCGCCACCGGCGGCAGCTCCACCCCGCTGTCGTCCGGATACTTACGCTTCCGCGACGTTGAAGGTGACGATGGCCGCGGCGGTGTGCCGGGGCCGAAGTATCGCGGCAGCGGTGGCGTCTGTGGCCGGGTCGGCCAGGGCGGCGTCTGCGGCCCAGTTAACCGAGCTCGTGGTTGCAGATCGCACGGGCGTGGGGGCGTCATTGGACCAGTAGGACGCGGCGGAGTCGCTGGTCCACTTGGGCAAGGCGGCGTTTGCGGTCTAGATGCGGATGAGTAGAAGCGCGGCGGTGTCTGCGGGCCTGTGGGTCGACTAAGATGGGGGCGAGGAGAAGGGGTAGGTCCACCGTTGCTGAGAGACCCAGTCTGCCACGGCGGAGGAGGAGGGATCTGATGTCCAGGCACAGAACTCGACCTCGTCGACTCATAGGTACTGGTGGAGGTAGAAGATGGAGATGGTGCAGCAGCTGGGCGGTGGCCAATGTTGGGAGGATGCCCGTTGGGATGAGCCCCGTTCCGATTTCCGCATCCAACCAGCGTGTTCTCCGGATTTCCGGGAGTAAAGCGAACCAGCTCCACGAACAGCGTCTTCGTGTAGGGAGGCGGCATCTTTCTGTAGATGATTTCTTTCGCGAAATTATCCATCATCGCAGGAACGTCCACGTATAGGTCGGGATCGTTCGGTTCTGCAGGTAAAACCCGATTTTAGATTCCATATATAGCTTATAGGAAAGAATACTGACGCTCACCGTTATCCTTCACTCGCACTTCTGCGTATGGATACGGCCTGTTCTTGCGCAAACAGCAAAGCGGGCACATGAAGTTCTGCTTCTGTTGGTCTTTGTTCTCGTATAGGGGGAAGAAAACGCAGCCTGCATGATAGAGCCTGTTGCAGTTTTCGCAGGTCACCGTCGGGTATGAAACGAGATATGACGTCCGACCACGACAGATGCAGCGCGTATGATCAACCCAATTTTTATCAATATCCTGACCGAACGTGAATTTGGGCCGTCTACGTTTCTTCGTGCGCGCTGGCGCCGGTTGTCCCGCCAGAATGCGGTGCAAACCTGCAAGATCGAGCCCGAATGAAACTTCCGGGCTGGGCGAGACGGCGAACTGGATCTTGTACAGCTTTCGCATGAAGTGGCGGACTTGCGGGATATACTCGGGACGCTGGTTCCCGGGGCTGGATGAAAATGACAGGAACTGACCGATGACGGTCGATAGCCGGTCTACCCGGTGCACTATAATTTCTAGTTGTTTCCAGTCCTCCGAGTAGTTGCGCGTGATGTCTGGGGCAGAAAGCAAAATGGTTGGCAGGTAGCAGAAATGCCAGCTACGGTCTTTGTGTATGGTCCCATTCCAGTGATGATGATCACAGAATGGACAGGAGCCACCATTGGCAGCGCACACGCCGTGAAACCTGGCGTAGCAATGGTCACATTGAACCGCATCGGACACCGTCCCAGCAGGCGGAGGGCGGACTGCTTGCGTGCAGATGCAAGTGAAGTATTCGTCATTGGGTGGCAGATCGTCTTCTGGGCGTGTGGATTCTATGACGTCTTCAAGAATCTGCTTCCCATGCGCCTCGTGATGCTGAGCGCAGTACCATGGAAGGCTTTCCACCCAGCGATAATGCAGCTTGAGCTGCACGTCCAACTTCTCAAAGTTGGGCATATAGAACATTGTGAGGTGATCTCTGCCGTAGGCTTTCCATTTGTCGAACATCTCAAAAAGATCGCCCTCCTCTTCGCGGTGGCGATAGCGATGCTCGTGTACAGCTTCGCACCGAGCTTCCAAGTCCTGGGCGAATTCCGTGGTTCGCTTGAGATCTTGGACCGCTAAGATGTTGAACTCGTTTTCTGCCAGTGTCACTAGCTCCATCGCCTCCTCCACACGAGGTTTCGCAGACCCTGAGTCAGGAACCAGCCAGGCTTTCGCTTTGGCTTGGTACTCCTTGGCTCTAACGATCACCAGCTGCAAATCACCCATGACTTCTGGATCTACCGGCAGGCTCGGATCCACCGCGGCCAACTCCTCCATCTGCTCGATCGTCTTGTGCGGATCAGCTAGGAGTTCACGGACCTTCTCCTCGAAAGACGACGCCGCGTGCCTTCGTGCGTGTAGCATCATCACGTACTTGTTGTCGGGTGGAAGGCCGCATGTGCGGATACGACCGAGAAGCTGCTGAACCTCCCCAGAGGTCAAAGGTTCGTCGTTCGCAAGCCGTACGGAAAGGTCCTGCACGAGCTGCTCACTGGCGACTATCTTGTCCAGCTCAGCAAGCTCCTCCACCTGCACGTTGAGTGTAGAACAGTCTAGGATGAGTCGTTCACAATCTTGTATGTAACCTGGCCGTTCGTGTGCAGCAGGAGCTAGGAGAGCCTGTGCTTGCGCCTTGGCATCTGTCGCTTGCTTTTCGAGGGCCTGCAGGGACGCAATTTCTGGGGCGTCGAAACCCAGGTCTTCGACCTCATCCAGCACCTTGCGCAAGTCGTCCAAAGTGCGTTCTTTCGCCTCGCCGTCCTCGATTCCGTTGGCAGCGCGGGACCGGCGCGATCGTTTGCGCGTCTGTTTACGTACAAGGAACGCATTGGCAGATTCCACCCATTCGTTAGCGCGCATAACGCACTTCCTCAGGGCTGATACCTCCGGCAGCGGATAATTGATACGGTCGGCCTCGGCGAGCAGAGCGCGCAGACTGCGGAGTTGGGGGCGAGCGCTGTCCATCAATAGCTTGTGGAGCTTGCTGCGCCATTGCTTGGGGATGGCGGCGCGCTCTTCCACTTTGGCCAGCGTCTCCCGCAAGGTTGCGTCCGTGAATCGCTTTCGGAGTATTCGGCGGTTAGCTGGGCAAGCGCACAGTTGCTGCCGATGCTCGATGCAGGAGACGAGTTTAGTGCACTGGCACGTGATCTGGGACAAGTAGCAAAACGTTTTGCAGGTTGTGCATTGATACTGGTCCTCGGGTTTGTCCTCTTCCTCGAGCACCTCCCCGAGCCCGTCGGCCCGTGCTTGTTCGCGCATGCGCATCTCGCGGTTTGTCATTTCGCGGAGACTGTCCTGGAGCCTATGACCGCCAATGTGAATGCGCGCCATGCCCACTTCCTAATGAGACATACCATAATGCGGTCTTGATGGTTTGAGAGTGCTGAGTGATCGTGATCAAGAGCTCGTCGTGCGAAAAGACCGGAGGCTTCTTGTGCTCGCGATACCGCTGCACGCAATCCAAACCGAACGGCAACCAGTGTGGTAGAGCGAAGTTGACAGCTTCGTTGAAGTTGAACTACAGGGGTTATTAGTGACATCGACTTAAGAGCGGGGTATTCTGAACGCACCCCGTGATTGAAACCTGCATGGTAAGCCTTGGGGAAAGTGATCACGAATTCACCAGGCCGTTGGTTACACGCGTACACCGGGACTCCGGCGTCCCTAAGCGTCTGAGGATTCATCAACGTCACTAGTTGAAATAGCAGGTCTGGTTGCGCCTCGAACAATTCGGGCGCCTCTTTCTTGATGGCCGCCTCGAAGAGCTCTGCATCCTTCCCGGGTATACCGTACCAGGTCTTGGTCTCGCCCCAGTGCACTAGCGGAAATTCAGCTTCAACAAACAACATTCAGCCAGAATTCTCACTATAATTGATACTATATGTGTAGTGATCCTACGCGCGATGATGAGATCATCATTAACGCACAGGCGGGGAGGTATACTCACCTCGTTATGCCAGCAGAACGTGGAGAAAACCATGCCGACGTATGTCCACGGAACCGTCATGCCGGATATGTCAGACTTGATATAGCGTAGCAGTGAATCGGCGAGAATCGGGATATTGCTCAGATTCCACGGATCTTTCGCGTACGGATCGAGTGGATGCGTCTCCAGTGTTGGCATCCCACTGTCGAGTCGATTAACTACCATCGCCGCACGTTACCTTCATAGTGCAAGAGCTCACCTGCCGTGTGTCGTCGAGTGTACATCCGCGCCGTACTCAATCTCCACCGTGTCGCGCGGCGATTGAACCAGCCGCCAAAACTCCCTCTCGACGTCGTCCTCGCTCACGTTCACACCCTCGTATCGATTCACCGTCGGATCGTCGTCGACATCCATAGCCTCCGCTGATGCTGGCGGCGGGTGACGTGTCCACCACATCTGGCGAAAGATCCGATCGCGCTTCTGGAAGCTGGATAGGCAGTGTTCCTCGCCCTCGTCAAAGCCATAGTCGCCGCCGGTGCCGAAAAGGCAGGTGTGGCAGAACCATTGGCCCCGCGGGATGCTGGCCAGTGGCGGGTCGAGACAGAAAATATGGAAGCCTGCAGGAGTCTTCGTAAAATGCAACAAAAAGCCCTGTGATGAGTACGTACCACAATCGCAACCGTCGCATAGCAGCATTTCCTCGCCCCGATCCTTTTTCTGGCATATCTCGCAGCTCTGCTACAATGATGCTGTGAGTATTGAGTCCGGTGTGGCTACTGGGATCGTACCTCGTTGGATTTAAGTTCTTTACGCTTCCTTTCTGGCTCTTCAGTGGCTGCCGGAGTGACAGCTGGGGGTGCAGAGCTTGGTCCAGCTGCACAATCCTTATTAGCTACGTGCACAGATGAGTAAACGAAGCTCGCTAACGGGTCTTTGCACCCCGAGATACGGAGCGGCCAGCCCGCCTGGTCTTGGAGTCGCTGCGGCTCAGGATATCCTTGTGATCGCCATCGTCCGGAGGCTCTGACAACGGACTTGAGCTCGACGTGAGTGGGCTCGAAGGCGGGCTGCTGTCGGCACTGGCAGCACGCAAGGTCGGTAGCTCGTCCTTATCGGCAGGGGTAGCGCGCGACGGAGGCTTGAGGGTGATCTTATTCGGGGAGAGAATTTCGGAGTTGCGGACATGGTGCTGGAAGTGTTCGTAGGGGAGGATGACGCGTGTGTACGAATTCTTGAGTTGGGCGGAGAGGCCGGGTATGCCGGTGTAGCCCAGCGCGCGGCCGATCTCGGCCCACAGCTTGTGGCGCGTGACCTCCTCATATCCGCCTCGGTCATGAACCTCTCGACGGAGACGCCATAGATCGAGCGCTTTATGGTTGATAGTCGGGACGGATACGCGGGGGTTGCCTTGCTGCTTATGGTAGCGGTAGAGCTGCTCGAGGAAATTTAGTTTGGCGCGTGAACTGGCCTCGATCGAATTCAGTGTCATCACGCGAGTCTTAAATCGGAAGATCTGCCAGAAAATGGAGTTGAGAAAACACAACATAGGGGAGCGTGGCGCAAGAACGACAGACCTCGGTATCGGTGACGAACGGCATCTTCCACCCTGACGGAGGCACAATCTTGCACAGCCCGTATTTCATTCCCTCCTCTGATATTGACTGCACGTAGGCCATGGGTTCCTTGAATTCCTCCATGGTGGGGTAGAACGTGGGGCACTCTTCGAGCCCGAACGGCCTGGGTGCCTTCCGGGTTGGCGGATATCGCGGACTGGCCGTCTTGACCGTCGACATGTCCATGGGGGGTGATACCGTGGCTGCTTCTGGTTTCTGCGAAGAGTTGGAAGGGGTGGGATAAGGAGAAGAGTCGTTGCTGTCCGAGTCGGCTTGGGAGCGCATTGCGGCGAGTGCGTCCGTCTTGGACTGCCTCGGGGCCCTGCGCATCGCGGTTGGTGTAGTCTGAGCGGCCTGTGGATGGGCCCGGGGGTCGCTGGGTGGGACGATGGGGACGGAGCCTTCGACAGGGATGGAGAGGCAGGAGAAGGTGGTCGGCGTCATGGTCGGCGTCGGGGGGCGATCGTGGGGGAGGGCGCGCGAGACGGGCTTGGTGGACGTCCTGGGGGATTTTCCTCTTGTCGAGGCGGCGCCGCGGGGGGTGGCGGGCCCTGGGCTTGCGTCCATCCTGGTCCGGTCCAAGAAGATGTGAGAACGCGCGAGGCTGAGCGCAGTGCTTCCTCGCTGCGTTATACTCCGACCACTCCGCGGCACTGCCCGCCTCTGCTCTTGTGCCACCTCCGCTGCTCGTGAGCTGCTGCAACGTGTCGAGCAGCTAGTAGGACGGCGTAGGTGCGCCACTCGTATTTTTATGTGGAACCACAGTATGCTCCAGGCGCCCCGTATTCACGTTGTCTCTCGCCGGACTTTCAACTCGCCAAGCTTCCTCAGCACTGCCAAAGATGGCAACTCCGCCAGGCTGCAACCTGCTTCCGCCGGCGCCTGCGATTAGCGGTTCCCCCACCGCTGCCCACTCGTCCACCTATCGAGAGGCGACCCGCCGCGCAAAGCGCATGAGCAGCGGTTCAAAAGCCCCATCGCGATCGTGATGCACCATAGCGCCATGCAGATAGGCATAGGCATCGATGTCATGAGAATCTCCATTCGGCACACATGGCCTCACGAATATTATTCCAATACAAATGCAACAGGCAAGTACTATTAGACGCAGTGCGATCAACGACGAGAGCGCGCTCGAAGTTGTATTGTTACGGTCTTAATAGCCATGGATGGGGAACAAGACACACGAATCCGTAAATGGCTTGCTAAATAAATGTAGGCGAGTAAGTATGCCAATTGGAATGCTGATCGCAGTGAGCGCGACGGTGTAGCGACGTACCGTGTATGTATGGGTATGCTATGACGGGAAGGGGGGCCATGCTGCGCCTGAACTGATATGAACAAAAAATCTCACCGCTGCAAAACCATGTTCTCGTATTGGTGGACATACGACAAGACATTCTGGTGAGGAAAAGCAAAGCCAGCTACCCCCAGCGGGACTCGAACCCGCAACCTCCAGATAAACCCCCATGAGGTTAGAAGTCTGACGTCATAACCATTAGACAATGGGGGCCTCTCGGAAGATTTCGCGTTTTACATTTATAGAGCTTTTGGGAGGCCCTGACTTCCCTCGGCTTTGTCGGGTTGTCTCCGCCCCCGCCGTGCACAGTATGCCCTCGTCACCATCTACGTACGGATGTCACGCGTAATTGAGGGTGAGGTTCCCTACATATCTCCGGCGTGTTCAAGCCCCCGAAAACCTGTTATCAAGTCGTTGGCAGGCCTCTCTCGGGGCTCCACTGATGTTTACTCGGCGGAACCGGCATGCCGCTCCACTACATCCTGTCCTTGTCCGACTTAGCTTCGGAGCATGGTGCATGACATCTCGTCTTCTACAACCAGGTTGGCAAGGGGAAGACCACTCGCATGCCTGCATAACGGGGTGAAGAAGAGTTCTGGAGGCTCATCTGCTTCTTCTAAACGAGCTGGACAACCTGCTGGGGCTCCTCGGAACTTAGGACAACTACGTCGCTGTACACGCCGCCACGGGTGACTTGCCCTTCAGGAGCAATCCCTCGGCTATCTACGTTACTAGTTACCATCGAGAGTGGAGCACCATCAACTGGATCGGCGACATTTCCGTGCCAACTCTCGTGGTAAATGGCCGGTTTGACGGTATTAGCGACGAGGTCATGCAGCCCACGTCGATGATATTCCCAGAGTTTAATGGGCTAGATTCCAACTTGGGCCATATGACGTGCTGGGAAGAGCGGCGGGAGTTCGTGGTAGGTAGGCGGTCCCGGCAGCGGCAGTGCTGCGCTGGCACGTAACTTATATATACGCCACTCGTGTCGTGCAGGCGACAACGTGCCAGGCATCAACGGTTTTCGTGAGCTGAAGCTGCCGACCCATGGAAGCCGTCGCGTTCTTTCAGATACTCTCGTGACCAGATATCGCGCTAGAGATCCGTTATGAATGTAGCTAAGGCCCATAGGAGAGACGCGGGAAATATACAACAAAGGGATATGGCTACTGATACACTTGCTGGTAGAAATCTCGCTCCACAAGCTCACCATTCCATCTTGCCTGCCTTCTTCTGCACGCTCTTATTGATGGGAATTTTGCCCTTGTATCCGAAACCGTCCAACCACGGCCACACCTCGCTCCGTCGCTCCTCGAACTGCTCGATCGCGTCCGCCTTTTGCAAGGTGAGGGCAATGTCGTCCAACCCATTCAACAGGCAATGCCGCCGGAACGGGTCGACCGTGAACATTATCGCGGGCTGGCCGTTCGGACGCCGGATCTCCTGCTTCTCGAGATCAACCTCGAGCTCGTGCCCGGCCTCAGCGTCCTTCGCAAGGGCCATGCAGTCCTCTTGTGAAAGCGCAACGGGGAGCATCCCATTCTGCATTGTATTGTTCTTGAAGATATCCGCGAACGATGGCGCGATTATGCACCGTATGCCGAAATCGTTCAAACTCCAGGGTGCGTGCTCTCGAGAACTGCCGCACCCGAAGTTCTTGCCTGTGCATATGAGGATCTTCGCATGATCGTACGGTGCGCGGTTGAGGACGAAGTCAGTCTCTTCGCCCGTGTGCGGGTTCTTCCGGAGCGTGTAAAATAGCGCATTGGCTAAACCCGTGCGCTTAAGCGTCTTCAAGAACTGCTTGGGGATGATCATGTCCGTGTCGACGTTCTCAATGTGAAGCGGAGCCGCGATGCCTTTCAGGATCGTAAACTTCTCCACGCTCGACGGCGACTCCTTTGGCGGAAGATCTTTGGTGCCGGGCAAGTCGGCAACGGGGCGGATAGGGTCAGGCGAAGGCTGGATGGGATCGTCGAGGAACTCGAACACACTAGCCACCTTGAGCTTAGGGCCGAAGGAACCCTCCTTCGCATCCACGCCCAAGAACTTCCGCACGTCCGTGAGTTTGCCCGTCATTGCAGCTGCCGCCGCCATTGCAGGGCTGAGGAGGTGCGTTCGCCCGCCGGAACCTTGGCGTCCCTCAAAATTGCGATTGCTCGTGGAGGCGCACCGCTCGCCGGGCGCGAGCTGGTCGGGATTCATGCCGAGGCACATGGAGCAGCCGGCTTCACGCCAGTCAAACCCGGCGCGCTTGAAGACAGCGTCAAGGCCTTCCGCCTCGGCATGCTGCTTGATGACACCGGAACCGGGGACGATCATCGCGTAAACGTGCGGGGCAACCTTGGCGTCGGGTCCTGCAGCCAGGACGATGTTCGCCGCAGAGCGAAGATCCTCGATACGACTGTTGGTGCACGAGCCGATGAAGACCTTGTCGATCTTCACATCCTCCATCGGGGTGCCAGCAGTGAGACCCATATACTTCAGCGAGCGTTCCGCAGAAGCTCGCTTGACGGGGTCCGACATGGTTGATGGGTCGGGTACGGAGCCCGTGATGGGTACAACGTCTTGTGGCGACGTGCCCCAGGTGACGGTGGGGATGATATCCTCCGCCCGAATATTCACCTCGACGTCGAATTTGGCTCCCTCATCCGACTTCAGCGTCTTCCAGTACGCCATTGCACGGTCCCACGCCTCGCCCTTCGGTGCCAGCGGCCTATTTTTTATATACTCGAAGGTGACTTCATCAGGCGCGACCATGCCCGCACGAGCACCGGCCTCGATGCTCATGTTGCACACGCTCATGCGCGCCTCCATGCTGAAGCCACGGAAGACGGAGCCCGCGAACTCGATTACGCATCCCGTGCCACCAGCGGTGCCGATGACGCCGATAATGTGCAATATCACGTCTTTCGAGGTGACGCCTTCAGGCAGAACGCCGTCGACGGTGATACGCATGTTCTTGCTCTTCTTCTGGAGCAGGGTCTGGGTTGCGAGGACATGCTCAACTTCGGACGTGCCGATGCCGAAGGCAAGGGCGCCGAAAGCTCCATGTGCTAAAATGAACGCGATTCTTCAGTTTCCGGCCCGCAAACATGGACAAGGAGCGTACTAGAGGTATGCGAATCTCCACATACGCACGTGATTCCAGGGAGCTAGAGCGCACGTCAGTCTCACAAAAGCGGTCGCTGCTACGATTGGTTCTCTCACCGTGAAGCCCTGCTCAGGGCCAATGATATGTACGATTCCTATCCGGAGAGCGCTTAGATTCGCAGATATCACGGAATCAGGGATATACCGGGCATACCCTGCCTGCGATCCGTCATCCCGAAGTACGTCAGACCGAACTCCTTCACATTCTCCTCCAGAGCGACGCATTGCGCACGCGACTCAGGTTCCTCGATAAATGTCGAGGCGGATTTGAAGTTTTTGCGCGAAGCCGTACTGGAACTCCGACGTTAGCATCGAAACGAGACTGATCGCAAAGGCACTTACGGAATATTATGATCCACAGTAGCGAGCGTGCAGTCCGGGCGACGCACAGGTCGGCCGGCGGTACGCCTGAGCAACTCATTGAGAACACCGACACGGCAAGTCGTTGTCGGGCTTGTGCTTACAAGCCTTCAAAAGCCTGGGGACTGGTTACTTCGTGAACTAGATGCCTGTGCATATATCGGTCAGAATGATCAGGCCGTATCGTTCGCCCCCTTCGACGCTTACCTGTCGATGTAGAGCAAGGTGAGACCATCCTCTTGAACGGAGACTGTGTGGTCATCAAAGATTTTGTCGTAAAGAGTACGTGGGCCTTGGATCGGAGCAGGCATGGCGGAAAGATGAAATGAGAATCAGGCGCGCTCTGGTTGGTGCAAAAACAGACATGGTCAGCTTATATATACTTGAAGATCCGGTGTGGAGAGCGAGCGTTCGGCCGTCGGCCGAGACCCCATCGGACATTGCACTTCGGAGCCACGATCACGTGAAAGTCCTCAATATGTCGACGTAGACACTCAACGAGTAGTACAGACTACGTAGATGCGACTTCGCTTTCTTGCGCTGCGTAAGTAAGGATGGCCCCACAAGCGCTTTGTTGAGTGCTTTCAGTGCCTTTCACTCGAGGATAGAAAGATCTTGAGGCTTATCAATCCTCTCCGAATACCGCAGCGCCCCTGTCCACGAGACACCGCAGACCTGTACATAAGCATATCATTGTCCGTAGGTACCAACCACCACAGAAGCTTGCGAACCGTGGTCCACACAACGCTATCTCTGTTGTCGGGCTCAATTCGGGCCTGCCTAGTGGTCACGATTCCTATACGTAAGTCAACGCGCAGGATGCCCCGCAATCGGGAACGGATAGGAGATAACCTATCGTGCACAAGTGAGGTGCAGCCTCAAACCGGGTGAAACGAAAGATATTTTTGCGGGGAGGGGGTACTGCAGTTCGAATTGAATCTCTGAGGTATATCACCCACATAGGCGGGCCGCTCCGCGCAGCTCAGCAAACTCACGCGTTTCTCACTCACAGCAATCGCGTATATGCAAAACATGGAAATGTGGGGCTTTGGTATCTCGTGCTTGGTGGCAGATCTTCCGCCCGAATCATGCAGTCCTGAGTCGTGCAGTAACATCCTGCACCCAGTAGGATCTGGGACTACATGCGCAGTGAGCTGGGCGGCCCGCTGCATAGCTAAATTATGAGGATGTATACAATATTAGATGTCCTTGCGAGGATGCAGTAGATGAAACAAGCTTGACCAGTCGCTTGGACTCAAAGCTGCATCACTCAGAAATCCACGACGAGAGTGGGCCGCTGATAATGGCTGGGGGAAGGTTCAGCGGTAGATGGGACAATATTGCAGCAATTCGTGGGAGTGTGAACTGGTTCGTTTTGAGGCGGGCGCTGTGGTTGCCCCCGCTCTTGCCTCCGCCATCACGTCTTGCCTGCTGTTGGCATTCGTCCGTTGTACGGTCCCCACTCTCTTTTACCCCCACACTCCCTTGCAGGAACCCCACATTCTTGTTCAGAAAACCCGGAAAACCCAGCAAATATCAAGAAATGGTTTTGGACTTCGCGCCGAGTGCCACGAACAGCGACGACGTTTTCTCTGGCGAGAGGCAAAGGGTCAGTCGCATCGAACACCGTCATTGCCTCGTACGCTCAATTTGTCGTCAGATGGAAGGCTTTCGCTTCGGCAAGAGCCGTCCACCTTCAATCATCGCTAAACAAGCAAATATCACATCTCATGCCCGCTCTCATTCTCGCAACAACTCTATCGTCTCTGCTTCGGCTTCCAGCTTCTCTGTTTCCACTTCTCATGACTCATTGAATACCACTTCTTCCAAACGCTCATCTCACCACCGTCGTCAGTCCTCTGTTTCGACTCGCAGGGAATCCGCGGAGGTCATGGGTGTCTCGATACCTTTCTCTGGTCTCTCAGCCTCGTTGTCTGACTCGGATAATGTCAATTTCGGTGACAAGGACTCCATCAGGCGGCGTGCCCTCATGGCCCTCGAGGGCAAGTCAGACGTCGGCACCTTTTCGAAGGTTCAGATACCAGACTTCGACTCTCCTACACTGGTGAAGAAGCCGTTCGAATTTCGTGCGTTCTATCCTCCTTCGTTGGTACCGTACGAACTGATATGTTCCTCGGAGCAGCAAGCAAGCCCTCATTTCCTCCAGGTCCCGGCCATGGCTTTGGCCTCAACACTATCGCTGGCAAACGGGATTCGTTCGGCAAGTCTATGCGTTCTTCCTCGGCCTTGAAAGAGCAATACCAGCTGGGCACTCTGGTGGAAGAGGAGGAAGATCAGGAACAGGTCGAGGATGAGACCGACTTCCCATCGTCCGTCGTCGATTCGCCGGCCTCGGTTGAGGTTTCCACTCCCTCGGGCGCCCCCATCCGGCATCGCCCTGCGAGCCTCAACCTTCGTCCTTTGACCCTTGCGGGCGGTTTACCCACACCCTCGCTTTCCCCCAACCTTAACTCCGGATCTCGACGTCCCATGCTGAACATCCACACCGACAGTCCTTCGCCCGCCAAGCTCGATGACGTCAAGTCAAAGCGGCTCAGTAGGATCTCCTACAAGCCCGCATCCATCGACACGCCGCCCACAGCTGCCATTCATGGTTTCGGACTTCCAACTCCTGAAATGACGCCCACGAGTGAACACCGCTACTCTGCCAATAGCGATGTCAGCGAGCGCCCGCTGTCCACCAGCGAACAACAATTCCTGCACAAGTCTCACCATGCACTTCTGGCCCGCATCGAAGATTTGGAGCGCGCTCTTTCTTCTTCGCGCTCGGAGTCTCGTGGGCGCAGCCGTCCAGCATCTTTCATGTCTGATATATCATCACGCTCCCATATCACGGACAGTAACGACGAGATGATCCAGCTCGTTACAGATCTCAAGGCTGAGAGAGATGAGCTCAAACTTCAGCTGGAGGCCGATGCTGACGGCTGGCGCAGTCGGGTCGCTGGATTGGAAAACCAGGTTGGCGTGCTCGCTAAGCGCGTCGAGCTAGAGCGCCGAGAGGCTTGGGTTGCCCGAGAACGTGCCGGCTTGCTCGACGTTGAGAAGAAGGCCTTGGCAAAGGACCTCGAGGTGCAGAAGGCGGCATTCCATGACTTGTCTATCAAGCATGAGTCGGTAAGGAAGGAACTGGAGGACGCGAAGGAGTTGACCGAAAGCCTCCGAGGCGAAATCATTTCTGCCCGTCACATGACGGAGGAGTGTGTTCGTTTACGTGCCGCTCTGGATGAGGAAAGGAAGAGGCGGGAGCAGTACGAGCGGGAGTTGGATCACGCGGGTCTCCTCACTACGCCTACGCCAGGCGCTTTCCAATTCCCTGCCAAGCCTCGCTCGTCAGGCTTGAGCATGCTGCCTGCGGACTCGGACAGGTCTCTCACCGACGTCGACGAACCAAACCTGCAGCCGACGGCCGTCGCTGATCCGGACGAGGATGGCGAGGACGAAGAGCATGTATTGGCTCACTACGAGGATGAAGACTCTGACCTCAGTTGCGGTAGCCTTCATTCGTCAGTGTCTTCGTTCCAGGATCATTCAGAGCTCTCGTCTAGTGGCTTCCCCAAGACTCCGTCTCCTGTGTCTGTCCAGCCTCGTCCCTCGCACGCTTCGCGAGCTTCCCTATCCCGGACTTGGACCTTCCCGAAGGGTCCTCGACAGACTGCTGTCAAGCGGGAAGAGGAGGTCGACACGTTCTTTGGATACTCGGAGGATCTGGACTCTTCTCCAGCCGCTGTTTGGTCCGGGGCCAACGAGGAATTGAATTCAGGCTTCTCATTCGGCCTCAACCTTAACGAAGAGGACGAACTACCTCCTTTCATTCTGCCTCTAGACGTAGGCATCGAGGTTCCTCAGCCCTTGGACATCATCATTGACGATACGGATACGGATAACTTGGAAGGCCAGGTGCTCAAAGGCGGCATCAAGTTCACTTTTACCGCGCCAACTGCACCCTCCACGCCGGAACCCGTCGAGCGCGCTCTGCTTGTAGAGCCTAAGCCGGAGTTCGAGGCTCGAGTTGTTGAGGCTGCGGAAGTTGCAGCAGCGCCTCCACCGCCAGCTGCGGGCCGAACTGGCTCCGCCGTCGTACGGCCGACAACTCCCCCGAGGGTACATGCTGTCTCGGGGACTTCGAAACGAACGGCCCCGTCCTTCATTCCTCAACCGAAGGGAAAGACAGTGACCCCCATCAAAAGCGCGCCTCGTCGAAGTGTCGCTGGGGAGCGTAAAGTCAGCCCGGTCTTGTTCACGCCTCCGCGCTCTCCTTCAAACAGTCCTTCTGACCGTAGGACATCGGTATTCTCACCTCAAGCCAAAGCACCCTCGAGTACGCCGCCTCCTCTCTCCCATCGCGCGCTCGAAGATACAAATGATCCCACTAGATACTCTGATTCCAGTGAGACGCCCGGCTCCGCTCCGGTTCTGAGGTTCCCCTCCATCCTCCACTCACCGGTAACGTCTGTTCCGCCTCAAGTGACGAAGAATCCAGCTACAACGGCTCCAGTTGGCCCACGATTCTCTATCCAAACGTTCACCTCTTACTTTCCCAACCTTTCGTGGAACCCCCTCGCAAGCGGGTCTGGCACATCCGCTCAAGAGACAAAAGTGGGTCCTGCTGCTTCGGTTCCAGCACCGAATCCGTCTACGTCTCCTGGAGAGGCTGTGCATGGGTTTCGCCATCTCGCTAATGATCCTGAGCGTATGCCGAGATTTGTCGTCAAGGCCAAACAGCTGGAAAAATTGCGGTTACGTATGGAAGAAGAGCGCATGCGACAAGACGCCGTCTTCATGGGTGACTGCCGTCGATGCACTAGTCAATATCTCTCGGTTTGAAGTTCACGTTCAACCCGTTCTATACGTGCTTTTCCAGCCCTTCATCGACGCCGTACATAGTCTGATGTGTCTACTGCTATGCGGTCTTGAAGTATGCATTCCTATCCTTCGTTCAGCCACTTCACTCATGTTTGCTATTTATGGGCCTGCGGCCTATACGAGATGGACGTCGTGTTTACCATTGTACCCATAGATATCATGTTCTTGAAGACCCAGACGTTATATTTGATACAATCCACCAGTTGATTTGATGCTAATGTGCATCACAAACCGGATTAGATACCTGCGTCCATCCATTCCTCCATCAACTCTCTTGGGGATGCATGCTGAGCAGGTAACAATTCCAAAAGTCCGCAGCTGGCACCCGGCACGGACCTTGCCAGCCAGCAGTCATCAAGGAGCTCAAGTAGTGCTTGCTTGAAGTCGGTCTCGATGTACTCGGATAATTGCACAGAGATGTGCTGCAGCTTAGTGAAGGTGGCTGCTCGGACAAGAGCAAGTGTTTCTTCCTCGCTGCTCGGATGACGACGGGACGGTGATGTAGCGGGTATGTTCAACTGTATTCGGAGGTATGGCACAAGGTTCTCGCGGAGGTCCGATACGTGGAGGTGGGTGATAGAATCGTACGGAGCGTTGCAGGACAATGCAAGCAACAGAGCGTCCACCCCTCCTTGCTGGTTTCTGACTTGGATGCAGCGCAATGAAGGTAAACGCGGGTGCATAGCATTAGAGGAGGTTGTGACGAATGGCGGTTGCAACGATGTGGTTTGAAGATCGGTTAGATGAGGAAATGTCCGCCCAATGAGAGTAATCTTCAATTCTACGCCCAGTACTGCCAATCTATGCACCTCGTCGGCGACGAGCCTCACCAACTGCGATACAGCGGCCGTTGCGCGGTCTCTTTCGATGGTCGCGATGGAGAAGTTGATGTGATGTATGCCCCTATAACCATCATGTCGACGCGTCCTGCCGCTGAAGTATTTCGACCAAGGTAATATTCCTGCCCGATCGAAGGCCGATATAAACAATGAGCGGACTGTGTCCCGAGACCCGCGAGAGGCTCGGTCCGCAAGCACGGCAGTCAACAAGAGAATTTGGCGCATCCCGAGGACAGCGACGGATTGGAAACGGACGTTGTCCGAGAGATTGCGGGTGTAGTGACAGACGAGCGCCAACGAACGCCCGGTGGTGCCGTCATCCGTGCACGCAAAGGAGAAGCAAAGGACGAGTATCTCTGGAGGTAGCACATTGAGTAGCATCGACTGCATGGATTTCCAGTGGTAAATGTGCGTTCAGAGACACTGCGAGGTGAACGGGTAATGGAGTGTGTCCGCCGAGTATATGGTCGCACCGCCTCTGGGCTCACGATGGGAATCCGCGATGAGCGGATCTACGTCTGCAGTTGCAGCTACTGTATTTTGATCCAACATAGCTCCAATTCAAAAGTCTGATGACGCAGGGTCATGCCAGTTGTAGTTTAATTGCACCGCCCAGACTCTGCAACCCTGCAAAAGTTGATGGGGTTGATCGCCTTATCAAGACGGGTCTTCGTCAACACGCAACTTCTTCAAGTCATCCAGTAACCAGTCTGCGGATCTAGAACGGGTAATTGGAAGAGCGATCGTCTTCAGGGATTGCTCCAGTCTGAACCTGGTGGAGATGGCATTCATCCAAGTACTTGAGCATAACGTCCCGGTATAATGCCTGCTTTTTATATCTGTTATATTATCATCTGTCAGCCAATGACTCTTCATAAAGAAACGTGGCGTGCTTACAGCGCGATATCCTCTCCCCAGCCCCTCAAAGCGCTAGCGAAACGTCCTGGGACGCCAGGCTCCTTAGCCAGTTCATCCACGCGGAACATGTAAGATCTGATAGTAAAGACGATAGCACCAGTCTTAGGCAGACGTCGAAGTGTTGTACGCTCGGTACGCATCCGTATCATCGACGGTTTGATGTGCTTCGCAAGAGTTTCCTCTGACGGCTTCTGTGGGTGAGGTTTGCCGTCATCATACAGCTCCTCAGGACCGTGGGTCGTGCTGGACCATGCCAACTCGTCCGGATCGATCGTCTTGAATGGCGTATCTGCTTGTATACTGCGGGGATGCAACGTGCGGTCGTGGTCTTCACACACTTGGATGAAGTAGTTGTTTCGTGTAACCGGCTTATCGACCGTCATGCGGCGGAAGAACCGGTTGAGACTGCGCTGTAGTTTTTCCTCGTCTGATAGGCGTAGATTCCCCATATCCGAAGAATCTGTTAAAGAGGGTCACAGATACGTAAACAATACTTACACTGCGGAACGCCCCCGCTTGTGTGGATTTCGTCCAAGGCCATGCCTATCTTGTCCTCCAAGCGCCATGAACCTGAGGTAAGTTAGCGGTGTTCGGCCCTGAACTGTTTCGAAGTGGCAGGGTTCTGTTCACCTGCTACGCATATAGCTCCAGCTTGGAAATAGTACTGTCCGTCGTTACCTTCGATCATGATAGCAAGATCGTCTTGTATTCTGAATGCACCAGAACATCAAATCATCGCCCGGCGTTAACGCTCAGGTACGTACAACAGCGCTGCGAGTCGTAATGGATCTTCCGCCTCCAAGTCGTATGTGATGTCAACAGGGATGACAGTGATCGTCTTGATCTTCGGTTCATCGTACCATCCATGATAGTCCGTGCTTTCTCCGTTTCTTTGCGGAGACAGGCGAGTAATGGAATAGATAGAGGGAAATCTACGAGATACGAATTCGGCAATTTCATACAGCAGCTCTTTGGCTGAATCCGGCATTAAAACCAACTCGACGTCAATGTTGATGAACTGTTTACTCACCGGCTCCTTCGCCTCCTCGGACGAGGCCGGGAGTACCTTCCAGCGTACGCACAACCCGATCGCCGAGGTCCTGTATTCGACGAGCACGTATGTGATGATATCGGATGAAATCGCTATCGAGCTATCCGTGACCATGTTGAGACATACCATCCATACAATGCTGTGTTAAATCACCTGTATCCAGGTCTGCCATGGCATTGGGCGGATTCCCATAGTAATGCTACGATCGCGATTCAACCGACATACGGCTCTTGGCCAAAATTAGTGCGCACTTGTAGAGCCCCCATCTGAATGGCCGGTAAGGTAGGGGCTTCATCTCGTCAAGACTATGGCTGCAAGGTTCAGGGACTGGATATGTGAAGTGAACTGGGTCCCAGTCTGTGAAGATGTCAACTGACGTCCTCGACATGCATGATTGTCTTACGCACGTCCGAAAGCTCGGTCGCGTTCTGGTGTGGTAGATGAAGCACCTTCCTTGCGCCCTTCCTTCTCCAGCGCTGGAGTACGTATATATCTGCCGCCTGTGGGTGATCTGAGGTAGATCATACCGCAAGCGAGGAGGAATATCGCTCCGACAACGGCGATTTCCATCGGAGAAGCCATGATTGGAGTATTCCTGGCGGACTATGACTACGAGGATGGTATCAAGGGATGAGAGCTGGGTGTGAATCCATTTCGTGCAGCGCTTTCATGTAACCTTGCGCAGCTTCCATAATCCATTGCGTACATAATATGCGTACTCACATACACAGGCTGGCAGTAAACAAAACGAGTGTAGCAGATGGTATTTTCGGGTTCGGCTCGCCGAACATAACAGAGACGTTCGATACTTGTACATGCGCACAGAGCGTATGATACCATAGCCCACACTGACACTGACTCTGAAGGTTGGTCGGCGACTCGGAGGCAGCGCGGGCAATTCCCGCGAGTCCCGTGACGGCCGGCGACCCTCGGGTTGCAGCGTTGTCGAGTGTCCTGTTCAAAACCACTGCATTTCTGACTGTGCGTATTCTCTTGACTCTTTCCGCTGGGTGTCCTAACGGCTACCTCTTAAGATGGCGTCTAAGGCGGCAACCGCGGCGGTTGTATGTTCTAGAAAGCTTATTTTCTCGTATCGTAGCTGACGACTTGTGGTCAGGATTTCGCTCGCATCTACTCGTCCCTGGGACTTGGGAAAGGTCACCTTCATCCCATGCCGTGTCAAAGCATATATCCTAAAATTTTCTGCCGGGATTTATCAGAGACCGTTGCCTCCCTTCAGGCTTTCCGCAAACGTCACGCTGACGCCCAGCGCCTCGCCGCCACTGCTGCCGCGCAGCCCACTACCATTGACTTCGCGTACTACCGCTCTGTTCTAAAAAACAAGGCTGTTGTCGATGAAGCGGAAAAGACCCTGAAGGAATTCAAACCTGTTACCTACGACGTCTCCGCACACATCAAGGCCATCGAGACTTTCGAAGCGAAGGCGGTATGAAGTAACCTGTGAGGCTGGGAGGCGTGTTCCACTGATGTAAACCTACAGGTTGTGAAAGCGAAGGAGACTGAGGCGAAGATTGACGAAGAGCTCAAGGATCTTCAGGCCACTCTTGCCAATATCGAAGAGGCAAGGCCCTTCGAAGATCTCACGGTGGAGGATGTTGGGGATGCCCATCCTCGTATACGAGAGGCTGTCGAGACTATGATCAAGAAGGGCAAGTGGACCGTCCCGGGTAAATATTGATTCATTCTGGCTTCAGTGGATACGTTTACTGATACTGCGTCGTCCGATGCTTTCAGGTTATAAGGAGAAATTCGGCGATTTGTCGCTCATGTAGACGTCCACGCTGTGCCCACACTCCCTAGTATAACGTTTCCATCCGTGAACTGGACGTGGTAATACTATGCGCATGGCTTAAGCTGAGCGTTGAGCAGCGATTTGAAAAATCGCTCGACGTCATTGTGACCTAAGTCAACACCACAACGATGGTCGCCGTTCACTCTGTGGACTCCTATATCTGTTGAATCAGGGAAACTCATCATTGGCGGCGGAGCAGGGACAGGCTTGTCTGCCAGGTTCATCGAGCAAGGACGAGCAGACCTTCTGGGTGGTCTACAACTCAGGACGGTACCGCATGTAGCTGGCCGAGGTCTGATGCTATACGTACGTATGAGCGTACCTCGGAAAGGAAGGGTTGAACACGCAGACGTGTCTGGCTTCCATGGACTTGGGGAAATGCCAACGATGTAGTTATCGAGATGGTTGATATTATTGAATAGCTGCAGCCGACTCATACTCACACTACATAGCGATCACGAACTTCCTGGCTTCTTAGGCCAGAGAGATCTCACAGTACCTATCGTGAAGCATACACCCGTACTTGCCGGGCTCTGCGCCAGTTATCCTTTCAGGAGCATTCTGGAGAAACTGCGCGATCTGTTGACCCCATCTCTCGATGTGCAGCGTAGGATTGATCGATGGCACATTCCGGCAGAACCCCGAAGAAACGGGTATGGGATATGATGTCGAAGTCGATATGATCCGCGCGGACTGCATCACTCGGGCTATTGACTACACGGTAGGACATCCACCACGCTATGCTTCTCTGAAAGAGTTTACTGCCGCTGAATCATATATACGTTTCAACACTAAAGATGCCACGGAATGGCAGAAGCCGGGGCCGATGTGCTCGTGGGTGAGTGATCCTACATATCATAGATGTTGATGGGCATATAAATGAGTTGAAGATGATGCGAGTACTGGTGGATAAGCATTGTGAATTGATGGCGCAACTCAAATCCTAGGACTCAATGATATCAATCGTACAACCCCAATGTTATTCACCATCTCCATTCTACAGTTCCGGATGACCTTGCACGAACTCCTTTGTATGGTTTGTAAGTCTCGCCCGTTAACCGTAGCTGGTCTACCCGTAGAGCCGAGAAACTGTGTTGCAGTATCTCAAACTTCACTCGGAATGCGCGTGCTGGTCGAGGGTATTTCGCTCTGCAATAACTGGTCAATGTCATTCCTTACACATGGAAGACGACTTACGATGAAGAAAACGTTCCTCGAAGAGTCACGCCGCTAGATGTTAGGTTGCTAGTCTCCCACTTCAAAGTCTATATGGCAATATCAGCGACTGTCAGATCATATGATATATTTCCACCCACCAATGTCTTAGGATCAAAACCCCAAGAGGAATCCCCCGATGCCACAAGATTCGCAGCTGTAGCACCTTGCCCGAGGTACAGTTCAACTGAGACTCTATCAATGGGTTTCCCTGGGAGCCGGGACGCCAGTGTTACATCCAAGGTACCTATCAACGGTCTCAGTGTTGGAAACCATAGATTTGAGGCGTGCGCGAACCTCCGCTATCGTCTAATCTGACAACTGGCTTCAAGTTGAAAGGCACAGGAACAATGGCTGGTGAAGTGATGGCAGCAGACGAGGTTGTTGGAACATAGCGATACTGCATGAGGGTGAAGCGCCCATCCGGTGGGACGAAAGACAACGATTTGTCCCTTGCCCATCGTTGTAGCCTGTCCAAGCCATTCAGCGGATTATAACATATATAAATAGGACATAATAGCACCTCACGCATGGATGGAAGGAACAGTCATCGATGACTTTGGCATTGGCGAAACTCAGTAAAAGATCAGGCGTGCCTGAACGGAAAGTTAGATTCCGATATGCATGGCTACCACGACATTCCTACCAGAGAGCTTCGAGTTGCTATCAATGCGGCCCCAGACGTTGCTGACGAGAGCCGTGGAGCTTCTGAGTAATAACAATTACCACTGAACGCAGATGTGGACAAAGGCGAACTCTACCAACTTGTTCACCACTGCCTTGAGTTCCTCGGAGACGTCAAAATAGATTTCATTGTTGTTATGTCTCACTCCGGCCTTCCTCCACGGGATCGGAGAGGAAAACGGGGTGGTCAAGCTTGCTTGATTTGCCAACCCTGACACGCCCGCGACGGTGAGAATTTTATGCTACATTCAATCCATCATGAGCAGACATTGTATAGATGTTTGAGTAGGACAGACCAGTAGAGTGGGAGGCAAGACGATGTCTCGTAGAGCATTCGTGGAGGTGGTCAAGGGATGGCCACCTGCGTCGAGCGTCTCTTCGAGTAACTGTGTAACAGACCGGTTAAACGAAGCACACCCGAAGTCGAAGAAGGTCTCGCCTGGTAAACTATATCGAAGTTTTCACGGATCACAGGAGCAGACACCGTGCCGAAATAGTCCCCAAGGATATCCACGAATGTTTGCAGGAATGAGAGAGCATACAGTGGATCAACTGCTTGCGCGAAACCCAGAGTTCTACGCGGTCATCGTCCCCTGATCACGGAAGTGAAGCAGCCCACGAACGACGTACCATCTCCACTGACAGGAGAAACCAGCCTCATATCGCCCACTTGTATATGACAGCATGCGGTGGCAGGATCCATTCCCGTAGACGAGACATACAGAATGGGATCCACGTTCCCGGGGCGTTCAGCTTTCGCCAGCGCAGTGGTGATGGCATCGATGTGCAGGAGGGCATATGCAGAAGTTTGAGAGCGGAACCCAGTTTGGACGATTGGCCGACTAAACGAGATGATGCATGAAGGACAGAACGAATCTGCTATGGGGGGATACTTGCCATGTCTCATCCAAGATAATGAGCCCGTCGATGGCCATCGCAGTTCTTATAGTCGTATGTACCGTAGCGCCTGCCAGTGTAATACTGCGTAGGCGCGTTTGTGATTATTACTTAAGTTCGATGTTTGGTATCGTGTACGTCATGCAATCATGTCTGAACCAGGGAATAGTCAAACGTTTCTCCATTTTACTAATGTGCAATCGTACAACTAGATACTCCTTGCTCGAGCCCACACCGATCTAGTCTCTTTTAATTGATCGAATAACGCATACCCACTGGCCCGTCGAAGCACTGTCATTTCGAGTTTACGACACCAGCTGCGTCCGTGCCGCTACGTGCCAGTTCCTTCGCAGCCTGCAGAGCGCATAAAGCCGCTGCGTTCATCATGGATCAATGCTAGTTCGCCCATGCTGAAGATAGGTAACATACCTCCAACTCCGCTGCCATCCTTGGCCATACCAATCTCCACTTTTTTCTCGATGGTTTCGCCGACCAAGGTACGCAGGGAGTGACGCAAGCCTGCCTCAAAGTTGGGATAGTGCTGAATCAAACTACCATCCACACCGACGCCGATCTTATCCGGACCATCATGGGAGTCCGAACCACCCAATTTCGCATAACCAGTCTGCGCGAGTACCGTCGCGACTGCGCATCCACTGAGTTTTGCTGCTCGCTGTGCTACCAGAGAGCACGCCCATCGAACGATCGCAGCATCCTGCAGCGACACGTCCTCCGGAGCAAAGCCCACTTGCTCCACGATGACCTGCTGAATGGTGCGTAGGCGCTCCTTCGTTGGCTCGTCGAGCTTGGCTTCATCGAAGTCCCATATCGCCGCTAACGGCGGCGGAGGCTCCTTTCCCCGTTCCAACATGGGTTCTGGTGTCTCCGATCCGTTGACACCCGAGGGCGAGGGCATTGGCTCCGGCTTGACTACCTTCAAACCCTCCCACGCCTCCTCGACAGCACTCATAACAGCCGTGTCGAAGCCGTAATGCGTGTTGAGCTGCTTGGTCGACTTCCCGCCAAACAGGAGCGGCTTCGGCGCGGCGTCCACGAGCGATAAGAGGATGTTCCGGGTGATTTCGCCGAGGTACATGCCGGAGATGAACTTCTCGTATGCCTGAAAGCGCGGATTAATGGATTCACGGTCTAATTTGTTGTCGAAGGCTGTTGTCGGGAGAGTTGTTCGCTGTTATGATCTCTTAGCATCCGGAGTTCAGGGAGGGTAAAAAAAACTACCGACCGAGTTGTTGAAGGCTCCCCACTCGGTATTAACCACCATTTTCCCGCCTTTCGCTGCTGAGGGAGAGTTCTTGAGCTTCGTAATCTTCGCTACATCCTCCAAATAGGCACCGTTGGTGCCTGTCCCAAAGATGGCCCCTATAGACAGTGTTACAGGTATAGGGTTCACTGCCAAGATATGGCATACCAAGGAGACAGCTTCCCGCGGTATATGACCTAGAAAGCAGGGCACCAACAGTCTAAACACAATCCGATCAAACCCCGCACGCATGACATAAATATGGTTCGCTCACGTCGTTCACAAGTGCCACGCAACGGACATGCAAATGTTTTCTATCGAAGGCATCCTGAAGGAGCCTTACAACATCCTTGCCGATTGCATTTTTTGCGGCGAATCCCTTGGTCCATGTGAGTAGCGTGCCACTGTCCAGAGCCGTTTGTTCGACGGGGAAGGAGAACGTGAGACCTAGGTGGATTTCGGGTGGGCCTTCGAATGGGTTGTCAAGCTCGCTGAAGTCATGACCGGAGTCGGTCAAGAACGCGTCGACTGAATCCGCAAGATAGTCTATACACCCCAGTAGGGACCACAAATCAGCAAGACCATGACTGCATATAGGGACACAAAGCACGTACCGAACAAGGCAGTGACCTCACCGGTCTTAAGCGCATCCGACACCTTATATTTCTGCTGCCGTAGCTCGAACTGGTGGTTCCCGTGTAAGTGGACTTCACAGACACGCCTTTGGGTATTATCGTTACTAGAGTCTTAGCAGGATGGATTACGACGCACAAGTTCGTTCCGCCCAGATCGAGAGCTAAAAATGTCCTGAACAGAGATCAGTATGCGTGTAGCCGGGCGTCTGATGCCCTTACCCCGTTTCTGTGCCATCCGGCACGCCCGTCACGAATGTCGGTCTGCGAAGATCCGCATTAAAAATTCGCACACATCCATCACACAACGACTGCTCACATCATGGCCATTGCCTGTCCATATTTCCCTAAACCGAGCTCGAAATCATCTAGGAACTGCTTCGTGATCGTCTTCAATGCATCGTCGTCCAACTGGAACTGATCCTCTATATCTTGCAGTATGAGGCGCGCTCGGTCTTTGCTGAAGCGCGCCGACATGGTGTTATGGCAGGAGCTCGGCGGGTGAGGTCAAGTATGAAGGCACGATGAGCACGGATACAGCAGCGCACAGGATGGGATTCTAAGGCGGAGTGCAAAGATCGGGAAGTAAAGCATGTAATAGAGCTGATTTGCAGCCAATATTTCTCTGGGGAAACCTCGGTCAACTTGCTTCTCCACCAATGAAAGGCGGCGAATTGAATTCGTCGCTAATATTTAACAGCTGCAAATCAGCTCTAATGCGATATCATGACATCTGCGTTCCCACTCTCTATCGCCGTCACTACGACCGGCTTCACGCCGGCTTACCCCATGTAGCACCAGCCCGGGCTTTCTCCCCGCCAGCTCGAGGTCCTGGGGCGCCGTCTTCCCCTCCCAAGCCAGTCTGCACCATCGATCGTCGTCCATAGATTGCTACATACATGATTACACGACCTCGACGCTCAACCCTTCGCGCGCTTCGGCTTTGCCCTTGTCTGTTCTTTGGGCGCAGATCGGATTGCACCCAGCACGGCGCTCAAATCCCGATCTCCGGGGTTTCCGCCGCTCCCCGTGCTGCCCGCGTTCTTCGATTCTGTACCCCGATGGGCGGTTTGGGTAATCCTGGTCGGCGATTGACCCTCCAATTGCCCCCTCTTGAACTTCTTCCCGCCCAACACATTCTCGAAAACCGCGTCAATGACGTCTCCGACATCAGCCTCGCGTTTTCGCTTCTTCCGTTCCCGCTTTTCGGGCTTGACAGCCGATGCTTGTTGAGCGCGGCCGTCTTCTTTTGACTCCAAGTCGCGCCCACTCGTCGGAACGCCAGAGCCCTGGCGCATCTTGATTTTACACAGCTGCCAATCCTTCCACTCCTCTGCATTTCGCTTCAGAAGGTATAGGTTCAGATTCTTGGCAAAGAATTTGCCGTAGTATGATGATGCTAGGAATTGTTCATGAGGGATCAACGCATTGCCGATCTTCACCTGCATTCGAAACGGATTGGCACCTGCACGCATCCCAGAACAACACGTACATACCTTCAGATAAGGATCAGCTGCAGCCCAAAGCCTATCTCCAACACGACTTCCGATACGGTCGTCCACAAGGTCGTGGAACCGGGCAGCGAACGCAAGGATGAGGCTTCGTTTGGTTTTTGGGAGTACACTGGGTGATTCCATCACGGCGTCGAGTACTCGCGAGCTCACGGGGTGTCGTGACATCGCTAGCAGCTCATCTTGAGTCGTGTTCAAGATGCTCCAGGATGAGCGTCAGTGAGGACGTCGAAAACATAGGGGTCTGAGTACCTGTCTGTGACGATCTGATTATGTGTGCTCGAAAGCCGCAACAAGGACTGCAGCAGAAGAGCGCCTTGGACTTTCGGCTCCAGAGGATCGAGCGAAGATTTGTTGCCTCGTGTACGGGGCGGCCGACTCCCCCTTGGCTCGTGCCCACCAGCATCATCGCCTTCATGATTTGAGGATGCGACAGTACCTCGATAATCCTTAATCGCTATCAAGGACGGTACTAGCGCATGTCGACGAGCCTTTACCTGCAATGACAGCAAACGTAGAACGCAAGGGACGCATTGCTTCTTGTCTTCCTCTGACTCAATGCCGAACGCTGGCTGCAATGCCTGTAGAATAAATGATCGAAACGGGACCGTTTTACGCCATTGCTGTAAGCATACCTTCATAACGGAATCTTCAGCCGCGTGCAGCGCTCCAGCTCTATCAATCAGGGCTTTGATGACTCCAATCCGGTTCGCTTCTGCAAGCACGTACGTCAGTTACCGAGATATTTTCGATCCCGCTGGTAAACCTACGAAGCACTCTCCGGACGCCCTCGCCTCCAAGCTCTTCGCAAGCTTCGCGTAGCCCTTCCGCGCCGAGTCGCTCAACTGCACGCGCGACCACGAAATTAGCCACCGGATGCAACGCTAGGCCATTGACACTGAGTGCTTTCCGGCCCTTGGCTCCAGCGAGCTTTCCACGGAAGTAGGTCTGCCATAGAAGATCAAAGACGGCTTCAGGCGAGCGAGAAACCAGCGTCTCTAGAAGATGGGAAGACGTTGGGTCGCGAAGAAGGGTCATGAGGTAATCTGAAGGCTCCGCCGTTCCTGATACATCCTGTGTATCTGTTGAGGGCCAGGAGTCCTCAGTATTGCATAGACGATGTCCGCGACTGACTTACGAGATTGCGTTACAATCCCTACTAGAACACGGTCCATGAGAGAGTCGGGTTCATCCGAAATCCCGTGATGAGCTTCGAGTTCCAATAGCAACTAGCATACGTTACGTCAGTCATCTTCAGTACAAAGACGGCAGCTCCTTACCTGCAAGACCGGGCTAGCGACCTTATCCGCGGCCAAAGCGCGGACCTCATTGGGAGTCAGTTCTTCTCTGATTCTTGCTACGAAGGCGCTCGCAAGGCGGGAAAATTCGAGGGGAACCCGCGTACTTGCGGGCTCCGACTCCTTTCCTTTGCCCTTCTCTCCGTTCGCAGATGTCTCATCCACAAAGACCGATGAAAACTGTCCCTGGCGAGCTTTCCATGCCGCGCTTTTCTTTGAACGTAACCCAGCGGACTTCAGTGTGGAGTCGGCAGGAGCGATGTCAGGGACGAGGAGCAGCAATAACGCCCTGAGTACATGGGAGGCGAAAGGATCCATGATGAGGCTCGTGAAGCAGGGTAATAGTTCCTAGCTCATATCGTAAGACGGAAACAAGGTACGAAGGAACGAACGATCTAACCTCGCAGGCATCCAGAACGAGGCGGATTGCTGTCCGTAGCTCTCCGGAGTCCTCGCCAGTCTCTGGAAGTGGAGGGAAGATATTCATCATCTATGAACGGATCGTAAGACCAAGTATGTAAGGGGAAAGTTGCTACGTACTTCTCGGGAGACTGTGTCGCCGATGACAGAGAAAACGGTCTGGCATACATGTGATGCAAAGCGATGTTTTGCTAGTTGCTCGTATCTTTCGTCAATGTGAGCTATAATGATAGGGAAGACAGGTGCAGAGCCAGACACTTACGAGCCAGACAAAGTATCCATAAATACTCTTCGTACGAAGTCATCCATAGAGTATACCATGCGCTCCAAGATAGCAGAGCAATCGGGGTCCGTAGCCAGCTGTTTCTCCTTACCCGTCATTTCCTGTAGAGCAGCAACGAAGAAGGTGCGTTTGTCTGTGGTAATATTAGCCAGGGATCAACGGGCATGCGTTCTCCCGGGCCCTGACCTTCGTTGGGATCCAGTTCCGAGCTTGCTGTATGCTCGACCCCATCGTCTCCGCGAGTCTCCTGCCATTCACGGATCTGCATATCCACAGTGCGGAAATATGCCTTCACGTCGGCGTCAACGTAACCGAATGGTGCTTCCCTATCCACATCTGGATGGGGCTTTGACTTGATCCAGGATGGACCTGGTTGGGGCTCTTCGACAGTTTCGAGAGCATACTCAGGTGCAGCGTCAGTCAAGAGCACGTCATGTTCCTCCTCGGGTTTCTTCTTTTGTTTCTTGCCGCGTTTGCGATGTTCACGAGGCATGGTAGGGATGAAAGGACTGGCTGTGAGGCGAACGACCAGAAAAGTTGTGACCTCGTCCTAGGGTTAGGGCAATCCTATCTTGACTGCTGACTGCGATGCCGCCAAGATTATGCGTACTATGTCAGACATCCCGAGCGATGCTGAAGAGGCCAAAGACCGGCCAGCAGATTTGCAAAGAATGCTTTTTCTATGTTTTTGAGACCGAAGTTCACCACACCATAACCGATGCCCAGCTCTTCAAGCCGGGGGACCGGGTTGCGATAGGGGCGTCGGGCGGAAAGGGTGCGTCCCAGTAGGGCCCATTATGTGCATCATGGATACGCGCCGGAGCTGATATGTGTATATGTCCATAGACTCAACCGTATTGGCATATGTCATGAAGACTCTGAATCACCGTTACCAATACGGGTTAGACTTGTATCTGCTTTCCATCGACGAAGGCATAACAGGTTATCGCGACGATTCCCTTGAGGTATGCGCGTAGTCAGAAAGGACGCAAGTTTCATGGATTCTCACGGGCGATACAGACCGTCAAACAGAACCAAAAAGACTACGATATCCCGCTGCAGATACTATCATACGACGATCTTTACGGCTGGACAATGGATCGCATTGTGGCTCAGATAGGCAAGAAGAATAACTGTACCTTCTGTGGGGTTTTCCGAAGGCAAGCTCTCGACCGGGGCGCCGCATCGTTAGGCGTCGATCATATCGTTACTGGGCATAATGCCGACGATATCGCGGAAACAGTCCTTATGAACAGTCAGTCATCCGGGATTCCGGATCGAACAAATTAATCTCAACGTGTTTGATTAGTAATGCGAGGCGATATCGCGCGGCTGGGGCGCTGTACTTTGATATGCACAGAAGGTGAAGATACCATCAAGCGGTCAAAGCCATTCAAGTATACATACGAGAAAGAAATTGTAATGTCGGTATGCTCAACGCACATTCCGTCGAAGTTTGTTTAACCCTGAAACTTGTGTAGGTACGCGTACTTCAAGAAGTTGCATTACTTCTCAACGGAATGCATATATTCACCTGACGCTTACCGTGGCCATGCACGCGCGTTTCTCAAGGATTTGGAAGGTAAGAGACTGTCGTTGTCTTGAACCTCGATTTTGACTGTTGACACTCGAAATTTGGATTCAGCCGCACGACCCTCTGTCATCATTGATATCATTCATTCTGGTGAAGCATTCGAATTACGTTCCGAGGTGAAGGCCACACAGAAATCACAACGTAAAATACCCATAAACGACTCAAGAATCTGTGTTCTGATATCCGATATCCAGAGAATTGCGCACGCTGCGGATACATATCAAGCAACCCATTGTGCAAGGCCTGTACGCTGCTCGAGTCTCTCGAGTCAGGCGCCAGAGCTTCATCCATCGCTGATGCAAGTTCCAATCCGGACGGACAATCTTCGATGCGAACAATACCGTACTTTGAGCGGCTTGGCCGAGTCCGAGAACAGGCGTTGGTCATGGTCGTTTCCGAAACGACCTGAAGGAGGCGCGGCATAGAGCCTCGTCGCCAGTCCTTTATGACTGACTTGGGCAGCACGGGTTGCGCTCCCTTATGATGCGTGCATATATGGGACCGCATCCATCATCCTGCAGGGCGAATGAGGGGAATGAGGATGCACACAACGCCATCCGGAGGGAACGAGGTCGTTCATAAGGTCGTTCATAATCTAAGATATCTACAGATGACCAACCAGGTTGATTTGTGCATACCAGGAAAATACTCATCCGTGCGATGGAACTCATATACTGTTCACTCGTCAGTAGATTATCGAGCGTGGGGAATACACCATGACTCACCCATAAGCATACTCCACTTCGTCTACGCCCGCGCCCTCCGCGAAGGGCGTGGGTTGCTCTCTCGGCATCGGGCCCAGTTCTGGCTCCGCGTCTTGACTATCCTCGAGATCAACCGCGCTGCCATCAGATTCGTCGAGGCGGAAGGGGATGACAGGGCGGAGGCTGGCGCTGCCTGAGCTTGATCGACGCGGACTAGGTGACGATTTCGCAAGCACAGCCATGGTCTTGGGACTCATGTGCTGCAGATGGGTCAGAAATGTGCTCTGCATCGTGGGAGAATACATATACCTCCCAATTGTTTTTGTTCTCGTCCGGTATATCACGATCATCCCGCCCGCCCTCCAGCCGCGCTTCGTCTCCGAGTTCTCCAATCGAGACCACGCTCTCGCTGTCGCTGATCCCATCCGCGATCTCGGACGCGGCTTGTGGTAAGCGTGACCATGCCGATTCCGACGTTCCACCGAATAGCTGACCTTCTCCGGATTGGACGTCAGTATAGCCAAGGTCCGATAGGTACTCTTCATATTCTTCCTCGAATGCGATATCTTCCGTCGTGTACGGTAAGAAGATCGATGGATCCGGAGCTTGCGCCCTTAATGGCGGGAAGACATCTGCTTCCACGAAGTTCGGGGTACCAACTGGTCTTATGATGCCAGACAGCTCAGGGCCGGGGTGAAGACCCTCCAAATGGGACATGCTGGCGGCACGCTTGTGGGCTTGATGCTGCTGAGCGTTAGCCTGGGGCCCATACCGCCTGTTATTGTCTGTCACAGCCTCAGTCATCGATCTTACTTTCCCTCACGGAACGCTCACAGAATTTCACGAGGTGACGCAACGCTTGCTCTTGTGCCTGCGAGTGTCATGATCGCCGGGTTTCTACCAGAGCAAATGACATACCTGGGCATCGGAGACATCATCCACTTCTGTTCCAGTGAGCCATTCGTCACGAAGGTCGGGGCGGCAGTTCAGGTAAATAGAGGTGATAACCTTCATGTTTGCTGTACACAGGTCAGCACACCGATCAGAGATGTGGAACTGTGGAAGAATATACATTGCCGCCATTTACGACCACAGAAAGGCACTTGACTCTTGATCAGTTTCAAGATGTGGAGCTGCAGCGTCGGGTGTGACACTCGCAGTACTCTTTTCAAGACCGCCTGGAGAATCTCATTAGTATGAGAAGGCTACGCACTCTGGATACGATGCGCCGCTCCACATACCGAGCTCTTGTACTGAACGAGCATCCAAACCCTGTGCGAACGATGTTTAGAGAGCTTCTGCATGACTTTCGCGAAGTTGATAGTGGCAAAGAAGTTTCTCCATGAAAATTCAGTAATCAGCTCGACTTCTTCTTCGTGTGTTTGGCCATTGGGAAGCAGAGTCCGTTTGACGATAGTTTTCCTTGCAGTAGTCTGCGATTCATCAGGTATGAAGATGGCTGCGCCTGCCGACCTCGCAAAATTCTGCTGGCAATACCGAAAGAAACTACGGCGAGTTCAAGAATGCTCCTACGCCCGTACCAAGTCACGTACTTATTCTCTGGCGAGTCGGCCTTCGAGACGACGGACACAGAGACCTCTTGCAAGCCAAACATCTTGAGGATCAGGAGTAAGCAGTTAGTGTCCAGCAGTAGCTGCCCAAGATGATGAAACTTCATGACATCTACGAACGCTGTTGAGCAATTTCTCTATATATCGGTCAGAGAACACCCACGAGACACTTTGAACCACTTTAACGTCAGCAACAGGATGGCCGAAACCGCCTTTGAGGTGATCTCCCGGTGCCGAATGACATCAATTTCCTCGAGGGTCGGCGGAGGGGAGGGAGGTTGCTCCGGTGCTGAATATTTACGGTCAGGAGACCTCACATGCAGCCAGAGGCGACCACTGACGCGGTGAAACACCTGGCGGGAAACCACCGCCTGAGGCGGACGGGGGCGGCTGGTTACTAGTGGCCGCCGAGACCGTGGCGAGAAGCAGCTTGAGCACCACAAGAACCCAGTTGCCTAGGTTGGGGAGGAGAGAGCTCTGGGGTGCGTTCTCTGTGAGACCCTCAATGGGTGAACGCTATCTTGCACTCACGTAGATCTGTTCAATCCGTCGCAATCGCATCAAGTCTTCTTTCCTCTCCTTTGCCCGCCGTTTGTCTGCATTGGTATCAGCAGAATGAATCGAGCTTTCTGCTTCAGCTATCTTGGCATCAAGCAAAGCGATGTCGGGCAAACGCTCTACGTTCTCGTCATCCTAGGCCAGTGTCAATCAAAGTTTAGTTGGGCGGGCGAGCTCTACACACATCGTCCAGCGTGTTGACGGAATCGGTCGTTATCGTCGTTGTGAAGGTGGAACCCGGCATATTCTGCGGCGTAAATCCTGGCATGTGCTCCAATCCACTCTCGGCAGACATACACTCCTCCCTCGTCCGCCACATCTGCCAGAGCGCAAGGCTGATGTACATGTGTTTGTTGTACAGTTTCTCCGCCTCATCGATGGCAAACGGTACGTAGCTCCCGCTGGAATATCCCCGTCCCAATCCGAATCTCTGGCTGCGAGAGAATGGAAAAAGGAAGGGCCGTGTCTGATCCGTCTGGTATTGCTGCTTCTTCGGCTTCGGTGAGGGAGGTGGACTCGGCGCTGGCGTAGCGGGTTGTGGGACGCCGCGGAAGGCTTGCTGTTGACCAGGTTGCTGTTGCTGCTGGTGATAGCCGCTGTGACCGTGGCTAAGTAGAGAGTGGTGTTCGGTATCATCATGATTGTAATGATGCCGCACAGGAATTGGGTTGTATGCCTGAGCTAGTTTGGATGGCGGTATGGGGCTGGGCGAAGCCACGGGAAGGGGTGCATCGGGAGGCGAGAAGGTAGGGTACTTAATCGCGGTTTCGTGACGGAACACCTCGATGTCAATCGGGGTAGACTTGATGGGAAAGGCTGCACAATCTGTTAGCAAGGCTCGCAGTCTAACGGAAGGGTGAGGGTGAGGACCCGCCTTCTTCTGGGAGAGGTGGGAGCCCTGAAAGCTCGCGCGCAAGCTTCTTCGCTCGGTCGAGTTCACGTATTCCACCGCAGCAACTCAGGATCGTCTTCCATAGGACGAGCAATAGCTGACGAAAGCAGGTCAGTATGATAGGTCCACGAATGCAACCTTTATTACCTTCTTGATCGGGTATCCCCGAGCTGTCTTGTCCTTTAAACCGGCGACAAGCTGGAACAAATAAACAGGGAGTGGAGGGTCCAAGCTCACTGTTGGGAATGAGAATGTCTCTGTTGTATTCGCCAACGCCACTCACTCAGTTCATCGGCAAAGTCATCCTGTCCCTTGAATACTTCTACGAGGTGGTAAAGCATGCCTAGATACACTGATATTTCTGTATTGACTTCCTCCAGCAAGTCGGCCTTGTCCTCGGCGGAGATGTTGAAATGGGCGGTGTCCGCATCGGACAGAGAGCTTTATGGCCTAAGATCGCGCGGTGAATATGGAGAAATCTATGCACTCACCAGAGCAAATCATGGCGATGGCCGGCGATCTTCATAGCCTCGATGATGTTGCCCAATCCGTTTGCGGCTCGGACCACTTTGCCGTTCTCCACTATCCAATGCAACTGATGCTCGGGAGACGTGGTTTCCGCGAAGGTGCCTGTGAAGAGATGAATGACACGCAAGCGGCGAGCAGCTCAGGAACACACCTTGTAGGACGTAGAGTAACCTACGAGCATTAGTGAAACGAATGACAGCATCACGGTGTTCCAGGCTTTCGAGGAGGATCTCAACATGCGCCTTGCGCTTTGAAAAGGGGGCTTTGGTCCATTCTGATGCGGATTCAGGATAGATCATGTAAACCGAGCACGTAACGATTACCTCCTTCAAATGAACCCTCCCATGCTTTCATGTTCTCGGCGACCTGAGGCATCTCTACGTACGCATAGAATTCTTCTATTTCGTTAATGACAGTATCTTCATCGTCGTAATGAAAGTCGTAAAAAGATTGCTGGACAGGCGTGTAAGCACATGGCATTGATACGAGGGTGAGGTTGAAGGGCAGGCTTGCCTTTGGCTTGGGCGCTGATCCGACCATGGCCTTGAGCTGGCCCAGAGTAATGGAGTCCAGCCCAATCTGCTGTGTGTTCGGTCCATCTTCCTGTCGTTGGCCATTGAGAAACTGGGAGAAGGACATGACAGCGTCCGAGACGTCCGAGTCAGTGCCGAGAAACGCGTTCGTGTAAGTCACGCTTTGCGAGCACGTGACCGCGGGACATCTCTGCCTTTCGAAGAGCAGCACAATTTCCGCAACCCTAGGAACCTCCTGCGTATTACTATTTGAGAGAACGGATTCAGTCTGTTCCATGGAATGACGACCGAGTGGACAGATCCGAGACGTCACAGTACGTAGCAATTCTAACTAGTTCCCGCGTCATGGAGAGGCCACCGTCCCGTGGGGCCGAACACCGGCCTCAGGGGAAGAGGGGCCCCATCCTCGGCTCATCGTCCCGGCAACGCGTGGCCGCGCGCGATGGAGGCTGATATCGTTGTGCAGATTGTCGCTGGACGAGAAGATCACGATGAAGATACGTGTGGCTCGTAGGGAAAGTTGGGGGCTCTAGATCTGTGCCCGGAACTCCGCCTTCTCGTCCCCAGAGACGGACACGTTCCGGTGAACCCACCGAAACTGCTTGCAGTTGTACTTGATCCACCCGATTGGCCCCAACCGCGGTGGTTTCAGAGAAAAAACGGCGGGCCGTGGCGATTTTTGCAGACGCACGTGACGTAGTGGACGGCGCTCTGGTCGGCTGGTGACTCTTGCGTCCCACCACGACCTCGCTGGATCCGGCTCACGTCGGTCCTCCACTCGCCCTCCCCTGATTGCTGGTCGCCACCACCGTCAAGACAGCTCAGGCCACTCCCTGCTCCCCTAGATCGGTGGTCACCGGGCGAAGACTCTCGTCCCAGTCTGGCTCTGCTATAATCTACTCCAAAAGGCACGCCTTTGCTGCGCGTTGGCCATCCCTAGTTCTCTCTGTCCGCTTTTCCTTGTCTCACTCTTGGTCTCGATTCCATCGCTTTCTCTTCATTAACGACATATATCACGACTTGTTCTTTCTTCGTCTTCGACCGCCACCCGCTCCTGCCAACACAACAGGAGCCCCTAGAAGAGACTGTCGTTTCCGCTACTCCTCAGTGGCTTGACGACCGGGTCTCCGCCTCCGATCCCCCACTGCAGATGCCGGTTCCCGTTCCGCACATCCACGAGCAGCCAGTTCATCTCGCCATCAAACCAGATCACGCTGGCGACCTGCAAGGAAGGCACCTTTCCGTATTTCACAGCCACAATCTGTCGGTCCCTCTGAAGAGTCAGCCCGCCCCGGCCGGGGATCGGGCTGGCTCGCTCCCGTATGCGAGGCCATCGTCCAGGCCGCATCGTATCTGGGAGGACGACAGTCGAAGGGAGGATTGTGAAAACGTGTATTCTGATTTTGCCCTCCATGCGCTGCCCAAAGTGACACCAGCGAGAAGCAGTGATCCCGTCATGCTTCCCCCATTATCCCGAGTACTTGGGTCCGTATACGTGCCCCCCATCAAGCCGATGGGATACGCTTCAGACGATGAGGATGGCATGGCATACGACGAATACACTCCGGGCCATCTTACGGACGGAGAATGCAATTGGGACTCCCCGGACGTCCCGGATGCAAGCAATGCCGGCGTGTACGCGAAATCTAACTCGCTCTACTGCGACGAATACGAGGAGATATACCGCTCTCGAGGTTTCTCTCCCATCTACGAAGATCCCTCCCCAACACTGGACACGCTCCCCGGTCCTGACTCTAGTCCTTTAGGTCCGTTGACACCCTTCGGGGACTTCGTGGACAGAGCAGTCGCCGCCGGCGATGCGCCTGTGGTCTTTCGTGGTGACAACTATTGGACCGACGCTGGTCAGATGTCACAGCAGTGCCAGCATGGTTACTGCGAGATGCAGTGCGGCTGTCAGCAGCCGGTTTCTTATACCTGCGACGCCGCGCGTGTTCAACCTCCTCCTCCCACCCTTGTCATTACCCCTACGGCGGATTCAAGCTACAAGAAGTTGGCAGAGCCATTGGCGGAATGGGTCGCCCTGTATGCTTGGAAAGTGTGTACCACGGGGATGGACCTACGCCCCGTCTTCGTAGTGCCGTCGTCGTACGTCTGTTCAGCTTACGGCATTTTACCAGTCACTCATCCTACTGCAGCGGACACTCAAAGCAACAGGCCACCCTACCTCCTAGTCACCTCGTGGCGCGCGTGCGGTCTTTGCTTTTATCGACACTCCTCCAGCCATCTGCCGTATTTCTGTCGCTGTGGTATATCGTCAAGTTCCCGGTCTTCTTCGGGCAGGTCACCATCGGTCCTGAGTTTTTCCGAGAGACGCGTTTTAGAATGGAACTGGAGAAATTGCTCGGCACCGGGACTTACGCTGCTGAAAGGGGTACCGCGGAGCTTGAGGCGGCATATCGGGTAATCTTGCTCGGATTTATGTTCGCGAATAAATGGTTGGACGACCATACATTTTCAAACAAGACCTGGTATGTGAACGCTGTGGCGCCTCTGATCACCGAGCTGATTTGTGTTGACTAGGCACTCCATCTCCAATGTCCCCATCGTCGAGATCAACAGACTGGAACTGCTCGCGCTGGACGTTCTCGACCACGATCTTTCGATAACTCCCCGTGCATGGACAAAATGGCTCTCCCATATCGCGGATTACCACATGGCACTCGCTGCCTGCAGTGGTCACCCTCAGCCCATCGCGAGGCCCTCGAACAGCCCACACTCGATCATCCGCAAGACGATCGATGAGCTAGTACAGGCACCGGCGTCAGCCTGTGCTTCGCTCCAGTCTCACGACCAGTTGGCCAGTGGTCACCCGGAACCCGTCTTCCTGGGTTTGGAAGAACGCCAGCGCCGCAAAATGGAGGAGGAGGAAGCGCGTGCGCATATGGATGATATCGACCTTGACGAAGATGGTCCACTCCGTCAGGAGTACCTGCCGAAGCGTCGCGTCGGCAGGCACAGCTCTCTGCGTAGCAATTCTTCAGCAGAAAGCACCGCAAGTGTTCTATCTGATCGCTTCCTCCCTCCACCATCGAAGTGGAGTCCTCATGCCGACGAACCGTTGTCGCGGTCGAGGCCGGCGGGTATGGGCCAGTATCTTGCACCACTTCCACCGGCTGGCCAGGTTTCTGCCATGCTCCCGCCTCCCGCCCCGTACCCAGCTCAGTATCGATCATGGCCGACCAACGTGCCGTACCTATCAGGTTACTCGTACGACCCGACGGCATTTTACTCGCAGTCCTGTTGTCCCATCGCCGACGTAGGCTATCATCAGCCTGACTCGTCCCATGCGCGTCATCATTCCGTTCCCTACGCTCATTACACAATGGAGCCTCCTCGACTTGGTCATGGGTATAGTGACATGCGCATGACCGCGCGAGAGGATAGTGCCTGTGCGGAAGCGCTGTGGTCTGGCAACCATCACAGATACAATATGTCGTACGGTCCGGCGTTCCTCCACTCTCAACCTCCCGTTCATCTGCAGGGCTGGCTCCGAGCTTAGGTCGATTCACGGATCACAGATCTCATCATCCCAGCAAGCTCACTACATCACTCAGTGTTCCAACATCGTTTCAGTATCCCGAATTCATGGCCCTCCCTTACTTCGACGACATATCCATCCTGTCCATTGGGAACACCTGGCCTCATATATCACATCGATTTCACGTTCGCCATGTCATATTTATCATCGACCGCTTCATGCCCTCTATCATCCGTCCTGCCATACATCAAGGACTCAAGCTCGAGTCTCCCCGGCGAGACTCTAGAAGAATAGGACTCCGAACTTTATACAATGTTCTGGCTTTTAACCCGCGTTCATTGTTCCATATGTTCCACACTCCGCGCACCCTAAAATCCTGTGTCAGCTAATACCTCTCTTCTTCTTCGTGTGTGCCTCTTGGTCTCGAAACCGTCCCTGCTTACCGTCAGGAAACGCCTATGAAAACACCAAAAAAAATCTCCTTTCCTTTTTCGGTTCGATTAACTGGCTTTCTCCCCTGCCCTTTCGACCTCTATCAGCGGCCGTCAGCCCCTTGGTCCGCACCCTCAACCACCCCAACCTCCCTTCTTTCTCAGGCGTCCGACGTCTTGTAAACTTCATATATGCCATACCTGTTCGTGGCCCTAGACGTAGTGCGTCAATGAACACGTCGATGCCACTGTGACAGTGGCCACCTACGTACGAGCCTCGCGCGACTCTCACAATGTAGTATCCGCAAACCGAGAATTGACAATACATTGCACTCGTACACCATCTACGCCGACTATGAAATACATCGATATCAGTACTCCGCACAAGATCTACTCGACTAGATATGCACGACGAGGAATGGGACCTGTATTCCGAATCAGTCAGTATCATGCGACGTGACAATTCAACGGAGGCACACACATCGACGTCCTCGCCATCCTCGTCTGAAACCATAACCTCCGCGATGAGATGCTTCGCATGAGGAGGAATAGGCTTCTTGCTGACATGCTCCACCAGTTTGCTAAACTTCATCGGCAACCTCTCTTCGCTCTGATGAATGACAAAAGTTAGTTGAAGCATGAAAGATGATCGCCCTGGCTATTGCACCTTCTTCTTGCCGATGAAGGAGCTCCACAGCATGCTGACGCCCTGGCTGACCATGCCAACGTCAAGCTTGTGTTCCTTCTGGAACCAGTCGACGATCTCCTGCAGCGTAGGGTCACCTTTGAAGTCGAAACGGTCCCACAACGTCCAATCAATGTTGCCGTACTTGCTCTTCTTCGCAGCAATTGGTTCCGAGAAACCGAAGAAGGGAAGCGCGAGGTTGACAAAGCCATTCTTGTAATCCTCCAGCTTGTTCTTGCCATCGATGACCTACTCATTCGGCAGGCATGTTATACATGTATCACGATGTTGACCTGTCGACGCGTACCTTGTACAGTTCGAGGCAGACGAGACCAGTGATGAGTGATGTCGTCGTTGCAATAGCGGGTATGATTTTGCCAGCAATTTGTTTCGTAGTGTGCCGGTCTGCGGGATTGATGTTGTAGTTCATCGCCCGCAGATTGGATGCAGCCGTGATGAAATCAATATGGTGATTACTATCATCATCCTTTTCAAAATGAGCGGGAGTCAACCGGTAGCCAGCAAGCGACGAAGGCGCAGGCAACTTCTTGACGAGTTCACTTTCATCGACGTCTACAAAACCTTCTGTTAGCACGGCCGGCTACGGCACCGTTGTGACGCCGGTCCTCACCAGCTCCTCCACTTGCATCTTGAGCAGGGTCGTTCTCGTTGACCTGAATCCTGACTCCACTCTTCGGCGTGAACTCCGGGACGATGACCGAATCTGCGACCTTCTTGAAGAGATTTGGATCGTTCTCCCCCTTCAATCCGTAATTGGCAGCACGAAGGTTAGCTGCAGCGATGATGTATGACAGATGCGTAGGCTGCGTGCAGTTTGTCAATACCTAAACCACCACAGCCCGACGGAATCACTAACATCGTTCGAGTTGAAGGTGAGTGGGTCAGGTGCGCGCTTAGGGCCACTCCAAAATGGCTGTCCAGTGCTCGTCACCGCATCCTTCGGCAAACTGTAGAGCAGCTGTCGAATGTTGTTGTTGTACTTCTTCTCGAACTGTAACCGTGCCCAGACAATGCACTCCTCGAAGGTTAGGGGTCGTTCGGTAACCAGGTAGGAAACTATCTGCTCGAGTTGTTCTTTTGATTGACCCGAATGCTTTATAGTAGTCTCAAGGTAGTTAGGCTCTGATAGGTACGAGTTGACGGCCTGGGGAGGCTTGACGAAGAGATCGTCGAAGTCCGTGCGCGCCCACTAAGAGGAAATCAATATCATTCATGAGAAGTGATCTGACTTTTTACCTCGATAGTATGCTGGATTGCGTTGGGGAAGTTCTTGACCGTGCACGATGGAGTTTCTTTCTCCGGAGGATCTTGAGACGACGAGTACGACTCGGTAAGATGAGGGTAGACGACTTGGACGTTGCCTTTGGTGCCGAGCGTCCCAGACTCGAGGAGAGGTTTCTCATAAAAGACGCAACGACGGTCCATATACTCGCCTGTCTGTTCATCAGCGCAATGCCAATTGCAGCAGCCCGGACGACTTACGTGCTTTTACGTTATCCAGGGCATTGGTCACGCAATCGATGTCCGCAAAGAATTCATCGCCGTAGATGTCTAGATTCTCTTTAGGACGCTATGACAAGGGGCGAGCGCGCCGACTTACTCTCAGTATCTGGGCCCACAGGTTCCTGTTTGCAAGATATATGACCTTGCAGATCAGGATTCATGGCAGCAACTGCGGCGGCAGCGACTTCAGATTTGAACTTTCCTAGGTCCTTAGCCCGGAACAAGAACTGGCGATTGAGGTTACTCTTCTCGATTGTATCCAAGTCGGTGACATGAATTATGCCTCGGGAACCGGAGCCGACGCCCATCATGCTCCAATTCTTGAGCATCTCGCAGCCGATGGCACCTGAGCCGACAAGGAATACGCGGAAACTGCTGATCTTCTCTTGGAAAGCTTTGCCGAAGACAGCAATTTGTCCATCGTATCGAGATCCGATGGGCTGGCAATCGGCTTCCGTCGGAAGCTCTTTAGGCAACGACTCCAAGGAATCGAAGTACAAATGCTGAACCATGGGGTGGAACTTGGCCGAGCAAGCTTTCAGAACCTCCTGTGCCACAAAGCCTCCGATGACAGCAGCCAGGGGAGAGAGGTCTCCAGTTGCTTGATAGGATAGTTCGCGAATAATCTTGTCGTCCACGTCGGCATCTATCTTCTTTGCCAGATCAACAACTATCGCTGCATCATCGGCATTTCGAGGGCGAGGAGAACGGAGGTGCTGGGCACGGAATTCCGCGAGAGCCTGGAACCCAGCATGAAGAGTCTTAGGACGCTCGAACTTGGCGAAGTCAGTGACAAAGAATTCTGGCGACTTGATGGACTCGCGCAGAGATTTCTAACAAATTTCTGAACGTCAAAACTTGATATTCATCTCGAGAAGATTACTCACGAATTCAATGATCTTTGGCATCTTGACCTGCGTAAAGATACCGCCAGACTTGTAATCACCAAGGTTTGATGTGTCTCCGATGGTGAAAGTATAAGGTCCCTTCACAGAGACCTTTCGAGGTTCGCAACCGTTCAATTCCTCCATGCCCTTGACCTCAGAAAACGTAACGAAATCGCCATCCTCGAGGCCGTGACGGGTCTCGTCAAGCGTGGTCACAAGACCCTCCCTATCCTTGGCTATTTCAACTACCATTCCTGTCAGTGGTTGTTCGCCAGTAGGGTCGACACAAGTGAATTTAGGTCCGAAGTCAGTAAATATAGACCTGGAGCTCGATGAGTCACGTTAAACCAATCGAAATATGTCATGCCCACCCGAATAGACCACGCGTCTCGGCAGAGATGAAGTGCACGCCATTGGCATGGGTCCAATCATTGATCTCAAGTTGCTTGCTGAGGGGGACTCCACACAAGACAACGACCTACGCCGATGCATGAGCTAACAACATCGACACACGCAGCGCAAAGCGCATACCTGGAACCCTTTGATGAGGTCCACCGTCAGTTCCTGGCCAGATGGAGCATCAAGCACGCGGACGGGGACATAAGCATTCAACTCGGCGAGACGGCCGACTGTCGCTGCTGCGCGAGGCTTGCCGATATCTTCTTCCCTCAGAAAGAACTAGACATAGTATTAGGCAACTCTGGATATTTTTATTTTGAGGATCGAGCATACGTACTTGGGAACTGAGGTCTGCAACAGCCACGGGCTCGGGGTCATAAATCGTCACTGACTTGACACCCGCGAGAGCCAGGTTTTTAGCTGGATAGTGGTTCGGCATTCCAATTTCAGTGAGAACGGGATTACTTTACTGGAGATTTTGTTGCGCACCGATCTCAACACCTAGGCCTTGGAGCCCGATAACGAGGACATTGGAAGCAGCCATACGCTTCATTGCTGAAGTATGGACATCAGCACTCATGCTGCACCATTAGCACAGATAAGTCCTTGCCTTCATGTCCTAGCACATATCTGTCGGGATATCAGTACGTGCCATCGCTAAAACACCGGCAATATTACTAACAGCTGGCGAGAGTACAAACCCTCATCGATCGCGGTTTCGTCGATATCCATGGAGGATGGAAGATTGCCCGAAGACATGGTCGTGTGCGTTGGTCGTAACCGATCAGAGTCGGTCGATACGTCGGATGAAGTGAGCGCAGATGCAAGCTGTAGTGGACGCGACTGCGACAGATTCAGAGAACAGCTTAAGCAGGCTTAAGCAGACGCGCAATGGGGATCGACCACGTGAGAGCACAATTACTCAGATTTCTACTCTACGCTCTATTCGACTGGAAGGGGGTCGTTCCGCCGACCCAATCCTCGCTAGGCTCGCGTTTCTGATTAAGAGTGCGGGTACGGTGGATCCAGGGATAATTCGTTTGGCGCAAAACATCAAGGCTGCTATGACATAACAGCCCGAGCACTGAACACTGTTGGACTCACGTGCGATTTCACGGTGCTCGGAACTCGGCGGTTAAGTAGTATTATTATAAGCACGGTAGATAGTCCGCCTGTCAGTTCTTACATAGGTTTGTGCTTTACGTTCATTCTCAGCGCGTGCCTGCAGCGCTGCTTGTTACACAGATTCAATCATAATGGCCACAACGTGTCTTTGTCACGCAAAATAATTTAAGTTCTCGACCGCGAAGCTCGTCATCGCTCGACGTTCACAGCATGCAGGTCAGGTCGGCATGACCAAGGCCACATTGTGAATGACATCACTGAAGCCCGGACTACCGAGGCCCGAGCAAGAGAGTGCATTTGCAGGTGCTACATAATAAAAGTTCGTCACAGTAGGCAGTGATATGCGCGGAAGCCTGCCATGCAGTGCATATCCGCTCCACTTTGCCCGTGCTGATATACTCTAATCGGGAGAAAAGACAGAACAAAGAGGTCGCGCAAACCCAATCGCCGGGAGTACTCGTACAATTGACTCCACCATCTACCGGATTTCCTCATGATACTGGTGCGGGCCATACTTCGCCGGGCGGCGAGAATGACGAGTGCGGAGGGGAGCATGTATGCGAGATGTGTGCGAGCGCGGCCCTCGATGGAGATGTTAAGCCCCGATCAGGTATCCGCCTCTCCATAGGGCTGCGGCGAGGTGGGGTATAGGGGCGGTGGGAATGCGCTCTCCTGATCGTCGCCGCGTCCTGCTCAGCGCCGATCTGACCGCCGTTGGATAGTTGTCCATAAGCATGCGGATATCCTCATCCTTGGTCGCTCTGTATGTAGGGCTTGCGATGGGATATGAGCTCGCGGGATATACGTAGGACGTGGGCCAGAGTCTGAGATCTTCAGATGTGCCTTCAATGCGCCTGGAGGCCGCAATTTGAGGTATGATCGGGCAGCGACCGTAGACAGGCAGGTGGCGGCTTGTGACGGGGTATGCCGACGACCTGCGAGTGCGGATATGCTCCTTCGGGAGAATGGGATCAGCGGAGGGATTCCATTCCGACGGCGCTGGTAGAGCTACTTCATCCGGTCGCGACAATAAACCATTCCGCGAAGCACTGATGACTTCTCCAAGAATGGAACCGACGATTCTGTGCGGCGTGTCCGCAAGGTGCGAGGACTCAACGTGGAAGTGAATTAGATGACCCAGCCACCGACTGTAGGCGTCGTCCGTGACCGAAAGCTCGTAATTGAGAATATTCAGCGCAGCTCTCTCCAAAGCGATGAGCGCTTCTCGCGAAATGCGGGTGTTCATGGACCTACTCTCCAAAAGCGCATGAGAAATAGAAAGAAAGGTTATTAATGAACACGTACCACTCGGACATGCGGTACGTGCAACAGTTCAGCCATTTGTCCGCCAGCACCATCCCAACTGTGACCATCTTGACAATCCGTTCCTCCAGCGTGAGAGGCTCACCCCGATAAAGCGCCTCCCAGAAGGGGTATGCGTCCGCGGGAGGTAAGAGTGACGTGATGTGCAGTATAGTGAGGGTGTAGTAGATGGCGTAGATAACGCAAGATAGTTCCATTGGCATTGCCAACAAAACCAAGTAAATGCGATCGACAGCACATGCCATGTCGTTCGTAGGATCATGCGAGCTGCAAGGAAGTCATGAGTAAGGGACAATCCATACGGAAAGCAACATACAAGCCGAAGGGAAGAAGCCCGCTCCGAGTCTGCGCGCACACGTAGTCTACAATCCATTCCGAGAAAGGTCTTAGGCGAGCAAAGTCCCGCGAAGGGTGATGTTGGCTGGGTCTACCGGCTCCGATCGGCAGCGGAGGGATAGAACGAGCTCGCCGCGGAGAACGGCCATTCGTCGCGGGATGGAGTTCGTTGCAAGGGCTTATCGGAGGATATGGAGAGATATGCAGGTCATGCGAGTGGTCCACAGGAGACCACCAGCCATTGGTCGTCCATCTGACCTTGGAGGCAGGGCTGTCGTCAGAGCGCGGGATCGATCTTGGATCGATCTTGGCATGTGTATGGACGGAGTGCAAGCCAACCTTTCCACTGAATTTGGGGCGGTGGTAAGGGGCATTGGCAAAGCGAGCCGCCTTGACAGAGCGCTGCCGGCGAGCAACGAGCGCATCACGAGGAGATGCAGGACCATAGGCCATCGTGAGCGGAAAGACGGGAATGAAAGGGCTACACGCCCAGGTATATAGGCGACACCCCTACGGGTGGCCCGTTGTGCGCTCTAAGTTCCGATCTTTGGTGGCTTTGTTGGGCGATGGTCAGAGGGTGGCACAATGCACAAACCCCGGCAGTGGCTTCGTTAATGAAGAATGTCCCCCACTGGGCAGCCTTGGCGTTTCTAGTCGTAAAGTCGTCGTAGATGTACAGCCGAGAACGCGTGATGCAAGAGGATAGTCCGCTCCGCGCGGGGATGACCCTCCAAGGAACAGGAGGATGAAAGCGAGAACAGCCGTTCCACTGGGAAGCCGGGCTATGGCCGGGCCATGGCCCGGCTCTGTAGCCCAGGTGCCACAGCAAGCCAGCTCAGGTAAGCTGTCCGCGTAATAATTAAGTAACCTATTGATCGTTGGCCGAAGCCGTCTGATCAGCGCGACGAAGAGTACAAGGCGGTTGTAGGATAGAATGCGGCATAGGTCCGGGAAGGAACACAGGACTTGCACAAGATCAGCCAAGAGCATGCTGTAGACAGACGACATATTCTTTACGGCAACACTGGTGTTTTATAGGATTGCAAGGAGGGGATTTATCCCTTGAACTAGGACCATCACCACCGATGGTACCGACGGTTGGCCTCTACGCGGCTCAAGGGACTAGTACCCTTCGGGGGAAGCTAACAACCGTTCCTCGACCCTATACGGGGAGGAGAAGAGCGCAGACCGCGTTCAACGTCGTACAGACGTCTAGCCACCCAAGACCGGGTAACCAACGCTATAGCACACACCTCCGCAAAGTTAATGGCTACCTCTCCACCCATAAGAGTAGACTACTACCTACTACTTATACCAACGTGCATACAATACCAGGACGCCCTAGACGTCGTGTACGCATCCCAGTGACCTCCGCTAGACCGCGCCACTCAAGTAACCAAGCCTGAGGTGACACAACGCCAGACCACCGACCCTAAAACCACAAGATACAGAGGCAAACCTCGAAACATAGATCCGCCCCTTTCTTAACCCTGCGTCACACTCCCGCAGGAAGACGGCGACGACCGGTCAACCTGGCTGCCCCCTACCTCACACGGGGCGACGCCACACAAAGTACCTAGTCGGGCCGGAGCCGTACCAAAGGAGGCCACCCGCCGGCAAACCACGAGGAAACACGAGTGGAACAAAGACAGAGACACAAAGGAGTAGGGGCCGCACTCCAGGAGCCATGCGCAGCTGGGGACAAAGACGATCGGGACAGACCAAAGGTATAAAATCCCTTATCTCCCCCTCCCGCCATCCTCCCCTTCAACCATCGAACTGACTACGCCACCCTACGCGCCCCTCGATACAATACACTCCCACCCTGCCAGACACCTGACATCCACAATGGCAAGTCCGGGCCCCAGCGCGTAGGACGATGACTGACCAGTAATGTACAGAGCCAACCGAACATGCTGCAGACCCTAGAGATCTCCCTAATCGACACGGGACGATCACCTAAACGTGCCCGCGCCGACGAAGACGATCCCCAGTCCTTGACTGACTCGGAGGCGCGCAGCGGCGAAAGGAACACTATAGACGATCTAGACTCGCGCCCCCGCATCCCGCTCCCTCAACGCTCCATCTGGCCCAGCCCGACCGCACCGCCAACTTTTACGGACGAGAACCCCCATATCCAAACATCGAGACGCGGAGACCCCCCAACGGCCCGCCCTACCGACCAGTCGGTCGAATTCCTAGACGTGGTCTTCCCCAGAATCGGACTTAGTATGGCAGATCTGTTGGAAGGGATGGAGACGGCCCAAACTACGCCGGTTCTAGCTAACCCAGGCGACTTTCTCGCCATAGTGCCCTTCAACGCGGGACAAGACCTCTTCGCCGCACGCCCAACGCTTCACGCCGACATTCTGGAGTTCATCGTGGCCCTCCGTATTGACGTCGGACCGCCGTCTGAGTCGGTAGGGAACGCTAAACGGCGACTGGACACGCATCGCCCCCTCGCTAAGAAGAATTCAAGGCGCTCGTTCGACAAACCATGGACAATCCTCCTGACTGGCTGCAACAGCCACGAACGCGCCTACCTGCTATATCAACAGACTTTCGCAGTCAATGAGGACATCTGCTTCCACGTTCTGTCCTTCGACCCGAATTACTACGAATGGACCATTATGCATATCTCCGGGGACGCGGTCAGGGCCGCCGAAGACCAGGAAGCCCTACCGGAAGTCAAGAACGAGATCCTAACCGCCATCAAGACGGTCCTCTGGAAGGACAAGCCCTTCCGGAACTTCGTAGATCAAGTTCTTCGCGCTGCCGGCATCCCCGGCACGGTCAATGACCGAGTCGCCTACGCCACGAGCTCGTTCACACTCACATACATCCCCCTTCGCAACCAACAGGGGAGGCTCGACCCCGTAATGCAACTCATGGGGCGCCCGATCGCAACGAACTATGACGAACACCGCCGCTGGCTCGCGCTTATTCGCAAACCAAGCTACTACGTCAAGGGCGGACTGAAGAAGCTGCTCATAGAAAAGAAAGACATCGAGTGCGCCCTTTGCAAATCCGTCACTCACCCGGCATGGGACTGCCCCTTCCCGAAGATAGCAGGCTGGAGCGGCCCAACGGAGGCGAAGCCCACCCGCGCGAGGAGCAACAACGACAACGACCGAGGCAACATGCACCCTGGGAGAGGCCGCCGGGGAACCTCCAGAGGCCGAGGAGGGGCAAGAGCCTCAAACAGACGCGGGGGATGGGAGACCGTAACCCGATCCCAGTACGGCAACCGGTGGTAAACCCGGGCCGTTCTCGTTAGCGTACTATCAAACCCCATGTCTGTAACAAAGTACGAAACCAACAATAGACGATACCATTAACAATCCACCTTGGGGGGGAACAAAGCACGGAGACGCCATACAGCCCAAATCTACTGAGCCGTAAGGCGACAGGAAAGCTGTGGAAGCGTATAAACTACTAACGTTGTGGCTAAAGGTAAGTAGAGTCCGGCCGACGGTAACGGCAAAGCTGACCGGAGAGCACGACCGCCCCAACGGGTGCTCGTCCGGGAGGCACCTACTAACCGTTTCTAGGTCCTGCTAACCTAGGAACGGCACTCAACACCAAGCAACGAACACCGACACGATTGACACAGTAAGCCCCCTACATCTCCCCAGCACTGACGGTCACCTAGGCAATGGCGGATCCGCCCTCGGAGGCGGTATCTGTCGCGCCGCTGGCAGATCCGTCGAGGATGGGGCGTGTGGTAACGGCAGCGGGCAGGTACGGCTCGATGGTGGGGAGACCGGGTTGAGGACAAGCCCCACGACAGGGGACAGCACCCGGGACAAGGACCCGTCGCGACCGACCGAACAGTCCTCCGACAGAGGACGAGAGATGGCCTCAGAGCAAGGCCGTCAAGTAGTGCAGACCGCGCTAGGACCCCAGCAGACCGCTGACGGCCCACCCACGCAACGCGAGGGGCGGCAAAATGCCGAAGATAGACTGCGAAAGAGTCAAGAGCAGATGAATGCCATAGAGCGCGAGCTAAACAGACGCCTCGGGATAAATCCCAATACCGGCAGAGCAAAAGACAGACCCAGGCGGAAACCCCCCAAGGCAATGAAAGCCGGGATAAGAATTGCATCACTAAACATCCGAGGTTTCGGACAGGCAAACGGCCAGGGCAGCCAAAGCAAGTGGCACCACATAAATCAACTGATGCGAGAGCGAAAGATCGCAGTGCTGCTTATACAAGAAGCCCATATGGATAGTCAGAGGAGGGATGACATAGAAGGATTATTCACCAACCGTCTCCGAGTCTTCGCGTCTCCAGACCCAGAAAACCTGACGGGGAAAGCAGGCGTAGCAACCGTAGTAAACAAGCAGCTAATCCGAGACTGGGAGAACATAACGGCGAAGGTGGTAACACCCGGACGAGCAATGAGCATCGAGCTTAAAACACTTAACAAAAAGAGACTTACTATACTAAATGTCTACGCCCCGAACGACCCTCAACAGAACCTAGCATTCTGGATAGACATCGATAGCCACTATTCAATGAATCAGAGAGAGCCCAAACCAAACATGATTGGAGGGGACTTCAACCTGGTGGAAGACGACATCGACAGGTTACCGGCCCATCACGACTTGGACCAGGCTGTAGAAAAGCTTGATGAAACGACCAGTCGACTCCGACTTGTAGACGGTTGGAGGAGCACGTACCCAGATAGAAAAGAATACACATTCTACCAGAAGTCAACCCTCTCACAGTCACGAATCGACAGAATCTACGTGACCCCCGAGATCCTAGAGACGGCGAGAGAATGGGCGATAACCACAGTAGGCATCCCAAACCTAGACCATAGGATGGTTTCAGTACAGGTCACCGATGAATCAAGTCCAGAAGTCGGGCGCGGAAGGTGGTCTATACCACAACACGTACTGAAGGACCGGGAGTTTGCAAGACTAGCATACAAAGAAGGAATGCGAGCGACAGAGCGACTAGAGAAGGTGACAAACTCACGACGAACGTGGTATGAAAACCCGCAGGTAATCTTCGCCGACATGAAAAAAGAGATCCTCAAAATAGCCAGACAGCGGGAACGAATAACGGTACCCCGGATCATAGAAGCGCAGAAAGCGCTGGAGAAAGACATTGAGAATGTTCTTAATAGCGACATGAAAGAGGAAGAACGCACGAGGGAAGCCGGAATCCTGCTGCAAAAGCTGGAAGACCTGGAAAAGAAACGGCATAGGAAGGCGAGAGATTCCGTCGCAGTACGCGCACGTCTAGAAGGAGAAACGATCAGCAAGTACTGGATCCAAACGAACAAGGAAAGGAAACCACGAGACATGATTTACGCACTCCGCAAGCCAATACAAAATAGAACACAAGAACCCTGCGATGCAGAATATGAGAAAGACTCCGGGAAAATGGCGGAGCTGGCGAGAGACTACCACAACTCGCTCCAAAGCTTAGAAAACCCCGTGAGCCCGGAGATCCGAGAGAGTGTAATCAAGGAGGTCCTGCAATCGATAAAGACTGAGCCAGATCATCGGGGAAGGGCGACCCTAAATGGACTGATAACCGAGAAAGAGGTTACAGACGCTCTGAAACACTCGAAAAACGGAAGCGCAGCAGGTCTCGATGGAGCGACCTATGAACTCTGGAAGACCCTTCACGCACGCTGCATCGAGGACTCACGTCATGAGGACAGGAAACCTTTCGACATAGTGAAGATAATGACCGCCGCGTTTAACGACATCCAACTGCACGGTGTTGACCCTCGCACTAAGTTCGCGGAGGCTTGGATGTGCCCGCTATACAAGAAGAATGACAGGAACGAAATAAGCAACTACCGTCCAATATCGCTCCTGAATACCGACTACAAGCTACTCACAAAAGCCCTGACCCTGAAGCTCGCGGAAGTCGCAACGGACCTGATTCACCCAGATCAGGCAGGATTTGTCCCAGGACGCCGAATCACAGACCAAACAAAACTCACCAGAATGGTAATGGAATATGCGGAAGTAATGGAGGAAAACGGCATGATAGTGGCACTGGACCAAGAGAAAGCATACGACAAAATCGCTCACGATTATCTCTGGAAGACACTTGAAGCGTTCAAAGTCCCGGACCTTTTCATAAAAACGATCAAGTCCCTATACGCCCATGCGCAGACCAGAGTCATGGTCAATGGGATACTAAGCTCACCTTACAATGTAACTCGTGGGGTCAGACAAGGGGATCCGCTCTCATGTCTCCTCTTTGACCTCGCGATCGAACCCCTCGCCGAAATGCTACGATCATCAGAGTTAAACGGGTTCAAGATCCCTGGCACAGAAAAGAAACTCATCTCCAGACTGTTCGCAGACGATACTACAGTCTTCCTGTCTGAGTTCGATAACTTCGAAGATCTGCAACAAATCCTCCATAAGTGGTGCATAGCATCAAAAGCGAAATTCAACATAGAAAAAACGGAAATCCTACCGATCGGCACCCCGGACTATCGTGAAGCCTTCGTTGCGAGAAGGAAAACCAAGGGCTGCGTAAGACCTATAGCCGACAACATCCACATAGTGGAAGAAGGTGAAAGCATTCGCCTTCTAGGAGCGTGGTACGGTAATGGTTTCGAGATAGAGGGCCCATGGAAACCAGTCATAGACAAGATTGACACGAACCTTGAAAGATGGGAACGGTCCCACCCAACAATTCTAGGAAGACGGCTGATAGTCATGCTCACGGCAGGTAGTATGACGCAATACTTAACCGCAGTCCAAGGGATGCCACGGCACATCGAAGACCGGATTGCCCGGAGAATCGCAAAGTTCATGCGGGCAGACAAATCGTCCGCCGCCGTCGCCGAAGAAACACTACTTGCGCCAATCGAACTTGGAGGCCAAAGCGTCCTAGACATACGTGCAAGAAATAAGGCAATCAAAGTGATGAATTTGAAAGAGTACCTTGACTTTGGGCCAGAACGCCCGCTATGGGCGACCTTCGCGGACGCCCTCCTTGCGGCGAGAACCCCCAAAACGGAACATAACCTGGATAATACCATCAAAGCCAACATCTTCCTCCAATCGTGGAAAACGAGCACGAGCCACGCGATTCCCATCTCACAGGGACTACGAGATCTCTGGTCAACCGCGAATGAATTCGGAGTCCGACCCGAAGGGATAGCATTTGCGAGGGAAATCATACGCCAAATGCCAATATGGAGACACCGTGAGGCAGACCCACGTATCCGAAAGCTCGAACGTTCCAAACCAGCCATATGCCTAAGAACGAAACACGGAGTCAGAACTGTGGGAGATACTGAAATAATGGCCGATAAACGCCAAAATAACCAACACAAACCAAGGAAAAACTGCAAATGCACCACCTGTAAAACCATGCGAGAAACCGGGTGCTTGAACCCCCACAAATGCTATGTCAAAGCAGAGGAACTCCTCGACACCCTCCCACCAAAATGGAACCCGCGAGGAGTGAAACCAGAAGACTACGAACCGGGAGAAATCATTGAGCAGAATCCAGACGACAGCCTGAACTTCGACCACAGGCTGACGACGAGAGGCAACCTGAGAGAAATCTTCCGCATCTTCACCGAAGGAACCACCACGAATGACCTCCCTGAGTACGGAGGCAACGACCTTATCCCGGCAGGGAACGACGTCGTGATTGCGACGGACGGCTCATGCGAGAATAACGGCGACGCAAATGCGCGTGCCGGGGCTGGAGGCTTCGTAGCAGAAGGTGACGAATTGAACTTCGCAGTCCGACTGCCGCAACACATGGTCCAGTCTAACCAGACCGGAGAAATGATCGCCATCAAAGTATGTGCGGAGAGAATCCCACGTGAAAAGGAGCTGTACATTGAAACCGATTCCAAATATGTCATCGGAGAAACGATAACTCACCTCAAGAAAAGGGAGGACACAGGATACATAGGAGCTGCAAACCGCGACATCGCAAAGGCAACGGTTGCAGCGCTCCGCATGCGGACCTCCAGTACGAGCATAAAATGGATCAAAGGGCACAACGGGCATGAAAGGAACGAAGGTGCTGACCGAAAGGCAGCAGAGGCGGTCCGGAAACTAGTGAGCGACGACGTGCCGCTGGACATCACACCGACCCTACGAGTGACAGGAGCCAAACTTTCTAAGATCACGCAGAAGTTAGCATACCAGGCGATAAGGGAAATAAAAATGAAAACGTACCGGGTACGAGATCGCGCAATGAGAAACGTGAACCTCGTACGGGACGCAATCGAATCGCACTTCGACCGGTCCCCTTCAACAGGCAGGATCTGGAAGTCGATCCAGAACAAAGACCTGGCAAGAGAGACACGATACTTCCTTTGGATGGCGATGCACGATGCGTATATGCTCGGGGACAAGTGGCTACGCCCTAGCTGTCCTGCTGAACTACGGGAACGAAGCGTCTGTGCACATTGTGATAAGATCGAAACAATGGATCACATACTGACGGAATGCCAAGCTTCTGGACAAGAAGAGATATGGGATCTTACCAAAAACTTATGGAGGAAGAAGAATCCAGACAGAGAAATGCCAACGCACTTGATAGGCGCAATCCTCGGGAGTCAGTGCACGGAGATCAAGGATAGCAAGGGCAAGATAAAACGGGGCCAAACAAGGCTCTATCGGATTCTAATCGCAGAATCAGCCCATCTAATTTGGAAGATACGGTGCCAGAGGGTAATAAGAGATGGGAATCGACCCCTGACGCAAAAGGAAATAAGGAACCGGTGGAAAGCCACCATGAACGCCCGACTTAAGATGGACTGCCGCATGGCGGACAAAGCTAAGTTCGGCGCAAAAGCGGTGAATACTGACCTAGTCCTAGAGACATGGTCCGGAACACTGCAAAACGAAAGCCTCCTACCCGACGACTGGGTGGGCTGGTGCGGGGTTTTAGTGGGTATGGACCCAGAATAAAACTCAACAAGCTCGGGTCGAAGGTAAGTCAGTCGATGATCTAGAGGTAAGTCAAGGATTCCCGAGCACACATCCTAATCTATGCTATGCACTATGCGATAAGCTATGCCGTCCGAGTCCCACACTCAGTGCGTAACGCATTTCCTCGCGGTACACACATCTCTGGGGTTGCGATCCCCCGGAACCTTTTAGCGCGGTCCACTGGGAAAGGCGTGACCTACTACCAGTGCCGACCACCCTACGTACTTACGCAGGAGCGCTCCACCAAAAAAAAAAAAAAAAAAAAAAAAGGAAGGGGATTTATTGTGTTTGATTACAATAACAGCATTCGGTAGACAGACGACATATTCTTTACGGCAACACTGGTGTTTTATAGGATTGCAAGGAGGGGATTTATTGTGTTTGATTACAATAACAGCATTCGGTAGTAAAGAGAGAGAGTAAGGAGAGAGATAGTCAAAGACAAAAGGTTGAAGTAAGCTAACAAGGCGCCAGATGGTGACGGGGAGGGCGGAGCATCGGGAGAGCCGTGAGATCGGGTGACCAGAACGTTGTGTCAACAGTGGCGGGGCTTCGAGGTGCGGGGCATCCGGGAGTGGCGGGGCTTCGGCGTTGTTGACAGTCGGGAACATCGCAGGTCGCTGCCGCAGCTAGAGAAGGCGGAGCGCCAAATGCGCGTACGATGTGGTGGCCGGAAGTTGCGTACCAACGATGGCGGGACACTGCGGCAGGGCGTGCAGATGCGGGGTGTTGGGAGTGGTGGGGCTTCGGTGTTGTCGACGATGGCTGACATCGTAGGAGGATGCCCCAGACCGCGAAGCCAGAGAGTCAGGAGCATAGGGGCAGTCGGCCAGTCCTCGGTTCGCGCACCCGGAGTGGCATGGTGTCGGGGTGGCGGGTTGGCGGGTTGGCGGGTTGGCGCCGGCGGGTTGGCGCCGGCGGGTTGGCCAACGAGAAAGGCGTCGCGAACGGCGGGGCCATGACAACGTGGACTCGGGGCGCGGGGAAGATGTCACATGCTCTGCCTTAGGGCCGGTGGCCATGGACCATAGCCCGGCCATAGCCCCCGTTTCTCATGGAATCGCTTTTCTGATGAAAGCCGTATAGCGCTGTGACGCCACCTTATATGCACGACACGTGATTGCGAACGGATGCACATGTGGTCTTCGGACGGTCGGTTTGCCGACCAATCCTCGCGTTGTCTGGTAACAGCGAATCGCGCAATATGGAGCAAGATATCGAAGCTGCTGTGCAGAAACGGCCAAGTATAGAACACTGGTGAACTCAGAATATGTCTTCGACGATGATACCAAGTTTACTCGCAAAAATTTGGTACCACCCATGGTTTGCGTTACATAGTGTGCAAGCTAAGCCATATGATACATGAAGAGGAAGGTTTTGGTATTTCAAGGCGGCTTTATTTGCGGTAGAACTAAATGGCCGAGTGAGTATAAATACGTGGCGAAGCGTGTAGACACTGACATTCCGGCGGAAATTGAACCATAAGGACAGGCAACCTCGATCGAAACTACTACGGAAACCGCTACGATGCACGCTTCAACAGACCGCTGAAGGTCGTGACGGATAACTACGCACCGCTTATGAGAATATTCCCACTCGCGATTCACTATTCTGAATGCTATATCCTCGTAAGGTGGGCCAGCACTGAAGTAAAGCAAGACCGTATCTTCATTCCCAGGCTCTTTGATGATTTTGTATGTGGGAGCTTTCGATTTATCAATGAGATCCGGGTAAAATATGTTGAACTAGGCACATCATATAAGCTTTTGCCCACAGCACAATAAAATCATGCTTTACCTTGTAGCCTTGAACGACCTTCGGGGGAGGGTTATCCGTGCTATTCAGTAGTTCAGACAGCCGATGCGAGAAGTGCATATGCATACACATACTCATAGTGCGTTTGGTTATACTTGTTCCATTCGTATCCGGTGTGAACGCGATTGAAGTATCGTGGTTTTCTAGGCCGATACTTATCTTCCCAGTTATAAGACGTGGAGGATTCAATATTCTCTTCAAGATTGAAGATTTCTTCTTCCTCATCTTCGTCCAAGTCCTGCTCAAGGTCCATGCGGTAGATGGCTTCGGAAGCCATGGAATCCAGAACACTCGCCGGGGCCCGTACGTCTTCCTCCTTCGCAGCCGCTGGTTCAGTCTTGGGTACAAAACGGGAAGCAATCACTTGACGGCGCTGTGCAAACTGCAGGCAGTATGTCAGCGTCAGCATCTAACAGAGTCGCATTTATCACCGACTAGATTTCTCTTGTCTTCGAGGACAGTAACAATGGGTGCTTGGCGATCTTCATGAGTTAACTTCCTGATATCGATGGGTTCGGGACTCATAATTCGGTCATAAGTATCGGCGGGTTCGGTCGCCGACGTCTCCACTTCCGCAGGCTGCTCGACAATTTCAGGCCGAGCTTCGCCTCTTTGCACTGCTTTCGCAACACCGGCCAGAAGCTCCTCCTGCGCTTGGAGGGCTTCGTCCCTCTGCCTCTTCCGTAGTAATTCCAATCTGTTGCGTATGACGACTTCGTGGAAGGATTTCAACTTTGCTTTGGCTTTCCACACAAGTAACTTCTTCAAGAGGTTCTCCCAATAATCAACGTCCACTGGTTCTCCGCTGGACAATTTGTTCTGGATAGACTTCTGTAGTGCCACCAAATGCTCATAGGACTTCCCAGAGAGCAGCTTGTTGATATCTGCCTCCACAGCTGCCGCAGCCTCGACTCCCATACGTTCGTTGGCTTTGTTACGGTCTATGCGGTCTTTGCAAACCACCATCATATTCTGTAGCGGGAGTTAGACGATCAGACATACATTGGGACGAGTTCACCCACAGTCCAGAAGTCGATGTTAGTCTCTGCATGTTCCAAAGAAAGATAGTTCTGGATATCGTCGTGCAATTCATCCACCTCCTGAGGGGTAAGGTTCTGGTTTAAACGATAAATAACCGTTTCTACGCTGGATACTCCGACAAGACTCACGTCAAAGATATTGTACGGCTCATCCAGATCAATTTCCAGACCAGCGTCTTCGTCCTTTTCCTCTTCTTCTTGTCCAGGGTTCGCGTATTGTAGATTCAGAGCTAAGAAATCGATGGCTTTCGCCCTCTTCTCTTTGATGCGAATGGCGGCCCGCCGCCTTTCTTGCTCAAGCTTCCAGTCACCCTCCTTCGCCGTCCATTCCGCCATCTGCGCGGACTCCGCCAAGCGCTGCATTCGGATTTCTTCTTCCTCCCTCAGCCTTTGTTCTGCCTCTCTCTCCGCACGGCGTCTATTTAGTCTCTCCAGTTCCTCCTTCGCTTCCTGACGTCGCAAGGCCTCCTTGCGTTGCGCCTCCGCAAGCGACAAGCCCGATTTCTTCTCCTTCTCAGTCTTCTTGTGCCAGCGGAACTGCTGCCCGAGGTTTGCATCGTGGAAGGGATTGTCGGCCGCGCTGTAGACACTCAACTCGGCGATCTGTCGAGCCTCCTCCTCTTCCCGCATGCGCTTCTTCTCTGCTTTCCTTAATTTGCGCTCCTCAGACTTGTCGCGTTTGCGCCTGCGTGATTAGTTAGGGCCATGGGTAGACTGCGTGTATAATAACTCACTTCTTGTCCTTCTTTTCATCGTCTCGGCTGCGACTACGTGTACGGCGCCTTCTACGTGAGCTGTGGCCCTCTTTATCCTTGCTGCGGCTCCTTCGTCTTTTGGTGTCACGGTCGTCATCATCGCGGGCGGAGCTTTTGTCGCGTCGAGGTGACATAGAACGACTCCTTCGGTCGCCATCCTTTCCATATGGCGATCGAGACCGAGAGTCTCGATGCATGCTGAAGAGCGAAGAGGTGCAAAGAGTGGGTCTGAGTGCTGCGAGGCAGGGCTTCCAATGCACGAGTGTAACAAACTAAGTCTTACGCAGGTTGCGGGCGGTGCTCAGCGAAGCTCTCTCGGCTCAGGCCGACTACCTACCCGCAGCCTCCGGCACTTTGTTCGCCCTCAGGCTATGTCAACGGCGGCGGCGGGGGGAGGCTGCAATCGCTTATCCTTGTCTATGGCTGTCAGGCCCACCAAGGTCATCGCACGTCTGTCTCGGTGTAGGTGCACAAGAGGTTTCCGATCTGAACCCAATTACGCTCATGTGCAGAGGCTATTGGGAGGTACCCCCGCAGCACTCAGTACACCTCGCCAGGTTCGCACACATTCGGCGCTCGTACATATCAAGTTGCTGTCTGACTGCGAAACTAAGCTTGTAGAGTACCTGGATGAATATGTCGTTGGCCAGGAGTACGCGAAGAAGGTTCTTCCATGCATGCATGTGGTAACATGCGCGCCTCTGAATAAAAATACCATCCGTGCAGGTACTCTCGGTCGCGTATGTGCAATCCCGGCTCTGTGTATACATGCATGATTGACTACTGGCGTGTAAAGGATGTTCAACCATTACAACAGAGTTCGCTCCAACCTTTCAGCTTCACGCGCAGAATGGGCTCTAACGGACGACTTTGTTGATGCTACGACTGCTGAGCAAAGTCAGTACCCACCAACAGTTACATGGGCATTCCACAAGCGGCACTACTAACAGTTTACTGCGAATAGACGCTAGCGGAATCAGCTCAGCATGTCTACATCCACATCCATATCGTAGACGTAGCAGACAACACTATCTTTCCGACTCTGGGCTCCCTCTTTTCGAGAAAAGTAATGTTCTAGTCATGTAAGATTATGCTGCAATACAGTATACACCAACTCAGCTGACAAATACTCAGTGGTCCCACCGGATCAGGCATGTCTCGTTTCATCTCCTGCCCTGCCCAACGCTGATCTACGTGGAATACAGGCAAGACTTTACTCGCTAAGGTGCAGCCACTGCGTTGGACTTGTGTACAAGTACTGAGCCATTGCCAACTAAGACGTTAGCCCGTATCATGGATGTGCCTTTCTCGATCAACGATGCGACATCTTTCACCCAGGTATGCTCATGACAGATGTTGTCAGTTCTCGTGTCACTAAATCCGACCGGGGATCAACAGGCTGGTTGTACGTACATGCGCCCACAATGCTAGACGTGTCTCAGCGTCTTTGCCCTAGACGTTGGAGACGATGTCGATGTCTGCATAACTCGCTTAGTACGTTGATATATTCGCATCATGGAATCGTCACTCCTAACATTAACTAGCTCCAAGCTGCCGACTGGGATCCGCAACGAGCCAGGTTTGTTCTATTCTGTCCTGTTTCTCCCCCAGCAGCTCAACGGTCTCTTCAGCACAGGTATAGTGTACATAGACGAGGCAAGTCACGATGAACTGCAATGCTCAATAATTCATCACAACCTCCTCAGGTGGACAAAATCAGTCGGAAGGCCGGATCATCTGGCGGCTTAGAGGGTTCACGGGACGTTGGCGGAGAGGGTGTGCAACAAGCACTTCTCCGGATGATGGAAGGCTCCATTGTCAGCGTGCAAAACAAAGGGCCAACCTCCGGCGTTAAGAGCATGGGCAATTCGCCGAATACCGAGAGCAACGGGCGTTCATTAAACGGGCCTCGACCCAGCATAGGATTAAGCAATAGTGAGCTGCGCACAAGTTCTCTTTGCTGACCTGACGTTCGAAGCTCACCACTTGACATCTGGTAGCAAAACCCGATACGTATCACATAGACACGTCCAACGTTTTGTTTATACTCAGCGGCGCCTTTGTTGGCCTCGAGAAAATAATCAAGAAGCGCACAGATAAGGGTGTACGCAAACGAGCGCCTTATCCTAGCATCCCCACCTAACGAAAATGCAGTCGATCGGGTTCACAGCGACACTCTCGGAATCGGAGGACAGGACCAACGAGTTCATGCCCTTCTTCACCAGAAACCAAAAGGTGAAGAATACTTCATTGGCCCAAGTCGAGCCTTCAGGTACATGTTGAACACCGACAGACACACATGCGTTTACTGAACGTCGTTTAGATCTCATTCAATTTGGGTACTTCGGCTGGGTATCGTGACGTCCTTCGTACAGTGAACTGACCTCGTTCAGCTTCATCCCAGAATTTGTCTCGCGGTTACCATGCATTGCGACTCTTACACCGTTGACACCCTCCGACCTGCGTCGCATTCTCACTGACGTACGGGGCTCTCTCGTCTCTCAATACACTGCGCTTTTTGCATGCTCCGACGTCGAAATTCGATTTTCTTCCTCTGCCTTGGATGAGATATCCCGCAAAGCAGCAGAAAGAGGTGGTGGAGCGAGGGGTCTGAGAGGCATCATGGAGAACTTATTGTTAGAGCCAATGTACGAGGTGCCGTAAGTATGATTATCGTTGCTCTCGCCAATGCCTTCACCCGCTGACTACGAGGTCGCAGAGGTTCTGTAGGTCAAACATTGCTCGGTGTCTTGCATCCCGTTGATTCTCCCGAAGGACGTCCGATACGTCCTCATAACAGATCAAGTTGTCAAAGGAGAAGGTCGACCACGGTATTGGACTCGCGGACAGGGCGCTTCGTTTTGGAACGCATGGGCAGACGACGAAGGGCGTTCGCGGACATGATAGGCGATGGCCTTGGTCCGTGTTGGCTCGTTGTTCAGCAAGCATTCGTGACCATCGTATGCGGCTTCACCTTGTACACACACATTACAGCTGGAACACAGGACTGCTACATCTACCCATCCTCTCAGTCCACTACAGATGACAATTGTTTACATGGTGGGGTGTATGAGGGTGATCCAAAATCAACAAAGAAACACGCGAAATCCCGACCGGAACGACGACTACTCTGCCTTCGGAGGCTCATCATCCTTCTTCTCTTCAGAGGCCGGAACCGGCTCCTCGGACTTCGTGTCCTCAGGTTTGGCCTCCTCAGGTTTGGTCTCCTCGGTCTTAGCTTCTGCGGCTTCCGCTGTGGCTTCTTCAGGGTTCTCGGCGGATGATGAGGCAGCGTTGGCGGCGTTCTTCTTCTGGGCGTCCTCGAACGCGGTCTTGAACTGGCCGGCGTCTGAACAAGCACGTCATGGCATGTCTAATGACCGGCGTTGTTGCGATGAAATGGTTAACTTACTGTCCGCGTTCGCGAATCGGATTGCCAGTGTTTCTGACGTTGCGGGAGTTTCTGCATAGTCAGCGGCGACCTTCCAGACCCAGCTTCGGTCTGAACCGATGTTCGGTTGCAGGCGCATGTCCGACGAAACTGTGGCGACAATCACATATTAGTCTATACGGACTACGCGGTGATCGTTGCAGATCACTGACTGATGTGGTTAGCGCAGACTTTCAGAGTCTTATCGCGGCGCATCACAAGACGGATCTTCTTGGTCTCTTTGTGCTCAAGAAGACGAACATCGCCGGTGCCGCGTTCCTTCCACTCGGAAGAGCCGGTGTCGAATCGGAACAGCTTGGCGCGCCTGTCGAACATATGAGCGGGCTGCCACCACCGACGCGGAAACATCGATCGCGTGCCTGTCAGAAACAGCACGGATGGCGATGCGATCGATGAACGGAGGGTTGAAAGGAGTCGACGCACATTTTGAAGATGGGCTCTTCATCCTCCTCAAAAGTCTTCGTCTCAACTTGCTCGGTGAGCTTGATGACGGGTTCGAAGTGTACGTCGGTCTCCTCCTCCTGCAACGGACGTGAAGTAGGTGAGCATCAGCGAATTGCAAGTAGGAGGCTGCGGGGAGATCCAGGCCTGCAACGGCACGGCAATGTATGCAAACATACTCACCCTCGGTGCAAGCGCGTCAGATACAGGTTCGGACATGTTTGGCGTTGCGATGTTCGAGAGCAAAAGTGCAAGATCAAGTCGGTACGTGCAGAAAAGGACGCGCCATGATCGGACCCCTGGTGAGCAGAGCCACAGCAGTGGGGGTCCGCCAAAGAACATTCAGCTCGACGTGTCTCGACCAAGCGCAACTGCTCATCCGACCGGTCATGGCACGAATATACCCCTCGACCCTCTGTCTCTTGCTGCTGGCAGCCTTGCCGCTCATCTGCGCTCATGTCATTGAAGTAGGCGCATCCAAGAAGGAATGTTTCTTCGAAGACCTTCACGTGAACGACAAGGTATGTCGAACTGTCTAGTGGATGGGGAAACGGTGCCAATGCAACTCTTATAGATGACCGTCACCTATCAAGTCGGAGGAGGAGGTCACCTTGATATTGACTTCTGGGTACCATCATACCGCCGTTTGCTCGCCTTGTATAATACTTAACCTCTCTTAGCTCACCGACCCGACCGGGAACGCGCTTGCCAAGCAGATCAAGCAGTCAACAGGTTCAGCCTCCATCACGGCGAAGAGGGACGGGAGACATGAATACTGCTTCTCGAATCAAATGAGTGCTATCGCGGACAAACTTGTTAGCTTCAATGTCCACGGCGTCCTCTACGTTGGCGAGGAAGGAACGTACACTTGCAATCAAATGTCTTGCACGTAGGCTCATCTTATCTACAGACACCGTTGCTCCCATCGAGCGAGAAATTCGTGATCTCGCAAATGGCCTCAAATCCGTGAAGGACGAGCAGGAATATATTGTAGTGCGCGAGCGGAGACATAGAAACACGGCAGAATCTACCAATGCCCGGGTCAAATGGTGGTCCGTTTTCCAAGCTGTCGTGCTGTTCTCTGTGGCAGCTTGGCAGGTGTACTACCTAAAGGTCAGCGTCCGTGTTCCCCTATGATGGCCCATCATTGACCCTGTTTGTAGTCGTTCTTCGAGACAAAACGAGCATTCTAATACATGCATGACGATATCATCCTATATGCTACTGGGCCCCTGGGAATTGTACATCTGTCGATGGATTTTGTGGATGCGTATCTTATGCTCGAAAGCGCCTATGATAGGTTCTGAGATCTTCCCGCCCACTACGACCTACCAACAACCAGTCTACCCGCAACCCATACTCGGGCTACGTTTCTCTCGTCGCCTGTGTTGATCCATCTTTCGAACCTGATCTCTGGCGTTTCTCCAGGCCACCATTCAAACGCCTGACCGCCCTTTTCTTCCGGTCGATTGTTGTCCACCAAGATGGCATCGAAATGTTTTCCAACGTCCAGCGATCCGCTGTGATCGCTGATCCCGAGCGCCTCGGCTCCGCCGACTGTTGCCAGATGATAGGCCCAAACATGCCCGACCGGCCATTCGGTCTTTGGGTCAGGATCCGTGTATTGGTCAAGGGGTTTGTCTTCCCTCTCTACCTTCACGAACGAGTCTGTGCGGTCGTCGAAGATCGCAGTCCGTAGAGGGCCCAGCATGGATGCTGAGTATCCGCCGGCGATATCTGTCCCGAGCCCCAACTTCACTCCCAGCGCCTTATACCTCGGCACCGGGACCACCGAGCGCGAATGTATCATGTTTGCGATGGGACACGCGCTGACTGCGCTGCCGACTGCAGCCATTTTGCGCACCTCGTAGTCGCGCATATGCGTGCAGTGCGCGAGCGTGGTTCGGGATCCCAACAGGCCGACCTGCTCGAATATCGCGACGTCGCGCCCACCGCCAATGGAAGGATGCATCTCCTTCACGCGCAAAACCTGGTCTACAGTCTCTGCTGCGTGTGATTGGACTCGCACGTCATACTTCTTCATCAAGGCGCCGAGGCCGTTGAGTAGGTCGAGCGAGCAGGTCGGTACGAAGCGAGGCGTGATGACTGGGTGCACTAGCGCGTCCTCCGGACCCCGTTTCTCCCTGCCAAACTCGTGCGCATGAGTCCATGTTATGAACTCCTCGGTTAGGCGCAATGCTTCCTCCGTCGTCTGCACATAATAATCGGGAGAGTGTTGATCAGCGGTGACAAGCCCCACGAAACCCCGTAGACCCTGGGCTGCACAAATTTCGACCAATAACTTGGTAGGGGCTATGTGGTTTGTAGCGAAGAACTGTGCGGAAGTCGTGCCGCTGCGGAGGAGACGTTGCACAAGACGAGTGTACAGGTCCTTGGCGTAGACGAGATCCTGGCATTTGGCCTCGTTGGGAAAAGTGACGTTGAATAACCAGTCGAAAAGCGTGTAGTCGGTCGCGGTGCCGATCTGGTGGTACTGAGATGCGATGCGTACTAATCAGCATTGATTGGATTCGGATACCATTGGTTTCAAGTACCTGCGGCGCATGATTGTGACAATCGACCATCCCTGGACACAGGAACTCGTGCTCTCCCATTAAGTAAAGCGGGAGCTCCTGGTACTCCTTCGGCACGCTCGAACGTATCGCCTCTTCCGTTTGCACCGGGTCATGGGTGGCAGGGTCCACGGGTTTGATGACGGCGATGCGACCATTAGGACCTACGACGCAGACATGGTTCGTGCGTACCCGTAGTGCATCGTGAGTTGGTGCGTCGATCAGTGTCCCTACGAGAATCTGTCCAGGCATCTCTGCTATGTGAGTAGCTCGAGGGTCATACGCACGTCCGTTTTATCGGGAGACTAAAGTAGTCGCACGGCTTAAGCTTCCGGCCCGAGACCGATAACTGGGCATACAGCCGCGCGGTATCTCTTGACTTAGACATCGAGCATGTCAACGGACGCTAGCGCTCAGATACCACTGTCTGATCCTATACCCGCTGTGCTTGACCCGGATGTTGGATCACAGCACGTAGACTCTCCTGATAGTCATCCGAGACGTTCTCCTGCAGTTACCCTCATCGTCCTCGCGTCCGTCACCGCGACCATAGCTCTTCTACCTTATCGGCTCCATCGTCGGCATTTCCAAGAGCTGCGCTCGGGTATCGACAGAATAGCGCTGCTATCCGATGCCGTTCAGCACCAACTGAGGGAACAAGGAGAGCTCCTTGGGACGGCTATCAGGCGGGAGGAGCAACTCCGGCTGAAAAGTCGGCTCGAAGAAGCTATGCGAGAGGTTTCTAAACTGAGACGACAGGCGGACGAGCTGAAGCTCTCCAGCGTTGCACGAGACCGTCTCATCCGAGACGAGTTGGAAGGTCTTCGTGAAGAATCTCGACATCAGCGGTTAGTCCCGTTCCTGGCGCGCCCATGGCACTACACTCAATATATGTATGTAGTGAACAGCTCCAGGTCCTTCGGGATCTCGGGACATCCCTAGCTGACGTTGCAGCCTTTATGCATGAAGTTGATATTCGCCAGGGATTCTGGACTCAGCGGCCCGACAACGGCGAGATAGAGCGTATGAGGCAGATCGCCTTGAGATTGCAGAACATATCAATGAACGGGAAACCCGATGCGGTTAGCCGCTAGTCCCAGCAGAATGCATTGCATGTTGATGAGAACTTAGGAGAGCAAGCCTGCGCTCCACGACGACGCACGGCAGGTTTGACTACTGGAATGCCCTCAACGAATTAATCAGCGATCTTGTGTTATCATTACTGTGCAATATGGACTAGATATGTGATTTTTGACTGTACGAGAGTCCATCGGAATACAAATGCAGCGGAAAACAAGACAACAGAGTCGACAGCGAGACTACATATATATGCACAAAACTGATGCGTTGACTTTAACAATACAGAGATCGTCAGGTGGTGTGGTCATGGCCGCCATGCGGGCGTTCGGGGAGTTGTAACAACGTGCCGAGGGCGCGTGCTAGGGGTCTTCGTCGGCGTCGAGGGCCGCAGTCCGTATGAATCGTGATCGGATAGGTCTGCTCGTCTCATGAACTGAAGCGGCATGAGAGGCGAGCCTGGAGAGGATGTCGTTTTCACTGATCGCGGACTCTGCCCACTGGGTGTGGACAGTGCAAACGTCGGCAGGTTCGATACGCGGTGCTTAGGTTCAGGAGTGCGCGGCGGAGCTGGAGGCGTTCCGTCTCGTGTCGGCTGTTGCTGTAACGTTGCTGCATTAATCCACCTCTCCTCTCGAGCACGAGGCGGGGATTCAACAGGTAACACCCGGAAGAGATCCGCGAAGTGATCCTTAATGAACCTGTGATGGAATCAGAATAGGTCTCCACAAAGAGCCCGCGGAAGAAACGAACTTTGATAGCTCTACCCAGCCGCCTCCAACACGGACCATAACCATCTGGGAGCGAAGTATGCGACAAAAGCACAGTCTGGGGTTCTCCTGTTCCCCGATCCAGTACTTGCCACTCTGGTCTTTCCAGGATTCTTCTGCTATGGAAATGCTGATGTCAACCGGTAATTTGTTTACTACATGGCTGACGGCAACGTCCAATCTGTTTTTCGGATTGGGAACATATTCCTTCTTCACCCTCTTGGGAATCTTGCTCGGAGGCGTGGCAGTTCCAGGAGCCCCAGAGAGGGACAGCCGTGCGGCACGGGACCAAGTACCGTGCGACACAGACGTAGATCTCGAGGCACTACGAGTGGATCGAGAAAGGGAGGAAACGTCCGACGGCGAGGGAGAATATGCCCGGAGGATCTGGCCAGTTTGAGCACGAGGACGTAAACCAGCTCCAGGAGTACGGATGACGGGTGTTACAATGGAGGAAGAAGTGGTAGACGCGGTACTGGAGGTGCGTTGTCGTGATGCAAAAGTGGTACTGTAGGAACGGCTGCTAGTCGATGCCCCGTTGTCTCTGACAGGAGTGGCGACGTTCGGTCCGGAGACGGATCGGCTAGATGACGCTGTCGACATCTTACTGATCGAGCGTGAAGGAGTATGCGATGAGTTGGAGCTGTTCCGCCTGGAGCTTGGTATTGCTGGGGCAAGCATCCCGCCTTTCTTCGTTGGACGGACAGAAAGTTGAGTATACCCCTTTTTCTTCTGCGTAGCAGAGCTATCGGAGGCGTTGGAGATACGAGAGACACGAGAACGATTGCTGATGGTGGAGGACCTGCTTTCCCGACCCGAGCTAAGCGCACTGGGAGGACGGGACTTTCTGCCCTTCAGACGGTCTCTCGCCATATCCTCGAGTTCTGTCCACGTCTGCAAGATTCTGTCTTGTTCCGAAGCAGCAGAACGGTCGTCGTTTATCTCTGCGAACGAGGATTCCATGGTTTCCACGACGGTCTTCGTGAAAAGCAGACGAGCGGACAGCTGTTCTTCGGGGGGAAGAGAGATAGACGAGATGTGACTGGAAGACAGCGGCGCAGCGGGAGGTGCAGGGTAGCTATCGATGTGTTCTAAGAGATCGCTTAATGCGGCGTCGCAACCTTGAACCTTGGTCGCGAAGTCGGCAAGCCGGTGCCACCGTGTCATACGAGACTCGGTAGCAGCCAGCTCCATTCTCAACGAGCGCAATTCCGTATCTATGATGGGATCATCGACTGAAGGCGGGAGCTGGGCTGCATCTTGCGCGATGGTGTATAGACTTGATTCCATCCTTGACCTTCGCTCTTCGGATGGCGCAGCAGGGGCGACTGAGGATGAGGGACCATCAGGGTAGATAGCAATCGACCTGAGACGCTTTCTGAGCGAGGCGACTCGTTTCTGTAACTCGCTCATCTCCACGCTCAAGCTGCGAACGATCGGTACGACGCGAAGACCAAAAACATCTACTATGCGCGGTCAGCGATCTCTCGTGAGAACAGGAGCGTTCCTAACCTTCATCGGGGTACCCAGTAGGAGTACGCATGTCTGTGGAATCAGGCCACGCAGCGGATGCTGTATCCGCCTCGTCCCCGTCTTCTTCCTGGATCGTATGATCCAGTAGATTTGCTTTCTGCTCTGCTTGCGTCATTGGGGCTTCGTCCGTACAGGGTGGCTCATTGGATACAGGAAAAGCGTCTTCCTGCTGGGTCTCCGATGGTTCCTCTGCGTGCTCGTCCTCCTGGGGTGTGCGCAGCGTTTCTCTCCTTAAGCTTGCCTGATCCTCAGCATGACATTCCAGCCGATCCTGCCCCTCATGGTTCGTGCGCGCGTGTGGCAAGCGTTCTTGCTCTGGCCCCCATGACTGTTCCTCTGCATCCCGCACCTCGCGCTCCCTCCGCTCTAGCGCTCCTTTCCTCATAGGATTGTGGTCTTCCCTCTCCTTTTTCGACGCTTCCGCTACCCCCTTCTGGTCGCGTTCTCTCTCCCTAAGCTCGAGTTCTTCCCTTTCTCTTTGTTCGCGATCTTCTTTCTCCCTTAGCTCGCAATCCTCCATCTCCTTCCGTTCACGCTCTTCTCTCGCCTCGTGCTCAGCCCTCTCCTTGCGTTCAGCCTCCTCTTGATCACGTAGTTCACGCTCCTCACGTTCCCGCCGTTCGCGTTCTCTCCGCTCTTGCCCCTCTAACTCTCGCTTTTCGCGCACCTCCTGTTTGCGTCGCTCGAGTTCCTCTTGTTCTCGTCGTTGTCGCGCCTCCTGCTCGTGACGTTCGCGTTCCTCTTGCTTGCATCGCTCATGCGCCTCCTGCTCACGCTCCGCTCGTTCACGTTCTTCCTTCTCCAACCTATCGCGTTCCTCCTTTTCCCTGCGGTCCTGTTCTTCTTTGGCCTGTATCTCCAGGGCTTCCTCCTCCATGCGCCGCTGTTCCTCGCGACGATGTCTTTCCTTTTCCTCAAGCTCGAGTCTCTCCTGCTCCCTCCTTTCTCGCCTTTCTTTGGCTTGCGTCTCCTGTAATTCGTGCTCTAAGCGTGCACGTTCCTCGGCGGCCAATCGCTGTTCTTCGGCCACTCTATCCTCCTCCAAACGCTGCAATTCCGCGCTTTCAATCTGCGATAGGCGATGTTTGACATGCGTAGCCTCTTCAACCCAGGTATTGAATCGCAGCTCGAAGTCGTCCAAAGCTCGTATACGGGTGGTAATTAGGCCTTGATGGATGTCGCTGTCGGCACAAGCCGGTGACTTATCCATGCGACGGAGAAGCTCTCTCGGGGGAGAGAACGATCGTGCGATACGCGCGCGGTCGGAGTGCAGCAATTCCTCGAGTCCTGATTTAAGTACGGCGATACGCTGCAGGAAATCTCCGGACGTATTCGTTAACGAACTCTTCACTTTGCCAAGCTTGTTTTCAACGGATTGTATATCGGTCAATATGGATGCAACGGCTATATCGAGCTCTTTGGATATCCTGGCCAACTGCAGGTGGTCGTGCTTTCGGTGAAGAATTTGAACGTCTCCAGCCAATGCCATGGCATAAGAGTTGGAATCTGCGCGTACGTCGGCATCTAGTGCTGTCAAGTCGAATGGCAACTGCAGAACGGGGGACTGCCTGAGAGCATCCGGGCCCGTATTCCCAGAAGGCGATAACACGGGCGTCTTGATGCTCATTTCGAGAGTCGATTCTCCCTGGGCAATGAATATAACTTTGCTCGCGAGACCGGCTGTGAACTCCTCAACGGCGCGTTCAAACAGGTTGAGTGTCGCTAGAAGGTTTTCGTCGCTTTCTTCGCTGGAGCTCGCCAGTTCCGACTGAAGTAAGTTTTTTATAGCGTTATCATATCGGAGCTTGGCGTCTTCTCCTTGGAGTTGTAACGTATGTGCATTGTTCCGGAAACTGTCCATTATGGATGCTTGAGCAAGAAGTGCCTCCCAAGTTTTTACAAGTCTGGCCAGAGCGCAAGCATGCTCGGTCAGATTGTGAGCGCAATCGGAGAAGTATTGCTTGAGGGGATCATTCAGAATGTCCGCAAGAGAGTTCACGAAAGGCAGTATCTCCTTGTCCTGCTTCTCGGTGGTAGCGTGGAGACGAGCAAATTCGTCTGCAGGAGTGCTCGATAATGCGGTTACGAGGCCGATCGGACCGGGACTTTCGGGAGTCGTGGGGACGTTAGAGTGACTCTGACTTTGTCGTCTCCAGCGCTGCTTGGCCATCGCGTCCTTCACCGTGCAACAGATAGCGTCCATCTCTGCTAGGCTCTCGCACATCATCGTGAACGCCCTTCTGGCCGCTTGAAGCTTATTCACTCCTTGAGAAACCTCGATCCGGACCGTAGCCACATCAGAAGTCAGCGTAGATAATTGCTGGAACTGCGCCATGGCCAGCGTAGTAAACTGAGGATCTATGCCGGGGCGCTCCGTGCGCAGCAGAGCTGACTGCGAATCCCGTAGTACAGCTTGAGCCGCTGCGTTGGCTTTATCTATCTCCTCGCACAGAGAGGGCAGCAATTTCACGAAAGCAGCGTGCCGATCCGGTTGAAGGCAGTTTACGGAAGAGAAGTCGGGACGGGATCCATCTCCTTCTGCAATGGTTATACCTCGAAGTAGTTGATCACGGAATGTGGTGAATCGATTGATGAGGTCGGCGGCCGCGGTTAGAAGGTTCTCAACCTTTTGAACTGCTTCCACGCCTTCGTAGTAAGCTCTCGCGGATGACTCCGCCTTCTTCGCCAGCTCGGCGGTTGATCGGCTCTCATCAAGGAGCACCGCGACGATGTCGGCTTTCACAGCATGCTGTTCCGGGAACAAGGGGTGAGAAGGTGCTGGGAAGGTGACCGAAAGCAAGGATGCGTCTGCTCTGGTTGCGGCGCGTTTGAGGAGGGTGGCTACTCGAGACAGGAAATTCGCAGACTGCTTCGCGTTCGGTGGGGTGAAATGAGCGGCCTCGATTTCATCGAGCAGCGCCTGAGCAGTCGACTGATCCTTGAGGTTCTCGGTGTAGATCTCGTCCGCCCTGACCATTCATCAGCATAGCACGGAAGATGTCAGAGGGGTCCTACTTCTTCCACTGCGTGACGACGCTCATCATGAATTTGCCAACATTCTCCATCTCATTGATACCCTTCTCCTCAAGCGTGTCTTGTTCGTCGAGGAGCTCATCCGGCACTGGTCTGCGGCTGATGTCGATCATTTTGTCCAGTAATTTGCCTGCGGCCGTGATCTTCCCATGTCGCAACGCAGTGACTTTACCCGCCAGTTGTACAGCCTCCCTTGAAAGATGCTCTGCATGCTTGAATCGCGCAGCACGAGAGAACCCGGGTTGCGACAGTGAGGCAACCGAGTTGATAGAATTCAACGAAGCCAAGGACACAACAGAGCCTCGGCGACGTAATGGCTGATGAGCCGCTGGAGGAGAGAATGCTGCTGTTCCAATATTCTCATAGACGGATGGAGACCATCGCGCATGGCTGTTAAGATATGTTCGGATGTCGGAAGTGATGTTTGCGAGGTCAACCCATCCGGCGGTCCTCTTTTCTTCCCAAGCTATCCTGATCCCTAGCAAATCAAGATTCTCGGACCTGTCACGGAGAAGATGGAGCAGTCTGTCTAGTTCGAGAATGGTCGTCAAAGTCAATTCAATGAGATCGGTATCCTCAGGAGACATATTGCGTTTTGCTGCGGCTATGCGACCATGAACACAGATCCCATACTGGAGTATCATGTATTCTTACCCTTGGTGAACTTTCTCAGTTTCTTCAATTCCCCGGAGTCAAATATCTCCGTTTCCTTCTCTATCTTGTCGTGCTCGATCAACCAGCTCTCCAACTCCTCGCGGGTAGGCAGGCCAGGGGGCATCTCGGTGGAAGACTTTCGCACTGCTTCCAATCCAACGAACGCATTTACTGGAGGCATGCTTTCCAGGAGCTGCTCATCTCAGCAGTGGCATGCTTGTAACAAGGCAATTGCGACATACTTTGATCTTCTCTACGATCCAAGCCTTGCGTTCGCTGAACGTTTGCAACTCGATGACTTCATGCGATTCGAGCGCCTTGTCATTGTCGTCGTCATCTCTTTCGCTTGTATCTATGGAATCCCTTGTGGACGTTGAGGTTATGCTTGAGTCGGACCTGCCGCGATATAGTTGTTCCTCCATGTCGTGCCGCGCGTTCGTAAAGCCAGTACTCCAGTTGCGACGTAGGGAGAATTGCAAAAGTCAAATCAGATATTAGGGCGCAAGTTGTTCACTGTTCCTTCGTAGAGCATAATAGCAACAGCGAGCGCCGTGAGATGAAGCTTGTAGAGAGCAGCCCAGAGAATTGGACCGCAGGGGCGCCGCACGTGTTGTATGCGGGTGACGAATAATTCCGAAACGGGAAGGAGGGAGAAGCACGCATCGGTCGTAGCGCTAGCAACGTCCCTTGCTTCCTTGTCCAGAGCCAACTTCGTCCTGACTCCTCTGGACTGTGGCCATCGTGTTCCGAATTCTACTGATCCTACCAAACATCAAGATTCTGCAAGCGCTGGAGTGATCCCGATCCGATCCGCTCATCGTCGGCTTCGCCATGGACACTGAGCTAAAATGCAATCGCTTGACCTGTCGCAAGACCATTACCGACAAGGCCGTGGTGGTGCGTATATACGTTGGATACGGAACTTTGATCTAAACAGGCGTCGGGGGCCGCAGACCACTTGTGAGACTGACGATATAAGAGAACGAGACGTTAATGAATGTGAAATTCATCCTCGCAGGCTCGCATATCTTCTGCGGTGCGCAAATGTGTCTATTTGCGAGACGTCCCGACGGACTAGTATTGTAGTTGACTGCGCCAATGAACTGTTCAACGACTCGCGTCTCTGCCCGGGTGAGTATATGCAGACATGCTTTGCGAATGTTGCAAAACGCTCATTGCATGATTGTGGTCCAGCTTGTGAGACTTCTTTGACAGAGCCGTGAGTGGGACCCTCAAGTATGTGTAATGTTGAACTGACCGCAGTCGCCTGCAGTGATGATGTAGTTGTACGCGAGACGATTCATCAGAGCACAGGGCCTGTCTTGATACATACGTCGATAGGTGTCAACATTAAGCCCTTCGAACGATTACAAGACGGTCAGCGAAGAGAGCGGTCGGGATCTGCCCAATCCACACTCATTATTTACAGTCTGTCCTGTCTGGATTGAGCCCAGCCTTGATCCTTGATATCTGCAGCCGGTAAGCTCGCCGATACCGCGATGAGACGACTTTATCCACTGTGCCCAGGGCCATCTCGTTCTGGCAATACCAAACTCACCAAGAATAGTGCGCATATACCCTGTCCAGTGTAATCTGATTGTTCATTCTTGCGATCTCAGCGCCTTCCAGCAGGCCGTATTTCGCAACGTGAACGCGAAAACCACAGAACTCCAGAAGCAATTGGACAGCGTCGTACGAGAAGGTACGCAACTCAGCAAGAGGGACTTACTTGTCAGCATACCTTGCTGCTGTAGCCAACGCCGAGATCAATATACTCACCAACAAACTGGGCGGTGAGTCTTCGCGAACACTGGCATGCGTATCTGTTCGATAGGTACTTCCAGAGCTCGAGCGCGATCTCGAGGTTGAACGCCGGAGAGTAAGAGAGCTTCAGGATGCCTCAAGGGACCGCGACAAGGAATATCAGAAACTCAGACACCAGTACGACAAGGTCAAGCAGAAAGCCCTTTTAGGTGCGGTTCCTGGCAGCCAAAACACGGCCACTACGATCACCACAGAGCACAAGGCCGCTAGAAGGAAGAGCAAGAGCCCCGGGTTCATCGGTGCCGCCTATGCAGGACTTCCAGTGGACGTCGAGGCCGTCGGTGGAGGTTTGGATGTGCAAGGCGTACGAATTTGCTCTTGGGGACATGCGCGCGAACGTGTCACAACCTTCCACACAGATTCATAGGACGCCTCTGATTAACCGCTCGACCGCCCTCGTCAATCACCAACCTTGGGCTCCAGTTGCCATCAAACCCCAGCGCCAACCATTCAACATCGAGCGTTCGGCCAGAGATAGCGTGCACGCCTCCCGTGATTCGCGTCAGAGCGCCGACGAGGTTGAAAATCTCTTGACAGGGCGCGACGGGATGACTCGCCAATACGCACCGATGCACACCGCGGGGGACTCGCGGAAGTTACGCGTGAACCAAGGGCACGGTAGGTGCAGGCGCACGCAGTCCTCCTCATGTTTGATTGATCTTCGTGGCCCGCCATAAGCTGTGCCTGGTTCCGTCGCAAGACGCGGCCCCGGAAACTTCAAGCCGGTTGGCGTACCAGTGTAAAATGTCCACCCATGCTGAAAAACGGACAGCGCGATTATCATGCTCTCGTATTGCTATGTAAAAGTACAATCGCTCTTGTCATGCGCCGATGCAAGAATGGTATATATTCGAAGCGAATGATGGGCGTAAGTCCTCGTAAACGAAAGCAAAAAGGGGCGCAGACAGCGTATAAGAAGTATCTATATGAAACCAAGGCGATACGTCGCTCACGTTCATAAGCCATGTGGGATATTGGATCGGCACGACGTCTCAATCGCGTCGTAATCTGCCGTTACGTTCGTCCTCGAGATACTGGCCGATGGCAACGACGTCTTGACCGGCCCGGCGCAGATATCCCGCTAATATATCCTTGTCCGCGTGGGGTAACACCTCGGAGAGCTTGGTGACCTGTCTCGTAAACTCGGGGTCACTCGCTGCTTCCCCGGCGGTCGGCGACGACGGCTTCGCCTCTGACCGCCCCCACACCGAAGGCCGCCTCAGCACCGAGCTTCGCCTTTTCGCGCTTCCAGCAGTCGACGCGGGAGGGGACGAAACGTCGAATGACCACGGGCTCTCCACCGGCGGCGACTGTTGTGACGTCCGCGCTCTCGAGCCCAACGCGCGCGGCCCGCCGACGACGGTCCCGGAGCGCGCGACCGACCTAGGCTGCGGTTCTGGCGCAGTCGGCGACGCGACGACGGGCTCTGGCGCGGGCAGCGAAACCGCCGTCATGATCGGAGGCGAGATCACGAGCGGTTTGGCCGAGTCCAACGCCGGTCCCTCCGTCTGCGACCTCTTTACGCGCCCAGGGGGAGCCCTCGGCCCTCCCCTCACGACCGGCGCGCTGATCATCTGCACAGGCCGGGGCTGGGGTGGAACCGGCGGATTCTTCGATAGGACACGACTCGCCAAGCCCGGGGACTTCTTCTCTCTGGTCACGCTGTTCCTCCGCCCAAGGGACGCGAAAAAACCGCTGGCCTTGGCGGGTGCGGACATCGTAGCTGATATGGGCAGAGAAATCGGGATGCCGCGCATGGACGACGGCGGGGAGGCCATGGAGGCCAGAGTGGACGTCCCCCGGACACCGGGAATCGAAACGAGAGATGGATAGGGCAGGATAGGCGGGGCAGACGTGGCGCTTGCCGCGTCGTCGTGTGGTCGAGGGGTGAGGTCGGTGGCGAGAGAGGCATCTGGGCGAACAGGAAAGGTCGCCTCCGACTCCACGGACGCGCCTGAAACGTGTCTGGTTTGCCCATTAAATTGCTGCTCTGGATGTGTACTCGGTGCAGCCGTGGGCACGCGCGGATTGCTCCCTAGAGCCCCAGGTCCGTCAGCGTAAGCCCGACGAGAAGCAGTCGAGTCGCGCATACCTCTCGTCTTCATCGCCATGATCCAGTCCCCGAGGCCGACCTCATACTTGCTTAGCTCGTTCAATTTCTGAGCATAGCCCATTGATCGGTCCAACGCCGTCTTTCTGCTCAACACATCGCTGTATTGCATTGGCTCCGGCCACTTCGACTTGATCTTAGGCCGAGCTTGCGCGGGCAGCGTTGCTGGCCTCACCCTGGCGGGATTGCGGGGAGGTGGAGGCAATTCCGGCGACGGTGTGGGCCTGGGCGACGCTCCCGGACTCGGACTCGGCCGCCCCCCCAACGAAGGAGAGGGCGAAAGCTCCAAGAACGCCCTGTTCGGGGACGGCTCCAATGCCGTCCTCGACGGACTGGGGTCCATCCTCGAGCCGCTACCACGCGAGCTCCGGCTCTGCTTGCTCATCCCACCCAGGCTGGGCGTCCTCGGCAGCGCGGAGAAGCGCTTAAAGTTGAAGTTGGCCAGCGTGTTCTTGAAGCTCCTGGACGCGCCTCCGTTGCCGTGCCCGTCGTCCGTCGCGGGCCCGGTCCTCACGGGTGAATAACTCTTGACCCTCGTTAAGCGGCGCGTTATTCCGTCCTCCTCCTCATCATCATCATAACGACCGTAATGCCCATCGGCGGAGAGCGTTTCTTGCGGGCGAAGGGAAACCCAGCTGCTCTTGCTCCTCGCACTAGAGCGCGAGCTCAACGACGACCTTGACTTCTGCCTCGTCACTGTCACAGGCGTGTCCTCGCCCTCGCCTCCGGCACGGGACGATGGTATCGGTATAGGCGCCACGCTCGAGCCCTCGTTACTCGCGTGATCTGAACTTTGCGCAACCGAGCTCGTCGACTGGTCGTCCGAGTATATCGTCGAGGGAGGGAACGCGCCCTCGCGGACGTGACCGGATCGCTGTGATCCACCGGAAAGCTCGCGAGCAGGCTGGCCGGGCGGTCTTTTCCCTTCGTCAGTCAAAGGCGACGCACGAAGAGAGGGATGCGCCAACCGCGACTGGACACCCTCCCCGTCGCTGGAATCCGACAAGGCCGTGATGGAAAAGTCGGAGTAGGCCCTCTGCAGGGGCGGTGCGCGTGCGACGGTCAACTGCGCGGACGAGGTGCTCGGAGCCTGCTTGTCCAGTTCTTGTTCGATGCGTCTGGGGGACGCCGTCGGCGGCGGCGGCGAATGCAACCGCGGCGGCCGTGGCGGGGGAGGCGTCGACGCGGCCAGCTCGAAGATGGCGCGCGGCGGTGGAGGAAGCGGGCCAGCCGTCGCGTGGACGCCTGGCTGGTAGTTGAGGTACGAGGACGGGTGCGGGGAGTGCGCGGGGGAGGCGGAGGCGGGGGAAGGGGAGGCGGCGCAGGAGGTGGCCGAGGAGTACTGTGATATGCTCGCGGACGACGATGCGCCTGAAACATTGGCATTGATGAGACCTTGCGATGACCCTCGCGACAGGCTTGGAGTGAGCCAGGGCTCCTGCGCCCCCAATCCCACGACGACCGGGCCCGCGACGGGCTCGCCGACCGCCTTACCCTCCCCGATGTCCGGTGTGAGCGGACCTGCGTACGCCCTGCGCTTCGTGGGTGTGGCTTCCATATCCGCAGCGACCAGGCCGCCCGCAACGGGGCCCGTGTTCAAGTAGGGCGTCCCGAACGAGCTCAGACTCGTGCTCGACGCGTTCGAGTGCATTGCGGACCCTGGGGACGACGCACGCGAATGGGGCGTCTGAAACACGGGCGGCGCTAGGGCGTGGATCAGCGGGAGGCCCGAGCTGCCGCCGCCGGCCCCGCCTCGATCGGCAATCGAACGCGCCGATCCGGAGTGGGGCCCCGCAGACGGATCGGTGGCGACACTGGCGAGGGCCTCCGGACTGGCGCCGACGATGCCCACGTCGCGCGATCGCTTGCGGCGTATGCTCCGCGTGCGCTCGGCGGCGACCACCGCCTCTGACTGCGCGCGGTGGTGTTGGTGGCTATGCCCGTGCGCGGAGGAGGAGGAGGAGGCGGAGACGGAGGGTTCGAGCTCGGTCGGCGCGCGCTCGTGGTGGACGGGGACGGGGGCGGACATGGGTGGCTCCATGTCGAGATATCTGGTGGGCGAAAAGTCCGGGGGTGCGACGAGCGCGAGGCCTGCGAGGGTGTGGCCGCGCCTGGAGGCGAGCCTGGGCGAAGACGAGGAGGGCCCGGCGGACGTGAAGGGATCGTCCTCGTCGTGTTTCGCGGACGGTTTGCGACGTAAGCTGGGGTGGTGCCGCACGTGGGGCGCGTTCATGTCCATCTCGACGATGGCCATCCGGCGCTTGTCCGCCGCGCCGCGGGACGGGCTGCTCGGCCTGCGCCTGTGGCCGTACTGGGCCTCCTGGGGGCTGGGGGACGTGGTGTGGGTGTGGGCGGAGGTGCTCGCGCGTTCCCCGTCGTCGTCGTCGTCGTCGTCCGAATAGTCCGAGGAGTAGTCCGAGGGCGAGGAGAGGACGGACCTGGGGTACTCGGGCTGGCGTTCAGGCGGGGGCGGGGTCGGAGCGCGTGACCTGGGCGGAGACTGGCGACCGGCATGGGGAGAGGAGTAGTAGGAGAGGATATCGTTCGTGTCGTTCCGCGGGAGATCTGATGACGAACGCGGTCAGAATTAGCAGCGACGTGGACATATACGGCGCGCACGGGGTCGGGAGGCCATGGTGGGCGGCGGTGAACGACTTTCGAGGGCAAGCCATGGTTTGCGACGGCGCTGCGGCTCAGGCTGCCCCGGCAACGCGATGCTCGTGATCTGCGTTCACGCCGTCAAGCGCGGGCGCCCCCGTCGGCCGTCGCTCCATATTATTATTCGATCGCACCCGCTCCTCCAACGAATCTATCCCATCTCGGCACTGCCTAAACCACCAGCCCGCTCACACCGACGCCCATTCACTATCCTCCATCTAATCCTCATCCCACGCGCTCTATCACAGACCTCGTCCTATCTTTATTCGCGCGTCATGCGTCCAGTCTCCCATATGCTCTCCCAGAGTCTGCACCATGTTCCCCAGATATAGCCCGCCGCACACGGTTCACTGCTGCTCGCACCCTCCACCAGAATCGCCGACATGTCGTCCGTGAAGGAAGGCGAGGCGCCCTTCTCCATCCCCGGCATCGACAAGCCGACCAAGACCTGGTACAAGGTCGTCGGCGACCTCTCTTCGTCCGCCTCTGGCCGACCCCTCGTCTGCCTTCACGGCGGCCCGGGAGCACCCCATAACTACCTGCTCGCCATCGCCGACGTCGCCACCGCGCACGCCATCCCCGTCGTCTTCTACGACCAGATCGGCAACGGAAACAGCACCCACATTCCGGAGAAGAACGGCGACGAGGCCTTCTGGTCTACCCAGCTCTTCCTCGACGAGCTCGACAACCTCGTCAAGCATCTGGGCATCGCGGACGCGTACGATGTTCTCGGCCAGTCGTGGGGCGGCATGCTCGGCGCGATGCACGCCATCACGCAGCCCAAGGGCCTCCACAGGCTCATCATATCCAACTCCCCCGCTTCCATGAAGATGTGGGTCGTGGCAGCGAACAAGCTGCGCCTCGAGCTCCCGCAGGATGTTCAGGACGCGTTGACCAAGCACGAGACGGACGGGACCACCGACTCGAAAGAGTACCAAGACGCCATGGACGTGTTCTACGCGAAACACGTCGGTGCCCTTTTTTGGTGTTCTAGTCCCGGCCGCTTACACTCCAGGCAGGTCATTCGAATCAACCCCATGCCTCAGGACGTCAAGGATGCCTTTGACTGGATAGCCAAGGACCCGACCGTCTACCACACCATGTTCGTCTCCTCCGTCGTACATACCGCATACGCGTGTTAACTTCTCAACAGGAACGGCCCGTCCGAGTTCCACATCATCGGATCCCTCCGCGACTGGAGCATCTTGGACCAGATCCATTCCATCTCAGTCCCAACTCTGCTTATCAACGGCCGGTACGATGAGGCCACCGACGAGGTCGTCCAGCCCTTCTTCGACAGTATCCCCAAGGTCAAGTGGGTCACCTTTTCCGAGTCGAGCCACATGCCCCAATGGGAAGAGCGGGAGCGGTACATGGAGGTTGTCGCCAGCTTTCTCAAGTCATGATTAGGTTCCGTTTATCGACATATTTGTATGAGTTGCAGGAAACCTTGGTGTAATGGTACGCCCGGGGGCGGGACACATGGATTTGAGAGACATCAGTGCATATACCTCCCGGTCCTCATCGTCGTTAACGCCTCGCCAATTCGTGCAAGCTTCAACGTCAACTCGGCATCTTCGGCGTTCATACCTGCAGTCTTGACCGCGGTTTCCCCTTTCTTAGGGAAGAGGTCGGCGTCCACGTCACAATGAGCCTCGTTCTCGGGCAACGTCCCGTTCGCAAAGTACGCGTGCACCGTACGCGCCGTGCAAAGGGAGGGCATCGCCGGAGAACAGTGCTGCCAAATCGGTTCAGGATCGGATTTCGAAGTTTGTAGGTAGATTACGTACTCCAGGACTATTTTGGATGAGCAGTCGAGAGGACTTGCCCATCAATTTGTTGATGAGACGACCGCTGGCCAGTGGCGTGATTCTATCGTCGACGGTCAGACATCGATGTTGCTCCTAAAGCCAACCACTGTTCGATGCTTACGGGTCATGCTGAGTAATGGGTCAATGAGTCGGTATTAGATCCCCCAAGGCCTCTATAAATCGCGCTCACCGTGTTGCTGATGATCAGCATGGGATGCTGCAACGTATGGTTCCACGGACCCTCGAATCGCTCGGGCCCCTTCACGGGCCACGCCCAACACCCGCCGTCGGGCTCGCTGACCATCGCGCTCGTCCCAAAGTGCCGCGACACCGTGCGGATCGCGTCCAGGTCGATGTCCGCGAGCTCCTCCGCCGTCGGCGCCTCAGAGGGCGGCGAATCGAGGCAGGTCACCGCAAGTCGCGTCATGTCTTTGCTCGCTGACAGCGGCGGCACGTCCGCGTACGTCGGGAGCAGCAGGTTGTAGAGCGCGGTGCCGTCGCCGCCCATCGCGGCTGTGATTCGCGCCGCTGCGGCGGGCCACGTTGTGGGCGCGTAGAGGTGCATGAGGATCAACCCTGGCGAAGGATGTGAGAGCGGAAAGTGTGGATATGTCTATCGATGCTTACCTCTCACGGCACCTGCAGACAGGAATCCGGGGCGGCGAACGCCAGGACCTGCGACGGGGAGGGGCTCGTCGTAAAGTCGGTCCAAGAAATCGCCGATGGCTTTTTCGATTTCTGCCGGAGAATCGCCAAATTTGACGAGAGGGCAAACTTCCTCTCCAGCCTAGACGGGTTCGAGTCAGTACCAATCACATTTACCCGACCATGGATAGATCGACCTTGGCGCATTCGCTCAAGAACAACTGGTACGTCTCTTCGGCATAGGACACCCAGTCGGCATGCCAGTACTGGCTCGGCTTCTCTGTGTAAAAAATCGTCAGTCCAAAGCATTCATTACGAACCATACCATACGTACCGGCCCATAGCACCGGATTGGCAACGCCTTGCCAGACCACGTCAGCTGCGGAAAGTATGAAATTGTGACACGCGCCGCTCACCATCGATTACCGCTCGGCGTATCCGGTCAGGCAACCTATCCCGGTGCAATCAAAATGATGCTAGGGCACCGTAAATGTTTCCCTCACATGTTTACCAAGTATGCACCTAGGATCGTTCCGTACGATCCCCCCCAGTAGTTGCTGGAAGGTGATAAGGGTCAGCGATCCTTCATAGAATGCAATACAAGACCACGCCCACATCAACGCGTCTTCTCCATCGAAAACCTTCGTCATAAAGTCCATGTCCCTGACGACGTTCGCTGTGCCCATGTACGCCAGCTCGGGGCCCATATTACGCGCGCACATCTCGGCCTCCGCGTTCTTGAGAGCGATCCATTCGCGCTCCTGCGCGATGAGATGTTCGCGCGTGGCCGGGTCGGAGAGGTTCGAGGCGACGGTGAACGTCTGCTCGAGCACCGTGTTTGTCTCGAGCAGAATCTTGTCCATGTAATTCGGGAAGCACTTCACGGCAGGGCTATAGCATACAGTGCTATATCAGTGCGCGGCCGAACGACGCGAGGAAAAGGGGTCACGGACGTTGTGCGTCCGATTCCGCGAGGGTCGAAGCCGATGAGGTCGTAGTCGTGCCCGAGCATTTCGGGCAGCTCTTCAGCGAGACTGTTGATAAGGGTGAAACCAGAGCCTCCGGGACCACCTGCGATTTCATTGAGCTAGGTGGTCCCTCGAGAATCGACGAGAAGAAGAATACTCTACCCGGGTTCATCATGATGCTGCCCTGCTTCGGGAACTTTGTAGCCTTGATCCTACCGAAGAAGATGGTAGCTGTTCCCTCACTGCGATTGAAGTAATTGAGCGGCACACTAACATGCTCGAGTCAGTACATGCAGAAAGGCAAAGGAGGATAGACGATTACACAACCGTTCCGCATTCCACTCCCTTCGCCGCATCGCAGTTGAACCCAGATACAGTACCGATTTCCGGAGCCAGTGACTGAACAGCATAAACGAACGATCTTAGCATGCATAGCCCTCGTCCTACTCACCATGGTCTTTGCAACCTGTCCCGCCGCTGTCGTTTTTCCGTACAACTCGAAGCAATACGACAGCCCATAGGCAAAGAACTTCCCCGCTGCGATCATATAGAGCAGACAACATAGCACCACTGCAGCAGACCAACGTCGGGATCGCTGGGCCTTCGCGGTAAGGCGCTCATGGCTAACCGGAAGCGCTGCCGTCTGAGAACCTCCGAACGCTAGCAGGTCGCCCTTGTAGTCCATCACGGGCACAGCGAGTCCGTCGCAAATCAGCGTGTCGAGCTCAGCCGCAAAGTCTGAAGTTAAAGTGTGAAGACGTGTATTTTATAGCTGAAGCGCTGATCTACGAGTCAAACCGCGAACTGCGCGTCTCTGCTGCGGCATCGTGTCTCCTTTCTGATGATGACGTTCGTCCACATGGGTACATGGGACCATATCCGTTACCAATCTTTGGCTCTCGACTCTACCGAGGATATCACTAAAGAACAATGTCGGCCACTATTACATGGTGCTGAGCGTCTCCGCGTACACGGCCCTTGCAACCGCAGGACCGCGTCTTCTGGACTGGCAAGCACGTCGCATCGTCTCACATCGGGTATCAACGTATCAAAGACGTGACGTGGATTTGCATTGGCGCTTCTCTCCCAGTCGGAGGTTGCTCCACAAGCTCGGTGTGCGCAGAGTTTTCCGAGCGCGCACCGCTTTCGACGTCTTTCCGGCAACCTTCTGCCGGAGGCGCGCTAATGCATGTTGGATTGAATGCCGGAGGACGCTGTGAGGAGCGGGCGCGAGCTTGAGCCTCTGGTTTAGCAACGCCTTTTCGGGGATGCGCCCATAGTCAGAGATTGTACCGTTACGGTATGTATTTCCAATACCTCCCGAGCTGGACGGTCATCCTGACGCGTTTGTCAACGACATTTTCAGCGGTGCTGCCTCACGTATCCAGAAGGCGTATGTGAATGGGCAGATGCGGATGCACAGGTGGCGTCTTGCGTTTCGAGAAAGTCGCCGGTGTTACGTCTCGACATGCCGGTCGATCATATACCGCTTGCGGCGAATTACATCCAGGATCATGTCGTTCTGGAAGAGCAGCCTTCGGCCTCCGTAGCTGCTCGCCGAATCCGAAGGTCGTGCTCTATTCCATGTCACTGAAATACCATACGGGCGCTTTTTACGTGTGTGAGACGAACGACCTGTATAATTCAAAAGCCTCCGCGGAGCGACCCAGATATACCAGAAACTGAATTGACTGATAGCGTGCGCGAGCCCCGGTGGAAGTCTCGATAGCATGGACAATGTCGGGGCGATGAACGGACGCAGAATGGGTTGAGGACGGGTTCTCGAAGTGTCGCCCGGAAGGCACGTTAAGCGGCTATCATAAGAACGTCGGCTTCGCCAGGGCCAGGACCAATATCCTGGCAGTGGTCTGCGCCGCGGCGGATAATTCGGGGACTGTGAGACGACAAGGGAGTCGGTGTGCAGCTGATCGGAGGTCCGTGACGACGCCGTCCGCTGCATCAGCGGAACGGGCTTCGATTACCCCAATGATCGTCGGTCTGCGGGACCATGCCCGGCCAGTGCCTGTGTATAAACGCCCTCGTCCCGGCACTCGCACCCACTTTTTCTCCTTCCCTGCTGATCCGCGCTCCCGCTGGTACCGATGCCCTATGTCGACATCGTGTCCAAGGACGACTACTGCTGCCTCTTCTACCGCACCAACGCCCGCTACAACAACGTCGGCAGCTTCGACCCCGAAAAGCCGACCGTGATATTGCTTCACGCCTACTGCCTCGGATCCGAATGGCTCCTCTCCCGCTTCGACCACGTCGAGCTCCGGACTGGTTACAACCTCATCGCCTTCGACCAACGCTGCTGCGGCCGCACCGAGAATCGCATATCCGAGCGCCACGACAGCTGGGTCGATGCGGCGGATGTAGCGTTCGCGTGTAAAGTGCGTCCACTGCATCGTATCGTCCCAGCGTGACTTTGCGTCGACCGATTTCATCCAGTACCTCAACCTGCCCCCCGCTCACGTCTTCGCCGAGGAATCCCTCGCTGTCTCGTGCGCGCTCCGGCTCGCCGCATTATTTCCCTCCCTCGTCCTCAGCCTCACGCTTTGTAACGTACCGCCGCCCACGCCTCTTCAACGGTCGCTCGATGCGACCGACGAAATGCTACGAAATTGGTGCACCGCAGAAGACATAGAATCTTACGAACAGGCTGCGCAGGACTTTATAGATAACGCCTCCTCATCTGTGAGTAATATATACATACGTAAGAAGCGTTCGCTCATGGGCTCCTCCTCATACAGCAAATCGATCCTGATTTGAAAGACGATGTATGTATATCTCAAGTGATTTCTGCTGAAAACTTGTACACTCAACACATGTGCTCTGTTTCAGTTGGTGGAATGGCTTGAATGCCAGTACCCTCCGAATTACCGAACGCGCCTAGTTGAACATCTTAATGTACAACTTAACGTGGGTCTGGGTCCGTATGTTCTTGCCGACGACGAGATTGATCACCCCCCTCTTCAAGATGTCACCTCTATCTGATAACGAGCTCGCGTCCATTACTCAGCCAGTGCTCATCATACAGGTGTGCACATTGTTCTCACCACCCAATGCTCCCCTCAGACCAATTCGCAGGCAGAGTGGTGCAAGACCAGCCCGTTCAAGTCCGCAGAAGAACTGAAGAACAAGCTCATAAACGCGAAACATGGTGCCAAAGTCCTGATGGTCAAAAGTATTCGACGCATACACTCGACGACATTGATCGTTCCCGCTAACGACGTGCACCACAGGCGCTTGCGGCTTCATGTCCCTCTTCCCCAATAACTGGTCTATCACATGCCGGACGTTTGCAAGATTCCTCTCTCAGTTGCCACACGCACCTTCTTCTCTGGATCTGCCTCTTGGGTACGTCGCGGACTTCATGCGCGACGCGCTCGAGCGCCTCGCTGGTTTCGCTGGTAATCCGGCAATCGCCAGACGAGATCCCCTATCCCCGATGAGCTTCTCGAGGGTGTCAAGGGAGACGCAAGCGGCACAGGAGCGCACGCTGAGGACGTACGCTCAGGGTATGCGCGACGCGTATTCGCCCCTCGGACAAGACGGCAAGCCTATCCGAAGGTCAGTTGACCCCAGATCACTGGCGAGCATCATGTCTTCTCCCGATGGCGCCCAGAGCTCACCATCCCGCAGGTATCGCGATCGCGTCCGGGACCATTGGTTCCACGCCGAGGATAACGGGGAATCGTACGCTAGCCCAGGCGGCGCCATCTTTTCCAGCATCGAAGGCCGACGACCGTCTGAGCCCTTGATAGGCGAGGCTAGCATGCCTATGAACAACACATCCATACAGTCAGGGTCCAGAGAGCTGGTAGGCGCCGGGCGATCTGCCCAAGGCTCGGGTCATATGAGCACCGCCGAAAAGGTGGTCGTCAAAGGCACCATGCGCAAGATAGTCTCCTCCACCGCTGCGTCGATGGCAGCCCCTGGTCTGTTCCATTGACGTCGACTGTTGAAAAAGTATTGTATTCATTCATTCTCCTCACGTATTCTGCTCCCACCATATATGTATCTGCATCACAAACTCTATCTTTATTAGTATAATTGTGCGTAGCGTTAATGTAGATCCGTATATCAGAAACCAACGTGTGATTGTTTGATTGTTTGCTCGACGAAGAGAAGGATGCGTTGGAGACCCCAAGCACAAGAAGATAAAACACAGTGACCATGTTATATTTTTTGGGGGTGGATGGGGTGACGAGTCATCAGATGCTGCCCTCCGCCATCTTGGCCTTGTAGTACCGCACCATCTCCTCCAATCCCATGCGCACGCTCCAGCGGGGTTCCCAGTCGAGGCTCTGCTTGGCCCGAGTCGTGTCAGGCCGGCGCTTCTGCGGATCGTCCGTGGGTATCGGCTTGTAGACGATCTTGACGCGGTTAGGGAGCTCGTCGCCATCCTCCTTCTGCACCTCCTCGACAATCTCGCGCACGAGCTCGGCGAACTCGCCGATCGTGAACTCGTCACCATTGCCGATGTTCGTCGGACGGGTCTCGTCCGAATTCATGAGCGCGATCAGACCATCGATGAGGTCGTGGATGTACTGGAAGGAGCGCGTCTGCTTGCCGTCTCCGTAGACGGTCATGTCCTCGCCCTTTAGGGCCTGCACGATGAAGTTGGAGACGACGCGTCCGTCGAATGGGTTCATGCGCGGGCCTAGCGGAAGAACGTCAGGGTCAGGCAGCACGGAGGCAGGAGACTGATTGAACGTACCGTAAGTGTTGAAAATGCGGGCAACACGGACGTCAACGCCATCCTGACGGTGGAAGCCGTAAGTCAGGGTTTCCGCAACACGCTTGCCCTCGTCGTAGCAGGCGCGCGGCCCGATGGGGTTAACGTGTCCCCAGCTAGTGTATTCCCTGTCAGCTGCGGAGGTACAGCGTCCTGATTGGAGTACTAACTAGTCTTCGTGCTGGGGGTGCACTTCGGGGTCACCGTAGACCTCGGATGTGCTCGTGATCAAAAAGCGAGCTTTCGTCCGCTTCGCGAGACCCAACATGTTCAGAGTGCCCATGAATGAAGTCTTGATGGTCTTGACCGCGTTGAACTGATAGTGGGGAGGCGATGCCGGGCAAGCAAGGTGGTAGATTTCTAAGCAAAGAAACAACACTCAGCAACAAAGCATGGATTAGTACAAGCTGACTTACGATCGCACTCGATCATGAACGGCTCGACGACATCGTGCCTAACCATCTCAAAGTTCGGGTGACCAACCCAGTGGCTGACAGTCGTCTTGGATCCGGTGAAGAAATTGTCCAAGACAGTGACTTCATGACCGAGCAGCATCAAGCGGTCGACGAGATGCGAGCCAACGAAACCTGCGCCTCCCGTCACAAGGATGCGCTTGCGAGATGAAGGAGGAAGAAGCTTGACCGGCGGGAAGCGAGACAGAGTCGTGTAGGAGATGGACTGGGTGTCGGGATGATAGATCGATTTGGACTGGTAGCCGGCGAGAGCGTGGGTGAACCTCGCATGTTGCTCTTCCTGCTCGGCGGGGTTGGGGGTCTGGGATCCATCGGACTGAGCGGTAAGGACGTAATGCGGTCTCAGGTAGAGAGAGCGCAGGACATCGAGGGGGACCTCGCAGTCAAATCCAAACCGCTGAAAGCCCACTGAAGTCATTTCATGGCCGCTCTTGTCGACGGTACGGATCTGTGTGGCGACCATGGTAGGAGGTTGAGGTGCGGGTGCTTCGCTGGCGAACAGAGACAAGGACCGACCTTCTGAGCAGACATTCTTATATGTTCTGGACGTGGCGTTCCGAATACGTGGTAATTGAGCGGATTAATGGACCGTGGTGGGAGAAACGGTGGTGATTGTTCCAGTCAAGGGAGGCGGTGTAATTGCGAACAGGAAACCCGCGCGGGCGGTCTAAACTTGCGTAGACGTATCGGGGATCGACAATCGAACGTTCAGGCCCGAGGCGATAGCAAAGTTGGCGGGAGAAACTGGCGTTGAGCTTTGAGTGCTTGGCAAGGATCTGAGACGGACGAGCAGGACCGCGAGCGACCGGGGACGGGTATAAGTACCTGGAAGGAAGGGTTCGCTTAGCGGGCGCAAAGGGTCGGGCGAAGTTTGCAGCGCCGAGCGGCGGGTAAGGTTCTTCCCGAATGAGAAGTTCAATATATTCTGGCCATCGACCGCCTCTGATTTGTATAACATCTGTTTTCGCTACATCTCGGCATGCCCCGCGCGCTCAAGGCCACTGGCAAGACCAGACACGACCCTCTGCTCGTACAGTTGCGCGAGGACGAGGTGCACGCAAAATATGGCAAGGTCTCCCAGCCAGGAAGGCGACAAAAGCAAAGAACCGACGACGAGGACCACGAGGAGGTACGTTGGTCGTTCATACGGCTTTGGTGTAGTATCAAAACCGACGTTACGATATGCATAGGCAGTACTAGATCCGAAAACTTCGCGGCGGATATTGGAGCTCGCAAAGGATCAGCAAGATGAACTGGAGGAGGCGGAGGATAATCAGGAAGGCGATGGATCAAGAGAACCTCGCATGCAGGATGGTCTAGAGGAAGAGGAGGAGGAAGAAATCGAGGAATATGTGTACGAGCCGGAGGAGGAGTTCGTGAGTGTTCGCACTGCGTGGCCGAGCTGGAAGTTTATGAATCTATTGCAGCAAATCGATGCCGGGGATCTGAAGACGTTAGACTCTCTTCTTCCTCCGGACACTGGCGAGCGACGTACTCTCGCCGATATCATCTTCGCAAAACTCGAGAGCGGCGAGATTGGCCATGTTACGACGGCACCAAAACCAGAATATGGCGAGTCGCAGCGTGAGCATGACGGACGGACAATCGCTGATCGTAGCATGTAGATCCAACACGACCGCCTGATCCCGCGGAGGGCCTGGATCCCAAAGTTGTAGATGCATACACGAAAGTCGGCCTAATCCTGCGGCGACACACTTCCCCGACCGCTCCGTTACCAAAACTTTTCAAGGTCATACCTTCGCTTCCGGGCTGGGCACGCATACTCGCCCTGACTCGCCCGGAGGAATGGTCCCCCCAAGCAACATACGCGGCCACTCGTCTTTTCATCTCTCAGATGAAGCCAGCGCAAGCGCGAGTATTCCTCGAAGGCGTGCTCTTGAATGCAATCCGAGAAGACATCCAGGACCGCACCAGCTCGGGGAAGAAAAACAACAAGCCGTTGAATGTCCATTATTACGAAGCGCTCAAGAAAGCGGTATACAAGCCGAGTGCGTTCTACAAGGGCATCGTCTTTCCGTTGCTCGAGGTGAGAAACCCTCAATGCTCGCTCTTCATCCTATCGCTGACTGTACTGTATATAGGGAGGCTGTACACTAAAGGAAGCGGCTATCGTGGCTTCCGTACTCGCGAAAAAGAAAATCCCTGTCCTCCATTCGTCGGCGGCGCTCATACGCATTGCTGAAATGGACTATACGGGTAGGAGCTCATGCCACTCCTCTTGGCAGTCTGTAGGGTTGACGTTCATCTTCCCAAGGCCCCAATTCGCTGTTCATCCGTGTGCTACTTGACAAGAAATACACTTTCCCGTACAAGGTCATCGACGCCTTGGTGTTCCATTTCATCCGTCTTTCAAACTCGTACAAAGCGCGCAAGCTCGGTGATGCGGAGAAGCTTCCGGTCCTCTGGCACCAATCTCTCCTCGTCTTCTGCCAACGGTGCGTGCGTTTATGCGGCTTCCTTGGAACCGGACCTCACCAGGAAACCCTAATGCACAGGTATGCCTCTGAGCTCACGGCGGATCAAAAAGACGCGTTGCTGGATGTCGTACGGGTGAATCCGCACCCACAGATATCACCTGAGGTGAGGCGTGAGCTGGTGAGTTCCGTCATGCGGGGCGAACCACGGCCGGATGCAGACGGGGACGTGGCCATGTCATGATTTGTCGCCGCGGGGGGGGGGTGTCAGATGAGCATGCACGGATGATGGGCGTTTTTGTGTTGTACGCGTGTTAAACCCATGCATTCGATGCACGCATTGGATCTCTCGCGCCGTGATGACAGTTTGTTCGCGCCTCTTGTGTGATAAGTAGCAAGGCGTTCTCCGGGCAAATTCACCCGCGGTATGGTGCCCGCTGTTCGCCGTGAGCACCGTCCGGAAATTAAGCGGGCAGCCGTTGGTTATCGGGCCATGCCTCCGGTCCGCGGTAGCGGGTCCAACAAGTACGCCGTGGCTTCCAAGAAACTAGATGTTTGGATGTTCGTTGGTCATCCGTACGGGGCAGAGGGTAGCCATGAATTTGCTATAGTGGAGCGAAGTGATACAGCATCACAAGATACATGTTTGAAAAGCACTAATGCTGATCGCTGCCGATCACACTCTCCAACACCTGCAACACTCGCCCTTGCCGCTACATTATCGAGTTCTGTTATTCAGACTGATTCCTGCTGTTTACCAAAAATTTTACCTCGCGGTCTGCTGGATCCGTGGAAACAAAAATAGCAGGGATGTTCAATTTCTCGAGAGCTGCTTGCTGTTTTGCCATTAAACTGTCGAAAGCGGGGAGAACGCGCTCCACGTCGAAAGATCGAAGTTCCCGCCGGAAGCCCGCGCTCATGCTCTACAGGCAGCACGCGGTTATGATCGGGCATCAGCCGAGTGCGGATGCGCAGCGAAAACCGTTGGATACATACGTCGGCTTCATGTTTAGTGAGTCCTGATGCTCCAATCATTTTGGCCCTGGAATGAAATGCCGGCAAGGGTTACGTGCGAGAGGTGCGCCGGGGAAATCAAGCCCACTTGGTAAGTGCAATCTCGAGTTTCCTTTCGTGTTCTTGCAGGAGGCGAGACCTCTCTTCGAAAAGACGCCGCTCGAGCGTGTGCTGTTCCGCTTTCATCTTGATTCTGTGGATGAGCCTGCCACGTTCAAGCTCCGCATCGGAAATAGACTACCGTTTTGACAGCGGCCACCAGGTCTGGATCGTCTGCCAAACTGGCAAGGACCGGTAGAGCCTGCTGAAACGTGTAGCTGCGGAAGTCTGGCGTCGAATCTGGCTGGAGTATTGCGATTGACGGTTTGGATATCAAAGGTACATCCATCGTGACCTGAGCCCCATATCCTCGCGCATTGTCCCCCTCGGAGCCTGATGGCGCTGAAGGAGTCCCTCGGTCAGGAGAAACTGCCGAAGAGGATGCACTTGGAGCTTGGAGTTGAGATAAAAGAGATGCAACGGAGGATGACGAGGAGGCAGAGTCGTTCAGTACGGCAAGATCCACCGCGGAAGATGGAGTTTGCCTCAAGGCCGGCGTTGCATGCGAAACAGGATGTGAAGCATCGTCCACGCTCGGTGTTCCCTCCGGCGCAGCTGTGGAATTCACGAATTGCTGCCAAGCCTGGGATGTCCTGAGCTGGTCCAGAAGGGCTGTGACACTAATCGCGTCCTAATTTCCATGTCAGTTCGATTGCAGGGTAGCTGCGAAGAGAACATACGTTGATATTCGCATCCATCCTTCCGGTAGACCCGTGACGGTCAAGAAAGATCCACCGGCCGTGATGGCTGTGTCAAGGCAGCTCGTGGGAAGGTAACTCGCAGGAACCCGAACAGACGGAACTTCATTAACGCCAGTCACAAGGATATAGCACTTGACCAGGTATAAAACGAGGACCGATTCTCAGTACACTCCGGTATATATGTTCTGGTAGCGATCCTGATCGAAGAGCTACAACGACGATATTATAGACAAATCGCATAGCTATAGTTATTGATTGCAGTGCTGCCGTACGTTCCACATTTGCCCCGTTCCATCAGCGCGCGTACACGTTTAGCTTCCTGTCGGGTACCCATGAACTCCGATCAGGCATCTGAAGACAGTCAAGACCGATCGCAACTTTGCCCCTTTCAAGCTTACACTCATATATACAAGCCGACCAAATCGGATCCGGACAAGATAGATTAAGTCGCCCACCCACATGGTGGCGGCTGAATATTCCATCTATTTGCAACGCGACGTCGATGGTCTATGGAGGTAACGTTTCCTGGCGCGTTATGTATCAGACTACTCCCAACGATGGCTTCACAGTTCTTCATAGTACTACTACCCTTGACTTACCCCTTGACTAGCACCCCGGCGAACCAGACCGAAGAACGTTTCTCAGCGTCCGGCAATCATGTTAGCCGGATGAAGGCATGCATCGAGAAGCCAAACCTCGGGCGATCGTGCCTCCGTTGATCACCAAGAAAATGATTGCCAGTGGGGACACGAGTGCCTGTAGCAGAGCGTTGAATTGCAAAGTTGGTTGAGATCACTGCAAATGCATCAGTCCTACCGATGTGAATACAGTATCATGACGTGTCCATGATGTGGTCTCCTGCCGTGAGGTTTAATCCTGAATGCGCTCGGGGCAGATGCATATGGAGAAACGACAACAGCGGGTGCCCTGGTTATACGATGCCATACGATCGTGGCGTGAGGCGTGTGTATGCAGCCGTTCCAGGCTTGGACCATCCAACGCCGGCACCATCGCCTAGACCATTGTTGGGATAGCTGTCGCTACATCATGAGGCAGACTCTGCTTGTTGGCGAGTAAGCGCGCGGACAGCATAGTCTCCAAGACAATGTTGAAACGGACGATGGGCAGAACGTGGACACGGCTTCTTCCAGAGCTTCTGGTGGGGTTAGCCTCGGTGCCGTCCGAGAATGTGAGTCGGCGCGGGGCCTCATGGGATGCCACGTTCCGCACAAGCGACAGACATTGCTGATGTGCCGATATGTGCCAGCCCGCGGAGTACGCAGCGGCGGCGGAGGGCCGGACAAGATGGCGGGGTAGTACCCGTTATGGCCGGATATCGTCCCGTTCCAGTAGCGGGATGACATAATCGATGTCGTTGCTCTGAGTCGATCCGACATCCGAGACCTCATGCCACTGATGCCAGAGCGCCACTGATGGCCACCGGGCTCACTGTTTTCGTGCCATGGGCCACTGGCCGGACACCGCACATAGCGGGGCGAGGAGGCGTAAGAGGCCCGGGCAGCTGAGCGTAGGACCAGCGGACGGCGCAAATTGCAGAGAATGTGGGAGACAATGATTTGGGACGTCGGCACGGTCCGTCGCAAGGGGAGCGGCTAGCAACGGCGTTACGTACAGCCGCCTTGTCAGAGTCCGTGGGAGCATCCTGCCTGCGCCTTTGATCAAACCGCCTCGCCCCTTTCCCGCCCTCCTCCCCTGCGCACCCCCGTCTTCGTCGTTTCCCCCGTCCTCGACCGTGTTTTCTTGCCCGTCTTCATTCTAATCCGCCAACTAATTTCCAGCTCTTCCTGTTCTATCTCGACTACCTCTACCACAATGCCGGCCGCAGGTTCTGACGGGGCGAGCAACGGGACGTCGTCGCACATGATGAAGACGACAAAACGGGGCAGACCTTTCTTGAAGGTCCGTCAGCTCGTACAGCCATTTCGATGACTCATATCGAGAAATCGATCATGCTCGTAGGACACGCTCGACCTGTTTGCCACACTCATCGTATCACTGGAGCTTACCACTCATAAGCAATTCTTCCGGACCTTTCCCCATTCGTTTACGACGTGAGCTACCCTATATCTTGCTTTTATGGAGGTGTCTCACGTCACAGCAGAGACGAGGCGTGCGCCAACCTTGCTTCGCTCAAGTTCTCTCAGTCGAACCGAGGTCCGGATCCGCGAGACCCTTCACGGATTGTCACGACTACAACCACGACCACGTTCTCCATGACCCGTGATATGGCGAAGGCCATGTCGCAGCACTTCATGGACGCTCGTCTTATTGAAAACGCCACCGACCCCACGTCCAATCTCTTCAAAGACCGGGGCACGTACGTGCTCACGCCTAAGGGACTCCACGTCCTTGAGCGATTCATCAGCAAGAACGGGATCAACGCTGATCACCTGGGAGAGGTGTTCAAGACGCAGCCGATTTGCATGAAGCTTCTCCACCTCCAGCGACGGTCCTCGGACGATGAAATCATCGTGACGCAGACGGTAATCACTGCTCTCTTCAGGCGTTTCGTTGGGACAAAGGCGAACTACAGGAGCGAGAACTCGGAGACGATGGACCCCTTCCAGCTGTATTACGAGCGTGCGAAGGGCATCGCGTTTATGGATGTCGCCGATCGCTCTCAAAACTTGCTGGGGAAGAATACGGCCGTTGTGCACAAGTTCTGCTTCCAGGCTGTTGCGGCGCTGGAATGGCTTTGCGATTTCACGTCGGTGGTCGGTCGTGAAGAGGCTGCTGAGATGGCAGCGCAGTTTGTGAGGTTCGGGCTCATCACGCTGGTGAGCGATAAGAGAAAAAACAACGACTCCGCGATCATCTTCACGGTTCGCGGCACTGCACCGGGAGGTAATTCACCAATACAGGTAAGGCGCCTTGTTTATTTGTTCCGAGGACGTCGTTTGATTGGCGAGCTACAGCAACACGGCGAGTTCCGTTGTACAGCGAAAGCGGTATACAAAGTTACGGAGGAAGGTCGTCGACTTGCTCGCTGGGATGCGAACGGCATGTCACAGGAATCGCCGCATAGTTCTACGACCAACCTTGCGGCCCAGAGGACATCGGAGGACTCAAGCGTCTCAACCGCGGTGGAAGGAACCTTCTCCGGTGATAGCAAGCTTACCCGACGCCTGTCGATGGCGGAGAAGCTCAATGAAGGCGGGAAGAAGGCTCAGAAGGAGTCGAATACGGATCGTTTGAACTACATCATCGAGGACGTCTCACTTCGGAGTATGTTCAGGGACTTCCTGCGCGCGAACTTCTGCGAGGAGAACCTATCCTTTTGGCTGGAGGTGGAGGAGTTCAAGAAGAAATTCAACGTTACCTCTAGCGCCGTCGCATCTGCGCCCTCGGGTCGCAGTAATCAGAGAACAACGCCTGGTCAAGCGGCCATGGAACGCCATCACGAGATGTTAATACACCGTGCGTTCGAGATTTACAATCGTTATCTCGCCCCGTCGGCGCCTTCCGAGCTCAATATCGATCACGGTCTGCGGAACGAGCTCCTCGCTTACCTTGGTGAAGTCATGACCGGAGTCAATGGGAACCAGGTCGTCGGTCGTGTGGAGCCCGAACAAGCCAGCGCGTTCAACGCTACGCAACTGCAAACAGTGATCAACCTGTACAAGCGAATACAGATGCACGTTTTCCGACTGATGTCAACAGACTCTGTACCGAAGGTGGGCATCGATTTTTCTCGGCCAAGCATCGTGTCCCATATTGACCCATATCGATCCACTAGTTCATCAAGACCCCGAAATTCGCAGCGCTGCGCAATTGGGCAGAAGAGGATGAAGATTTCGACTCGCAGTCCATGGATCCTACCCATCCTCCCGGCCTTAACGGAGACGAGGAGATTGGTGGAACATACACGACCGTTTCTCAGCACGCCTCCGAACAGAACGGCAGACATCGGCGGAACCAGCCACCTGCACCCCCGTCGTGATTCGCATCGTTGACCGTTCTGCCTACGGCTTTCGTCGTGTTGTTTATCCCGTGCATCTCAGGACCACGCTTCATTGTCGCACCTTCTACCCGGGCCTCTTCTTTGTACGCATTTCGCATTTCCACACTTGCATATATCTCTCGTCCCGGCTTCACTTGTTCACCCTCTACATTTTTTGACTGGAAGTCATTCAACTCGCTGCTCCCTAATATCGTACTGCCACCCATTCGAACAACCCTTCTGTATACTATATAATATAGATCGAGTAATGTCACAATGTCAGGTTGAACGCGTAAGGTGATGGGAGCAACCTCGGCTGTGCGTCTCCGATCGCATGCGTGTGACTACCGCCACATCCAATATCATGACGCATCCATACCCTGGTTTCTACCAGACTACCTCTACCTTGACCCCGCTAGCTCGACCATGTCTTGGTTTGGACACCTGAGCGGGCAACCTCCGGAGCCACCGCGCACTCCGGGGGGCACTGAATACCCGCCATCGCCGTTTGGCAACTTCCCCATAAACGATACGTACCCGAAGGTAGAGGACCCTTCCGGGGTGGAGAAGGACCGATTGGTTTCCACGAAACAAGCCAACAGGCCATTCCTCGCGTAAGGCCTAGATGATACGTAGATGATCACTGCATGCTCAAGTGGTACCTACAGATATAAGGAATATCGTGACAAGCAGGAGAAGGAGCATCAGGCATGGATGGAGAGGAAGAAAGAACGCGAGGAGAAACTCGCGAAAGGAGAAGCAGTTGGCCCAGAGGAACCTGACCCTACGGAGGAGAGAGAAGTCGGCTGTATTGGTCTGCTCAAATTCTTCACGATCCTTCTGGTGATCACCCTGCTCGCCGGCAAGTTCTTCACGGGTGACTATCTCTGGGATTATCAGGGCAAGTGGAGATCCTTGAAGGCGTATATACCCGTACGTCATCGGTGAACCGATACTTCGGCCCGCCTGAACGTGCTCTCAGAACGGCGACCAACTTATCACGGAGAAGCAACTTGCGCAGCACGATGGTTCTGACTCCAACAAACCTCTCTGGCTAGCGGTGCGCATACACGCTTCTTTCTTATCGCAAACACGGCTAAGATGCGGCCTTCCTTCGGGTAGATTGATGGGGACGTCTATGATGTTAGCAGTAATCGTAAAACGTACGGACCCGGCGGCTCCTATCATGGAATGTGCGTGAACTTTGCTCGGTCACTTCGATACAATTGAACCGCTAACATCGTGATATTGAAGGGCTGGCATCGACGCTGCTCGGGCTTTCGGCACGGGTTGCTTCAAAGATCATCGCACACATGACCTTCGCGGCATGTTGGATAGCGAAATGCAGGTTCGTGTACCGTATGCACAAGCATCGCTGAGTACTTACTGACAACGACTCCAGGGCGTTGAACACTGGAAAGAGTTCTTCGCCAATCACAAGAGTTATCCAAAGGTTGGAAAGGTCGTCCATCCTCCGATTGACCCCGCAAGCCCGATCCCAGAGGCAAGTTCCGCCCTAGTGTATCTGTTTCATTCCCGTTCGCCGTGCTCAACATTCACGTACAGCATTGCGATCCGAAGAAAGCCGCTAAATTGAAAGAAGAGCAGGCTGCGAAGGAGCAAACCGCCGCTGCCGCCGGTGCGGAGAAGATTGCGGAGCATCGGTCGGAGTTGTGACTGTGCCTCGTTGTCCAGAGAATCAGGGATGTTCAGCTGGCATGTGGATTGTATTACGACAGTGAAAATGTTCCTGGATCGGGCATGAACATGTAATGTGACGTTATATTAAAGAGCATTACAGTACGCTGGATCGTCTAGTGGTAAATCTAGAGAACGGATGACGCTGCCGCTCGACCAGCCGCAGGGTTATAGTAGGCATGACTGAGGGAGCCATGTCCCGTCGCGGTGCCCTGTGGCTGAAGATGGTCAGCAACAGTAACAAGACGCCATCGAATCGAGACCATAGAAAGCACTCAAGGCTGAAAACGCCGCCGACAGTGCAGAAGGCACGAGAAGACAATACGTGAATTATGCGGGCAGAAATTGCAATGAACGTCTGCTTACCTTTACTGGAGAATGGTGAGTCAGAAGATAGTTTTTGATGAGCGGAAAGTCGGCCATGGACGCGTCCACCATAGCGGTGTAGGTCGTGTCTGTAAACTTGGCGACGACGAGATTGCCTCGCCATGCCGTCTCTTCGCGAAAATTCTTCCCTTGAATCTCCTTGACGCATTTGTTAACGGGGAAAGGCATCCCATCACGTGAAATGACGGGATAGAAAATCGCGTAAGGGTTCGGAAGATTTTTGGACATTCCATCCAGCGCGTGAACGGGCTATAACGGATTGAGCCCGAGCGCATATCGTCCTGCGGTGTATGCTCACGTGGTATTGCCAGGCGCGAGAGCCAATCTCGGCAATGTAATCCATATAGACTTCAGGGTGCGGGATACGCGTAGCTTGGACGCGTCCCGAGTAATATTCGCTCGTAGAAATAGCGTCGAGACTCGTCGTAAGCCCGACCAGATGAGGCGGACGTCCATCGGCGGGGAAGAGTAGCGCCTCGTAGGTGAGCATTTGATCCATAGTGAGCAAAATTATCTGGAGCGACGAAAATTGAGTATATGGTAGGGAAATAGCACACAGAGGAGTAGAGGGCGGCTCACCGGGATTAGAAAATGTAGATGTAGGAATAGCACCGTCTATGCTGCCAGAGCAGGTATTGAGGCGAATTGGAAGAGGATGCTGAAGTTCGTTCATGACCACTGGAACTTATATACTGCCGGCGCTGGACTTAGCTTGCGAACTAAACGCGGTCTTCGCCTTGTCGCGCAACGACACGAGGTCTACTTCCCTCGGATCAGGGGAAGGGGCGCGTGTTAACCAGCAGGTGGCGGGAGATCTCACAAATGGATTCAAGTTATTGCGGCGTTCAGCGGATAAAATTCTCCAACGAATGTACATCTTCACGTTCCGGTGTGGGCTAGACGACCTCGAGGTGATCTGATCTCCCGCAGGAAATTGTTTGTGGGTGCATCTGACGAAACCGCGGTTGACGTTTCATCGGCCTGACCGTTCTCGGGAACGGCGCCACGGAAGGTCGCTACCCTCTGCGTCAGTGCGGCGGTTCATACGGGTGCCCAAACTGGGCTTATGACAAGACTGGTATTGCATTTGGGTCATAGGTATAACGACCTGCAGACACCAGCCCGCATCTTTTGGAGCCGGTCCGTGATTGAAATTCCACGAAAATGTCGACGAGATAAGGCGGGCTGATGGGTCAAACTAGCACGATCCGCAGAAGAAGCACGAATAGGCGGCACATCAAACTTCCACGACCCTTCTCGGGTCGAGATATGGCGATTGGCCCGAATTCGTAGATGGCAAAAAGGTTATCTTGAGCCGGTGGTATGTTACCAAAAACACGGCGAGTATGCCTGGCTCTAATTCCAGACCGACTCGAGTTGCCCACGATCGGGCCTCGGATGTCTGGTACTGAGGGGCCGCAGCACCCCTGCTCATCGGTTCGAATTCATAGACCCAGGATGAAGGAGCGCGATTGGCGGGTGACGAGGTGGCATGCTGCGCGATCGGGAGCAAGGTCTTTGGGCAACAATGGAGGAGAGTGTGTGTTCCACGCCCATCTATTATTGTAGGGCGACGAGAATGGCATGATTCGTGATCGTGGGCTGTGCTCCGACCGAGGCCTTGAGAATCGCATCTGGAGCGGATATGTAACAGTAGGGGTCTGCTGGGAACACAAGGCATGCACAGGTTCTGGATGCAAGAGCAGGTGCCCCGAAACTGGGCAGCATGCATGGTGGTTGTAAGATTGACCCTGGTTACTTGGGGCAAGAGGGATGAAATTCACGCGACGGTCTCGGGCTCTGGTGCCAGCCATAGTCGGGACGCGCGGTTCCGCTTCATGGATGCAAGGGGTCTGTGGCGGAAGGGCGGGTCACTGCTGTGTGTTGATATGGAATGAAGAGCGAGAGTCGCCCGGGTGTCAGGTGAAGGAACTCGAGGTACATGCCGCCGTACCGCGTTCATGACATTCGCAGTCGCACAGTGATAGTGCATCTTGGAGATCGAACGAAGCATGCAGTGGTACCGATGCGACTCAAGTGGCTTGCAATGCATGAAATCCATCCGGTCTCCCGCATGAGCAGCGGTCGTCACAACCGGAGCGTAAGTTCCAAGGCCACGAGCGCGGCGGTGGCGTCAACGCTTCAGTTCCAACTTCACCTAACGCCTCTCGCGGGTTCGCGTCCGGCACCGCGATGAGCAGCAAGATCATCGTAGCGAACCATGTCTCCTCCCTGTTCCCCCCTTCGCAAGCCGCGTTCGTTCAGGTCGAGACTGCGCTTCGCAACCTGCCACTACCTGACGAACCAACCGACTCGGACCCTCCAAGCGAACACGCGTCCTACTCAAGTGTTTTCTACAACGCCATCACCGGAACGCTCATATCACGCGTCCTGAGCAAGGGCAGAATCCTCGAACTCATCACCCTTGCCGCCGACAGTCGCCCCCTGCGGTTCTCCTTTCCTGCACCCATTTTGCCTGCACCCGGGATATTTCTTTGGGAACAATGTGAACTTCATATCCTTGTGGTCACTACCGCCGGTTCTCTCTACCGCCTGGTGATACCTGTTGGAGATGATGGTCAGCTTAGTTTAGAGCAACGCGCGAAGAATTGGTGCAGGGAATACCTCATCCGCTATGCTTCAAGCTTCGACGGCTTGGAGGGTCTCGTGCATGCTCAAGGGCCGCATTCTATCGCAATAGGTCTTCAAAACGGGTCATTACTTAGGCTGGAGACGGACGTACTTGGCGACGAGATGAACACGGGTAAGTGGACATAACGAGTGCTCGGTTGTCCTGTTCATTCATGCCACATGGTAGATCAATGGACTGAGACCATACTTCAGCACAACTCTTTCCTGAACCAGATCGCCTCGTTCCTTCACTCAAGCGCTCCCGGCACTTCGCAGGTCATTGCCCTTGCGTCGTACCCGCAACCGACTGACATCGGGCATGTATGGTCCTTTTCGCGGGACCGCACGTTACGACTTTGGTCTGCGAAGCTCGGCTGCGTCTCAGCGATCACATTGCCCATAGCTGCCAGCAGAGCGATCACACCAGCATTCTCCACAAGCGCATCCTCCACCCCTCCACCACGCCCCCAGATCTTGCTCGATGCCGCTCCCCAGAATCTCCTCCGTGTGTGCTCGCTTCATGACGAGCCGCGCATCCTCGTGTTTGTCCCAACGCCATCATCATCGGCCTCAGCCGGAACATTCCACTTGCTCAGCTTCGCTCATGACGTACTGAGTCTAACTCGAATCATCGAATGTTCTGAGGAGAGCGCGCACTGTCGCCTACAAGACTTCTTGGTGATATCGGATACGTTATACGTGCTTTGGGATAAACAGGGTCAATCGTTTGTCGAGACTTCCGCCTTGCAGATTGGAGCATCCTGGCACAGCGCCGCGTACCCGAAAGAGGCGGAGCTTACACCTTCACACTTGGACGAGCTCCTTCTATCACCCGGATCACTCGCAGAGAAGTTCTTCAAGGCGGTCATGCGCCCAGGAATGTTCTCCACTGTCACGCTGCGCACGGCGATCGACCAGTACACGGCTGCGTGTTGTTCGATTCCATTCCCTCTTCCCCTACAGCTCACTACCACGTATACGAGTCTCGGAGATAAGATCGCGGCCGTAGTCGGCTGTACCGTTAAGCTCACTCGCGATCCGCAGACTGGATTGGTCCAGTATGATAACTATTGGAGCGCTCTGAAGAGAGACTGGGAAGGCTTCATAGCTCGCTGCCGCGAGATCGAGCGGAGCGCGCGCTGGCCCTTAGCCCTTGGCATCTCGGATCCTACCGGACAAGGACATGTGGTGGTAATTGAAAGAGAGCGTCTGGGTGCAATATTGGTGGAGGACCAACCTCTATGGCTCCATCGCAATATGAGCTTATCCATGCCAGTTGGTACCAATCCCGAGCACAACTTGTTCGAGATCCTGTGGATCCTTCGCACGAAGCTCAGCCGCCCAACTCTACTCCAGATCGAGTCAAAGGTGGTCGATTTTCTTCGGCAAGAAATCGCGTTCCCCTTCAGCGATATTATCCGGGATCTGGCCTTGCGCGTCGGGTTCAGGGACGATCTCGACGAGGGCTTGGAGACCTGGATTGGCGGACGATTGCAAAGCATCGGTGACATGCAGAAGATCCAGGATGCAGTAAAGGCCGCCCTCGATTACATCGCACTCTTTGGCTTGGCCATAAAGAGGGAGGAAGAAGAGGTTGAGTTGATCCTTCCGACGACCAATTCGGAGTGGACGAGAGCTCTCACTTCGCAATATGCCGCGGCCACCGTTCAAGCACGTTATGATCTCGGCTTCTCGCTCGTCCTGTTACTCTTCCTACTTGCCGATGAACTCGAAGAATGGGATCCCGCTCTTCTCGCGGAGGTCTTCGGCGTGTTTCGGGGAATATCGATGCTTCTCCATATCGCGAAGCAGCCTTCAGGAGATGGCATGGGCGATAGCTCCAGGGGCGGGGCGTCCGCAGCAGACGATGTTGTTTCTGGCATTTCTCATCTAGGGCTATCTCAGCGTGATTCATTCCGGCCAAAACCGATCTATTCCCTGATGCATCGATTGCTCACGCAATCTAGCGACACTGTCGATCCTCCAAGTGCCGCGCATAATTTCCTCGAGGCGATTGGGTTACTGGACGCGGGCTCCCCTGCTCACGCAACTAGAAATGATGTCTTCTTCTGCGAGCGGCTGCGATTGGTTGGACACCATTACGTGGCGCGTGAGTTATTGAGCTGGCTCCCGAGAACACCTGGCGCTACCTACGTTTTGTCTCGATTGTGTCTTGACACCGGCAGGATTGATGATGCTGCATCGCTATTCCATAGCCTGGCAGGTGTCTTTGGTGAGTCATCTGTGCGGTATAGAGGGTTGCGCATAGCTCATCTTGTTGGTTCAGGACCGAAGAACATACTCTCAGCAGAGGACTCCCAAGCATTGGCAGGAGTTCTTCCGGGGGCAAAGTTATTCGACTCCGATTTCTCGTTCTACCTGCACACTGCTTCCCTCTTCAAGAGTTCGTCTGATGTCGAACATGAGGTACAGTTCTATCAGCTTGCAATCTCTGTTGCACCACCGGAACAGGACACATCCCCGCTGTGGTACGCCGTGATACATGGTCTGATTGGCCTTGCACTGTATGAAGACGCCTACGCGTCTCTAATATCCACGCCTTTCGAGAAGTTGTACGTCGTCCGTCGGATCCCACGGTCCTTTGCTTACGTCTTGCACCAGGAAGCGCGAGTGCGTCCCGCCACTGGTGTATAAGATGTGCGAAGATAACGCCGTTGACACGCTTATGACCTTCAATTTCGCCGGCATCGCTGACGAAGTGGAGAACGCGCTGGCATTCAAAGCTCGCAATGCCGATCCACGTCTTCGGCCGTTTTACTCGAGAATACTGTTCGCATGGTACACCTTGAGAGGCGATCATCGCAACGGTAAGAGCGTCGTTGTTCTTTGCCTTGCGATAACCTTATAGTGCTGTTTGTAGCGGCTCTTGCCATGTTCCAACGGGCTAGGAAGCTATCCGACGCTTTGGCGACGGATAGCGACTTCATGACCCTGTCGGAGCTACAGCTGGAGGCTTATGGGGTTGCGATGAATTCTCTGTCCCTCCTTGATGAGAAGGACGCCTGGATCACGCTCTCTGTCCCATCGAAGATTGGTTCTGAGGTACGCAGCGGTCTTTGGAAATGGGATCCACTCTCAGCAACCTGGTACAGCCACGCAAGCGCCGAAGGTTGTCAAAATATTTCCCCGAAAGTTCGTACTCTCCTGGAACAAGGAATGTCGAGCTGGTGACGAAAACGGATATCGAGTACGAATATGCCTTGGTATCGGCGCGCCTCGAACTTGTTCGTCGTGAGCCTTCAACTATTTACGATGGTCCGTCTGTCCTCAGTTTGGGAAAGCACATGCTCACTATGGTGTAGTCCGCCTGCTGCCGCCTGAAGCCATCGTCATGCGGTTATCGCAAGCCAATCGGTTCGAGACCGCCATCTCCGTCGCTCGTAGCTTGAAGGTGGACATGTCAGACATTTTTTCGCGATTGGCTGGACAATGTTTGCGGTTGGGCACGAATCCTATCTCCGTAACGTGAGTTGTTCTCGTTCAAGCGTACGCGTCATTGATTTCAATCATATGTGCAGCCAAGAAGACACGTCCGATTGGCTGCTGACGGACAAAGTATCTTCTTGGGCGGGTACACCTGTGGATCGCGGTTGGCGATTCCTGCGATTGACCTTGGAGCGCAATGACGGGCCAGACACGGATTTTGCCTATACCAAGGCAGTCCTGGAGACTATACTCGCATTTGCCAGAACGACGCCGCTACCGTCCTGGCTGGCAAACGTTCTTCTGGTATGACTGACACGAGCGCCACTCATCCATCCAGCTGACTAATAGCATGTTTAGGAGCACGATTCGGAACATCTGATTCGCACCTGCCTACGTCACAAGAACTTTGAATGCGCGTTGGAATACAGCATGGCCGTAGTGAAACGAGTAGGTCGTTCTTTTGGTACGATGATGGTCTTGAACTAACGTTCTGCAGGCCGACGCTCAATTGAACCGACAACCCCCGAAAACAGCCATGACCACTTGGGTTCCCTACAACCTCATCGACCAAGTGCTGGCGGCGATCGAGAGCGAAGGAAGTGTGTCTACTCGCGCACGAACGTTGCAGCAATCGCTGAAAAAGGAAATCTCTTCTCGCTTGCCCCGGTTGCACAAGCTCAGCCAGTTTCCGACACGGCAGTCGACCTAGTAGACCTGTGTTATATAATGCTATACTTAGCCCCTTCTGCGATGCGACGCGAACGTTGCTGCCTTTCATATGTTACAAGTGCGATGTACAAATCCATATTGTTCGATCGAAGCCGGAGACGGAAACAAAAACGAATGCGTGCGGTGGCGTGTGTCCTGTAGGGAACAAAAACCAGAACCCCAGACAAATGCAAGAGAAAAATTACTGTGGCCAGGAAAGTTCCATCATCGCCCATAATCCCGATCCCGATCCCGATCTTAAGAATGAGGCAAACTTCCAAAGTCCTGTTCCATCGTCGACAGAAATTGCGACCATTCGCCCTCCGCAAAGCCCACGTTCGCGCCCCAGACCATGCCCATGCCGGGGCCCAACTCGGGCGCGGGGACGCCCTGCCCATCGAACGTCATGTTGTGGCGCAAGCTCTGGCCGTACGCCTGGCCGTTCATGCCGCCGTAGTCCTGGGGCTGAGGCGCAGCGTAGGCCGCCTGTTGAGCCATATTGCCCATCGACTGAGAAGCCATCACGTGCGGCTCGTATCCACCGCCACCCATCGACGGCATCGACGCCGAGGCTTGCATGCCCATATGCTGCGGCGGGGGTGCGGCGTGATGATACGTGAAGGCGGACGAGGGCCCCGCGCCCGACGAATGTGGATGCGATGGCACGGGTGTGGCGCCGGCCATTGGGGGCGACGAATACGGATGCTGAGGCTGAGACGGCGTCGGGGGTGACATCTGGTGCTGGTAGTGGTGTGGCTGTTGGGAAGAACCGGCGAGGGGAGGCGAGTGACGCCGGGCATGCTTGGCGCTGCGTGGGCTCCGTTGCTCGGGACGCCGAGGCGTCGGTGTATTTGACGGTCTCCGCGACGTATGCGGCGGCGTCGGGCCCGAAGACGGAATAGAAGACGAAACAGAAGTATGCGACGCAGGAAGCGAGATCGAGCCTCTGCCGGCAGGGGAGATGGTGGAAGAGGACGTCGACGGCGAGCCCGATCCTCCGCTCGGTGAGGTAGCCGACTGTCGGAGATGCTTGGCCGAATCGTGGTACGGGAAAGCGAGCTTCTTGACCACAGACAACACCTGCGACTTTTTGTGGTTACGTTCTTGCGGAGACAAGGAGCGAAACTCGTCCGAGTACAAGGGTGAGAGCGCTTGCAATATCCTTAAGGACTTGTCCGCGACCGACATGGTCTGAGATTGTATGAGCGTGTCCACGATTCGCTTGATGTTCGAACGAAGGAGTCCGGCCTGAGGTCCATCGGGGTTCGAGATGAGCTGGAAGGAAAAGAACATTCCCGCCGAAAAAAGATGGAACGGGGCTGAAATGACACCTCAGTATGCGCAGTAATCGACTCCAGCCGGCAGAAAGACGCCTCACCCCAGTTAAGATGCCCTGGTACCGCCAGCTCCGAGTTGGCGAGGAAGTCGGGGCGGGCTTGGACGACCATGCTGACGAGCTCGTCCGCCGCCTGTATGGCGATATCCAGGCTCTGCGCTGCCTCGCGCCTCTCCTCCCCTCCGTGGTCATCCGGGTTCGGACTCGCGAGCAAGACGGCCTTGGCTGCGTACTGTCGGTGGAGCGTGAAGCGAATGTGAAGGTAGGCGACGCGGATGATAACGCTCTGCACGCCCAGCCTGCGGTGACTGGTGTCTAGCGAGGCCAGTGAACGGGCGACGCTGAGCGAGTCGAGGAGGAGTTCGGGCGGAAGCGAGTCGTGCCAGTCGAGCAGCTTGTGGTCGTTGGCCATCACTCTGTCGTGCGAGACCGGGCGGAGCGAAACGGCGTCGTCCATGATGTCGCCTAGGATATACGCCAGTCGGATGATGGCAAGGTTAGGGAGGTATAGCCTGCCCGTCGGATCGATGGCAGGATTGCAGTAAGACGGCAGGTCGGTGTCAAAGTGATGTTTCGCGATGCCTATAGGCCTGCCGAACATAAAGGCTTGCCACCTGGACAGGGGTTATTTTTCTTTACTGGATAATCCCGGAGGCAACGATGACGCACCTTTCGAGAAGCAGGATATGCCACCAGGCCCATCGTCGGCGTTCCGCGAAATCTACGGGAAGGCGGCGGTCCGGATTACGGTGGAGGCCCATGGCGGTAGCAATGGTGAGCAGCTCGCCGCGGATCTGCCATACCTCCTCGCCCTTGCTCTTGGAAAGGTAGAGGTAGTGGGAGCGGACGAGCAGGAGCTCGACGAGTTCAATGGTGTATTTTTGATTCGCGGAGCGGTGCCTATCAAGGGCCTGGCGCATGACATCGTAATATTCCGAGCCGTGGTCCTCCTCGACGCTGGTCGCGTACCGGGCATACTCGTGGCCCTTCGGAAGATAATACGTGGCGATGGCGAGGATGACGCAGACGGTCGCGAGCGTGATTCGGTCGCTGGACTGACCACCCTTGAAAGCGGCCCACGCCGTCAAGAATGCGGGCTGGGAGAGGGGGAGGGGCAAGTCAGACGCCGCGGGGTTGTTTTGTTTGTGTGTCACTCGCCTGGTTGACGTGACGGTATATCCAGTTGCAATAATTGAAATAGTACGAAATCAGCTTGTCGATGACCGATGCGGGTGGCAGGAGGGCGATCAGATCCCGATCGTAGTCGGACTGTGGTACCTCGGGCTCTTCGCTCGAGCGTTCGGAGCTGGTCGCGCTTTCTCGCGACTCCGCCTGGGCAGATGCGGTGGGTGAGACGCGACGAGTAACAAGGCAAAAAAACACGGACCGAGGCGAGATGGGTGGCGACGGAGGTGCTGCCCGCGTACAGACCGCCTGGCTGGCGGTGCAGCGTGCCCGGGGCCTTGTCCTGGAGGACGGCGGGGGCATCCGGAGGCTCGGATTTGGCGACTCGGTCGGTTTGGTCCGCGGGGGAGGAGATCAAAGATAGCTCGTGATCCGGCTGTGGGGAACTGGGCTGGCGGCCAGTGAGAACATACTGCTCGAGCAGCGCGAGCGACCGTCTGACGCGGGCAAACTCCGTCACAGGATCTACGCGGACCCGTCTGGGAGGCAATCAAGTGAGACAGCGGCCGAATCCGTGTCCTGTGTCCGCACGCACTGAGGGTTGCTCCGCCCCGCCTCGCTCTGGTCCGGCGCAGAGCCGTCCTGATAGCACATCGACGACGTCCCTGCGGGCGTTCCACCGCGCATATCAGACCCCGGCGTTCATACCGAGCACGAACACGTACCTCGCAGGACGCATGACGAGCACGGCCGGTTCCGGTCGCACTTGAGCTTGCTCGCCCGGCATGGTTCGCAGTTGATCGGCTTGCGGGCGCGTTTGGCGGGCGGGCGACTGGAGCCCTCGCCGCTGCCGGCGTCGGTGTCGGAGCGCTGGGACGCGGTGCGCACGGTGCCCGCTATGGTAGCGGCGCGGGCGTGCCTCTGCCTGGAGTGGTTATCCGGCGCGGCGGACGCAGCTTCGGGGGACATGAGGAGATCACCGCGGTTGGGCCAAGTCCGAGGATCCTCGGAGATCGTGGGGCGCGGTGCAGGAGCGGCCGAGGACTCTTGCAGGGCGCGCAGGGACCGTAGTGCAGCGGCTCGCCGTGCGGAATCAGCTAAAGTATCGCGGCGCACGTCGTGGTCGTACGCAGGGCCCGCCAGAAATTGAACCACCACGGACAGTCCGTCCCGCCACGTTAACGTAAAACGCCTACGCCGCGTCCCTGGCCAGATCTTTCCGGGGCACCCGACGACAGCGAAACACCGCAACCGCCCTGCGTCGTACACACGTTGCGACGCTCCTTCGAAGCGCTCGCCACTGATTTTTTATTTATTTGACCGACACGGACACATACGTACGTGCGTGCGTGCGTACGGCAGACGCGACTATGGTAAGTACAGTAGGTATATAGTACGGTGCACGAGGCCGCCACCCCCTGCGCCCCGGATCCGCCAATCGGGCCCGATCATCAGGGAACGAGCGCTGTGGGCAGGGGCAGCAACCCCGGTCAGCGTCCGATTCGCCGTCACGGTCGATCGCCTCACCCACTCGGCTCTTCAGCAGGCCGTCGTGCAGGGCCTCCATCACGCTCACGCAGTCTTCCAGCGGCCTCTCCTCCACCTCTGGCCGGATCTTGCCTGCCGCTATCGCCTCCAGCAGCTCGCTCAGCTCCGGCTTGGTGCCCCAGTAGCTCGCGCCCATCCGCAGGTCCTTCGTGATCGCGAGCAGCACCGGGAACTCGAGCCTGCTCGCGCCGAGGCCGACGAGATGCGCCAGCCCGCCCGGCCTGACCGCCATCATCGCCAGCTGAAAGCTCGCCTGCACACCTACAAAATCGACGGCTACATCGACCGCGAGCGCGTGCTCGTCCAAGTACTCGAGGACGCTGTCCGACGGCACCGCGTCGTCCGCACCCACCTTGAGCGCGAGCGCGAGGCTGGCTTCGCGCAGATCGGACGCGATGACGCGCCCCGCGCCGAGGCACCGCTTCGCGATCTGCACCGCGTTCAACCCCAGCCCGCCGCAGCCGACGACGAGCACCGTCTGCCCCGGTCGGACGCCCGCGCACGTCTTGAGCGCGTGCCAGGGCGTGAGCACCGCGTCCGTCGCCACCGACGCGACCGCGGGCGGGATCACCTTGGTGTCGTTGCCCGGCACGGCGACGAGGGCTCCTTCGTGGGTCACGAGCCACGGCGCCCACGCGCCGTCCGCGCCGAGCCCTATCGAGCGAAAAGTCTAGCGGCCCCCGTTTCAGCTGCCAGTGGACGATGGCCGTCACTTGAAAGGGAAAGCACGGGCCTTGCACATGTTATGCTGTCCTTGGGCGCACACGGCGCACTCGGGTCTACAGCAGGGATTGCAGCCGAGGATCGCGACGTAGTCGCCTTCCTTCCACCCGCCGCGCACGCCTTGGCCGAGGGCGTGCACCAGGCCGGCGCACTCGTGGCCGAGGGTGTGCTTCTCCCTCGCCGGCCACGTCTTCCCGACGTCGCCATAGATCGTGACGTCCGAATGGCAGACGCCTGCCGCGAGCACCTTGATCAACACCTGGCCCTCACCTGGAGCAGGTATCGGCACCTCCTCGGGCACCACGGCGGCTGCACCGGGATGGTAACGATACGCGACCATCGTGCCCTGCGCGGTGGCGACGGACATGGCGGTGGAGGACGGGCTTCGTAAAAGGGGGGCTCGGACGGAACGCCTGGTTTATCTCTCATATTGCCTCGTACTGCACTGGTACTATCATATGCCCCGTGCATCTCATGGGCAGAAGCGCGCGACAGGCTTCGGTGCAAGAGTCTGCTTCCATCTACGGTAGCGACACGTCGTTGCGACTGACAGCCGTGGCAGCCGGGCTTCGATTATAGACGCAGATGGGCTCTAGCTGCACGTCATCCCCGCGACGGCGGGCGCGGTCGAGTCCGGAAAGTACCAGAACGAGATGGCGATGACGACGTACACGGCTGCGTCGGGAACAGAGTTCAGGCTCAGCCCTGGCAAGGAAGCGCAGCACGCACCGACGAGGACCACGCCGCTCATCCAGTGCGACTTGCCGTCCTCGATGGAGAACTTGACCAGGAGGACGGACAGGAATAGACACTGCGCGGGAACGAGAACGGGCGGCGGCGGGTCAGCGGGCACCGCGACAGGCGGAGAGAAGCGTACGATGGTCTCGACCGGGTCGAAGACGAGCGTGAGCGGCCTTCCCATCGCCCACGCGACGAGCACGAGCAGCGGCACGACGAACAGCGCGATCTGGATGCAGCTTCCCACGGCGACGCTCAGCGCCAGGTCGAACTTGCCCTTGGTCGCCACCACCACCGCCGTGGCGTGCTCCGCTGAGAGGGACGGCCCGTCAGCGGTCCAGATCGCGTAAGGACAAGGACAAGACGACTTGCCCGCGTTGGAGATGATCGGGAGCACGATGAGCGTGATCCACTCTTTGGAGACGGACGAGTCCGAGGCCAGGCCGTTGACGGAGTCGACCAGGCACTCGGCCGTGAAGTACGCCAGCACGGTCGACGCGACGAGCACGCCGATGGCCGTGGCGATGTTCACTTTCGGGGCGTCCTGTTCCGGCGACACCGAGAAAGGCGTCGTGAGCGGAGACGACGCGGTGACCGGAGGGGGCAGCTCGGCCGCTGTAGTTACCACGAACGAACCGGACGTCGTGCTCAGCGACGAGCGGGCGGAGTAGCCCTGCGTCTGGACGGTGTCTTTGTACAGGTTCGGATGAGAGTAAAACTGGAAGAACAGCTGTTCATGCATATGTCGGTCAGCGTTGTTCAAGCCGCTTATGACGATCCATCGCGCACATAAGCAACGTATCTGAGGAAAGTTGAGACAGGTGGGCACCGACCGAGTGGTGGGACACGTACATGAGCATGAGCACAACGGCGCTTCCACGGCTGAGTTGTAGCATAACAGGGCCTTCTTCCTCCTCGCCAATCCGCTCGCCCAGGAATTCGTGAAACGCAGCGGGCACGATAAGCGCAATCACGGCCACGGTCATCAGCGACGAATTGAGCTGTGCGGCCATTGGCTGGAACTCTTGCTGATGGAACCGGTAGCCGCCCACTGCAGAATATGAGAACGCTCAGCGTGAGTGGAATGCACCGAAGGATCAAACGCGCCTAGGAACGCCATCCCAAGAACGAGCAAGAGGTTGCTGAGCAGCCCTCCGAGCAGCGAGCTCTGAACAAGCTGGAGATCACACTGTAACGACGGTCAGGGGTGCGAGGTGTCTGCTCGGCACGGGCATCGTACCCTCTTCAGCGCCAGTCCGGCAATAAGGAGCTCGACGACATTCCCCAAAGATGCATTCAGCAGGCCGCCGATGGTCTGCGTGGTGCGAAGCGCGAATTGTTCCGTGCCAAACCCGAGCAACGCGGCGAGAGGCACGAGTCCCAGGGCGGAGAACACGAATGTGAGCGTGTCGCCCTGGTGCGTATAGTGCAGCGCCCAGGCAGCAGGTATGCACAGCAACAGCACGTTCAACGGGGTGTACGTCAGGGTCGCTCTCATCGAGGACTTGAACGTCGGTTGCATCGCATGGCTTGGCTCATGCTCGATGCTGTGATCGTCGACTGCCTGAGCAGTTGGGACATCCTTGGGACCGATCCGCAGTCTCAATGGGTTCGCCAATCCCGTCCATCTCGTGCCGCTACTGGGAGGCTCTTCGTCTTCGTCTGCGGGCACGCCTGGGGAGATTGGACTGGTTGCATCTGCGGTGCGGGACGGCGTGTCGCTAACAGGAGGTTTGACCATAAGCAGAGGTGACGAGATATGTCGATGCGGGGCCTCACAACGGGTTGCAGACTATGTATGTTATATAGCGCTCGGCGCCAAGGATGCTTGGTGCCAAGAATCCGCCAGGCGATGCAGCGGAGGCGGCACAAGCTACTTATCGTAGCTCTGGGTCTCGTCACCGAGTCGTATTGTAGAGCATATGGCGGCATCCCAGCAGCATGCATTAGTCTAGATCCATACAAGCGCGACTTGGCATCTTCATGTGTTCGAGGAGGCAGGGTTATGCACCAGCCTCTGCATTTGCCGTCGTTGTCTGCCCTCGGAGTGTGGATTGACTGGCTCGAGCGACTCCAGGACAGCAGTCTGGTGGAGGTGACATATATGTAATTGTGTTGCAGACGATTGGAAGATCTGAGCAACAGTTAGTCGCGTGGCATTGCATACGCCCCCGTGCTCTCCTGGTGGAACCTGCCTGTTTCGGACCGACCACTTTTCTTTCGCGGCTCTTACCACGACAACAAACGCCGACACGTTCGCCCGACAAAAGTACTTGTACAATCATCCCAAACGCATATAATCGGTCTATGTCGACGGTAGCCCGCGGTTTGCAACGATGAACAAGAACCCGTTCATCCCCACCCCGTCCTACTCTCCGCCGCAACCACCCCTCCCGCCGGGCCCGCCTCCCCACTCCGGCCAGCCAGACTACTCGGGGTACTGGGCAGCTGCAGGCTCGCAACCCCAGGCGCAGGGCGCCGGCGCGTACGGCACGCAATGGACTCCACCTCAGCCAGCAACCCCTCAGCAGTCCGCGCTGTACGCCAACTACGGCTATGGAGGACAGCAGCCCTGGCAGCAACAGCAGCAGCGACCGGCGCAACCGCAACACTTTCCGGCCCCGCCGCCCATGGTGCAGGCTGCGCCACCTCAACCCGCATACAACCCCTATCAGCCTCAGGCCGGCGCGGGCTTCGTGCAGCCGTACGTGCCCCAGCCGGGCCCAGCACCGCAGGTGCCCATGCAGCAACAATATCAGCCGCACTTTCCTCAGCCGCCGCATCAGCCACCCCAGCCTTACCAGCCTCAAGCGCCTCAGTTGCAACAGCACCCTACCGGACCGAGACAACATCAGCAGAACCCCATGCTGCACCCGCCACCGCCGCCGCACATGTCACCTCCCGCAAAGCGACCGCGCTTCGACGGACCCAACAATCAGCAAGGGTTCAACAACAACAGCCGCCCGCCTGCTCAGTTTCCCAACCCACCGCCACCCACTGCCCCGCAAGCCTTTGGCGCCGGTCCGGGACATGGACGTGGAGGCGGCCCCGGCGTCAATCAGATGCCGCTTGGCGGTTCAGGATCACGAGGAGGGATGGCCGGAGGCAGAGGTGGTTCGAATATGGGCCGTGGGGGAAAGTCTGGGTTCATGAACAACCGTGGAGGGCAGGCGAACCGCGGAGGCCGTGGAGGGAGTATGCACGGCAGCATGAGCGGTGCCGGTCGAGGCGGATCTCAAGGAGCAATGGGTTTCTCCGGCAACTTGCGCGGGCACGGCTCGCGCGGTAACGCTTATGGCAACAACAACAACCGTCGAGGTGGCGGTGGCGGCGGTTCCTTCAATGCCGGCCGTCCTGATCAGCAGCAAAGCCAAGGAGCCAACGTGAATCAATCGCAGAATGGCTCTTTCCGGGGCAGAAGCGGCCATTTCAACCAGAACCGTTCTGGCGGTCATAAACACGAGGGTGGCAAGGAGGGACATGCACCTCCGCTGGGCCCGAGCGCCAGTCTCAGCCAGATGGGAGGCGCTACTGCCAAGAAGGACGAGAATAGGCGTACTCTAACCGATTTCAAGATCGTTGGGCTGCAAATTACAGACCTTGGCTGGAGCTGGGGCGTACTCCCCAAGCAGCCCGCATCACACGTAAAGAAAGAAGAAGAAGAGTCTGAACTCCCGGAACCCTCTGGGACTACGCAGCCTCTCGATGACGTCAAAGTGAACGATGAGGGCGTTGCGGTTTCTGACACGGACACTCAGCCTGATGACTCGAATGCCACTGGTGCTGAAGGAGCCGTCAAGCGAGAGCCCACAGAGGCGTCGCTATCGGCGGAGGTCGATCGGTCGTCCGGTACCATCACGGATCTAAAGTCCTCATTGTACGCTGGTTCGTTATACAGCCAGTCTTCCAGCGCTGCGTCTCCACCTTCTCGCATCCGGATTTATTTCCACACGCCCGTTACTGCTGACGATTCTCATCCGATTCCCCATAGCAATGCTTCCTCTTTCACTCATGTCATCGGTGGCGGCGTGCCGCTTGGCCCCGCGGCAGATTTTGGACGGAAGGGTAAAAGAGCCAGAAGGGACAGAGATGACGATAGCGATGGGGACGCTGAGGAAGGACGCACACGGCCGCCACCTCCAGGCGAGATGGACCGAGAGAGTGTTGCGGCGAGTGCAAATGCGGACGTGGACGAGAGCAGGGCCAGCGTTGCGCCAAGCGTGACGCTGACAGAGTCCGTGGGCGAAGGTGACTGGCTCATGGGTGCCATGGGAGGAGAAGGGCACGACACGGATCGGTACTCGGATGGCGATGCCCAGACAGTGGTTGACGACCACGGGGACGAACCATCGCAGTATGAGCGTGGCGTCGGTGATGAGCAGCCTCATCCCGAGCATGCCGCACATGTAGACTCGAGTGAGTTTTCTGCGGTTTGGGGCACATGCATTCACCCTGGGCTTGGCACCCATGGTCCTGACGCCGTATTCTTCGTTTCTTCAAAGGTTTCGCGCCGGATAGTCAGGTGACGGATGCCGGTCTCGGCGGCCCCGCCGCGACGGGCGAGACTTCGGACTTGTCGTCGCATGGCACGAGCGTCACGCTGCCTACGGCAGGCTTAGGGGACGCTACCAAAGAATTTCTTGCGGAGCATCCTGCGGAGTCTAACCTAACCACGGTGGACGAGCATCATACGGAGCCGTTGACGGTTCAGCCTGCGACGAACGGAGCCGTCGAGGATGGAAAGGATGCCGCCTCTCTCGAGGCGGTAAATGGGACTGCACTCGTGTCTGACACCACTTCGGTTGGGTCTTCCATCTCGAATGTTGATGCTCTCGAAGGGACAGTGAACGTTGAACAAGGGACAGGGACCGTCGGGAATGCTTCCTCGATTGCCACCGTTCCTGAGGCTGTTGGCACGGAGGGCAATGTTCCTACTAACAGTGACGAGAGCAGCGAAGCAGCCGCTACAACTCACATGCATGACGCGGCTATCCCAGACGTTGAAGGCAATCATCCAAGTACCGCATCTGAAGATGGGGTGGCTGAGCTCGTCAACGCTTTGGAATCTGGAGCTACCGACAATGGACAGGAGGGCCACGACGATGTCCCTCATGACGACAGTCTGGGCCTCGAGACGTCCATTAGCACGACAGTAGAATCTGACACTCAGCCGACGCAGACCTCTCCAACCCTTACCAGCTCAAAATTGAAGGATCCGAAGGCTGCGCACGTACCTTCGGCAAATCGTCTATCGATATCTTACGCTGCGGGTAGCAGGCGGCTTGTCATTGATGCTCAGGTGGTGGAGACGCTTAAGGTCTACAGGGCCGAGGGTCGCATAGAAGTGGCCTTGATCATCGACCGTGAAGGCGAAGGCTTCCGTGGTATCCAGGTAGATCGCGATCCTGGTCGTTTATGCACTTCGCACTAACACTATTGCAGATTGAGGGCCTGTCCGACATCACCAAAGCTTATTCGCCGTTGAACATACTTGCTGACACGTCGGATGCTGACGATACCCTTCCGCCGTTGGGCAAGGCAGAGACGCCGATGCATACCGTTCTGATCGTGTACCTCGATACGGAGAAGCCTCTGTCCGAACCCAAGTGGGTGAAGTCCGGTGATGTACAAGAATGGCTCAAGAGCATGTTCGGGCGCATGTTCTGGGTTGCCGGTGACGCAGCTGACGGCTGGGAAAAACGGATCCAAGTCGTCGACCCTGATCCCGTGAGTTACCGGACATGTAATCTATGATATGTCCTGTGCTTATCATCTATCTAATTCCAGGCACCAACCATCTGGACCGTTCTGGAAGGCTGGGCGACCAACTCGCCTGTCGGTACGCAGACGGAGCGTCAGCGCTTCCTTCGCACCCACATGACGGAGACAGACAACATCTTGGAGATTCTACTGCGCCTTGTGCGAGGCGAACGCGCGACGGCGTTCGCCGGTTCGAGCTCTACGATCTCTGCCCCCAGCGTGTCCGGTCCGTTGCTCTCCGCCCTGTCTCCCGGTTCCGCCCACGGTGCGCAACAGACTCACGTTTCGCTGGCCGTGCTCGCTATGTTCCGCATGTCCGTCGAGTACGCGAAGAAAGCGATGGGCGACAAGGGCAAAACCGAGGTCGAGGAGCGAATGGGCGAGATCATCCGTTGCCTTCCCTCGCATCTTCTCTACAAGAGCCTGGACGGTATTTTCAAAGAATGGAAAGCGGAGAAGAAGGGGGGTGGCCGATGAATAATGGCTATGAACTACATCATTGTACATTTTCTCTTACAATTCTTTCTCGGCATCAGCAACGTTGTCGTTTATACTAGGCTTCCTCTTTATATGCGATCAAGTGTTTCCATCTATGATGTCTATGTTTTGCGAATGATGTGGGATATGCAGATAAACAAGCAATACTAGCCGACCGGGGCCGGTAGACTTGGTTTTTGGTACGAGTAAGGAGATAAGATGAGATAGGATTCAACCCCAAATCTCCATATATCAATCAGGAAGTAGGTGAAGTAGGCATTCGTTATCAAGAATAATCGTTTCGAATCGTGAACCTCGCTCAGCCATCGCCACCACCAATCGCATTGCGCTGCTGCTGCGCCGCCTTCCTGCTCTTGCTCTTCCGCACTCGGACGGCGTTGCGCTCGTTCTGCGGAGGTAAGAAGCCGAGCACGGGAGTGTTGAACGACTTGATCTCGTAGTCGCCCTCGCCTCCAGCACCAGCGCCGTTCCTGCTGCCCGGCGAGGGAGGTACAGCGCCAGGGCTCGTGTCGTTTCCGACAGCAGGTGGAGTCTGCAGAGCGTACGAGGCATTGTCGGTGTCGGCCCAGACGATTGGTTTGGCACTGTCGTAGCACGTGATGCCGAGCTGCTTGCAATAATGTTGCACAGCGGCATGGAAGGCAGTCTTCCGCGCCATGCGGAGGCCCCAATCTTGCCATGTCCTGAAGTGACATGATATAGTGACATGAATATCAAGAGGCACAAACGAAGCGGAAGAAAGAGACGGACCCATTATGCCCGATACCAATCGTGACCTCCAGATACCGCTGGTTTTCGATCTTCTGCGGGGTTATACTCGTGTTGGGTACGAACCACCGGTTCTCTTCCGTCTCAAGCCACTCGTTAATCTCCTTCTCGAGTGCGTCCAACTTCCACATTGGCGTGTTCCATGCAACCTGCATCGTCAAGTTCTCGAACGTGTTGCCGCTTCGACGGAGGTTCGTACTAGAACAGGTCAAAATCAATATTGGTCGTGATCGACTTCTCGACTCCACGCACATGAATTTGGTGAAGAGGAGACTGTTGAAGTAATATGTCTCGCTGCCGTCTGCGCGCGTGAAGACGGTTGCGAACAGGCCCATCTTCTTCACCACCAAGTTCTCGTCATCGATGAAGCAGCGGTCTCCCGTATCGAATGGACTGCCAAAAGTTAAGCAACTGTGCCAGAATGAACCGAGCGAAGATGAAACACTTACTGCGTCACAAACAAGAACATGACCGCGTCGAAGGCGTTACTGGCCGAATTCTTAAAGATGAAGCTGAGGCCGATACCAAGGGTGTATACACTCGTCAAGCTGCTGCCCACGTTCACTCCGAATACTGACAGCGAGATAAAGAAGAGGATGACGAGGGCGAAGAATAAGATGATTTGGTCCAGGGTCTTGAGCGCTTGCCCCACGTCGCGCATACTCCGGCTGAGGAATCTGCGTTCCTTGTACACTTGCAGGAGCGTGGTCTTGATCTCGGCGCGGGAGATGTCTCCGTTGTTGTCCTTGTCGAACACCCTGAATGCTGCTTCGGCCTCCTGCGGGGTCTTGAAGGCCGGGTGGAAGTCAACGGGAAGCAAGTACTTGCGCCCACCGTTGGGCGGCCGGAACGCGTTGTAGATAGCGCGTGCAAGTCGTTTGGCTTCGTGCGCGGAGGTGACGTCCCAAACGAGCCCGGTGAGCTCGCTACCCTTGCCCTTGATGTTTCGCGCATCGTGCAGTACGGCCGACTTGAGCGCTTTGGCGGCACGTATCGCGACCTTCGGGTCCTCGTCTTCCACCGATCGCCTCGGAGAGGTGCCCGGGGGGTACGTGTGGGGCGAGCCGGTTGCACCGTGCGCGAGAGGCGAGGGCGAGACCGCACGCGAGGCGGACGGCGACTTGGAATGGGCCTGCCGCGAAGCCTGCTTGCCCTTGCCCTTTTTCGCACCAGCCGGAGAATCGCCATCGCCGTTCCCGCCAAGCCGCTCGGGTGTTGAGGAACGGGATGAGAAGTAACCGTTCGGCTGCTTCTCCCCGAACGGGGTGAAGAGACCGAAGCCGCGGCCGATTTGACGCGATGCGCGGTACGACGCGCGGGCTGGACGATAGTTACGGAGGACCTCGATGACCTTCAACGCTTCGGTAAGAGTGTCGAGGCGTTCCTTGTAAGCAGTGCGGTGGAAGGCGAAGGCTGACGAAGATGTTTAGTAAGTGCGAAAGTATATGAGAAGCATATGTTCTTACCGATGAAATGTGAGATCATACGTGAGGCGGAAATGACCAGCGCGAAGAAAAAGAGGAATTCGACCACTTCAAAGACCTGCATGCAAGGTGAATACGATTGGTGGATGGCAGAACGGCATCGATGTATGCGTACCCGCTGTGTGTATGAGGCCCGACTGTCGCTGGGATTGTGGGCGTCGTACAGTTTGTATATGCCCCCGAAGATGATCACCCAGCTGACCCATCCACTGGCTGCATAAAACACAGGCTTGGCGGTATCCTTGATACTGTTGTACATCTCGATACGACTCTTGACGTACTCTGAGACGTGGCCCCAAACAAATGATATGAAGCCGCGAACGACAACGGGAACGATGTCGATGATGAAGCCGAGGAACCAGGAGATGAGCAAGTTGGCAGCGGCCCAGAAGAGCCAGGCTTCGACGTTATCGAGGACATAGCGGCGGTGGGCCGTCTTGTGCGGAACATACCAAAGGAAGTGGACCAGAATGGGACCAGCAACCAGCAGAGATGAGACGAAGACGGAGCCTATGAGAGTCGAGAAGAGGAAGGTAGCAACCCTGCAGAAGACATTTCTGTCAGAGCATGATAACGCAGTATGAAATGGGTGAACGGTACCTCTTTGGGCCCCAGCCCTCGGGCTTGGGCTTCAGACCCATTTTTTGCTCGAACTTGGCCTCCTCGTTGACCAGATCCTCCTCCCCGGACCAGTCGTAGTCCTCGCTTTCATCGCCATCGGTTCCGGCGATGGATGAAGCACGGGAGGAGATGGTGACTAGTCCACCCGAGTCGCTGCGCTCTATCGGGAGAGCAGCCTTGTAGGAGGGAGCCAGGCCTTCGCCGAGGTCATCTGGGTAATGGACCTGGAGGCGGATGTTCTCCTGCTTGTCTTCACCGCTGTCGCGGTGCTTCTCGTCGCGGGTGTAGTCGTTCGACGAGGTGCGGTGTTCGCGATCTGGCATGAACTCGTCGGTGGAACGGTAGGCGGGCGAGTCTGCGGGTGGCAGCTGGAGACGGGATGAGCTGGCGACAGTGCGATAGGGAGGGGACGGCTGAGCGGGGTAGAGCTCGTCGTCGTTGAAGATGGAAGAGAACTGCTGTTGGAGATGCGGCGGACGTGATGGACGATGGTCGTCTTCCTCGCCTGGCATGGCGCTCCCGGGCTGGTTGCGTGACTGCGCGCTGTGTGTGAAGCAGAGCGCGAACGTCCCGTGCGTGGATATATGCGCCGTATAATATTCCTTCTTTTTCTCTCCGCGTGCTCACCCCGAAACAACGGCGACGAGCACACCCCAATATTTCCCGCTCCACTCCGGGCGATCGCCGTTGTGCTCCGGCCACCGACGCCGTCCCCACCCATCCATGACGTCGTGCTTCGTCCGACGCCGCATAAAGCCAGACATGCGTTCACCGTGCCCACATACAAACCCATAACGACCTTCACGATGTACAACAACGCGGACGCACAGCAGATCGAGAAACACGTCAACGCACAGGCGCAGCAGGATGAGAAACAGCTCAAGCGTCTCATGAAGGACGTCAAGTCCGCCGAGAAGAGGGAGAGCAAGGGCGAAAAGGTCCGCTCCCCGTAGTATACCCCACATTCGTCCCCTCTGACTCCCCAGTCCACGTACAGTACATTGACAAGGCGGAACATGCGCTTGACAAGGCCGTCGCCAAAGAGCACAAGACGGCTGATAAGATTAACCAGGCCGTGCACAAGCACGACGCCGCCATCGGCAACGTTTCTAGCGCGGAGAAGAACGTGGATGTACGTATACATCTTGCAGTGTCCGCGCGGGTTGCTCACTTTATAACCTCCTCAGACTCGCAAACAGCATACCGCCAAACTGGAACAGGACATGCTCCGCAAGCGCCAAGAACTGGAAGAGTTCCGGCAAAAGAAAGATGCGAACGATGTGCGTTGCTCTTCGTCCTGTTCAGCACCCTCATTTGACGAAGTTTCTATCCTCAGGCCATGCGCGAATCTAAGCTCGCAGAACTTCACCAGGCCGCCGCGGACGCCGCTCAGGGCAACCTGTCCCGGGCCGGCACTACCGCCACCGATCGCACCGCAGGCACCACCGGCACAAACGAATCGTTTGGACAAGCACCCACGGGCACGACGGGGGCGGGCGCGACCACGGGATCCGCACCGATTGAAGGAAACCGAGCGACCGTGGAGTAAATTGGCTTATGTGCGACGCCTTGGTGTTTTTATTGCGAGGTGTGAAACATCTACACGAAGCAATTGATCGCTCTATCTGTACACACTTATACCATATGTACTCCTTTTGTACTCCAGTAATCTATTGTACTATACCTACGCGGGAAATCTTCAAGATCCGATCGCAATGCTGAAGTATATGATTTACGGTTCTTATCGAGAACGTCATCCTCTATTGACTCCCCACTGCAGGAGGTGAAGTGACATGTACAACGGCACCGTGCGTGCAAGTAAGACAAACGCGCAGGCTACATGCACAACGGCGAATAGAAGCATAGATATTTAGATAAAATTGATGGAAGGTGGAACGTCGGCGACTATTGCAGAGTTCATCACAGCGGTAAGGTCGATGTCGAGATGAGGTGTGTATAGATATTGTAGGCGATTGTGAGGGGGCGGAACATAGCGGTGTTGGTGTTGTACAGTGCGTGTGATGTCGTATCGTCATTCGAGTAGTGGCGTGTAACGGATCGTTGTCGAGATGGATGGAAGATGGCCATGCACGAAGAACAGACGAACGGGCCCGTCAGCCTGAGCTTTGTAGCGAAGAGGAGCGCTAGTAGGTCACCAGGAGCGGCTGCCACGTCCCGAGAGCCACTTCCTCGAGATGCTGAATCTTGACGCGCTCCCAGGACAGCGGGATTCGGTTCTTCTGTGATTCGCATTCATCGTGATCAGATCCGTGGACTTAGGGCAGCGTGCGAGTCACGAACCTCGAGGTAGTGCCGGCATGCCCTTGCCACGCGCCGCAGGAGCGTCTGAAGGTCCACCCGGCCACCATGACCGTCCACCGGGATGTCGTACGTCAAGGTCTTGTATCCAGTCCACTGACATATCCGTGTATGAGGAACTGATTCAGGACAGAGCCCAAATCGATGGGTACTTACCATCATCCTCAGCTTGATCTTGCTTCGATCGTCCACCTTGAGGTCGTAGAACGTGTACCTGGTCTGATTTGCGAGGGGCACGTTTGTCTCCGCCGCGCGGAGCGTCACCCCGCCGCGGAGGCTCGCCTTTGCCCTAAACTTGACGAGTTTGACCTTGCTTGAGCGCACTAAAAAGTTGGATCGCGCGCTGGGCGGGATTTGACTGATGTCCAGCCGTGACTTGGAGCCGTACGGCGATCCGTATGAGTATCCCGGCGAGGCGGTGCCGTACATTGTGTAACCCCCCGATGAGTATGAGGAATACGACGGGTGGCGGGAGTAGCTCCGCGAGTGTGAGTGCGAGCGGCGCGAATGCGAGCGGTGGGACGACCGGGATCGCCGACCGCCGTCGTCGAGATATACATAAGTCGGCTGACTGGAGGATAGCATTGAGGGATCGACGACGATAGTGTTGGTGTGTGATCTCGAGCGCGAGTGTGATCGATGGTAGCCTGGGCGAGGGGTGCGCGGGTAGGCGCCATTGGTGAAACTCCGCGAGCGATGCAGACCAGGCGTTTGGTAGGCAGGATCTTCGACGAATGCTTCAGAAGGTGTGTCAGTATGATCGCAAAGCGTGTCATTGGAACCGGATACAAACTCGCAGCAGGGTTATAGGGAGTTGAGTGGCCAGCAGAAGGTACATGGGGAGCCTGGTAGCCTTGCTCGTAATCATCAATGTAATCCTCCTCCGCAGGATACGTATACTGAGTATGCAACTGCGTCTGATTATATCCCTGAACTACGGCGTCAGCAATCAGGTCCGTCCAGGCAGCACTCAGGGCTTACTGGGTCCACATATTGATGGTGAGGTGAAAAGGAGACCCTGGACGTCTGGTAAGGGACACCTGGGCCAGGGGTGTGGGGATAGAGAGGTTGGGAATAGGAATGTGGGGTCATCCCGGGCCGTGGAGTGTACGCCATAGCTTGAGCTTGTGGTACTGAGGTTCTGCGATATACAGCAACAAGACGGTTCTGTGCCTGGTGCGGAGATTGAGTGCAACAGAGTAGACGGAAGACAGCGAAAGAGAAAACAGCAGTAACACGAGATCGGTCAGTCGAAGGGAAGAGCGAGCTCGGGCCTCGTCCCTTTTATATGCATGCCCATGGACCTGGGGAAGTGCATCGAGGGTGTGAACGTGCATCTGCCTCGAGGTTCGGTCGAGGATGCGTAGTTATGATCTTGTGGCTCACGTTCATTGTCCGTATTTGGTACAGAGAGCTGCCAATCCCGCCCGCTCTGCACCATTGTCCGTACACATAAGTAGAGGCTGTGTTCGAGGTTCCAGACCCAATCGCAGGGGAGCTCACACCAGCAAGGAGTATGCCGTCTTGATGTTGCCCTCCCAGTGATGCGACACCCCTAGAACCCTACGTCTGGAGAGTTCTGGCCACAAACTCAACGCGTGAGTGGAAAACGGCTTCGCTAACCAGAGCAGACGCATCCGGTAGCGCCAGGAGAGATTCCCGAAGTTGTTTCTGGGCCTCGAGGCAAACGTGAGTTGCACCGCCGCTTCCCGTCGCGTGAAAAGAGGAACGCACTCTTATGATTGTGATCGCAGTTGTGCAGACCTAATGGCCTTCGAGTCGGAAGTCATTTGGTAAACTGAAAGAAAAAGAAAGTACGAGGCAAACTGGTATACTATTGGCGTGAACGACCGGTACCATGTAAAGCTGCACAGTGCACCGCCACAGCTCGACGCTCCTGTCCACCATGGTCAATGGAAGCAAGCTTGTCTTGTTTTAGCGACACAAAACTCGCATCGACCTCGATCGATCGCGAGTGCGATCGTCCATGTAAGGTAGGCGAATAGAGGAACAGGAGAAACCTTCGATTGCTCGTCGAGAAGAACAAGTATATCGCGCATACCCTACCCGGCAATCTGACCCTGCACCATATCTACTGCGCATGCGGCCATGACGCACACCGTCACGGTCGGCAACTTGGGGAATGGGACTCAGATACGATGAGAACGGTGCATACATCGGCTCCCTTTATGCCAAACTTTCACCGGTACCCTTAAGCGCGTCCTATGAACGACACTGACAACACCCTCGAGCTTCTCGGCGTATATATGCTGGGACATGCAAGCTCACGCGTTCGGCTCGCGGATTCCGCTGATATGGACTCCACAGACCGCTTTCACAGCAAGCGAACGCTGTTCTTACGCTTGGAAGGACTGCACATGCAGGCTCTCGACTGGTCCTATAGCTATATACAGACTACTATCTGCCGATATAATTTCCGAGCAATGACGATCAATTCTACAACCCTTTAGATCTCTGGTAGTCTGATTTGGCCGAACGATGGAGGGACAAACATTCGAGGCAGAGGGACATCGCAGAGAAGGGGTTACAATCTCTCTCATATTGCCAACGCTCAGTCACCTCGTCGCGACCACTATGCAGTACTCGCCTATACTATGTCAGCTGCGCCTTTTGTCGTCCGTCAACTTGATTCCGACATCTTAAAACTGACACCATGAGTATTTCCTGTAAGTGGGCCATTTCACGGCCGGCACATCTGCATAGGGGTGATAGTGTACATACACTAATATACGTCTTCTGGTATCGTGTCATGAGGAGGTGAATAGATAGTAGTCACGTTGGTGATGTCCAAAGTAGAAGAATTATAGTACCTGACAATGTCAAAGCAGGGTAGAAAGCATGATAAAGTGGACTAGTGAAGATTAGACGGGCTACACGTGAATGAGTCGTAACATTGGACGTCGGCCAAGGATCCCGTTTAGATAGCGGACCCGCATCGAGAGGATTCTTGTCTGGTTGTCTATTGGTTTTTCTTCTGGCTGACAACCGAGCCGTTCAGGTCGATGCCGATGCCGCTTCCGTGCGGGCTCTCGGAGAGGCCCATGTGTAATGATGGCGGTGATGCAGTTGCATGGTCCTTCTTGGCGCTGAGTTCTGGCGAGTTGGGAAGGGAAGCAAGCTCATCGGTGGACATGCTCGGACTGGTACGTCCACTATGAGACCCTGATCTAGCAGTAGCCTCGGCGAGTTCCTTGCGGAGAGCCTCAAGTTCCTTCTCAAACCTGATGATGATCAAAAAAGATCAGAGCAGGAACGTCAGGGAACTAGGGCAATACTGACTTCCGGCCGAAAACTTCGATATAAAAACCCCCGCCATTCCACACTGAGACCGAGAAGATGAGAAGCAGGAACACGTTGCTCCAGATGGGGCTGTCATATAGCAGGAATACCGCTGGCAGCTCAGTGAGCACGCCGTAGACTTGACAACCAAAATCAGTAGTGCTGAATGGTGCATAAACGAAGCTGACCATACCAAGTTGTCCAAACATAAAGGCAGTCACGCGCTGTCCTGGCGGTATGCTGCACAGTGCGCGTCCGATGACGCCTCTCTTATCGTTCAAGAGAAATGAGAACGACGTAGTCCTCTCTCCGCTTTCGATCTTCTTGCGTCTGTCCACGAGCACGAACTAACGAGGAATGTGTGAATAACTGTGACTTGCGGTTCGACGCAAATGTTATTAACCTTCCAATACAACAATTGCCAAATAACATCTAAAGCATATTCAGCCATAAAGCTCATAGAACTCGTGAGACGGATGGCTCACAAATTAGGGAACTTAGTACCAATGCCCGTAGAGGTTGCAAGTGATGCAAATGGCGTAACGCTGGAAACCGTTCTGCAGCATTAGGGTAGAAATGCCTGAAGCCCAGGTTAGCTCCCCTCGATTTCGCCGCCCCTACCATATACAGCTTACCGTATGACAGTGAATGTGAACGGAGCATATATGTGGACGAAAAGGCTGGTGACTTTGTCAGAGTCATGGAAAACGAGACTGTTCCGCCAAGTAATGACTGCGCTAGCAAGAGAACCGTGCGATAGACAATAGCAAGCAACGAAGAGAGCCGTACTGTCGGGGAACAGCCAGATGTAGACGAAGTTGAGGATGGTAACATAGTAGCAGAGGTCGAACATGAAGTAATGCCATGCGCGCTTCTTATACCTGTACGCGCGCATGGGCAGGAGATAGGCGGCTTGAAGAGTGTATGATATGTGAATCCACTCCGGTGCCATGCCGAAGAGGAGGGCCGAGATGAGCAGAGACATGACACCGAAGAAGAATGTCAGTTTTTCGCGCGTTCGAATGACTTTGGCAGAGTGCCAGGCCTGAGCAAGCGACGTCATCCTCGTGGTCATCTAGCCACCATCGGTTAGTGCTATGACACCGACCCGCGATGGACTGTGCCAACCTTCAGCTTGACCTTCTGCAGTTCCCTGTCTAGGTCCTTCGCGACCAACTCTCCAGTCGGAGTTTTGATCAATGGTAGTTCGCGTAGGACATCTTCGGCGCGTGTCTTGAGCTTGTCTGTCTGCTTGGATAACCTGCGTTGTAACAAGTCCAGACGTGAATCAAAGAAGGTTTCCATGGTGTCTGCGGCGCGCTGGCGGCGTGAATACCATGCTCTGTCGATGATCACTGCTGCGAACCTAGGAGCGTGAAAGCACTCGTCCAATCACTATAGACATCCTCGCGTCGAAAACGCTCAAAAGGTAGCGAAAAGTAGCCCATCCCAACAGTAGGAGATTCCGAGCGGCCAGGTGACGGTGACGGTGGTCGAGACGGCACGGCCATGCTGGCTTTAGTGTTGATGAAGGTGTGGCCCGAGGCTTTGTTGTCGGTGTTGTCGACGGGAGAGTGATCGATTGTGGTGAAGATGCGTGGCTCGACGTCAGAGGCAACGCGCGTGTTTGTTCCACGCGTCCCAACGGCGGCGCAAGACGCTGAGCCACCTTATTTGGCTCGAACTGTCCTGAGACTGCAATCGGTTTTGGATGTTGTCCACAACAATGTCCCTGAAGCTGCTTCACCGTTGTGTCACTAGCCCCCGATGCGGCAGCGTTGCATTTTGCCTGTTGCCCAGCAGGTGTTACGGTACCGTTGACTGTGCACTACTACATTGTCGCCAACATTACATATTTGATCTTTTTTTTCTGAAGCCGACATGTCCAACCATGTCGATAGCTGTAATGCACTGAACGCTACAAGACTCAGAGAACCCGTATCACCTACCCTGGCCTCAAGAGCACCTACTTGGAGACAGTCAACCCAAGTTAGCTGTTGGCATGCTAACGTGAACAAGGTCAAACGTACATCTGAGACCTGAACCCTGTTCTCAACATGCCCAGTGACCAGGTGTTGACCATCAACCGGTGGACAGCGGTATAAGCCTGGGCGCTCGCATTCAATGGGTAGGCAGGGCGTCGATTATTCGCTCCCGTCCAACCAGCGCGGCAGGGTATATGGGCGCACTCTATCTACGACGTTGCGACCTCGCATCTTGGGTTCTGTTGAGTGTTGGTGAGAACGCAACCTCCACAGACGTGGAGGCCGTGCCACGGGCACGCCCAAGAACGACGTTATAAGGATATCGGCCAACCTCCCAAGGCTTGAAGATGATTCGGACGGAGGGTCGTTACGGCTTATGTGTTCACACAGGAATGAATTCTTGCGAATGAATCGCGAACTTTGGGCGCCGAATCCTCACTGCCATCGCCCGTTTTCCTCTTCCGGCCGAGAACGCAGTCAAGCGCTGCGGCGCAGAGGGTGGCTCGCGGGCAGGCCCCGCGCGAGAAGTAAGGAGAGTTCATTTTGAGCACGGCGACTTCCCTTGCGCTCGCATCCTTTGGCCCATCTCAGCGTTTCCTCGATATGCTGATAGAATTGTTGCAAATGGGTTAACATGCTTGCATGCGCTCGCCATCAAGCCCTAGATCAAGCAGTTCCATGTAGTTATTCGCAGAGATCGCTCGCGTCCGAGGTACAACTAAGGTGTGCAACGCGGTGAATAGCGGTGAATTGAGATCGTATCATGATTTTGGGATGCGGCCATGAGGGCAGTGCCTAAGTCCAGCGCACAGCGACTTCACGGTTCATCCGTTCCCTCGTTTACTGCAGAGGGTTCCAACGTTCCAACACGCTGGTCGATACGCCCCTTCCATATGTGATCACAGGATGAGAGCCTGACGAGAGCGAAGCAGTGCCACCGGGCTTCGAGCGGCTGTGTCGACGCGATGCACATGGACACAGCCCCTCAAGGCTAAATTTCGCCATCGTCCGGATAATCTGAGGCCCGGCTGTTCCAGTTTTAGGACCCTGCCGGTTGATACTACCTACCTACTCCTGGCTGAGCGTCGCTCAGACGTGCATTAGAGCGGATGGTGGCCCGGAATCTCGACTAGCGGCAACTAGCATGCATACATGAGGATCGGCGGACATACGAGCGTCATAGACATCACGAGGTACGGAGTTTGCTCATGCATGGCACAGATTCTGATGTGGATCTCAGCAACACTCTCATGAGAAGCAGAGAGCGATGGCGTGAAAGTGGTATTAGGCAATGTCATGCGTGGCGTCAAGAATACAAAGTACAACAGGATGCTAATATTCGTGCCAAAGGATGTTCGGTCAATTGAGGGTCGCAAGCGACCCGTGTGAACTAATAGCGCTCGGATGTGGATGTTCCCAGCGGGCGTTGAATGTTCGATCGAGGCGAATGTGCGATAGCGACATTTGGCGTCGATGATGGAATGGGGTTGTGCCGAACAGGCACCATTGAGCGACGGTTCGCGACGGTGCTCTGAACCCGGTGGGCGTTGCGCGTGCTCCTGAGAGCCTTCCTTCCAGATTACCAGTTTCCTTCCCCTTCCCCTTCTGTGAGGCTACGCCGCTCGGACTAGTATCTCGTCGATCATATCCCAGTCAATCTCCAACTCCTCGTCGCTGTCAACGATGGGGGGCGACATCCGAGGCTCCGGACTGTGCGACCGTTCGGGCGTCGCGGGCACCGTAGGGAGAACGCGCACGTCCGAGTACCGTTTCGTCGGTGGAGATGCGGGGACGCTGGGTAGTCGCCTTACCCGTGAGGGCGAGGACGTGGGCGAGGACGTGGCGGAGGCGTAGGTGGGGGGCGGCACGTCGAACGTTGACGTTGGTACGAAGGGTAGAGGTCGTCTCCGCGAGGTCCTGGGGCCAAACTGCGGTGATGCGCATGAGCGTCGGTGGGGTGACCCGGGCAGGGTCGAGGGATCCATCGTTAAGAACGACAGGTGAGGCGGCGACGAGGAAGGGTAGGATGATTGTGAAGACGACGACGACGAGGTAGAGGAGACCGTGTTGATAGTCGAGATGGACGGTCGGTGGAGTATGCGGCCAGCGTCGTCGCGGAATGGGTCGTCGCGGTAGGACATGGCTGCGTATCCCCTAGACTGGGGAACGCCGATGTGGGAGTGGGCGCGCTGCGCGATGGTGGACATGGCTGGTGCTGGGTCGGGAGACGGGGAGAGCCGTGGGCTGAGGTGGACAGGCACTAAAGGTTTATGAAGCCGCCGACTCGCGCGGTGGAGGCAGAAGCAGGTGGATGGTATTTAGACCCGTGCCCGTATCAGGTCGCTATCTGCGAAGCTGATGAACGCATGCGCCAATGAGAAGATCACGGTGTTCTTTGATCTAACCTCCTGATGCCCACGGCACCCCGGTTGTCCCAATCCGTCCCCGCTAGATCTCCGGCGCTAGCCGAGATCACACCGCCACCCACGTCCATCATGCCCGCCGTCGATCTCGCTGAGGAGGAGCGGCTCGACGAGCTCGACCCTCTGCGCCATCTGCGCGACGACGACGAGCTCGTGCCATCCCAGCCGCATTCGGTCCAGAATGAACGGCTCACACTCTCCTTCCCCACCGCTGACAACGGACCCGTCCAAATCGAGCTTCTCGCGGACGCGAAACCCGGCTGTGGCGGGATTGCATGGCCAGCCGGAGAGGTCGGTCGTCTCGGTAGTTCTTGCTGTTCGGCGGCTAAGTTACAGCATTCGCACTGCCTTCAGGTTCTTTCGCGCTACATCTCTCGATGTGGACTTGGCGAAGCAAAGGAAATCTTGGAACTTGGCAGCGGGACTGGTCTCGTCGGCCTCGTCGCCGGCTCCTTGGGCGGTCGAGTATGGATCACCGACCAAGCGCCGTTGCTTGACATCATGCGATCCAACGTAGCACTCAATGGATTATCGTCATCCGTCTCGGTCGCCGAGCTTAACTGGTCTGCTGGCTCTTCCCCGTCATTCCCCTCGATCTCATCCTTGAACTAGGGGAGAATCGATACCTCCCGAGATACCTCGATCTTTGGACTTGCTTTTACTGGCTGATTGCGTGTATTTCGAGCCTGCGTTTCCGCTCTTGGTACAAACGTTGTGTGATCTAACATCGCCGGGCGATCCAAAGCCGAAAATACTCTTCTGCTACAAGAAACGCCGAAAGGTACCTTTCGATCTCCTCTTATGTCACTGAGCATTTTATTGATGCTGGGCTCAGGCAGATAAACGGTTCTTTACCCTGCTGAAGAAACACTTCGATTGGGAAGAGGCGAGCAAAATGGCACGACGTCCATCAGCTTGCGCCAACTCATAATTGCATTGCAGGTGGAGGGCGATCCCGACAAACAAACTTACAACCGCGAAGCAATCACACTGTTGCGCCTACGTCGACGTGGATGATGTACGGCGTACCAAGATATCGCTAGCATGATGGTTACCGTACCTTGCCTAAAATTACCACGTATGGCCAATGGTCATCACCGATCTGCAATATTGGCTCCACTCCGGTGTCTTTGACTTGATACGGGCCTGCTTACAGCCTTATCTTGTCGTAGGGTAATGCTCATATTGTATGATCGTCATCAAATGTGCAGATGGAGAACTCGATAAACTTGTTGGACTCGAGATGGACCCAATCACCCCGGTGATCGGTACGGATGCGAGGACCGCTTGGGTGACAGGAGTGCATGCAAAGAGACATACACAACACCAGACGCCAGTGCGCAATACCATCGAATCTGATTTGTGGCAGTGTCCACTTGGCTTCGCTGACTCGCATCATTCCATGTTTTGCTTGAACGCATGCGCAGGCGCCACCGAGCATCATGCGCGCGAGCTCCCGCCGTGGGACGTGCCCGCGAGCCGAGCATGTCACTGACTTCGAACTTGCGTTCCGTGATTCCGGTTATCCTGACATGTATAGCGACGAAGCAGGTCTGAAATTGCAAGGATATGTACAATGTAACATGCTTGTGACCGTCGGAGACCGCAAGGATCGACCGACGGATTGCACTGAATTCCATTAGGCAGAACCTTTATTATAAGTAGGGCCTTTCTCGAAGAAAGAGGGACCCTCAGGCCTCAGGTTAGTGCCATGGATTCGTGTTGGTGCTCCTTGAACGCCGAATACACGTTCCGAAACGAGTTACGGTCTCGTTCGGAACTATCACCATTGGCATTGGTAGGATTCATATATAATCACGTTGACAGCACAAACTTGGGTAGTAGCTTGCAGCGCATAGGCTCATCCAATCAGTACACAATCCCGCGATAAATCTGCAAAGACAATATGCGTCTTAAACTCTTGAGGGTACGCAAGAATGAGTTGGCGTGGATCGCCGAGGTTATGGTATACTAGTTGATCTAGACATCACTGAGGGCGTGCCGATCATGATCAACGTCTGCTATCCCACAGATCCTGACATTCACGAGCCGGTAGTTGTCTTGGAAACGCTGGGTCAAAAAGCGGTGGGGATATATGCAATGTAAGTGAGAATAAGTAGAACTTTGGGGTGAACATAAACATATGGTGGAGGATCTGTGGCTATTTTGCGACTCACTCTCATGCTTTACGCAAGCAAGCATGCGGCAACCCAGGAAATCGACGCTATCTCACCGCCTGCAAACGCTGAGCAGTATTGCTGATCGAATCAAGAGTGCACTCGATATTCGCTACACTCAGATATCACCGATTCAGCCGTGGTCTCTTGCATCTCTACTCCACATACCCTGCAGAGATCGGATAATTCCAAGCAGTCCAGATTCACGTCGAATGTGATAAGGCGCACATTAGAATATTATGTGCAACACAATGTGCAGCATCTCCATATCACGAGCGCTGATCCGACAGTCGTAATAAGAGGCAATGCATGAAGTTCCTGGAGAACGCGCAACTCTTCTGGCAACATGGATGGGCTGGCCTGGTAGCAGGAGGGATAAGATATACTTGGATGTGCCTATTTGGTGTCTATACAAGGTGTGCGCGCGTCGATTGCGTAAGCATATGTGCGCGTCCAGCCCGAACGCGTCAGCTTGCATGTTCACCGTCGTCCCTCTGCTCCATCATGGTAAATGATAACTCAGAGCTTCCCTCCACCAATGCCATCTAATTGGACCAGTTTAGAAACACATACGACTCTGATAACACCGTATTCTCGCCACAAGGACGTTTACACCAAGTAGAATATGCGGTAGAGGCCGTAAAGCAGGGATCCGCCGCGGTGGGCTTGCGATCGAAGACACATACCGTCCTGCTCGCGCTCAAGGTGAGACTATGCCATTTGTCGTTGATATGGCCGCACGCACTGCGCTGACATGTGTAATAGCGTTCCACTGGCGAGCTGGCTTCATACCAGCAGAAGATGTTCAGGATAGATGATCATGTCGGCATCGCTATTGCAGGCCTGACGTCCGACGCGAGGGTATTGAGGTGAGATCTGTCTTCTTCTCACATTGTTACTGGTTTTCGACGTCATTGCAGCAATTTCATGCGACAACAAGCGATGTCCGAGCGTATGGTGTTCAATCGCCCCATACCAGTCAACCGTCTCGTTTCTGCGATCGCCGACAAAGCGCAGGTCAACACGCAAGAGTATGGACGTAGGCCGTATGGCGTCGGCTTCCTCGTCATTGGCCAAGATCAGACTGGACCCCACCTTTACGAGTTCTCGCCGACCGGAACATCCTACGAGTACTACGCCATGTCCATCGGTGCACGAAGTCAGAGTGCAAAAACATACCTTGAGAAACATTACGAGAGTTTCATGGATGGTATGCGTGCTCGTTTCTACAAGTCTACGATATTTATACAATTCCGCCTCCGGTAGCTTCACTGGAAGACCTCATCCGACATGGCCTACATGCTTTGCGGGAAACCTTGCAACAAGACAAGGAGTTGACAATCAACAACACGTCTATCGGCATAGTTGGTCCCGCGGGTGTGCATGAAAGAGGAGTGTCGCCGAGTGGACCTTTCCGGATCCTCGAGGGAGACACCATTGACGTCTACCTCCAGAGTATGCAGCCAAAGGAGGGACCTGAGGGACCTGCCGCTCCAGCGGCACAGCCTGCTGCGGCTACTGAAGCAGCAGGCTCAGACGAAGACGTTCAGATGGTCGAGTAGAGTGCTGTACGTATTCGGCTGTAGCTTCGGACTGTTGCGACTCTCTCGATGTCGCATGCGTGGCTTTCGGATTGTAGTGTACAGGTTATGATAGGCTCCGAATGGCGCCTCGCGTAAGAATGAACGATGAATTCCATATTGTCCAGCAAGAGAGAGATGTTCCCCGAAAGAGCCAGTGTTTGACGTTTAACGTGGTACAACGCCCAGTAGACCCGCCCCGCTCTTGAGGCCACGACCGCGAGCGGCCAATAGGCTGATTCCGACACAACTGAGCAAGAACCCGGCAAACCTATCGACAGAGCATCGTGACTGTTGTCTCCCGTATAGCATGGTGCACGGAGTCTCACCTGAAGAAAGCGACACGCGATATGGACCGTTCCTCCATCGCGGAGCGCGAGGAGGCAAAGATCGTCCTAAGCACCGCCGGCGTCACCGGAAATCGGCGCTTGGGTGGTGTGTGTGGCGGCTGGTTCGCTGCAGGGATGCCAGTCACTGTTGACGACGTCGCAGAACGAGGTGGCATCGGAGGTAGACTTGCGGAAGGTAAGAAATTCAGGATGCATAAACGCGTCTTTTGCTCTCAGTCATCCGAAGGCTGTCCGCAGGTTCAGACACACGCAGGGACTACGGAACTGCATGGATCTGGCTGCTCCGAAGAGTGACTGTGGTTCTGGTCGTCTATGACTCACGTAGCGCTGAAGGGTACACTGGGGACCTTTGCGAACTACTATGGGCGCTGGCTCTCGTACAGACTACATGCCTCTGCCACTACCCTGAGCTGCAGCAAACCGCCTATTCAACAAACCCGCGCCCAGAGAATGTCTCTCAATGCCGTCAACATCACTTTCCTCGGGACTGCGTCGGCCCAACCGTCATCGACACGCAATCATTCATCGCTCGCGTTGCGACTGAACGGTGATGTCTGGCTCTTTGACTGTGGGGAAGCAACCCAGCATCGTGTGCAGAAGAGCCAAGTGAAGATGGGCAAGATTCAGAAGGTTTTCATCACGCATCTGCATGGTACGTCTTCCTGTAGTCTCGGATCGCATCGTCTATTCACCGACGGTATTGCAGGGGATCATATATTTGGTCTCTTACCCCTGATGGCTGGAAGACTTAATGGTGCAGGTGGACTGGCTGATGGGGCGGAAGACCCTCGGTCGCAGGTGACGATCGATCAAGAGGTTCGTTGCGTGTTGGTGTACCTTGTTGCTTGCGGTGCACTGAAAGCAGACAGCCCCTTGAGATATACGGCCCTCTAGGCACACGGGCGTACGTCCGGAGCGGCCTGTTCTACACTCATACTCTGCTTGGCCACCCCTACGTTGTCCATGAGCTCCGCTTTCCGTCGGATCCTACGGACGACTACACTGTCTTGCCCCCACATACTGCTGAATTGCCTGGTCGGAACATCACAATGGAGGACGGAGCATGGCCAAACATTTTCGACGACGGCGTTGTCTCCGTCTCCTCCGCGCCGATCTTGCATTCCATCCCTTGCGTAGGGTACGTAGTCACAGAAGCACCAGTTCCGGGGAAGATGGACCCCGCCAAGTACGTGCCGCATCTCAAGCGGACAAAGACGCCTATGTCTGCTATGACTCGCCTCCAGCGAGGAGAGACGATCGAACTCGCGGATGGCTCGGTCCTGCAAGGTCCAAAGAGGAGACGAGGGCGAAAGATCGCCATCCTGGGCGATACCTTCGATCCTTCTCCCATCGCCGGTTTGGCTGCTGGTGCCGACATCCTGATACATGAAGCGACCAACGCTTATCTCCCAGGCATTGATATGGACACGAAGGAGGACGAGACGCTCGCCGGAGTTGAGGAGCGGACGAAATCCCGTGGTCACTCGACACCACAGATGGCGGGCAAGTTCGCTACGAAGATCGGCGCACACAAGCTGGTGCTAAACCATTTCTCTGCTCGATATCGAGGTGATGATGACGTCGCCGAAGAGGCAGGCCGCATCATGAGGGCCATCAGAGATCTGGCGGCAGGCGCATTTGGTGGGGACGTTGTATGCGCTCGCGACTTCATGAGCTTCGATGTCAGCATACCGACAGTATGATGCAATATAGTGATACAATGAGATATCCCCCTCGGAAAAGACTTATATTCTCAATCGTCCGGAGGTTCAGACAGCTCGCTACTCGCGTCTGTTGCTTCGCCTTCTTCCGGTTCCTCATCTTCCGCCGCCTTTTTCTTCGCCCTCCGTGATTCCCTCCTTTCTTCGCCATCTTCCGCAACTTCCCCCATCTCGATATCGTCGTCGTCGTCCACGAGTTTCCTGAATGGCATGGGCGAAAGAGACGGCGCAGCGGAACCCGAGGCTCCCGATGCGGTCGAGCGTATCCTGAGTAACCGATTCGTCGCCGCAACCGAGCCGGGCGAGAAGGGTTTAGCATAAGGGTTCATAGAATTCGCCGTAGTCGTAGAGGGTGGACCATCGGAGGAGGAGTCTTCTCCATCTTCTTTTTCCTCTCTTATGGCACCTACTTCGGGTGTTTCCTGCTTTTGGGCTGACCCGTGGTCCCCTGACGTTCCGTCTGGGGTAGGTGTACCAGTTCGCGATGTTCCTAAATCAGCTCCGTCCTTTCCAAGCAGACGAAGGGAGGAGAGGTCGGCGACAACATCATGGATGGCATCTCTTTGGGCCTGCAATGTCTTTTCCTGGGCTTCGTGCTCAAGATGGATGGTCGCCATATCACTCTCGAGAGACGCGATTGTCCTGGCGATATCATGAGATACCGAAATTGGGCGCAGAAAGCGTGAAGACGTTCGACATACTCCTGCAGTTCATCTCGGCTGGGGAGGGCGTTAATCTTCTCTGCCACTTGGTCGTACTCCATCTTTCGCCTTCGCAGCATCTGAGCGTGCTCTAACGACGTCTTCAATTGCTCAATCTGACCACGTAGTTTGATGTGTTCGTCCGCTATCCGCTGTCTTTCCCTTCGGTATTCTTCCACCTGCCTCGCCTCTGCTTCACAGACCATCGAGCTCTTCTTGAGCTGTAGGTCGAACGAGGCAAGTTCCACCAGGAACGCGTCGCGTGCGTCATCCCTCGCACTTGAAATGCCTGGTACACTGTCTTTGGCGATGGCCGCATAGGTATGGAACTTCTTGATGACACGACGGAGAGCCCTTTCATCGTTCGTTATTCGGGTGTAGATGATTGCATCTGAGGTCGAGTAAGAGCCGTGTGCTTCGTGAAATCGCTAAGCGAGTTTGCTCGTACCTTCCTGCTCTGGAGTCATAGGTGGGGCAACGTATTGCTCAGCCAGTGCTGCACTGTCCGTCGCCATCCTCAGGCTCCGGGCAAACAAGAGACGGTGTGCAAGTTCAATGAGCTCACGGACACAGGATTCATTGAAAGCTGCTCCACGTGGGCGAGTGGCTGGGCTTACTCTTCGGAGCCCATGCACGTTCGTACCTTTGGGCTTCTTCGCGCTCTTGAGAGGCTCCTGGCTGCAGCATCACCTCTTCCTTCCTCACTTCCACCGACAGTCCCGGCCAGGATGTCGACACAACCCCTCCTACAGCGCACAGCTAACAAACGCATCGCGCTTCCCGTCCGCGTCGAGCCCAAGGTCTCCTTCGCCAATGAGCGCACCTTCCTCTCATGGCTACATTTCACGGTTGTTCTCGGAGGTTTGGCAGTGGGCCTCTTAAATTTTGGTGATAAGGTATGTACTACTGACTGTTGTCACACGACTTGTCTTCTTGCGGAAGGGATCGTTAGGGGGGACGGGCCATGCTCATGACATCGTTCCATAGGTCGGCAAGATCAGCGCTGCGATGTTTTCGGTGGTCGGTAAGTACGGAGTCGCCTTGCACACCGTTGGTTAACAAAGAACATCCGACACTTCAGCTATGGGCGTCATGCTTTATGCACTTTATCAATATCACTGGCGCGCTTCGTCCATTCGCAAAGGTGGAAGAGGGCCATACGACGACCGACTTGGGCCGGTGTGTACTCGCATAGTGTGTAAGGGGCATAGGCTGATTCGTGCATCCAGACCATACTGTGTTTGGCATTACTACGTAGGTTCTCTGCACCCTGTCTTGGACTTTCGCTGAGACATCGCTTCGCCAGTCGCTACTGTCGTCAACTTCGTTCTACGATTCACAGAGCCGAACCTCTAAAGGCGCCCATTCCCGGCCGCCTAGCGATTTCTCATACGACGTACATGTGCATTCGTTTCCGCATGCAGTCGCCAGCAACCTACGACAGGCTACGCACCCACTCGGACAAGGGTAGGATACTTGTTCGGCCATCTATCGCCGTATCTCTCTAGATACGAAGTGTCCCCTGAACGTCATCTCTCGATTACTTCCTTTGTCTTGTGTGTATACACGGTTGTCTGTGAACAATGCAGACATACTGTACATTATGTGTGACTGCGCCTATCCATGCTCTATATCATCCTGCACATTGTACTCTATATTCTCCGTCATTGTATCATCAGTCTGTCAGTGCACCACCACATCCCCTGGTTCCCCAACGAGCTTGTCTTTCCATCCGTAAGAATCATGAGTTCTGCTTTCAGATTTCACCACCTCCATTGGTCTTGTCCGTATATCCTGCATCTCGTCGCCAAGATGTAAGTTGGGCTGCTCTTCACCATCTAGTGCCCGCGTGAATTCCCCAAGCCCGGTACCAGTCATTATCATGAGCGACGTACTGTCCATGTCCATCTTACCGTCCAAGAAAGCCAGCACGAGCCTGTCGATTAGTTGTGCAAGCGGCAAGGCTGGTGTATCATTGAACCGGTCGGGTATCAGCAATGGAAAATCACTGAAAGAAATATGCTGCGCCCGTACTAAAGCGTACTGTTAGTCAAAAGCAACGTTGAATAGACAGAATTTGCACCAAGGGTCAACACTCTACCTCCCTTCCAATGTTTCACTGTCTTCCTCAAACGCTCGAAATGAGTTCTCCATAGCGTGAAACCCTCGCTCTGCAACACCAGGAGCTTCGGTGTCGCAATGGACGAGCCGAGTCTCGGCTGATACGGTACAGGGCCAGGATCCGGGATAGGTTCGAGCCATGGATCCTGAATCACGGCACTGCGTATAGGCAGAGTCTGATAGGCATCTGAACCGTCTGAAGAGAGTATAGATGGTGAAGGAGGCGGATGCGAAAGAACGGAGAAGACAGTCGCCCCGCCGAACGAATGCCCGGTGAGGACGAAGTCGTCGCAGTTCACCTGCGGAAGGGAATTAGTGTCGGATTTTCGATACCAGCTCGCCCAGTCTATTCGAGAGCCGTCGATAGTGCGCAATCCGTGGCTCGCTTCGCTTGCGGACGACGGGCGAGAGGCGGAAGGTGTCTCCAACGCGACTTTGAATGCCGAGTACGCAGCGTAAATTTCGTGGCGACGGAACTCTAACTGATCGTCTCGCAGTCGGAGAGGATCGCTGTTCATGTCCATTTCGGGCGGCCATCTACGAATATTGAGTCTCGTGAGCAGAATGAGTGTATGTGGGCGAACTCACATCACCTCCTCCGGTTTGATGTAGTACTTGGTATATATTTGGCCTGAATCCGACGAACGCGGAAACACTGCAGGGCCGCTGCCGTCACGGTGCTCAATGGCGAGAACTACCCGACCAGTAGAAGCCATGCGTTGACATATGTGACTGTATGTCGTTCGGCTGCCTGATAGCCCGTGTGAGAATATGACCAAAGGCCACGATTTATCTTCAGGAGCGAGCAGCGGTGCGTTCACATACACGGGGATCTACGACATTGAGCAGTCAGCGCCCACGGATCGTGATTCCTCGTTCAGCACTCGATATCACCTTGATGAACGACCCTCCGATGGTCAGCGCAGGTCGTATGACCGCACCGAGCCAAGCGGGATAAGGTGTACCACCAAAGTGGTGGTAACCTTCCAAAGTCTCGTGTATGGGCCTTACGGATTGTGAATCGAGCCGTAAGGAAAAGAACCCTCAAGTTACACACCGGATTAACCAGTCCAGCCCCCTTTTCGGCTTACTGGCGAGCCACCCAAGCCAGCCATGTCTGCCCTCGTCGGTTTGCGCGGGGTAGAATGCGGTGAATGCGATTTCCTCGAGCTTGAGTGCTGGTTGAATTTCGCCAAGAGCACTAGGTATAGCGCTCGTGGAACCCCTAACTCGCGAACTGCCAATTACTAGGGGCCGTTTCGCTTGTACTACGAAGGTGGTAGCGCCAACGGGGTAGGGCCCTACGATCTCGGGAAGACCGAGCATTGTTTGAAACTACAGGTCAAGGGAAGATTAATGGCAGTGGAGGACTCCCGGCAACTGTCCACTGGACGGCATTTGAGGATAAACATAGGCGGATGAGAACGCGATCCACTATGACGGGTTACGGGCGGTGCGATCGTGCATGACGATGTCAGCCCGGGTTAGCCGGACGGATCCTGTCCGGTGCCGTTCGCGTCCGAATCGGTCGCAGGTAGTCCAGAATGTAGGCCTACGATTCGCAGCATATTACTAGAGATGGTCAGCTACAGGTAACAACGGCGGGTGCAATCACAGGTTCATGCCTTAGATTAATCACCATGGTCGCGTCGTTGCAGCAGCACCAACTACACCAATTACACATCGGTACAATGATGATCTACGTTGCCGTTACGCAGATATATATACATAGGGGCTTCAGCGAGCTCATTTGAGCTTCATGTTCTCCAAGGATGCACCTTCCTTCACAATGCTCTCTACTTCTGCGTGGATGCTGGCAAGCATGTCCTCCGTCGTCTTGCGTGGCTTCCAACCGATGCTCTTCGCATGGTCCGCTCGGCAACGGCTATTACTTCCAAGGTACTTTGACTTGTGCGAGATATCAGCCACCGTCAAAGTATTGATCCAGATACATCCAGCTCACCCCATTGAAGTATTGTTGGATTTCTTCCTCGGTAAACGGCGTTGGCTCCGCAGTCTTTGCTTTACCCAGAGCAACTAGCGCTTCGCCTATGGCCTTACTGACATCTTTTAGCACGTGCTCTCCGTTTGCTCCGAAGTAGTAGCCATCTGTTCCATGGCCGCTATATGAAGGGTTCGCAACGACATAATCAAAGAGCACGATGTACAGGTCAGCGACTATCCTGCGGTCAGTACTGCGTCTAGCTTCGGAGTTACATGGCAATTCACCGTCGTCAATCCAAACATTCGGCCACATGTTCCTTCCTTCGCCAACCATCTGATTCAGGATAAGCATTCATGTTCATCGTATAACGCGGGAAGCCTACACCAGCAACACCGCGAGCAAGGCTTGTTTTGATGAGACTTGGGATTTGAATTGAGTGGGGGTTGGAAATGCCAGCATCGAATAGAGGACCTGTCGCTAGGCCCCAAATAGTCGAAGGCAAGACAATGTATGCCTTCAGGAATCCTATGAGACGTCACTCAAACAGTCCGCGCAAACCTACTGAGCAATGACACGCACCGGCCGCATCCGCGTCGAGTATCGCCAAGTCAACGTCGCGATGGATTTGTGTAGGAGCGAGCGAAGCCATCTGCAGAACATCGGAATCATGATAGACAATATCCGTGGAACGCTGTCCCTCCGCATTGTCACTCAGAACACCAGTTCCGGACTGAAGATATGAAGATAAGTTCAACAAGAGCACACCGCAAGAGATGATCTTGGATTTCTTACGGTATGTATCAGAATTGGGATATTGCCCGTCTTCTCATGCCGGAACTTAAGCCCGGCGAGGATGGCTTGAGCGGCACCGAGGTCATCGGCATCTGCCTATGTACGTGAAATCAGTGCACATTCGCATGATCCGATGCATGCGACTCACACACGCAAAGACTACGTCAGAGACCGTGGCAAGCTCTTGTAGAATGTGATGATCTGAGTAAGACCCCACTACCGCCTTTACCCCGAACGATTCAAATTTCTTCGCCTTCTCAGATGAACGAGTGAGCACAGTGATTTCAAGGAAATCCCTCTGGGAGTGGTGTAGCAAGCGCGTCAGAACAGAACCTCCGATGTATCCTATAAAACATTCAGTTTTAGCGAGTCCCGCGTCATCATACACGTAGTCCGAGTGCACTACGTACCAGTTGCTCCGGTGAAAAAAATCTTCGTTAACGACATGTCTTGTGGTGTAAGTGGTTAGCGCTTTGCTGCATGCAGAGTCATATCGCCTTATATCTGCAGGAAGATGAGCTTGGTAATGCGAGTAGTAGCTCATGACGTCATCTCTCTCTGCTTATCAAGTATCGAATCTCTACTTATCAAGCATCGCCTTTTTTCTAACACAGCCAAAGTATTTCATTACAAACTACATTTGTACAATTTTCTTTATGATGATTTATACTTCATCCTCAAATTGCTGTCCAAACGTGGTTTGCACTTACAATAAAAGTGTAGTAATATATCTAAATATGGTAGGTGACCTTCCATACGTAGACATAATGTACTTCTCTATTTCAAGTAAAGATCCAATTTTGACGGGGATTTTAACAATTGGTATCGATTTTCATAAAGAAAAATGTACAAACGTAGTTTGTAATGAAATACTCCGGCTGTGTAACTAACCCACCGCCGTTTCAAACCCTCGGAAAACTCTGCGCGTCCGCCCGTAAACGGCTGGACCGATCTATGGGCAGGCCATCTCCACAAAGAAGCGCAAAAAAGCACATTTCTCGCTCGACACACAGGGCACCCTCGAACGTGGAAGAACACTTCCCATGCTTACTTGGGCCCTCGAGCATAGCGCTATGTGAGACACAGTCGAGTACTATAGCTTGAATTTGTTCTTGGGGTAGTTGATCGTGCCTAGCGTTACAAGTGCAATGGAACAAGGTCGTGCGCGATAGATTGTAGGTATACTGATTAGCAAGTGCAGTAAGATACAGTGGGAGAGCTGACAAGCACCGTCAGATATGTTAAAGATGCAACAGAACGAGGGCGCACCATGCGAGAGCCATCGTGACTACTTTGGTATTGTCCTCAGCTAAACAACGGTCAGATCCGGAAGGTATATTGCTATCGGCGGAACTGTTACCTGCAGGCCGTGTATACCCTTGATCTCCTCCTTGAGCACGTCATTCACTAGGCGATGCTGCTTGACAATCGGTAGGCCTTTGAACGCGTCGCTCGCGATGGTAATCGCATAGAACGATCCACAACCACCTAGTATCATGAGCAGAGTAGTTCGCATAGTTGTATGTGTGCGTACCAGAAACGTCCTGAACGAGTAGCTCCGACGGCGAGAATCTATCCGTAAGCTTAGCATAGATAGTCCTTTCCCCGTCTGTCGTGAGGTCTGCAGGTGCAGAATAGCGTCTGGAAAACGACTGCCATGCTTGTGTTGAACACCGCGATCGAATAGCGCGTGCTATCGAGAACATTGTAGGCAGAGGTAGACAGGCCGAGGCCTGTGTCAGACGACGGTCGATCGCGTCGCGGCGCGAGTCTGGCCGAGCTGCAAATATTCACGATGACATTGGTCACTCGCATCGTCCACCACTCTTTCCCCTGGCTTTCTTCGTTTGAACCCCTAGAGCGCGCCAGCAATGCTTGCCAGGGCTGCTTGTCGGGCTTTACGGCCAGTGGAGTTGGTCGCGAGGAACACTAAGGATGCACCAATGCTCAACCTCTTCCGCCGCAACCGCTCCTCCCTAGTCGCCACGTTCAAGCGTCCAATATCAAGAGCTGGTGTTTGGGGCAAGTCCCAAACGCCCTCTCCCCTTGCGAGACAAGATTTACGCGGCCGTATCCTTGAGCCTCGCTTCTTCTCGTCCAACGCAGCCTCCGAGGAAACAGCTCCCCCACTGGCCCCTCCGATGGTGGGCCACTGGTTGTTATTATCCTCGACGCTCGTTTTTGCCGTCATCGTCGTAGGAGGCGTTACGCGGCTCACCGAGTCTGGTCTAAGCATCACGGAATGGCGTCCAATCACTGGTATTCTGCCCCCACTATCCGAAGATGCTTGGATGGAGGAATTCCGAAAGTACCAAGCTACCCCGGAATTCAAGATGTGAAGCTTCCTACGTTCACTACCTCTCACGAAATAGCTGAATCACTACTAGGCTCAATCATAATATCTCACTGGAGGAGTTCAAGAGCATCTTCTACATGGAATGGGGTCACCGAGTTTTGGGACGGGTGATTGGTATCACCTTCGTCCTTCCGTTCGCCTACTTCGGTCTCCGAAAGAAACTTCCTGCCCGACTCGTGGGCCGCTTGACGTTCCTCGGGGCGCTCATCGGCGTGCAGGGTATCATAGGTTGGTACATGGTCAAGTCCGGGCTTGAAGAATCGATCATGCATACTCCCGGCGCCGTACCCAGAGTATCGCAATACCGACTGGCAGCGCACCTTGGGACAGCATTCCTGTTGTACGCGGCGATGTTTTACGAGGGTTTGGCCATTTTGTTGGATTCTCGATATGCGCATGGCGGTCCATGGAGTGGAACGAAAGAATCATGGAGACGCGTACTCGAAAACCCTCTGGTCAAGCATTTCAAGCTCGGCGCAATAGGTTTGACTTGCCTTGTGTTCCTGACTGCACTCTCTGGTGGGCTTCTTCACTCTGCAATTGGTGTCATTCTGATCCATCCCAGGTGCTTTCGTCGCTGGCCTCGATGCTGGACTGGTGTACAATGAATTCCCTATGATGGGCAATCATATTGTACCACCGACAGATGAGCTGTTTGATCCCGCATACGCAAAATCTCCAGACCTCTCTGATCTGTGGTGGCGGAATCTCCTGGAAAATCCGACAACAGTGCAGTTTGATCATCGCGTGCTTGTGCGTCCGGTCACTAGCTTTTGAGGATGATCAGTAACGACTCTTTAGGCTATGACGACCTATGTATGCACTGGTATTCTGTTCGCCACGACACGCAGTCCGTCGTTGCGTAAAGCCTTACCGCCGGCTACTCGGCGAATGGCATCCGTTGCGTTTGGCATGGCGAACATTCAGGTCCTGCTTGGCATCTCTACGTTGCTCTACTTGGTCCCCGTCCCGCTGGCCGCAGCCCATCAAGCGGGCAGTGTTGCCTTGTTGACGACAGTAGTGCATACACTCCTGACGCTGAGAAAGCCTGGACGTTCGGCCCATTTTTGGAGACAAGTCTGGGAGAAGGGACAAGCAGGGTCCAAAGCTCGCTAATGCCTTCTTCGCACATGTATCTCTTTTCGTCTCGTAATGACCACCTCTCACTATCCAGGCAGCTATCCTCATCGCAACTTTCGGGCCGCATTTGCCTCCCTTAATCTCGGATCATCAGTGCCCTTTCCGACTACTTTTCCACTCCACATCCTTCTTCGTGGTTGGCACGCAAGTGAATGTGTCTGCGTCTGACAATCTTCTCCGACGAGCGGGTCGTGACGGGTGCAATACGGCTCGTAACGCACGGCAGCAAGTCATCGAATCTCAACACAGATGTATATACCAACGAGAGGTTCTTGGGTATGCGCATAGTCGTATGATAGCAGTGCGTTACATGAGTGACAAAATACAGTCTGCTGCTGGCTGCGCTACAGTCCAGAGCGACACGAAGTGAAACATTATTGGAAGCATAAAATTAGCACGATGAAAGCCGTATTCATAACCATGCTTTACCAGGAGAGTCCGCGGATGCTTGGTCAGGACGCCAAGCTCCTCCACATGCCGGAATCAGGTATCTTGCTGCGAGCTTCAAGAATTCTCAAAGCACGCTGGCGGCTCCTCTCGCCCACATACGTCCCGACGACAGTCGAACTATCGTCTTCATAATCATCGTCATCCTCTGCGGCGAAGTCCAGGGCGCCTGGGTCGGTCTCGCGTAGACGATCCCGCTCTGCGTATGATGCCTTACGCAGTGCAGCCGAGGACGCTAAACCCTTCGAGCGCAAGGCGGGAACGAGGACCCCCGGGTGATCAGACAGAGAAGTCTTCGCCTGATAATCATACGAGGCTGCCTGTCTTCCCACTGGGCCAATCGCGATCGGCAAGGACTTGGATAAGCCCTCGTCCCTATGTACATTCCATTCTGCTTGCATGATGGTACAATCAGTATGACAATTATTTTGAGCAGAACATACCCTCACCGTCCTGTTCGTCCAAGCTAGTATCCTCTTCCGTTTCGTCTTCATCCTGCAGACTGACGTCCGTATCCTCCTGTTCATCCACTTCTGCTATCATACTGGCGTCAGGATACCTAGCGGCTCCCCCGCGACGTCTAACGAAAGTCTGCCAGGCAAGTCCGTCGCGTTTCCATGCTGAACGATGGCTAGGTATATCGGCGGCAACTAGCCGACGAATCTCTGCCTCTCGAGGATCTAGGGGAGATTCTATGCTGTCATCACGAGAAATAGTTGTGCCAGTTGCCTGCTCCTTCGGGCTCACATCTATGCTTGATGCTGACGCGGAACGATTCTCCGAATACAGCGGCCCGGCACGGAGGCGGTCCAAAGAGGCCGGAGCAGGGAGAGAGGACGGTCGCAACGCCGATAATGATTGTGGTAATCCAAGCGCGTCTGATTGCGACCTTCTGAGTAGTTTTCTCTTCCTATGAGCTCGCGGCGAGTCGACCAGGGGTAAAGCGTCCTTGTCCACCTCCGATAAAGACGATGCAGTGTCAACGAGTCCTATACTTTCCTTGTCGTCCTTTGCCGCACCACTCTCGTCGAGTTCAAAAATCATATCTTGATGCACTATCAGCCATGCATCAGGTAAATATCGATTTCACGAACCTCCTGCATTCTTTTCCGCGTTCGCGACTTCCTCTGCCCTCTGTTCTGCCTCAACTTCCCGTGTAATGGTGACGACAGTGGGTTTCACATCGAAAGTCACTTTACGTTTCCCCTTAACGTCTTTACTCCTGTCTGCTGACGTTGCGCGGGTCTTGCTCCTACTTCGTGTGCGGGTTCGTCCACGCTCCCGAGGTTCGTCTGGCGAGTTAACTCGATGCGAAATGGTATTGTTTTCCAGAATTCCGCTGGACTGCTGTTCTTCCGCTTCCGCACGACCTCGTCGTTGCTCTTCGATTTCACTCTCGAGGTTGAGAACGTACTTAAAACTAGTAGCCATGTCCACCTTCTGGTCCATGTTCCGCCGCAGCACATCACGTAACACAGGCGTATCTTCTTCCGGGCGTTTAACTCCAATCGGGACGGACCTAGACAGTCCGGGCCAAGCCGGTCGGCCGTTGCCATCCATGGGTAATGGGGATTCTAGCAAAGGAGTGGAACCGGAACTGCTCTTCTCTTCCTTATATGCGGGATGATGGAAGGTCGATGTTGACAGCGTAGCCGACAGGGCAGACTTTCGAGGCGCGTTGGAAGACGATAGGGCATGTTTTGCTGGCGCTGGCGTTGGGTTGAAGTCCCGTATGGATACGGGCGCGGCATCAGGTACTGTGGCATCGGGTGTGCGTGGCCAAGGAGATACACCACTATCCGTTCGCCTCCTGAACAGCGACTTCTCCGGCCGCTGTTGCTGCATGTCGCTTGCATTGCGGCGGAAAGCGCGCCAGAGCATCTCAACTTGCCGTTTTAAATCCGCTTCCATTTCGAGTACCTGATCAACCTTCCTACGCACGACCTCGGCCAATTCTTCCTCGGCTTCAGAGCGCAGCGCCTCCGAACGTGCAGCTGCAAGCTCAGCAAAGTGAGCAAAGACTGGATGAGCGGGAGTGAAGGGAGGAGGTGGTAGGAGCGGCGGAAGATGTGGAAGATGCTTGACTTCGACGGAAGGGGTGGGGAGGGGGGGCGAGAGTTGCTCGTATGAAGGGACGGGTGAGCCAGGAGTGAGCGCATCTCGAGGCAGAACCACGGCGTAAATTGAGGAATAGGCAGACGAGCGCTCAAGATCACGGATGTCTTCCCCATTCTAAACAGAACATAATGAGAACAGCATACGCAACAATGGGAGCTGTCACACACCAAACATGACCTGCAGACCTCAACCCATCCCGTACTACTCTTCAGTACATCTTGCTCTACCCAATCATCGGTAGGTAACAGAGGGCCCTCTACCGCAGCGACGTCAATTGGTACGTCTTGAAGGACCCTATATGCGATGATCTTGCAGATGAGGCAGGTCACCGAAACGAGCCGGGTTGAGTCGGATGCAGACCGCTGCGGTGCGCTGGGTCTCGAGCGGGTCCTCACCGTCACCTGGGTATGTTTCTACTCGACTTTAGCATACTGTACATACAGTCATGTAGATGAACGAACCACCGCGATGCCTTGTTCCCCCACATAAAGCGCCCAGTAATTTGGATCCTCGCGCAATGGTGAGGCCCCTGGAGGGCTGCTTGATTGTATTCTGATGTTCAGACATTTACATGCGTATTCTGCTGTGGCCATGACGGCTCAACGGGTTCTATAGGGGACCTTGACCAGGTGAAGGTAGCAAAGAGCCTCGGAAGACCTGGCAGGTAGTTGATGCTATATAGATATGAGCAGAGCAAAAGGCGAAGTGGCGTCGGTCTTCAAGTTATCATATAAGTCGTGCGCCACTCCGACTCATGCGAATGAGCCCGAACCTTATTGCTCTGAACATGTACTCATGCTACTTGTACAATGGCTGTTTTGCAGCGGGGATATACATAGATGAATGGCTCAGTTGTTCCGTCATCGACCACTCCCGTGAGCGAGGACCATTGGCCTGTCAGTCTGAAGCACGTAACGCCATGCTCATCGCGTCTTCTTTGATTCAGCAGCCCTTTCTGACCCCATCCCCTCTGCGGCCGCTGATTCGTTCTCCATGATCTGCCCATATTCATTGACCCGCTTCGGGTCTATCCTATATATCCAGCGCTGGCGATTCAACTCAGTCAACACGTGAGGAGCCGAACGAACAACGCCGCGGGAATACCTGATACAGGAAGATGAGGAATACCACATCGTCACGGAAACATGCTAGTCGGTGAAGGATCGGCATCTTGATACAGAAACTAGACATATTTTCAGCTCCAACGGATTTGGATGCAGAATGCTCCGAGGACGTACGCAAAGAGGTCATCCACAACGGTAGATAAGGTCTTGTATATCATCGCTTTCATGGGCATATGTGCAACGCTCTGTTAATGTCTATCAGTTCCTAGACCTTTCCGCGATAATTGAAATTGACCTTGAGCTTGTAGTTGATGATGAGTTGCGGGACGAGCTGCGCAAATCCGAACATGTATACGAACGAGGTAAGGGTCGAGATCACGAAGCTGTACCAGCCCCGATGCGACTCATACAGGAGCGAATAAATGCTGTAACCAGCTAGCAAGGGAATTGTCACATATGACACATAGCGGAATGCCAGTTGATCATATCTTTCGAGCGACCGTTTAGGCGAATCTTGGCAAATATGAGTAGTAATGCTTACTCCTGGGTCTTCTTCTCGTCATCGCTCAACGCGTGTTTGTCCTTGATGTCCACTCTATAAGGCAACGTGGACCCGGCAGGTGATGGCACGATTTGTATGTCCACAGCTTTAGTGATCTACAGGGTTGAAGATCGTCATTCGGTTTACGATGACCTTGAGGGTGACACACATACCTTCCAAGCTTCTATCAGGACACCCATGCCAGAGCTCATGATTATCATCCAGCTTGTGTCCTTGTTGTTGTCCAATAGGTAAAGCAGAATCACGATCTGTACGAACACGTTGGTGACGATCTATGCATGACATGCATCGAGTTAGCTGCGTTCGGACACGAATAATTATCGCAATTTACCGTCCGAACCGAAACTCCGACAAGCTCCTTTTTATTACGCCAATGAGACACGTCGTTCTTGAACGCGAGCATTTCGAAGCTGTAGAACATCAGTCCCGAACGTGATAAACTTAGATTTGACCTACACCATATGTAGGACACTAACTATCCCCGTTAAAGCCAAGAAGTAAGGATTTGTCTCTGTCAACATCCTCTTTATCTGCACCAATGATTCAGTACATGCATCCCTTAATTTGGTAAGGGATGGGAACCTCGTCAAGTTCAGCTCCGCTGCCTTGTTTCTTGGCAGCCTCTGCAAATCCCACAGACAGACTTGCGAACATCTGGAATTTGAGGTACGACATCGGTTGGAAGACGATCTGCAGAGGAAGAGTTGGTGTAGTAGTATTAATCTCGATGTACTGCTCGCGCAGGTGCCAGAAGTCGTTGGGGTACACGATGGGTTTGTAATATCCAATTGTTCCAGTCTGATCTCGTGCTTCCGGAACAAGGTGAACATCTGTAGCGGGCATCAGAGGATATTTACGGTTGTGAAAGAGATAGCACATTGTACAAACGTTCGGCGATAGGTGGCGGCAGCTGCGAGTAGGGCAGGACCGGACTCTGGGATATCAGAGCCAATGTCAAGTTCTAGGCCGCTTGATTGAGAAACATTCCAACGAATGGGATAGATAGAACATACGGGGTGCCAATGAGAAACTATGACGTCGTCTTCGGGCTGAAATGGCTGTCAGAGGATAACAGAAAGATTTCGATGAGCGTACCTCCGAGTCTTCGTCTACCTCATCGGAAGCACCCAACAATTTCTTCTGTTTACGCACTTTCATCTTCGGAAGGTATGGAGTTAAGACTGTACAGAGGCTGTAATTCAGTATGGCATCCGCTACTGACTGTTCGGAGCCTCACGTTTACGGATATGATGCACTGATGAAGGTTCGAAGTTGGGACTCGACGGGTCAGGACTTGCGGCTTCTTTAACAAGAAAGACATCTGCCCATAGAGATCCATTGTGCTGAACAACCTACCCCCAGCTCCTCACAATCATGCACGATTGAATTTCGGGAGTTGTCACTTACCTGCGGAAGTTTGACCTCATACTCCGCAAATCGGGTCTCCGACCAGTTTCCAAAGGTGATATTTTCCCAAACGAACGAGGGAAGATCGGCATCTGGATTTCCGCGATATCCGGAAGTCCATTTCTTGGAGAATACGTCGCCTAGCGGCGAGGTCGAGAGATGCACATGCATGGCTAGTCGCGAACCGAGCGGCCAAGACGGATGCAGATGTGCATGTATCGGTGGTCCATTGAAAGGGTTGAGCTGCCCAGGGGTGGAAACGGGAACACTTGAATCAGTGGTCGGTAGTGGAGTTGTCGCTGGAGGCTTTTGTCCACCCCCGAAGAACTTAGAGACTAGAATGTTCATGTGAGACACTTCATATTCGCTAGAGTGATGCAGAGGGACTTACTTATCTGAGTCAATAGCCATGCAAACAGAATTTGCTATGCAGGACGTTGAGCTAGAATTATTTCAACCGGAGGCCTGCACTGTACCTGAATAATGCTGAACACTCTACTGCCCGTTGACTCATTGGATCTCTGTTGCGCAGGTGCAGCCGACGCAGGAGAAGCCTCAGGCATCGTGTCGTGAGGCTAGGAAAGTGGGCCAGCGGAAGGATACTGAGCAACGGCTGCAACGCGCGTGCCGGATGACGCCTGTTTTGCACAGCCATTTCGGATCGCGCTCGAAGGCCAGGATTCAATTCAAACGTATGTTACTACTGGAAAGATTGGCGGGTGCCCCGCCAGTCCACCTTCGCTTGCATGTAAATTGGCCCATTTGCGATGCAGCAGTATATTATCCGTGATGATAAGTGCATAATTGTCACATGGCAGTAGCTAGTAAAGGCAGTGAATCCGCGATGCACAAAATGCTTACTAATTTCCGGGTTGAGAGGTACCTGAGCAAGCTCAGGTAACATACCTACACTGTCAAACAGGACTCAAGCTGGGCTGAAGCGAATCTCCGAGGCTGGGCTCGATGATCGTACGAAACTTGCTTCGGATATGCCGCCAGACGGAGGCTTGTGCTACACTTCTGCGCCGCGGTCAGCAATGTCGCGCGCTCCATTCAACCCATCCTGTCCGCCAACCTGGTCTCGAGAACATTTTGTCTGGCGGACCTGCTCCTGCGGTACAGGTTAGGACCATGACCTCTAATGGTATACAACTTCAAGATGGCCTGGTGATCCCCGGACCGTGCGTTTTTTTGGAGGGCAAGGTCTTGCTATGGGATATCCCCCAAGACTTGACAAAATGGACGAGGGAACGGTTCGAAGTGTTTGACATAGTTGTTCCTAAACCTGGTGAGAAAGTCTGCACGGCATGTAGCAGAAACGACACAGATTGACCTCTTGCAACGCTCCATTTTGCAGAGATTCTTCTGATAGGCACAGGGAAAACCGTGGCCATGCCTCCTCCCGCTATTCGACAATACCTTAATGAGATTGGAATTCAAATCGATGTAATGGATACAGTGAGCGATCGTTTTTGTATCTCGTACGGTTTGATCTGTGACCGTGCATAGTGGAATGCATGCTCGACGTACAATCTTCTAGGTATGATACATGGGCACGCCACGATCTTGCGGCCGTCTCATCAACTTCACCATAGCTGAGGAAGGCAGACGTGTAGCTGCAGCACTACTACCCAACTTCCCATACAACTGGAAGCAATGATCTTCAGGTCAAACTCGCGAAAAGTGCGTCCTCCCTACTGCCCACCTGTACCACTCCTATTTTCTGTGCTGATTATTGTCACCTGTTCGTTATAGTCGTGGATGGTGTATCAATGATGTATGCCAGTGCAACCGGTATATGAAACTCACATATGCGACTGGGCACCGTTCCGCTTCGTCAAAGATCCGAAATTCCCTACTGTGCATACTGCCGAACGCCGCGGAATCCGTTGCCAAATATGTAAAATGAATGCGAAACCGCGATCACGTGCTATGGCGGACCCGCAGGAGTCATTCCTACCAAGTATATTTACCATTGCGACAGCGGTGAATTGCAAGTCAACCTGTCTGATTGAGACAACGATGTCGGTTCCTCCGCTCAAGGGTGATGGCCAGGGCAATTATCGCATAAGTATAGTTGGCAACAGTGGTATGCCTCGAGTTTCTGTTGTTATAGGTGCCGCTTTGACAATCAAGATGCAGGTGTGGGCAAGGTAGCGAGGCATTTCACTTGTTATAGTGTGCGCTGAGAACGGAGAGAAACCACCTAGTCAACGCTAGGAAAACAGCTCGCTGCAGTACTTCGCGTCCCTTTCGTACCGTTGGATAGGTTGTTTTGGTGCCCCGGATGGCAGAAGACATCGACAGTCGAGTTCCGTGCTAAAGTCGTCGACGCTTTGGGTCAAAGCCCCGGTTGGGTAGTCGACGGTAACTATACCAAACGTATTGGACCCATGATAGCCGACAGTGCGACGGACATTATTTGTAAGTTTCGACATTACATACCCCGCGTCGACATATCATGACGTGGCTGGCGTGTGGTAGGGCTGGATCCTCCCTTCCTCTTGTATTTTCCGCGGCTTTGCTGGCGGACCTTCCTGCGGCTATGTGGATTATGCGAGGATTGTAGCCCGGGCTGCGAAGAGTCTTTCCGTGGGATTTTCTCGCGCGAGAGCATTGTTTGGTGGTGCATCACGAATCATAACGCAGCTAGGAAACACGAGGGGGAACGGCTTCGCACAGAAGGGATCCATGTAGGCGGTAAAATGAGGAGGATAGGTGGATGGGGCGACGAGTTGGTTACCTGGCAAACGGAGGTGGACCGATTGTGTATGGTTCAAAGATAGCTGCGACGGACGTGACCCACTAGGTTTCATCACGGTGTATAATACATGATGGATGAGTCCTTGCTAGATCTAGAGTGCGTTCAGATTTTGCTCTTTACAGGGTCGACCACCTTGCTGAACACGTTCTCGTTCACTTTGACAGTGAAACCAATCCTAGGGAAATGACAACGGACAGAGCCTTCGGTACCTTTGGTTTCGATGACAATCTCTGAACGATTCAAACCGACCAGCTTGCCGTAAGTGGCCACGTTGCGGCCTAATCGAACTTATCAACTGAAAGGTTCCCATATTTTATTCGCTGGTCGCACCTGTATCCTCGGGTGCGATTGCAACATGCATCCCAGCCGTAACCTGTAGCCTTTGCGCTTCAACGGCATCAAATGTTAAAGCGTGCACGGTCCCCGACGTGGCAGTGATGAGCTGCGCAGCTTCCTGACCGGTAGCCTTGGTGACGGCACCCTTGCCAGCCTTCTTGGACTGTGCTAGGAACATCGAAACGCGAGATAGCCACTGAGATGTGAGATGTGAGCGGGCTGATGTAAGAATGTTTGTTCCGAAAAGCATACCGCTGTGGCCAAAGGAAATCTGTGCGCGTCAAGCAGATTCGATTTTTTGACTGCAGGGAATGGAGCGATCCAGTTATAGATGAAATGAATTGATATGTCAGCCACGCTCGGAGAGTCGGTGCTCAATAGCCATTCGCGGCCATCGGTGAGCTGAGATTCCAGAAGGGACTACAAGGATGGCGCATGTCATGAAGATTGTATACTGCACGAAGACAGACTATCGTACCAGATGTGACGAAAGCGTGCTGAACGCGGTAGGCCGACGAGCAGCCATGGCTTGGGGGTCAATCGGCGCTCCAAAGAACTATATAAACGCTAATAAGCTGGAGGAATGGATGAGCGTTTGCATAATCTTATACCGAGCTCCGGTCCTTAATGAAGGCGTCCGGAAGTGCCTCCCACGGCAGGCCAGCAACCGCCAGCTGAAACAACTTTTCTCCAGCGTATGTGGTAGATATGGCTTCAAAGGTAAGCAGGCCTGGATTGGTCTTAGAGCCTTCAACGAATGTGATCAGCAACCCACAGGAATTGTGCGGTTTATCTAACCATATCACACACCTCTTATATCCGGATGCAGTGTCCCGTATCCTTGTTCAGGAGGGAATGCGCGTTCAAGAACGGAGGCGATGAGGCTTGTATCGCAATAAACATCATTGCCGATAGCAAGGACGGGGATGCGGCGGTAGGATATGCCAAGCAAAGAGGACAGTTCCGGGCGTGGGGGAGCACGCGAGACCTAGGTGAAGTTTCAGGATGTTGCGGCAGACTATAACGTACTGCCTGAGGATCCGCATACGAACGTCAACTTCGTAGTGCGGGATGTTCTTCAGCAGCAGTAGATTGCTGATCTTGCGCGCAAAAGGGGACGCGTCATAGCTAGGAGTGGCATTCTATTGCGGCGTGGCATGCAATATGCGGATCGCTCACCGATACAAGACGACCGAAGGTTTGGAGGGATGCAAAGTGAGCGCCATGAACTAGTGGATATAGCAACGGTAATACGATGTGTCACTCGCAGCCTGGCATTAGTAGTAGTTACGATCCCGGCAGTCGGAAAGTACCTTACCCGAATCTCCAGCTAGAAACGTTAACCCTTGATAAATATGTTTATTATCTCCCACGTGAACCTTCTCACTAAATAAGTATTTAGCGTCCGTCCCAGGCTATCTTCGCCATTTACGCCCGGTCAAAAGTCGCACGGCGCGGAACGGCGGAGAACTGCGATGAGCAGCGTGGAGCGGTGCACGCAGATTCCGCCGCTGAGCGCTGCCTCGAGCACGCTGGCGCCGGAAAAGCGAAATAAGAAAGTGTCTACAGCGGCGCTGTGCAGCGTGGTGTGGCGCAGAGCAGCGCGAAACGGCGGCAGCCCACGTAGACGACCTCCGCCAATATGCGCCTGTTCGCGCCGCTCGATTATTCCACCACGTATTATTATAATGCGCATATATTGCAATGTACAATATGTGCTATACGATTACCGAGCTACAAAGAGCGCACAGTGCGACAACAAAGGGTACTTACCCACTTCGATATCGTCCCCGGAAGTGTCTGAAGCTGCGCCTTCATCGACACGACTTGTGCGGGCTGGGGTGCATCTGTACATGCGAACCGTTGTGCGATATCTGTGATTTACGCCTTATGGGACGCCCAGCCCGCGGAGAAAAGCCTGTGGCAAAGGCAAACGTGAGGAGGTAAGTGGAATGGAACATAATAGGCAGGTACGCTGTGCTGGTGTTATTCCTTGCAGCATTAGTGCGATCCAGGGCAGCGAGAAGCTGTGTATATGCATATATGTGGAAAACCTGGGATGTATGAGTTTTACGACCCGAGGGGAGTACCTGCTCGACTTGCTGACCTAGGCCCCAAGAGATGAGCACATATAAGGGACCAAAAGACATGTACTCACTATGCACTAATGTTTGTGATCTAAGGATCACGAATCCAACGCCGTGTATCTATGGGAGTTCCCTGGCTATTCGATTAATCTGCGTGAAGTAGGCTTCAGTAAATTGGTGCATATGAGCGGCATGAACACTTCTTGGGCAAGCACAGGCACCTCGGTAAATACGACAATCTTCTCTCACATGCACCCTATAAGCCATGGGTCAATAGAGGGAAGAGCATGTTACCATGGTTACAAACCGTCACATAGAGCTGATAGTCGCCAGAAGGGGATGGATGTGGTCGAGGACAAAGAGGCGATTGGAGTTCGTCGACTCTTCCGACTCTCAGAAGAGAAAGAGAAAAAAAAACGAACACGTGATCAGGCGAGATACCTTGTCGTACCAGCGGTAGTTTGAATACTGTACAGTTGCAGAGAGGAGATTGAAAGAGTACGAGAACCGAGAAGCTCAGAGCGAGGAGACAACGGACGTTGTACCAAAGAGTAGAGGGCCGCACCTAATCGGGAACTCCGAACGCGCCCTCGCATTGCCGCGCCTTTCTGCGCCGGCGAAATAATCACATTGCCGCCCTGCGCTATCCACCGCCGACTCACGCCGTGCGACTTTTGACCGGGATTTACGGCTCAGGCAGATCATGATGCATGATGTTCTGATATTGTTGCTCGACTGGTTCCGCAAGCCAGGCGGTGAAATAGCCATACCGTATGAGTCGTATCTCTCGGGGGCTATGAACTCTCCGCTGCGCTGGATGGGTCTGGTCCGAGATGAGTGTTTACTCACGTCTTATCGCCGAAAACAAACCGCTTCCATGTTACAGCCCAGGAACGGATCGAGACATAAGGGAGCCCGATATCGTCGGTGTCGGCGCAAACCATCGGCGTTGATACGCCGGCGTGGTGCGGCGTTTTGTCCCGCACCTGCAGTGCCATCCAGTTGGTCCCGATCTCTGGTCTTAGCCGCGCTCATGCCGAACGCTCGCTAAGGCAACTCAAGTACCGAGATCAGGTTGCTGTCGAGGGCTTGGCTTGCGGGGCAAAAAATCGATCTGTCAGGGCTCCCCCACTCTCCATTGATCTTCATCCTCCTCACCGCCTCTGCTATGCTGTCGTTCCATCTGCTCGCAACAACTGTCGCTCTTTTACCTGCCTTTGTTTTCTCCGCCACTCCGCAACAGCTCCAAGTATCAATACCCAAGACATTGGGCAACAATGTTGTGCACCCGAATTTCTTGGGCCTGAGCATCGAGCTCAGCTTCATCAACTTGTATTGTCCGTCCCGTCCGCACGTTCGGTAACTGGTACTATGCTGACCGCGTTAACGCATATCAGTCGGCAACGACACCTCGTCCATCCCTCAGCCCATTCGCAATTACCTCTCAGCCATAAAGGTCCGAACAGGATCGTCACTTCCGGTTCGGATACGCTTGGGGGGCAATTCCATGGATTCGTCGACCTACGTGCCAGATCAATCGACCATGCTTGTGTTCACGGACCCCACTGCGAATTTCAACGACCAACCCGTGAACTTCGGACCTGTGCTTTACGATGTCATGAAGCAAGTCAGCGATGACGTGGACGGTATCTCTTACGTGGTCGGTGAGCCGAGATCAGACACGCACATAATGCTCAATTCGACTGATCATGACCCCTTGCGACAGGCCTTAGCTTGCTTGAGTCGAACGACTCACGCGCCCCCAATGTTCCGGTCATGGCAGGGGCAGCGGTGCAGATACTCGGCGACCGCATTGACTCCTTCCTTCTCGGCAACGAACCTGATTTGTACACCGGCCACCGAAAACGACCGAACTTAGCTAACTACACTGTGCAAGATTACATGGGGGTGAACATCGCGATGCTCCAAATACATAGACAGTTGCTGATCACGCGGCCTTGCAGGAATTCCAAGCGTCGTCCAATCTGCTGAAGAATACATCAGGCGGCAATGTCGTTTCCCTTGACAATATCGGTGGCCCTACCATCTGCTGTGCTTGGGACCTCGCGACTCTGATAGAGCAGGGCTGGCTCCAACAATTCACCGGGGAGCTGAAATACGTCAGCCTCCAGCACTATCCGCGTATGTGTATTGTTGTCTAGGCCCGCGGTCGTGCTGAATTCTTTATGCTTTCCAGAGAACAACTGCTTCGGTAGTTACCAGTATCAGCTCGATTACTACCTCAAGCATTCCGAAGGTAAGCGAGATTGCCTGTTAGATGTTTCCAAGGATTAAACTGGTTGCACAGTGGTTACATTAGCCCAGTGGAACGGCCAAGGCATCGGCATGGCCAACACGAACGGGAAGCAGGTCATGATGTCCGAGTTTAACAGCGCCTCCTGCGGTGGCATTCCCGGCATTTCGGACACCTTCGGAGCTGCCCTCTGGACTGTGGATTATGCCCTGCAGATGGCTCTCCAAGGCTTCAGCGTAGCCTATATCCATAGCCGCGAGGCTGGGATTTCTTACAACCTATTTGATCCTCCTATGCCTGCCGGCGGCCCGGGTGCCTGGAATACGAACCCGGGCTGGTACGCTCTGCTCGCTGTTCCGGAGATTTTGCAGAGTCCCAACGGGACGAAGGTCGTCGATCTGGATCTCGCGAACTCAACGTTGGATGCTACGGCCACTGTTGCAGGATACGCCGCGATGGACGCTAATACTTCCAACGTCCATCGTCTGGCCATCTTTAACTACGCCAACGACTCGAGCGTGGAACAAATCAACCTCCCCGCTGGTATTTTTGCGCATGCCCCGTCACCCGCGAACATCACCGTCAAGTACCTGGCCGCGCCCAACGCCAATGAGAAGTGGAATATCTCTTGGGATGGGCTCACTTACAACGGAGTGGGAGATGGCGAGGCTGTTCCAGGGCTCTCCGTTGCTTCCAACTCCGCAACGACGCAGTTGGATTGCTCTCAAGGCTGCACCGTCCAAGTTCACGGGCCGGGCCTTGCCGTCGTCTACGTTGGCGATTCCGTTGTCCTCAATCAGGCTTCGAATGGAACATCGTCGGGGACGAGCCAAGGCAGCGACAAGAAGAGCAGCGCTCTCGGCTTGTTTGACATTTCGTCTCGTTGGATTATGCTGGCTGTTGTGTGTTCCGTGTTTGTGCTCCTGTAGGGATCTACCTTCTCTCTGCCCCTGACTGTGGAAAGTTTTCTTGCGGCTGTGGCCTTATTTCGTTGTACTAGACTTCAGGCGTTGCATCATATGCGGGCGGGACAACGATGCCAGACTTTACCGTGATTTGCGTTGCCAGTACTTACCACATAATTCCTGTGTACTGTACGTACTGGTTCGTTCTGGTTGAGACGGCGATACGCATGTTCACATCCAACGCCCGGGAGCTTCTGTTGTACCTTTTCCCCCTGACTCCTGATGCCTGTGGCCTGAGTGGAAGCGCCCCGGATCATGAAGTTACCAAATCTGGTCAAGCACCTCGGACCCGAAAGACCGTGACAATGGCATGCATGCGCAATAGCCCAAGCCACGGCGGTCAAGCATTCCATGCTTGGATCGATACCGTGCGGTGTCCTCAGACACAAGTACATTTCGTTAGTCATCATCGCTGCATTCAAATCTGCGGCACGTAACGGAGCAGTACTAGTATCAAGCACAGTTGCGCCACCGGTTATTTATCCGGCGTGATCGCTACTCGTTTACGGAGTTCCCCTACTTAAGCGTATCCGTCTGCGCATCCTGTGATATAAGAACCGAAACGCGCAGCAAAGCATATTCGGCGCTCTTTCCCTCTTGATCGCACCCACCTTTCGAAGGCAGGGAACGCACTCGTGCCGACTGAAGTGCAATATGGGGGCCTTTGCTCATGAAGTCGTGCAGTTAGGGGCTGCGATAGTCAAAAGAGCAGCGCCGGAGCAGGTGCGTTCCCGCTCAGCAATCGTACCGTTTAGGTGATGCTCATAGGTGCTCTCGACAGGCAGGACTGTTTGCTGGGTTAAATCCAGCTAAATACAGTGCGAGCGATCCGTTCCCGTTATGGGTTATCCAAGTCGGTATGCAATCCCCTTCGATGGTTTCGGTTGCAACTGTCGTTGACGATGCTGGTTTCTTCGTGCAGTTATTATCATTGGGATGACCCAGCTCCTTTCCCTACTGCTTTCTCGTATCCGTCAGCCAAGAGTCATTGCCGAAGTCATAGGTGGAGTCATCCTTGGACCCTCCATCATGGGGCGCATTCCCGGCTTCAGGGCCAACATCTTTCCCACCGACTCTCTCCCCATTCTTACACTCACAAGCACTGTTGGCTTGGTGTTGTTCCTGTTCCTGGTAGGAGTTGAGGTGGATGTCGGTATCGTCAAGCGCAACTGGCGCGCGGCTGGCGCGATATCGATTGCGGGATTGGTGGTACCATTGGGCTTGGGTGCCGCTCTCGGCGTCCCGCTATACCATCAGTTTGTGGACAGCAGTGTGCACTTCGGATACTTCATTTTGTTCACAGGTGAGTGAAACTGCCTTTGTTCCGCTCTCGCAGATTTTTGACTATCATTAGCCGTTGCCATCGGGATTACTGCATTTCCCGTTCTTTGCCGCATTCTCACCGAGCTGAAGCTCCTCGACACAACCGTCGGCATCACCGTCCTTAGCGCTGGTGTGGGTAACGACATCGTCGGTTGGATCCTGCTTGCGCTCACGGTCGCGCTCGTCAACGCTTCAAATGGCTTGAACGCACTCTGGATATTGCTCACCAGCGTCGGCTATGTGCTCTTCCTCCTCTTTCCCGTCAAGTGGGGCTATGCCTGGCTCGCGCATCGCACAGGCAGCTTCGAGAAAGGAGGGCCGACGACGCTCATGATGACCGTCACACTCTTCGTCATCCTTACTTCAGCATTCTTCACGGACGTGATCGGCGTTCACCCGATCTTTGGCGGGTTCGTGGCGGGCCTCATTGTCCCGAAGAAGAACGGATATGCTATTTCGTTGGTGGAGAAGATGGAAGATTTAGTCTCGATCTTGCTTCTGCCGATCTACTTCGCGCTTTCGGGATTAAAGACCAATCTGGGGTTGTTGAACGATGGTGTCACTTGGGGATATGTGATTCTCATCTGCGTCTTTGCCTTCGTCTCCAAGTTTGTCTCCTGCGGCCTCACCGCGAAGCTTGCTGGCTTTAACCTCCGGGAGTCTGGGGCTATCGGTGCCTTAATGAGCTGCAAAGGGTAGGCATCGCACGTTATCCTCGATTATGCTCATAGTACTAATAGCGATTGATAGTTTGGTGGAGCTCATTGTGCTTAACGTTGGGTTGCAGGCGGGCGTACTGGACACTCGCGTGTTCTCCATGTTTGTCGTGCATGCCCTGGTGTTGACCTTCATGACGACGCCTCTCACCATCCTCTTCTATCCCGCGAAACTTCGCGTCCATCCGGCGACAGCTACAGGCTTGGAGGATGGATCAAGTCGGGACAACGACGACAATCTCAAGACACGATTCTCGGTCGTATTAGACAAGATCGAGCACCTGCCGGCGGTCATGACCATCATGCAACTGCTCCAAGGCTCCTCTGCCATATCCTCTGGCACGGAGCTGTCTCCTGCTAGCCAGCGGACGAGCGTCGACATCAAGGCTAGTGATGGACACGACTTTCCTCACGTATCCCACAACCCTGTGGGATTATCAAAGACCGTATCCGTCAATGCGCTCCGTCTGGTTGAGCTCGATCAGCGAACTTCTGCCGTACTGAGGTCTCAAGACTCGGAAACGCTCATCCAGAATGATCCAGTCGTCTCAGTGTTCCGGACTTACGGTCAGCTCAATCGTATTCCTGTCTCCTGCGCGCTCTCCGTCGTCAGCCGCGATGATTATTCGGTCAGCGTGGCTACTCATGCGCGCGATTCGGGTTCGGAAATGGTCATCATTCCTTGGCAAGGATCTTTCGCGCGTCCCATCGAAGGATTGGAGCACAACCAGGCTTCGGTCATTTACTCCAACTTCGTGCGCAGCGTGTTCGCACAAACGCCTGCCGACGTGGCGCTGTTCCTCGATAACGGAATTTCGGCGAACATCAGTTCGACGAAGCAGCATATTGTGCTGCCTTTCTTCGGCGGACCCGACGATCGGCTTGCGCTGTCACTGGTCGTGCAGCTTTGTCTGAGCCCAAACGCTACGGCGACCGTGATCAGGATGAACGTATCGACTAGTGACGCCTTAGCCCCTGTGGACACGATCGAAGAAACCAAAGCATACCATGTGAGTTCTCTCGATTGGCCATAGATAATCCACGCTGACTCCCTGCACACAGACCATTGGTCTACCCGACACAGTCTACGGCCGGGCCGATACGCAGACCCGACTTCAGTCAACTACCGCCGACAGCCTCATCTGGGACCATTACACGTCCTCTTCCGGCCCGTTCGCGGCAGGCGTTCCAGCTGCGCTATCTCGCGTTCGGTTCACCACCGAGACATCTACGCGACCTCTCCGTGCGGTCGTTGATAGGGTGGCCAGCATTGTTAAGGTATCCGCGCCACTCGTCGTTGTGGGCCGTTCAAGGAGGATGTCTGTGGAGACGCACCGAGCTGAATTGCTGCAGCTGTTGGCGGAGCATAACCCGAACGTGGGTTCAGACGTATCGAAGACGTTGGGAGACGTCGCTGCCGCCCTTATCGTTGCTGGTTCGAAGGCGAGCTTGCTTGTTGTGCAAGCCGCTTCGTCTGTATGACGACTTGACCTCTTACTTTACATACCCTTTGTACACGACTTGACAACCTTGCTGCGAGCTTCTATTATCCGCTTGTACAACATAGTTCAATGGATACCGGTTTGGGAGAACAAAGGGTGAGAGCGTTTATTGATGAGGAGATTCTTGTTGATGCGAGGCCAGGTTCGCGGAGATGAAAACTCGGGGATGCCCTCGACCCGGGTCCATAAACGGCAGTCGTCGAGCGAGTGCTGCGCGTCTTGTCTGCCTTTGGGCGTCGTTTGAAACCGTGAACATCGTTGCGCTCTGCACTGGACGTGTGTATTGAACGGTGAGCAGCATAAAAGAGTCTGGTCGTCGTACGTCGTAGCGCGCGGCTCAACGATCGCCTCCTCCCAGGACAGTTGGTACGTCTTCCTCGTCTGCACGGGTTCGACGATCTATGCTTTATCTCTCCGCCTGCCCTTATAATGGGCATATGCCTTTTGCCCCGTTTCCCACTTCCCACCCTCCCATCGTCCAAACAACGACCAAACCTCACCCTGTCATGACCCCCACAGAGCCGCCCGAGAACTGGAACACGCCTCCCCCTCCTCAGCCACTCGCGCGATACTTTTCAGCGGACATGGCAGTCACCCCAGGCCGCAAGCAGCCCGTCTGCAGAACGTGCAACACACCGATGGCCGGGCACAAGCGCCCGCAAGGCAGCCCCATCTGCCCCACCGGCCCCTTCTCTGGCTCCCCGGCCCCGGAGCGCAAGTACAGGCCGCCCCCCTCACTGAGGGATGAGGACGAGGCGACGGAGGGGGACTGGCTCAACGAAGACACGTTGCAACGCGGTCGGTGCCATCGCCCGAACCGGAACTGGGTCGATCCTCATCCCCCCGCGACCTACCCACCCTACCACCCCGACGACGACGACCGCGACTCCATCGGAGAGACCGAACCCATATCAGACTTTGGACCCGCTGAGGCACATGCTGTCAAGGCCGAGCTAACTGCGTCTTCCAGCCAGAGGAAGCGCCTCAGAACACACGACGAGGACGATCGGTGGCATGTCTCAGCCGGGCCGTCGAACGCGCCACGCGACGCATCCCCCGTCGAAATCCAACCGCCCATGACCGAACGCCTCGTGCGCATGTTCAGTGCAGCGACCGTCGAGCTCGACGATGTGCACCGCTTCGCCAAAGAGAAAGGCATGATATCCGGCACCTTGCACAGGCCAAAGAACCCACCCGCATCGGCCAAGGGCAAGGAGAAGGCGGTGGAGGGAGTGCAGAAGCAGAAGTCGTGGTGGGTCATGGTGGGCAACCGCGAGCCGATAGAGCACATTCTCCAATTGCAACATCGAGACGATGCCGGATTATCCCCTATGCCTACAGCGCCAGGATACTTCCATGAACACACGTATTCCCGTCCCAGTGGTTGCTGGTTCCTTGAGATCACCGGAGTACGTCTTCACCCCTCCTCCATAATTCCAACTAACACTTCATGACTACTCAGGCATGTTGCATAACCGCCGTCTTCGTATGCCTCGCCTTGGCTTACATGCCAGGCCGTGATAACTGATTTTATATGTATTATGTGACCTTATGCCCTTATGCCATCCCTTTTCTTGCTCATCTTATTGGCTTGGGCATCGCTCCGGCACGATCGTGACGACATTGCGTTCCACGCGAGAGTACAAATGCTAACGATGAAGTATTCGTCCGTAATGAGCGTAAAGGTAGGGTCACAATCAGATACATAAATTAGAGCGCAGACATAACTGATGAACCCATGCATCAGGACGGTGGTGCTAGATGCGCATAAGGGAGTGAATACCTCACCGGTCGTGAACACAGCCATGGTCAATAGCTCGATCTCACATACCCCAATCATCAAATCCCCCGTACCCGGGGCGGCCACCGCTTCCCCACGCCTTCCCCGCCATCCTCTCCTCCAACCGCTCCTCCCGGCCTACGCCGGCAAGGCTGGAACTCGCGCTGCTGCCAAGCAACCACGACGTCCACCAGCTGCCGGCAGGCTGGCTCTCCTTTCCCTTTCCCTTTCCCTTCCGTTTCTTCTTCTCCTTGAACTTGATGTCCGGGCCTCCGGGCTTGCTCTGCGCGTAGGACTCGGGAAGTTCGGCGAAGGATATGCGCTTCGGCGTAGAACGGCCCGAGGATGCCGCGCTGGCTGCCCTGGTAGGAAGGATCCCAAACATCGAGTGCGTGGGCGTAAGCGGACTGGGGGTTGGTGGCGCGGAGAGGTTTTCGGGGCGGCGCTTCAATGACGACTGTTTGGGGGGAGATCGTGCTCGGGTAGATGTCATGTGCTGGTTCTTAGTGAGAAGGCGCGAGACCGATGCTGTGGTATTCGATGTGCCAGCCGAGGGAGAGGGAGGCGCGGTGAGCGGCATGAAACGAGGACGGGGTATTCGATTGGGAGAGGTGGATCGCGTGGAGCTAACGGTTAGGGCAGGCGGTTGCGGTTGGGCATCCATGATCTTACGCAGGGACTCGAGTGTCCGATGAGCATGGTGCGTGTCATCGTGATCCGACGACGACTGCGAGGATTGCGAGGAGGGTAGCTCCTCGATCGCGGTCATGATGCGGGGTACCGGAAGAGGTGTCTGATCGGCGCGTTTCGGGGTGACCGACCTCGACCGAGAGGTGCTCGAGTCGGATCCGCGTCGATGGCGGGTAGGCGATGGGGTATTGAGCGAAGACCTGCGGGATGATCTGGAGTCACTTGATATACTGTTTCTACGGAAGACGTTGAAAGTGGAGGATGCGGGTGAAGGGCTCCGTTTGAGGAAGGAGGACAGGACGCTGTGTGCCTTCGGTGTGGATGAGGTCGATGATCGATCGGGCAGGCATGAGGTGGATGCGGTTGAATGTATGTAAGGCCGTGTGGGCGTTGCATCTTGGTTTTTGCACGGACTCGGGTATTTAGAAGGAGATGATCTCAGTCCGAGCGTCGATGGCAGTGCAATCGCTTCGGGATCATCAGTCGAGTTGACATACACCGTCAACGCACGAGGCGCAGGGGAGACAAAATCGTTCCGATCGTGATTAGACAGGGTCAGGGCGGTCGTCTCGGACAATGCGTGTCGACGCGAGTCCATGGACATCCTTGGGCGGTGCCTGCGCTCCCGCAGGGTGGTGGGCATACTCGATGATGTCGGCAAGCTTTGGCTCACCGGCTCGGGCTCCAGTTCCGCGTAGAGCCCTGCCGCCTGTTCCGCCATATCGTCCATATCGTCCATCCAGCTGGCGTACACCTCCCGATTGCGGCTGATACGGGCGGACAACGCGTGCGCACGGGCGTCCAGGCCCGCGTCGGCGGGCAATGGCTCTGGGGCAAGGAGGGTGCTGAGACTGGTCTGCGTCGACATGCTCGACTGCAAGAGCGTGTTCGACATTTCCAGCGCTTGTATACTTCGCTCGAGCAGTGAGTCGAGCTGCGAATCCGCGGGCTTCCTCCGTGGTAATCGGCGGCGTGGCGAGAGCGGGGGACTGTGAACGGACCGAAGGGGGAGATAGACTCGCTGGTGGTTGTCGGAATCCGATTCATCTGCCTCCTCCGCGCTGTCCGGATAGTCTGGGGGCTTATCGGACGGGGGGTCCTCCCAGAGCGTCTGGGGGACGGCCGCGGGCGGAGGGGAGGTGTAGACGGGGAGCGAGAGCGTCGAGGCGCTGGAATCCGTGGACAACCTGAGCGAAGCACGTTTGCGGTGTCGCGGCCGGGGTGGTGAGCGGGTGTATGTCGAGTCCATTGTGGGAAACGCGAGGGGGAGTCAGACGTGGTCAGACGGGCCCGATAACGCCACAGTGAGCGCAGAGGGACGATGCGTCATGCACCAGCTCGTCCGGGGCAAGGACGACGGCACGCTCGAAGTCTATGGCACCGGCTTGCGCAGAGCGTATGCCTGTGGGCGGGAGTCAGTCGCTTTCCATCACCCGCAGAAGGCGCAGACGGACCGGAGCTCCTGGGGCGCGTTTCTGCACTTGGACGGGCGCCTGTGCTGGTGCTGAGGATCACGGACGGGTATCAGACGGTCGTGAAGCGGATCAAGGGATGGCACGGCTCGCGGCACTCGGGCGTCGGGCGCAGTGATCAGGCCTCAGGGAGAGGATGACCGCGGTCTCCCACGCGTCAACGCCCATTCACCCCTGTCGCGCAAGTCTTCGACAGCATTCACAGGAATAATACGCACCACGTCCTGTGGGGCAAGTGAGACAAATCGCAAGTAGTCATATCATATGTCATATCCCAGCGTCAGACATCACTACACATGCACCCGCAACTGCTCGATTTGGGAGATCTCCCGCTGCGACCCACAACAACCTTGCCTGATTCTGGAGATGCAGCACACCCTACCCACTTGACAAAAACGTCAAAAATACACGGATAGCTTCTGGGTTGCCACTCTGCACGCTGCCCATCCGCTGCCAGTTCGTTCTTGTGGATGGTACTTGCACCCACCATTATTCGAAGGCAAGGCCAGCCACGGCGTGCATGGGTCCCGAAAACAAGGTATAAAAAGCCCCATGTCCAGCAGGGGCATTCCACGCACAGCTGCAATCATGCCCCCCCTTGCAAACAAACACATCGTCGTTGTCGGTGGCTCGAGCGGCATTGGCCTCGGTGCGCGGATGATGCTGTGTTCATGCTCGCGAACACGGCGCTCAACCCTTTACCCATAGCCGTTGCGAAGGCATCCCTGGCAGAAGGTGCCTCCGTGACCATTTGCTCCTCTAGCGCCTCCCGACTTGAAGCTGCCGTCGGGAGACTCGGCGGCGGACCAAACGTCCGCGTCGAGGTCATCGACGTCACGAGCGAGACGTCTGTGCAATCGGCCTTCAACAAGATCGGAGCGTTCGACCACCTTGTTTACACCGTACGTAGTCTCTATCAGGCCCGATCCATACGTTGATCATATGAGCACGCACCAGGCTGTCGGAGAAATGGGGGATGGTTTTGACAGGAGAGCTCTGGAAGAGTACATCCCAGTGATGGACATCTTCTTCTGGGGCAAGTACTACCTCGCCGTCACTGTACGCGGCAACCCTGATCCTCGTTGATAGGCATGGTCCGCTGTGTCAAGCACGCGAAAGCATTCGTCAAGGAGTCCATCATCACCACCGCAGGCACCGGTGCCCATAAGCCGATGCCAGGTGGCTTCGCCATCACTTGCGCCATGGGTGGTGCCATCGTAGCGAGCTCTCGCTGCTTCGCTCTGGACTACGCCCCGATCCGCGTGAACTGCGTGACCCCCGGCTTGGTGGACACAGAGCGGTGGGACGTGAGTCTGCCCTCCGCGTCGTCCTGTATTGCACGCTGACATCGTTTGGCCCGGAAATCAGAATAACCCAGCGACGGCCATGTTCAAAGGGTCGATCTTCGAGCACGCTAAGAATACGCTTCCTGTCAAACATGTAGGCACGCCAGAGGAAGTGGCGGAGACCTACCTTTTCTTGATGAAATGCGGCTACATGACGGGCCAGTCTGTGTCCCCGGATGGAGGGAGCTTGATTCTCTGAAACTGCATACGTTGTCTTGAGCTGTAGTCAATCCCACGAGACCCAAGAATAGCATCTTCATTTGCGCGCATCTCCGTGGAGTGCAAGTGCAGCTTCATCAATGTTTGGGAATCGGCTATCTCTTACCGTAACCCGGTACCGTGCATCTTCCCTTGAGAAACGGACGCCGTCACGATTCATGACGTCAGGCGATAAAACATTGAGGTCAAGGCGATTAGCACGACATATGCGGGATTTCCATGTGGGATCGGCACATGCAGTTGGATCGGAACGCTTGGAGTGCAACTACGCACAAGGGGCGAAAGCACGATGCAGGGTGCCAACCATACGAAGATACCTAGCAGGTGATCCAGCCACACCCTTCCCGACAGGCCCTGTAAACTTTGCCAAGTCGCCTTTTTCTAGACCAGCCTCGTATTCAGCGAGATATCTCTCGACTGTCGCCATCTTGAGACCAGTGGTGGCGCATATATACCGGGATGCTTCTGGGTCTTTCAAGCCGCTAAGGAGTTCCTCGACAGGTACTCGGCGGGAAGGATTCTTGACTCCACGGCACAGGTGGTGTGCAAGGACGCCGAGAAATGTCTGTATTCGCCCATTGGCGGTGAGCTTTTCTGGATGAACGAAGTAGCGGTAGGCCCGAGAGACGAAGGAAACCCGAGGATGGCCAACATAAGCCGTCGTCCCAGGATGGGCAAGATCTAAACCTATGCGGGGCGATGTGTAAATTTGTGCGGAGGAGCGCTCTGCGGGGGGTCTTCCTTGCAAGTACAAACGTGGGAAATGCGGGGAGGGGGAGAGCGCCGACGTGTCACCGACCCACTTGTTTTGTACGAGATCAGGTATGGAAGGGGAACCGCTGCCGCGTAAGACCTCGTCCACTAGGAGCGACGGTCCTGATATGAGAGTGGAATCAGAGATTCTCCTGATGGAGCGCAGGAGAACGCCGCCCCGAACGACGGCTGCAGGAGCGGTTCGTGAAGATGCGAAGTAACCGGAAGTCACTGGGCCACCGAACGTAAGGTCCATGCCCTTCCTAGTTCCTCCTCGGTATCCGGTCATCGAGGTCGCAGATCGGCTAGCGTCTTCAGAGCGACGCGGAGAGCGGTGAAAGTACCACCTGCCGCTCGTTGCCTGCTCCTCGGTCGCGTGCGCAAACGGGTCCTCATGGCAGCCGTCCTTGCGAAGGTAGAGTTCGAGTTCAATGACTTCGTATTTATCCTGCGCACTGCCCGTACTGTCCAATACGAGGTAGTAGTCGCGTAGAAGGGCCGAAGCGATCAAATCGAAACGCGAGGACAGGTCCGAAAAGGTATCGAATTTAGTGAGATCCAACAATTGTGGCAGAGATTCTTGCTGGGCGATTGACCTCGGGAATGCGTTTCGAGGGCGCTTTTCCCGAGGTGGATCGTGGCCTGTTGCAGCCGGAGACGACGGTCTCTTCATGAGATTCCTGTTCCAGGAAGTTGTGGACGCCTCTCGCAGAACGCTCCGGCTTGGTCAGCGCCACCGTGAAGAGTCAGCACGAGGCGCCGAAGGGGCCAACAGGCGCCTTGCTTCCACCCACAACCAGCACCTTGGTCATCGCCCCCGCAAATCCACAGGAATTCGACCACAGATCCTGAAGGACGCGCAATCGGTAGGCTTGTCCGGTATATCCACTGACCCATGCCAGATGCTATGTAATTTCCTCCTTTCAGGCAGTTTTGCCACCTCGAGCAGCTTGCTGCACAGAAGGGCACTCCCCGCCCCCGCTGACACCCGGCGCCAGCCATGGCTTACTCGCAACCCTTCCCGCTTGCACAAACTCAGCTTCAGGAGAAGGTTTCGGCGCCCGCTTTCGGCCCGGACCTCGCTGTTCGTCTTATCTGTCCCGAGTGCAGAGATCCGAACCCGAACATCGTCGAAGAGTTTAGCAGCGGCGACCTGGTTTGCGGAACCTGTGGGCTGGTGCTGGGTGATCGTGTGGTTGACACGCGGAGCGAATGGCGTGTATGTCATTCCATATTTCTGAGAGTGATGTCGTTGACCGCGTGAGCGTTCTCCAGACATTCGCCAACGACGAGGGTGACGACCCATCGCGTGTCGGAGCAGCTTCAGATCCTCTGATGGACGGCATCGAGCAACTTGATACCGTCATTTCCTTCCGCGACGGCGGTTCCGGGGTTGCCAGAGAGTTGCAGCGCGCTGCATCCCGGTCCCAGTCCTCCCGCTCTGAACGAAACATACTGTCCGCGTTTCGTGAGATTTCGACACTATGCGATGCATTTACCCTGCCGAAGACCATAAGCGACATCGCGAAGCAGCTTTACAAACGTTCGGACGAAGAAAAGCTTTTACGCGGCAAACCCTTTGAAGCCGTCGTGGCAGCATGTATCTTCATCGCATGTCGACAGGCACGCGTGCCTCGAACCTTCCGCGAAATTTGCAACCTCACGAAGGTGCCAAAAAAGGCGCTCGGGCAGTGTTACAAGACGCTGGAGCAGGCTTTCAATCTGAATTCCGGTGCGACGGCGCAGAACTCGTTGGCTCCAGGAAAGATTCCTGGACCCGAAGACCTGCTCATACGGTTTTGCAACCACCTCGATCTTCCTCCCAACGTCCAGCACGTTTGCCGCGAAGTCATCGTCGAAGCGAGCAAGCACGGCATTGCCGCCGGCAGGAGCCCTGTGTCTATTGCGGGCGGCGCGATCTACTTCACATCGCATCTGTTAGGCAAGGGGAAGACAGCGAAGGACATCAGCACCGTTGCTGGCGTGAGCGAAGGAACTATCAGGCTCGTGTACAAGCTATATTATGCGAGCCGAGATCGATTAGTGAAGAAGGAGTGGATTGAGGAAGGCAAGGCAAGGATGGACCGTCTTCCTGTCGAGAATACACTCAAGTAGAACCGACTTGTGTATAGCCCGATACGGGCAGTCGCATGTGTAGCATGTAACCATATATGAATCATGTCATACCGAAGAAGCCCGCGTAGGTCACCAGGAGATCACCGTTTGCCCTTCCGTGGTCCTTTCGCTTGTTGTCTTCCAAGTGCCGCGCCGCCTTGTCCTTTGCTAGCGAATCGGACGGCTTTGCGGACGTTAAGTACGTCAGATCCTCCGCTGTCGGTTTCGTCTTTTCGAGTTTTCTTCCTGGCGTCGCTGTCCAGTTTTGATAGCAACGCCAATGATGCCTTTTTCTCCTCTGCAGCGGAGGACTCGGTGGGAGTAAACTACGGAACAACAAGTCAGCATGATACACGTGGATGTGAACGCAAGCGTACCTTCCGCTTGACCCCCTTCAGCTTCTTCTCTCCCTCAAGCGTCTTATCGAAGCGGCCCAAGCTTGCGGTGCTTATCCTCGTGGTCGCTAGAGTGCGGTCTATATCCACTTTCCTCTTCTCTTTTTCACCCACACCCTGTGCCCTTGCCATATTCTGCAGTTTTTGTTTTTCGTTCTTGGCCACCCTCGCCTTTCTTGCGTCTCTAGCGACCTTGGCAGGATTATGTTCCACGTCCGCGTTGGCGGGAACCTCGGTCGCCCACTGAGTCTCCTTCTCCTTGTTTTTCCCATCACGACCCCAGCGATTGACCCATTCTTGCTTCTCCTCGTCCCAAACAACCTTATCCTTGCGTTTCTTCTGGATACCCTTCGCTTTAGCGAACTGTTCCCACTTGGTCGGTGGCTTCGGTTTGGGTAACGGCTTAGCGCGAGGAAGCTGTGTTGTCGCGGGTGGTAGTTGCGCAACAGGGCCGTCCGGCGAACTCGATGTGGGTAACGAGAACAACGCGCCGAGTAAGGCTTGCACGCCATCGCGTGCTACGGACTGTAGGTAGTCCTCGACGCTGGAGCTGGTGGGATGGTGAACTTCAGCGCAAGTGTGATACAGGAGGTACTGACTTGTAATCTTCGGCGTCGACGGGGTTCAAGTCGGTCACTGTGAGGAGGCCTGCGTCTACGTCGAGAGGAACCTCCTTCTCCACAGCCGTGGACCTCCTGCGATGTTCATGAGCCTCTGCATCGCCGACGATGGACACAACCTCACTCTTTTGATTTTTGCGAGGCAAGGATATCGGACACGTCCATGTTTAGGACGGACGTCGACGGGATTAAGGATGCGCAGAGTATTCGAGTTCAGAAAACTGGCCGCCGTCCAATCAAGCGGCTTAGCGGAAGCTTCTTCCCACGACTATAGCTGCCCTGAATAGACCGATCTCGTTCAGAGGCCACTGCCGCTCACTCCACTAAGCTGCGAGACCATGCCCGACCCCGTCCAAGTTATCGAGGATTCCCCACACCATCCTCCGCTCCCTAGGTCGGCTTCGAATCCGAAGCCGAAGGGTATCTTGAAGAACCCACTGCCTTCCCCCGCGATTGCGCAGACCGGAGGACAGTTCGTACCACCTACCTCCGATCCCTCGTGATCGCTGCACTAATGGTCGATCTAACAGCAGCCTACAATGGGACGAGGAGAACCTAGCCCTAACAGAGATCCAGAAGGATAGTTTGATGAAGATTACAGAGCCCAAGACACCTTTCGTACGATATAACGCCGAAACCGACACCGTAGAGGGAGGTAAGTGTCCTGGATTGATCTCGTTGTGCCCCCTGGCATCCAATGCTTTGTTTGATCAGATATTCCCGACCTGGATCTTTATGGGCGATACAAATACCCGAATTCGCCTGGCGCCAGTACACAATCGCCCACGTCAGAGGAGCCCGAGACGTCCTCGCGGCGAACGTCTTTATCCAGCAATGGACAACGACCCTCGTTGTCCAACAGATCAGGGAGCGCAAGCTCCAGTAGGAGCACCAGTTTCAATCTCCCAGACGAAGCTCGGCGAGGAATCAGAGCGGACCGAAGAGAGCGTGGTGAGGAGGTTGAAGAGGACGAGATGATGGACGAGGAAGGTATGCTCATCATGTTTACGTTCCCATTCCTTACGTGCTGCTCACCACGCCTTGCTATAGCTGCTGCCAAGCACGCCGAGTTTGTGAGAGCCAGGGGCAGGCACTATTCCAACGAGGCCGAGGCCATGAAGGTGAGTAGTATCGATATGCCGTGTAATCATCCTCCGTGACATATCGCCGCCGCAGAGGGCGCAACAACTCATGGAAGAGGAGGACTTGGACGAGGACTCCTCTGTCGCTGATGCCCAGAGCGATGTTGTTTCTATGGAGGAAGATGCGGATAACCGTGAAACCCATGTGATTGGTCACCTTGCTTTGAGCATAAACAGGATATTAACGTGAGCCAGCAGCGTCGATGAGTTCGTTTCCCGGGTTCCGGGGGAAGCGCCATGGTATAATTAACCGCTTGATGAGACCGTCCGCTTGCATCAGCTTTGCTCCCACCTCAGCTGTGCTCTCACCAAGCCGCATGTATTCATATAGGCCTCGATCGCTTGCGTCGTTTAGTATGTACTCGAACCCACTGCTGGATGCACACAGGCAAGACGGAGTGTCGACTTCAAGCGAGATTAGATGCACCGGCGCTTTCTGCCGGATAAGCCGTATACGCGTTTCAACTAGGTAACCGTAAACTCGCAAATTATCACCTTGTCTATTCGTTAGTTCGCTCACCGGTGCTCTGTGCCGCCGGATCAGCATCGAGTCGGGATTAACCAACTTCGACTTGGACCAACTAGCTCTCCTTGCTACGCTTTCGTTTACTGCGAGCATCGACCCGAATAATGGCGGATAGCTCGGGCAAGGGTATTCTGCTGAAAAGCGACCAGATCGCCAACGTTCACCGCGACGAGATTCAGACTATCCTCAAAACACGCTCCAGTTCGCCGAAGCTTGTCGGGATTCTTTCGACGTCTGCAGCACCCAGCCGATTCTACGCCGAGTTCACCCAGAAGCAATGCAATGCGCTTGGAATCATCTTTGAGTTACGGAAAACGGGAGCAGCGCTGGGTCTCGAAGAAGGTGCTGGAGAGGGAGATGGCGTCGAGGAAGCGATCATCGAAGCGAACGATGATCCCACCGTCGATGGTATCATGGTAGGCATCTCTTACCGTGATGTACGAATCACTTATCGCTCGACGAAGGTATATTATCCTGTATTCGGCGTTCAGCAGGTCCGTCTTCCTACCTTAATCCCATATATCGTGGACCGACACCTCTGTATAGGACCACTACCTTCAGCAAGTTGAGCGCAACCCCAGCTTGCCTCTCATGCTCTCGGGCTTACATGAGAGACTCGGTAGATTGTATCGCCTCTGAAAGACGTAGAGGGTTTGAATTTCAAGTTCCATTACAACCTTTATCACAAGTAATCCCTCGTTGTTGTGAAGCCCATGGTTGATTACTGACCGTGCACTAGCATCCGCTTCATACGACCGAGCTCCCTAACTTCGGCTCTTCCTCCCGCGGATGCTCCTCATAATGCAAAGGATGACAATCCACCCCCTGGGACGGTCAAATCCATTCTCCCTTGCACGCCACTGGCCGTTGTGAAATGTCTTGAAAGCACGGGGGTATATAACAAAATACTGCCTTACGGTGACAGGGCGTATGGCAAGACTGTGACTGTTATCAACCGGTATGTGTCGGAGTTCACATTCACCTACATAAACATAATATGAGTAACATAGATCTGAAGTGGTCGGTCGTCCCCTTGCGGCTTTACTAGCAAACGATGGCGCTCGTGTATTCTCTGTCGATATAGATTCTATACAGGTCGGTACATCTGTCGTCCTCGGAACAGTCATCGTGTAATCTTCGTGCAGGAGTACACCAAGCGACCGAAGTCAAGCGGTCCTGAACCGAGCCGGTATCATCCGCGGCACGTCGTGCACCCCTGTCCAATGAAACTCGAACAATGTCTAGCGCTATCGGACGTCGTGGTTTCCGCAGTACCTAACCCTGATTACAAAGTACAGACAGAATGGCTCAAGGATGGCTGCATCTGCGTTAACGTAGCAGCAGACAAGAATTTTGAAAAAGATGTCCGAGACAAGGTACGGCTGATCGCGGGAATGCGACTGTAGATGTAACTGACTCAAGCAAGGCTTCCATATACCTGCCAACGATCGGCAAAGTGACGATCATGATGCTTTTGCGAAACTTGTACGCGACTAACCGACCCTTTACCTCCATAGCTAACTGCGCATAGGTTACGACTGCAACAATATCAGGAATCTATGCAAACACTTCAGACGACGTCATGATGTTAAAATATAGCAAGCGGTGAGGCGTGTAGATCTGGAAAGCAATATCATTTCCGCTATGGACGCAAAGTCCGTATATGCTACATTAAGCTGCGTGCAACGAAAGCAAGTAGATAACATCACGAAGCAAGATAAAGTCCGTCGTTTGCGGTTCCAGGACCAGCCGGAATGGACTGAAACTGCCCCCGCACCTTCAAGTCCTCCTCATCTGCCGCATCACCGATCACAAAGACAGGTACCTCTACGATGGGTTTGATGGGAAGAGTCTCCGGCGTGGCGAGCACTTCGCTCTCGTCGGTTGTGACGGATGAATCAGCGACATCTCCATGGATGTCCACAGACCGCGCTTGTAAATCATGCGAATGGTCTTCCCCTGCGCGCAAGAACCCTTCGTGATATCCACGATCCGAGCTGCCGCCTGCGACAACCCAAGAGCTCGATGCACCGGACGAATAAGAAAGCTTGCGCCGCCTGGCAGCCTGGCGGCAGGCTGCTACGGAACAGTCGGTGCTTGAACAGAGTACGTTGGTCGATGGTGTCTTCCTTCGCATCACCTGCTTGACAGCGTCGGGTTGCCCAGCGCATTCATCTGAGGAACTCGACGATTGCCAGCAAGCCGCGTGAAGACGTTCGTCGATGATCTTCCATAGACGGGCTTCGGCCGAGCATGGTGGCGCGAAGTTTGAACTGTCGCTGTCGCACGGTGGGTTACTGCGAGTAGCCAGCACCCTCCTCACTACTGAATTGCGGAAACCGTCCACAATGGGCGACGACGAGAGCTTGGCCTCCTGATGCTCTTGTTCAGAATTGGTAGCTACCGGAGCATCTGTGTCGAAGAAGGTATGAACGCGCTTGATTTCTTCCTTGAGCTCTTCAAGCGTGATGCGTCGATGCGGAGTTGGGTCAAGCATGCGACAGATGATTTTCTCGGCCTCCTCGGAGATGGGCAAGTGCATACGGAGCCACTTCGGGTTCTGGACGAAGGCCTCAAAACAACCGTCCGACATGGAAGCTCGCGCCCAGGGTGCGCGTCCGGATATGATGTTGATGAGGACGATCCCAAGGGACCAGATATCACTGTGTTTGGTGGAATACGCTCGGATGTCGACGACATCATGATGTAGACATTCTATGGTGAGGCGATTAGACTTCGACAAGTTTGGTACAATATGTCGAACGTTACCTGGACTCTGATAATAGGATGTTCCGCACCCGAATTGGCGTGATATAGGACGCCGCGTCGCCAACCCGAAGTCGGCGACGACGATGTGGCTCAAGTCGGAGGAGCATAGGATATTATCCGCTTTTATGTCTCGATGGAATACGGAGTTGTTGTGGCAAAACTCGACCGCTTCCAAGATCTGGAGGAAGGCCGATTTTAAGAGAGCATCGTTCCCGAAGAAGACGCTTTCGGATCCCATGAAGATGTGGTTATATAGGTCTCCTCCTTCCCAGAAATCGCATACGATGTAGACCAAATCTTCATCCTCGAGCACCTCGTGGATCGTTAGGATATTAGGATGCGAGTGGACTCGGCGTTGCACGTCGATCTCGCGGATATTGAAGGTCTTTTTGCAGTCGTGAGCTTCGTTGCGGAGCATGCATTTGACGGCGAATGTTCTTCGAGTCGCAAACGCATCGGCCGAGTCCAGCTCGAGGGCGCGGTAGACGACGCCGTACGAACCCGAGCCAAGCTTTTCCAGAAGCTGGATCCGGTTGTCGAGGACGCGGAGAGAGAGGTCGGGGATGAACTCGTGTGCGCGGGGCATGGCGAAGAGTAGGCGACGACGAAATATGGCTTGGGTAGTGAGTGGTGTTCGGGTTGTGGATTGTAGATGATGTTGATTTCCTCAGGGAAAGGAAACCCACATATTTATACTGTCACCGTCGCACCGTTGATCACATCCGCTAGTGAGGATGTAAGGTAGCAGTGATCCCGACGCGATCGATGCGCCAATTCCGAGGACAGGCGTCCGAGCTGGCTCGGGCATGGCGGCAGCGGATATACCGTAGACTGAGTACTTCATTCCGCCTGAGGCGGAATGAAGTACTCAGTCTACGGTATATCCGCTGCCGCTGCTTACCGGGTTCGTTCCGGCCTCCCAGTGATCATGGTCTGACGTATTATGTCAGCAGCCGTCAACACAAGGATCAATAGTCACCGTAGTTCAACAATACAAATCTCAACTCTGTTCAGTGACTTTAGGCATTTCGATACTTTGACGACCAATGGCGATGTCGGCGTTCTACATGATCGAGTTTCGCTTGCCCGGACGTGGTGGCGTCGATGACGATAACAGCCCGGCTTCAATGTAGGTGCACCTCACCGATACCAGCGAAATCACAATTATATGGGTATGTGCGGCTTCGGCGGGCGTTTGACCTGACGACGCGAATTCATTCTCCTCGTATTCTTTTCTGACGTGAGTTCATCTGGGTCTCGACGTTGCTCCAATCTTCCTCATCCGATAACGGCCTCGCGACCGTACCGTCCGTGTATAATTTAGGTTGTCGAGTTATTTCCGGCAACTGCAGGTGTATGAGTGGACGGACAGTGGTTCCCGGGATGGCCAGGTTCACCTGCTCGAGAAAAACTCTTGCAACGATATTTCCGGTGTCGAGGATATTCGAACGTTCCAAGTAGCCTTGAGCGTCTCTGAGGAGAGACTCCTTTCGATCTATAGTGCCGATAATCAAGAGCGAGTCGAACGATCTACGACAGTAGAGATCAACGTACTGATATCTCCTGGGAAGTTGATTTGTGCTAGGTACAGAGCCAGCATGCCTGCGTAGAGATGCAGTACGGCATTGTCATGAAACGGGAATGACGGTAGATAACTGTCCTCTGCTTTAGCTTGTTACTTGAAGGACAGGCAAGGACTCTCACAATTCCAAGTCATTGAGAGCCGTGCGATGTTGCCCACTGCGTATCTGTCGTACAATAATCTCGCGCAGAATAGTTTCACGCTTCGAGACAATCAGAATATGGTCGCATGCAACGAAAGAATGGACCGCACAATGTTCGGATTTTGTCGCATCATGGATTTCAGAAGAGCTATCGCGTTTGCACACTGATCGTTGATCATGTCTTCTTGGTGGTCGCATATATGTAGTGCTATCATCCACATCGTTTTCCAATCAAATTCCTTGCATCGGATGAGTATCGCCCATGCCCTTCGGGCGCGATCCAAGTGGTTGCGCTGGATAGACAATTGCAGAATATCATATAAGCGTCTTATATGAGTTCGGCGAGTAGTGGAAGGCTGTTTATCCCCGAATGACGCAAAGAGGAAGTCGTGGTCGAGTGCAAACATTTATCGCTCAGAACCACGACCGTCAAATTTCGCTAGCCCTCGTTACGTCTCCTATCTCCCATCTATCACCTACAACTCGAATCATGGACGATGGCCTCGGTCTTGGCCCGGACGTTTGGGGGACGCCCGCGGAAGCCACAACGCTGCCTCCGCCTTCGTCCATCGCCGAATCTTCGACGGCGGGCCCGGGTGATCCTGATGACGGCTTTCAGGGCTTCAATGACTTCGGTGGCTCTGCGCCGACCGATGCGTCGAACGATGCTCTCGAAGATGAATTCGCAGACTTCGGCGACTTCGGTGAAGCGGAGAACATAGGGCCATCGTCCGACTTCGGTGTAGGGCAAGACTTCGAGGAAGACGTATCGTTAGCAAATCCATTCATCTCCACACAGACATGGGAACCGTTACGGTTGTATCCTCGACCGTCTCGAGATCACCTCCAAGAACAGGTTGAAGGGCTTGTGTCGCTTTTGTGGGCGGATGAAGACATCGCTGGAGCTATGACCGACGACGACATCCGCCAAGTCGAAGGTCTGAAGCAAATACTCGTAACACCCGAGAGGTACTTTTTCTTCCATTCTTCCCGTCAGGGTTTTCATACCGAGCATCAGACCTGTCTAGCCGAACTCTATACGAAATACTATTCTCTCAACCTCCAGCCACCCAACCGGTGAATTGGACCCGATCCCGCATACGAAGGCAATACTTGATTTCTTTGGGGATTCCCGTCAATCTCGACGAGGTACTCCCACGGGCGAACAGCAAGCCGCTGCCTGCACTGCAAATAAGTACACGACCGATGTCAGCCCCACCGACAGCGAGAAATGGTGTCTCTCAGAGTAACGGGCACGCAGCCTCAGCAAGCAACTCTAGAACTGGGACGCCACGTTCCGGCACCCCTCAACCAGGTCGGGGAGATACTGCCACTAGACTCGGCTTAGGGCCGAAGCCAGAGCTTGATGAGGTGAAGGTGACAGAGTTGCTGGAGACGAACCCAGGTACGACCTCGTTGGTGTCATTGGAGATTGTGACAACTTATCGCATTCCGGTCAGAATCATTAACACTCGTTCCGCTCCCGAAACTGGAGGCTCAGCTTGCTGAATTGCGCAAGCAAACTGCGAGTGCTTCAGCTGTTCTGACTTGGCTGTTGCAGACACGCGATGCGCTACAACAGGATTCGGAGACCTATAACAAACTCATTGGCGAACTCATTGGAGAAGCGCAGAAAGCCAAAGGCCCCGCGAAAGGCAGGGCACCGTCTCGACGAGGAACAGGTGGATAAAGGATAACGAATAGCCTGAAGCCGCGATGTTCACGTCTGTAACTCTGTCAATTAGTTAGGCTGTCATATCATCTACGCACTTGCTACGGCTTGTTATAAGACACTCTACACATCTGCTAGGGCCCAGCTTATACTTTTCCCCGCCCAGAAAGGGGTGACACTCTCCTCGCCCAGCGACCATCTTTCGTCGATAAGTTGGCCAGTTGTTTTACGCAGGACGACTACATTCCGCGCGTCGCCAACATCTAGACACCAGGAACGTCGTTAACTAACGCGTGAATCAGAGAAGCCGGCTGTACCTGGTCTACGCTCGTAAAATTGTCGACCAAACGTGCTGACGAAGCCTTCCAGTTTGTCTAATGCTCCAAAGGACTCGAGAAGGTGGGCAGTAAGGGGAAGCAAGATAGGCGATGTATACACGCCTGCTGCGCACTACGTGGGCTCCATAAGCCGTGTACAACAATCACTGATGCGGGACCTTACGCCTTGGGATGATGTTGATGTAGACTTGGTATGGGGAGGATGAGGGGCAGAATCCGAGCCCAAGAAAAATCGTGGATGACCTGCAAGATGTTGTGATCAATGAGCTATCGTCGTAGCATGTTTTCGTCGGGTTCACAACGACAACAAGTATGACTGGTTGCCCATGGTATGGCGAATTGGATCAGGGGCAGCCCTACCTTCTTTAATAACGTCGCGAAGAGCCTGTCGGTCATCAGGAAACTTCGCGACAGGTTTACAGTAGTTCCAGCCCTGTCCTGCCCAATCGTCCACCGTCAGCGCAAGATGGTGCGCCGTGATCGTGCATGCAACAGTATCTCCCAAGCTCTTGACACACTCCACACTCGCGCGAGTGGTCGCATGCTCAAGCACAATGCGTAACTTCGGGAACGTCGCATGCAGCTTGCGGAGATGCGGGAGAAAGGCCGGCTCCGCGTTGATAACGCAGATATTAGTGGAGACATTCGAGGGTATTTCTCCGTGCAAATTAAGAACCATGTCCACGTCTTGCATGGCAGCAAATACCGGGTAGTAAGTCTCGTATGACTCGATACCGCCGTCCGAATTGGTTGTTACACCGCGCGGATACGATTTGACTCCTGATAAGCCTCTGGTCAGTGGTACACTCACCGAACCGGCAGCGGTATTTGCCTACGATTCCCGCAGCAGCAGCCTTGCGGACTTCTTCTGGAGTCAAATCCGGCGACAGATAAAGTGTCATCAGAAATTCCACATTTGGTTCGATCTTCTCAAGCTCTGCCCTGTAAGCCAAAGCCTGGTAGGTGGTGGTAATAGGCGGTTTCAAGTTGGGCTACGGGTATAATCAGGGATCAGGAGGCTGGCCATGTCTTGCGAAGGGCTGCACCATAACGTAGGCGAGATTGAAGCCCCCTTTTCGTACGTGAGGGGTGACGAGTCTAGACATCTGCCCTTGTCGTAGATGGACGTGAAAGTCAGCGGGGGCATGAACTGATATTTCCATCGACTGATGGTGTAAATGAGTGGGTGTAATTGTATGAAGGCTTTGACCAAAGCTGCGAACTTTTTATCGACCGCTGCATAGCCACCAGTGAACCACGACATGGGGTTAGGGCAACGCGATCACCTGATTAGACACGGCCAAGGTTGACTTCGGGTTTTGCAGCTTCACATTCATAACTTGTCACTGACGTTGGTCGGACCCCTCTAGCATGGTTGCCGCCGGATCTATCACCGTTGCGGGTACGCATTCCGTATCATCCGGTACTGCAAGGTTTCATGCCCCTTTCCAGTTCGAGTCCGCCCGCCCAACGCCTGGGAGGCAGCCCGTCTACCAGAGCCAGTCTACGACCAGTCCATTCGAGGAGATGGAACTCTTTCTGCCCCTGGCCCGTCCAAGCACTCTTCCGCTCTCAGAGATATTGTTCAAATTGTCGATGATCGGATCCTTTGCTTCGATCCCCGCGACCCTGATGCTTCCAGGTCATTCTGCGAACGTGGCTTCCTGCCTCCCGGAACGAAGCGATACAAAGATAAACGTTTCATGTTCGACAAAGTCTTCAACAACGAAGCCTCACAGACGGACGTTTACGAAGCAACAGCTAAACCTCTCCTAACTCCCTTACTGAACGGCTTCAACGCCACCATCTTCGCTTACGGAGTACGTGCTCACTTGACTCGCACGACGGCTGTACTGATTCAACCATATAGGCGACCGGCTGCGGGAAAACGCACACTATTAGTGGAACCGAAGCAGACCCGGGGATCATATATTTGACAATGGCCGACCTGTTCCAACGCATCGAAGACCGTAGGGACGACTACAATGTGGAGGTCATCGTTACCTTTCTCGAGATTTACAACGAAGAGATCCGGGATCTCCTTGCCGACAACTCCGATCGACCTGCTCCTCGAGGCGGCCTTCAAATCCGCGAGGATAAGACTGTCAAAGTAGCGGGTTTAGTCGAGCTCAAACCCAGGACAGCCGAAGAAGTCAAGGAGATAGTTCTGCAAGGGAATCTCCGCAGAACCCAGAGTCCCACTCATGCCAACGAAACATCTTCACGATCCCATGCCGTGCTTCAGATTCACGTCACACAATGGCCCAGGACAGCAGCCTTGACAGAGGAACGTACAATGGGTACCTTGTCAATTATTGATCTTGCAGGAAGTGAACGCGCTGCAGCAACAACCAACATGGGTCAGCGCATGGTAGAGGGTGCTAACATCAACAAGTCCTTACTGGCGTTGGGCAACTGCATCAACGCGTTATGTGAAAGCGGAGGTGCCACCCGTCACGTACCGTACCGCAACTCCAAGCTTACGCGACTGCTCAAATTCTCCTTGGGGGGAAATTGCAAAACCGTGATGATAGTATGCGTCGCTCCAACATCCAACCATTTCGACGACACACATAACACGCTGCTCTACGCCGACCGCGCAACGAAGATCAAGACCAAGGTCGTCACACGTAATGTCGTTAACGTCGACCGACACGTTGGTCAATACGTGGAGGCGATCAATAGGCTGAACATAGAAGTGGCTGAACTTAAGGCGAGGCTTGCTGGAAAACGCGATGCGGAGGCAGAAGTTGCGAGGAGGAGGTCCGTGGAGGCGAAGGCAGAAGTCGAGCGCGCAAAGGCCGACATAATGAACAAAGCGAATCAAACACGGACCTCAATCGTTGACGGGGCTGGTTGTTCTGGACGGCTCGCAGCGGCGTCTATCCGGTTGGAAGTCACTCGTTCGAGGCTGGCTCAGCTTGATGCCATGGGCCCCGGGCCCCTTGCGGCGGATCTGGAGCTTGAGCGAGAACTGCTGCGCGGACTCGCCGGTCCGGAGGAGGAGATGCTCAAGCCTGGTTCAGCGCTGAACGTACGATTGCAGCGATCGACGAACTCCGGAAATCTATTCGATGCTATGCTTAAGGCCGTCACGGAGCGCAAGTCAGATAAGCTTGACGAAGCGAGCGTGGAGAATGTGAAGTTAGACGCCCGGTGGCGCAAATCCGAGCTGGAGCGGATCAAGGCGGACGCGGAACGCGACGCGCTTCGAGACGCGCTTATCGGTCAGGCGCAAATGGTGGTCAATCTTGTCGGGATGATGGGAAGGTGTACGGTCATGTTGGGAGAGGCAAGTCGCGCATTAGGGTTGGCTGCCGCAAACAACGTGGACGATCTGGGTGCTACCCTGAAGTCCCTTGGAGCGAAGCTTGGCGTTGTAGCGGAGAGTAACGACGAGGCGTTCAAGCACCTGGTTGGGGTGTCTTCCGCGGCATACGCTGCTAACGCGGCTGGTAGCATCGATAGCTTCCATGGTCATGCAACCACGCTCTCTCGACCGACGCCGGGTATCTCTGCCCCTTCCTCGCTGAAGCCCAAAGGCACAAGGCGTTCGTCCCAGGGTTTAGCAGTCGGCTCTCCCGCGCGGAAGTTGCACAGAAGCTCGCCACGGAAGGGCCGGGCAAGTTTGACCGGCGCTCATGCACCTCACTCGCGGCGGGTGTCGTCCTCCGAGGTGAAGAAGAAGAGTGTCCAGTGGAAGGACGAAGCTGGTCAGGGTAGTTTGGACGATGGAGGTGGTAATCCCTTTCAGATCAGCACCATTCCGGACGTTTCTGTGATCGCCTCCAGTCCACTTCCTGACGACTCTGGAACTGGTTTACGTCGGCCTGCATCAGTCGCTGGTTCTGAAAGTGAATGGGAGGACGAGAGGACCGATGACAGTGTTCATGCGAGCTTCAGTGGCTTTAGTAGCCGTCAGGATTCGCTCTCTGGGTCAACATTACCACTCCCCAGTGCGAGTCACCAGAGGACAAGTCGCCTTGGCTCCGCGTACCTTAAATCACGGGGATCGACGTTAAGCAGTCTAGCCGAAGTCGAGGGAGAAAATGGCACGCCCATGCGCCCATCGCCATTATCAGACCTCAGCCTGAACCGGATGCGCGGGTCAGCAGAGAGCAGCAATAGTTCTAGCAGCTCCGAAGGTCCTAGCACACTACATGTCCCCAAAGGTCGGGAGAGGCACGCAATCACGCCTGCCAAACGCGCTCCCGCGATGCCAAGGGTGGTCGGATCTGCTGCCAAGTCTGGCCGACGACGCTCAAACATCGGTCCCCTCCGTCACGAGAAGCAGAGGAGACGTTCAAGCCAGATTCCCCAGCTTTCTCCGAGGGCTAGCCTTGAAGGGAATACCAGCCTGAGCGTCGACCTTGGTTCCGTTTCCACCAGCGGTGCCGCGAAGAGGGTCATAATCGATGGCATGCGGAGTCCGCCGAAGAGGGCGAAGAGGATGAGTGTGCTCGGTGCGGCCTCCAAGGCGTTGAAACCGAGAACTGTTGGCAACTCGCCCATGGCGGATCCCAACCTCAGCCTCGGGCCTAAACCGACTTGGCGATGAAGTTTGGTCGTCATTTCTCGGAGAATGTAAGTCATGCCCTTCGTCCATAGAGCGACGAATAATGATTGTTGGCCAGTAGGCGATTTTCTGGGCAGGGTTCTGTTAGACCGGATCTGCAATCCTCATCGGGATGAATTGGAATAGGGCACCTCGTGATGCTCCGCTTTGTGCACCACTGTTTTGTCATACCTAATCGTCTACCTTGTAGAACTAGTTGATACCCCTATGTGAACGATCTGTATTGGATTTGGCAGCAACTTTCCGCAAGAGCAGGAGTGGCTCTCATTCACAACGTTTAACCCTCACACATTCTCATGATTTCCCAAAACGGAATGCGTGCGGGGTTAAGTCTGAGCTGCGACGTGTTGAACCATGCACGAGGCTGCGAATTCAGACGTTCTTATCCTTCGCTCATACTGACTGACGACTATATACCGGTTCGACGTAAACAATCACTTAGGCTATCATCTTGATCTATTTCATGAACTGACGTTACGTACGGAGTACCGTAACCACGTCACCGATACGCAAAGTCCCTGTCATGGCCAAAAAGCAAAAGGGAAAACAGAAAGCACCGTCGCCTACGTCTGCCCCAGCTCCCATACAGAGCAATGCCTTCAATACCATTACGACTATTAACGAAGTTAGTGAAACGGCGGAGTCTATTGGAAACGTAGCAGCCCCTACAAACCCTTCGGCGCCTACAGCCGCAGTTACCACGCAGCACAGGCGTGTTCATATCCAGGAAGAAGGCGACGGTGCATGCACTCCTTGCCTATCAACTACATATGCTGACATGGCTGATATCCTCTCCTCGAACCCAATTGATACCCATGAATGAAGTTCACGAGGACGAGGACGAAGAAGAATGGGCGGAGGAGGAATACGACGAGCCCGATGAGCACACGGGATGGAGGCAAGGTTTGGAGGGGACCGTTGGTGCTTCCGATAGCGCCGGAGCAACGGCGGGGTGGGACGAGGCGCATCAGAGTCAAGCGCCGGCTGCGGTATCCTGGGGCGCTGTTCAACTTCAAGATCACTCTCCTGCGACGACTATGCCTCAAAGCGCACGAATTGGCTGGGCAGCCGAACGTGAAACCATCCCCAAGGTCTTGACGTCTGCTGGCGGAGGCGCCGGTTGGAATCAGGCCGCAGCCGCTGTGGAGGCATGGCCCCAGCCCAAGCAAGTGCCGACGCACTCCGTTGCACAGCATCCTCCGGTTGCCCAGGCTCAACGAGGTTGGACGAACTGGGGAAACGAGGGGAAAGCTCCTCCGCAGGCCACTTGGCGGGGTCAGAGCGCTTCAGCCCAGCAGAATACAGCTCCTATACAGGCGCAAGCAAGCTGGACGACGTGGGCCAAGGAGGTGAACATGGCGCCGCCCAAGGCATATTCCCACGCGCCGGTCCCCGCTCCTGGGCACCACCCGTATGCAGCTCAGCAATCGCAAGATTTACGGGCGTTGCTCAGCGATCCCTACCAAGCCAGGATGGCCGCTGTTCAGCCGCAGCAGCAACCGTATCGTCAGGTGCAGGCGCAGGCGGCGCATCACCATACTCGGGAGAGGAATGGGAAGATGTCCAAGCAAGATCAAGCCGCTGCTTGGGGTCATGCGGACAACGGGGGATGGGGCACTGCCGGTGGAGGGGACTGGGGCATTCCAGGACAGGATGCAGGAGGGGCTGGTTGGAGTTCGGGACAGGACGATGGGTGGGCCGCCGGGGGTGGGGGTGGTGGGGGATCCTGGGGCCAGACTGCCGACACAGGATGGGGGGGTGCAGAAGGGGACTCAGGATTGGGGCACAACACTGCGGCTAGCTGGGGCGACATAGATGAGGAGGGGGAGGAATCCATGGAAGATGAGTGGGTGGAAGAAGAGGATGAATGGGAGGATTCTCGGAAGGTCCGGTTCGCCGACGACAATCCTGCGCGGGCGGCTGCGAGAGCTGCGTCCAAAACGCCTGTTACCCAATCCGCTCCCGCCTCGCGCACGATGGCGATGGCTACAGGAGGAGAGGCTATACCAGGAATAGCTCGGGTTGCCGCCCCTCCGGAGAACGGGGACTCTTCGATACACGTCGTCGAAACGAGCGGAGCGGCCATGAGTCCTGCCCAAACAGCCCTTTTTGGACGGGATCGTGCAGCCAAAAATCGAATATATTGGGGGTTATCCCCGCATCAGAACAAACGCGTCTCATCATTACTTGCTTGGGTGATTGCCATGGAAGATAAGATAGCTGAGCTTGGAGTGGGTGTCCATTCTCATTTAAATTGCATTTGCAACTGATTTTCTACACCCGACGATTAGCTACACAAGTTCCTCACCACTCGTGAGCGAGGGGCGCTATTCAGCAATGCCGAATACACGCCGGCGAGCTCCTACGACATGGCGTTTGATTGGTTAACCTTCCCTTACTTGCAATTCACGCGAGACAAGACATTGCAAGAGTCTGTCCTCTTTTACAAGCCTGCGGAGGAGGTTGTCGTATTCGTCTTTCTGCTGTCCCCCTCCCGCAATAGTATGGCCGTGTGGAGAAAAAAGATCGCAATTCCCGATGATCTTCGTATTCGTTACTCGAAAGAGATCCAATCTGCTACAAGAAGTTTGAGAGCGGACTACGGGCCTTTGCACGTTGACGAGTGCGTATTTTTTGGTCCCCTTCGTTCTACCCGTGGTGTTTACGAGTATTTCAGGCTGCCTGCATCGCCGACTGCCACTGAACCCTTACCTGATCAACCTAAGAGACGGCGTTTCTTCGGTCGTTCGGAATCATCCAAGAAGCTGCAACGCGCTGATGCAGAAGAGAGACGACGTGAGGTAGTCGAACAAAAGAAGGTTACGCTCGTCGATCACGGCCCGGTCCCCATGATAGTCGACGGAAGAGAGCCCAAACCACAGAAAAAACGAGGATTTTTTGCTCGCCTTTTCGGGAGGAAATGAATGTACGCTGCCTTGTTCGATATTCTTCACTTACACCTTTCTTGGATACTGTACCATACACCCGGCCCTTGTAGCGATAGTTCTGCTTTCGAATTGCTTTCCAGATATGTGACCCTCTGTGCGAATACCAGAGTGTTATTCATCCCGCAGGCGGGGCCCCCAAAGCCTCAAGCTCCTGTCCAGGTGTTAGGCCCGAAGCTTCGACGTTTCGACCTCCGCGCCAGGGACTGCACCTATTCTGTTACCTCTCATGCGGTTCCTAGACAATGTAGTGCTTATCATGCATCGCAGGCTGCTTGCGACATGACGCTGATCACCCAACGATACTTGACGCCATATGGACTTGATGCTAATCACCCAACGGTTTGTCGTCGCGCTAACCCGCTGCGCGGTAGATTGCCGACGAGGTCCCGGTAGCGGAACAGCCGGTTGCTGCGCTGCACGTACGCCAGGCGTGTCGGAGTTTCAAATGCCCTATAAACAGGAGTATTAGCAATTTCCTACCTAAGTATCATCCCCGCGTGGTTCGTCAAGGTTGCGAGAGCTATCCAAGTATGACATTGGTCATATCGCGGGCGCATGTGTTCGTCCGAATCCGTCTCATGGATGCCCGACACCTGCTGGGAGCATGGCAAGCTTCTATGTAGGATTGTGACTGCGCTCCAGTCCAGCGGAGGCAGGTAAAAAACCCCGCCGGGACGTGGGTAGTAGTGAGTCCCTGCGATTTGCATCCAGCATTGATCGTTCCCTCACTGTTCACCTTAGGATATGGTAGGACGCCTGCCTTGAACGGTCTCTCCGCGTCTCCGCGGGATCATGTGGTACGACGTTCTTGGAGAAAATACTGCCCGATATTGTACAGATGCGCGCTCTTCCTAACATATCGCCCGTTATCAACCCTGTCGCAGTCATAGCGCGAAATACTACAAAAGCGCTCAGGGATGTGGGCCCAAAGCCGCCCCCGTCAAGCGCGCGCTCGAGGACCAGTGGACACGCCATGCCTTTGCCATGTAAATCCCTGTTACGGACCCTCACCACTCTTTTGGCCCTCTTTCAGGCCACCGATGCTGCTCTATTCCATAACTTTGCGGAGTTGCCCACAAACACGTACGACTACATCGTCGTGGGGGGTTCGTTGGTGTGCTACGTGTTGTTAGTCTTGATCCCTGACTCATCTTAGGCGGAACTGCGGGAAATGTGATCGCCAATCGCCTCACAGAGATGTCTTCGCTGCAAGTTCTCCTCCTCGAAGCAGGTGTTTCGTGCGTACCTGTTTGCTGCTCGTTATAGTAATGCTAAGAAGTATGCACATTAGAAACGAAGGAGTAACAGACTCAATCGTTCCCTTGCTGTGTCCCCTCGCATCACCCGGAACCCCGTGGGACTGGAATTTTACGACTACCCCCCAAGCTGGCCTAAACAATAGAACCATACAATATCCCAGAGGCAAGCTTTTAGGCGGAAGCAGTTCCATCAGTAGGCAATGATTGGAAATCCAGCGTTCAGACCGTTCATCAGCCAATATAGACTATATGGTTTACACGCGTGGTTCCTCCGACGACTGGGACCGTTATGCGGAGCTGACTGGGGATCCCGATTGGTCTTGGTCTGCCATTCAGCCGTATATCCGCAAGGTACGTGCGAGCGGCATGACGTATTGCGCGAAATGTGAAGTCGGACGGTAGAACGAGGCTCTCATCCAACCAAATGACAACCACAATACGACCGGACAGTTCCAAGCGGCGGTGCACTCTACTGCAGGCGTGGTGGATGTGTCGTTGCCAGGATTTAGTTGGCCAATCGATCAACGCGTCATCGACACCACGCTCGAGCTCAATGACTTCCCGTTCAATGAGGATATGAACGACGGCGACACCATTGGCGTGGGATGGACTCAGGGAACGGTGGGAAATGGCCAGAGGAGCAGCTCAGCTACAGCATACCTTGCTCCACAGTATCTGAACAGATCTAATTTGCACGTTCTCGTGCATGCACAGGCCATCAAGCTCGTGGAGGACGACTCCGATGGGGGGCTTACGAGGTTCGCTGCTGTCGACTTCGCGTCCAACTCAACAGGTTCGTCGGGCCGTATTTTTCATTCCATACTAACTTCGCGCTCCACAGCACCCGTGCAGCGTGCCTTCGCCAACAACGAGATCATCGTTTCTGCCGGTTCCTTCAATTCACCGCATCTCCTCATGTTATCCGGGATCGGCAACAAGACAGAACTGGCATCCTATGATATCGATTCTGTGGTTGATTTGCCTAGCGTTGGCAAGAATATGTCCGATCATCACCTGATCGCAGGCGCATTCTACGTCAACACCAATTCCACCATAGACTCGGTTTTAGCCCCTTCTGCCTTCAGCGCTGAATTGGAACACTGGAATACGACGAAGCAAGGCCCGCTGTCGTGGACGATAACAAACCATATCGGGTGGTTCAGATTACCTTCGGATGACGAGATCTTCGACAGTACGGAAGACCCAAGTGCCGGACCCAACTCTTCGCACTACGAGCTGATTTGGACTCCTGGATTCGCCATCCCAGGTATGACCCCGCCTACCGAAGGAAATTTCATGACCATCTTCATGAATGTCATTTCCCCTGTTTCTCGTCAGTGCATATGCTACGATGCTTCTGCACTTCACTAAGGCTTTCTAGGCGGGTTTGTCGCCATCACTACCAAAGATCCTTGGACGTTGCCAGTTGTGGATCCCAACCTTTTGGGCGCCCCATTCGATGTTCATACGGCAATCCAAGCTATCAGAGCGGCTCTCAGGGCGAACACTGCCAGCGCCTGGGACGGTTTTCTGGCAGGTGCATACGGCGAACTTGCGACGGCCAACACCGACGCGGATCTTGAACGATACGCTAGGAACACAGGAGCAGCGGCAAGCGATTTGTTTCCTGAATAATATCGGGGATCTCCTGTTAATTCTTGCCACTGATGTTATAGGTATGGCATTCTACTGGCGCGTGCGGCATGTCCGCGAGAAATGCCAGCTACGGAGTTGTCGATCCAGATTTTAGGGTCCGTGGCGCTTCACTGCGTAATGGGAGCCTCATACTCATCTTATTGGCAGGTGAAAGGAACTAGAAATTTACGTGTAGTAGACGCGTCCGTGATTCGTACGTATACGTGGAGCTATTCAGTGGGTACATCAGGCTTCTGACGTGTTTGTGGCAGCGATGGTTCCCAGCGCACATACTCAAGCACCGGTCTACATCTTTGCTGAACGCGCTGCAGATTTGATTAAATCGGATTTGGCGACCTCTTTCGCTTCTCCATCCTTGGGTGAGCACAAGTGAAGGAAGTGAATCTCGTCGAACATACGTACCATAATTAGCTTTTTCTACTATGATGAAATTAAGCCATGTATGAAGAACGTCTACTGGAGCTCAAACGGCATGAATGATCTGCATCTGGCAAAGGCAGTGCCGTCGGTAACAACTTCGAAGCTGCCACGGTTGTATGCAGCGTCTGTTGTCTTGGCCCTTAACCTCATTCACCTGCGCTTTGTTGCGCCGTGCGTGACGGCCACAGCGCGTCCTAGTCCATGCTAGCTGGCTCCCTGGCTTCTGGGCGATGAACGGCGTACGACGACTATTCACGGGGGCGTCGTCCGCGACAACCCCGGATCCACCACCGAAACCTGAGTCGCCTCCGAAGGCGACCATACCCTTGGTCATCAATGCTAAGCCGTCGTGGCCTCCATCGTCCCCATCGATCAGTCCGCGTAGTCCGACCAAGTCTCTGCCTGGATCCCCTCTGGAGAGCCCGAAGACCACAACAGCCGGTTGGTTATCAACCCTTGTAATATACCACTGCTTGAGTTTAAATCAAGGCATGATCAGGTCTGTTTCTTCGCAAAGACAAACAGAGACCCCCAGCGATGCCATCAGAATCAGACGCCGGCGATACGTCGTTTCAGTCGCGGCCGATGTCAAATGCAGCCTCGAGCTTCATGTCCCCCGTGCGCAACCAAGCACCGTCCCTACCGCCGTCGCCCGAAACTACGCAACGCTCAAGACCCCGTACCATCAGCCGTCCGTCTATCATATCCCGAAAGCTCCCCAACTACTCGAGCCCTCTTCGCCCATCTTCTCCTGGGAATAGCCGCGATGAACTCCTCATAAGTTTACTCGCCAGTGAAGCTGTGGTGGAAAGCCGGGACTGCGAGATCCTGCCAGCAGAGGAAGTGGAGGAACTCAAGAAAGTGCGTTACGCAGTTGGCGTATGTGACGGTGTCGCTAAACCTGCTGTCAGGAGCAACAAATACTCTCTGCTCGTTTAGGGGCAATGAACAAGAAACTAATGCTGGAAACGAAGATTCGCGATGCCGCCGCATCTCTGTCTAGAGTCAACGCTTCATACAAGAAGATGTCGAAGCAAACCGAGGAGCAGCTGGAAGCGTCAGAGAAGAAAGTAGAATCCGCCCAGAAAGAAGTTTGGCGAGTTTTGGAACGCCTCAGCGAGGTGAATCGGCGTCTGTACGAACATCGCGCAGGAGTTCTCAGCTTTTCCGTGCGGAGCATGGAAAATAAACTGGCTCCGCAGAGTAATGGCGCTAGCGACACCACGACAGACGGCAGAGACAGTCGAAGTTCCCTCATCAGTCCAACGCTTTCCTCCGTAACTAGTGTTTCCACCGCGTCCAAGAATCGGTTTGACGGTGCTCATCTTTTTGCGGGGCACGCAGATGCTGTGGTTCCACAACCGCCTCGGGCAGCACCTTCTCTCGCAGACGTGGTGGAACTCGAAGAGAAGCTCAAGGCTGCGACGCAGCAGTTAGGCGAGGCTAGTAGGAAGCAGGCTGAGATGGGACGTGAACTATCGCTCCTCCGGCTCGAGAAGGAACAGGTGGAGACGTCCCTGGGCATGGAGCTGCAAGGCGCGGAGGAAACGATCGATCGCTTGGAGAAGGAACTCAAAACGGCACGAAAGCTGGATTCTCAAGTGCAGGTTCTTCTTCAACAGCAACAGGACTGGCAACAGGGCCGAACGGAGCTCGAGAGGAAAACACGGGAAGTTGACGTGCTAGAGCGCCGCCTAGAGCTGCTGGAAGAGCAGAGTGGAGAGGCGTCAGAACTTGGCTCGTCGCTTGCCCGTGCTCGGGAGGAGAACGATAGCCTAAGGCGACAATGGGACGAGGAACGGATTACGTTGCACAAGGAATTGGACAAAGCTGTTGCCCAGTCTGATTCTTTGAACGAAGAGTTGAGCCAGCTGAAGCTGGAGATGCAACAGGTGCAGATCAGGAGTCAGGGAGATGGCGAATCTCTTCAAATGGTCAATGCCCAGCTCGACGAGTGTTCGGACATGCTACGTGCGCTAGTCAAGGAGCACAATATTATCTTATCCTCTGGCGACTTCTCGTCGAAGGGGATCATATTATCCATTGGGGCTCATCTTGAAGCAGTTTCTGCGAAACTTGATGCTCATTCTCGGGATCAAGCCGAGTGGGATGCAGCCCGTCGGAAGCTCCAGGAAGACCTACAGAAGGGCTTGGACAAACGGGAAGACCTGGCGAGAGATGTAGAGCAAGCAAGGCAGGAACGCGAGGAAGCTCGTAGGGAGATACGCGACCTCGAAGCGCGCTTGAAGGTAAGAATCTATCGCACGTTGTCCTCTCGTGGTTTTCTAATGTTCAACTCACGTTGCAGGAGCAATCGGACAGTCTCGGGGAGTTGCCGTCACGGCCGAGCCTTGCACTATCCACATCCACGATATCTATGCCGTCCACGAGCTCTGACGGAGATGCAAGCAAGATGGTCTCGATCCTTCTCCCTATTTGGAACGTTCTACCTTCGCCGGAAGCTCGAGCGGTGAAGATGACCCCTCGTTCCCAAGTGGGCTCACCCATCGCACCCGGCAGCCCGAGTGTTAGTAGCCCAAAAACTAAAAGACCGTCTTTGTCCGATCTGGACGTTCGTACGCTGAAATCGCTTTATGATTCCCCCGGTGGCGCGCCCCGTACACCCGTTGGGGGTCCCTTCTCCATCGAATCCTTCGCGAGCAGGGTACAAGCCCTGATCGCGGATGACAGAGCCCTCATCGAACGCCTCGTGCGATTTGCACAGGCGCATGATCTTCTCAAGAAAAATGCGGAGAGGGCGCAGAAGCTCGCGTTGGAAAGCAACGCCGCCCTGGAAACGTATCAGAAGCAAGTGAAGACACTTGAAGAACGGAACATGTCGGCGATATCGAAACTTGCTGCTCTGTGAGTGATGTTTACGTGCCGTACTGTCGATTGATCGATGAACGGATAACAGGGAGGACGAGGTTCAGCGTCTTCAAGACGCTGTGGATCGCATCGAAACGGAGAAACGAGATGTTGAGGCTCTTGCGGCCGAGCAGGCACAGCAGATTCTCCAACTCACCGAAGCGAACACAACACTCAGTGCCAGGACTCTCAGCCTGGCTGAGGAGGTTACCCTGGCAGGGGATGGTGCGCGAAAGCAGATGGAAGCACAATTGGCGGAGTGCAAGAAGGCGCTGAAGAATGCGGAAGACGAGATAGAGGCGTTGCGAACTTCTGATCAATCTCAGCGCATTCAGCTTCTCGACGAGATGACGACGTTGCAGACTGAGAATGAAAATTTGCGGGCTCAGTTGCGAAGTCGTAAGTAAATTATCGAAATATCGGTGATACCACATTCCTTTTTCTTCTCCAGGTGGTCCTGTGGAATACATTTTTAATGTAGCTCTAGTCCTATGCTATGTGTAGATACCGCATCTTGTTGATACCTGTGCATGAATCCGACGTTTTCTATCAATTTGTCTATGTTGCTGCCCCGGGGGGGGGGGGGGTATCGCGGCACTCTGACTCCTGAGTCTGAAATGGCAGCGGGGCACGTGCTGAAGGGGTATGCTGGAGTTCTCGACTTGAACCTGGACAACTCCACTGAATATGCTGCTTAAACTGTGCAATTTGCCGACTTAGGTCATACGCCAGCATCTGGGATCCATCACTCAGCAGGAATCTCGGACGATAGCAGACTTCATGTCCTTCTCATTTAAATGGCCCCGTTTCTCCGATGAGTTTCACGCACATGCGATCGAGCTCCTCAACACCGCTCTGAACAAGGGCACCAAACCGCCCGTCATCGCCGATAAGATTGAGGTTGTCGAGCTCGAGATGGGCACCCAGGTTCGTCGCTGCTGCCTCAGTAGAATAACCCTCGCTCAAGACATAAGCAGCCTCCAGAGCTTGAGATCCGGGATATTGGGGATCTGACCATGGATCAATTTCGTGGAATATTTCGCCTTACATATAATGGTGATGCCTATATTGTTCTTCGGACCAAGGTTCAGGTGTGTATACCATGGTATATGAGCCAAATTGGTGCTGACGAAACATAGGCGAACCCACTCAACCACAAGCAACCTGACATCCATCTCATGGGAGGATCTCGCGGAATGCTCGCGGCTAAGCAGCCTCTGGTTGTTCCTATGCTTCTGCGACTGTCAAACTTCAAGCTCAGTTCTTATGTCGTGCTGGTCGTCTCAAAACAGAAAGGCATCACCATTGTCTTTAAGACAGACCCCCTACAAAACGTCGACATAAACAGCACGTTCGACTCGATTGCGGTCATACAAAATTTCATACAGCGGGAGATAGAAGGTCAATTACGACAAATGTTCAGAGAAGATTTGCCAGGCATCATCCATCGCTTAAGCCAGCAATGGATGAAGGCAAAGGTGGAAGCGCCTTATTTGCATCGAAGGGGGGGCACCCGCGTTCCTTCTATACCAACCGCACATTCTTCTCCCGACCTTCATCGGCACCCCGCCCCATCGCAAACGAGAACTACTATATCAACGCTTTCAGGACAAGCCCACTCCGCGCCATTCACGCCTCTAGATCATCATCTCTCCAACAAACGCGATGGTGAAACATCACTACCAAACCCTGTTTCTTCGTCTCCCAGCTCTCTTCCGGATTCATCCGATGCAAGCTTCCCGGACATCGAGAACTTTGACCCGACATATGGATTACGACCTGAAGGAGCGCCCTCTAGAGCTGCCTTCGGCAACCTGAAACGGCTTTTCGGTTCCAAGAAGGGCGGTTTGGCGGATCTGGAAGAGCTTCAAGAGGAACGGACGCGGGATCTGGACGAGTCAGTTCAATCTTGGGAGCATCTGTCGGAATTTGGCTCTACCGCCATAGGTTCCGACGAAATGACGGAATTCGAGTCGCTGCCAGCCGTGGGTGGTGGTGTGATCACGCGGCCGCGAGTTATACACGGCCAATCTCCGGCGCTGTCGCCTGCTGTTAGCATGCGTACCGTGGCACTATCTGCGATGCCTTCATCTTCCAGTTGGGGGTCACCGAGTACTTATATTCGAGACGCTTCGTCGTCATCCACGACATCGCCGATCATTGCTGGAGCACCCCGTCTTGGCCCTCGAAGCATGAGCTCGGTATCGAATCCCTACTTCCCTAGGATGCCAGCTTCCCTCGTAGAGTCCATCGACGGCGGTGACGCCACGGAAATGACAGGCGTATGGTCAAAGGCCTGGTCGCAACAAGGCGCCCATCGACCTCAGCCAGACGCTCTTCCACCCACCCCACCCTTGTATAACTCGTCCCCTCGCACGCTCAGCCCATCAAGCGCCGACCCAACTTCTCGCTCTAGCCAGTCCCTGATGACGCCCCCGCTTTCCGAACATGCAGATGGCCTTGAGATGCATAGCAAACGTAGACCTCGCCGAATATCGTTGTCCTCGTCTGACATTGAAGGTTTCCAATCAGGCTCGCCTCCAGATCATCATTACCTCTCCGACGCAGCCCCCCGCCATATTATTGTCCGTCCCACACTCAGCAATCCAGTCTCACAATTACGCGCACTCAGTCATTCTAATCATACATTGTCACCGTTTACTCGGAATTTCCAACACTTCGCTGTGCGCAGCGGCCCGCGGAAAGCAAACACAACCGACACCCCGGTACCCGAGCGGGTGTCCGTGAAAGCCAGACGAAAACGAACGCATCGCTTGGGAGCCAAGCCTATGTCGACCTCTTGGGAAGACCATCGACTCGAAGCAGCTGTCGCAACACCTACAGGAGGTGAAGAATTCGATGCCTCAGAGATGGATCGTTATTTTCCCGTTTATGACGACCGCCCGCCTTCGTACGCTGAATCTTCCCATGCGAGATCGCGACCGCGACACAACTACCAACATCTACCCTAGAGCATTGTTATCACCACGTTCACTATCTGACATACATGTACCACCGGACATATATTTATGTATCATCGTAGCGGACTATCATTGATCGAACGCAGGAGCCAAACCTACAAACAAGTCACCAGGGCAAACTGTCACTGGTATCGGGCCGGATGCAGCAGTAAGAGGTGGAGAAGAGGCTAGTTCGAACGCCTGAACGATCTCGTTGGTCAGCTCAATTCATGAGGTTGTGTCTAGCGCTTACGTCGACATGTGTACTGGGAAGTCTGCTGGTGTTCTGCCGTCCCGACGGACCTGATCTGCTCGAGCGGAAGTCGTCCCCTACGTATGTCTTCGTCTTTGATATGGCAGGCGATCGGAGGAGAGATGTCGGTGGTGAGACAGTGACACCGAACGCATCCTCGATGTGCATCATCGGTTTCTGGGTCGGTGTAGACGGAGTGAAGGCGCTATCCGAATGGATGAGACTGGCAAGTTCATGCAGGGGTATCTCGATTGCGGCGGGTAAGCTGACGTCGGGGTCACCAACCGTTTTCAATTCCTCTGCTGCTACTTTTTCGCGGAACGCAACGAATGCACGGGCTTGTTCCAGAGGTAAAGACTGTGTAACAATGTCGACCATCTTCACATACGCATCCTTGGATTGCACGGGCAGGGGACATGATGATCCCGACCGATGGATCATCCACGAGTATAATCGGAAGGTAGATTGTGCGATATCCTCTGATAGTTGATCGATAGATAGTTTGCTCAAGAACGACAAGGCAGCACCCAATTCACGCTGGATTAAGTCGAAGTGGGGGATTTGCCCGTCGAAATTCAAGGATTCGAGCCGTGTGATTGCCTGTTCAAAGAACCGCGCATGGGATTGGTTGAAATCCTCGTCTTCATTAACGCCCACCATGCGTAACAGCGAGATCGCTAATGCTATGCACAGCAAACCGCTGTTGATGTCCCGGATCTTCCCAAAAGCATTAACCATGTCGCGTGCGTGTGTCGATACCAGGTGCCGATCCGCGAGGTAGATCAGAGGTTCGGCTAATGCATCGCCGGCGTCCAATACCGTGCTGAAAGTCGAAACGCACCATCCCGAGGCAGTAGATGACGAGGACATCAAGTCCGACAAAAATCGAAGCATCAAGGTGGCCTCATATTGCCAGAGAGTCAATAACGGTGCGGAGGTTCCAATCGATTCCAGAGATCGCAATCTATTGGACAGTTGACGTGTTTCTTCTATCACCAGCCACTCGCTTATGCCGACGATACCTCCGTCCAGGTTGACCAATCGCTTCACCATGTGCACTTTATTTTCCGTGTCAAGTGCTCGGAAAAAGGCTGCCAGATCTTGCAGAACATTAGGGAGGACAGCGCGAGTCCATAACTCCCTTTCGTCATCCATACTCTCGTCGGCAGGGAGCAAGTGATCGATCAGCGAAAATACTTGCAGGAGATGGTACGCAGGATCATGTCCCGCCGGTTCTAAACCATGTTTCAACAGAGAACGCAAGACCGTCTCGCACGAGGTGTGTTCCAGGCTCAAATCGGTGGGTACGTGAGCAAGTTCGCGGGTGAAATCGATGCATGTTTGACGTGTTGTCTGAGCGGCTATGCAAGCATCGCTGGCCTGCGAATAGAGCATGTCTGCGGCATCTGTACAGCGGAAGACGTCCGCTACATGGCAGGCGAGGGAGCGGACCGCGCGCGCTGGCATGGGAAATGTCGGCATGAGACGTATCAAGAGGGAGAGCATATCTTTGACGACGAGAAAGCACTGGCCGATGTCGTCTGTTGTGACCTGCTGTTGGAAGACGATGGAGAATTGTTCGTTAACATGGTGACTAGCTGCCGCCAGAGCATCCGCAAGATGTGACAAGAGGCCCTGGGATCCCGTGCCCCACAGGGATTCAAGGACGTGCCAGCCACCGTATGTGTCTCCGCAGATTGCTTGCTCAACGATAGCGAGCGCGATTCGGAGCATGCAGATACTGCGAGAATCCACGGGCTCCTGCGAGAATCTTTGCATCCCAGCCACTGCTCCCATGACGCCCTTTTCGGCCATCATCGCATGCTCCTGCAACTGACAAACTTCGTCTTCGGATATGCGCAGCAGCGGCGCTTTCGGTGCTTTGAGAACGAAGAGACATCGCACGACGTCTGGAGATAGGAACGAGCGCGGATCTTCAGCCAGACGAAAGACGATGTTTTCCGCGCGGATCGCTGACGGGGAAGGTGCAGCGTCGGCTGTGTTATCGCCTATCATACATTCCATCCTGAAAATGACCTGGGGCAAGCGCAAGAGATGGTTGACAATCTGTGGATGGCGTAAGGCATAGTCAAGGGTAGGTGGACGGATCCGCACCTCCTTATAACCTGCGGTACCTTGCCACATCTGGATAATGGCCAGAGTCCTGATATAGAATGGTTGTTAGAACGTCTTTCCACCATGTTAATGCCACTGACCTTTCTAGACAGTGTTGGTCCGACCAGGTATCTGCCCAGGCGAACACGACGATGACACACGCTACTCCAATATATGCTCTCACATATCGGATGAATTCGTCATGTGAGATGCGAGATGTCTGGCTAATAAGCAGCGAAGGTGGAAACGCGTGTTGCAAAGGAAGCACAGGGTTCTCCCATAAGCGGTATTGAATGTCTTCGTTGGTGGCCATTGACAATAACCAGATCCCCAAAGACTGCTCGTCACATCCAATGTCCCATAACATTCGCAGGGCCTGCGCAAAGTCTCCTTGTGTGTTCGAGAGCGCGTCTTCGAGGATATGCCACCCTTGTAAACGAGCCCGTATATTCTGTATAGCGGCTATCCGTGGAGAGCCCGGGGTTGAGCTGCTCTCGATAGTTGACAACACTTCCAGAAACCAAGGGCTGTTCAGACGGGTAGCAATACATGGGTTCGCAGCTGCCTCCAAGAGACGCCCAAGCGTGTACTGATTGAAGAGGGCGTTTGCATCGAGCAACCGTGCCAGGTCCAATTTTGACTAGGGGGGGGGGGAGTTAAGTACAGGAAGATTCCAGTTCGTGAAATGTGCTTACCAACAGAGCCTTCGCCAATGCCGGTTCTTGAGATGCACTATGTCGCAATATTCCTACGATCATGTGTGGTTCCTCCGGGTCCTGAGCGAGACGTTTCAGACATCTTCCACAAGCGAACGCGTGCCAAACGGTAAACCTTGTACGTTAGAGATCGCGTGATGTTATCGGCGAAGTCTGAGATGTCCTCAGAGGGCGTGCCACTCGGCAGCGGTCTTGACGTGATCCGCAAAGCCGTTTCAAGGTCCTTATCGACCAGTCCTGCTAGGTCAGCATATAGATGAGGGAATTCTACGAGATCCCAATCTTCCTTGGGCGGCTTCAGGCTGAACATGATTTGAATGACAAGTTCAAGGGGGATATCCGGTAGGGGTGCCAACAACTTGCGAGCCACATTTGTCGGCACCGTGGAATTAGAGGGATCCAGAGCGGGATGCAAGGGCAATGCGTCCGGCATTGGCAGAGTCCGCGGTTCGTAGGTCGTAGGGAAGTTTGACAGTTCGGATGCGATCTCGCCGTATACGGCGATTGTTATGGAATGAAAATCCCCACTGAGTATCATAAGTCTGGTAGCATACTAAGTCAACCGTACGTCAGTGAATGCGAGGCCGTGTGGTTCGCCGCTAACCTCATGACCCATCTCTATGTCGAAGCTGGTCGGCGTGCCGGTGTATGCCAGCGTCGTTGGAATGAGAGCATTGGTGGCTTTTGGTTTCTGCTTCGCATTGGTCGATATTGGGACAGCATTGAAGAAGATGTTCAAGCGAAACGCCTCAGGCTCGGTTCGACTGTCCCAAGGTAGACCCTCAACATTCGTCGCGTTCAACTCAGGGACACTCTTACGCGACTATATCGGGGTTTGCTGCAAAAGGCTGGGCGCCAGTGGGAAATAAACGGATAGATTTCACGCAGACCGGGGAGGAGAACCGTATTGCCGATAATTTCGAGGTGCCCGACGGTTCTAGCACAGACCAATGTAATAGCATGTTACAGAGGATAAGGTGACCGGATTGAAGGTAAAGACTAACCCGGGAGCCGAGTTTATAGGGGGTCGTGGCCGCAGCCACGCACGGCAGTTCACTGCGCCCGTTCCTTGGTTGCTGTACTCCTCCATTTCCTCTCAGGACGCCATTTTCTTCTGTTTCACCCCGACCATGATAAGGTCGACACCTCCGAGACCGCCTCCGATTGATATAGCCATGTCACCGCGCCTGGAGCAACGACAGACGATGAAGACGCGACAGCGGAGCAGCAGCATCGTCAAGGTCGAGGAGGTTGGAGCGCGTTCACCGGATGAGATCCTCGATCAGTCAGCGTATGTTAACTACAACGTAGAATGGGTCGACCACAAAGGTTTGGCCCGAGTTCTAGAGCACCGAGTCGATGCTCATAATGCCAGCAGGCGCATGGCTCATCCACCCGGTGCTCATCTTGACTGGAAAGATGCTGCTGGATACGCTCCCTGGAATGACACAACAAATTAGCTGGACGCTCACTAATCTGCTTTACCTATCTGTACGCGCCCTCTGATACCGAAAGGTTCGCGGTCGTTGACCATGCGCGCAGCTTTCGTACCTCATGTTCCACTGGGTGACCGGCATACCGTTTCAAAACGAGATGCATGGCGGCGCTTACGACGAGCTAACATTATGGGAGCAAATAGACGAGGGAGCGCAGTATACTCCGGCCAAGAAATGGCTTTTCTCTGTTCCGATCGTTTTGTGCGCAGAACAGCCGCCTGCAAGTCTTCCCTTCGCTAATCGTGTTTTACCGCTCTAGATTCTTGGCCTCAACACATTACACGCACTACAACCCGTGGCTGTTTGCCATTAATTTGACTGCCCTTATTCTAGTCCTAATCCCTAAGATGCCGCAGGTCCGCTATCTCATCCGGCTTGTGCTCGCTTTCGCTTACGCTCATATACCTCTTCATAAGCTCCATCGACGCCGCGTACACTTCATGACGGAAACTCCAGGTACACCCATTACACCCAGCTACCCTCCATCTGGATCGCAGACACCTACCGACTCTATCCCAAATCATGTTCCACCCCCGGCTATGCTCAGCCAGGCTATGGCTGGCAAATTCTCCCCAGGAAAATAGTGACCGCGCGCTCGGCCTGAGAAGGGATTTCCCTCATTCTTGCACATAGAAAGGGACTTATACATAGCAACCATGGACTGTCGTCGCAAAGCATTTACATTGCACTTGCTGAATGGCCCGCGAATGCCCGCTCGAATCGGCAGATGGTCAACCTTCCACAGGCATCGGCTTCCGCGGGAGCGCACATAGGATGCATCATGCCAATAAAACGTACAAGGAGTCATGACGCAGGGAAACCCCAATATCCGGATTATAATCATACGTTGAGATAAATCAACAAGTATCGCTCATCCTGTCGTCTTGACTGCTTCGCGTGTATTGGTCTGAAGAAAACAATGTGAGCGAAGCTATCTCAACAAGCCCAGGCTACGTACCTCTCCAACCTCAAGAGGCGATTCATCAATGAAGTCGGGCGCTTTGTTCAGATCAGCGAGATATGAGGCGCCTTCCTCCTCTTGATCAAGCTCTAGAGCCTCCAGCTCTATGATAGTAGTCAGTAGATGGTATTGATCAATGTGACCGAGCAAGGACTAACCAGCCTCAAGGTCCGCTTCGTCTATTTCATCCGGGACAGCATAGGAACGACCCAACGACTCTTGTATTTCGTTTGCTTGTTCTAGCAAGTCTTCCATTTCATAATGGATGTTCTGAAGAACGTTCAGTGTCACCCGAGACTAACGTAGACGCCCCGTACTTCGATTTTGTCAATATCGATCTTCCCGTACTGGCGCTTGAGCTCCTTGTTCGCAGTCTTCATAGCATCAACGGTCGCCATGGTATTCCGCAGATTCTCGGTTGCGAGGGCTGCCGATTCCATGTTGAATGTCTGTTGTGTTAACTGCGCAAGCTGCGATTCATACATGCGCTTCTGCTTCAGCGTGCGTAATGCCCGTTGCTGGATAGCGTCCTGTAGCAGTGGGCGTAAGTGATACCGCGACACATAGAGACGTACTCCCACCTTCCCAGGTCCATTGCGTAGCTTGCTCATCTGCTCCTTGTAACGCGCCAGCTCGCCGTCCAACTTCTTCACCTTCACCTCGATGGATGCCATCCGCGTGTCAGTCTTTTGTTCGTTGGCGGTGGAGAATACAACATCCGTGCGGGATGGTAATGGACACCGCCAGGGTTCGGAGTATTAGCAAGATTGGGCGTGTGTGATATGCAGGAAATCTTGGGTGAGACCCATATACGGCCCGCTAGGTGGAGGACGCTAACCGAGCTGATAGCATCCTGAAGGGTTGGCTTAGGTTTCTTACTGGAGGACGATCCAAATATCCTGTTCATGAGTTATCGGACAGGTGGTAGAAGAATTCGCGAGGTAAGCAAGAGGTAAGGCGGTTAAGGAGAGTAAGTCGAGCACAATCGAGGTAACTTGAACAGGGCTGCAGTACCCACGATCGGCTGCGCGCGCCGAGATGAAGGGACCGTCCTGCGTCTTATTGGTAGGGTAGTGATATTTAACAATTGCGATGGCTGCCTCATCAAACTCGCCTCCTCATTTATTAGAATACATGTGTCCGTTGCGGTACATTAGATTACATGAGCCACGAAACAACACGCGCACTCCATCAGACTTGGCAAGATCTCTGGTCCACAACCCAAGTCTCCGTCACGTAGCCGGCCGTAAAGCGCGCAGCCGTTCAGCAAGTTTGTCGTCTTCTTCGCGGATCGGAGTCTTTTGTACCTCCTTAAGAGCGTCAGGAACCTCGCTTTGGAGGTCGTGCTGCAATTCGATGTTGGCCTCTTCCGCAGTTTGCTTGAGTAATTGATCGATCTGCGCCGCAAGAAGACGTTTCGGACAACGGGTGTAGCAGATAACACAGAAGATCTAACCTGATCTTGTGGTGTTGATACCGCCGTCGCAGATGACATGGTATCTTCCATGTATGACGTTTGCACGTCCAGATCAGCGAATTGTGATTCGAACTTGTCCATGATCTGAGATATCTGAATTAATAGTATGAGCAACACAATGCAGGAGTTAGTCAGCGCGTGCGATCTTACCCTCTCGAGGTTCATGCTCTCCATCGCTTTGTCCATGCCGCCTACGACCTGGCGCATGTTCCCAGAGATCTGACGCATTGTCACCGCGGTCTCTACGCGGCTGGCTACGGCGTCAAGCCGACTTGCCAGTCGGAGGAGGTTGAGTGATTCTGACTTCTTGCGGATGGCATTGGAGGCGTAGATACGAGCACCATCATTATTACCTTGCATAAGCGCCTAAGAGAGATGCTTGTCAATGTACGTCACTGTCAGAGGACAATATTGACCTTCTTGAGGCGCGCCTTCTCTGTCCCCTCATCCTTGGCCGCCTTCTTTGCTTGACGATTCAGCGTCTTCGCCGTGAACTATGCGCTCCTGGTCAGCGAACACATGCGACGCCCGAAAGAACACAGTAGCGCACCTTGAGCTGGAACAAAGTCTCTGGTATAAGTAGGAAGTCAGTCCAGCGCAATGTCGTTCGAGAAACTGCTCACTCTCGAGGTTGCTCATCGCGTTGAGGAAAGCCGACAGCTTCAGCCGCTCAGCCTGAGCGTGGTCGGTCCGCAGTCTTGCACAGCCATGATGACAGCCACAGGTCGCGGGCGTCAATTTGAGGTTTCCTGGAAGGGGAAAGGAGCACAGCCATCAAGCACGCAATGTTGACCACCATGAACACATCAGCGGGCGGCAATGGCTTGCTCAGCGGGAACGTCTACTTCAGTACATCCTCGCTGTTTTCGCCAGACTACCCACGGCCCTCTCATTCGTCTAGGATCAGCACTAGCGATCGATACCACCATGAAACTTGCCTCGTCGGGGCTTGCAAGGATTCCGCTTCGTGCAGGACAAAAGCTGCGCGAAACCCGTGCATCGTCTTCCCTTAGCTCGTTGTCGGAACGGCCGGTCTTTCCATGCGTGGACGCCCATGCCGCTCGGGAGTCTCGTCTGCGCGCCTCAGGCAGCCAGAAGCCTCCGGCTCCCACTACCAGTACGACATGGCACGATCATTGTCAAACGATTCCAAGAGCTTCTTCGAGCAAACAACAGCCTTCGTTTGCGTGCGTACACGCGCACACACATCGTGAACCTCGCATAGCTTCATCCCCCAAGCTCACCGTACCATCGCGGAGAGGCTCCGACCCGGAGTCTGGTCCGGAACCTCCTTACGCGCGCCCCAATCCGACGTCCTATCACATCTACCATCACGACGAACCTTTGCAGCTCACGTACTCTTCATCACTCCCATCCTTTGACCTTGCGTACGAGACCTGGGGCATCCTCTCACCCAACAAGGATAACGTCATACTTCTCCACACTGGCTTGAGCGCCTCCTCGCATGCAGCATCAACCTCTGTTAACTCCAGCCCGGGGTGGTGGGAGAAATTCATCGGACCTGGCCTTGCGTTGGACACAGACCGCTTCTTTGTCATCTGTTGCAACGTTCTTGGAGGGTGCTACGGATCAACAGGGCCATCATCAATAGACCCTACGTCGAGATCGGGCGAGCCGTACGCAACGCGGTTCCCGATTTTGTCTATCTTCGACATGGTCCGAGCACAGTTCTGTCTGCTAGACTTTTTAGGAGTTGATAAGCTATACGCAAGCGTTGGAAGTAGTATGGGTGGCATGCAGAGTCTGGCCGCGGGTTGGCTGTATCCTGAGCGCGTAGGGAAGATCGTCAGCATCAGCGGCACGGCCCGCAGTAGTCCAGGGAGCATTGCAATGCGTTATGCGCAGCGAAGCGGTCAGTATGGCGCTCCACATGGTTTGGTTGACTCGAGCTGATACCATTCAGTGCTCATGGCGGATCCGAATTGGAATAACGGCTTTTACTATGACAAACTTCCTCCCCACACGGGTATGAAACTAGCGCGTCGTGAGTGGGACGTCATTTTGAGCGGAGATGGCACTCACTCAATTTTCCCTAGAAATCGCTACGATCACCTACCGTTCAGGTCCAGAGTGGGACTTGCGGTTCGGTCGAAAGCTAAGACCGCTACCAGTGAAAGCGAACGAACCATCTGAGGTTTCCCGGATACGCAAGCCGGCCCTTTGTCCCGATTTCCTCATAGAGACATACTTGGACCACCAGGTTCGTAACCTGCATCCTTCCCGACGGTCATCTAGCTCACTTCCCCACGTAACAGGGCGAAGAATTCTGCCTCAAGTATGATGCAAATTCGCTGATCTATATCTCCAAAGCAATGGACCTCTTCGACCTTACGGCATCTTCTCTGCAATCGCTTAACATGCATCTTAAACCGGCTCCGACGTCTGACGCAGCTTCCTCATCTCTTGCCTTCCCCAGTAAACCACCTCATCGTACCTCTCATTCCAAGTCGCATCCTCCGCCTCCGAATCCTCCGCCTTACCTGTCCGACCTTGCACAAGGCCTCGCGCCACTCGCGCATACCCCCACCCTGATTCTAGGCGTGCAGAGCGACATCTTGTTCCCGGTCGAGCAACAGCGGGAGATGGCGGATGCCCTGAGGCTGGCGGGCAACCAGCGGGTGAGCTATTATGAGCTCGGCGGGGTATGGGGGCACGACACGTTCTTGCTCGACGTGCAGAACGTTGGAGGGGCAGTGAGGGGCTTTTTGTAGGGATTTCTGTATGCCCGAGTGCAAGATTTGACACCGAAACATTCAACTCATTGGATCATTAACGCAAGCATGCAATGTACACATGCGGAAACCGTGCTAACGCGACACAAGGCCGTCTACGGTCGCCGTATTCGCAGAACTGGGCAAGCGCCGGAGGCCGAGGCCTACATTCGTTCGTCGAGGTGTAGGTGTAGTCACACCAGCCATGGACGACGGAGGGCCTGGACTCGATCCCCGCCGTGGCGGCGGGCTGAGCATGAACCGCGAATCGCCTACGTCGTCGATTGACGTGCGCCCGCCGTATGCATGCGGACTAGTTGATCGCAGTATCGGGCTCGAGGGCTGATTGTTGAGCGCGTGGATGTTCAAGCTGCTGAAGCTCGAGGATCGGGTCGGGGTGGTCGGCATCGGGCTGTGCGGCGCGATGATACCGTCGCTCCCCGAGGGGCGGAGCTTGAGGAGAGATTTGAAGAGCGATCCTCGCGGACGAGTGTGTACGGGGGTGGAGGGTGAGGAGGGGGCCGCTCCGCCTGTTAGCGGGCAGAATGAGTTTTTAGGTCGCAGGAGCGGACGAGACGGACTAACCTGACTGTGTTGGCAGCGCGTTGTCGTTTGCACTGAGGCTCAAGAACAGGAAGAGCGGCGCGAGCCAAACGCATATCCCGAAGAACGTCGCAATGTCCGCAAACCCTGGTACGGATTTTGAGCCGACGGAAGTCCTGCCGTGCCGTCTGTGTCTTGCGTCTTGCGTGATACGAGCGAAGTAGAAGAACCACAGGAAGTGGTCTGCTACCACGAGCACGCAAGAGGCGAGGAAGGATGGGGAGGAGAGCGAAATGAGAGGCCAGGTCGAAGAGAAATTTTGTAGATAGACGACATGGCAGGCGACGGAGAAGAGTGTCTGGGGTAACGGCAAGGAGTCAGAGACGTAAAGGAGAACATGGAGAAGTATAATGATCTGGGGGAAGGTGATCACAGAGGAATCAGACGAAGTGCATGAGGGGCGCGTTGTAGCACTCACATAAATCCCCCGCTTTCCCACAGTCTTCGCTGTCCTGGTATGTTCTTCTATTAGTTCGGATACCCAGAGAAGGCCGCTAGCTGCTCCGTATGAGTAATGTGAAACAGCGAAGGTTGGAGTACCCACCCAGCGAAAGCACTACAAAGCAGAATGCGAGGATCGCGGCAGCATAGCTAACAGATGCCTTCAGTATGGTATGAGCAGGAAGGTAAATTAGACGAACTTGCCTCAAAGAGTGTAGGAGAGACATAGCCGCCAGCAGCCCAGTGCCCGTTCCTCTCAAGTGATCGCCAAACACAGCCACTCATTCGTTTCGGTCGTGCCGCTGTCGTGCGTCGCCGCCGCCACGCCTGCAGGCCTCAGGGCGAGTTGTCCAGGCTGGCGGCGACGTTCAAAGCCATCGTATTCGGCGTCGTGTACTACATTTAACCGAGCATACATGATGGCGTTGATTCGTTGTAAGGAGATGTGTCTTGCTGTTCGACCACGTACCACGCACCGACCGTGGGAATGTTGATGAGAAACGGTGATCGACTGGTTTCGAAAGATGTTTGCGGCCACCCAAGACGACGAGTGGACGAAGGGAGTGGTCTGCAAGTCCATTGAGCGACAATGGCAGCGACGACAGAGGATTTGCCAGGCGCCTCCGCATCAACGAGCACGGCGTCCGTCGTGGCCTCCACGCGATCTCGTTCCCAATTCAGTCGGTCGCCTTCCGTCCACTCGCACCTGGCCGTGCGGTCACCATCTGCGTCCGGGCCTCGCGCAAGGGGCATCTTCAAGCAGCTCTCCCAAGAGGTACGCCCGGTCTCCGTTACGCCGCGTGTTCAGCGCGCGGCCTCGTGCATCTGTTACCCTGCTCACACGTGCTCTGATTTCCCCCGTCGCGTCCGTTGCATCCCGCTCCTCCAGCTCCCGTCCCTCATCCACACTCGCTCGATACAACGGGCGACACCGCAAACACCCACCGAGGAATCTCTGCTACCGGTGGGTGACATACGCACGATACCCGAACCGAACACTGACGTCTGCGTGGCTATGACGATCAGGCTGGGTCCTCTCCGGAAGAAAGTGTGTTTTCGTCAGAGTATGCATCAGAGCGGCCATCGACCCATGAGGACATGGACGTCGGAGACTCCGCCATCGAGATGGTCGACCAGCCCAAGTCGTCGTCCGCATCCAAGGCAAGTCGTCCGCTTCCCCCAGCAGGTCCTGCGACGGGCCTCACGCGTGGCTCTCGCGTGTTCCAGTTCTACGGTTCTCTGCGCGCCCGCCTCCGAAGTCGCTCGCCGTCCGCATCGGCCCAGCAGCGCAACGTGCTCAAGCGTCGCTCCCGCTCAGCGGAGGTCGAACCAGCCTCCCAGCGCGCCGCGTCGCACGCTCGAAATCCAAGTTACGGAGAGGTTGAAGACCGGCTTTCGCGCGTTGACGACGGGGACCTGCGCCCTAGACTCAGCACCATCCCGTCATCCCGCGCCTCTGAATCCATCGCTGAGCGCCGAGAATCCCGGCCCATTACGCGCTCACCTTCGCGCCCGCTTTCCAATACGAATGATGCTCACGATCAGCGGCATTCTCAGATAACGGCGGAAGTGTCTGTTCTCCAGCCCGCAGCCCAGGCTGGCCCCTCTACGGAACGACCCCATACCCCTATACAGCAACCTGTGGCCAAGTCAAAGCGCCGTAGTTTCTTTGGTTTGCTCGCAAGCCCGCGCAGAGCTTCGTTCCGTTCACCTTCCCGCCCCACCTCCCCCATCTCTCCCCGCATGACACGCCATCACGACAGAGAGTACACTTCAGCGCCTTCATCACGACCTTCCGTGGATCTCACGACTGCCCCTTCAGCGGCTATATCTCCACCGCCGTCTTCCTCTGACCCTAATCTGCACGCATCTAACCACGACCGAACCCCGCGCCCAAGCCGTCGTACGAAACTCGCACACACGAAACTCGATTTCTGGTTCCATCCCCGATTCTTCTCGTCGTCCAACTCGAATGCCGAGTCCTCCAACACCACCGCACGGCGCGGCCCGCGCTTTGCTATGGGCGGCGCATCTTTCTTGATGGCAACCGCAGGCTCAGTGCAGCGCCCTACGCCCTCTCCCGCAGCTCCTGAAACCAGCGCCTCTGAGATGCCGGACTCTGGCGCGTCCGAGGCGTACACTGACTTCGATGAAAGTCCGGGATTGGAAGCAGAGGAGACCTTCGCCGATGCGGATGTTTATCTTGAGCACAGCTCTAGTACCCATGCTTCCTCGCCCAGTGCAAATAGGAAGGTGACTATCATGCCACAACGCACCTCGCCGCTATCGCCAATGGCGGAATCCAGCGCAAATATACCTGGCATTAATCTTGTTCTCCCGACACCGCCCCGTGATAGACACATGATCGCAACTCAGGATACGCGGAGAAATCATAGTGTCACGCAAAGGACCAGCGTATTGAACCCAGGAGCCCCACCTAGCAGAGGCTTAGTGGATAGCCAACATCACCCGAGCAAGGAAACACCTGCCCCTCTTGGGCGTGGGTTTTTTGATAGTCATCGCCCTCCGCGATCATCGCAGGCACCCAGAGAGCGTGTGGGGAAGGACAAGGAACGAAAGCTCAGTCCCAGCCGAGTAGGATCCCCGGTCATGATGTCAAGCACGGTTTCGGTGAACAATCATGGGGAGAGAAACCTCAAGCGAAGCAGCAGCCACAGTCGTGGACCGGGTGAAGACAGAAATGCGAGCTATGCGCACCTGCCCCCTGGCACTCGCACACGCACTATCCTTCACGTCGGAGGCAACGACCATCGCGCAGCAGTTGTTGTGCCTACTTCTCCGAGTGTCCATCGCAAGCACAGCAGCTTCGACTTCGAACGGAGCGGCGGCGGGCGCAAGGTCGTCTTCCAGGAGCATAGCGAAGGAGAACCCAGCGAGAGCGGCCATGCAGTCGGCGTTGTCCGAGCCGGTGTCAAGGACAAGGCATCGTCCACCGTTCATTCTCGGAAAAGCGAAGGCGTCCCGCGTACTTCCAAGCAGCAGGCGCTTTTGCGTAGCAACAGCGATCGAATATCACCCAACGCAAGAGAACGCGCGGTCTCCCCCAATAGTACCGCTGACCAAAGCCGGGCACAATCCTCGAGTTGGGGTCGTTCCTCGTCGAAGACTCGTGGCCCTTTGCTGCTCCCTGCATTTTCCTTTGAACCGGCGGCACCCGCCGTATCTGGACCTAAGCCTCTGAGTAGTCGCAAGGGCCCCGCGGATGTAGCTGCAAGTAAAAAGGCCAAGGTCGCCTCAATCGAAGAGGAGGAGCCCGAAGGCGCAGGCAGCAAGCGCCGCGCGAAGGGAAGAAGTTTGGACCTCCCACTGGGCTTAGCGTGGGCGCCGTCGCGGATGCGCGAAAGCACTATTATGCCTCTCGGGATCGGCGTGGGCCGGCGATGGAAAGGTGGTGAAGTGGATAACCGCGTGGAGGATAATCGAACGGATGAACTGGAGGATGAGTCTTCTTCCGCGATGCCCCACCTGTCCTCGAACACCAGCCGTCGCTATGTCCAACGATCGCCTGCTCCGCCCTCATCGTCCAATCCACGTACCGCAGCTGCTGGACGGAAAGTCGACCTGCCGCTGTCGCTGTCGTGGGCGCCGAATAAAGTACGAGAAGAGGCAATGCTCCCAATTGGTGTTGGCCGAACCCGTTGGAACTCAACTGCACCTGCAAAAACAGGCGTCGACGAGCAAGGAAGAAGGCTACATTAACGTGTGCCGGTCCTGCCTCCGAGCAATACCTGTCTTATGTTTTGATGATGCTATGCTTATCTTTCTACACCATTCATCTTGATTGCTTCACGTCACTGTGTTTATCTTCGGCTAATCTCTGTTCATGAGTTTATGTGGCATCTCTACCCTTTCATGCTTCATGTTCATGGTTCGCATTTATCTCTTCAAGTAACGATAGACACGTAGGATCATACCTGTAAGACCGCGGATGTTACAATAGTCTTCAATAACCTTATAATATTGTGCATTTTCTGGCGACCAGGTGCAACAGACGAAGAATGTTTTGTGCCTTTGCCTTGAGGCCATGCGAATCATAGAGCATATACGACATGATTTGCGGTGAAGCGTATAGAGCGATGCAGCGACTCTCGCCTTGCGAGAGCATCCATGGGGCAGCCCCCTCCCCATCCGATGGAACATGTTAACGGCATTATGATGCTTCATTTGCGTCCCTCCGTGATTTCCGCTAAGGGTCGTTGTGAATGACGGTGATCGTTCGTCATCGTTCTAGAGACTCACCGAACCGATGAGAGCGAACTTGGCATTGCGGCGGAACTGCGAAGCCAATTAGCCCAATCCGAGGAAACCGTCTGGATCCAAACCTTGGGATCAACCTGGGAGGAAAAGATTGAGCGGCGTTTATTCATAAGCAACGAAAAGTTTAACACGTACGCCCTTCAGAGAACGCGTCTGGTGTGTCTTGGGCTTCTTGATGCCATTACGGTGGGCCTTCTTGTTCTGGTTGTGATTGGTATGGCTTCATCGCGAAACGTGCAGGAATTTCCAATGGAGTAGCGACCGCAACACCGCGCGAGTGCAAGACCTAAGTCAGAATGTGACACAGAACGCGAAAACACAGGAGCGTACTTCTTGGACTTAGCCATGGCTGGGTGATCGTTGCTTGAGGGACGGGACTGAGTCTAGGACGGCCAGCCGGATTAGGAAGGTTGTGGCTAACTGGGCAGTTTTTCCACGGCTGCGCCAAGGCGTAGAGCGCGCGATCCTCCTGGGCGAAACGCTCGTGTACTATCTTGAGTTCATTCTGAAGTCGATGACTCCCCGGGCTCTACGCTGAATACGCAAATGCAATCTTGTTACATGAAGCACTAGAGTTGCGATTGAGAAGCTGTGTCGAACTGGCAACTGACGTCCGATATCCAGTTGCAACCTGCAGCTATGTTTGTCTCCTTTCCGCCGGTATTCGCCGCCAATGCCGGCAGGTCCGCCCTAGACCGTCTACTCTGAGCATTTGGACGACTTCGATGGGACTCTGGATGTTCTGAGATGGGCGAGACCGGGACCCTATGATCATCCAACGATAGATCGCGGAAACGCATTGCACGTCCTGTGGCTCCGGATTCGTCGGTGGAGTACGGATATAAAGTTGTTCAGCGATTCGTGGAGTGGTCCCTACTTCCTCACCATGAGTTCTCAATCCGTCTCCGATCTCCCGCATCCTGGACCTTTGACCGAAGAGCAACGTAAAATTATCAGGAGCACCGCGGCCGTGCTGGCCCAACATGGCTCCACTATCACCCGTCACTTCTACATAACGATGCTTGACGAGAATCCCGATCTAAAAAATGTCTTCAATAGCTCCAAGCAAATGGTATGTAGGGTTATGCTCAGTGTTCCCCATGAAATGCTAACGTGACATATAGAAAGGACATCAGGCGGATGCACTCGCTGCTGCTCTTTACGCATACTCGGTGAACATCGATGATCTTACTCCACTGCTACCAGCTGTCGAACGAATCTGTCACAAGCACGCATCACTACGCATTACTCCGCAGCAGTACGCGATCGTGGGCAAATACCTAATGAGAGCGATCACCGATATCCTCGGTACGGATATTTTTGCGGGCGAATTGTATACTGCGTGGGAAGTCGCCTACTGGCAGCTTGCACATCTGTGTATCAACCGCGAAGCCGAGCTTTATGAAGCCGCAGGTTGGGTGGGCTGGAAGGAGTTCACAGTATCCAAGCGCGTGCAAGAATCTCGTGATATTACGAGCTTCTACCTGACGCCAAAGGACGGTAAACCGCTGCCCCGATATCGTCCTGGGCAGTATACCGCCGTACAGAAGTACGTCAAGGAGCTCGGATTGTGGCAGGCGCGACAGTAAGCATCTGTTGATACCGATTCATGCCAGTTCTGCCTGATTCATTTGCTGTGAAGATATTCAATTTCCGATGCGTATACTTCAGACCATTTCCGGATCAGCGTCAAGCGAGAAGCTGGACTACAAGCTACTGTTCCTGGTTCGGGGCAGGTCGACACTACCGATGTTGCCCATCCCGGGTGGATATCCAATTTGTTACACGATACCCTTCACGAAGGCGACGACATCACCGTTGCAGCGCCATTCGGAGACTTCTTCCTTGACGAGAAGTCCACTGCTCCCGTAGTTTTCCTCGCCGCCGGTGTAGGCCTCACTCCACTTCTCTCGATGCTGAACTCTATCTTCTCTGGACAACCATCTCCACCAGCTGGACCGATTTCCTGGATACAGGCATCTCGCTCGCGCGCGCACCATGCCTTCGAAGCACATGTTCGCTCTCTGGCTGCAGTCAATCCCCAGCAACTATCCATTGCATTCTTCTATTCACAACCCGAAGACACCGTTCACGAGACGGACCAGTATGTCGCTGGGCGGATGGACCTGAGGTCAATCAAAGCTGAACTCCTCCATATACAAAACTCAGACACCAACTACTACATATGCGGACCGGGTCAATTCATGACAGATATGACGAGGGAGCTGAAGAAAAAAGGAGTGCAATCAGCCAGGATACATGCAGAAGTATTCAGTGGCGGCGGATTCCCGCAGTAGAGTACGCAATACGATAGCTCTCGTATCGTATGAAAACACTGGGAGTTGCGTTACATGGAAACGCGAAATGTCACATCGCGTGTGGCGTGACACTTTCGTGTACACGTCTCTCTCTCTCTCGGTTCGAATATCTGAGTGCCAGTCCGATGGAGGACGACTACTATTCAGTTGATGCTATTCTCGCCGAGAATCAGGTACATACAAATGGACGGGAACTGAACATATGTTCAAGCTTTCTAACTAGAAAATCCAATTGACTTTCAAAGTCGATGTCCCCGACATGGGGCATTTAGATGGAGGAAAAGAGCGTGACGTGCGTTCCAAAGCCTTCGTGAACGAGGAAAGAGAACGAACTGATGGTTCTGGTCCATTAGATAAAACCCTTAAGCAAGGTGTCCATCCCGCTCTGGCTCGCGTATATTCTCATCATGTCGTGCGTGCTATCACAGACCTTGAGACATTGATATTTCTTTACGTCATCGTCTATAGAGACTATGCCGACTTTTCAATACCGCCGCCATTTAGTTCGCGTGTCCGAAACGCTTTAAATGCTGAGCCCAAGAGCGTAAAGCTTTCCGGCCTCGTGGGACAGGGAGGTTTGTGGTACGGGTTTGGCAAGATGGTGATGCGATTGTAAGCCTCGAAGGTTTCTTTCCCGTTGAGCGCCGGATCACGCGCTGTTTGGCTCGCCGTAGGCTAGACGAGCCGTCCGCGGATGAGATGTCGACGATACTGACCAAGGTTAAACGATGTGTTCAGTCAGCTCTTCGTACCAACGCTGATCGGTGTATACAACATAGACATTCAAGGATCGGCTCATAGAAGTCATCGATCAGGCCCAGCATTTTGGTGCATTGGGCACAGGGAGTGTGGGCGGCGGCGGCGATCTGACTCAATCGTTCAGGGAAGGGCTGGACGGGACCGAGCGAGAACGTCAGCAACCTTGCTTTCCGTTACACCAGTTCGCTCATGGCTGTCGATATTGCTACAGTATTCGCCCTCGCTCAGCAGAGTGCAAAGAACGCGAAGCGGTGGTATGAAACAACAGATCGAGCGAGGAAATAGCACATTCGTACGCAAGCAACGTTGTTGAAGGGAAACAGCTTTATTGTGTGAAGCAGGTGGCGAGGCTTGTGAGTTACTCGTTATCATATCCGCTGCATGCCATGAGCATAGGGGACAGACCCGGGACTCGAGTCGGGTACACTCCCGTGGCGTGCTGTAAGGTCCGCTTGTGGGCCCGCATGAGAGGAGCCTATGGTCTGTCGCTGGTACCACATATCGTTCACGGTTTCCTATTTGCGCCCATGATCTCATCCATAGTTTCCTGCAACATGCGTATGTTGGACACGTTGACAAACGGCCACGGGCAGCGTACCTTGGACGTGACGTCTATACCCGCCGATTCGAGCTGAGCTAAGGCTGTTATGATTGCTTGACGAACCTCAGGGTCGCGGCCGATCTTGAACATTTGCATGGGGGACGGAGGCTTTCCCGCGTCGAAGCCAAAACCTATATAGCATCAACAAACAATGCTTGATGGCCTCCTGGCTATTCGAATGAGTGCACACCCTTCTCCTTCATCAGCTCCAAGAGCTTGTTCACCGCGGCGATTGCTTCGGGATTGTCTGCTATCTTTTTGTAGATGCTGGTGGTTCTGAACTGGGCAGCAGCCTCTGCTGCATTTCCTGGAAGATTCCTCACATATCGGACCTGGTTCAGAACCGTTCTGTGAGGCAGAGCGCGGGCAGTTGCACGCAACGGGGTCCAGCAACGGAAAACGGCGCCAGGTAGCATGACCAAGATGAATATTGCACAGCCACAGAGACGGATCCTCTTCGTCGCAAACTTTCTGGACCGGCAGGCTCTGTGAAGAGTCGGAGCCGCAGACCGAAGCAAAACGTTGGCTACACATCTGCGGACGATCCTGAACAAGCCTTGTGAACATGAACATTGCGCACTCCATCCCGTCCGTCGTGCAGAGCGTCTCCTTCTCATTCCTCACCGCCGAAGACATCCGACGTATCTCTGTCAAGCAGATCATCAACCCCATCCTCCTTGATGACTTGAACCGACCAAACATAGGGGGACTATATGACCCCGCGCTTGGACCAAGCGAAAAGCAGGACATGTACGTCAACGCTGCGTTCCTTGCAACTTCAGTAAACTGACTGCACACAGATGTACTACTTGTCGGCTGAACTACTTCACTTGCCCTGGCCATTATGGTCATATTGAGCTTCCTTCTCCCGTCTTTCATCCCTTGTTCATGACGAACATGTACCATGTTCTCCGAACGACATGCCTCTTCTGTCATAAATTCAAAGTCGGTCCCACCACGGTAAGCGCCTGGGCTCGCAATCGTGCATTGATTCCGTCTGACATTCTGAAAGCTCTGTGTATATGCGGGAAAGCTTCGGCTCGCTGAACATGGCCTGTTGGTAGCGGCGAAAAGCCTCGACGATCTTATTCCTCAGAAGAAAAACAAGGGTAGCGCCCAGGCGGACGGGGACGAAGACGAAGATGGGGTTATCGAATCAAGCGAAGACTTCGCGAAACGTGTAAATGTGTATGTCGATCTCCAACTTGCGCGAGCCTCCAGTAGCAAGAGAGACGACTACAAGGATGGACTAGTATATCAAGCTCGCAAGGACCTCATCCAAGAATTCATCCGCATATCGCAGCTCAAAAAGTGTATGAATTGTGGCGCGTGAGTCTGCGTTAAGCTAGCGGCCTCATGTCTGTGTGTCTGAACAGTCTGCGCGCAAGGCACGGATATACCTTCCGCAAAGAAGGACATACTAAAATCATCGAGTACGACCTCACTCGTAAACAAAAGGAACAGAATATCGCATCGGGAAGGCGCCGACCAGATGTCCTCCATTCCGTCTACCATTCCTCCAACGCACACTTGAAGGAGACGACTGGAGACGACTCCGACGTGTCTATGTCTGATGCAGAGCCTGCGGGCGACCCCACGATGTCCGACGAAGACCAGGAGATGGCCAGCGTTGAAGACGAGAACCTGCACCAGATTCCGACAGGACCTGCCAAAGCAGCCAATGGGACCATCAAAGGCAAACGTGGGCGCAACGAGCGAGTTATGGCGCCAGAGGAGTGCCGTGCTCATCTACGCCGGCTGTTCAGCAATGAACCAAAGATGTGCTCGCTGATCTTTGGACGGCACGGACCATTCTCGAAATTCCGACCGGATGGGCATGCCACTGCGTCTGCGGATATTTTCTTCATGGATGCTATCCCTGTCTCGCCAACTCGTTTCCGCCCACCAGCGAAGATGGGAGACACCCTATTCGAACATGCACAGAATCAGCTGCTGACGCGGGTTCTCAACACGTCATACAAGCTACGGGATTTGACTAGAGACTTGCGTGCTGCATCTGTGAAGAGCGTTCAATACGATGAAGCGACTAGGCGGAGGATACTCGGCGCGTTGTTAGACGCCTTGGTGCAACTTCAAGTAGACGTCAATAGCTTCCTTGATAGTAGCAAGAATCCGCAGCCTGTACGACAAGGGCAATTACCTCCCGCCGGTGTCAAGCAAGGCCTCGAGAAGAAGGAGGGCTTATTTCGACAGCATATGATGGTATATGTCCTACTTCCTCTTTTTTCTCACCGTATATTGATATATCAACGGAATCAAGGGCAAGCGTGTAAATTATGCTGCACGATCTGTTATTTCTCCGGATGTCAACATCGAGCCGAACGAGATAGGAATCCCACCCGTGTTCGCTCGGAAGTTGACATTTCCTGAGTCGGTCACCCCAGCGAATGTGCACGAAATGCGTCAACTCGTTATCAATGGTGCGAGGGCATACCCTGGTGCTACGATGGTCGAGTTCGAGGATGGACATCAGCAATCGCTTGTGAGTGATATGACTCTCCTCCCCGCCCAAGCTCTCTTACCGGTGCTCTAGGATGTAATGTCCGTCGAAGCACGGACTGCTCTCGCGAACCAACTGTTGAAACCCCCAGAAGGCGAGCGCAACAGCTCCAAGCATGGTCTATATACTCGAACCACAGCTGCAAACAAGAAGGTTTACCGGCATTTGCGAGACGGAGACGTGCTGATTCTGAACCGCCAACCAACGCTGCATAAACCGAGTATGATGGTGCACAAGGCCAGGGTTCTGCGAGGCGAGAAGACCATACGAATGCACTACGCGAATTGGTGATTTCCGATCAGCTCGTACAGTATCCCACTCACTGAGCTTTGGTTCGTCAACTATACAGCAATTCGTACAATGGCAAGTTCGTCCTCTGCAACTTGCCTGGCATATAAACTGATCCACGTTGTTTAGCCGATTTCGATGGCGACGGTGAGAAACGATTCCACCCAGGTCATGAGCGACGCATATTGACAATGACCCACAGAAATGAACATTCATTTCCCCCGTGATTATTCTCCGATCCTCGAAATCCCTATGGTTCGCTCATCCTCGTCATAGAAAATCAGGTTGCTCGTGCGGAGGCCATGATGATTGCCAACACAGACAATCAATATTTAGTGACTACATCAGGTAAACCCTTGCGCGGTCTCATCCAAGATCATGTTGTTGCCGGTGTGTGGATGACGTCCAAGGAAGCGTTTTTCACGCGGGAGGAGTACTTCCAACTTCTCTACGGTGCTCTCCGTCCAGAAGAGGAGGGCGGGCATATCACCGGCCGTTTGGTGACTCTGCCACCCACGATATGGAAACCTAACGCGCTGTGGACAGGCAAACAGATCGTACGTCTTGTGCCATTCGATCACTATCTTCTCTGAACTACTGTCAGATTTCGACGGTGCTCCTGAACATCACGCCGAGTAATGCACGTGGACTCAACACAGAATTCAAAGCCAAAGTACCGGGGTATCTTTGGGGCAAGGATTCGATAGAGGAGGACAAGGTCGTCTTCGTAGATGGCGAATTACTTTGCGGCGTTCTGGACAAGTCTTCCTTCGGCGCAAGCGAATACGGCATGGTCCACTCCGTCTACGAACTTTACAGCTCTGAAGTCGCCGGACGGCTACTCGGTATCCTCAGTAGACTGTTCACGAAGTTCTTGCAGCACCGGGCATTCACCTGTCGAATGGACGATCTGACGCTCACTCCTACCGGTGACGCCAAGCGCAGGGATATCCTCCAGAATGGGCGCAATCTTGGGACGGAGGCCGCTATGGAGAATTTCCCCTCGCTCGTGCAGGTTCCTCCCGTGGACAAGCCCGGTGCTCTGGAAAGTCTACTCAGGGAAGTCCTGCGAGACGATAGTAAAATGGCTGGCCTTGATGTCACGGTCAAGACGAAGTTGGCCACCCTCACAAAAGCGATTGCGGATGCGGTTATGCCTCGCGGGCTATCTCGCCAATTCCCTCTCAACCATATGCAAACGATGACCTTATCAGGAGCCAAGGGTAGTGCCGTGAATGCGCAGCAAATTTCGTGTGCGCTGGGTCAGCAAGAGCTCGAAGGCCGTCGCGTTCCGGTGATGATCAGCGGGAAGACGCTACCTTCTTTCAAAGCTTTTGAAACCAAGGCCATCGCCGGTGGTTACGTTGCTAGTCGTTTCTTGACCGGCATCAAACCCCAGGAGTTCTATTTCCATTGCATGGCAGGTCGGGAGGGTTTGATCGATACAGCAGTCAAGACATCGCGGTCTGGTTATTTGCAAAGATGCCTGATCAAGCATTTGGAAGGCCTAAAGGTCCACTACGACTACACCGTTCGCGGTAGTGACGACTCCATCTACCAGTTTCACTATGGTGGTGACGCTCTTGATGTCACGAAACAAAAGTATCTCTACCAATTCGACTTCACATCGCGGAACGAGCTCTCCCTCATTAATAAGTATCAACCTGGCCGAATTAACCGTATCGTCAACGACAGTGACGCTTTGGAATACTCCAAGAAGATTATTAGAAAGTCTGCTCCGAAGCGTCACAAGTATGCGCCTATCTTGAGCAAATTCAACCCTTCTCTATATCTTGGTGCGACCTCGGAGCGATTCGCTGAGAGCGTCGAGAGCTATCTCAAGTTCAATCCTCACGGCCTACTCAAATCAAGGACGACGGAGAATGCCGTTGAACTCAGACGCCGTCACCCCCTGCTCACTAAGGATCGGTTCCGTTTGCTCATGAACGTGCAATACATGCGCGCCCTCGTCGATCCCGGAGAAGCCGTCGGTTTATTGGCATCTCAAGGGTGAGTGTTATAGTGCCCAAGTTTCGACTTTGCTCTGATTCCATGTACAGAGTCGGCGAGCCGTCCACCCAAATGACGCTAAATACGTTCCACTTCGCCGGCCACGGAGCAGCCAACGTTACACTTGGTATTCCCCGCCTCCGAGAGATCGTCATGACGGCGTCCAAGCAACCGAAGACACCATCCATGATAGTGCCAATCCGGCCAGACGTTGGGGATCGCGAACTCGAAACCTTCTGCAAGCAGGCCAACCGTCTATCGCTATCTCAAGTCATCGATGAAATCACCGTCACGGAAAAGCTCGTCACGAATGGGAAGGCTCGACGGAAAGAATTCAATATTCGTCTGGCTTTCTTCCCCCGGGAAGAGTACGAGCGTGAATACCATGTCTCACCACCAGAGATTCTAGCGGCGTTCGGCGCTCGCTTTGCTCTGATACTGAAGAAAGAAATTTTGACCGAGATGAAGCGGCTTGACGCAGACTTGAAGGGTTTGATGGCGGCGCTCGGCAAAGGAAAAGCCGTCAAAGACACCACCGGAGCGGACGCTGCTGATAATGATGACGATGTTGATGAGGGAGCCAGGGGAGGCAATAGGGGCGAAGACGAACGCAGTGAGATTGGAGACGGAGACGCCGAGGATGCCAAACATGAACGGCAGAGGAAGGAGCAATCCTCTTACGAATCCGATGGGGGCGACGACGACCTCGATGACGACGTGGACTATGGGGCTAAGGGGATCGCGGAAGCTTATGCGAATGTCGACAAGGAGATGGAGGCAGAAGAGTTAACGGATGCTCAGCCTGTGGTATTACAGGCGAAGAAGCTCGTGAACCAGTCTAGCGCTGTTCAGGACGAATTCAAGCGTACTCTGAAGTTCGCAAAATCCCTGAAGTTTGATGACAGTGGATGTTCGCTCGAACTAGAGGTACGAAGCATGCATTTCTTGCAGGGTCGATGTTCATAGTCCTGGCAGTTTGAAGAGGATATGCCGAAGCTTCTACTTGTCGGTGTTGTTGAACGCACGTGTGCAAAAACGATTGTACGGGAAATTCCGGGGATAACAGAATGTTTCAAGGGGACGGATGCAAAAAAGAGAGCACAAGTGCGTCGCTCTTTGCCATCTCATTTTTGAGATATCAATGACGCTGTAGATCACGACTAACGGCTCTAATTTCCGAGGAGTATGGGAGTTCTCTGCCTTGTCCGAGGTGTCGATCATCGGTAAGGACCCGAACCATTTGCTCTGCAGCGATCTCACCGATGCGAACAGATCATGACGGAATATATTCGAATGATATATACGGATTCTTGATGACTTACGGCGTCGAGGCTGCCCGATCTGCCATATTAAGAGAAATATCAGGGGTCTTCGATGCCTATAAGATCGACGTCGATGGGCGTCACCTGGAATTGATCGCTGACTACATGGTGAAACTGCATTTATCAGTCCATTGGCCATGTACTCAATTTGAAGTCATAGACGTTTGATGGCGGATATAAGCCTTTCAACCGCAAAGGCATATCGACACACAGTTCGCCGCTAATGAAGGCATCTTACGAGACCACTGCTGCCTTTCTCTCGGTGAGCGCTCCTCGTTTAGAAATGCTCACAGTGCGATCACCGCTAACGATATCCCCAGGATGCCACCCTGTATGGAGATTTCGATACTTTGACATCCCCGTCAGGCAATATCGTCCTTGGCAAGCCGAGCACAACCGGAACAGGGTCATTCGATGTTATTATGCCTGTCACCGTATCATAATGTTGTTGCTATCATCATCCTTGCTGATCTTGGGGAGCCTCGTGCGCTGGCTCAAGTCTGACCCAAGCAGGAGTAAGCCCCCAATACAGGATATAGTCCATATCGACGCGCTGCTGTTACTACAGGCAGGGTCACAGAGTCCTTACGATGATTATATCAATCCCTGTTTCTTCAAATCCTCGTAAGTCTTGCGGTTGTAGACATTTCCATCGTCGTCCTCCAACTCTTCCATGGTTTCTTGCTCAAATATCTCGTTTCGACCCTCTCGTTTCAGTCTTTCCGCCACTAGGTCGGAGCGTAAGCGAAGGAGCGAGTCTGGACATTTTTCACTTACAAGCTAACGCGTCCTCGATCCGAGTGATCTCATGGAAATGTTTGGTATTCGGCAAACCAAGAGCTCTCATACCAAACGCATGGCGTGACTCCTATCAGGGAATGAAAACGCACGTGTCAACAGTCAAGATCACGGTCGTGCACGAAAGCTTGCCTGGAAGTGGCGCTCGAAGTTTTTCCTGTGTTTCCAATGAGCATCCGCACCTCGATCAACATGACCTGAGGAAAGACGTACCTCCCCATGTAAACATGATCAGAGCAGATCTCGCAGCGGTACTCAACACCGAGGCCATGCAGCTTATATAACCAGTAAGGTATAGGCTTGCCGTCCCAACCCAGAGGGAGCTTCAACGGATTGTATATGCGCTCTTCTTCTTCTTCTTCCTCCTCTCCTTCCGGGTTTGTGTCACCCTTTTTGGTAGGCGCCGGAGCGGACTTCGCCTGTTCAAGTAACTCCTGCTCACGTTCACGAGCTGTGAGAGAGAACTTGCGCTCTACGTTTGACTTCGTGTCATTGAATGTTAATAAGAGCTCTTTGATCATGGAGCCACAGAGGTGCGTCAGCAGAGCTATTGACCGAAGCCTGGTTTTCCCTGGCGCAACGTGCCCATTTCCATTTGCGGTAAGGGATGCCGGTCCGTTGGGGTTCGACGGCGGGGGTTCAGATGTAGCCTGCTTCGTCGTTGCCTTGACATGCTTTTTTGAAGTGAGGTGGGCGTCGTAAACAGTTTGTTTTGAATACACCTTCTGGCCTACGGCAACGTCAATTCCGGAAATAATACAAGATATAGGTAGATACTCACAAGCAGCACACCAGATGCCTTCACCACCGTTATCGACGGCAGCTTTGGCCTGGTCTTTCCAGCCACTAATATCTTCGGCCACCCATTTCTCATCGAACTCCAACGCCGACGCGGATTGCTGGCCCTCGACGTCTACGAGTGGCCTTGTCCGTTTGGTGAAACTGAGCAGGTAGCTGTGAAGGTCTTTGATATAGCTATATGTGCTAAGTCAGAATAGTTTCAGAAGGGAGGTGGTTGTACACACTGCTCATAGTCCTTTCCCGCTCTGACCTCTGGAGAGATTTCGTCATGCAATGGCCTCTCTTGTACGGCCATGAGAACATCCAGGTACTGGAGATACGCTATTCTTTTTCCAATACCCTTGATGTTGTTGTATGCGGTATGGTTATCGTACAGGTCGAGGAATTTGCCATACGACTCTTCGCCTGAGAATAGTAGGGAAATGGCTGACGAAGAAATGTCAGACGCACTACAGAGAAGATTCAGGCTGCTCACGATCTTCTTCCGCAGAATCGGCATCCTGTTCCTCCTCCGGCTCGTCTCGGAACGCTGCGAGCTCAAGCTCGAAGCCACTTGGCACCGCGTCCGGGTACTTGACGTAGTGCTCCTGGACCTTTTTCAGGCGGTCATAGAAAGCGGACAGGTCATCCGCATTACCAGATCCAGAGAGCGAGTCAATCTCGACTTTACGGGAATCCTGGTCCTCGTAAACGTTGTGCAAAGTGGTGCCACGGGCGGTGATGCGGTCGAGTATTTGGGATGCCTTGTGCTCTACCTGAAGCCGAGACTCATGCGTTGGTTGTGGCCTGGCAAGGATGTTATAGAGCGTCTTCTCAAGGTGCTCGATTTCCTCGTGCGTTTGACGCTGTATCTCGATTATCGAGTCCATTGTTCGCCAAGGGTGTCGGTGCGGAGAACAGCAGGGCACCGCCACTTATCAAGTTTGTTCTTATTTGTCCAATGGCCACGCTCTCATCCCATCGAATGCGAAGGTTCAACATCATCCCGCAGTGTCACTTCATCAAGCTGACTTACCTGTGTCTGGTCTCCAATTCCAGATGACTCACGAACGCGGCAATTATGTTTTTCCGCTGGTCGCGGTGCGTACTTGCGGCTATCCTTACGCCGCATGCTCGGAGTATTGGCAATTGTCCCACAGCTTTTCTTGGCTATGCGTTCATTGATGTGACGCGGGTTGTCTATGTCAGTACTTTGGACTGCCCTCCCGTAGTTCCGCCCCCACCTCCCACGTATGCTCGTCCACCACTTTCGGCGACGTGCTCTCTTACCTCCATTTCACATTTTAAACGATTGCCTCGGAAGCTTTGTCCTTCACCCTAAGAGTTACACATCCTCAACTCCGTTGATTCCCTAACCTCTGCTAAATATGGTATTGATGACCGCGTACGTCAATCAGGATGCTTATAGCGGTGAATGCATTGCTTATTCAATTCATGTTCTCAGAGCATAGTGCACAAACAAATCTGGTGTCAATTGCCTTCGGATTATCATGGTAATCAATAGACTCGATTTCCATCTCAGTGGAAGGGTATCAACTAACGTGCACACGTGTCCGTAGAGGCCACTTTGCCAACTCATGCACTGATCTTAGAATGTTCGAAGTATGCGATAAGCATGGAATTTAGGTAGGCCAAGATTCGCAGGATATAACCCTGAGGAGTCAAAATGAGAAGATATGAGGACGGAAAACATGGCCTGTAATACATAATGTTTGACTGGAACTGTTGAAGCCGCGCGTCCTTATATCTACACATAAGTAGTATGTGATCAATACCGGCTATGGGATCGCAGATATATCAGACAAATTCATATCCCTCCAATCCTGACTAGAATTGAAACATGATTGGACCGTGCATGAACTGCGAACACGGCAGGAAGCAAGAGAGTATACGATGCATTGAATTATGTACTGGCAGGCGGCCCCAATGCCGTCATTTCGGGCTGATGCGAAATAAAAATGGACCTGGGGCTTTCAGGCGGCGGTGGTTAATAGCCACCTGTTAACCAACGATGAATGGCGTATGCTCAGACGAGACGGTATCTGAATCTTCGACTACACACTGCGAGAAGCATCGGTGCTTCGGATGCAAGATTAGCTATGACGTTCTTAAGATCCCGCGAGATGCGTTTTTTCAGATCCGCGAAGGTGATCAACAGCCTTCCGTCGGAGTATATCGTTTTACCCCCCGTTAAATACGGAGAACGTGTAGGGTAATGATGGAGGTGCAGAAATAGACCTAATGTCGGTCCGCGTCCGCTGCGAAGTGTGATGGCTTCACATCATCGGAGTTAATGAACGTCGGGGAACTGAGCAGTGAAGATTGTACACAACGTGTTGGGGGATCAAATATTGGGTGCTGTGAGGGCTACAGAAGGTGGGTCAATGACTTGAGGCTCGTGTCAAATGGAATCTGGGAGTGTGCCCATTCGCAGAAATCGTTGTAGGCTCCACAAAGTGACCATGGTAATCGAACAAACAACATCATGCACAGTAACTCAAAGTATTCAAAGATTGATTCTAGGAGCATCCATCGTCTCCAGCTTATGGTGCAGAGATATTCTGAACGACGTCTAGGCCAAAGAGGGTGACGACGACGTGATATATGATGCCAATCTCGACCTCTAATTTACACGGCTACGCTGCGAAAAACATGGTCAATTATCCGGGAGAAAACCCCGGTAAGAATCGTCGCGTTACCAGCTGCACAGCCAGCAGCTAGATGACACCGACCCAAACGCAGCCTGCCGCCGGTTGGAATCTGATACACGGCCCTTCCGTTCTCAACGTCGTCTGCTGCAGCATAGATCGTTCCTTAGGCTCGCTCGGCGGTTACTCGTTCAGGAGGAGCAAAATCAGGCACGGCGCTTGCGGGCAGCAGGCTGTTGAGAAGTTGGCGTGGAAATCTGAAGGCGCCGGAACTAAGGCGATGCCAAAGCAAGACCGCCCACGTCCGATTCGTACATACCACTGGCGGCCCGAGCGACACCTATAGGACGGATTATGCATGAGACATTGCACAGTGCTTTCACGGTACACTCGCTTATCCTGACCCAGCGTTGAACCGGGTAGCCGCAGACGACCGCCGTGGCGCAATCTTGTTGGCGGATGTCCCCTTGGGTGGGAGAGCTGTGCCACATTCAATTTCATGCATTCAATCAACGCACGGCTGGAGTTTTATCACCCTAGGTTCAAGACGAAACACGTCAATGAGAGCCTATGATGGCTTAGATATTGCTATGGATATTCTTCGGAGCATCAAGCTATACGAGTAAAGCCTCAATCCGGAGGTCATCGAACATATAGCCACAGCTTCGTGTCCGCACCACAGAGCCTCGGGCATGTCGGGTACAGGTCTATCGACCATGGAACCGATCCATTGCTCTTGAATCTGCCGTTTCGCACCGCAGATAGAAATCCTCCGTGACGGTGGCATTCGACTTCCCAGATCTCTCTCACTAAATGCGATCTGACATCTATGTGGGTGTGATTGTTATAGCACCTCTACGAATCATACTTCCATCCTAGACTAGTAGGAGTCCTCGAGACCTTCCACACATGAAGAGCCCACCCGTGATTTGTGCGACTCTTTTCTCTCTGGGTGGTCCTTTCTAAGGGTGCATACGTATCTCAGCCACGCTTATGATGCCCGCCTTTACTCTGAGGCTCTGCGACTCACATGGGCCCTTCTTTGCAAGATTACATATGATCCTATCAAGCCGTCGATGCCGCTCCCCTAGGATCTTGAGCACCCCTGGAACCGGACCAAAGTCCCATCTCTGTTCATGCGCATATTGCCGCGTAACGTTGCATTTGAGGATATCGCCAATGAACACGTACCGCAGTGACCCCATTGACGACTGGGAGCCCGAAGGCTGTTCATGGCAATTCTCTATTACCGCTGACTGCTACTCCGCTGGACTCGTCCTCCAAACCTTCGCAGGATACCGCTCGCTCCGGACTGATGGTGGTGGTAGTAGACTGCCGAGGTTTCCGTATAAATGCTCGTTGCGAGCTGCTACCGATGCAACAGCTCGCTCAACCTGTGTATTCCTTGTCTTTTAAATACGGCAATGTGTTGCTATCGCAGGTGGGTAGCATCGCAATCTTTTATCCTGAAAAATGTCGTTGTCGCTGTTGTTCAGCTTCGATGTCCAACAGGGTCAAAGAAACTTACAAACGATGCGGGCATAACAGAAGTCTGGTACTGTGCTCCCCCGCCTGCCACAGATTCCGATTAATGATGTACCGATTGCTGGCCAGCCTGACCAAGAGGTAAAGACCGCCAGCTATACGATATAAGGAAGCACTTACCGTATTGCTGCAGATAGATTGTGGTTCCCGTCGTTGCCGCTTCAGCGCCGCGCATGTGACGCCGTGTGCCCATTGTGCCCAGACATGTAATCAAATGTGCGCTACCTGAGTTGCCTCGATGCTTGTGATGGTTTTAGGTGTTGACGATCACTTAACGGCACAACTGCCATCATGCAGTCATACGTTCCCTCAGATATACAGTACGTCGACGGTCCACGTTTCGCTTTCAATATCACTGGAACGTGTGGTGACATCACGTATTCCGTAGCGCCGCAAATCGACGCATTCTGCCCTCGATGCCAAGCCGCCGGCATGCGCTAACCCTGCGTTCCTTGACATCAATCGATTCGTCCACTTGTCCGAGTTGCATATTTCGGCGTTGCTTTGGGAAACGAAGTTCCAAGCAGTATTACCGTACTACACACATCCGTCCCCAGTTTCACCGCTCCTAGACGTAAGCCACTTGTATACTGCGCTCCCAATTTGACTGCTCGTTTATGTTGTGGGCCATGCTGAAACCTCGGGTTCCGAGCGTCAACACCAGACTCATGGAGCAGAGTAGCGCGGTGATGTTGCCGTCCATCCTCGTCATGAATTGATTCAGCGAGAAGGCGATGTGAGCAGGGTTGCAGCACCACGTGTTCACAGTTCTGCAAGGAAAGCCACGAGCACAGGCAGATTGCAGCCCGCCTTATATGAATTGCAGGCGAGATTCAACCAACAAACGCCCTACGACACTGACGGGTTAACTACAACAGGCATATGACATTCGATGAACCGAACCTCAGTCAGAATCCCCTATATTATGCTTCTGCTTGAGTTGCGCTAGCTCCTCTTCCCTCCTAGCCAAGTCGGCCTTCGCCGCCGCTGCATCTTGCTTGGCAGGCATATGGTATAGAACAACAATATAGCGCTCTTGAAGATGGAATCCATTAAGATGATCTAGAGCGTTCTTCGCCTATGCATACAGTAAGGTGCATGCGGGTCAGTCGTAGTTCAAGCACATACGTCCATAACATCATCGAACACCACGAACGCGGTTCCTCGCGTCTTTTGTTCATTCCCAATTCTGATCTGACGGATGCTCCCGTAACGACCGAACAAATCGTAGAGATCTTCGCCAGTGATAGCATAGTTCAGGTTCTTGACGAAGAGGATGCGATTCGCTCCCGGAGGCAACTTCGTCTACAAGTTTCGGGTAATGCACACCATCAGAGTTCGGAGGTGTGGACTCACTGCAGGCCGAGCCAGAGCCATAGCTGGAAGCGCAAAAGTTGGGAGTGACAGTATGAGTGAGGCTTGAGCGCTTGAGCGCTTGAGCCTGAGAGCACGGGCGTCACTCTGGATGCGTCACGACTCACGAGCACATTTCCCACTGCTATTTTATCACTAGAGGAAAGGGCTGTCTCCCGCCAATTCACCTTCGCTTGCACTTCCCTTGTGTAATTTGCGACGCGATGGTATACTCAATGTGTATACATAACAACAGGTAAATATCAATGCACCTTAGGATGGCAGCCATTCCTAGTCTTGACCCATCTAATGCCAACTTCGGAAGCATGTGGCGTACGGTACATCATTCTGCAGATTGCTATTCTGCTTAGTAACATACGACAAACCATGTAAGTATACTCAGTAAAGTCTGCGTAGAATCGATGAGCATGTTTGCCGTTTACTTACGCTCCGTTTTGAATCGGAGAATCGAACCGGGCGTAACACAGCCACAATTAGCGATGTTTACTAATTACGGGCAGGGAGATACCAGAGCAAGCCTCAGGTAATTTGACCAGTGACCAGCGCTTGACTGAGTCCTGTACCATCGATTCTCAGTGCACGCTCCCACATACATCCCAGATGTAGTCTATGTGGTTACATTCTGTCGTGGTGCCGCGGACGTGATGAGCTCGTAACTATGCACCTGTAGCCGCGTCAATCAATGAACCCGAGCGCGTTCTCTCGCACGCGACCGACGCCTGATTCTGGAAGAATCAGATGATTTGACTCTGCTCGCACACCATAAACGGTAAGACTGTGAGACAAACCTAACATAATAGAACAGGGCTTGCCATATGAGGAGGACAAAAGTCAAGAACTGCCAGAATCAGGGCAGAATCAGGGCAGAATCAACCCTAACCGAACGGGGTCTTAAGCCTCGAGTTTGGTGCGAGAGCGGATGAATCGCTGATTACGACATCGGCTTTCATCTCTTTTTATATATGAAAACCTCGGATCCCAAGGCCGACATGCGGCCGGGCAGCGCATGTCGACGACTTCTTCACACCGTTGCCTGCCAGTCATCGGGAAGTCTCAGCGCATACTTACTCTGGCAACAGTACGTCCTACCATCGTTATCAGCTACAAGTCGTTCTTGCTTTCACGGTTTCACCTCGATGCCTGATCCATTATGCGCCCCAGACCAAGCGCGGATACTGCTGAAAGGCAAGGCGTCAGTTGAAATGTTCATATAAGATCTAGCTTCTTCGTGTGAGTCATTATGACGAATCTGTCTCAATCTATTGCCTTCGGTGTCTTGCTTTCCAAAAGGCCCCGCGCCGTTCTTCACTCCATGATGATCAGCCAGGCATCTGAATACGTATACACGGCGCTCGCACGCACCAACGCGGCCCCCTCTCTTGCCTTCACCATACTGGCGACGGTCAGCTCAACGTGGTACAACTACGAGCAGCGAGGCTAGTGTGCGGCGTCAAACTGAGATGACGACCATGACCAGTCCGCCCTCGTTCTCGGCACCATCAAGTCCGGGCTGGTTGTCGCGACCGCTCACCCAAAATACCATGCTTACCCATCATCAGTACAACCTACTGAATAATTCTGGCAAGGTTTGGGCAAATCTGGAGGTCTTCAGTAGGGCCCGAGACCCCAGATATCTGCCCGACTTCCTCAGTGGGGATCCGATCACAGGTTCAGTCCACCTTAAACTAGACAGACCTGATTCCGTACGCTCCGTAAAAATCTCGGTGAGGCAGATAACCTCAGTTCTCTGTTTCACGCACTCGCTCCGGTCGCTCATTGACTTGCCTATATCACGTACGAAAACATAGGTTATTGGCCAAATCGGATCATTCACAGTAGACAACGCCACAGCCTTCGAATTCTTAAACGTCTCTCAGACTATATGGACGGCCAGCGCTGATCCGCCAATTGGCAAGGGGAACAATACCGGCAAAGTGCAAGATCTCGTCGGCGAACATACCTGGCCATTCTGTATCAGTCTTCCGAAAGACATCAATCTCCAGGTCGATGCCGTGTCTCACACCTTCACACTTCCACCAAGCTTCTTTGAGACGGGGGCAAAAATAAGCATCCAATATGAGCTCGTGTGTACAATCGCGCGTGGACGTTTACGCATCGACAGTAGGCGAGTCCGATATTCGTATCAAGTCATGTCGAATCGTTGAACCCCCTCCCTTTCCAGGCTCGGGACTCTCATCGGCTATACACCCATCATAAGGCCTCCACCGCCATCAGCATTGAGACAAAAATCATACAGAGATAACAAGCCTCTGGTAGGTCTACGCGATTGCCTTGGATGGCTATCCTTGGCTCCGCTCTTTATTACACATGGAGGCGGAATAGGGCACGCAAATTGCACGGTGAGCTCAGCGAACATCATTTGTCGGTGTTACGGCTGACATAAATGCACGTAGTTATCGATCGCCAAACCAGTAGGCCCTGATACGATGCGGCCTTCATTAGTTGACCACATCCTTGACAGCTATTATATACGCGCGGAACCGTCATCCCTCTATTGCTGAATATCGAATCATCCGCAGACGAACTAGTAGAGCTTCTGGCATCACCGAAGGAGATAGTCGCCAATCTTGTGAGGTACATACGGCATCACCCGGATACGCAGACGACGGATGTCAATCGAGTTGGCACTACCAAAGTTTTCCAAGAAATAATCGGAACTGCAGTATGGTGGCTACAACAGGATGAGATGTATGATGGCACTAGCGATCACGGTCCTGGTATGGAGCCCGTGATGTGGATCGACAGGCAGTGCCGGCGGACATTGCAGGGAGAGATCCGCTTATCTCGGGACCTGAAACCCAGTTTCTCGTTTGCTCACCTGAACCTTCGTGTATGTCACCATCGATGTACTTCTACTGGAGTGCGCTGATATTCTTGCTTATAGTATGCAGTGGAATTACGGCCCTGGAAGCTGCCAGGGCTCGTCTATACGGCGCCCGTGGACGCAGCCCCGCGCCCAACATCGTCGTTGACGAAACTGGCCTCGCTTCCCGGCATCACAGATAGTTTTCGATCATCGAAATCGCCCGTGGGGCTCCTACTTCCAATCCTACACAAGCGCCGTTCATCCCTAGGATCTGATCCCAGCGGTCTTTCGATGACGACCGTCTCTCATGCGGTCACCCTCGGCGCGCTGAAGCGGAGAAATACTGCCATGAAATCGGGCTCGACAGCTGCGTCGTCTAGTTCGGAGTCCACACCAACCGTGCCGCAGCCCGCCCTCAAAACTATATCAGACGCAGGGCCGATCCTATCTCAGCCCGTGGAGATCGCAACTATGTATGCAAAGGGCCCGAAGCCCCGATCCTACGCTCCTGCCACGAAGCCTCCGCTCGTGCGCTCGAAAAGTGCACCCCGAAGTGCTTTTGTGACTCGTGTCCAGTCAGCCATGTCTTCATGGTCTCTGGGTGCCGCATCAGTAGCTCGGGTATAGCTCGGTTGTGTTTTGTAGCTACTAGCCAGGACACATCCGTGTACCCTAGGACCCGCCAGCCACTGCCACAACAGCAACTTATCACGTCTGGGAATATGCATTTTATTGCGTTCACAGAACCGAGTATCCGTTAACCTATGTATTTGTTACTCGTGTATATATCTCGCGTCTCTCTAACATTATAGAATCATTCGCAGCAAGCGGATCGATACAGAAGATATGCTTTGGTGACAAGTGTAAATATTGTTCTATATTCCAACCTTCATGTGCCATCGCGCGAGGAAACACATAAGGATGCATAGCAACGGGTCTTGCAAACAGGATTCAATGTAATCAATGGTTACTCTGACTGCACGATCACCAAAAGAAAAATGCGGTCTTTGACGAAAATCGAAGACAGGGTAGAATCTGGCTCGCTGAAGCTTGGGAAGCATAGCATTATGAGCGGTTTCAGCCAACCCCAGATATCTCGTCTCACGCCTCTACCATCCTTCAGATAGCCTCTCCACGGCCTTGCAATCTGTTACACCACGCACGCACACCCGTGTGCCTGCCTGCGCGTCATCCACATCGGGGACGATGCACTTGATATCTTCAACATTGGGGCAAGGACAATCCACCGGATGTTCTACGCAGACCAAAGTTTCAGGACAAAGATATGAAGAGCATTGCACTGGAGTACGCCGGTGAGTTAATGTCCTTGACGCAGCCCTGTGATCGGACAACGAACCATTCTCGCTCTGCGCAGCCCACAAACTCTCGCCTGATGGCCTATGCTGCTGTTGCTGATGATGTCCACCGAACATTTGCTCAAAGAAGTTGAATTGCGCGAACGCAATCTGGGAGCATAAGAATCCTAGCAGAGCAACAAGGACTCGCAACATTCTGCTAGCGCGGTAGGCTGCGGTAGGTGAATAGGATCTGGATCACGTGTGGATACGTGTCCTGACCATGACGACTATTTGTTCCTGTTGTTCGCCGGTTGAACTCACGCGTCGACCGCCACAGACGCGTCGCGGACCCACCCCCTGTGAGCCCTTATTCATCTCGGCGCGTTCAGTTGCTCACAAAAAGTTTAGGATATCAGGATAGTACACCAGGGCTTACGCAACCGATACGAAGGCGCGGTCCGGTAACGTAAAGCCTCGCGCCCCGCTTCACATTGCCTCAGAAGTTACCAATGCCGCTCCAGCCTCGTCCGCGCGCAGGACCTCTGCAAGAACTGCCCTTGGAATCATTCGCTCCTGTTGCATCTACGTCTACATCGAGCACGGACACCGGAAGTGGACCCTCAACACCGTCTTCCTCACGCAAGCGTCGCAGCGAAGAACCACTGCTCCCCGCCAAGCGTCGTATCCTCCATCAGGAGGGCATCTTTCTTCCATCCAAGCCTGTCAAGTCGCCAGTACGTGACCACCACACGGTTATGTGGTCCCGATCTGCCGCACGTCACTTCGAGGCAGTTCTAATTGGCTCAGACAGCCCCGCGCGACGGCTTGATTTCGGACCCCCAGAACCTGATCCCGAGAAATATCTTGCCGGATTGCACACTGCCCCTGCCGTCAGCCCTGTGATTCCCCCAGTCATGCCTTCGACGCGGCAAAGTAGCCCGACCACCTCCTCAAGGTTGTCCCCCTCCCTAGAAATCATACCCCCGTCCCCGCGTCCAAGTGCGGCAAGCACTCCTACCGATATGCGGTCGAGCCACTGCCCCATGACATCCTCGACTCCTTCTCATGTCACGCCGAAGCCCTCGCTACCCGCCATCGGAGAATGGGGGTTTGCTGAGGAGCATGCATGGCTACCCCTCGCCATGCCCCAGATACCGGAATCCTTCGCATCAGCGATACCTCGAGTTCCCCGGGCATGGTCTCAGCACAATCCAGGGTTCACAATATACCGAGATCCCATCACTGTCCAGGAGAGAGCTGAGATAGACACCAGCACTCCTTTGCAAATCATCCCAAACCGGGAAACTGATGGGGATCTGGACAAGGAGAACCTCATACCTCGATGCCCGTCGCAGAAGTACCACCTGACGTCAAATCATGGTCATGCAAAGCAATCTGAAGCCGAACAAAATTCGATGGGTTAGGAAGAGGAGGTAATGCCGAGGCAGACATCGGGCAGTCGCTTGTCCAGTTGGCCGCTCATGCACCCTAGCTCCCGTAGCGCGCTAAACAGCCCTGCTGGTCGTCATTCAACGCTAGGGCCATGAATATGGCTTCTTCCGCCACTGCGAGTCGTATCGAAAGGGTGTTGCCAGAGTGGGTGAGATATTACGATTGGCGCTCAAGTAGTTTCTAAGTGTCAAAGATGGTTGTTGCTCGACAGGATTTGAGGTGTATATGACAACGCGTTTGTTCGGGACGCCGTCCTGAACGTTGCATGCTATAGTGGATACGGTACCTGACGTATACTTACGTACCTTCAGTGATTTCAGTATGGGTATGGTGCTGCAAAGTTGACAATTCTCGCACGCATGTAAACCTCACTTGAGCACACCGGAAACAACGGCGCGATGACAATGATATAATCCGTGGTACGGTATTATTGCTTATCATAGACCATGACATGCTTCACCCGTCAGGTTGCAAGGGGCAATCTACGATGCACTCGTATCCCTGGGCATGGCGGGGGGTTTCGTGCTCCGAGAAGGTACGGGTGGAGGTTTTCGTGAATACGCACTGCCGCCGTCAGGAATAAGGGCCGGGGCCATAGCCATAGGTGTTTGAAGCGCTGCGTAGATCTCCTCCTCCGATGACGACGGTGAGGACGAGATGGGCGACCCGGCGAGGGAATCGAATGGGTTTGTTGACCGGGGTGGTCCATTACTGTCGTGTATCGCAAACACCCCACCTGGATGGTCTGTAGCAAGGCCGTGTCGATTAAAAATCGAGGTAAAATATATCGATGTGCCACACTTACCAGGCATATCCCACCATGCTGCCACATCGGAGCTCGGCTCTGGCACTAGAATGGGGGGGTTGCAGCGGTGCCAAGGATTTAGGAGATAAGCTCTCACATTCGCCACTGTCCGAATAAAATGTTAAACTGGCCAGTTTCTCGTCGAGTTTCTCCCCAGGAGCTGTAGAGAGTACGTTGTCTGCTAAGAGTTGTGCCAGAGCAGCTCGTTTCGCCGCATCAATGATGCGAACATCAGACCTGAAGAGTGCATATACTGCATTTACCTGAGCTCAGGAGAGAGTTCTCGTACTGGCGAGGAACTTACCCGGCTTGTGGTCCGATCCTCGTAATTCGGCGCGGGAGTATATCATAAGATCCAAATGCTTCCCCTTGAATAGGATGCGATCTATTCGGCGGTCAACACTGACCACTGGAAATCGTATGCTATCACAGACCTGTCCAAGCGGGCACTCGAAGTTTTTCGCTCGTGTCGTATTGATCAGTGCCAACGTCATACTTGTAGGTTGGACGAAAGAGGATAGGCCCTTCTTCATATCCCGCGAATACAGCGCGAGAATCAATCGCTGCTCTTAGCTGCAGAATCATTGATGATCAGATAGACGTTAGGGTGTGCCTTTCGTGGTCCACACCTGGTCTGCGCCAAGGAGAACGTCAAGTTGATCGGTGACGGCACATGACCGCACGATACCATTCTCGAGATCAATCCGATAATTTGTATCTGCCAGCCATACGACGTTTCTGGACATTCATGTAGCGCCGCCTCTTTCGTTCACCAGTAAATATGTACGCACTCGTGACTTTCGATAGTCTTGCCTTTGGAGAAATGTAAGCCATTAACGATGGTGTGATAATCCGCATTGCGCTCGTCCACGTTGCCATGACCAGCAGCGAGGTGCGCCGTCACGAAACAGAAGCTCGTATCGTGATAATCCAAGCGTATCGCCACTGCGCCCTTGTTACCGGACATACCTCTCAGCCCTGTCTGAGCGATATTGAACACACTATCATGAGGTATGTGTGAATCACCTACCTTACGGGTAGCTGCCTCGACCTTGCGAAGGACAGCGGTAAGGTTTGATTTCACCAGCACCACCAGTGCAGTGCCTACGAGCTGTAAGAAATATAGCGTTTTCAGAGACCGTCATGCTATAGGCGATAAACGTGCCTGTTCGCTTCTGAGAAGAACGTATTGTGACTGCTTGTTGGGACGTTTGTCTAATGTATCTAACAACCTCGCCTCCCAGATACGCCTATGGAACGTCAACGACGATAATTTGTGAGGTCGGCTCCTCGAACCTCTTTTCAGGGTCTGTCTGAACAATTTGCTGCGCTGTAAGAGGAACAATTTCTTGGAAACCGATTGCAAATATGTCTGGACTATGGATGGATCAGAAGTCATCGGAGGAATTGTCCGTGAGACGAACTCGGAAGCATCTACTTGCGTTCCTTAGCGCATGAGGCTTCCGGTGATAAGATTAGTCTCGCTTACTGGAGCTGGGAAACAACCACGGAAGCAGCGACTCGGATGACGGAGGCTGTATGACATTGCAATGTCAGTTGAGATGCTACATTAGATCTCGCAAACATGCTTACCCTGCCATTCAGGTTCCACGTGCCAGCAAAGATAGTGCATGGCTTGATGGTGGAGTACTCCGACATCCTTAACACTCTCAGAGACAGAGCCGAAAACCCACAAAGGTACGAACTTACCGCTGATCCAAAGCAGCACGGATGGAGTCATGGATAGGGTCGAAAATAGTGACCTGGCGTTGATTACTGAGATTTCCCTACAACCAGTATCGAATTGAGGTGAAAAGGCAATAAATCCATGAGAAGGACGAACAAGAAACATGTCTATGGCGGCTTGTTTTCCTTTATCCTGGAAGTTGTTAATGTACGCACGCGACACACTCTTAGTGGCATCGGAGAGTACGCCTGGTAGGTATCAGAACGAGACTCACAGCCGAACTCGATATCTCAACGTACCGGCGAGCGTACGTTTCCCACTGCGGGTGAAACTGGTGTTCAAAGCGCCAGTGCCCGCATATATGCGTGAGAGCGCGTCACCGTTTTCGGCCCATAGCTCGCGATGGTATGTCCAAAGCGAGGCGGACTGAAGCCATTCTCTCCGTACCAGAACAAGGTACTGTTCCAATGTTATGCGAGATAAAATATCTTGAATGAAGTTCGTACGATCCAAGCTGAACGCGAATAAGCACCATGAGTATCTGTGGCACAGCATTCGCTATGTTGACCGACCAGTCTAAGCAGTTCGTGCGGAAAATCCCCTTCTGCTCCGTGATAATCTCGCCAGATGTAGAGTCGCACATGCTGAATCCGAACCGATCAATATTCTCTCGCACGCCGTCCAGACGCCTACGCGTCGCATCAGCGTACGTATTGGCACAGCTGCTGGAAGCACTTACCGTAGGTCACGGATGATACTCTCGTGGCCACCAACTCTCACCGCGTTGTGGAAGTCGAAGTGGGTTATCCCGACGTCTTCGCCAAAGATAGTCTGCGCAGCGCGCATATGCCGTGCGTACTCTGTGGTTAAGCTAGCCTCGTTCTCCTTCGTGCCAAGAAGATTGATAGCATGCGCGGGTCCGTATTCTTCTGTAAGTTGAGCAAAGTGGCGGTCGAAAGCGGGCTGTGATGCGTGAGGGCGGGTGATTTGGATTCTCTGGCCGAAAGCTTGCATCCCTTGCTGCTCCCAGAATACTGATCACCGGCGCTTCTTAGAGAGGAAATAGATACATTCCTGATGAAAGTACATACATGGAACGCTGCCACGAACTTGTACATAGCTGAAACAGTGTTGATCCGTGCTAAATAATGTCTCCGTCTGGATGCTGTGAATACACTGCGGGTGAAAAGAGCCCGTGAAAGGCGTACTTCAACGAAATTGGCCGTGTTGCCATCATCGTCAACCCCACGGGTATTGAAGCGTGTGCCTGCGCGTTTTTTCCCCAAGCGAGATATTAGCGTGAGGGTGGCGATAATAGGTGAACCATTGGTAGGCGGGGCAGGTAAAGGCACTGTGAAGACGCCGACGTAGCCTTGAATAGCCAAAACCTGGGGGAATCGCATCACCCCCGACTTGCTGAAACACGCTGGAAAAGGACAGGCAGCGTACCAGGAACTGACAGAGATCAAAGTCTTCCCGTTCTTTCGCATCCAAACGTTCCCGGAAATCAAGAAGACTACGGATGATGTATTCGTTCCACACAAAGCGCTCATCGAATGCCATCGATTCTTTTGAATCAATCTCTAGTGCCGAAAGGCGATGGGAAAGCCTCGACGACAGATCAAAGTGTGGCTCCAGAGCATAATAGAAGGATCCAGAAGAGAGGATCTTTACCAGAGGAGAGCATGGATGTTCAATGCCCGGAGGAGGAGTATTCGATCCGTATGGATCTCTTGTCATTGGTATATCCGCGAAGTCTGGCTGACCGGGGCTTGGTAGTACATCAGAGGATAGGTCATCCCAAGTTGAAGTCGTAAGACTGTAGAATGCAATTTCATGGATTTTAGCCACCGATTCGGGCAATGACGCCGAAGGGCGCGTGTTCCCGACTTCAGTGGCGGAGGTGACGAGAGCAAGAAACAGCTCTGATCCCTATCAACCTCATGTCTCAGGCAAAGACTCTGCGAACATACCATTCGAGATCGAAACCAAGCCCAGACAGCCTTTGATTACCCTGTTGGTTAGCCGAACCGTCTTCGTTAGATCAACCTCCTCTTTCGGCAGAAACTCGACCACTGCTTGTGATGGATTCCGTTCTGCTGCTTGGAAGACCAAAGCTCGGCGCGGTCGCCCAACATCGTGCGATCCAGTGACAAGATACAGAGTACGGGGCTCCTCCCCAAGATACAGGTGCATGTGAAAGGGGTGATAGAGGAGTAATGTGCGGCTCGAATCCTGGAGGTTGAAGTTGAACGTTGAAACCTGAGTGATCGTTGGCGCTTAGGCCGGCGTATCACGCCTTCACGCCTTCACCGTCATCGGTGGCGGTACATGCCTCCTGTTCGTTGGGCGTTGCCTCTCAACGGAGTCTCAAGTCGATACAGTCGAGCACGATGCAGGCAGTCAAACAGATGGCAGCACTCCCATGCTTCTATCGAACCATCCGCGACGACCGCTACATCAATGGTCATGCACCGTTCTGCTTCCCGCCACGCATGCCCTTGCGGTTCATACATCGTAGTCTCCTGACCAGTCGGAACGCGCCCATACGCCATTCGCCTGAGACGACTCGCTACTTATATATCTCTATATCAAGGGCTATCCTTTGAGGGTGGCTAGTTCCCATTTCACATACGCTGTTCTCACCATCGGGGTGCGCTCACCGCAGTCTCGGGAAGGTATTCCCGGATAGCCCGTGGGATTACCTACCAGGTTGCGCATGGACAATCACTACGTTGCATCCCTCCGTGTGCGGCATGACCTCGGAGGCTTCTGCATATATGCTATGACAGTGAGAGGCACATCGCTCTACTCGTATTCTTTACATCATTGCGCATAGTCATAATGTCAACTTCGCCCTCACAGGTGTGAATGCTCAATCCGAATCAGACTGTCGAGCGAACTCCTGACACAGCAATGTAGAGACAACAATATGGCTTAGGACGCAACCTCACGTCTGAGTCCGCGTGCGCGCCCATATGTGCCCAGTCCTTCGCTGCATCATTGTCTGTTTGAAGCTCTTCGAGGGATTTCGTTTCTCATGGCTTGCACCGCTGCAACAATCACCGGGTCTTAACCTGAGCATATCCAAGCAGCCGAACTTAATCGCTGATATTTTGACGCCGTCCGGATATATAAAGCGCTGCAAACGCCAAGTTCCTGTCTTCACGGCGGTACGACCCTAGACTCGGAATTCATGACCACCACGAAGCTGTTTGCATCTTTGGTCTCCTTGAGCTTTGCCTCTGCTGCTCTGGCACGCACCTTCACTGTCACCAATGCGGTGGGTATTTCGATTCTATGCACATTTGTGAGCTGACGTATGCTCTTGTCCATGTCGCAGTGCCCCTTTACAATATGTGCGTGTCTGGATCGGTACCAGCGAAGGCTTGTTTTCGACTCTCCTATCCAGGGCCCGCGGTTGATAATTCAATCCGCTTCGGCAGTTTGAAGATAAATTTGTCTTACTGTGCATATTTAGATGTTCACGGATCTCAACGTCGGTAGTGCGGTACCAAGCTTTGCGACTGGGTAGGAGCGCTTAGACCGGCCATTTCTAGACTCGTTTAGCATCTAACGTCTACGTGCCAGGTGGGAGGCAGCGGCTTCCACATCCGTTAGTTTCACGGTGCCGAACAATTGGAAAGCAGGAAGGATCTGGGTACAGTACAAAAACCTGTTGTCCAGCGCGCGTATTTTACCCGTCTCTTAGGGTCGTCGGGACTGTGACTTCAGTATACCCAATCCAAACTCTTGCTTGGACGGAGGTTGCAACGGCATTGGAATGCTTTGTGACGCCCACACTGGCACAGTGAGTGTCATCCCATTGAAGCCGGTGATCGTAGAATACGAGACTGATTCCTCGAGTGTGTAGGGCGTGCCGCCAGCGACCGTTGCAGAATTCACTCTCACCGATCCGACGATGGATTTCTATGATGTTTCGTTGGTAGACGGGTGTAAGCGCCTGTCCCTTCTATACTTCGACGCTTGTGTTGATCTCCACTTGCTTGCACCGGTTCAAAGATAACCTGCCGATGAGAATCACCAATAACGTCGGCTGTCCTGTGGCTGAGTGCCCGGTTGACCTTGGGCCAAACTGTACGTTCACCAAATCATTAAGAGGATCTAGTCAGCTGATGAGGTTGTAGGTCCTGCTCCACTCAAAGGCCCCTTCGACTCCGTTGGATTTCCAGTGGGATGCAAGAGCGCCTGCGACGCGAACCTTGACGGTAACCAAGGTACCTCCGGAACATTGCACTTAAGGCGACACCTTAATTTGCCAACAGCGAACAGTCCAAACTGCTGCAGCGGTAGCTTCAGCACTCCTGCTACTTGTCCCAACTCAGGTTCGTATGCATCAGGCTATGGTGTGCTGTAGGTCGGCGCTGAAAACGTCCATGTATAGGGGTTGAATTCGTGCGTTATCCTCCGTGGTTGATGCTTGTGACATTTCGGTGATCAGTCGCACATGGCACAGTATACCTACTTCAGTCTGTTCCAATTCTAGCTCGAGCTCAACTGCACTTGACGTTTCGCTGTTCACAGAGGGGAACTGCCCCAACGCCTATGCTTATGCGTTCGACGAGAGCAGTGGAACGGCGCTTTGGACCTGTGACTCTGGTGCGTTTCAAAGCTCTAGTCATCGAGACTAGTTAACAGATACATTGCTGCAGCCAAGAACGCTGATTACACTGTGATGTTCTGCCCTTGACAGAAGATGCGGGGTGGAAGCTAGCAGGAACATCGACCATGCTGCCATGTTCCTTCTTGGATATGTCCGGCTTTGTAGACGTATTCGAGTACACCTTTGGGTGTCAATGCAAATCGGTGCGACCATCATCATTTCGATGTTTTTTGACCTTGGGGTTTGGCCTTCCTGTCCAACGTCGCACGCAACCGTAGTGCCTGGAACGCAGCATAAGTGCCGCAAAATGCCGGTCATCCTTCCTGTACTTACTGCAGCGTCTTCTGGTGGCAGAGCACCTTTGGCCATATTGTGCCTGCCTAATCTCTTGGACCTTTGATGCATCGCAGGTGTAGGTTTGGTTGCTCCTTCGGCAGGCACCAGTAGCGCCTTGCATTCCTCTCGCGAAGCGATGTGTCCATCCACCAACGAGAAGAATTTATGTCGAAGGACGATTTTTATCTGTTCGAACCCCCGCGTTGTATACCATCCATCTCGTTCCTTGGATACTGATTCAGCGATCCCGCGGGAAAGATAGCAAAAACTCACATCAGGAAGGTCGCGAAGTTCATCCTGGGATTCGATGAGTTCCTTCAACATATCATCTTCAACATCGCAGAGTTGAAAGGCGGCGGTTTCTTGTGTAAGTGTTACTCCATCAAAAATATGTGACCTCAGATGCGAATGAGCATTTTCACGGAGCGTTCGAATCATGATGGCCGGTGATACCTTCGGTTAGCGTCCCGGTCGACTGGCATGCCGGATCCCGTTTCTTCCGTTGTGGTACGCTGCTGTCGCCGGCTCACGATAGAAGGCCGTACAATAGGATGGTTGACATTGCGAAAGTACAGGCGTTGATAACTGTTCCGTTGGTCTTAGTTCGCTCTTCGTGAGGATGGGAGTCTGAGTCGGATACTTACAATCGTGCCTGTGGATCCTTCCTTGGATCGTACCCGAATCGCACATGTGTATCTCGCCACGGCCCGCCGGAGAAGACGTAGGACACCAGAGGCAACATGGATTTGGAACTGCATGGCCGGTCAACATGTCATTGCGATGCGAAATTATTGACACTTACTTGTGAATTTCCCGCGCTTCTGATGGCGTGAATTGATTCATGAGCGCTGTGCGTGACCATATTGGGCGCTTCTCGAATAGCTGTTTCCATCGGTCGGTATGCATAGGCAGACACAAGGAGCGTACTCACATGTTCCAGTCGTTTGAGTAAATGTAGGTTGACTTGAGCGCGTCGCTCTTCCGCGGTTACGGGTGGATGAAGCGGAATCTATACGAGCAGATAAGCCATACGAAATTAAGGCGTGCAAAATTGAGCAGGAGCGCCAGTATAGACGGATTGCCCGCGCAATTCAAAAACCGACGGGAGGCCGTAAATTCACGATCAGCGGATGTATGACGAGCGCCAATCTTCCTTACATCGGCATCACTAAATGAGATAGATGTAGGTCCTAGACCTTTCCATCTCATCTGGTTGATAAGTCTACTTTTCTCCTCGCCAGTCTCGTCGTTGACGGATGTGATCACCGCTGAAGCAGGATTGGATTTGTAACTAGAATAAAGTCAGAACCAGATGCACGAGACCTTGAAGACGACCAACTTGTAAAGCTGTGGGATTTGTTGCCTGCTCCATGACGGTGGCGGGAACAATCGCATATTGCTTCTCAAGCTCTTTGCAGCGACATCTTTTTCGGTATGGCAAAGGTTTGGATCTATAGTGGGGAAGGAGTGAACAGGTACGGCATAATCTTCCTCTTCGCCGGGCATGCGGAAAGTTTTGATTGCATCCACTGCAGCAAACTGAACAATTGTTCGAGCGGACGTCCTAGAAACATACCCTCCAAATGATCCATGGCTGCACGCAACTTGGCAACAGGGTCGTCCGTGTTCGGAGCGTACTGAAAGTCAGCCATGCCTAATACAGATACGAGGTTCGTCAGATGATAGGCGCTCAAAGGCCGACCGTACTTCGAAACCGAGATGACTTCGTAATCACGCCCACCGCCTCCGCCGTGTATTCGCCCCTGCCTCCTTGCTGCCCTAAATCATTCATCCTTTGGCGTTTTCTCTTCGTTATCTTGAGCAGTATGTTGCTGCATTGCCCGACATCGCCAGGGATTGGATGAGAGAATGGGTAGCCAGGCCTGAAGTTCAGCTCAAGTATAGAATCATGCTTGGCTGTAGTCCGTTTGAATGCCGAGAGCAGTCTGCCGTCACCTCCAAGGTGGCTAATCGCTGATGGTACAGATGTGACATAGCCCGGATATTCCACCGAGTATAGAGGTACTTGCGGGAGGGGATACTCGGGAGCAATCTGTGACTGCGATTGTCCAGGCTGATGCATTGAGGCAATCATTGGATTTGAACTATGGACAGCCCTTTGAGCTCAGCCTCGCGTTCAGATCTCAGAGTTCACCGGCACCGTACGGTGATGAAGCAAAGCGCGTTTCGGGCCGTAGTTCAAGCTCCGCTGTATACTTACATTTTCTCCTTTTTCTCCGGTTTTTGCAGCCCACGGAGGAACCCCCAGCACGCGGAATCTGTTCTGATTCATAATACCTGTGCAATCACGAAGGTGGCACCTGTACGGACGTTCTCTAGGCACTAAACGTTGAGCATTCAAACTCAACAGCTAGCACCGTAATTTTTTTTTTTGCGGGCAGGGCGGAAAGAGTCTTTGGTCACTTTTATCCGGCGGATTAGTAACCTCTCTGATAGCGCAGACTTTTGTATCGACTTAACGGTACTCCTGTCTTTGCCCTATGTGCCACTCCATGACTTTCGTCATGACCTTTCCAGGGTTTACGTTCATGCGACTGTGGCATGACGCACTCTAAGCACTAAAACCTCCCTTGACGTTGCCTCTATTGAGGCATTGTCCTTTTGGCGAGCCAAGACAGTTCTCGACCTATGGCAGTATAGGGGAATTGTCCGTCTCAGGAGTTGCTTATTTGACCCAGCTACTCCTCTGGCCATCGAATGTGAAAGCTGCGCTGCCGCACACAGTGGCGGGCGACGTCAAGCTCACCTGGTTGAGTCTGGGTAAGTCTCAGTCTGTGGAGGACAGAAGTAAAGCGACTTATATTGCAACGCTCAGACAGGCCTGTATATATACTACAGAGAGTGGCTATGCGGTGCAATCACATGCTAAGCTATAGAACAATAAAGAAGGCTGTGGAACGTAGCAACGCACAGCCTATTGTGTCAGAAATAGATACAGCTGTGCCGAGGACGGCAGTCAAGGCGGGCTGTGCCAGCGCCTGTGAATCGGTGGCTGTAGAGCGCCAATTCAACACTCCCCCTCGCTGAGTGCAACGGTAAGCACGTAAGCGGATATGGCGCAAAAATGCAGCCAAAGAGAGGACGAAGGTTTCAACC